CCCGCTGCTCATCCAGAGCATCATCCCGCTCAAGGGCGCGTTCGAGGGCAACCTGATCAAGGTCCACCTGTTCGGCCAGCCCGCCACTGGGGATCTTAAGAGGCCGTGGAAGGCGAGCGGTGGGATGATGGGGATGATGCAGCAGGGTGGTGGGGAGATCAAGACGGACAAGAAGAGCATAGAGGCTGCGGAGCGTGCTGGTCGGGGCGGCGTCAAGGAGGAGTAGGCGACGTAGGTGGGTGTCTGTTGAAGTATGGTGGCTGGACGGTTGAGTAGCTCTGGCCATATCTTGTATACGCCGTGCATGTGCGGCGCTGTACACGTCTCCCACACGTCTCCCAATGTAGGACATTCAAGCGACCCATCAGGCCGTTGAAGCAGAATACCGCCGAATACTGGCCGAGCAAGTGATACACACATCCTTGTACCATCTCGGCCCTCCAACAGACGAAGCTTCGGGCCCACACTTGGCGCAGGCGAAGAGAGCGAAGACGAATGGAGCGGACCTGCCTGCGCTCTTCCCCACGACTTCACCCCCCTCAATCCTTCCAAAATCCCTCGTTATCTCTTCCAACACCTGCAGCGCGGAGTTGATTTGCTTCTCCGCGGTCAGCAGCAGAATGTGGGCAGCAGCAGGTAAGCGACTGCGACATGACCATGCACCATGCACTGGCGACAAGTAATACCGCCAGACGCCGATCAACAGCCACTTACACCTGCAGACTAGGCCTGTAGCTCGCCGCCAGCGCGCCCAGTACCTTGCACAACCTTGGTGACGCTGAGAGGCATGCCGAAGTCAACGCTCCACCCGTCGTCTTGATAGGTTCGCTTCACGTTCTCGAACCCTTCTAGCCCCTTGGTATATCACCTGTGCGGGGAGAGCATGGAGATGAGGGTGACCACGCGACGGGCGTGTGGGCGTGGATGGTGGTAAGGTATATCTTGTTCTGTTCTGCTGCCACCCTGATACCTTCGACCAGTCGCTCCTCGGTCCTCTCAATCTCCTCAACCCTTACTACCTCTCTTCTTTCCCCCTCCTTCAGTCACCCACCATGGGTTTCATGCTCAAGAAACCCGACGATGCGGTCGGCGCAACCTGGCCCGCCATTGCCATCGGCCTCTTCGTCGCCTTCGGCGGTGTCCTCTTCGGATATGACACTGGAACTATCGGAGGTATCTTGGCCAACAAATTCTGGGTGAATCTATTCAAGACTGCCGGCAAAGACGACATCACCACTCCTCAGAACTCCCTGATCGTCTCCATCCTAAGCGCCGGTACCTTCTTTGGCGCTCTAGCAGCTAGTCCTATGGGAGATATCATGGGCCGTCGCTGGGGTCTGATGTTGTCCGCTGGCATTGTCTTCAACCTGGGCGTAATTCTGCAGACTGCCGCCACTGAGCAGCCGATGTTCATTGCTGGTCGCTTCTTTGCCGGACTCGGTGTTGGTTTGATCTCGGCACTGGTGCCGCTGTATCAGTCCGAGACGGCGCCAAAATGGATACGCGGGACGATTGTTGGAGCCTACCAGCTTGCAATTACCATCGTGAGTTTCGGGAAGAGAGCAATTCTGAAAGATATACATGACTGACATGACGACAGGGCCTTTTCTTAGCAGCCATCGTGAACAACGCCGTCAAGGACCGCAAAGACACCGGTGCCTACCGAATCCCTGTAGCTGTGCAGTTCTTGTGGTCCATCATCATCGTCGTGGGCTTGTTCTTCCTGCCAGAGACGCCGCGCTTCTTGATCAAGCAGGACAAACACGAGAAGGTATACACAAGCCACCTCATGTCGTCCACAATACCACTAATACTGTACTCCAGGCAGCCCAATCCCTTGCCAGAATCCGTCGCATGCCTGCCGATCACCCTGCATTGATCGAGGAGCTGTCTGAGATCGAAGCCAACCATCGCTACGAGATGAGCATCGGCAAGGGCACCTACCTTGACTGTCTCAAGGGCACCATCGGGAAGCGTCTCGCAACGGGTTGTCTTCTGCAAGCCCTTCAGCAGCTTACCGGCGTCAACTTCATCTTCTATTACGGCACGCAGTACTTTAAGAACGCTGGCTTCGCCAACCCATTCGTCATTTCCGTCATCACCAAGTAATCCACCATCACCCCATCACAATCCGTGCCCAAGCTAACGAGTACGTCCAGCTCCGTCAACGTCGCCTCCACATTCCCGGGCCTCTACCTCGTCGAAAAGATGGGCCGACGCAACTTGCTGCTGATGGGAGCCATTGGCATGTGCGTGTGCCAGTACATCGTCGCTATCACCGGCACGGTCGCTGGCACCACCAACCTGCCTGCCCAACAGGCCGCCATCGCTTTCGTCTGCATCTACATCTTCTTCTGTCCGTATCCCAAACCTCCCCCATACTTCAGGAATCGTTGCTGACAAACACGTACAGTCGCCTCCTCGTGGGGTCCAGTCGCGTGGGTCGTCACGGGCGAGCTGTTCCCGCTGAAAGTGCGTGCGAAATGTTTGAGCATGACTACAGCCACTAACTGGTATGCCTAATGAGCAAAACCCTACCATGTCTGTGACATTCGCTAACCCTTTTGCCCTTCTGCTTGCAGGCTACTCAATTTCGCCATCGCCTACTCGACCCCGTACTTAGTCAACGAGGGTGACGGCTACGCGAACCTCCAGTCCAAGGTCTTCTTCGTTTGGGGATCGTTCTGCTTCGTGTGCATCGCATTTGTCTGGTTCATGATCTACGAAACCAAGGGCTTGTCCCTTGAACAGGTTGACGAGCTGTACGGGATTGTGACCAAGGCGTGGCAGAGCAAGAGTTTCAGGCCGCAAGTCAGCTTCCAGGAGGTGTCGGATAAGAGGGGCATGAGCATGAGTGAGATGGCGCAGGAGACGGAGAGGAGGCGGAGCAAGGCTAGTATTGAGGGGACGGAGAAGGTTTAGTGCCTGGTCGTGATGGATGATGGTGACACTCCTTTGCTTGCGAGCTGGTTCAAGAGGATCTAGAGTTGTGTGGATTGATACTTGATATCTGACTATGATGTGCCCGCATACTGGAACTAAACTCTCTCGAGGGCTGTTTGCTCATCTCCCTGCATTGACGCCATCATATTCAAGAAGTCTTCTGCTTCTTATTTTTCTTCGACTTCCCGTGGACACTCGGGACCTTGCTCCTATAGTCCGCCTTCACAAACCCAGTATCCCCGGCCGACAGGTCCTTTTCATGATAAGCAACATCCACCGTCGACTTGTCACTCTTATTAAAGACGCCCCTCGCCCTTCCTTTAGGATCGCCTTGCCTGTGATCCCGTCCCTTTGGAGCAATGACTTGTTCCAGCCACGGCGGCGGAGAACTCAGAACCAAGCGCTCTTGGTTGTGGAATTTGTGAGGCGATGGGAAGTTTTGTTTGACGGGCCCGGAGCGGTTCCAGATCTTCTTCGCGTCGCGCTTGGCTCTGGAGACAGTCGGGGCGTTGGATACCTGGCGACGGACGTCTGCTGCATTGAGACGACGTTCCGGGTCGGTTGGGGGGAGGCGGGAGAGGGAGTACTGGCATTTTTCAAGATATGTGGAAGTGAGGTTATGTCTTGTGCCAGAACTTGGCGGTACTCACGTTGGATGAGGCGGTGGATCTGCTGGACTGGGAGGAGGAGGACGAGGTCACGGAAGGTGCTGCTCTTTTCTTAGACGTAGACGACATGCTGACTCCGCGATTGTTCCTGCGAGCTTTGCGATGTTTCCAGAGCGCAGGTCCAAGGTGGTAGCTCTCAGCTTCGGCTGCATCCTTTCAATGTAGAGACCGCTATTTATCATGACCAGACAAGGCTGCACAAGGCTAGAACGCCTGCCGGCTGCGCCTTGGAAGCAGACTACTCCTCCCGTATACACATTCGGGTGAAGAGCTCCAAGAGCGACGAATCACAGCAGGCAAGGTGCCTGAGGAGGGAGGCATTGCGGATCCAGACCTGGACGCCCATGCATCAAGACCAACCTGGCGTAGTACATGTGCCGGGTACTTGGGTGGCGTGGCGCGGATGCCCAAGGCCATTGTCCAGTCTTCTCTAGTGATTGGTCCAGGGCAGAGGACGGGGAAAGCAGCCGCTGCAGCTCGATCACATCAGGTGGATGCACATGTGATGCAGGTTTACAGGTTGCCTTGTTGCGCTAGCCTGAGCCATTCATGGGCACAGTGTGGTCGTACCGTCTCCGTGCACATCGTCGATCGGCCTACGTGGCTCGACTGAGTTTGCGGTAATCCTGTGATGCCTCAGAGGAGATTCGCTTTCTATGTGCTTTCGAGATGAAACGGGGATGCAGTGTTCAAGTTCGAAGTCGAGGCGGCTGTGAAGTGTTGTCACATGCCGAGCTAAGCCCCTTTGGGACACAAGGCTGAGGTGTTCGCTTCCAGTGAAGCAACATTCGTCTGCTTGCCTTACTCACATTTCCTCGCACCTTTGTCGTCTTTTCGACAATGTTGCTTCGACATACTGGCTTCGACAAACACTCCTCAACTCGTAAGAAGCGATGGAGAACAACCTAGACTTCCTCACCGCCGAAGGCTGGTCCCTCCTCGGCGGCGTGATCATGTCTGTCTTCAAAACCGCGCTCTCAAAACTAATGAGCAACGAGCAAGACACATCTGTTGAAAAGCAGGCGAGCGTCATCGCCGAAGCAAGCTACCAGCGCGCGCCTATGAAAAGCTCTGACGAGCAAAATGAAGAGTTGATGAGTCTCCAACAGGACGCTTGTCAGACAATTCTCGCTATCGCGAAACAACTCCCGCCTCGACACCTCGGACAGGATCTTTTGACACGGACGGTGGCAGAGCTGGAAGCGCTGTGTGAGGAGGGAAGTTACGTCGATGTGCTCGGGCGGGAAGTCAGCGATCAGTGGCTAGGTGAGCATCATTGCCTCTCAAGCAATAACGTTGGTCTGTAGCTGATCAACTCAAACTACCACAGACCCAACACAGGAGGAAGCCGATGAAGACGACGACGAAGAAGAAGCCCTCTTCTACTTCACCCCGACGGAATGGCTCAACCTGAACGCCTTCGTCGCCCGCCTCGTCGGCGCCCAGATATCCCACTGGCACAACCTCACCATCTGGCAACTCCGCACCGCTCTCGAGTGGCCCGCACCGGAATCAAATTGGCGGGTCCAGCCTCGCCCGTTCGACACCCGCGTCAACGTGGCTGCCGAGTGGATGATTCAGGCCGCTCCAGTGCTGCTCCGCGAAAGTCTGGCGCAGAGGGATCTCGACGAGCAGAAGCGACGGTCTTACGGCAATGGGCCGTTGTATAATGGCGGGCCGGGATTCGCGATTGAGCGGTGGGTTTTCTGGAAGCGGATGTTGGGGGACTCGAAAAGGAGGGTGGGGACGGATGCTCGTGAGAGGGTGGATGAAGCACTTGAGAAGATGACGGAGGCCGAGAAGGGCATAGCTGAGCCGCGGGTGCTGAATGGATCGTGAGAGGTGTGTTGAGCAGTATAACTTCAGGGTCGCCGCAAGCACACGAGGAAATCTGCGAGAATCCTGATGTTTAGAATGCTTCGTCAACTGCTCTGGGGTATCATTCATGCCTGCATATCATTTGTGTTCCTCATCATCTTCAAAAGATCTTCTGCTGTTAAGGCCTCCGCTTATCCTCTCCGTCCTCACCGCTTAGTACCATCCACCCTCGGCGCAATGATCTCAAACTCATCCCACCGGCTCAAACTCATATCGCTCCTCCGATAAGCCTTCAGCACCGCATCATGTCCGGCCCATGCATTTCTGCCCGCCAACAACCGTCCCACGGCCGCTGAGGTGGCATAGCTAGGGTCGAACACCAGCAAATTCCTACTTCCATCGTCCTTCCTCTCCAAGCCCACGATCGTAGTCGAGTGCCCAAATCTCTGGAAGTAGAGCGGTGGAAGGTTGGTAATGTGCGATGTCCCATGGTGTTTGGTGCCGGGCTGTTCATGGGCGGAGATGAAGTAGGCTTCCACATGGTCTATGAGTGAGACTACGGCCGGTTGAGCGTTGGTGGACTTCTTGTTTTGTGGCTCCTCATCTTCGCGGAAGGCGAGCGCCTCGACGGGTAAGCCAGCCTCCGTGAAGTATGCGAGAGCTTCATGCGTGCCGATCCATTTACGAGTATTCAGGACGCCTCCGGTTTCGATGCGGCCGTAGGTACAGATGCCGTTATCCCAGGCCCGCTCGATGGTCTCTTGGATCTCAATGATGTTGGGCAGGGAACGCGGTCTGTCGTTTTCGCTGGTCTGTTGTTGAGCGTAGAGGTATGAGAGCAGCATCTGTATGTTCCAGTAGCCGCAGAAGTTGCCGTCGCAGCGGAGCTTGAACACATGCCGTACGCTTGGGTCACAGAAGTAACTAGCTGTCGTCGACTTATCCAGCGCGCAGACGTCGGCTAGAATGGGTATCAGACCCCTTGTTTCATTGTCGACTGTCATCTCTCGTTGGAGTTTGCCATCCCTACCAATGCGATTGCTCTCGTACGGTTCAGCGTCACGAAGCAGACTACGACGAACCTGCTCCGGCATGCGCTTCTCATACGCATGCGGACCCAACTCCCGCCTGCCTAACCGCCCTGGCTCCCGCGGCTCCTTAATCCTGCGATGCTGGGGTGGTGGGCGGCCGACGGAGGAGTTACCACTGAAGTAGTCCAGAATATTACGTCCGTGACTGCTTCGAGGTGACTCTGGTCGCTGTGAGCGAGGATGCTTGCGTGGGCTGCGGTGGGACTCCTCCTGACGAGGGGCTGAGCGTTTGCCACCTTTTGTCGCGGCTGCTTCCTCTGCGTCTGCGAGGTCGACCGCCTGATGCATCTCATAGTGGTCGTCCAGGTCTGCGACGAGGATGTACTCATTACATTGCGGGCGGGTGCATTTGATCCATGGGTTCTCCTCGCTGTCTGAGCTGCTGCCAGAAGGTACAGCTTGTCGAAGAGGTGCTTTCGGTGGTGGTATCGTATCATCCTTCACGACCCATGGTGAGTCTTCGGTATGCCGCTCTTCGATATGAAGCTGTATGGCGTACGTGTCGTCTCCACGATATTGGCAGAAAGGGCAGGTGTTGAAGTCCGTCATGTCAACGGTGGATCGAGGCGACGATGTCTTAAGCAGGCTGCATGCATAGTGTAAGTCACAAGTGCTATGTTTCAGCGGTGTCGTGGTGTGATGACTGCCTTGCTTGCGTGTTCTCCCAGTCGCAGCAACATCGAATGCAGTCAGCCATTAGGCCCAGGCCCGCTCTTTGTTGTTCAGGCACAACCGCGGAGAGAATCGGCGCCGCCTTCTCAACGTCACTCTTGGCGTTGCAAACATTCAAGAGCCAGCAAGCATCTTGCCTTCCTTTCTGAACAAAATGGCGACTCTCAGAGATTCTATACCACGCGATCCTCATACCAAGACCTTTCACGATGGCGACGGTCGTTCTCGGATCCCAATGGGTGAGTTGGGTGGTCACAATGGCTCCATGCCGAATGCGGAGACAATGCTAATTTTTCGTCTGGTTGTAGGGTGACGAAGGCAAGGGCAAGATAGTCGATGTTCTCAGTGAAGGTGTGAACCTGGTTTGCAGAGCGCAGGGAGGCCACAATGCTGGTAAGATACAGAAGGAAGAAAACGTATTTTATGCGACATTGCTAACCATTCACTTGCTGCGCTCAGGCCATACAATCGTCAAAGACGGAAAGACGTTCGATGTCCATATCCTGCGTGAGTCAATCTACCACACTTAAGAACAACCGCTGATGTCGTATGCATAGCATCCGGCGTCCTAACGCCCAGCTGCACCAACCTCATCGGGACCGGATGCGTCCTCTACGTCCCGGGCTTCTTCAAGGAAATCGCCTCCCTGGAATCCAACGGCATCGACTACACAGATCGGATCCTCATCTCAGACCGCTGCCACGTTGATCTGGACTTGCACACCAAAGTCGACGGCCTGGAAGAAGTCGAGCTTGGCAAGAAGAACATCGGTACCACCGGCAAAGGCATCGGCCCTACTTACTCAACCAAAGCTTCCCGCTCTGGAATCCATGTCTCGGAGATCTTCGATAAGCAGCTCTTCGATACCAAACTGCACAACCTCTACACTGGTTTCCGCAAGCGGTATCGCGACCTTCTGCAGTATGACCCTGAAGAGGAAATCGCCCGCTTCGACACCTACCGCCAAACTCTCAAGCCTTTCGTGGTCGACCAAGTCCCGCTGATAGAATCAGTCGTCCGCGGCAACCTCAAAGTCCTCGTCGAAGGCTCCCAAGCAACCATGCTCGACATCGACGCCGGCACGTACCCCTACGTCACCTCCTCCAACACCGGTCTCGGCGGCGTCTTCACTGGCCTCCATCTCAGCCCGCGGAGCATCAAAGAGACCATAGGCGTAGTAAAAGCCTACACCACCCGTGTCGGTTCCGGCCCCTTCCCTTCAGAGCAAATGAACGAAGACGGCGAGAAGCTCCAGCAAATCGGCCGCGAATTCGGCGTCACCACCGGCCGCAAACGCCGCTGCGGTTGGCTCGACTTGGTAGTGGTAAAGTACAGCCACCACATCAACTGGTACGACTCCCTCAACCTGACCAAACTCGACGTGCTGGATACTTTCAAGACCATCAAAGTCGCCACCTCCTACTCCTACCAAGGCCAGACACTGCCTTCGTTCCCGGCTGATCTGGACGTGCTCGAGCATCTGGATGTGCAGTACGAAGAGTTGCCAGGCTGGGAGACGAGTACGACGGGTGCGAAGACGTGGGAGGATTTGCCGGAGAATGCGAGGATGTATGTGGAGTTTATTGAGAAGCATGTGGGCGTGCGGGTGGGGTATATTGGGACGGGGCCGGGGAGGGAGAGTATGATTGTGCGGTGAGAAGGACACCTCTTGGTATCAGCAGAGAAAGGAGGGGAGGAGGAGCGAAAGGGTGGGAGAGTGTTGGGAGATGATTAGATGATAAAAGTTTGTTATGCGTGAGTTTTGAGTATGCGGACTACATCGAACTGTCATTTCTCGCCTTTTTTCCACCTGTCCTCCCCTGCTTGACCAGTGCTGTGGTCTTGTTGGTGCGATGCTGGCGCCCAGCTGGTCCCTTCAAGGGGCAAAGCAGCTACTCTCACTTTGTCGGTGACTGCTCCGGACCTTAGAGCTGGCCGTGGTCGCTCTCCTCAGTCCAGGGCTTGTTTCATCCCGGCGGGTGTCTGTTCAGCAGCTATAGCATTGGATAGGGTCCTCTTGCGCCTAACCCTCCCATCGCATCAGCCAGAGGTATCCGATGCATGTGTCAACCGGACCTCTCCCTCCGTTGCTCAGGACTCCCTCTCACGAACTAGATCATCGATTCGTCTCTCATCCTCTTCGACAGCGAAATTCCCTCAAACCTTCCCCTTCCCCATGATCCCCACCCCCTCCCTCACGACACCGACCAAACCGCCTGTCTGCACACTCTCGCTTCCGCCACCACTTAGCCGGTACTCCACTTCCGCCAGCCCCTCCAACCACCGCACCCGCGTCTGCACCGGCACATCCACCTCTGCCAATTGCTCTCCCATCGCAGTCAAGATATCCGCTAGCGCTAGTCCTTTGGTCTTCTTCAGTGTATTGATCGTGCTGAGACAGGACCCGACGTCGGAGGTGGTGAGAAGCGTTTGGGTGATGAGACGGATGTCCTCCGGGTGAGGCGCGGCGATGCAGGTGTAGATCGTTTCTTGCGTGATCAGGTCTCGCTCGACGGTATTAACGTCTGGGGCAGGTTGGCCAGGGGTGTGCAGGGGTGTAGACGAGGCGTGGCAGGCTTGAAGGACGTTAAGAGCCCGTCGCATGTCGCCTTTTGACAGCGTAACGAGGGATCCCACGGCGTCTGGCGCAATATTTACGTGCTCTTCCGCGATAACTTTGTCGACCAACTGCCGTATATCGGCTTCTTTGAGTGGAGAGAAGCGAAACCGTGTGCATCGCGATAGCAGCGCTGGCGAGAGTTTGTGCGTATAGTTGGCAATGATGCAGAAGCGGGTATTGGCCGTGTACTTTTCCATGATCCTCCGCAGAGCCATCTGGGCGGTCGAAGTCATAGCGTCGGCTTCGTCGAGGATGATGAGCTTGAAGTTCGCTATGCTCTCGCTCTTTGCTGACTTGTCGAAGGAGCCGGCGAATATCTGCTTGGTGGAGGAGAAGGTCTTGATCTGCTCCCGTACGACGTCGATGCCGCGGTCGTCAGAGGCGTTGAGCTCGAGGACCATTTGGCGCATGTTCTTGCCGCCGTAGATTCGTCTTGCTAATGCGAGGACGGTGGAGGTCTTGCCCGTTCCTGGGGGACCGTAGAGGAGGAGATGGGGAAGGCGGTTGGCGTCGACGAACTTGTTGATGGTGGAGAGGATGTCATGATGGCCTGACACGTCTGCTAAAGAGGCCGGACGGTACTTCTCAACCCATGGGAGGTTGTCTTCGGCTTCCACTGGGAGGTTGGCGGCACTGCGTTTGCCTTTGCTGTCGGCGGCCGAGGAGAAGGTGATGTCGGAGGAGACTTTGGGCGCGTCATCCATCTGGACGTCTTCGTCGTCGATGTCGGACATGCTGGCGGTGTCGGGGCGGATTGTGGTGGGTAGAGTGGATAGTAGTGGGAGAGATAGAGGTTGACGCGCATTGAAGCACTTCACGCGTGTTATGTAAGCAGTCGATGTTCAAACGCGTTTGCTTCGTCTTCCAAACTTCCTTATCAAGCAACGCAATGCCAAAGCGACGGAGGACAGACAATGCGGTAGAGGAGGAAGAGTCAACACCACAAAAGACGAGGAGAACGGCGCAGAATGACAGCCCGCCGAGCAATGCAACAACACCTTCCAACCGCAAGTCGATCCTCAAGGGGACACCGACGAGAGGTCCAAATGGGACGTCTGTAGTGGAACCAACGCCCAAGTCGCTGAGGAAGGTCCTGTTCTCGACGCCGGCGGAGAAAGCAGAGGCAGCGGAGGAGCAAGAGACGCCTACAGCAACCCGCAACGACCGCTCGGCTCGTAGGAAGAGTGCGCGGACGTTGCAGAAGCAGCCTGACGATGAGAGCGAGGATGGAGATGTCGCGCAAGACACGGCGCTCGCGGAGGCCATTCTTGACCAAGAGGACGAGATAGTGGGAGAAGATGAGGAGGAGGTGGTAGTGGCAGATGCATCTAGCCAGCCCACAGCAGACACACCCACCAAACGCGGCAGAGGCAGACCCAGAGGACGGCCCAAGAAGGAGAGAACGCCATCGCCGCCACCCGATCTTCCACCACATGAACTGTATTTCTTCCAGAACCGCGCGGGAGCCAACAAGACCTCCGCCAACACTCTCGCCCCGAACCTGCTGCTCAACCACGAAGACTACCTCACCAACATCAACGCCTACAAGGATCCCCACGAACAAGACATCAAGCGTCTGGCCGACCTTCACAAACGCGCCTTCGACCAGTGGACTTTCGAACGTGAGGAAGGCTTCAACCTCTGCCTGTATGGCTACGGCTCGAAACGCCAGCTCTTGATGGATTACGCCGACCACCTTTACCACAGCAGCCCGAAACCGCCCAGGATCGTCGTGGTGAACGGCTACACGCCTGGCTTAACCCTCCGCGACATCTTCACTCTCCTCGCGAAGACCGTCCTCCCCAAGTCGACTAAATTGCCCTCCTTGCCAGTTCCACTTCTCGACCTTGTCCTCACGCACCTCACCTCAAATCCACCGTCTCCGCCAATAACACTCTTGGTCCATTCTCTCGACTCGCCAACTCTCCGGCGTGCCCCTGCCCCAGCTTTACTCGGACGCCTCGCCGCGCATCCCTTCATTTCCTTCATCGCCAGCGTGGACACGCCCCAGTTCGCCCTTCTCTGGCCTCCAGCCCTGCTTCGCCAGTACAACTGGCTCTACCACGACACCACGACCTTCAAACCCTACATCGCCGAAATCGATGTCGTGGAAGAAGTCAACGCCTTGCTCGGCAGAAGCGGACGCAAGATCGGTGGCAAAGACGGCGTAGCATTCGTGCTGAAGAGCTTACCCGAGAACGCGAGGAACCTCTTCCGTATACTGGTGATTGAGCAGCTGGGTGCCATGAGCCACCTAGAAGCGGACGCTACGCTCGGTGGTGGCGACGTGGAGGATGAAGATGAAGGAATGTTGGGTGTGAGCGACGACGAGGACGCGGCAGCTGAGGCACAAGCTACGCCTTCTCGACGGCAGAAACGAGGACGACCGCCTAAGAAGGCTAAGGCTGCGGTGACGAAGAAGGTTGTAGCGCCTGCGGCGGAGGGGGTGGAGTATCGCACGCTCTATCATAAGGCCGTGGAGGAGTTTGTGTGTTCGAGCGAGCTGAGTTTCCGGACATTGTTGAAGGAGTTTCACGATCATCAGATGGTTGAGAGTCGGAAAGACGGGATGGGGGTGGAACGGCTTTTCGTTCCCGGTATGGGGAGGGGTGAATTGGAGGGGCTGTTGGAAGAACTAGTCTGATTAGAGGTAGAGACGGTATATGGATGCTACGATGTCCAACGCCGGAGTGCTATGCAGTGATCATCATCTATGCCTCCCGGTCCTGTACAAGGTTTTATGGATGTTGACTCTCTACCATCCTCTCTTCGCCAACTTATCAGACTCGCCCATGGCTCCAACATTGATGCCCACCATCGCCTCACCCAACCCAATGGACACCTCGGCCAACACCTTTGGGTCATTGAAATGCGTCGTCGCCTGCACAATCGCCTTGGCCCTCTTCGCCGCATCTCCAGACTTGAAGATCCCGCTGCCCACGAACACGCCGTCACAGCCCATCTGCATCATCAACGCTGCATCGGCCGGGGTAGCAATTCCTCCTGCTGCAAAGTTCACCACCGGTAGCCGCTTCAGCTGCGCACATTGCTTGAGCAAAGCGTAGTCGCACTCCAACTCACGGCTCATCTGCCGCAGCTCTGGGTCTGAAGCAGCGCTCGCTCGCGCTATCTCCTTGTTCACAGTCTGCATGTGCCTGACAGCCTCCACAACATCTCCCGTGCCCGCCTCGCCCTTCGTGCGTATCATCGCCGCGCCCTCGCTGACTCTCCTCAGCGCTTCACCCAAATTCCTGCACCCACAAACAAACGGCGTGCTGAAACCATTCTTCTCCACATGATGCGTCGGATCCGCGGGCGTCAGCACCTCACTCTCATCAATATAATCCACCCCAATCGCCTGCAGAATCTGACACTCGACTAAATGCCCGATCCGCGCCTTCGCCATGACGGGAATTGTCACCGCCCGCATAATCTCCTGAATCATCGCCGGATCCGACATGCGCGCCACCCCGCCCTGCGCGCGAATGTCGGCCGGCACGCGCTCGAGGGCCATGACGGCGCAGGCGCCGGCTTCCTCGGCGATTTTGGCTTGTTCGGCGTTGACGACGTCCATGATGACGCCGCCTTTGAGCATTTGGGCGAGGCCGGCTTTGACAGCGAAGGAGGATTGGGTGGGCGAGGGGGAGGTGGTGGGGTAGGTCGTTCCGTTGCTGTTGGTGGGTTTGGTGGAGGATTGGGAGCGGAAGGCCATGGGGCGGTCGTTGGTGGACATGGTGGGGTCCATTGGGTTTGTATCAATCTTTCTCGAACGGGAGATGTTGTTGTTTCGTGGAGGTGGGGGGGCGGGGTGATGGTGTAGTTGTCGAGTCGATGCACGTCGAGTCAATGGGTTGTAAGGTGAGTCGATGGGAACGTTGTCGTATTGTTGCCCTGTTAGAGAGATGTAGAAGGGATGTAGTGGAAAGGGCGCAAGTCGATGTTGCTGTTACTCATGCTCGTCATGGTTCTAGTTCGATCGAAAAAATTGGCTCTCGTCGGCTCAAGAGAAGCACCTCGCCGGTGTCGGCGCATCGCTAGCAGCTTCCCAAAGAGGCGATTCTGAACGACACTCTCTCTCTCCCTTGACTCTACATGTTACTATGCATCGACATTTGAGACATCAAGACTTTGACACCTAGAATCTTCCACCATGAAAGAATCTGGGAGACGACAGGATACGCCCAACTACTAGGACAATGAGACGCCTCTCCGACCTCCGAGAAGCAGCAGCCACCAAGAGTGCATCAGTTGAAAAGCGGTATTGAGGCATCCGAAACGACAATCCAAGGGTTCAGATCTACGTGATCGCAATCTGTGGACTTCAACAAGTCAACCGGCCGCTTGGTCAAGCGTCACTCATGAGAGCATACCTAGAAATTCTGTGCTTTCGGCGGCGGACTACTGCTACTCCTCCTCTGGCTTCCCTGCGGCGCTGTGTCAACCGCACATCTCGACTCCTAGTTCGGAACATCCACATCCGAGTCCCACTGTATGAGATCGCTCAAATCGGCTTCAGCCCCGTGTTGGTTGTCCTCGCCTTGAGAAGGCAGCGTTCGCATGACATTGTTTTGCTCTGGTGCGGACTCAGATGCTACGCCTGAAGCAGGACCTGTACTTGGTGCATTTTCCTGCTGATGTGCCGGGACACGAGCCACCGTGGAGTCGCCTGGCTGTAGCACGTTAATGCCTTCAACGGCCGGCCCGTGCTTGGTTTGAATATGCTCGCAGACGCCGGCGAAGCTTCCAAACCTTCGTCGACTCGCTGGTAAGCATGATTCCGGTGGTCACGGACACTCATAGTAGGGCTTCAAGCCCTCACTGAAGACTTCGTGGTATGCTGAGCCGTGCTTCCGCCAGTCATGGTAGGACATGGCTGCAATCTGGATTGTGCATCGTGGGTACGGGCATCGAAACTTCTGGCCATCTGACATGACTCTGTCGTGTCGCTTTTGGAAGTGGCGAACCAAATTGAGAACAGCACCCGTACTTCCTTGGTGTGCTGTCTCGCAGTCGTCCATTGGACAGTGGAGCTTCCCATCAATTGCTACGTGCACGGAACTGATGTGGTGGCTTCGCTTCCACGAGGTAGGCCACCTGGCGTTCTCACATCCGGGATAGGGACAGGGAAACCCGTCCTCCTGCTCAACAATTTTAGTGGTGCTCATTTTGATGTGTCTGGTCGTGTTGGAAGATGGTCGGTTGCAGGAGATATTTAGTAAGTGCAAAATTGCAGCTGCAGAGTGCGGAAAGGCTGGAAGGCGCAATGGCGGAGGAGATGGCCAACGTCGTGTACGGCTCCAACATCATCGAAAGAGTTGGAGTACCAGATCTGAACGAGACCAGGAGGATCTGCTGGGAGATTTACATGAACCAGCGTGGTATCTTCGAAGATGAGCCGCCTCGCAGCTCTGCGTACGAAGCCGCGCTAGAGAGTGCCATCGACGCAGGACAGGTGAACAGAAGTCGTCGCGACAGACAAGAAGTCGCAAATCATGCAGCCGCCTTTGTTTACATGACGAACAAAGTCGTGAAGTCGAACGAGCCATTCGGCGATCAGCTCATCAGAGAAACGCATAGAATTCTGTGCAACAAGGTGGATGCAGACAACGGAGACACCACTCGCCCATACCAAGATTACGCAGGCTTGTACCGGAGCATCGATGGGCGAGACAACGTCATGGCGGGCAACACTGGCTTCGTCCGAGCCAGCAAAGTCGCGTCGGCGATGACGAGATTCATTGAAGAACTCAACGAAACGATTCGTATGGCAGAGAAGGAGCAGACTCTCGACCCGTTCTTCATTGCAGCTCATGCTTGTGGCGAGTTCGTCAACATCCACCCATTCATCGACGGTAACGGGAGACCCTGCCGTCTGATCCTGAACACGATCCTGCTCAAGTACGCCGGTATCGTAGCGCCTATCGGGGAGGATCAGGCCGAGCGGAAAGAGTACCTCAGCATTCCAAAGCGACGCAGTACAGATGAGGATGGGAACGGAGCTTTGTCATCCTCGACGGTACGGAAAAGTCTACGACGGCTGAAAGAGGTGACGGCGAAGTTGGTCATTGAAGATGAGCGGGAGGAGTTGAGCTTGGTACTTACTGCTGGATGGTTGTGCTTCAAGTGCCAGAGGAGTTGGTACGGTACTTTGAACCCTCTACGGTCCGACTGCCCTCTTGTGCAGCCTCTGTGCGGGCATTTGAATCTTCCACTCACATCTGCATGCTCTTGCCTCATGTGGGAATCGCGATCCTCTCTTGACGTCCAAACGCGACCGGAGCAGGCAGGATATAGACATGGGAATAGGTTTGGTATGGCGTTCATAGAGTTGGTTGGGTATGCCATCTTCGGCATTGAGGCTGTAGACTGCTTATGGTTGATACTGGTAATGTTGTGGGTAGGTCGAATCGAAGATGCAAATGCGTGGCATTGAGGTAGCATCAACGGGACGTTGCAATGCTTCATTCTATATAGCTGTATGTTTGCCTGTGTACTGATGAATCGAGGGCGCGACCCACCATTCAATGTAAGTCGAATCCAAAAGGCAAACGTTGTGGTGCAGCGGGCCTTCTCTCGTTCCGTACGGCCATTTGCAACTATTCCTGGTCGTTCGTGCTTAGGTTCCTTCCAACCTTGACTCGAGAGACTGCCGCTGGCGGACTGGAAGGCTATGATGTCAATTGAGCAGCCGTTGACTCCCCCCTGGAAGGAAACACGCACTGGAGGACGGAACAGTACAAGAGCAGAAGTTGACACTGGAACAGTATGTAAAAAGAGAGATTATAACAGGATGGCACAGACCATCCGACCTACGCTATCGGCAGACATCGCTAAACTGACTCCAACACTGCGCACGACAGAGATGAGCTTTCAAAGCCCCAGGAGAATGCTGGCCTGTCAAGCGGCCCTGCAAAAGCCAATTCTGGGGTTTGCTAGTCCCGGCCAGATGTATTGTGATGCTCAACACCCTTATGGAACTGAGGTCGTTTACCGTTGAGATGCCTTTCCCTCCCCCTTTTTACGAGGCGGGCCGGGGCCGGAGTTGGTCGGTCGCCCTCTTTTGGCCTGCATCAATCTGACTTGATACTCCCCTGTGGTGATACTGGCCATCGTCCTGATCGGAGTACTGCTCGGGCCGTAGACCAGGCTTGTCGGTGTAGATGGCAGGGCTCCGTAAAGCGCTTTCCTCTATCTAGGGTCCGAGAACAGCTTTTCTTGTGCTGCAAACATCATCGCCGAAAGTTTCGTATTGGTAAAGGGCTGTACTGGATTCGGTTGGCCGGTAGCCGTCGGATCGCAAAATTCGTCGACAGTCCGGCACCCACAGTATGCGGCCGTGGCCCTACGTTACGCATTGGATTTCGAGAACCGGCACTCGGATGAGCTGAGCAGTGATGGACAATATAGTCTATCTCAGACTCGAAGACCTCCGAATCGTCGAGATACTTTACTGAGTGCCATTGAATATGCTCGAGCAGGACTGACTTGGTAGGGAAGCTGATGCCGTCGCAGATTGGGTGCGTACAGGCCTTCTGCCGTGGTTGGACGTGCGCTACGGCGTTGTGCGCTCGCAAGTCGTCTCCGTCGACGAAGCCAGAACGATCGCACCTTTTACAAGCCACGACAGATTGCCTCGGACTTGCTCCAAAGACACCATCCCACCACACTACACCGTTCCAGTCTTCAGTGGAGTGAACGGTCCCAAGAAGGGCCACGAGCTCTTTGACGGCCCTGAAGCCTAATTGACCCACGTGTATGCAGCTCCTACGCTGAGGACAATCGAAATTCGTAGCGCCCTTATGGCCGTTGTGGGGGTGGTCAGCTACGGCATTGTAGCTTGCCCACGACATGAGAGCGCATAGTTCATAGGGGCAGTGCATCAGACCATCTGCACCACGTAGCCAGTCTTCGGTGGTCTTGGGGTATGACGGTCCATGTACGACCCTTGCGGTGTGTCCTGCGGTTTGTATCCCTTGCTTGGCACTGCGATACATGGGCTCGATGTTCTGGGGTGCAGTATCCATATTATGTTCTGTGTTGTGTTGTGGTCGGTGGCATACAGTTAAGAGAAGGAGTATATGTGCAAGGTCAACAGCATCTACGAGTGGTAGCAATGCTTATATGTAGGCCTCAGTTTGCTGCTTTCGCTTTGACTCGCTGCTGACCTTAGTGAATGAGTACAAGTCGAAGGGTATGGTGACAAACAACGCAGCAAGCATTGTTTAAGGCTTGTTTCCGGGTGTGTTCCAGTGCCTCGAATGCCAGGATCCATCACACCTTGCTACAGTCAGCTTAGAGTACTTGATTGAACGAGAATTTGCCAAATTCGAAGTGTACAAACAGAAATTTAGACATAACAAGGCCTTGCATTCAAGAGAGATAGAGGGCAGAAGGGAACCAGAGCCATGATTCGCGAAACATACCTCCTTACTCATTAGCCGTCATGGCCATGATCGAATAACGATCAGCTAGTGACAATGGATCTCGGGGGAGGTGCTATACTAGTGCTGGGTCGTCGTGGCATTCTCAAGGGCCAGTAAATGAAGAAAGGATAGAAAAACATGGAATCACACTTATGGGAAAAGTACAAACGCTCCCCACTCCAACTGCCAGGGAAATCCATGAGTGTTTTCAATGACCCAAGGCAAAAGGAAAATGGCCGTCAAGTGTAAGAAACCACCTACCTCGCATCCCTACCTGCAAGCCTGTAATACACCATCACGGTTTGCGAGCTTTGCCAGGCTTCCTGTGGTGGCTGACGACGATGGTGTCCGAAAAGCTGGAGCCAGATCCTGCATCTGGGTCGACCTGTTGAGGCCGTTTAGTAGCCGATCTTGTGACCCGCGGCTCCGGTGGAGGGACTGGACCGGACCGCCTGCTCGACTGGCCGATGGTTGGTCGAGTTGTAGCAGCAGTTGTGCGGGCAGTTGCAGGCTGAGGTGTTGGATCTCGAGGGGTTGCGACGACCGCTTGGTCTGCGGAATCATCAGACTCTGGAGTGGTTGGGCTTCTGCGGGTCTCTGTGGCGATATCGTCGTCCATGTCTGGCATTTCATCCCCGTAATCGTACATCAGATTGGAGTCAAGCTCCAGGTCCTCCGGCTTTACTGAAGGCGTACGAGAGCGTTCGGACTCAGGTCCATCGTGTTGGTAGCTTACGCGGCTTGAGCCACGACTACGATCATTGTCGTCGTCTTCGGACTCTTGCTCTTGGCCCTGCGTTGCCATGGAGTGAGAGGAAGAGAACTCCGATTTTGCAGACGCAGCTGCCTCTCCATCGGATCGATAACTGACGTCCACCGATGTCGAACGAGCTCGAGATGGTGACGATGCAGCCTGGGACTGGTATAAGCGCTGATAGCTCGGGTCATGCTTCTGTTGAATGTGTAGTACTAGATTGTTCCTCGCAAGAAAACCTTTACCCTTCCTGCTTCGGGGGCAGCCAGGATGCTGACATGGGAATAAGCCTCCATCCTCTTTCGGGCTTCGTGCAGGGGAAGTCGCGGTGGCGAATGGATATGGCTCGATGTCTTCATCTGCATCATCATGGGTTCTAGCATCGTCCGTCGCAGGACTGTGTTCTGAGAATGCAGAACGAAGCCGGGGTTCGTCATCGTCGTCAGCAAACTGCAACAAGGATGCAGCACCAGCGCCAACGTCATCGTCATGTCTCCAGCCTTCTTCAATGTCTTCTCCAGAGTCGTCTCCAGAGGCTTCTCCAGAGCCTTCTTCAGAAAACCCTTCATCGTCTTGGTCGACAGGCTGCAGCCGCAAAGAATCGGTAGTGTCGATGTCAATACCATCATCATCATCACTGTCACCGTCGCGGCCCTCGTGTTCCGACATGTTCACCTCGAGGTCATCTTCGTCCTCGGCCTCATCTTCACCCTCATCCTCTGCTTCATCTTCTTCCTCGTCTTCACCCTCATCCTCTCCTTCGTCCTCTCCCTCATCCTCTGCCTCATCCTCTGCCTCATCCTCTGCCTCATCCTCTGCCTCATTCCTGTCCTCAATCCCCAAGTCTTCGCTGGGGTTCCTACGGCGATCCGAAAGTTCCTGCTGAGTATGCCTCCGCCTTTCGTGGTTGGCAAGATGTTCCTTTCTTGTAAAGCCCGCACCTTTCTTACTTCGCCAGCACGAAGGGATTCGGCATAAGAGTACCTCCTTCTTCAACTCTCCATAGCTAAGTCCGTGCGTCTCGTGCCGGTGTTTATCCAAGGCTTGAAGCCGTTTCTTGGTCGAGTCTCTCCATCGGCCACTCCACGAACAATTATCATGAGGGCACAGTATAGCCCTGGCTAGGTCTGTTGTCCCGTGAATCCTCCGCGTGTGCGAGTTCAATTTGTCGTTTCGTGCGAAGCCATTGCCTGCCACGCCTCGTGCGCAACTAGGATCTGGACACAATATTTCGAGACTTGGGTTGTGCAAACGAATATGCTTCGTCGCACCTCTCTTCTGTTCGTACAGACGAGGTCTGGAGCAGTCTTCGAATCCGCATTCCCATCCACCGTCCACTTTACGTGGTTGAGGAAGATTAGAGCTCAATGGTTGTAGGGCAGAACGATGGTGTTCGCGTGATGAGCTTACATTCGTAGCAAGTCCTGGGTCTGCGAGATGCTTTTTCCGGTGGGCTATGAGACTAGTCTGCCACCAATATCGATTTGTGCAGCCTGGCTCATCACATACGAAGGGTTCAGAGTCTGTGTGTGAAGCAAGTTTGTGGCTGTTGAGTTTATGTCGAGTTTTGTAGACTTTCGGGCAGCCTGGCTCGTCGCAGGCAAGATAATGCTGGGCCCGCGTGTGTGAGACTGCATCAGCCCTCAAGGAGTACACTCGGGCGTGAAAGCAGCGGTGAACTGCACATACCCAACCACCTTGCACCTTCAACGGCGGAGGCAGGTGAGGAGGAAGGTCGGATGCGGCAGCAACAGGGTCAACGGCAGCCGGTGTACTGTCATGATGAGCGTCTGAAGCATTTCCAGCCTCCACGCTCGCTCGTTCCTGTGGCTGCGCAGCACTTGAACTGATTGTCCGTGAGGAGCCCTCAGATACCGGGACGTGTGATTTCCTTTCTTTGCCAGCCCGCTTGGTGGAAGCGCTTGATGGTCCAGCCTTGGGAGGCACGTTGTGATGTTTTGCACAAGGGATGCTGTCTTTGAATTTGATCCGGTATGATGGAAAGTCTCGGAGCAAGGTGTGAATGAAATCAAAGAGAGCACCTGGTAGAGAACTGGAATTGGAAAGCGGGCTTGGAACGGCGCATGGAATTTATACAACGTCGAGAGCATGATTCCAGGCCTTCGAGTCATTGCGAGGAATTATCGTAGCAAGCAAGCAAACAAGGAATGTCGTCGAGGCCGGTCCAGCGTGATCAGCCGTGGCTCATTCAATGTGTGCGTCGACCAGAGGGATCCGTTAAATTAAAATCCATTGAGTGTGTCTTGGGACCTTGAAGACAGATGGTTTGCCAGCGGCCGACTGGGTTCGATGCCACAGGACACCACGAACTCGACCAGAGCAGAGGACAATCTGCAATTGAAGGATTGGGAGTCTTCTTAGAAAGGCTGATACTTTCCAATGCCCTGAATGCCATTGAGCTTTTAACGTTTGGCTTCGCAGCCGGTCATTTGAAATGTGCTCCCGGACACGTGCTCCCCGGAGTTGGCAATCCTCGGGCTGCCCTATCGCCGGTTGTGTGACATGCTTCCTGATGGGACATATATATGATTCTGGCTCCGCGTTGCCAATGTCCAGCCTTGGTCTCGTTCATGCTTGGTGGTACGCGGGTGCATAAGAACCTCGATGTCGCTGGATGTCTGACGTCCTCTCCGGAAGTCCAAGCTAAGTCATGGCCACGCAGCATTGGAAGGGGTGCAAAGGGTGTAGTGTAGAGAAGATGGTCGTGGTGAGGTCGCGTCGACGTTGCCTTGGCATGATCAGAGTCGACCTCACCCGTTGAACTCAATCGATTCCCGATGATTATCAAGAGATTGCAAACTCGGATCTTTTCATGCGTAGTGATAAGTAAGGCATTATGAGTGCGAACGGTGTTCGAGATCAACCTCACTGCCCTCTGGTACAATGACCACATACAACACTGAACGAACGGCAATATGAGCACGCGACTCCGGCCGACGTCGAACGCCAGCAGCTTGATGCAAGACCTGCCCGGCGGCTTCCCGCGCGATCAAGACGATGACAACTCCGCGACACCCCTTACCCTCTCCCAAGCGGTCCACGCGCGAAGGGCCGAATATGTCCGGCCAAAGCATATCCGGATCAAAATTGGGACATGGAACGTCGCAAGTTGCAAAGGCACTGAAAAGGACATAGGAGGGTGGTTCGTTGAGGGTAGAGGCATATCGGATGCTTTGTCCGGCTTCAGCATAGGCGAGAATGGGGGTGTGCATCGCGAGGACACACGAGGCAGGTCCTCGCGGGATCAAGGAGAAGATGTCACTACTCAGGAAGCCAGGTACGAAAGGAAGCAAAACACGCTACCGAACGGCGATCCCGGATCGCTACCCGGCGGTGAGGATGTTTCGCTATATGTTCTTGGCCTTCAAGAGGTGGTGGATGTCGGCTCTGCTACGGAGGCCCTTCGTCCTTACACAGACCCCGCGATTGCGACCAGGTGGAAGGAGAGCATGGCGGCGTCGCTGCCAGAAGGCTATGTCATGGTTGCAGAGCAGCAGCTCATTGGATTGCTGTTGCTCATTTATGCTGCTCCCGATCTAGCACCCGAGCTGCGTTCCGTCAGCACGACGAGTGTTGGTACTGGACTTATGGGCTATATGGGCAACAAAGGCGCGGTAACGGCTCGAATAGTCGTTGGAGAGACCACCCGCCTGGTCTTCATCAACAGCCATCTGGCTGCTGGCGCCGACAAGACTGCTTTGGAGCGCCGAAACTGGGATGCGTCTCAAATCATTCAGCGGACCAAGTTTGAACCCATTCAAGACATCACGGACCTTCAACAATCGACTGGCGAGCAGATCGGTGACGAGGACTTTGCTTTCTGGATTGGCGATCTCAATTACCGGCTTGAGAGCATACCAGGAGATGATGTTCGAAGACTACTGATGCTTCACACACGAAATGAGTACGACACCAATGCTCAGTCCGGGAAGACGCTCGACAAAGAGATCCAGCTGGCAGCTGAGTCTGTTGGCCAGAGAGCGGAGCGAGGGTCGAGCGTCAGCTCCGTCAGCACTGCCAGCGTTAAATCTTCATCCGCTTCCACGAGCTCCCACCAAACGAGCACGGCGAGTACGGCACCTACAGCTCTGGTCGACGAGATCAGTGCAAGTGAGGACCCGACATCATTGCAGACCACGTTGTCTTCTCTTTTGCCTCATGATGAACTTCATCAGCAGATAAAGGCCCGCAAAGCGTTCCAAGATGGCTGGCAGGAGGGCCCCATCCACTTCTTACCAACATACAAGTATGATGTAGGAAGTGTGGGAGTCTTTGACTCATCAGAGAAGAAGCGCGCACCCAGCTGGTGTGACCGCGTACTCTTCCGAACAAGAAGAGAGAAACTGGCCTACGAGGCCAAGGTGAAGGAAGAAGAAAATGCCAGGAAGAAGGACGAAGAGATGAGAGCCAGCGGCGCAGACCAAGCGGCCGAAGACGACGAGATACTTTACGATTACGACCCCGATGCTGACGGCACGAATTTTAACGCTGATTATGACGAGAATGACGATTATAACGAGGTTGAGGATGGTGTGGTGATTACCAAGGAAGGATTTGAGGATGAGTTACGACTGGAATATTACACTGCTCACCAGAGAGTGTTGTCGAGCGATCACAAGCCGCTCAATGCTGTGTTCATGTTGAAGTATGATGCTGTCGTGCCTGAGCTGAAGGCGAAGATACATGCGGAAGTGGCGAAGGAGCTTGACAAGGTCGAAAACGAAGGAAGACCCAACGTCACCGTATGTGTCGACCAACACAATGACACCCAGGCCGAGCAATGCGAGAACACGTCCAAGACGTTCGAAGGAGTGTGGTTTGGCGAGGTACGGTGGGGTCAATCGAAGCACCGCTCACTCACCATTGCAAACACAAGCCGGGTTCCAGCAAGCTTCACTTTTATCGAGCGGCCAGTCGGTGCAGGGCAGGCGCCTGGCATTGCTCCGAAGTGGCTGAACCTGCGACAAAACGACAGCTCTTTGTCGAGCTCCAGCACAAGCAGCCCACCAACTACTGTCGAACCCGGCGAGACCGCGTCGGTAGAGCTGGATATCCGCATCTGGGACTCGTCGCTGGTGCAATCCCTGAATGAAGGCATGAAAGCACTCGACGACATCCTCGTGCTCCGCGTCGAAGGCGGGCGAGACCACTTCATCCCCGTCCGCGGCAAGTGGCTCGACACCAGTCTCGGCCGCTCCATTGACAAGCTCATCCGGATCCCGGAAGGCGGGATCCGCAAGCTGCAGAACCAACGGCCTGACAGCAGCAAAAGAGGCGGCGGCGGCAGTGGTAGTGGAGCAGCCAGTCCTGTGATGGGCGACGAGCCGGTACGTTTCTCTGCGCCACGCGAACTCTTCCGGCTGACCGAGACGGTAGAAGAACTCGTCGCGCGGGTGGTTGCCGAGTGGGATATGACCTCGAGCGATGCGGACTCTGCAGAAGCGCCCTGGTCACACCATCCCGGATGGCCTTTCGAGGAGAGCGGGTGGTCGGAGAGAGGGACGGAGACGTGGGATGATGCTTTGAGCGATGCTTGTGATGCTCTCGACTCGGATCAGCCTCTTGAAGCAAGTCTACCGCCAGAGTTGCCAAAGATGCAACGACTATACGTCCTAGCGTCCCTCCTCCTCACCATGCTAGAAAACATGCCCGACGGCATCGTCACCTCTACCCTCTGGACCCGCATCGACCATCTCCTCTCCGAAAACGAAAAGACCAAACGCAAACTCACCCTCGAGGAACAACGCACAGCCATCGAAGAGATCCTCTCGTCATCTCCCAGCCACAGCATCTCCTTCATCCTGCTCACCTCAATGCTCGGACGTATCTCGCAGGAGATTGCTGGTGCGAGCAAGAGCAGGGATGAGCCGCCTGTGAGCCCGACGAGGAAGAATGCTAGTCCTTTTAGAAGGATGACCGGGTCTTTGGGGAGGCTGCCGGAGACTTCGCATGCGGAGCTGGCGGCTGAGGCGTGGGGGCATGTTTTTGGGAAGGCGATGGTGAGGTTGCCTGGGCAGGGTGGAAAGAAGGGGTTTGGCGTGCAGGAGCGGAGAAGGTTGGAGATGATGAGGATGTTTTTGAGGAGGGAAGAGAAAGGATGATGTTCCCAACTCAAGAGAGGGTAGAGATGAGGGTTGCAGTAACCGATTACAGTGTCAATTCAACCAGTTACGCCGTCTTCACGTCGAACGGAAGTTTGCATATCACTACAGCAAGCAAAAAACCGACATTTCACATGGGATCGCATTCACCTACAGCCCAAACACCCGAGGATCTTAGAACGCTCCAGCTATTATGCCACTCGTGGCGCTGGCGTTGGTACCAATAGACTGGTCGGTCTGATGCACCTGGAACCCGAAAGTTGTACAGGGCCCTGCTCTGTATTCGCCGCCAGGAGTCCCGATCCTTTCGTCAAGGCAGAAGTTCAGCAGTTGGTACATCTATGCTGCAGATGCATCAGCTCCGAGTGTGATGGGTCCCGAACAAGCGTTCGCGATCCAGAACGTGACCTGGATGCTGGCATCACTAAAGAGGGCACTGACACTGTTCGGGATTGGCTAGACAGCTCAATCGTCGCAAGGTATCGTTCTGGACCGTTGTGCCGGACGGGATCGGATGAGCCGGCGTTGCTTGGGAGGCCTGCTCTACGCTCGTGGATGCTTCCGAGTGGCTCTGAATGCTTTGTCCACGTGCAGTGGTAGCCGACTGGATAATGGTTGACCTGGTGGGCCCATGGCTGGGTGGACTCTGCGCGGTGTTACTGGCCATGTCGCTAGAGACATCTCCATCTGCTTCCTCGTATCTCGACGCAACGACCCAATACCCGCATACACTAGTAAAAATACCACCGCGGAGACCGCACTTCGGGATAATGGCATCCAAGAAGACGTTAGTGCACGATTCATAATAGAGCGTCCCGGTGTCGCACCATTGGTTTGTGATCATTAGTGTCAGGTAGCGGTCGTCGATGAGAATGCCGGTTGTTGTCCATGGAGCCTCGCCCTGTGATAAGGTCAGTAGATGCACTGGACCTGTGTGTGGGAGATGTGTGTACCTTGGAGATGGTGGTGGGCAGATCGAAGCGGTGACAGAACTTCTCGACCTCCGGTGCCCGGTGCAAGTGCTTCGCTGATGCTGGTGATGTTGGTGGAAAAGTATAATCGATTGTTGTCGCGAGTATCAAGCAACGTCTTGGTGTGGTTGAGCAGTGATGAGAGGTTGGCGACAGCCTCTCCCAGGAGCAAAGCCAGGGCAAGACAGCAGTGGGCCATTGCGTTTGCAGATTCAGTAGTTGTTCGGTGTGAGAATGGTTAGAGGCCGTGAGATAAGGATGTCTGGCTAGATATGTTACGCAAGTAGACAAATAATGTCTCAAGAAAATCCCAATGTCTCGCCACGTTTGCTCGTAGCATCGTCTGACCAGCCCTTTTGCACTGCTTCTGCAATCATTAGGCACTTCCTATGTGATACTTCGCCTGATACCACCCGTCTTGAGGCTTCAAAGCAATGGTACCGTGCATCCAGTGGCCATCTCACCACTCCAATTGAACCCAAAAGCCTAGTATGGCTCTCAACCCAGGCTGAAACCCCCTTGCACGAACTGATGAACCCTGCAACAGCCAAGCCATATCTGCCTGTGCATACCTCGAGACCCCATGTGAGTCGGCAGAGCCCTCATGCCTGTCCGTGGGCGTCTGGCTCGTGCTGTGCGGGATACCTTTTGATCACTGGGGGCAGAACAACCCATGAGAGGAGTCATCCTCACCCTCCATGTCGATACCCTCGTCAATGGCCACTTGAATTGTAGCTTCACTTCCCTGCTCGACCTCGCCGCCTTGGATCGTATATGCGAAGAATTCGACCTTTTTCGACTCCCGCATTGCTCTAGGATCGATCTTGATTCGCTTGACGAGATTGTCACGGCCATTTGTGGACCCATCAAGGCGAAGGCAGAAGGGCTTGAAGTCGAGCGAGCGGTCAGACCTCATGACCTCTGGTATGGTCAATGGTGAAATTGCCCTCTTGCGTTTCGTGTCGATATGCTTTAGGAGAGTCCCAAGGGAGACCAAGAAGGCTTTTGTGAAGTCGCCGGCGTTCTCGATTCTGTTGCCGAACGTGTCTCTCAATTGTCCACCGTTTGCCACAATCTCGATGCTGCCGGGTAGCCTATCCCACTTCTCCTTGAATCGAGAAGGAAGATCGCAGTCTAGCAGCATCAAACAGTCAACGCCAGCTCGGTTGATCATCGTGATCAGATTGTATGCATTGACGGGCGCACGGGGGTAGCCATCTAAGCTCCTAAATCTTGTCAGTGACAAGTCCATTATTCCAGGAAACCAAGACTTACCATGAATAGTCGATTCCATTGTTGCCTGCCCTTCCATGATAGTACACGATAATTAGATCGTTGGCGCCCTTGCCTTCAAGCTCTGATTTCCAGTATCGGAAGAAGGCGGCAGGTCTGCTACCCTTGGGAAGGTTGATGCCTTTGACCTTGTAGTCTGTCATACCCTCGAAGAACCTACGAACCCATCCGCATTTCTTCGCGTGCTCCGTCAGAGTGATTTCGCCGCAGATGTCGGAGATGTCGTCGTTGGCGACGCTGCCACCGTTTGGTTCCACGTCGTCCACAATGTAGACGGTGCCGCTGCTGTACACAGAGTGCGGGTAGAGATCGGCTGGACTAGGCATGTCGGTCGAGGTTGCAGTCGCCCTGGTGAGTGGAGCAAGATGTGAAGTTCCTCAATCCTGGGTGGATAGACTTGCTGGCAAAGCCTGGTGGACGCTAATCTCTGGAAGTTGGAGAGCTGACGAGCTCTTTCCTGTATGGTGTGATGCTGAAGTATCGGCCACAAGTAGGCAGATGTAAGCTGGCAATCATCAGTACCCTGCTCTTGAGCTTGTTGTTTCAGGTATTAAGGGGGAGAAGCAAAGGTGCTAGGCAGACACTTCAATCACCGTGTGAACCGCCATTTTGCTCACGTCACCGCTGTCGACTTACCTGAATTCTCCTTTAGCTGGTCGAAGCTTCTCAGATCCCACCCCATCTGCTACGGCCAAGGCGGGAAGCTGGTTCGTGTGCCTTTGGTGTTGGAGAGCGGTCGCTGTGCCGATGCTCGAGTCGGAGTGGCAAGTCGAAGCTATATGAAGCTGTTTGCAAGAGCAGTAGTGAGGCTTTAGAAGTCTGTGGAGTAGTGGTTATGTTGTTGCTCGAAGAGGAGGTGGGTGGAGTGATGATGGTTGAAGAGGTAGCTGAGAAAGTGGAGTGACCCGCAGACTGCACTGAGGTGGTGTGTGGTGAGGGCTGCTTCGGTTGTTTGAGGTAGCAAGAGAGAAGTTGCTATCGAGTGGTTCGTATTGGAAGAGTGTGGGTGTGATGTAAAGCAAGTGGAATGGAAGCTCGATTGGCCAGTTCAGTAGCCGTCACGTGTAGGTGACCTTGTCTCAAAGCGAAGTGAAGTTTGCTATGACGTGTATCGAATAGTGAAGTAGAGGTTGCTGAAAGTGAACTGACTTGAACGTATATAAGAAGAGACAGACGTGCTCACCGCAACGACCAAGCCCGAATACCATCTCGTGAGACAAACATGGTGTGAGCATGCGCTGGAAGCCATAATGGACAGCGTGGGCCCTGCGGTAGTAGCACCCTTGGTTCCTAGTATGAGAAACCGTCCGCCGAACCAACCTAGTGAACACCTACCTCTTGGTTCCTCCGATTCGTATGACACAGGCCTGCCGTCTCTGCTTCAAAGCTCCCAGCGCAACGCCCAAAGATCGACCTGGAGATGATGGCAGCCTTAGAGCTATCGGGGAGAGCCATATCTTTGGACTCTGCTCATATCGAGCACGGTGTGGAGTGAGCCAGGACTGCCGAGACGCCAGAAGGTGCGCCAGAGCTCTCCTGTTCTAGGATGTCGCCAGCGTACAATTTTCTATTCCAGTTGTCGAGCAGACGCCGAGAAGACAATGGATCATGGTGGACGGTGAGGTGAAAGAATCGGTTTCCAGGAGAGGAGGTCCAAAGCCAGTGCGGTCCAAGCGTTGGATCGACGTCACCTCTTCCTGACGCTGACACCAGACACCTTCACAACTATTCCATCCTTTCCACTCGAGCATGCGAACCAACGTTGGAATACATGTCGTCGTTGCCGTCTCGCCGAAGAATGCTGCAACATAGCCGGGGAACCTGATAGCCTTGTCCACACTGGAGGTCTCCAGCACGACGTCCTCAGCTTGCCCAATCGCAGACTCCAGGAAGGCCACGCGCAGCAGCTTTACAGGGCTGCAGAGGCCGGCATGCTCGGCGTCATGCCCACGGTGTTGGACAACGTCCCCGTCACGCACGCAGTCGTCAAGATGCCTTCTGCGCGAGGTACTGTACTGCTGGGCAAAGCAAGTGCTTGCTTGGGAGGCTTGCTCATGTCTCTGCACAGCCTTGACTCCCTCTTCGAGTGCGTTATTTTCCACCTTGACGTGTAGCTGTCACTGCCTGTCAGGCGACGTCCGAGAGCATGAGGCATAGAACTATATGTACATCAAGCAATCATGGCCTAAGCAAGACGTACAAGCGTCCCTCCAACATAAACCAAAGCAGTCGTAGGCACCTTCAGCAACATTCCTTGCGAGGCTTTCCAGCAACATAGCAACCATCATGGCTTTCCAACCACTTTCAGCTGGGGATATCCTTATGCTGAGCCAACAGGTACTCATGGCCAGAACTTCTGCTTTGGTCCAGGCCACTACTGACCATTGTAGGCGTGGAGGGTAGGACGCGCCTTCACGAAAGGCAAAAGCAGCGCGCCAGCTCAGTTCGCGGAAGTCGAGCGGGAGGCAAATGGTTTGAGCGACGCACTGAAGATTACTGCCGAAACGCTGCACGACGATGGCAGCATTCTCGCCAGAGCAGAGCACGAGACTCGAATCGCTGTCAACGCGATACTGGAGAGTGCGGCTCGAACTCTGGGCGACATGGAGTCCTTCGTTGATCGATACCAGGTCGTCCGCCAAAGACCGACCAGTGGTGGATTTGTTGTTGAGAAAACCTGGAGCGAGGTCATCGTGGCCAACTATCGGACGTTCAAGTGGACGACCGAAGGCGGAAACCTCACAGATCTTCGCAACATGCTGCAGATGCATACCAACACCCTCTCACTCACGATGCAGGCCTTACAGTCACGCTCCCTGGCCAGACTCGAGCGTGCGGTTCTGCCCATTGCCGAAAACATCAACAGCATACATGAGCGTGTCAACGGTGACCTCGGCGACAAGATTGATGATCTCCACCACATAATCATGGCTATTGCTAACAGCACTCCTTCCCTGGTGGCGCGGGACCGGGCGGTGGAGCTGCCTACGTTCGATATGGACCAGGAACACGACGCTGTGGCTTCCCTGCCATCGCGACAGATTCTACTTACCGATCGAAGCCCGCGCGACTCTGTTCAGTCGACATCAACATATACTTATCCCCAGCGGAGGAGTGAAGGGAATCGTGCCTCTAGTATGGATTGTGCCTCCGAGAACGGACGGTCTTTGGAAGCGCGCCGCTCCACCGGTAGAGCGCGCACCGACAAATGCGGGCAGTATGACACAGTATCGCAACCATCCCCAACTTCACCGCGCAGAATCTCGAATTCTTCAAGGCGAGAATCAACATCGTTACCGACCCTTCGTCAAGGTACTGAGGACCCGGACCTCCAATCTGGTAGCCCCCGCAGTACGCATTCCCGTCGAGTATTGTACGACACGGCAATGTCGCCCGTCTCGCCCCGAAGAACAGAATCGTGGCGGTCTTCCAGCACTCACGCTCTCTTGCCTCCGCCAGCGCTTTCGTGGAGTCCTACTCGTCAGGACCACGTACCAGCCACCCCTTCTTCAGTGTTCACACAAGGCCAACGCCAGCAGAGCGACAGCAGACCGGACGACAGGCAGTCCCGACTACCTTTGGCAAAGTCCGCAAGAGCAGACTCACCAATCACTCCAGCGCTCTCAAGCTTGCAATTGTTCGAGAAATCGCTCTTCTGCAACGCAGCCATCTTGTGTGACGTGAGATGCTCTGTAATCGAGTACGCACAAACTCTACCCGACGAACCAGATCCGCGGTATAACATTGAGATGGTCGAAGCGTGTCAGGACGCCAGAATCGTCGTCATTCGCAAACGTGAAAACCGGGAACACGGCGGAACAAGGCTCGCAACATCTATATGGGCGTTGTCTGACGACGGGACTATTCGATGTCAACAGAAATTGTCAGAAATCGCAGATACCGTCCCTTACTGCTCCTACTTCCAGCCGGAAAAAGTCTCGATCGGCGATGCGGAGATGTGTCTCCGCTTTCATGGCCTGAACTGGACCGACATGGCGAAGCAGGACGTCAAGACGAATTGGGTTAACTACATCCTGGAATCTGAGAACGATGCCACCTTGTTCCAATCTGCTGTATTCGGCAGACAACTTCTCGGCAGCTTCCGCACCACGAAGACGATTGTCCTCCGCCAAGGACTCATGGGCACCTTCGCTTTCGAAGAACAGTTCGCCAACATCGAGACACTTCGTCTATGGGAAGACGACGGCGTCGCAACTCCAGGCGCCCAAGGCGGGGTCATGGCGCTCATGCACATCTCCTCCAACTTCGGCGAAGGCTGGGCGAGGTGGTGGATGAATAGCACCAAGCAGCAAGTCCATGTGAAAGGCGAGGGCTTCAAATGCGCTCGTCTGAAGGGTATAGATGTGACTGTCGTGAAGCCTGGGATCAGCATTGATGCGGCAGACCGGATACGGCGCCTCAGCAGTGCTGCGAATGCTCTGCAGCGGATGGACACGAAGGACAGTCTCGCCGCGCCGCAGGTCACGATGAAGCGGCGTCCGGTGAAGAAGGTTACCGGAGTGAGGATTGAATTTAGAGACGACGGGGAGAGGCGAAGATTCGTTGAGGCGAGCGGGCGGCTGCAAGAGAGGTTGCTTCCACTGCCTGATCTGTAGATTCTCCTGGTGAGGCTGAAAGGTCTCAGTGTACGATGGATGATGTTGCGGTACGAGTGCAATTTGCGAGTTGTTGCCCTTTCGAGCGTGTTCTCTATTTATCCATCTACAACACGAGGTGAGGATTCTGTGGCCGTCCTATACGAAAGGTGATGCGACAACAATACGGTTTGTTGGTGACAGCACTACGATATGCAGGTACGCGTGCCGTTGCAATGTTGTCCCGAAAGTGGAGCATGATGAGGTCGCATCTAGAAACTCCAAGAAACCTATCCTCGCTATACTATCCGGTACCCGAACGAGCAGACCACCCGGCGCATCGGGTAGATGCATGGGCGCCATGTGCTGCAGAGACTGGCTGACCGCATCGAATCAATAGTTTGGAGTTTATTGCTATTTTTACCTTTGCGAGACCGAATGTTTCGAGAGTCGAGAAGGCCACCTCTCTCGCAATGTTTCGAAGACATAACCGCAACAAGTCTTTGTTGTCCATCCAAAACAATCGGGACAATGTCTTTGAGACCGCCAATCTATCTGTGATCGACGGCGGCGCGTCGATCTGGACGAACTGAATCGTCTACACGCGAGGCGAGCTCGCGAACGATCCCCTGAACGCTGGGCACGCCACCAGAAGTCAGAAGTCAGCCCAGTGGCGGGCTTCAGAGCTGACGCCGAGCGACTCCTCGGATGGGGGTGGACCGCGTGGTTCAGACCATCCGACCTCGTGTTCTCCAAGCGCTGCAAGTCTGGCACCCAATCGCCGTCTCGGCCTTTATAACGATGGTTCAGAGCTGCATCCGATTGTCTCGTAACGTAAACGGCGAGGCGGCTTGGCCTCCCTAGTCTCGCTATAACTATACACACCCACCTGCTGGTCCGGTAAGAATCTGTTTGTCGCAAAGCACTTTTCCTTGGTCTACCACATTCGCTATTCTACTACACTGTTAATATTTCAATCATGAAGCTTCTTTCATTCGTTACTGGCCTTGTGGCCTTGAGCACTTCCGTCTCAGCACTCAGCGTTCCTTCGGTTGAAGATGGTGTGGCCGTCGCAGACCACGCGCTTGAGAAGAGAGCCTTCCTCCCGGTCGTTGGAGTTCCAGGAGCCACTCGCCCTCGTCTGGAGATCCGCCAGTTGCAACAGAAGACCAATCAATGGACCCTGTTCCTCCTTGCCATGAAGCAAATGCAGAACAAGCGGCAGACGTTGAAGAACTCCTTCTACCAGATCGCCGGCATCCACGGTGTCCCACGGACCAGCTGGGACGCCGTCGGACAGTGCAGCACTTGCAGCGCTGATGGCTACTGCCCGCACGACTCCATCCTCTTCCTGGGATGGCACCGCGCCTACGTTGCTCTCTTCGAGCAGGAATTGGTGAAGGTGGCCAAGAACATTGCCAAGAAGTACCCTACTTCGACACGCGCCGATATGCAAAGTGCAGCAAGCACTCTCCGTCTTCCTTTCTGGGATTGGGCGGCACATGCACCCAGTGGTGGCCCGGTCATGCCAACGGCGATGACTCAGGCTCAGGTCACTGTCCAAGGACCAACGGGCAGCCAGACTTTCGCCAACCCTCTGCACCACCATACATTCAAGAACCCGGGTCAACTGAGGTACACTCCGTTCAACCAGTGGAAGGTATGAATCTGTCATCACTCAGCGATGTTGATTGCGTCTCTGACATTGACATACAGAACACCCTGAGGTGGCCCACGTCCAGTGCTGTCGACGCAACCAGCAACGAGCAGAGCGCTATCAATGCTCTCAACAACATCCGCGGCAACATGCAGGATCAGGTCTACAACATGTTCAGCACGTGTGACGAGTTTGTTGAGGTGGGCAGCGATGCGGCTGGACAGAGCTCGGTCAAGTGCTCCAACAGCATTGAGAACATCCACAACACCATTCACACCAACACTGGTGGGCCAAGGAACAGCAACAGCCCCGGTGGACACATGACCATCCTCGCAACTGCAGCATTCGATCCAGCCTTCTGGCTCCACCACTGCAACGTCGACCGCCTCTTTGCCATGTGGCAGGCTATGTACCCGGACAGCTACAGCGGCTCGCAGGTGGCTCCTCACAACACCTGGACTGTCGCCAAAGGCTCGACCCAGAACCTCAACTCTGCTTTGACTCCGTTCCACAAGAACGCTGCGGGCGACTTCTTGACTACCAACGATGTGAGGGACACCAAGACCTTCCACTACACCTACCCGGAGTTCGCCAACACCGCGGGCACCAAGGCAGCTATTGCCAGCATCATTAACAAGCTGTACGGGCCACAGGCCACCGCACCTGCTGGCACGACCAAGCGTGATGCTGCTCCTGAACCACAGGTTGAGGAGGCGTCGTCCACAGCTGCCACCAGCGCTACGTCAACTTCTACATCAACCGCCTCCTCCCTCTCTTCCTCCGCATCCGCGTCCGCATCCGCCACCGTCGACGCCACCCCCTTCAAAGCCAACAACGGCTCTCTCTACCAATACGTCGCCAACATCGCCACCAACCGCTACGCCCTTGGCGGCTCCTACAACATCTACCTCTTCGACTCGGCTCCCGCCAGCGAAGACCCCACGACCTGGGTCTTTGACGCCAATCTCATCGGTCCCATGGGTGTTTTGGCGCAGCCCGGCATGACCGGTGACTTTGTTGCTGTCGGCTCTGTGCCTCTGACCCGCACGCTCCAGGACCAGGTCACTGGTGGCACTCTGGGAGATCTCTCGACTGAGAGTGTGGTGCCGTACCTCACGAAGAGCCTTGTGTGGCGCATTGCAGGTCCGGATGGTGCTGAGGTGGACCCGAACTCGATCTCGGACTTTGAGATCTCGGTGTGGGCTTCTACTGCCACGCCGCCAACGGAGTACGAGCTGCCGGTGTGGTCGCAGTTCATTCCGCTTGCTGAGATTACGAAGAAGAAGGAAGGCGGAGCGACGGTTCAGTCGATTGAGCAGCCGCCAGCATACATGTAGTTGCGAAGATTGTAGAATAACTGTATGTACAGATATGTTGAAAATGATCAATAATGTCAATCACGTGACTGCATTAGTCAGGCGGTTTGGCGACGCCCACCTCACACCACAGCATCTGCGAGGCCGCGTCTTCCCTTCCCATTACTCGATATAGTCGCCTTCGTACGCGCACCGGACCTTTCAATGCGCCATATCTGATGGACTCCGGTCTTCCCATTCAACAATATGAGCGCGGCCAGGTTGTTCTGAGTACTCCTGCCTTTGAGATACGCACTTCTCGCGACGCGTAAGAATTCTGCTGCAGCGACACGTACCCACAACACCACTTCCACTTTGGCTTCGATGGCCACAGCTCTGCTTCTAGTGAAACATCCTCCACAATGAGAATTTCAAAGCAATCGTGGCGCCATGGCTTTGGATACAATGAGTAGAGACAATTGACTCTACTTGGCAGAAGCAGAGCAATGCTTGGTGTTGAGCATTTGGGCATAACATGGACCGATGAGCCACGCAAGGTAAAGTGGAATACATGGCTTCAAGACTCTACCTGCTGCTGGTAGGTATTGGGACGACTCTCCTCATCCTCAGTCTCCTTCCCACCTCACTACCACAACTAGCTGGCTTCCATCACGTCCATCGTGAGAACCTAATACCAAGCTCAGCATACGTGGAGACCGTCGACCCTGGAGATGGGAAGGCATGGCCGTATCGTGTATTCAAATCGTCACCGATACATCCTCCAACCTTGAACACAACTGGAAATGGTCGACCATTAGCCGACGGCTACATCTTTGAAAATAGAAACTCGTTCATAGGGTACGGTGAGCTGCCCATTACAGCCGAGTTTGGCCCAGGAGGTGATAGCAACGATTTCCGATGGTAAGCACGCTTTGGGCTGGACGGATATGTGCACAGCTTCCGTGCGTTCAAGCATGTTTGGCGGGCGACTCCGGGGTCATGGGGACCGATCCTGGTCGAAGAGATGGTCGAGACGGATAAGAAGGATATCAAAGGGAGTAAGATCCGGAGCTACGTTAGCTGGAACGGGGCTACTGAAGTCTCGGGATGGAATTTGTACACCGGTATCGACGAGGATACTCTGCGAAGACATGGTTGGGCTCATAAGCAGGGCTTTAAGACCATTCCCAAGACTCCTAAGCCAGCTAGAGGGTGTATACAGCTTGGGGCCATAATGGTGGGAGACGAGGACAGACGATCGAATGTCGTGTGTGTCTGAGTTCTGGTAGCCATATGAATCGTAGCACAGGACTGCACGTTCTCGTTCTCATGACGCTCCTATGATCGTACTGCTTGGCCCATTATTATATGCACCATCAGCGTCTGACAGCCGGTAGATTTTCAGCCTCGAAACCCATGTGAGGTCTGCCAAAAGATAATGGACGGTCACTGCGAGCACTCTCTCCTGACACTTTTCTATACTTTTCCGAACCCATGCTGGAAGCGCTGCCACCTCTCACTAATGTCCAGACATATGCATGTGCTGTGCATCCACTACGAACGCCAACTGCCACCTGTCATTCATGGTGTCTCAACCGCGAACGCCCTCTGAGGCCGATCACATGCCAGTCATATCCTCCAAAGAAAGAAGACTTTTGACAGCGGCTTGGAGCCTCGCAGTCCCGCGAACGAGGATTGTCTGCATGGGGAAGATGAACCACACCTCTCTGATACCAGCGCAGCAGGACCCTCATGGCATCAAATATGTCTGTCTTCTGGCCATCAACTAGCACACTCCCGAAGCCATTGACTATCGTTCACCATCCTGATGACCGCTTCAGCTCACCCACGCATTTACTTGATCCGCCGCCAGGCCTCCGACCAGGAGCCCACCGTCCTTCGCGTCTGCGCTGCCCAAGAGCAATTCAACCTCTACGTCCCTACCGTCGCCCTCACCTTCGCATCTAGTTCTTCTGCTCTCCGCTCTGCGCGTTGATTTCATTCGCGTGCATGCATCCATTTTCATGGGAGACGCGCTCTATGATACGCATTATAATCCGCATAATCTTTCGAGCCTCACGTTCCACCTCACCGTCGTTACCGGAAGCGGTTAGCGCAGCAGAAGCGGTCTGGACCCTCTCTCACTTGAACACCACGTTCTCAAACGTATCTTCGAGCGCAATGGTTCTAAAGGCATGCCATGCGATAACGAGACACGAGAAGATGAGAGTAGGCGAGCAAGATATTTTGCCCTCGACTTTGACCGCCGATCGCACCGAGTGGCAGGCGTAAGCGTAGGCAAGGGCTTCGCATGGATCAGTGAGCGACACCAGCGCTCACTAGCACTCCCCTAACCGCAAATCCAGACATCCACTGACCAGAAGCTTGCTCACAAGAATAGTGCACTCGTGTGGCTCATGTTGAGTCTTTCATTGAATTGGGATGACTCAGTCCCATCGTGGAGATGATTTGCCTTCGGCATCACGTCTGCACGCGAGCGTCCCCGCTCTCACTCCTCATATGACCACGAGATCGACATGCGTGAAGACGACATGCCGGATCGCCTCTCCAACTTCCCGACTGGCATACAACCACATCACTCCAGGTACAGTACCACAATATCTCTCTTCCCCATTGAGCGCACTCTATTGCTTCCCAGTTGGCACAACGAAACAATGATTTCTCTACGCCTTTCACTCCTCGTCTTTACCGCCATTTCCTTCTCAGTCGCCAGTCCGTGTTGGCAGGGAGTCGCATGCACCGGCCCAACCAAAGCGGCGTTTCCGGGTCCGTGGGAAAAGAACATTTTCTCGCCATCTTCCCGCAATGTCGAGCCCCAGCAGTCGTTCCCACTTGAGGACATTCATAAGGCAACAAGCTACCCAAGCCCTCAAAATCTGCACAAGAATGCCAGTGCTGTTGTGTATGATTTCGGCAAGGCTGTGGGTGGCATCGCAACCATCAAATACAGCACCACTGGCGATGCAGGACGTCTTGGACTGGCCTTCTCTGAAGCTAAGGACTGGATAGGCTTGGCCAGCGACTCGTCAAACGGCCCATTTGCTCACGGCGTGGGAGATCAGGCCTGTGGCGATGGCGCAATATACGATTCGTTCTCCAGCTCTGGCCAACACAGCTTCACCATGGAGCTGCAGCATCTGCGAGGAAGCTTCAGGTACCTCACAGCTTTCCTCTTGACAAACGGTACAACCTCGCTCTCTATCTCAGCCGTAGAAGTTGAGATCGCATTCGCCCCTACATGGCCGAACCTCCAAGCATACCAGGGCTACTTCCACTGTTCTGACGATGAGCTCAACCGAATCTGGCTCGCTGGGGCTTACACGCTGCAAACAAACATCGCACCGAGCGATTGCGGTCGATGGTGGGATCCTCCGATAGAAACTGGATGGGCAAACAACGCCACCCTTTCCAACGGAAGCAGCGCTATCGTCGATGGCGCAAAGAGAGATCGGACAATCTGGCCCGGAGACATGGGCGTGGCTGTAGGAGCAGCTTTCTACAGTCTCGGCGATCTCGAGTCTGTGGTAAACGCCCTAAATGGCGTGTACGACCTCCAGGCGCCAACCGGGGAGCTGCCGCGAGCAGCACTGCCACTGATTTCTACCGGCGGAGACGCCTACCATTGCTGGGGCATGATCGGGGTGTACAACTATGTTCTGTACACCGACGACTTGGCTTTCCTCAACCGACGTTGGAAAGGGTATCAGAAGGCTATGGAGTACATATATGCAAAAGTTTTTCCGGAATCAGGCTTGTTGAACGTCACCGGAACTGGAGACTGGGCGCGTCTGAATAGCTATGGAACTTATAGTGAGGCGAATGTGATACTACACAGGACCTTGACGACGGCAGCCGAGCTTGCAGGATGGATGGGAGATGTTGACCTGCAGACCACCTACGCGAAGCGTGCTACGCAGCTCAAGCGCAACATCCTGCACCACTTCTACGACGATTCGTACGGGGCCTTCCGCGACAATCTCACAAGCACTTCTGTCTATCCACAAGATGCAAACAGTATGGCCATAGCTCTTGGGCTCCTTTCTCCCACATCGGAACGCTCCTCATCTGTCTCGGAGAGACTTACAGGCAACTGGACACCCTTCGGCGCGGAGACACCCGAGCTCCCCAACAACATCAGCCCCTTCATATCTTCCTTCGAGATACAAGCACACTTCCTCGCTGGCGCCCCTGATCGTGCTCTGGAGCTCATCCGCCGCAGCTGGGGCTGGTATCTGGCGAACCCGAACGGCACAGAGTCGACTCTTATAGAAGGCTACTTGACCAACGGCTCTTTTGGCTACAGAAACTACCAAGGCTACGAATGGGACAGCTCGTACACATCACACGCTCACGGGTGGTCTACAGGCCCCACCAGTGCTTTGACGGAGTATGTGCTGGGTCTGTCTGTCACTGGAAGAGCCGGCAGTGAATGGAGACTCGCTCCCCAGTTTGGTGATCTTAATTTTGCTGAGGGGGGATTCACGACAGGCCTAGGCAAGTTCTCTGCCAAATGGAGAGTCAGGGATGATGGGTACGAGCTGGAGTGGTGTGTGCCGAAAGGGACGAAAGGTGTTGTACTGTTACCTGGACTGCAGGCTGGGAGTGATGCCGTTGTGACTATGAATGGGAAGAAGACGGAAGTGCCTGATCACAAAATAAGACTTGGGGGTGGCAAGAAGAACAGACTTGTAGTTAAGAGGGTTATGTAGCGGTGGGCTTTCGTAGCAAACGAAGCTCTCAAATCTCCCAACTCAGCGTCGTGAACAGAATCATCAAGCTCGGGGCGGTACAGCCGCTTCCATTTGCCGGTCCAGCCCCGTTGGGCAACCTCGCTTCCCGTCACTCGCAATGTGATTAAAACCTACTTCATCACATGCAGACGGATCATAGCTGCAACAATCCACCCTCGTTGTAGATTGCACATAGACCGTTACGCTTTAGCTTCCGGCGGACCAGGATGGCAGGCGAAATATTCTATGAACCCGGGAAGACTCCTCATGGGCTTCCACGAGATCCTTATAAAGTACTGTCTCCAAAATGCATGCCACATCGCTTACTAACACTATATCAGTCCTGCGTTGTCCCTCGACCCATCGGCTGGATCTCCTCGCGCTCTCGGCACGGTGTTCACAACCTCGCACCATACAGTCAATTCAACAATCTTACCTTTGACCCGCCATACATCATGTTCAGCGCGAATCAGGACATGAACCGGGAGCGCAAGGACAGCGTCAACAACATCGAAGACACGGGAGAATTCTGCTGGAACGTTGCCACGTGGGATCTACGGGAGGCAGTCAACGCGAGCGCGGAATGGCTGGGTCCGGAGGTGGATGAGTTTGAGCGGGTAGGTGTGGAGAAGGAGATGGGGCAGTTGGTGAATGTGCCGATGGTGAAGCGGAGTCCGATCAAGTTCGAGTGCAAGTACTACACGACTCTTCGGCTGCCTGGGAATCCTCCGATGGGGACTGTCGATGTTGTTGTTGGAAGAGTCATTGGGGTGCATATCAACAAGGAGGTCTTGACGGATGGAAAGATCGATCTGGCAAAAGTCCAGCCCATTGCGAGATGCGGGTATCATGAGTATACGGTGGTCAGAGGGGAGAGTGTCTTCGAGATGATCATTCCAGGTGATCCAAAGCAGCTCGTGGGGTTAGAAGGCAACGCTGAAAGGGCCAAAGGATTGTTGAATGGTGATCCATCTGGGCCGACGGATTCGGCTCTCCCGCAGAAGGGTTGAGTGGCCGGGTCGCGACAGCTAGTTCGTAGAAGCAATCCTGCTCACTTGTCTCTGGCGAAGACGGAGCAGTCCATTCGCAAAGTCATTCGTGATTGAGTCCGCTGGTTGCGGCAGCGCCATGATATCCATGGAAGGCAGCGAGTAAACATTACTGTTGATGAATGGCGAAATGTCTCCTGGTGTCTTCAGTCCTGGTGAAGCGTCTACGGCCGACCCGTAGGAATGAGTCAGCGATGGCGCACGAGACATGAGGACGGCTTCGAAGTTGATGATCATGTAGCGGTGATTGAAGGTCGCCCTCGGGTGTTCCATACGCAGTGGTCCACAAGTCGACAGCAAGAGCGTTGCGAGACTGGAGCCGTATTGCGCGCAAACAGCTGGAGGTATCGCTGCGATAAGTGAGCCATGCTAGGCACAATCGGGACCAATGATCCAGCCTTGCGGTCCTTGTGTGGGTTGCCATTGCATGTGGAAGGTTGTCGAGAGCGTTCCTGGTGTGAGGTGTAGAAAGGAATGCGCGCCAATCAAATCGCAAGCTGCAGCACGGGCTTTCCCACGTCGTTGCGGGTTGTCCATTCCAACTCTCAGCTGTCTTCCACATGCCTCGACCACAGGGCGCTGACAACGCTGCCATAGTTCCTCGAATGCGCTATCAACGGGTGGTTCAAACCTAGTGATACTGTTACCTGCGATGAGGATCGTGATGCACGTTCTCGTTGGCTCAAAAACGTCTTGCTCAACGCGACCCTTTTGTGTCAGCATCGGGTGACTCTCGCAAGCATCAAATGTCTCCCATGCCTCGCCCACCTTCGTTTCTTCTCTCCGTCCTCTCGACGAACAAACGAACATGATATAGCTCGTCTGGAGAGCCAAACGGGCTCGTTGGGCTCGCAAAGCAAGTCGCGCATCAAGCTGAGATCCAGCACAATGGCACCGACGATGACCATTGAAAGGCCGCCGAAGACGCAAACGTCGCCCTCCTCGGACTTCCCTGCCAGCTTGGTAGGCAAGAAGGTCCTACTCGCCACAGAATCGCTTGGTCCCGTCAATGGCGTTTCCAGAACGACACAGAGTCTTGTGGACTACCTCCGCAACAACGGTGTACTTGTTGCGACGTGCGCACCTTATTACAAAGGCCAGCCGATCAACAGCAATGAGGTGTGGCGAGATCGTAGTCCCATCGTCAACAAAGACTGGGTGCGTGAAATTGAGAAGAAATCCTCGTCGCTTGGATCGAGAGCTCTCGGTGGAGCCTGGCTGTGGCATCACGAACGAGACGAACAGTATCAGCTGCCGCATACACGGGCGACCAGTCAGGCTCCGTCCCAGTCGGCGAGGACACCAATCCTGACCCGCAGCAAGCGTGGCCATGGTAATAAAGGGAAGTTGGAGCCATCGAACCTCAGCCGACAGAATCCAGAGTTTCGTCTCCAGGGGTATCCGTTGCCGTACAATCCAGATTTGACTGTGGCATATCCGTTCCGGCTCGGCGTGGTCTACGAGAAGACTTTCAAACCCGACATCATCTATCTCGCAAGTCCGGCTTCCGTCGGCTTCCAGTTTTTGGTCCAGCTTGGCCAGCTTGATCATCCACCGCCAACGCTGTTGAACTTTCAGACCGACCTTTCTGCATACAGCACAATCTTGTTCGCACCTCCCATCGATCGATACGCGGTCTTCCTTCTTCAAATAGTCCAGGGACATCTCTTCAGGATGGTCGCGGTCCAGACCATCTTCTATCCATCAGCATATGTTCGCAAATACATGGAAGGCGCCGGCGCTCCTGCGCATAAGATGGTCCACCTTGGTCGAGGCGTTGACACTGACTTGTTCAATCCTGGACGACGGGATGAGGCCTACCGGAAAGAAATCGCTCCGAACGGCGAGATCATCTTCTGTTGCATTTCTCGATTAGCTCCCGAGAAAGGCTTCGAGTTTCTTGCTCAGACGGCATATCAACTCAAAGAAAGCGGGCTCGCGTTCAAGTTGCTGATAGTGGGTGGTAACAAAAACCCTACCGTCGATGGAGAAGTCCGCAACTATTTCAAAGACCTGTCAGACCACGTCATCTTTACGGGGTTTCTGCGTGGGACATTTCTAGCCCGTGCATATGCCAGCGCAGACGTCTTCTTGCACTGCTCGATTACCGAGACCTTCGGGCTGGTTGTGCTCGAGTCCATGGCTTCTGGCGTGCCGGTCATCGCCCGAGATGAGGGAGGGCCGTCGGAGACCGTGAAGAATGGTGCATCTGGCTACCTCGTGGCGCCACATGACCGAGATACTTTCGTCAAGTATGCACATCAACTGGCTAATGACACTGCTCTCCGCGCGCACATGGCCGTCAAGGCCCGGCAGCAAGCGCTCGACACCACCTGGGACAAGATCAACAACCAGGTAGCTCTGCAGTTGGCGCGGTCTGTTGAAGAAGCCGGTGCAAGCCAGCAGGGTATCTACGGCTCTTGGGTGGGAATGATGAGGGTGTATGTGGCGGTGGGTATTGTTTGGGTCTTCTGGTTCATTGCGGTGGTGCCCTTGCTGCTCTGCGGGTTTGTTCACGGGTTGTTCAGGTGACACGAGCAGTATTGCGCGTATATGTTGGGGACGGTCGGGGGTGATCTGCAGTTCAAGTACTCATAAAGGAAACACAGCACATTGGTCGTGATGTCTGCTCCTTCGGCAACGGACGGGATGCCTTAGACCGGGATTGGAAAGGTCCCGCTTGGCAGGCCGTGCTTTGTTTGTACCTCCCCTCGCTCAGGGCGTTCCATCTGAACTGTCCCCAGCGATCATGTGTGCATTTCAGCTTCACGACTACGAGGACGAGCGTTGAGGTCTGACGTAGGGGTTATTCGATACGCCTGCTACACTATAGCCGCCCACACCACTCCGAACGAGCCAGTATCAAAGTCCCGGGACCAGACACCAGGCCATTACAATCCTCCACCACCACTCCGCATAAGGCAGTGTCTACGTCGCAAGACCAGACACCAGGCCATGATCCTCCACCACCACTCCGCGTAAGCCAGTGTCTACGTCGCAAGACCAGACACCAGGCCATGATCCTCCTCCAGTCCACTCCGACCAAGTCAGTATCAGATTCGTGAGACCAGATGCCATACCAGGCAGAATGATGACATCGCTCTGACCGAGCCAGTATTCAAGTCGCAAGACCAAATACCATGGCTCGTCAAGTCTAACCCGCTTCATAACTTGCCATCGCTGCTGCCATGAGGCATTGTCCAAGCAGGACACCGGGCCTCCGCATCAACCTCGAGGGTCCGGTATCGGACTGAGGGACATTTCCTCCTCAGCATCCCAGAGGTCTTGGCGCCTCTGACTGCGGCCTATTACAGGCGGACCAGACCCAGGCTCTCGATCAGCATCCCAAAATTCTTGGTGCCTCTGATTGTGGCCCATTATAGGCTGGATGGCACCCCTGTTGACTGTCCCGGTGGCCGCATAGATTAGCCGGTTGGGCCAGTGGAGAAGCTGTCCGTTCTGCCGCATGCTGAGCTCAGGCGCGTGAGATTGAGGGTCGATTTCCCGGCCTTGAGCTCCCGCCATCCATCCACTAGTCTCTGCCTCGCGTTGGATTGCTACTTGTTCCTCCCGAAGGCGCCTGACTTCCGCTTGCAACTCATTGAGATTCCTTGCCATGTCTGCAACTTCAGCGTCTTCGCTGGGCTCCCGCCTGCGCTCCCGGTTGTTCCTCATCTGACGCTGGCGCTGCTCGTCCTCGTCTATTGGCGGTTGCTGGGGATTGCCAAGACGCATGCCACCCTCCTGTTCGCGCCTGCGCGCCTCGCGCCATTTCGCCTTCCTGGCCTTCTTCTTCAGAGTCCTCGGGTTGGTGGTTTCTCCAGGTGGCGAACCTTGGCCTACAAAGTGATGCATTCCTGGGCCGGGATAGTGCCCGAAGTTGAACTGCGGCTGGCCGTATGAGCCAGCGGCCATGCCCATTCCTGGATGCACTTGAGGCGGTGGGTATGCCGGATACTGCGCCATTGATTGCTGAGGATGATATTGAGCCACTGGCGGCTGTGGTGGGTACTGAAACATCGGCTGCTGTGGTGGGTATTGAGCCATCGGCGGCTGTGGTGGGTATTGAACCATCGGCTGCTGTGGCGGATACTGCTGGCCATATCCTGGGGCGTTGATTGCTTGCTGATGCTGCACAGCGTTGCCCGTTCCAGATCTCTGTTGATTGACCTTCGCCAGGCTCCTCTGCCTGTCTAATTCTGCGTCTCTCTGGTATTCCTGGATTGTCTTGGTGGTGCCACTACACACGCAGCGCTGGCCACGATTCCTGACCTTGTCCTGGCATTGACTGCAAGGAGAGCCATTGATTCTCATATCACACTACGAGGTAGGTCAGCTCTCTGTTCTCGATGGTTTGGAAAGAAGCACCGCATACATCATAGTTACCGTCGACGGTTCACGGAAAGCAAATGCCCGTGAACCTGCTGTTGTACGCCATATCTCGTGTGTACTGGTTGGTAAGGTATGTCGGAAGAAAAAAGCTGGTGTACAGGAGCGCGTGAGGGAGCGCGAATGTAGTGACGTTGCCACGCGCACCACTAGCGCGTTTTCGTTTTCGAAATTCTCATATCACTGCTTCGCGTCTTCCACCTACTGCTCACCACACATCGTCCGAGTACTCTCTGCTTGCCTTTGAAGCAGCGAGCCCACCATGTCGGACAACAGACCCCCCGATGCAGTCGACCGCGAAATCGCCTTGCATCAAGCCAAAATCCAGCAATTACAGCATCAACGAGAAATCCAGCGCCAGCAACAAGCAGCGCAAGAGGCCGCAGCAGCGCAAGCAGCGCGACAAGCGGCCCAGCAATCCTATCAGCAATCCCATCAGCAACCCGCCCATCTTGACACCTACATGCAGGAATGGGTCAGGGAAGCTGCGTCCAAAGGACTGAAGCCGCCACCACGTCGGATGGTGGATGTATGCGCGCCGGACAAGAAGTGAGCGATGACCCTCTACCTACTAAAACATGCGCCATATGCTAACGCTATCAATGTAGGATCGTGCGCCTCGGAAATACAAATAAATTCTACTTCGAAGACATCGACTTCTTCGAAGACATCGAACCAGGTCTGGCCCAGCCTCAGGCCTCACCAGCAATCCCCAGCCAGACGCTGGTTCCAAAATCTCAGCAAACGCTCAGTTCTGCTGCATCGACCGCGCATACGCAGCTGGCTCTCCGTCCTGCTCCTGCCGTTGCCGCTGGGGTGAGTGACCAGTCGTCCCTCCCAATGATCATGCTTGCTGACATGTCGTGAGAAGTTCCCTTCAAATCCCACCCAATCTGACCGCAAGAGCAAATTGGCCTCCCTTGGCCCCTTGAGCAATGCCGAGCCCGCACGTGACGAGAGGCTCGTGGCCATGGGCAGGGGCTTCGCTGCCAGCCGCCAGTCTCAGCAATCTACCGACCCGCTGCCCGGCGGTACCGCCGCCGCGCCGGCACCCTCGGCACAGCAATTTCAAGATGCTAGGCGTTATGGCGAAGGCAAGCCAACGAACTTCCCGGCCAATACAAATCAGTCCCTGCAGGCTCAGCAATCTCAGCAATCTACACCAGCCAAGGCCTTTGTTTGGGACGCCAGGTACAGCAAGGGCATCGATTCCGCTGCCCTGGAGTTCAAGGAGCATGATAAGAATCAAGATGTCAAAGCTTGCTTGGTTTCTTGTCTTTGGTCGGTGGTCGCATGACCCAAAGTACTGTCTTGGTATCACCGATACTGCCAGTTGGCTTTGGTGCAGTTTGTCAGACTTCTGCTCTATACATTCGATGTAGGAGCTGGGAAGTCGGATCAGAGAGTATAGAATCAGGCAGCATGTTTCACAGCAGAGTTTGCGATCACAATGTCTTTGATACACGCATCTCCTACATCGTCGCCCGACCGTTCAATGCAAGGCTTAATCAAGTGTGACCTCCTCGCAGTGTTCCGGATACAGCCAGCGTCGTGGAGATAATGCAAAGAAATAAGGTCAGGTAGCAACATGTGCATGAGGTGTTGTTGCCCGCTTAGATCCATCGCGGTGGTCCGAGCTCAGACTCCAAAGCCTATCACGACGACAACTCATTTTCTTCTCAATCATCCATCATTGACTACACACATGAGCGTCCGGAACGATCTTTCTAAGTCTTGCTGATCTCAGTTGCAATACGATGCGTGTCCGGTAGCCGACAATAACAGTCTCAACTTCGCTATTGACACGGTCATGTTTCTCCTATTGAAGCACGAATGGGGAAGTATGATTTCAGAGCCACGACGTGCCACGAGGCATGTGCTGGTATCAAGGCACGTCGAGCCACCTCTCTCTGCTACTCTTCCACCATGAGACATGGCTCTAGAGCCCTTCTCCAGGTGGGCCATGTCCCTGCACTGTTGTCACCACGAACTCTGTATTTACCCTGGACACCATTGAGGACCTCTCTTATTGACGGCGACGCTCATTGATGGCGGCCTATTGACTGTTCTGCTATTGCTACACCTCAGGAGTTGTACATGTGCTGCAGCTTCCTATCTTCTTGCACTTGTTCTGCTTGCTGTCGTTTCGTTCTTCTCCAAGATCAATTGCTTCCCAGTATCACGGAGTCTGATATCGAAAGAACGAAGCGAGCATACAAATCAAGAGCGGAGACGACCTCTTGCACCATCGATACTCAGTCATAGAACACCATGGCAGTCGTCAACCTCACAATGGCCGGAAAGCCTGCCGAATCGTCCAAAACCGCATCCACGAGCACTGGCGTCTACGCCTCCGCCGTCGCCCTGGCACTCGTCAGCTTCTTCCTCATGCTCCTCATCATACCGCCAATGTTCTGGCACGCACGCAACCGCAATATCGGAGCCACTGCCCTGGTGGCTTGGCTGATCATGCTACTGCTCTTCACCTTCACCAACGCGATCATCTGGCCCTCCGACGACATCCCCTCATGGTTCAGTGGTACCGGATACTGCGATGTCCAGATCAAGCTCCAGGTTGCGGCTCAGGTGGCCGTGCCTGCCTCGTTCGCCTGCATTCTCCGAGCATTGGCAGCGGTCATGGATACCGACCGCGCAATTTTCGTCCAGACAAAGGCGCAGAAGCAGTGGAGTGGCATCGTCGACTTGATTTGCTGCGTCGGGTTCCCATTGCTGCAGATGCTCTTGCATTACGTGGTGCAGAGTCGACGATACTACGTCTATGGCATCTCTGGCTGTGCACCGGCTGCCAGTACCAGCTGGCCATCGATTCCGATCATGATCTTACATCCGCTGCTATGGACTATTCTCGACGTCTACTTTGCAGGTGAGTACTCAGCCGTCAGGGGTTACATTAAATCCTTGAGCTAACATTGTCATCTCCAGTCTTGATCATCATCCGTCTCTACCAATACCGCCTCTCCTTCAACGCAATCCTCGCCAGCAGAAACACCAACAAATCCCGCTTCCTACGCCTCTACCTCATCTGCACCATCTGGATCCTCGGCAGCCTCCCTGTTCAATGCTATAACATGAGCGTCAACGCAGCAAGACTTGGCCGGAAGGCCTACAGCTGGAGCTACGTGCACCGGGCGGAGGCTTGGAACGAGCTCGTCATGGTTCCCAGTCATGGCGCAATCCTCTACGATCGTTGGATCTGGCTGGCTTCCGCCCTCGTAGTCTTCATCTTCTTCGGCTTTGGGCGCGACGCCATATCAACATATCGCACTGCTTTGGTCGCGCTCGGCCTGGGCAGAGTGTTCCCGAGCTTGAAGTCTGGCCCTCGTGCCGCCACTCCGGCTTCCACCAGCTCGTTCAGCAGCAAAGCGAAGATGCTCTTTAAGCGTAAGAGTTCGGCGTCCTCATTTACATCAGGCTCGCGGGGTGCGTCGGCTGTAGAGCCACTGTCGCCGAAAAGCAGGACATTTCTGGACACGATTGATGAGGCCGAGACCGCTGATGAGAAGGCCAACAACGCCAACCCGCAAGCATCTCAGGCTGCTTTCAAAAAGAAGGGTCGGCAATGGAGTCCTGCCTCCTTGTTAACCAGCTTCTCGGCTTTGCTCCAATTTGGCAAGGCTGGGCAACGGCAAACACCTCCAGCAGCGCCACCGAATTTGAGCCTACAGCAAAGCTCGGTGCTGTCGACTATCAGCTCTGCAGTAAGATCCGACTCCATGTCGCAACAGGTTCGAAGCATAAGCCCCGATGAGATGGTGGTGAGGACGGAGGTGCGGCAGGCAAGCGAAGTTGGGTTGTAAGTGGTCTTGCGGTCAGCCACGGGTTTTTCCAGCATAGATGATGCTCAGTCGACGCCATCGGGCACAGTGGGTGGTACATAAATGTGTGGTGCCTTTGATTGCATAGTCATATCCATACGTTCTTCTGTCGCGTGCGTACCCACGAGCCCCCGTTCTGATTTTGCCATCAGTGCCATGCTGCCGCATATTGTTCTCCACGCCCACTCTCAACCATCCAATGCCGACAGATGTCCGCAGAGGCTCACGGCGGGCGCAACCCAGTCATATTTGCCGAACGATAGGGTCGCATATGAGTAACGACTGATGCGGCAATGAGGATAAAACAATAGCTGCTGGGCGTACGGTAGACCGGTCGTCACGTTTTGGGAAGAGAATAAAAGCATACGGCATGGGCATCATCCAGCCTCCTTCGAATGCCAGACCGGGTATTTGTCCAAAGCTTCGTACCACTGCAACACACTGCCAACGAGCAGGGCCCAAGAGCCTCGTAGCCAGTCAGTAATGTATCGTTCGTTTAGATGCCAGCCCACCTACTCCAAAAGTAACTGCAGCCAAACTGATACGATGCCCAGTCTGCAGGTTCCAAGAGACCGAATATGGCGCTGAGAAGAAGCCCAATGCTTCCCACCATGATGCAACAGTTGATGTTCCAGCCGATTGAGCGAGGCTCTGGAATGGTCCAGTACGTCTGGTTCTCAATCATGAGGCAGATGGAAGCCAGGATGAAGCCAGTAGCGCCGATGATTTGTGGGATGCGAATCCAATGTGGGATACTCTCCGACATGATGGAGGTGACGAACGTTGCTATTGAAGCCGCGCAGTAGACCAGCGAACTGCCAAACAGAACCGCGCTCGCAAGAAATCCTATTTCATAGACGAGGTGGTTGCGAAGCGCGTGCTTGGTTGGGAGCCATCTCCAAATATCAACTGGGACTGGCTGTGTTATAGCCAGCTGTTGACGATCGGCAGGCTCGCCATCCGCTTGGGAAGAAGTCGCTTCGTAGCTGAACGTGTGAGACTCCCTGCTATGGTGGTGCTCACATGTTCCAACGGGTACAAGCCGGGTGACGGCACCCTCTTCCACCGAAGTATCCATCTGGTCGGCAAATGATATTTGTTCCGCTTTCCAGCCGAAGCAGCCTCGTCGCTGTGCATTGACTGCCTCACCGAAACCTAGGAAGCTGGAGAAGGCGAAGAAGCCAGAGCCGATAAGAGTTAGGCTTGCTTCGACGTAGATGATCCAAGACGGCTGTCCGAGGTCGGGCTTCGCATAAGGCAGAAAGGACAGGAATGCGTTGACCAGTAGCGCGAGACAGCCAGTAAAAAACCCCATTGCATTGACCCAGCTAACGTCATACCACGGAAAGCTGGTGAGCATTCGCCATATCCCGCTCCCAATCGCTTGTCGGCCAGTTAGTGGCGAGGATGATTTCTTTTCGTTTCCTGCGCGATTTGGATAATACTCGTGGATTGCGAGAGCGTGCCGGCCCTTCCGGTTGTTGCGAGAACTCCATGCATATTCGACCCTGGTCGCGAGGACGCCGTCCTCCGATTCTACTTCGCCTTCCTGTGCGACGAATTCGGAGCCCTGCGAGTCCACCTTATGGACCACGGAGCCTGTGTAGGTGAAGCCGGCGCGGGTCGGATTGAAGAAGGCGATGGGTCCAGTGACTTCCTCATCGTTGATCTGAAGAGCAACGTTGTTGCGGAACGGTTCGTACTCCTTCTCGAAATGCTCGCTGCGTGGTGGCGGGTATTGTTGGTCGTCGGAAGACTGCTGCATGTTTGTATGTTGTTGCGAACCCTCAATGTGCCACGGCACTGACTCGTCGCCTTATCGGATCGCCATCTGGATAATACAAGGCAGAAGATACAGCCTGCTGGGCTATTGGCAGAAGGAAGGGACGAAAATTGGAAGCGGCCAATGGGAAGGTGGACGATGACGTAAATCGGATGTCACATTCGTCGAGATTGAATACTGCAAGAGGCTGAGGAACGTACCTACCTTTCAGCTCCATCCAGATACTATACCTTGGTATGATACATGAAAGACCGCAGCGCGGCCGCTGACAGCCTTTGGGGGGCTGAGGTCGGAACACGGGGCGACTCCTCGCGAATATCTTTCAACTATCCGTACAACAACATGAGTACCAAAGGGGTACCGTTCTATTCACATGCTCGGTCCATGTAGACGACTGAGGTAAGCCCTGCGAGTTATATTAGATATGATCATCAATCGCTTGCCAAGATGCCCGCCGTGCGATGCTGTCGTGCCCGATGGGTGGTGTGAGTGCAGGTCGCGGCTGACTGATCAAGGTGTTGCATGTCAGGCCACGCACAACAACACCGGGCTTTCACCTTAAAGGATCCAGCATTTCCAGCTAAACCTGCCAAACCAGCAATTCAGAAACGCGACAATGTTCGACCAGCTTAACGTCCCTCGAACCGCCATAGCGACAGACAATCCCGTCCTCTTCGACGATGGACGTGCTGCCATGGAGTTCTACACACCATCAAACAAGTACTTTGGGAGACAAATTATACCGGTCGGGAACAGATGGAGTGATGGAACCCGAAGCGTAAGCATTTCAACAACCCACGGCGATGCTAATAAGTGCTTACCGCATTCTGTCAAATAGTTTATGGCCCCGGTCGCGCACTACCATCTACTGCAGACCGAAACTTTCCACGTCGAGTCCGGGCGTGGTCTCTGGTATCTCAAAGGCAAGACCATCGAGCGCAGTGCAGGTCAAGACATCACCATCCCCAAGTACACCTGGCACACCTTTGAGAACCACCCGGACAGCGCGGAACCACTGGTGATCCTCTACCGTTACGATTCGCAACGATTCATCATGGAGGAGTCTTTCTTTCGGAACACCCTGACTTACCTGTGGGACTGCGGCCGTGCTGGAGTGGAGCCAAGTGTACTGCAGCTCAGCGTCTTCATTGTGGCCGCCTGGATGCCTGCGGACTTTGTTCAGTGTCCCGGGGACTATCTGAGCTGCTTTGTCAACACCTTGGCAATGTGGATGTTTGCTTTCATTGGGAGATTCGTCTATGGGTACAAGTCGACATATCCAGAATATTGGGATGAGGAGTACATCCGAACGCGCATTGGCGAGGAGTCCAAGAAGGCAGCTTGAGATCCAGTTCGCGATTCGTAACTGTTCCTCAGGAGTGTGGTTCAAGTGCAAGCGCCAGACGAACGCTGTTTAATGTGATTTTCTTTGCAGCATATGGTATGCGAAGGCTGACAAGCGTGGTTCCTGGCCTGCCCTTCGAAGGTGAGGTAAACAGATTTCGGCAACGTCAGGAGGTACTGAATCTGGTCCTACCTGCTACAGGAGGCTGTCGAAAGGGTGCTTGGATGCCAACGCGTTACCGAGCTGGTATATAGCATCGACAGGCCGCCATTGAGCCCATCGAGCCATGTGGGGTTCGCTTCTTGAGGTAAACGTAAAGTGTAGGCTCGAGGGAAGGCCACTTTGCAGGAGGTGTCCGGACATCGCTCTGGATGCATTCGGAAGGCTTGCCACGAGGTCCGGTGACTTTCCGCGTTTTTTCTCTATGTGACCAGCTTGCGGCCATTGGTTGATGAGCTTCCGCGTGTCCTTTGAGATGTCGACCAAGACCCAGCGTCTCCACTGCTCATGCACCTTGCTGCATGTAGGATGTGCGGCGGTGGTTGGACTAGAATCCAGGGGTGAGGCCAATGCCTGTGGCGAAGGAGACAAGATGGTATAAGACAAGGGAGAGCACGTTCAATGCTCTGTACAGTACGATGGATGTATGAGCCGGATGGACCTCTACGTCCATGTTCTGCGCCTGTCCAGTACGCACTCGATGTCTGCGCTGACATACCAGCTCTATTTGTAGAAACCAACCCAACTTCCGCAACGAGACATTGCACGAAGCAAGTGCACGAGATCTCGGCAACGGCCGACAATCCCAGCTTGTCGATCGCAATGCCCGATCCGCTAGCAAGCCTAACCAAAAGCCAAATCGGGTCCACCAATCTGAAGTTTGGTCCCTAAACCCTCCACTTCGAAAGAACGAACTATCGGCAGATTACAGCCATGGACAGCGACAACGACTCTAGCCTGACCGAGGCCTTGACGATGGTGTATATCCAGGCGGCTGCCATGTTCGCACGCTTCTCTTCACGCACAGGTTGGTCATTGACAGTGATCTTCGCCACCCACAACATTCGCTACAATGTCTTTCGCTTCTTCCTTTCTTTCGTTCGCTTTGCTGCTCACTGCCGGCTTCGCGGCACCACAACCTGAGCCCGAACCCCAAGGCCTCGTTGGCGGTGTCGTCGACGGTCTTGTCGGTGATCTGCCGCTTGTCGAGGGTGTACTCGAGGATCTCGCTGACACCTTGAGCGCCGCGAGTGCTTTGGTGCTGCGCCCTTCGTCAGTCGCAGAAGCATCCAGCAGGATATCATCAGTCATCGAAGCCCAGGCCACTTCCAACACCATCATCGAGGTTGCAGCAGATCTCGTGGAAGCGGGATTGACACCCTCCAACGTCCCTGATGCCTTCAACTTCGTGCAAGGAGTTCTTACAGGGCAGAACAGCGACAACAACAACAACCCAAGAGATCCCAGTCCCGCGGCTTTTCCCAAAGCACGCCGCAATGATGCGCCTTACAGCTTGACCGAACAACAGCTGCGCGCTGCCATCTACATCCCTCCCACCTTCCAATACGGCAGGCGAGGAGCGCCACAGCCTGCTATCCTGGTCCCAGGCACAGGCGACACTGGATACACGACTTTCATCGGCAGCTACATCCCGCTCCTCCAAGGCTCGAACATCGCAGATCCAGTCTGGCTGAACATCCCAGACTTCCTCCTGGATGATGCACAGGTCAATGCCGAATACGTCGCCTATGCAGTCAACTACATCTACGGCATCTCCAACCATCGCAAGGTCGCAGTCGTCACCTGGTCGCAGGGCGGTATCGATGCGCAGTGGGCGTTCAAGTACTGGCCGTCGACTCGTAGCCGAGTGACAGATCTCGTTGCATTCTCGCCAGACTTCCACGGGACCATCCTGGCTGACCTCATCGATGCAGGCGAGCCTCTGCCCCCGTCTGTGCTCCAGCAGGAGTACAACAGCAACTTCATCACCACTCTGCGCGCTAACGGCGGCGACTCGGCTTACGTGCCCACTACGACCGTATACTCCGGCTTCTTCGATGAGATCGTCGAACCTCAACAGGGTCGTGGCGCATCTGCTTTCCTGAACGACGCTCGAGGGAAGGGTGTCACGAACAACGAAGTGCAGAAAGTGTGCCCGAACGGCAGCCCAGGTGGTTCGTTCTACACGCATGAAGGGACGCTCTACAACCCTCTCGGCTTCGCTTTGCTTGTGGATGCTCTCTCGCACAAGGGCCCTGGAAGACCTTCGAGGTTGAACCTGAAGCAAGTGTGCTGGAACTACCTGACGCCTGGCCTGGATTTGACGGACTTCCTGCTCACGGAGAACTCTATTCTGATTGCGGGAGCTGCGATCCTTGCCACGCCGAACAAGGTTTTGGATGAGCCTCCGATAAAGCGTGGGTCTTCTCCGTTCGATGGCGAAGTATGCCGGTTACTGACAGTCAGCAGGCTATGCCCGATGAACGAATAGCAGGCCGAGCAGTGTTGAGTGTTGGAGCAGATGACTCTGCGGCTCAAGTTGTATGGTTCTCTGACGTCGAAGGCGTTCGGATGACTCTGCGAGCAGTATTGAATCAGCCTAAGCTCCGTGGGTTCGATATAGTGAAGCACACAGCCGTGTATACTACTGCAAGCCGCGTTCATTACCATCCATGGATTACTACGATGAGGTGGCTGTGACTTGTTGGCCGCCACCGGCTCTGGACATGTCCGCTTTCGCCATTTATCTACCAAGTGGTTGACTTTTATCGGTAGCTTTACCATATAGTTCATGGGAGTGGACTCCACCTCCGACGAAGCCAAAGACGGGAAGACGTTGATTCTAGACAGCAAACAGTATGAGTCTGCAGCACGTGAGATCAATCAATTAAGACCGAGAGACGTTTCTGTAGCGCCGATCATTGAGTCTGAAGAATGATTCTGCAGCATGAAAAGGCCGGAGCAGACGCCGGTCCCACGCCTTCCCGGTTAGTTTGGAAGATGAAGTTGAAATAACAATCGCGCTTGGACTTTGTGCTCTTTCCCAAGAAAGCCAAGTCGTCTCAATGCAGATGAAGGCGTTTCCAAATCCCGAGCAATCGGAATGCTGGGTGGCTCGCCTGACGTCGCTCCCCTTTTTCGGCTTCATCTCTGATTCCACAATTCCTAATTCCTTTCTCTTGCCGAGGCTGTCGTTTCAAAGCACGACACGCTATCCCTATAGCACCAATCTACCCGGAGCATTCTCCACGAGCAGCCTTGCCAGATATGGATGTAATATGAACCCACCATCTGGTTGTGATCCGCGCAACTACCGGGTCAGGAGCGTCGATCTCCATCAAGCTTCATACCATCACTCCACCGGATCCGTCCACCTAGTCGCTTTAGTCCGACTCCGGTATGAGCATCTTCGCACGCACGAGCGCGAGGGCAAATCATGCTTTGGCATCTCGCGACGGCGCAACCATGGATCGAACATACGTGCGTGGGCCCCTGAGCAACTCATTTGTGCTTGTAGGAGTCCTCGTGCCACAGACGCAATGCCAGTCTAGCGTGAGTATACTGACTTCGACACTCTCAAATACCACCCTTATCCTGTCCCTCAGACCTTCTCTCAACAAAGCATTCTGCAAGACCATTCGTTCCACCATTCATTCACTTCTAGCCTAACATTCTTCAAAACCAAAACATCTTCTACCACCCCGTCCCAACAACTTCCACACCCCAATCAATATGCGCACCTCCGCCGTCTACGCTGCCTTCGCGGCAGTCCTCATGTCCTCGGTCGTCGCCAGCCCTCTGCCCGTCCCAGCTGCCGTTGCTGCTGCAGAGCCGCACGTTGTTGAGAGGCAGCTCTTGAAGGGTGTGGGCGGTCTGCTCGGCATGAACAGCGAGGACGACAACGATCCTGCTGCGGGGAATGGTAGGAGTGCTTCTCGTGAGGCTGCAGAATGCCCTGTCGCTAACACTGATCGTTAGGCAACAAGGGGAACGGCGCCAACGGTGCGTTAGATAGAGCTGATCTGTTGATCGAGTTGCTAATGGCTTTCCCAAGGGAACTCCGCAAAGGGCAACGGCAATGGTATGTATAGAAGGCTAAAGATGTTTACAATACACCTGCTGACTCTTCAATCACAGCGAACAAGGCTGGGAACAACAACAAGGCCGGCAACAACAATTCTGCTGGCAATGGTGAGTTGTAGACTTTCTCTCTTCCTCTCTCCCGACACAAGGCTGACATGAGTACTAGGCAATGGCGCAAACGGTATGTGACATCCCCATGTATCTGGACCGGAAAGAATCTTTCGAGAATATTCGGGTTCCGGGCCAGAGTCGCCTCGCAGAGTAGAAGTGAGGTCAGAGTGGAAGTGAGACCAAGGTCGAAGTCAAGTCGAACATGGATGATTACAGGCCATCGGACTCGCACCACCACGACCATGGGCACAAGTGCCACAGACAACAACAGCGACTGATGTGTCAATCTTAGGAAACAAGAAAAGCGGCAACGGCAATGGCGCAAATAGTAGGTTCCAGCACTGCGGCGCTCTTGCGCAAAAGCTCCATGGTGTCCACTATACTGACAGCCTCTAAGAGAACGGCTCCAACAACAAGGCGGGAAACAACAACGGAAACAACAACAGCGTCAGTCCCACTATCCTCTACATCCACAGACTCACTTGCTAACACTCTTCACAGATTGGCAACATCAGCGTAAGCCCTTCCTGACTTCCCCCGGGATCGATGTCGGGCTGACAGCCTTATGGGTTGACCCGAGCATCACACTCCCCGATGTCACACTGCCCGACATTTCCTTGTGAAAGTGCTCGACGTACGATGTCACGGAGAATGAATCGCTGATGCATTGTCTACTCGCAGCTTTAAGCAAGCCGCACCCGCGAGAGTCCAGAGGATGGGATGGGGGAGTAGGTCAAGAGAGGCCGATCGGAGGGGAGAGATGGGTTTGCTGCAGTGTCGTCGATTTTGGTACTATACATGACATGCGCTTTGGAAAATGCACATTGGTTTCAAATGTGACGACCTTTCCTCTCTCAAACGCCTCTCATCTGAGCTCCGGATTCCCGTCACCTGCCCTCTTCTTACGCACTTTTCCATCCTGCTATCATTCCAACCCGACGTCTCCACCTGTAACCGAAGATATGCCTTTGAGCCAGCTCAAGCATCCTACTGCCCGATCACTCATTGCTGCAGACGTGCGGCAACCCGACAAATGCTGCCGCTGTATCCAGAATGCGGCCCTTCCTCGTATCCGCCAGCGGCACTTTCTTCTTCGGCTGCTCCTTTGTGAAAGACGGCTGGCTCGAGAGCATGGACTGACTGTCTGCCTCTTTGACGGCTGCTCGTACTCGTTATTAGCCATGGGCTCAAGTTCACGCGAGGACAGCCATACTTTGCAACTCAGTCTTCTTCATGAAATCGGATCTTACTGGGCCCAGCTCCTGCTGCGGCTGCGGCCGCTGAGCCTGCTTCTTCTTGTACATGCGGTTCATCAAGCTCTCCATCTTGTCACTGAGGGCACCAAGTGCAGCGAGGTTGACGACGCAATTCAGATGAAGTCAGAATCTATCAAAGTCGCGTGAGCAGGCCGGTCCGTTAGGTTACATCGCATAGGGCTGCCGTCTCATCAACTGCAACCAGCCAATCCAGCGAGTGCAAAGGAGAGCTGCTGCTCCACTTCCCTCGCTTTGCGGGCGAATGTCTTCAAATGGATATCGGCCGCAGAAGACAAACCAGGGAAGAGAGGAAGTTCCCCGCCTGATGTGCAGCATGTCGTGTCAACTTCCAAGAAAACCAAGCTACAGATCAAGCAACGTTAAGCATGGGATAGGGCTCTTCGAGGCCGAAGGAGTTTTGTTACGTAGATCTTGCTGTACTCGCTACTGCCGTTCTCGATCACAAGAACGCAAGAGCACAGTCTAATGGCAACGAGCATATAACGGTGCAGTTTCAGCGAGAGAAGCAGTCAATCCAACGGGTTGCTCTTCGGGACTGCTTGGTGCGCATTCCTTCTTCGAAGTGCACAGCGATGTAGCTTAGCCCACGTGCTCATGTCTCATTTCTGCGTACTGCTAAAACTCCTTGTTCACGCCCTGCCAGTCCGAGTGCTCTCTCGTTGATCTTGCAAGTTGCCCCGGCCATGTGGCTGCAGGCGCTTTACTTGGTTGCCGCGTCGCCTGCTCCACGACAGCATCGCCCAAAACCTTCTCTGGTGCCCCACGAGGCAGGACTTGCTCCACTTGATCGATCATCTCGCTACCCAGCAATTCCACCATGTCAGAACGCTTGAAGTCGACAAGCACCGCCAGTCGTATAGCTCGGGCGAGCGTCGAGATGCGTTCCGCAATACCAGAGCATGTGTGGACAGCAATGGCGACCCAGACTTCATGCTTTTTCGCTTCCGGGATTTCATGCTGGTTCAGAAAAGAGACAGCAGCGTCTGCGCCTTCGACCTCAAATCTCTGCGGACCGTCACAGCTGGTGGTCGTGCCCATGTCATGGAAGATGGCTGCTGTGAAGAGGAGAGGCAGGTTCTCTTGCTCGTGCCATGGCAGGTCTTCCCTCTCGCTGATGGCGACAGCGTAGACGAATGTTCTGAGACTGTGGTTGAGGATGTCCAGATGGAGCTCACTGCGAGCGACAGCATGGGCGGCTTGGGACAGACTGTCTGGCGGCACGCAGGAAGGGTTTGGATCAGACGATGATCCATCGCCGTCGAGGAAAGAGCGGGCCCCACGGAAGCTGGTTTTAATCTCGGCCATTGTGTAGAAACGAGAGACGGTCGCAGGGACTGGATACGACAGTAAACTTGCCCATCAAAATGAGCGTACATGTAGTGAATGTTGCTTACGATAGCAGTTTGAAGGGCGCAAGATGATGAGCGCAATCCTCCGGGTTGTAATTTACTCAAGGCTTCTGTCGTGCTGAGTCATCAACTGAACCACACGCTACATGTATGCGCCAGGAGATGTTTTCGCGTGGCAGCTCGTTGCAGTCTTGTCAAGATGAACGAGAGTGAGAGCAACAAGAGAAAGAGAGCAGTGTGCGGCGAATGTCAGGTGAGCCAAATTGGGTCTAGCCCAGTCACGTGCTTCATGTCAAATTCAAGAGAGCTTGACACTTTCCACTTTCCTCCAAGCACCAGCTTTTAGGACACACCTTCATACATACACACGCACATCCCAACCATGGCCGACGTCGAAGTGGCCCAAGGAGAGGACGCGCCGATACTTGGCTTCGAAGACACGACCCTCCCTTCCGCCGGCGACGGCGCCCTCACCACCACCAACGCTTCCACCGATGTTGCGACACGATCCGATGGGACAGTGCAGAAAGTGAAGAAGACAAAGATTATCAAGCGAAAGCGACGACCTGCGCGACCTCAACAAGACCCTGCAACCTTCAAAACCGAGCCACCCCCGCAGACGGGCACCATCTTCAATATCTGGTACAACAAGTGGTCTGGCGGCGATCGCGAAGATGCTTTCAGCAGCAAGCGTCAAGCGAAAGGTCGGTGCAACGTTGCTCTAGACTCTGGGTATACGCGCGCGGACAAGGTTCCTGGGTCATACTTCTGCCTCTTCTTTGCTCGTGGTCTGTGTCCGAAGGGCAGCGAGTGCGAGTACCTACATCGGCTGCCGAATAGTCGGATGGGAAAGGATGGCGAAGGAGGGCTCGGAGACATGTTTCCAAGTAACGTGGATTGCTTCGGTCGCGACAAATTCTCCGATTACCGAGACGACATGGGCGGTGTTGGGAGCTTCATGCGCGTGAACCGCACGCTCTACGTTGGACGGATACATGTGACGGATGATATTGAAGAGGTGGTGGCCAGGCACTTTCAAGAGTGGGGACAGGTTGAGCGCATTCGGGTTCTGCCTTCACGCGGAGTGGCTTTTGTGACCTACACATATCTGGCGAACTCGGAATTCGCGAAAGAGGCCATGGCGCATCAGACTCTCGATCATGACGAAACCCTCAACGTGCGCTGGGCAACCGTGGATCCAAATCCCGTGGCGCAGAAGCGAGAAGCGAGACGGGTCGAAGAGCAGGCTGCTGAAGCCATCAGGAGGGCGCTACCGGCAAGCTACGTCGCAGAGCTGGAAGGCAGGAGATACGAGGGCGCTGAGCCAGAGGAAGAGCGGAAGAGGCGGAAGATTGAGGGCAGCTTTGGGCTCCAAGGCTACGAGGCTCCTGATGATGTGTGGTATGCGGCGGAGAAATCACGACTACAAGGTGGAGAGGAGCGCAAATTGCTGGAGCCCGGCGCCGAAGACGGTGGCGACGTCGGTGGTGATGAGGACGAAGCGCCGTTGCGGGCCGAAGACTTCCAACAGCAGCAGGCCTCAAGTGGACTGCTGGGCGCGTCGACGCTGGCGGCATTGCAAGGCTTCAAGGCTGGACCTAGCTCTGGCCAGAATCGACCTCCAGACAAAGCATCTGCTGGAGGCCCACTGGTAGGATATGGTAGCGACAGTGACGAGGAGTGAGTGCGAGGACATGGGAAGGAAAACTTGCTACCCAGAACGCGAGCGGGGTTTACTCATGGGCAGCTGCCTGAGTTTCTTCATTCCGACAGAATTCGGAACAGTCGAAGATGATGAGAGATCACAACTGCTTGATGCGAAAGACTAATATGAGAACTGAAAGCTCCGACCTCGCAAAAACACTCCAAGTTCCCCACCTCGGCATGACGAAGGTAAATATGACAATAGTCTATACAACCTCACTACTCTTACCAAAAGACTGTCTCCGATCGTTTCGTTGGCATCTCAAATTGATCCTCTCTGTGCTCCTTTCCTCTTCCACACTGTGCTGTTTCACGAAATGCCTCTCAAGTCGGATCTGAGTGTCGCTGGGGAGAAGCTCGACCCCAAAAACATATCACAAGCAACACACGAATTCAATGACAACCTCATCAAGATCATGGAAGGAGGACCGAAGTGGTACGACGTACGTTCCAGCAACTAGCTGTGACTGCGTCGATGAGAACTGATCTCTTGTCGTAGGTAGGAGCAGAAAAGTACCGCCGGATGCGAGAAGCGGGCGAGACTCCCTTGCCAGCCCCTGTCCTCCTCGAAGGCGGCAAGAACATTACCCTCCCTTCACGCGATCAAGGCCGCAAGATCCCTTGCCGTGTCTTCGAGCCCTCAGACGGCAAAGCTAAAGGTGTTTTCCTCCACATCCACGGCGGCGGCTGGGTTCTCCAATCCGAGAGAGCGCAAGACCCATACCTCAAATTCCTGGCCGATACCTGCCGCATGGTCGTCGTCAGCGTGGGATACCGCCTAGCCCCGGAACACCCCTATCCAGCGCCGAATGAAGATTGCTACGACATTGGCGAGTACCTCATCGACAACGCGGAGAAAGACTATGGTGTCCCGCTCCTATTCCTTGGTGGCGAGAGCGCAGGTGGCCATCTCAGCGCTGTGACGTGCCTGCACTTGTTCAAGTCTCGACCAAAGTTCGCTTTCAAGGGATTGGTGCTCAACTACGGCGTCTACGACTTAAGCGGCCTGCTTCCACAAGCATACAACTTCAAGCTCCCGCTCGTGCTCGACTTCGAGATCATGAGCAAGTTCATCGAAGCGTATGCGGCGGGTAAGTCGATAGAAGAGAGGCGGGACCCGGATATCAGTCCTTTCTTCGCGGATCTTGCGAGTTTGAGGGGCAAGCTGCCACCGGCGCTGTTTACTGTTGGTGGACAGGATTTGCTTCTAGACGACACGGTCATGATGGCGACCAAGTGGATGATGAGTGGGAACGAGGGCATCATGAAGATCTATCCTGGCGCTCCGCATGGATTTACGCTGTTCCTACCGAGTGTGAAGACGGAGACAGTCAAGGAGGCTATGGATGATATTGAGACTTTTGTCGGTGAGCGCTGTTAACAGGATAAGCCATAATCGAATGCGTTGAATCATTGCGTATCGTTACCGCCATCAACAAGACTTCTGCAACGCCATGTTGAATGCGGCGGTGTATCATCTCTCATAAGCCCTGGACTCCTAACCATGCGCTGTACTTTTCCTTTTCCCGACGCCGCTAGTATAGCACTCTTGTTCTAATTCGCGACCCCAGATCCTCAAGACTCTGATACAGATTCTTGATCTCACTCGAGTTGACATTGCTGATATCCGCCATCAGGTACGCCACCTCGCCTCTGCTGTCAGTCATCTGTTTGTCGACGTTGTGATTACCCAGGATCTCGTTGACTCGTCTCAGTACACCAGGCACGTTCTTGTGGATGTAGACGACCCGGACATGGTTGGGCTCATCGAGTGTGAGCGAGCGCAGGTTGACCTCTGGCATGTTGACAGCCTGCAGTGTGGTGCCGAAGTTGACGTAGTTCACCAGAGCTTCAGCAACCTCGACACCAATAGCCGATTGCGCCTCTTCTGTGCTGCCGCCGATGTGAGGAGTAAGGATGAGGTTCTTCAGATTTCTCAGATCTTCCGTCCAGGTGTTCAGGTCGTTGTTGAAGCCGGGTCCGTTGCCGCCGGGCTCGTTGGGGTAGACATCCAGCGCTGCGCCAGCGATTTTGCCGCTCTGCATTGATTTGATCAAAGCTGGAATGTCCACGACGCTGCCACGAGAGGCGTTGAGGAGATATGCTCCGTTGCGCATCTGCTCTAGTTGTGCGGTAGAGATCATGTTCTTCGTCTCCTCTAGTTCCGGCACGTGGAGGGTGACGAAGTCGGCCTGTTTGAGCAGCTCTTCGAGCGAAGGAACCTGTTTCGAGGTGTTCATGCCCATGAGGTTGACGACGTCATAGTATATGACGTTCATGCCCATCGACTCTGCCAATACCGACAGCTGGCTGCCGACGTGACCGTAGCCAACGATTCCAAGCGTCTTGCCTCGCACCTCCCAGCAGCCGTTCGAGACCTTGTTCCAGACACCGTTGTGTAGCTCCATGCTACGCTCGGCGAATTGGCGTGCCAAAGCAATGATCTCGCCAATCATGAGTTCAGCCACGGAGCGCGAGTTGCTGAAGGGCGAGTTGAAGACGCAGATGCCATTATTTGCGGCGTACTTCAGATCGACCTGGTTCGTGCCGATGCAGAAACAGCCTATGACTATGAGGTTCTTCGCGTGCTTCAAGACGTTGGCGGTGAGCTGCGTCTTCGACCGAATCCCAATGACCTGGACGTCTTTGATCTTCTCTATCAGCTGGTCTTCGGGTAGCGAGCTCTTCAGCGATTCCACCTGATATCCTTCCTTCTTGAGAATCGTCTGCCCGGTCTGGTTGACATTTTCAAGCAGGAGAACTTTGACGTCTTGGGTGTGGAATGGCTTGAGTTCTCTCGTCGATGCTCGTTGCGGAGCGTGGAATTGTTGATTCGGGCTGTGGAAGGTCGCGGTCGGGCTCTGCGAGAGGCTGTTGGAAGGATCGAAAGAGTTGGACACGGCGCGGTCGAGGCCGGCGCTGCCGTTGCGCTCGGGTATGTCTCGAGCGGCGGTGGGCATGTTGGGCAGTGTGTCGTTCTTTAGTATTGGTATGGTGGCGGTCCTTTATGTGAACTCACTTTGGCGACGTGAGTAATCGTCTTCGGCGATCACATGCACGAGGGAAAACTTCCAGGGTCTAGCCTGCAAGATCGACAGGCACTGGCGTCAGCCTTACAACCGTATTGGGAAACTGAGAGTGAATGAGAAAGCATATAGAATGTGGACGTGATGAGAATAATTGCAGAATGCGATTCCTACATGACATCGAAAACGCACCAGAGCGCATGCTCTGGAAGGTGGATGACAACACTCGAGGCTACAAGCTTCTGTGATTTGTCTCAGTACAGAGTATAGATACTATTGAGTCTATCAACAACGATGACGGCCTGCGGTCACTGCATCGCAGCCCTGAGCGACCTTGTGACGAACGTTGTACAACAGGTACTGCGCCACGAGCCTGGTCGAGGTGCATGCGCCCCTGGACCGTGTGGCCTGGCTCCTGTGTTTGCGCAGGCAGTATGCTGACGTTCTCATGGCCGAAGACCATTTCGACGCCCGTGGAGAAGTGTCGTCCAGCCTGTATACGCTGTGTCCCATTGACGTGGTATTTTTCCAATGAAAAGGCGGCAGACCATATTTGACCAGGCTCTGCTTTCGACTGCTTAGGCCAATCGGTCCTCAACCTCCCTTCATTCTGTCGACTGTCGCAGCGGCCTTCAATGATGCTCCCTACCAATTCCATCGCCCTAACCCATTCACAGCTTCGAGATTGGCTTCTTTGGTCGGATGAACAACGCCTCTCCAGTCGCGCACACAATCTCGTCGCCATAGTAGTCCTCGTCCGCGCCGACTCTCTGCTTGACTTCTGCAACGATCCACTCCTTCCTTCCCTCTCGCTTCACATAGCGTGCGCTCACGATCAGCGGGGCCTGTGTCGCAACGGGCTTCAAGTATCTGATCTTCAACTCCGCCGTGAAGAAGCTGTATCCTTCGGGCGGCAGTTCTCCCTCTGCTCTGCCTGTTGCCACCTCAGACATGTGGTCTCGCTCCCAGTTGGCAGACTGCAGGATGCCCATGCCTTCGTCGATTATCGTCGCTACAATCCCGCCATGCATGATGCGAGGATGTCCGTTGACCCCATCCCCAATGGTCATGAGGGTGTGGACTTCTTCAATCCTCTCTTGTGCGACTGGTGGCTTGGTGTAGAAGGTCAAGCATGATCGGATGGTTCGTGGTGTCTTTAGAACGTCGGCAAACAGCGAGTCCTCGCCGGATGGCTTTAGCTTTCGAGAGCCTGGTACACGTGTGATTACATTTGGTCGATTGAGGAGAGAGGCACACCTGCAGACACAAGATTAGCGAACGTCTCGAGACATGGTGTTGTGTTGGCTATTACCATGGAATCCGCAAGAACGGCTCTCTGCTATCAGAAGGCGGCATTGCGTGAATGGTACGCCCAACACCAGGCCGTGCCCTTGGGCTTCAAGGTCGTCACATTGGTGTCGGGCATACTCCTCCTGGACAAGGCGAGAGCTGATCGTTGCAGGGGTCCATCAACCTCGGCTTGTCGATTCACATGCAACACCCAGACGCGACTTCCTCTGACGACTCAACATCACGTGCAAAAATGGAAAGAGCGAATATACTGTCATCGCGGGTCTACGCAAGACGAGCTTCTCCCGTCGTCAGGCAAGATCCAAGAGATGAGACCGCTTGAAGGCTGAGCTGGCGCCTCCAAACCATCGACAGAGCCCCTCGACACGTTACATGTCCCTAGCGTTACATAACGCCTGTGGCGTGCAGCAACACCACAGATACAGTATATCAGTAGGTCGTACGCCCTACTGGGCCTTTCTTCTCAAACCCAAGAACCAGCATGAACGCGACTTTGGACGTTGACGCCGCCAGCAACACCACAGCAGCCATCTTATGTGCATACAACGACCGACGCAGCTCCAAAGAATTCTAGGTGGAACTCTTCGTCGTCCATTTGACAAAAATCGCGGCCTACTGCCACATTCTCTCGGGACGTAGAGAGAGGGTAGTCTCGTGGAAGGCCGCCTTCTATGTATTTGCACCCTACAGCATCTTCGCCTACCACCTGCTGGCTCCAAACACATTCCTCTGCGGTCTGGTCTACTACCTCTTCCGCCCTTCGGAAGAACTGAGGGATAGCCTCTGGCGGACGCCGCTCTGGTTGTTCGGCACGGTACCGAAGTCAGAGGGAGACGGATACGAGCTGCTTCAGCCAGGCCTGGACAGTCCACGGGACAGACGCCAGAGAATGAGTCCAGGTTTAAGAAGATCGGGCGATTCCTCCTTGCAGCAACGTTCCTGGTGCAGTGCATTGGAACAGTGGTACTCTACTCACGACGCCGTCAGCACCATGATGTCACCTTCGCTGACCAACGAGTCTTCGAAATGGGCTGCACCGGCATGCTCACGGCGACGTACTGGCTTGCGGACACCCTCGAGCTCCCTCCGTTCTCGAGACCCGCCCCAAACCTGCCTCCCGCCGCTAAAACCAAGTATGATAAGATCATCCTCGAGATCCGCGAATGCCAGGCAGCACCAATGCTAGGCGTTGGCGACGACCAGCCAATTCTCTTATCATTCTTCAAGAACGGCGCCGTAGCTTTGAGTATCGTACTCGTTGAAGGAAAGCTGGAAATCTTCAAACTCACATTCGCGTTGATCCACGACATCTTCACCGGCGATGACACGACATCCGGAGACGACTACACGGTGGAGTTCATCGTCTTCATCTTCGGCTTCTCCATCAGTGGTCTTATGTCTGTCTTCGCATTCTGCGGAACCCCTCGCAGCAAGACTTCCATGAGGCTGGGGAAGCGGCGAAAGTCGGAAGGTACGAAACCGTGGTGGATGTTCTGTCTTTGTCCATGCGGGATGGTACTTTTCTGGTTCCTAACTGTGCTTTTCCTCAGCGGCATTACCTCGTTGGTGGTGTTCTGTGTTGGTTGCAGCAACATCGGCGATCAAATCACCCAGCTGGATGCGTGGCCAACGAACACGACTTGTCCCCTGCTTTGGAGCGATTCAGCTGCGAATTGGATATGGGCGCTTGCGTAGCGATCAAATGTGTTTGTACAGCTGTTCTGTTTATACTAGAAGACCGCTTAACGCTATGTACGACAAAGTATCCTTATAACGAAGATGCATCTCATGACCCAACCAAAGCGTTCCTGTATACCCAATGACTTGCCCGTTCACGTCATGAGCAAACACCTTGACATAAGCAGGCCTCTCATGACCTAGCTCGATCTTCGTCTCAAAGCCTGCCCTAGCCACGCGGACCAGCGGCTCCAGCGGGTACATAAACTCGACGACCTGCTCGCTCCCTTCTCGCGAACTGCCCTCCGTTTCCGGGAAAGCGGCTGCAGTGTCGCTTCCAAACACCACCCATTCTTTGACCTCCGTGGCACCGTTCCAGCTGACCCACAGAGTACCGTTGCGATCAAAGGCGATGCTTGGTGGCCATAGCGGCTTGCCAACCCAAGACTGCTTGTAGACTCGCGATGACTGCACACCAATGCCACCAACGGAATGTCCAGAATACAGTGGGCTGTATTGGACATCGCGGATCAGCCGCCCGTCGCTGGTGTGTTCGGTGAACTCTGCATTCACACCCCAGCTGACGAGATAGTGCTTCGTTTCTGCTTTCGTGGGTCCGTCCGGGTAAGGCAGAGGGTGCATTGAGCCGAAAATCACGCTCTTGAGCCCATGTGAGCTTCGGAAGTCATGGACTAGCTCGACGGTCAGATTTTCCGGATTACTCGTGGTGATGCGGACCTCACGCCCTCTGGAGCACGAAGGGCCAGTACAACCCAGCTGTGTTGACAGCTCGTGGTTGTCAAAGAACGTAATCTGTACATCATTAGATTTCAAAAATCTTGTGAGAAGACGATTCTTCTCTTACCCTGGATATCGCATCGTCCCAGAACCTCGCATGATGCTGCCATCCAAAGCCCAAAGCTCCTTCGCTGCCTTCGTTCGCCGACAAGATCTCAGGACTGGTGACATCCGTGAAGTCGTTCAGCTTGCCGTTGAGATTCCAGACAGGCTTTCCCGTCTTCCCATCAATGTAGACCAAGGTTTTTAGATTGCGCAGCGAGACGAGATAATTGCCTTCGGCAGTCCTTTGGAGCGAGTTGATATGGTATACGTCGATCCCAGACGACGTTGTGTAGGAACCAGCCGTATCATCGGCAGACCCTCGACGCCGGGTATCGAAGGTACTCGTGTAGTTCCAGTAAGTCATATCCGGACTGAAGTGATCGCTCGCACACCAGGTGAACAGAACTTCACTGTCGACAATATTGAGCTCTTGGAAGCAGCTATCCGCAAGCATGTCATTGGTACTGCCACCTATCGAGGTCAAGTCGAATCTCTTGTCTTGGTATGCCGTGAGCAATACAGTGTCGTCAGAAGTGACTGCACACTCGTGCATGTCGGCGTCGACGGTCAGAGGTGCTCCCAGAGTAACGTTCCACGCCAGCTGATAATGCTCATCGTAGAACACGCAGAAACCCTGCGAATCGCCGCGGTTTCTCGCACCATGCCAGAATGTCAGGTATTGCTTGCCATCAAATGACTGGACTCTGGCATTCATAGCGTAGTCGAAGCTCGGATCGGAATAGACCAGGCTGAGATCATCGTCCCGGAAAATGTACGGGCCAGCACCGGTGTAGTCGAGAGTGAAGAAGAGGTGAAACGAGCGGTCCGAGAGTATCAAGTCTTTCCGCCATTCTCCGTAGTTGAAGACCGGAGACGTGATGTCTGAGCTGTAGTACGTTTGCTCTGGCACATGTGTTCCATTCTGGTAGCTTTCAAAGTCATGGAGGACTGGTTGGTCGGCCAGAGCGAAGCCTGCAAGTGCCGTGACGAGCCATGGGTGCATCAGGCATTGAGTAGTGAGGTGATGCCGTTTCAACGAGATTCACGACATGCTGATGTTGACGGTGAAAGAACAACCAACGTGGACTCGCAGAAAGGATCACGGCTCCCTTAGCCTGGCGCCGGCGCCATGAGTTTGAACCTTGTCAGCCACGGGATGAACGGATGCGTCTCAACCGGAGAAGGCTGTCCAATGTAGACTCCAGTCTTCGTAGTATCTTAATAGAAGGACATTATGGTCTACCTGCGAGACTTCCAGATCACTGACTCGAGACCTCGATACGACCATCGTGAGTTGGATATGGGATGATATGCTCTACGATGCAACACACTTGGATATCACCTAGGCTCCGCCATCACTACTCCTTACATAAGACCTGTACACGGATTGAATCTCGTCGAACGACACTCCCACTTCCAAAACCCGCCTTTGCCTCCCTACAGCAAGTCCCTCTTCACAAACTCCTCCCTGAGAGTCGCTCCAAGCTTCGCAGGGCTCTTCTCGACAACCACGCCGGCTCCTTCTAACGCACTGATCTTCGAGTCCGCGCCACCCTTGCCACCGCTCACAATAGCACCAGCGTGACCCATTCTCCGTCCTGGAGGCGCGCTGATACCGGCGATAAAGCTCACGACCGGCTTGTTCGCCGTGTTGGCCTCCTTCAAGAAGTCTGCTGCGTCCTCCTCTGCGCTGCCACCAATCTCCCCGATCATGATAATGCCGTCAGTCTCCTTGTCATTCAGGAACACCCTCAGGCAGTCGATGAAGTTTGTTCCGCTGAAAGGATCACCACCGATGCCAACAACAAGAGATTGTCCGAGTCCAGTTTGTGTTGTCTGGTTGACAGCCTCGTAAGTGAGAGTTCCAGACCGGGAGACGATTCCGACACGGCCTCGCTTGTGGATGAAGCCAGGCATAATGCCGATCTTGCATTGGCCCTAGAATGATGCGTTAGCATTTGATCCTCATGGAGCCCAAGTATCTGTCGTTGCAACGCTCGCATCTCTCTCAGTCAGGCCTTTGTTTCTTAATCAAGCCCGCAATTTGCGGGCAGATCATACTCTTCCTATCATGTTCAAGTAATAGACTCATCATTGTAGCTTCTCTTCCAACCCTTTTCATACGAACATGGAACATATCGACTCACCGGAGCAATGATACCAGGACAGTTCGGCCCTACCAGTCTTGTCTTGTTCTGCGTCTTGAGAATGTCGGTGATCCGGACCATGTCATGCTGCGGAATCCCCTCCGTTATGCAGACAATAAGCCCAATCTCTGCTTTGATCGCCTCTTCAATACCAGCTGCTGCAAGCGGGGGTGGCACGAATATCGCGCTTGCGTCTGCTCCCGTCTCCTTCACTGCATCGGCCACAGATGCGAACACAGGCTTGCCGAGGTGCTCCGTCCCAGCCTTCTTTGGGTTCGTGCCGCCGACGACGTTCGTGCCATACTCGATCGCTTGGTGCGCGTGAAACGAGCCCTGTGGAAGCAGCGCGTTAGCTTCTAGATAGCGATGCAGGGGAACATCCGGTGAGAGCTGGAACGTACTTGTCTGCCGGTGAACCCCTGGAAGATGACTTTGGTCTTGTCGTCGACTCGCAGGTTCACATTGGTTGCGGCGTAGCCTGTCGGTGCGGCCGCTGCGGAGGCATATGCGGCGGAGGCAGACTTGGTGAGAGGAGAAGAACGCAGAGCACGAGTGAGCGGCTGCCGCAGAGATTGCATTACGGCGGAGGCGGAGGCTAGGGCGGACGGGAAGGTAGTTGTGGTAAGGACGGCGGCTTGGAGAGCCTCGAGTCGGAAGATGCGCAAAGGTCAGAGGGTACAGATAGGTCCTGGTGGGTGTTGCTGAGAGCTCCAGCTCCTGCCCTGTTTCGATTGGTTTGCGCGGATCGCTCCACTAGCGCGAAGTCTAAAAACGCTACTTCGTTTCTCCCGAAGCATGTGAAAGCCGTATCACAGACAGAACGCAGAGTTACCAAACAGGACGAGCCTCCAGAATTCCATTGTGGACGAGTTCGGCCTTGACTCAAATATACGAAGAGCAAAAGAGTAACATGCTACAACATTGCAATGACGGGCCTGCTTCAACTTCCTTCTGAGCTCATATCTGAAATTGCCAGTTACTTGGACACGGAGACGCTTTTCTCGCTACGTCTGTCCAGCAAGTACCTCGAGCAATCATGCCTGTCTGTATTCGGCAGACGCTTCTTCCGAAAGAAGGGTTTCCTCATTACCACCCGAAGCATATCGGTCCTCCAAGCTATCGCGAGCCAGGAGAAGCTGCAAAAGTATGTTCAACACGTCTGGATAAACCCTGACTGCTACACATCGAGTGGGCCTCGCTGTGACCCGCCAAATCTATATGATGAGTCCAAGGAGGGAGATTGCACCCCCTCAAGCAAAATGGACCGCAGGCGGTGGCGTGCATGGCATGCATGTACGCAAGACCACGCGACATTGATATACACACCGCACCTGCTGGCAACATTGCTAAAGTCAGCATTTAAAAGTTTGCCCAATCTCACTGTCCTTGGCATGCGGCGAAGTGAGGACCATCATGCGTGGGGATGCAAAGAGTTGAAGGATGCAATCGGGCAGGACCCACGAATTGTTGGATCATATCCAGGGGCTCAGGATGGCTTATCGGGTCCAACGCTCCTCTTCATCGCCTTCGTGAACGCTGTCGCAGAGGCTAAGGTATCATTGAAGCGACTTTATACAGATGCAATCGAGATTGACAACATCCGCGATTGCTACTTGCCGCAACGCCGGCTGGAGCAAACATTCCGTGACTTGCTCTATCTCGAAGTCAATGTCTACAGGGGCCGTTACTCAGAAGAACAAACACTTGATTTACTGAAATGCGAGAGAAAGGAAGAGTACGGCAAGGGTTTCCTGCGATTTTGGAAGGCATGCAAAAATCTACATGAAGTCGGACTACAGGTGTTCGATGGTCCCATGCGGCGATACATGCTACCGCCGACCTCCAATGATCTACCCGATGGACTTCCACCGTCACGACTCGACCAATTCTCATGGCTCCAAGCCTACCCTCACATCGCTTTTCAGAAGCTGGTTGAGAACGTACAACTCCATCAACTAAGAAGGATCAAACTGGAGAAGATGACCACCACGCCCGATACGCTTCAGGCATTCTTGTCGCCATCACGAGGCTCACTCACGAGCATCAAGTTCCGCGACTTTCGCCTCCTGTCTAGCGACGAGAGCGGCCGGCCATGGCAGAGTGTGTTCACCTTCCTCCGAGACGACTGTCCTGACCTATTGTACATCCTCCTCAACCGTCTCATGTACGAAGGCGGAACCATCTCGTTTGTCGAACACCCTCCGCTTCCTGTTCCGTACCTCGAGATCCAGGATCCGAACGACAACCCGAATGTTCAATATGGCGAGCCCGTCAGTGACGGCTTCTTCAGCAAGTACGAACACATTGCGCTGGAAGCCAGTGGGCGAGAGAATGTTGCAGCGAAACTGGGTAGTATCGTCAACCAGCACTGGTATCAGCAGCCGCTATTTAGCTACCAGATGGTGAGTAAATATGGGTAAAAGGGCTCACCAAGACATCATCACACTGCAAGTGGCGCTCTGAGACCTTTTGAACCCTCCCTCGCCATCGAGAAACTTGCTGACCCTTTTACCCTTCGGTGCTTCAGGATGAGGACTTGTGGCACACGGATACTAGTGATGAGGAGTGGTAATGGTAGTTGAGCAGGATTGGAACTAATGCAAATTGGTCAAACGCAAGCGTTCTCTCGTTCAAACATGTATCACAATTGAATGTTCAATGTCGTTGCCAAAAGCGCTGCTCTAAGAAAGGTCGGCCCGTGCGTCAATCGCCAAGACTTGGTTCTAGCTTTCTAGAGCTCGACTTCATCGCCGCAAATTTCACTGACCGCAGAAGCAGCACCACTTTCTACCACTGTATCCTACACAGCAGCGCATCCGCAATGGCGCTCGTCAAGACGCAGAACGAGAGCGACGAGCACGTCATCAAGCCAGAGAATGTTGGGGCGAAGACACTTTCAAGCCAATTTCCACTTCTCTGTAAGACATTCTTGTTCACATTTCCTCTCACGGCCACTGACATTTCTGGCAGTACGCAACTATGAAGACCTACTCGTGCGGACGGGTCACTTCGTAGGTTCCATCTGGAGGATCAAAAGCTGGGACATCACTGACTTCTCCCACAGACACCCATTCCCGCTGGCTGCACACCTCTCCGACGCGAACTCAAGCAGTATATCTCCTCGGGAGTCATCTGCCTCGACAAGCCCTCGAATCCCTCCTCCCACGAAGTCGTAGCATGGCTCAAGCGCATGCTGAGAGTGGAGCGCACCGGGCACAGCGGTACCCTCGACCCCAAAGTCACCGGCTGTCTCATTGTGTGCATCGACCGCGCGACAAGACTCGTCAAGAGCCAGCAAGGAGCAGGGAAGGAGTACGTCTGTGTACTGCGCATGCACAGCAAGCTTCCAGGCGGTCAAGCACAGCTCGCGCGCGCGCTGGAGACTTTGACTGGCGCGCTCTTCCAGCGGCCACCGATCATTTCGGCGGTGAAGAGACAGCTCCGCATACGCACAATTCACGAAAGCAAGCTCCTCGAATTCGACAACGATCGGCAACTCGCAGTCTTCTGGGTCTCGTGCGAGGCGGGAACATACATCCGAACTCTCTGTGTACATCTCGGTCTTCTGCTTGGTGTGGGCGCGCATATGCAGGAGCTAAGGCGTGTACGGTCCGGAGCCATGAACGAGCAAGAGAACATGGTCACTTTGCACGATGTGCTGGACGCGCAGTGGCTGTACGATAATCAGCGGGACGAGTCCATCCTCCGATCTGTCATTCAACCTCTGGAGACACTTCTCGTGTCCTACAAGCGCGTGGTTGTCAAGGACTCGGCAGTCAACGCAGTCTGCTACGGTGCGAAGCTGATGATCCCGGGACTTCTGCGCTACGAAGGCGGCATCGATGTATACGAAGAGATTGTCTTGATCACCACAAAGGGGGAGGCCATCGCCATCGCCATCGCGCAGATGAGCGCAGTGGAGATGTCGTCGTGCGATCACGGCGTCGTAGCCAAGGTGAAGAGATGTATCATGGAGCGCGACCTGTACCCGCGGAGATGGGGCATGGGACCTGTCGCTGTCGAGAAGAAGAAGATGAAGGAGAGCGGCAAGCTCGACAAGTACGGTCGCATGAACGAGCAGACTCCTGCGCAGTGGAAGAAGGAATATCAGGATTTCAATGATCCCGAGGGCGTCAACGGTAAGTTCGGACAGAGCGAGCAGCAGGCAGACGAGGGCGCAGCGGTGAAGGAGGGTATGCCGGGGAGAGGCAATGAGTTACCAAAGAAGGAGGAGGTCCTAAGCGCAGAGCCGGTGCCACCAACAAACATCGCAGAGGCCCCTGCCGAGAACGGTGAGGCGGGCGAGAGGAAGAAGAAGCGCAAGCACGAAGGCGAGACGGCAGAAGAGAAGGCGGATAGGAAGCGGAAGAAGAAGGAGAAGAAGGAGAAGCGAGCTTCGAAGGGAGCAAAGGAGGAGGCGGATGACAGCGATTAAGAGAGGTCTGATGCCGTGCTGGAATCGAAGTACTGAAGGCGCACACGGCGACTTCAACGCATCATGGGTGTTCAGGCGGGTATGACTTGTGGAAAGGCTTAGCTGGTCCCTGTATCATACGAGCGATGAAGGCAAGGCGTTCCAGGAGCTGATGGCGTTCTATGGGTATGAAGGCAGCGAGAAGAGCTTGAAAGCATCCGTATGCCGCCGTTGCGAAGATGTCCATAGCGAATGCAAACATGTGAAAGTGCTCATCAACTCCGCTGTGTGCCTCGTCATTTGAACCTATAGCCATTGCAGGCGTGTGCATGTGCTGTCCTTCTGTGACACCCGATAAAGTTCGTCCGCTGACCCTTGATCTCGCCCCGCGCAACACACCCCACTTCGTTTGCTGTCGTTGAAATATCTCTTCGACAACAACCACACCTCACCGTCAACACTTTTTCACGACAACAACAACTCTTGATTACAGTCCACCGTCAACGCACTCACAACTCACATACCCCCAAACTTCATCCGCCAAGATGAAAGCTGGTAAGAGCTGACCACGATGCAACCCACCATTGGCTCGAAAGACATCATTGATCGCTGACCGTACCATAGTTGTTGCTGGCGCCAGTGGCGGTAAGATCTCACGAGCGAAAGTGTTGTATACAACATATGGCTAATCTTTGCGATGCTCTGTGGTAGGCATTGGCCAAGTAAGTTGTTAGCAATAGCCTGTGCGACCTTCTGCTCATCTGATCTAACACATGCTATAGCCCCTCTCCCTCCTGCTCAAGGCGTGCCCGCTCGTCGACCACCTCAGCCTCTACGATGTCGTCAACACCCCGGGTGTCACCGCCGACCTCTCTCACATCTCTTCCGTCGCGAAGATCGACGGCTTTCTCCCAGCGGACGACGGCATGAAGAAGGCGTTCACCGGGGCGGACATCGTCGTCATTCCTGCCGGTATCCCACGTAAGTGAAAACAACACAAGGAAAACAACTTCGTGGGAAAGGAAAGTTCAAGAGCACATCCTAAAACATCTTGATTCTACAGGCAAGCCAGGCATGACCCGCGACGACCTTTTCAAGATCAACGCTGGCATCGTCCAGGGCTTGATCGAGGGTGTCGCCAACTACTGCCCCGACGCCTATGTCCTCGTCATCTCCAACCCCGTCAACAGCACCGTCCCGATCGCGGCTGAGGTCCTCACCAAGGCCGGCAAATTCAACCCAAAGAAGCTGTTCGGTGTCACCACGCTCGATGTCGTGCGTGCCGAGACGTTCGTGCAGGCTATCACCGGCACCAAGGACCCCGCGCAGACCGTCATCCCAGTCATTGGTGGTCACTCCGGCGAGACGATCGTGCCGCTGTTCTCCCAGGCGAAGCCCTCCGTGGACATCCCGAAGGAGAAGCTTGATGATCTGACGAAGCGTATGCCCAACACCGTCCCAGCTACATTGGCATATGTGCTGATCTTAATGCTTCTTACTAGGCGTCCAGTTCGGTGGTGACGAGGTCGTCAAGGCCAAGGACGGCGCTGGTTCTGCCACGCTCAGCATGGCTTACGCTGGCTACCGTTTCGCCGAGCGCGTCATGCAGGCGGCCAAGGGCAAGTCTGGTGTCGTCGAGTCCACCTTCGTCTACCTTCCAGGCGTTGATGGAGGTGACGCGATCGCCAAAGAGACTGGCTGCCAGTACTTCTCCGTCCCCGTCGAGCTTGGCCCACAGGGTGCTGTCAAGGCGCACAACATCGTCGGATCCGCCAACGAGTACGAGAAGGGGCTGCTGCAGGCATGCTACGACGGGCTCAAGGGCAACATTGAGAAGGGTATTGACTTCGTCAAGAACCCACCTCAGAAGTCTGAGAAGTAAGCAATCCAATTTCTTTTCATTTTGTGGCATGGCACGCGGCAGAAGGAGTATTGGGTCTTGTGCCTGGTGCTAACGGGCATGGCTGGCAGATAGGCTTTGATCGCAAGGAGCGTCACTGGCACATAGCTGGCTTTCACTGGGTCGTACGGTCGGGCTTCAGTGAGGCGATATGATGAGATGTGCATGACGAAGGCTGCATGAAACATACTGACAGTCCCAAGCTGTGAATGATGATGCAAAGCTCTCTCATGAACTACCGTCTCTCAAATGGTGATGTCCATGGCGCTGCTCGTTGGTCTGAGCGTCCTCAGTCAGCTTCTGGCGTCTCACGAGTCCTTTCGTTTTGCCCATAGACCCAGATGACCTTTTTGTCCACTTTTTGTCCACGGAGGCGTACGAATCAAGCTGTCACATGGGTATCGTGTACGGAAACAATCTCGGTGTCGGATCTCATCCCCTCGCCGCCCAATCTTGCGATATGACGCGCCCTCCGAAGACTCAGTGACCGCCGCGACAATACATTCTGCATCATGTGATGAGGCTATAAAATGCCTACAGTCGATGTTAGCACCGTACCGTGAGCGTAGATCCTGCGCTCGACTTGAGTCCGCCATGTGGTTTGACTGCTCGCAGTCTTGAACTGCTGGTCGTTGTGCGGCTGTCGATCATTCCAAACTCTCACGACGAAGCAATCTCTCCGGTGTGCCAGATATCAACTTCACGAGAGTGAGATTTGAACTTCCAGTACATAGGGGACGACTGGGCCACGTCTGCGGGTCTGTCTGCGCGAGTTGAGAAAGACGGCGAAAATAGTTGCCACTGATATTTGCTCGCCCTGCTGGATATCAGACAGATCGGTGCAGGGCGTGAGTAGCAAAACCACCGGGACATGTAAGCATCCAAGATGCAAACTGTCAGACCATAAACCTCGACTACCACTGCCTGGGAGAACAAAAACCGGCGATGTTAGAACATTCGAGTGACGGCCTTACATGCGCTCCGTGTGGTCAGCTGCGCCTGCCATTGAGCCTCGTACGATCTGGGACGCTCATGTCGGAACTCACGACAGTGCCGACGAAATGCTAGAACAGAGCAGGCGCGAGGAAGGGGTTTGAATGTCCGATAGACTTTCCTTCTCCGTGGAAGGTAGGCCACGAGGGTTCTATACATATATCAGCCTGCCATCTCCCATCTTTTCTACAAGAGCGGCATTCCAAATCGCCTATTCTCCTCATTCTATACTCTCTGTCCTACGATCAGCGAGGGCGGACCGCAGCACTTCTTGTCAACACCACAGCAGCGCGACCAGCGATTTCTCGCAATGAAGGCGGTCATACCCGCGGCCCAAGACGCAGTTCAAGCGATAACATCCGCCGTTAGCATCGACGGAGCATCATGGGGCAGAGCAGACAAAGCCAAATGGCCGCACAACGTCACGGCTTTGCTGGTCTTCGTCGCGCCGACCTGGATGTACATCAACTGGCTAGCACTTGAGCACTACGATGCGTCGCTGCTGGAAGCCGGCCGAGCACTCTTTCTGCAAGGACCGGTACAGCTTATGAAGCACCATTTCCCGCAGCCCACATTTGCTGCGTTCGTTGGTTACGCTGCATGGCTGGGACTGCAGACTGCGCTCTACGGTTTGCTACCTGGGAAGCATTGTTTTGGCCAACGAACCCCTGGAGGCCATTTGCTGGAGTACACGGCGAACGGACTCCTGGCTTGGGCGGTAACGCATGGTCTGTACTTGGCCGCCGCGGTGACTGGGATGCTGGATCCGGCAATTATGGCAAAGCATTGGCAGGGGCTGTTCGTCGCGGCCAATCTCTATGGTGTTGTTCTGGCTGTGCTTGCCCAGGTGAAGGGATATTGGTGTCCTTCGTATCCTGCGGATCGAAAGATGAGTGGTATGAGGCATATGTTGCAGCGACACTTGCACATTGCTAATCTGACGCAGGCTCTTGGATCTTTGACTTCTGGGCTGGTGTGGGTACTCTTGACAATTACGCACGCTTGAGGGTCATGCTGATTGTGTCAAAGGTCGAACTCAATCCTCGGTTAGGCGACTATTGGGACTTCAAGTTCTTTCACAACGGTCGACCGGGTATCGTAGCTTGGACATTGATGTAAGCCATCGAGATGAAATGAAGACAGTCCGCCACTGACACTACCAGCGACCTCTCCTGGACAGCCTACCAATACCAGAATCTCGGCCACATCGCCACCTCCATGTGCATTGTCCTGCTCTTTCACACAATCTATGTCGTCGACTTCTTCCTCAACGAAGACTGGTACACCCGCACCATCGACATCACCCACGACCACTTCGGCTTCATGCTTGCCTGGGGCGACACGACATTCCTCCCAGCCTTCTACACCCTGCAAGCGCAGTACCTCGCCCGCTACCCTGCCTACCTCAGCACAGCCCAGTCGGCGACAGTCCTCGTCCTAGGTATCGGCGGGTACGCCATCTTCCGCATCGCCAACCACCAGAAAGACTACGTCCGCTCGCGAAACGGCAACGCAATCCTCTGGGACCGCCCGGCGACATTCATCCGCTGTAACTACCGCACGAGCGACGGCAAAGAGCACAGCAGCATCCTGCTCACGTCCGGCTGGTGGGCGGTCTCGCGGCACTCGAACTACCTAGGCGACTTGATCTTGGCGTTCGCCATGTGCGCGGCCTGCGGGGTGAACCATGTGTTGCCGTGGAGTTACTTCTTCTATATGACGGTTCTGCTTTGCCATCGCGTGTGGAGGGATGAGCATAGGTGTCATATCAAGTATGGGAAGAAGTGGGAGGAGTATTGCGCCAAGGTGCCGTATCGGATCATGCCGGGGGTGTGGTGACGCAGGTCTGGTTGTTGGGTTGGGGACTTGCGGGCTATTGAAGGCCTGAGCGGTGACTTTGGGGTGTGCTGTACCTAGGCATAGATCGCGGGCTGGTGTCAGAGGAGCTATTCGTATTTGCTCTCTACGAAAATGGCTTTCTTCCGCTACGGAGTGCAGTCCACTCGATGACATTCTTGATATCGCTTTCGTGGAAGTAAGGAACTTGGTAAGCAATCGGCTCTGATTGTCGCTCTGATTTGGCACCAATAGTATGGCACTCATGCAAGGACAGCCAATCCAGCCAGATACCGTTCGCTGTCTCCAGCTGCTACGAAGCACTCCACAGCACCCATTGGACACCTTCGGGACGATCGGCGTCTCTTTGCGGTTATGCCTCGCTGCTGGATATGCTCGAGTAGCGATGTCGCAGAGCGTTGCGCACCGAACCACTCTGTTAAGGGTGGAATGCACCTCTTACCACCTTCCCAGCCTCACAGAACCAGGATGCATCATTTGAGGTGCTGACACTGGAGCTCTGCGTCTCAGACCGAGCGGACTTGAGCCGCAATGCAATCGAGCAGCGGACGAACATGATTCAGGCCTGAACAATTGGCGGATGCCATGCATCGAGCCACAGAGGTGCCTGCTTCAAGGGATCACGGATGCCGCTGGCAGTGAGGGTTTGCACGTGTTTGATCTCTTGTCGAGCCTACTGCTGCTGCGTGTTGAATATGGAGGCCTGTTTTCTGTCAGAATCGTCATTCAACAAGCTTAGAGTGTGACATACAATGAAGCTCTCCAGGCCTCCCTCAAATAACTCATTTGCCACACCAACACCACGAGGATGCTCCGTCGGTGCCAGTGGACTCTTCACCACATACTCCACGTACAGCGTGGCCCAGATCTGGTACAGGACCGTCCGCATATTACCAACGCGTGTGTCGGTGAGCATGACCAGCTTCAGCTGTGTCGGCGTCTCGAAGTAGTGCAGCTTGTATTCGCCGGTCCGATAAGAGAGGAATTGGTCATCTTTGCCTCCCAGTTGGCGTGCCATGCGCCTAAGGGAGAAGATGGTGCCAAAGATGAGCTTGGCGTCGTCTTCGGCCTTCATTGCCCGTTTCGCGGCTGCAGGGACGTCTCCATTGCTGAGAGCATTGGCCGCGTTGGAGGTCGACTTGATGGTTTTTGGTGCCGTCCATCGCTTTGTGTAGATGCACTCGGCTGGATCTTGTTAGTTGTGACTCTGTTTTCGGAGAGTGTATATCTCACTGTGCCTACCATACGAAACGAGACCACGTCAGCAATGTTCTATAGCAGGACCTCTTGTTCGTCAAGACTCACCTATCGAAGATATAAAAGGAGTAAATTGGCGCGTTCATAGTGACGAATGTTGGTGTTGTGCGGTGGAGTTGTGGTGTGTCAGACAAGGGGCAGATTGCAGGAGAAGTGGGTGCATATGCGGACTGAAATGAGCACTCTGCTTCTTGCTTTTCGCTGCCGCTCCTGAGGCCTCTGTGGCAGACGAGAGGTCAAGGACTCAAGGCCGCTGGAGAAGTTCGTCAGGCTAAGGCAGCCACCCGCCGTCGCCGTCGCTAGCGGATCAGCCCCTCCCAGGGAAGTGGGACTCAGCACGTGGTAGCTTCATCCTGCGAGACAGAGGGACTTTAACGCCGCACGACGCCGCCGCCGCCAGACCACAAGAGCTATGCCCGGGCAGATTTCGTAGATAGCTTCAGAGGCATGCCTGAGTTGCTCACTCTTACCTACCACTTCCTAAGCATTATCCTACTCTGACATTGGTTCCCTCGTTCCTATCATGTGAAAGCGTCAACACTCGACATACCATGGCTGAAGAACCTCCCAGCGACTTCCTACACCCCAAGTCCGCCTCAGCACATGACATTGAACATCGGCAGGAGGGCGACCATGGCATCAGCATCAACCTCCCTCCCGACCACGATGGCCGCCCTCCCCCGGTCAGGCACATGTGAGTAGACGTTCTCAGCCTTACGGACGGTGAGCTTCTCTAAAAATCTGTCAGATCCGCGCCTACGTACCAAAGTCCGATAAGACACCATCGAAGAGCGCCGTCGAGATCAAAAGGTGTTAAAGAGACACTGAACGCGCGATCCCAATACGGCAGCAGCGACGATGCCTCCGTCCACCGCATCAACCAGTACAACATCAAGCAAGAGATTGGAAGAGGGAGCTTTGGTGCTGTACACCTTGCGGTCGACCAGTTCGGACATGAGTTTGTAAGAGCATCCTTGGACCTGAGACGTGTTGCTGCGCCTTTATCGCGCAATTGGTGGCTGACCATCTTGTCGGGACATAGGCTGTCAAGGAGTTCTCCAAGTCCAGATTGCGAAAGCGTGCGCAGTCGAATCTGCTACGAAAGCCGAACCAACCACGAAGAGCCGGACATATAGCGGCTGGCTTCAGTTTCAATGCTCCTTTGCATCTTGGTGCCAATGGCCACACAGCTGAAGCTAACAACTCGCTGAGTCTGATCAAGGAGGAGATCGCGATCATGAAGAAACTCGACCACAACAATCTGGTTTCGCTGATTGAGGTACTGGATGACCCTCAAGAAGACTCGCTGTACATGGTCTTGGAGATGTGCAAGAAGGGCGTGGCAATGCACGTCGGTCTCGACGAGCGCGCACAGCCTTACCAGGACGAGACCTGCCGTTGCTGGTTCCGCGACATGATTTTGGGTATTGAGTATCTGCACGCGCAAGGCATCATCCACCGAGACATCAAGCCTGACAACTGCCTCATCACGAATGACGATGTGCTGAAAATTGTTGATTTTGGCGTAAGCGAGATGTTCGAAAAACAATCAGAAATGACTACTACAAAGTCTGCCGGCAGTCCAGCTTTCATGCCACCAGAGCTTTGTGTGGCGAAGCACGGACAGGTCAGCGGACGGGCAGCCGACATCTGGAGCATGGGCGTGACATTGTACTGTCTGCGATACGGCCACATACCTTTCGAGAAGGGCAGTATTATGGAGCTCTACGATAGCATACGAGGTGACGAACTTCCTCTCGGAGAAGAGCAAGATGCCAACTTTGCAGACCTGATGAAGCGCATGCTCGAAAAAGACCCAGAGAAAAGAATTACGATGGACCAGCTAAGGGTAAGCTATACTGCCCGCCAGCCGCTGAGCAGTATCACTAACAGCCACAGCAACATCCGTGGGTCACAAGAAACGGGACGGACCAACTGCTCTCAGCCAAGGAGAACTGCGCAGACATCATCGAGCCTCCTTCGCAAGCTGAGATGGACCACGCAATCACTGGCAACATGGGCAACATCCTTGCTGTGGTCAAAGCAGCGAAGCGCTTCCGTAAGATCATCAGCGACAAGCGAGGCCGTTTCATAGATGGTATATTCGGCCGCGACTCCAATTTTGTGCTTCCTCCACACACTCTCAGAAGCCATTCCCAGGACGATCATGACCGACACCCGCTCGACAAGATACTGGTCACCTCTGGCGTCCAACGGGAGTATGGCGAAAACGCTGATCTGGAAAAAGTGGCCAGCGACTTGGATGACCTCCAGTTAGTGCAGTCGCCTGAAGCTAGCGGCCCTGGCGGCTTCGAAAGGAGTCGCGACGAATCCAAGGCACATTACAAACAACGCCAGGAGACAGCGAGTCACCACCCCAGTCTGGACGAACATGCGGGGGAGATGCGGTCAAGGATAGCCGAAGGAGACGGTCATGCAAGAGGTCAAGCACATGACCCCTTGGAAGACAATACATACCTCGCCATAGGCGTCGATCCTGAGGCACCCGGAAACGAAGACTATCTCGTCGTCAGCGAAAGCCCGCCGGCGGTCGACATGAACATCTACGAGCAAGCGTACCAGGATGAGATGGAGAGGATTCTTCAGCGCCGCGGTGGAGAGCCGTCCATATACATGACCCGCCGAGTCGAGCACCGAGACGATATCCGAGCATTGAGCAACATCAAAGACGCTGGCAAGCATGCTGTGAGGCGCGCAGCGCTCAGGTTTGATCGACTGTCAAGTAGCGGCTTTGCAACGACACAGGAGGCTAGTGATGCCGGTCGGTCCGCCGCGAGAAGTGCTGCAGACAAGTTATCTGGCAAGTGGGCCACGGGAAGTACTTCTGCTTCCGAATATTTGGAGCCGTGGAAGCAGACGGCCAAGGACACGGCAAGTCGAGGTTACGGAAAGATGGGTGACATCTACAGTAAATCTGGCGGCGGAGGCGGCAAGATCTCGGATTTGGTGTCTCGCGCTCAGGCGAAGTATCGAGGTGAAGGATCCGAGTCGAGCGTGCCAGCCAAGCAAGCAGAGGCGACGCAACAGGATGCTACCACCACGGGCCAGCCGGACGAAGCATCCGTGACTCCAGCAGCACCAGAGCTGCCCACAGTTGCGCCTGGGGGCTCAGAACAGCCGAAGGACGACACATCGAGCACGCCAGCGGCACTGCCCGTGAAGTCAGCCTTTACGGAGCACATCATATAACATTTTCACTCCCGTATTGGGACATCGGCGTCAAATTGGAAATGACTTGGACACGAGGGACAGGCACGATTGTGCAGAAGGCAGGGCGGCAGAAGCGCTGGTCGCTACAGCCTAGGACAGGTACATACATGCAAGGAATTAGCGAGGCGTTGGACATGGGGCAGACATCTCGATGTCAAGGGAGCCTTCTTAGGAAGCAATGTCTGAACGATTATGGTCGAATACCTTATTCTTCCCTACACATCCCCTGAAGTCGCACGGTCCAGGTGTCAGTGACATCACGTCTCAAGCTCAAGTGAATCCGACATCTAAAGCTTATGGTTTTACTACAACTGCCTTCTATTCAACCCCTCCTCAGTACACCCTAACCACCTACACGACAATGGCATCCCGCCTCTTCCACCCCTCCCTCTTCCACCTCCGCAGCCCGCTCTTCGCCGCCAGCTTCGGCGTCTCCTCTGCCATCTTCGGCGCATCACTCCTCCAAGCCCACCGCTCACGCTACGCATACCGCCTCGACTCGTCGCCTTCTTCCACCAGCGCGAAAGACTGGTCCTTCTCACAGTACCAGAGTGAGGCGCGGACACCGGTCGTGTCGCAGAACGGAGGCTTAAATGCGAGGGCTGTGAGGCAGATGAGTGCGGGGAGTATATTTGGTATGCACCACACTCGCATGAAGACAGATGGTGTGCTTGGGAGCTAGAGGGCTAATTCAAGAGGTGTGAATAGGTCTAGTAGCAGGACTCGGCCTCTCGATCTTCTCGAAACCGCTCGTCGTGCTGGTCGGACTTCTGATAGCAGGCGTGCAGACGGCGGAGAGCTACGGCGTTCACCTCGTGCCTTACAGACAACTACAGGGATACGTCAAGAACGTGGATCTGAGGAGCGCCGTGCAGGATAACGTGGCCTTCAAGGTTTCGTTTGGGTTGATGTTCGCGCTGAGCGCGTTTGCTGAGTTCTAGACACGCTAGATATGTCATGACGAAGGGCTAGAAATGCTGTGTATATATGTAATACCACCAGGAACGAAGCAGGCATCGTTTGACATCCGCCTCAATACGGCGCACACTCCCTCTCCAGCCACTTGCGCGATCTCTGGTCATCCTTGGAGAAGTCCGCAGTCTTCTCCAATACTTCGCGATGATAGTCGTTCAGCCACTTCCGCTCTCGATCACTCAGCAAAGACACGTCGATCAGCTTCCGGCACATCGGCACCATAGTGACATGCTCGAACCCCAGGTACGGTTTGTCGCCAAACTTGTGCTTCGTCTGCGCCTCCTTAACCATGATGATGTTCTCGATGCGGATGCCGAAGTTGCCGTCTTCATAGTAGCCAGGTTCGTCTGAGATGACGTTACCGATCGAGAGCGGGACCTCAGAGTACTGGACGCGAGTGCCGATGCCAATGGGTCCTTCGTGCACGTTCAGGTACGAGCCGACGCCGTGGCCTGTACCATGTCGGTATTCCAGACCGTATGACCAGAGGAACTGTCGTGCGAGCATGTCGATTGCGAAGCCGGAAGTGCCTTTCGGGAAGACGGCGAGCTCCAACGCGATGTTGCCTTTCAGCACGAGGGTATAAGCTTCTCGCTCCATCGCAGTGGGCTCGCCAAAGTGAAGTGTCCGTGTGGTGTCGGTCGTGCCATCCAGGTACTGTGCGCCTGAGTCGCAAAGGTAGACTTTCGATGGGTCGATCACTGAGCAATTGCCGGGCTCTGGCTTGTAATGTATGACAGCAGCGTTGGCGCCTGTTGAAGATATCGTGTCGAAGCTCAGTCCGACGAACTTGTCGTGTTTCTTGCGGGTCGCTTCCAGCTTGTCTGCCGCCTCGACCTCGTCGATCTTCACTTTCTTTTCGACAAGCTCGTGCTCCAGCCATGCGAAGTACTCAATCAGAGCGGCACCATCTCGAATGTGGCATTGTCGCATGCCTTCCAGCTCAGTTTCATTCTTAATCGCTTTCGCGTCGCCAATGAGTGAGCGAATCTCGTCAACCTTGTCCTCGCCGCCGAGTGCCTTGGAAAGCGCCCATGATCCTTTAGTCGAGATCAAGTATTTCCGCTTCGGCTTCGAAGTCTCGCTGGAACCATTCGCTGCCGGCTCAGAAGATGCCATAGCGGCAATGTCCGAAAACACATCGTTGTACGGCCGGATCTTAACCCCCTTGAGGTGTTCCTTGGCGCTGTCCTCGAGCTTCGACTCGTCGATGTAGAGTGTCACAGTCGTGGGGGTTACGACGGCGTAAGAGAAGAAGACCGGATTGTAAGGGATGTCGTTGCCGCGCAGATTGAACAGCCACGCAATCTCATCCAGCATGCTCACCACAAACCCGGCGGCCTTCTTCTTGTCCAGCTCCTTCCTCAGCTCCTCGATCTTATCTTCGAAAGACTTGCCAGCGTACTCCAACCCCAGAACCTTGACCGGCTCGTTCGGCCGCGCGGGCTTCTTGTCACCCCATACCTCATCGACAAGGTTTGTCGCAATAGCTACCAGGTCTTTCCCGCCCTTCTTCTTAATCTTCTCCGCCAGTTTCTTGCCTTCTGGTGCGGTGATGGTAGTTGGATCCACACCCACGGTCTTGCCATCCTCAGCTTGTTCGACCGTCCATTCCTGCCATGTCGGGACGTCCTGCAGACCTTGCTTCAGCAGCGTCCAGTTGTCGTCGAGCTGCTTGCTGGCCTGATTGAAGTACCTGCCATCTGTAGCGAGTGCCGCCTTCTCGTGTGTGATCACGGCGGTGCCAGCCGATCCAGTAAAGCCAGATATGAACTCTCGTCGAGCGTCGGTGGGTGCTATGTATTCGGATGAATGGGCGTCTTCCGAAGGTACGACTGCGAGAGGATGTCAGTCAGCTATCATGTCCCGTTACAAAGGGTCTATCATACTGTAGATGTCTACCTTGTTGCTCTTCATCAAGCCCCGGAGGTCCTTCAAGCGTTGTGTTGTGTTGACTTGCTCCATATCGACGGGTCGCCGCAGACCTGCTGTTCCGGAAAAGCTTCGAGTGTTAGAGACTCTAGGAGCGACAGACCGCAACAAGCCTCTCAGCATTGGCAGTGTAGCGAGCGACAGTTACTAAAGTCGAATGCGGTCAGGCTGATAAGTCGTGGATCGCTCTAGACAGCTGCTGGTAGAGCTCATGCCGCCGATATTCAGCCGACGTCGTCTGTTGACGGGGCTGCGTGATTTTGACTCACCTTCTTTTGATAAGACAGACCCGTACAAGGCTCTCCAGGAAAACGATCGCAGAGGATGTTGCAGCACCGCAGCCATACCGACCCATCCCATTAAACTGGTGATTCGGCCTCACGTCAACGCACAATGGCTTTGGGCAGATCGAACACGAGCCGCCTGCTTTCTGCATTCACCCAGGTCCATGTCCGCTGCTACTCCGCGCCAGCAGAGCGTGCAATACCGGCAGCCAAACAGAAATATGTTCCGACTTCTGGAACCTATCCCAAAGGCTTCCTGGCCGGCGGTGCTTACGCTGGAGTCAAGGCGAGCAACACCAAGTACGACGACATCGCGTTAGTCGTCTCTGAAAAGCCATGCGCCGGAACCACCGTCGTCACGCGGAATGTCTTCAAAGCAGCACCCCTGGTTGTATCGATGCAGACTGCCGTGAACAGGAGGTTTCAGGATTTACGTGGTGTTGTGGTCAACTCAGGCTGTGCTAACGCAGTGACTGGCCAAAAGGGACGTGACGACGCTGTAGCAATGGCACGCGCCGCTGATGCGTGCTTCGGGGACACCGAACATGATGAACCACGCAGCCTTGTCATGAGCACTGGTGTTATCGGCCAACGACTACCAATGGACAAGATTGAGGCGGCTATTCCGAAAGCACATGCTTCGCTGGGCTCTTCCCACGAGCACTGGATGCGAGCAGCTCAAGCCATTTGCACAACAGACACTTTTCCCAAGTTGATATCTCGGACATTCACTCTCCCTTCGCATCCGGACACGCAGTACAGCATCGCAGGTATGACTAAAGGGGCGGGGATGATACATCCAAACATGGGTACACTGCTCGGCATAGTCTGCACGGATGCGAAGCTTGATCCAGGTACCATCCATAAACCACTCCGCCGGAGCGTGGATCGCTCTTTCAATCGCATTTCCATTGACGGTGACACGAGCACAAACGACACTGTTGCTTTCTTCGCTAACGGAGCCGCTGCTCCTCCTGATGGTCAGCCGCTAACCTTCCCAAGACGAACGCGCAGCGAGCCAACAGAACTGAAGACCAACCCCGATGTGGAGGCGTTCCAGATCATGTTGACCGACTTCATGGAAGATCTAGCCAAACTCGTCGTACGCGATGGTGAAGGCGCCACGAAATTTGTGACCATACGGGTCGAATCGGCTACATCGAACGAAGTCGCTCGACGAGTCGGAACCAGCATTGCGACCTCTTCCTTGGTGAAAACAGCAATCTATGGCAAGGACGCAAACTGGGGAAGAATATTGTGTGCCATCGGGTACGCGCCTGGCATCATGGACTACCCGGCGCTCGGGATCCGGGACGGCAACTCACAGGGTCACGTGGGTCGAATGCTCAGCAAGAAGGACCTTCCCCGGCCGCCAGTCGATATTGAGACGCTCTCTGTCTCGTTCGTACCAATGGACGGCAGCGAAGAATTGAGACTGTTCACACGTGGGGAGCCGGAAGTCGTCGATGAGGCCCGCGCCAAAGAGATACTGGAGATGGAGGACGTGGAAATCTTGGTGAAGTTGGACGATGTTGAGCATGATGACAATGCACCGGAAGACAAAAGGATGCACGAACAGGTCTTTTGGACGTGTGATTTCAGCCATGAGTATGTCACCATCAACGGCGACTATCGGACATGAAGAGAGACAGAGAAAGGTGCGCAGTTAGAGGGAGAAGGTCTCGATCAGCGTACCCTGAATGAGGCGAGTGGCTCCAAAAGCAGGCGCCGGAGCACCGTCGGTCGCTGAACTGACAGATGCCAACACCTATGTGAAGGTAGTTAGTGGCGAGGTCGGACAGTAGATGAATGATATGTAGTCGCGCTCAGAAAGCGCCAAACTTCGGTCGCCTGGCCAACAACTTTTCTACGTCATATGTCAACTTCAGAAACCGTACATCAAGTGAATGCAAGCTTGTACTGACCACGACCAAATACCTTCGAAACACCACAGTAGCGAGCACCACATATCCCCCACAGTGACTTCACCTCAGTATACCAGACGAACATGTCCGCCCTCTCCGACCGCGACACGAACGTCCAGCCGACCTCGAGCCCCATCGCAGCAGAAAAGCAGACGGCGGAGGGAGCGGAGAACATGGCACACGACGCCAGCAACACCAAGCAGTCGGCCGAGCAGAAGTTCTCTTTGAACAACGAGTGAGTACTGGCTTTCGTAGCACAAGGAATTCCTGATCTGACAGTCGCTCCCCAGCAAGCAAAGCGCAACCTACATCAGCCCGTCGGATTCCATCTTGAGCCCTGCCAGCCAGAAGCTGTCGAACTTCAAGCAGAAGCAAATTACGAAGCAGTAAGTACTTCATGCTGTTGAGCCGATTAGGAGAAGGACAAGAGCTGCTAACAGAGTTGGTTGCAGGACTGGAGGTAAAACGCCAGCTGCTCGTACTCTCTTCGCGAGGACCGCAAGCAGTTGCTCCAATGGTGGGTTCGAGGATTTCAAAGATGGAGAGGAGAAGGCATAAGGTGATATGACGGCTGTTCGAGTGGAGGTGTACGATCAGGTTTTTGGCATTCGGAATGGAGTTTTGGTTTGCGGGTGAGACTTTGGACCACAACTGGAAGATTGGAAAGACTGCGCATGATACCCGACATACTCTCCTTTGTTTTGATGGGAAGGAAGTAGATTGGCGGTACTGGGTATGCTCTGATACAGCTAGATGCCTATGCCTGAGACAAGTGCTACGAGGGCTTCATAGGCAGAGACCACAAGCGGCGTTGTGTGCTGATGCTACGACCTTATTCCCACTCCTCGTCCCTGAGTATGACTCTGCGTCTCCCTCCGAGCGGAGCTTTGCAGGGTACGTTGTTTGGCTCGTTACGCTCACACTGCTGTCTCACTGCAATGCTTGGAGGAGATGGCCGAGAGACTACTCAACGTGTCTCGGGAGGACAGACGTTACTGTCATCCAGAACCGTTGGCCACATCTAGACGTCGACTCTGCCTCAGCCACGCATAGCGGTACTGTATCTTGAAACCTGTCGCAGCGCCAACCAGGTTTCAATTCAGACCAGTGGCGGTTCATCGTTGGCTGCAGTAAAGGGCCGTTCGCGCTGGCTAGCGTGTCCGTACGAAATATAAGCCTGAATCGACCGTCTTTCACGTTCCGCTGGCAGTCAAAGACGGTCCAAACAAGTCCTGGCCCTCCTTCTCATTCTTTTCTCTGGCAACCTTCCTTCGCTTCGCCTTCTCTTCCCCAGCACCATCTTCACCGGTGCCATCCTGTCGCATAGCTGCGAAAGCTTTCACCAGATCTTTCGTGGACGGGTCCCTGCACTTCTCCAGCCTCTCCTCGAGTTTCGCTCGCTCGTCCTTCGTTAGCACTTGCGACTGGTTAAACGCCGCGAGCATGTCCGCGCATGCTGATATCGTGGCCAGAATTTTCGGACGCACTGGGGCGTCTGTCGGGAGCTTGGAGCTCAAGTAGAAGCCCGTGAGCGGCCCGTCGGCGAGTTGCAAGGCCGCAAGAAGGATTTGAGAGGGCGTGTAGAGGAAGTAGACATCTGTCAGAGAAGCTGGACCGTCGAGCAGTACGCGAGCAGCACTGTACGCAGCTTGGATCCGGTCTTGCACATGCTTGAGCTGTGTCTTTCCATTGCTCGGCGGCGTCCATTTCGTGTGGGAGCCTTCTCCTGGTGATGGCAACTCCTTCGTCCTCTCTGCAACCACCGTTCCCTCTGACATACCCTCCTCGACTCCTTCCATATGCCCGATCATACCTTCAGCCATGTTCAGCAGCTCCATCAGGCACCCTTTCAGCCCTCGGAACGGTTGACGCACGTCCAACGTGAACCTCAGCGCCTGCATGACCTTATATTCCGCCGCCAAGATAGCCTCCGGATCCGTGCTGATTCTTCTAGCATAGTCCGCCAGCGTCACATGCGTCGCCTCACTCTTGGAAGCGAGGAACAGCACGGTCTTGTAGATCTCCTTGGGCGGGTATGTGATGCATGAGTTGGAAAGGTAGAAGCGCCGCAGGTACTGGACCGCGGTCGCCTTGACGTTGACGGGCCATTTGAAGTGATCACTCGTCGTACGGATCTGTTCGCAGTACCTTTGGACCAGGCGTAGCTCTTCTCCTTCTGTCAAGAGATGGGTGTCCCTGTCGGCATATCGTTGTGCTCGGTCTACAGCCAGCTCATGTGTCTTCTTGCGCTGGGATGCCAGGCTCTCGGGCGAGAAGGACCAGAGGCGGTACTGGGTTGACGTGCGGTAGATGTCATCCTCGGAAAGTGGTTGCGCCATCGCAAAGAAGTGGTTGTTGGTTGGTGGACATGATGGAGGTTGAAGGACGTCTTGGCGGCTGGAGACCTCACTTCACTTCATCAATATCACATGCTATCTTCACATGCACGGGCAGTGAACATGCGAACATGAGTACGAGATTTTACAGCGGTGACACTTCAATGAAGATGCGAGCACAACACAAGCCGGCCTCACCCTCATAACCACCCTACAATGTCGAAGACCGGACCGCAGCAACCTATCGACACCGACGATATCCAGAACCCCAAGTTCGCTGCATCGACCCTCGATTTCCTCCTAATAGAGCTGGTGCCGCTCGTGCAGAGAGTGACCGAGCAGGCTGAAGCACGCGCGCAGGCTCTGCGGGACGAATACAGAAGAAGCCAAATACTCAGTCAGCCTTCCGACTCGGCTTCAGCGTCAGACGATGGAGCTAAAAAAGCTACGGAGTCCGACAGCAAAGATGCGGAGAAGAATGGAAAGGTAGTAGCGCGAGGCGAAGAGAGACCGTTGACGTCTCTGGGCATACCTGCCACTACGCCCACAACGCAGGAAGCGATGTTCGCCCGCCTCGATATGCTGGGATACAGAGTCGGTCAGGGGCTGGCAGAGCGGTAGGTACGCCCTCGCCGTTTGCAGTGTCTATTTGCTCCATTATGTCTCCTTTCACTGACTCTGAGATGCGGCACCCTAGGTTCTCAGCCAACACTCCTCGACCACAGACACCACTGGATGTGATCAAGTTCCTCTGCAAGGACCTTTGGCTCGTTCTCTTCCGCAAGCAGATCGATAACCTAAAGACGAACCATCGTGGCATCTTTGTGCTCACGGACAATCGATTCCACCCGCTTTCGCGTATGTCGATCGATAGGAGGGCAGGGCCGAAGGCGAAGGAGGACGGTCTGGCGAGGGCGCAACTGGTGAGTCCGCTGTGGTCCATTCGAATTTTGGAGGCAGCAGGGCTAATCTGTGTGTCTCAGTACCTCTTCTTCCCAGGTGGAGTGATACGTGGTGCTTTGTCAGCCCTTGGAATCGATGCGACGGTGTCCGCTGAGTCGACGGAGCTGCCTTCGGCGACATTCCAGATCAAGACAAAAGGTGCGAAAGCTTGAGGTGGAATCGAGGTGCGGCCGGCCGACGAAGCTAAGACGCGAAGTCTGCTTCATGAGAGATGAAGCGAGGTAATGAGGCAGGATCATGCAGCGGCCAAATGATGACGAGCTCCGCAAGGCCACGATGGCACTCAATGCGCGCCGCCTGGACTCCGGTCTCCAATGACAAAGACATGAAAACATTACCCAGCCCTTACTCCACCACTTCGTCCACGACGTCACGAATCAATGCAGCCACACGCGAGGCCCGGCCGCAAGAATCGACAATTTGTATTTGCATTTACACAAACGTTCTCCAATCAACCAGTAAGTCCAAGGGTCCGAACGGCCTTGTAGTTTCCGGCTGAAGATCAAGCGGGTGAAATGGCACCTCAGGTCAATGATCTTCCCTTGGGATCCTCCCCAATCCACTAGTTTGCGAACCAAAGTTCAATTGGGATTTGGTTCTTTCCTATCTCTCCTTTTCAATGTCATCAGTTGCACAAATTAAAATTAAAAAAGTAGTAAACTTCGGTTTCTCGCCTCCTTCGGGGGTGTTTCTTTTGGCGGAATTATGGGAAGGTCGGGGGTTCGACTGATCGTTCTCAGGAGGTTGTCATGTGGAGTTCGACACGTCTCTCTTATGAGCGTGAACTCTTTTTATGAGGAGAGGACGCTTCCAGCGGAAGCAGAGATATTACTTTTCTACAGCGCGTTCTCGACAAGGCCCAAGCATTCAAGGGTTGTGTCTTGCAGGCTTCTCAACGCTTCGCTGTGGCAGAAAAGGATACTCTGAGGACTACGATTGTGGGGCGAAGATTGAAGATCACAAGTGGATCATACTGCAGCATTGTCTTCTATTCTGATTCTGATCTATCATCTAGGGTCGTTCTGTCGCCCAGCATGTCATGCCTTCCCATCGCAGAAGCTCACCACAGCATACTTCCCACTCCACGCCCACTTCCTGCCAACCTCCTCACCAGTCTCACCCCTCTCCTCCCTAATCTTCTCATCCACGCCCTTCGGCAGCCCCACCACAACATCCGCCTTGCAAGTCCTCAGCGCCAGTGTCCGCAAACCCGAACCTGGTCCCAACGGGCCGATGGCTTCTGTGAACGGGGTGGTCGGATCCCACATCGCATCACCTGTGAGCTTGCGGTAGTTGAGGTCGCCTTTGTAGATCACCAGCTCGGAAGATTTCAGGTCTTCGCAGAGCTCTGGATGCGTTTGCGACAAGCGCCAGTAGGATCCCGCTTCTGTCCAGAATGCGTTCGGACGGAGGATGATCTTGCCTTCGGCATACAAGGAGCTCCAGTTGTCAAACAGCTGCCTCAGATCCGTCTCTTCCTTCTCCGACAGAGGGGGTGGAGTCTTCCCGTCGGCGGTATCTGATTCCGATGGGGTTTCGTAGAAGCTCTTTGCGTTAAGAAGGACGTTGAGAAGGTCCGAGAAGTCCTTTGGCACGACGTCTGAGACAAACCAGGGGATGTTCTTGGGATGAAGAACTATGTGTGTCGCAAGTCCGGATTGCAAGAGATAGCCAGCCAAGATAAAGTCAACGAAAAGCTCGAAGCCGGCGTTGTCGAGCACGATATCGACTCGACGCTCTTGATCCTTGCTGACGTTCTGTTGTGCTGACTTGAGGCACGAGAAAGCCGCCGGAAGATTGTTGACGAGGATGTTCTTTTCGTTGGCCTTTCTACTTTCCGACCCTTGTAGCTTCTGAATGTCGTCATAGGAGAGATTGGTAAGGAGGGAGAGATCGGTGGCGTTGCCCCAGAGGCAGATCTCACACATCTCCATGAAGAGTGTCTTTTCCGCTTCCTCACGTTTCTGGTTTGAAGCTCCGGCCAGGGAAGATTGTGATGATTGGAGTTGCCGGGTGAGGTCGTTGTAGCGAGCGGCCAACTCGATAACTGCTGGGCGGGAAGAGCGGAAGGTGGACATCTTCTGTTGAGAAAAGACATCGTAGTTCTTCCAGTAAGTGGACAGGGCGAAAAGAGTGCTTATCCGTCTGTAGAGATAGCATTCTGAATAGAGCCAGCTGACATTGAACCAATTTGGATTGCCGCGCTGCTTGAGCTCATCGTTGTAGCCTGCAATGTCTGGGCTGCCATCGTCTGGTAGAGGTCTGGAGTTACGTGTTAGCATGGCTGCTTGAGCACAGGGGATACTGGAACTTACGTCAAGTCCCGATTGTGCTGCAGCTCGTACTTGAGCGTAGCGAGACCCTGCGTGATCTTCTTGCCCTCTTCGGCCTTCTCCAAATCAGTGCATTTCGATGTTGCGCGATGCACGTCGTCTATAGCGCCTGTCTGCCGTCACATATCAGTTGTTGTTCCAGGCGATGGATAGTGGCGGCCATACCAAAATCACGGGCCACCGATCTCTCGCAGAGAAGAAACCGAACGACTTCTTGTCGCTTGTGTGCGACGGTAGAGTCTTCGTGTCGTACTCCATCCCGTATGCGAGCACTTTGTCAGTCACGGTTGCTTTGGAAAAGATGTTATTGAGATCGACACAGAAATTCTGAAAGAAGCAGTCATGGGTCTTGGCATGTTGTTGAAGAGCACAGCTATCCTACACGTTGCTCATATATGCGCTGCAAGTACACATGTTCGCTAACAACGCTCAAAACAAACTCTCCAACGCCGTTGCAACGTCCCAAAAAGATGCTTCGGTCACCTGAAGTTCGCACCGTAGTTCGCCTGCGGAAAGTTGACTCTTCCACCCGGCGTCTGCTCGTAGTCACTCGGTGATAGTGCGCTGGGTGCCACATATCCGCTTGGACTGGGAATGCCTACAGCTCCAGCCGTCTGCTCGTGGTATGAAGGCGGCGCGGTGATGCTAAGGTTGCTGCCTGACTGATAGCTGAACGCTCGGCCGGGGTGCATGCCATGCTCGGTCATACTATGCGTATCTGCGAACGGGTCGTCTGCCTGTATGGAAGGTCGCTGGAGCAAGCCTTGCTCGTCCTCGTCCGCAGTAGAAAGTTGGCTATACGCACGGCGAGCGTCGTCGTCTCCTGGCGAGACTGACGGGCGATGGGAAGGATGGCTGTCGTCCAGCTCGTCCGTGTTCGTCGACCATACATCTTTGCTAGGATCTTCGAATCGCTCAGCTTGTCCATGCTTTGTCGAGTTCCCGTTGGGCATAATGCCTGTCCTCCTGAACTGTAGAACGCCTTGGATGCTAATCACACTCGTCGCAATGAAGAGAAGCCATATGACAACTCCGAATCCGACGGCTGCCTTTGTGACCTGGCATTTCGTTGCACTGCCGTATCCGAACTGCTCGCAGCTGCCTTTCCCGTCCTTGTCGCCGTCCTTGTTCTTTGATCCCTCCTTCAACCCCTCGCTCTGCCATACTGCCACTGCGACGAATGCTGCGAACCAGAGAAGAGTATATAGGAGATCGATTGCAGCGTAGGCGTATACGTTCGCAAAGCGCCAGGCACGAGTCCACATTGGAACCATGATCTGGTAGATCAGGCCGGGGAGGGTAAGGAAGCACTGCAACCTTCGCGTCAGCCTGTCTTCTATTGGAGCAGAACAGTGATGAGGTATTATGCTTACTGAGCAAAGTAGTAGCCAACCTGTCCACCATGTTCTCCTTCCTGTGTAAGTACTGCAAGCGCCAGACAGCCGGCTATGAAGATGAGGAAACCTTGGGCGAAATGGAGTCCTGCCTTGATCTTCTGGTAGTACGTCTGTGGTATGCGCATCTTGTCGATTCCAATCGAACGTGTGGTGAGGGTCAATGTTCTGGTCAGGAAGGAAGCGTGATCATGTCAAGTGTATATTGTGCTCAGCCCACTCTCCGAGACAACAAGCCACGACCAAGAGTTGGCAGTTTGGAATCTGCTACCGCAGCATCCCGAGCTACAGCAGGTTGTTGAGCACACTGGAGACACTCGATTGCTACATTACGCAGCGGACAGACCACAGGACTGCTTGATCAGATGGAATCAGTCCAGTGTTTACGGCATCTTGATCTCGAATCTGTAAATAGCAACCAAGTCCCACGTGCTACCCCTGCTGTCGATCACGGCAGCAGCCGCAATGTGATCGCGAAAGCTGTCAGTAATTGTGAATGGCATTTGCAGCACCACCTGCTCCACCACCACCACCGACACCGCCAGCAATCAAAGCGAACCCACAGTCCACTTCAATACACCCACCATGGACGAAACATTCACACTCATCCCGCTCGCCATCGACCCTTCCACCAAATCCATCTCCACCTCCAATCCCGCCCTCTCTAGCGAAATCGACGAACTGAACAAACTCCACCGCGCATTCGTCTCCCTCGACACGCCCAATCAAGTCCCTCCTCCACCAGCACCAGTCAACCCAAAGCGCTCCGTGCAGATCAACAAGATGCGCGAAAGCGGAAATGCCTCCTACAAGAAAGGCTCTTACGGCGACGCGATCAAGATGTATGACTTAGCAATCCGCATGGCATCAGAGCGGCCAGGCTGGGAAGCTTCAGGACTGGTAAGGGAGGAGCTATCAGCGCTGTATAACAACCGGGCGATGGCGCAGATGAGCCAACAGATGTGGCCGGAGGGGGCAGTGGATGCGGAGTTGAGTGTGGAGATGAAGAAGGTGGGGAATGTCAAGGGTTGGTGGCGGAGAGGGCAGTGTCTTCGGGAGATGGGGAGGGTAGAGGAGGCGGCGGAGTGGGTGAGGGGCGGATTGGAGTTTGAGCGGGCGGGGCCGGAGAAGGCGAATGTTGGAGAGCTGGAGGCGTTGGGGAGGGATCTTGAGGCTTCCTTGGCGAAGGCATGAAATGGATGGATAGGCAAGAAAGAATCTTTATGCAGGGATGATGTTACGATACAGTGGCGGTCAGGCTATCAAGCCACCGAGGAGCGAAGCAATTGTTTGCACCACAGCCGCGGCCATGACTTCCAACACAGCATGAAGTTAACGGAGGGGTGCTGTGATAAAGCATGCAACTTCCACAGCGGCCATACGAACATGCAAACGGTGCGGTCCTCGTGAGGCCCTACCACTCGACGAATTATACGAGACAGGAAAGTCTGTCAACCACCAACCGCGGCCACAGTCCCCAGCACCGTCCGCGTTGCCATTGGAGAATTACGGATATGAAGATCCAATAAAGCCGCAGTATCACCACTGCCCTTAGAGAGCTTCAGACCCACGCAGCGAAGGAGTAGGTGTCACGTTTCTTGCCTCATTCGAATAGTTAATAACTCAACGTCCGTTGTCTTCCAAAACCACGACTTCCCAGCGATACGAGATCGGTGCAGGTGCCACATATCGCGCATTCATCACCCCCAACCTATCGTATGCTTCAGAATAGCTCAGAGTGTGGTATGGCGTGGCTCCTCGACGCATTGTCGCGGAGAACTATCACCGTACCCACGTGGCCTTTCCAAGCCCAGATTGCGCACGACTTATGAGCGGTCCCAAAAACAGCAGACTCGCTTCAACTTGGCGATGTTATCCAGTCCAAGCAACGGCGAGCACTCCGCTTACAAGAAGGTGTGGAGATCTAGACCCGAGGCGAGTCAACTTAAGCGAGAACATGGGGAAGTCTGGGGTTGGCGTTCGTTTGCGGAGATAACCTTGATTGACAGCTGCATGCATTGGAGACTTGATGATAACGCCAGTGAGAATGATACGAGAGGCGGGCTCGATACTGCTACTTGCACTGCCCGAGACTTTCAAAGGGCCGTACTGGCTTGTATTCGGTTCCATGGCTGCAGCACATCCACAAAAACTGCACGGCTCAGAGAGGACAATGTCTTTCCGTCTCGGGGTCAAGGTATTGAACTTGCAAGCCACGTCTTTGATGATACTTAGGTAAGGTACTCGCAAAGAGGAGCTCGAGATGTTGCGGAAATAACATGCTAGGGTTTCAAGCTCCACACTGTCGGGTCTGGATGCCACGTGCACAGCTCCATCCCAGTCTTGCTCACGCCACCACTGTACTTCACCCCTCTCTGAAACTCTTGGACAGCATGCCAGTCCCTCGGTAGTAGGCCGAAAGAGTCAGTATAAGGACCATGGAACAACCGCGCGCTTGTTTGGCGTTGCGCAACGGCTTTCGCGAGACGCATCCAGCGATCACACTCTGTAGCCATGGGCAAGCTCATTCCCAATGCGTTCAACCTGTTGGTGGTCATTTACGTGGCCCTGGGTTCAACAGCATGTTCGTATGGCATGGCCATCATCGGGTGAGTGTAGGAAACAGCCACTTCTGTTCCCGTGCTGATCATACGCAGCTCGACTATCGGCCAACCTAGCTTCTACACTTCCTTGGGCCTCGCGCCGCCTGATGAAGAAGGATACGCTCGCACTGCGGGTTTCATTGGTGGATTCAATGGCGTGAATTGCGCCGGTTCGGCTATCGGTTGCTTGCTCTGCACGTACTGCGCCGACAAGTACAGTCGCAAGCGAACAATCCAAGGTGCTGCTGTCGTCCTCTGCATGGGTGCGGCGTTGTGCGCTGGTTCCGTAAACAATGCGATGTTCTTGGTCGGAAGAATCATCAATGGATTGGGTATCGGTGCTCTCGTATGTTCATCGTGTCCAAAGCAGGTTCAGAACAAGGCTGATGCTCTCAGGTCGCTGCCATCCCAATGTACCAGGCTGAAGTGTCGACTCCCGAGTCTCGCGGCTTCATGGTCTCGATGCACGGAGTCATGTTCGCCATGGGCTATACCCTATCTGCATGGCTCGGCTTCGGCATGTACTTTATCACAGCGGGTGGCTCAACTTCTTCGTTCCCGTGGCGCTTCCCAATGTGAGTCGATCGATCTTGAGATTTGTTCCCGATGATGCTGATAGCCTGCCACAGCGCCTTCCAGATGGTCCCAGCATTGATGCTTCTTGCCGGCTCGCCATGGTAAGCCAATCGCTAATATCCTTGCTGGAGTGGGATATTGCTCACTCTTCCTCTCTTTCAAGGCTCCCATTCTCACCTCGCTGGCTCCTCATGCAAGACCGCCACGAAGAAGCCCACGACGTTTTGATGAAACTCCACCGCGACAAGACCGATCCCCACGACGTCGTAGCGCGCAAGGAGTTTTACCAGATGAAGAAGCAGGTGGAGATGGACCGTCTCATCAAGCAGAGCACGTCCAAGTTCGAGCTCTTCAAGACGCCAGCCAACCGTCGACGTGCCCTGGTTGGCTTCGTCCTCATGTGGAATAACCAGTTTACCGGAGTTCTGATCATCGCCAACTACGGCGTCATTTTGTACGGAGCGCTGGGTATGGACGGATATATGCCGTTGCTCCTGACCTCGCTCTGGGTCACCTCGACTTTCCCGGGGAACATCTTCTGTGCCTTCTTCGTTGAGAAGTTTGGCCGGCGCACCTTCTTGCTCATTGGTTTGACCGGGATACTCGTCGCTTTGATCTGCGAGACAGCGTTGCAAGCACAGTTTCTGGGGACCAACAACAAGGCTGGACAGAACGCTGCCATCTTCTTCATCTTCTTGTAAGTCGCGCTTACCGACAGAGCGGCAGTGGTCATGTTCGAGAAGATCGCTGACCTTTCTCCGCTTGCCAGATTCATCACGCCCTTCTGGAGTACCTTCATCGATGCCGCCCAGTTCCTCTACGTGGCGGAGATCGTGAGTTCAGCTCTCGTCCGGCTCATGAGCATCACTGACGGGTGGTAGTTTCCAACGCATATTAGGTCCCAAGGCACCGGCTTCTCCATGATGGGTCTATACCTCGCCAGTCTCATCATCCTTGTCGCCGGCCCGATCGCTTTCGAGAACATCTCCTGGAAGTTCTTCTTCGTTCTCATCGTCCCGACGTTCTTCCATATCATTTTTGTCTACTTCATGTAAGTGTACCAGTCATGTCAGAAGACCAGGTTGATGCTAACATTGACCAGGTGCCCCGAGACGAAGGGGAGATCTCTGGAGGACATCAACGCCCAGTTCGGCGAACAGGTAGCCATCCACTACTACGGCGCCACTGACAAGGAGAAGATGGAGTTCGATGTCGCTGTCGAGGAAGACGAGAAAGTCGATCAGACTGGCGAGGTCGACCGTAACGGTCTTACCAAAGTTGTGGCCGACCACACGCATGTTGAGGAGGTGACTCACCATAAGGTGTGAGAGCTCTGCGGTCGAAGAGAAGGAGCTCCGCCGATGATCGCTGTGCCGGAAGTTGGCGTGCGTGTATATAGTAGGCGGAAGGCGGCAAATATTACGTCAAGAGAGTCTCGGGCAAACGAGTCTTGATGTTGTCCTGGTTGACCTCAATATTTCTGCCGCCCGTTGCAAGCTTCATGTAGATTGATCATCATGAGCTTTGGCTGTCTGCCATAGCTTGAACCCAGGCTTGTCATGTACGACCCGTACCCAAGGCAGCCGGCTAATGACTTTGTGAGCAGCATCCCACGTATCGATCTCCAGAGATGACAGGCAGGATGTGATGTACGGACAAAGCCACGATTCATCTTCTGGTCCGCACAGGGATATACCACCGGAGAAGAGGACCCAGAGGAGCACCGGCTGTTGCTTAAGAGTGATGCTTACCATAAGCTCTGATATGGCATGCCGCAGTCTACTCGCCAGCAGATCATATGCACAGACATGCATGCGGCCTTGCTCGAAGAGGAGAGTTGTCAGGAACCCTAGGAGTGTCGTGAAGATCGCGCTGTCCAGCTTATCCTCAGGCGGCTCTCCAGCAAGCGGACAGTATTGCAACAATCTGTACGCGAACGTAATCAGAGCGTTCTGGAAGTCGGCTGGGTCCAAGCTAAACCTTGCGGGATTCTGGTTGAGGAGATGGCAGAACTGGTTCGTATCCGTGGCGATGCAGTCTAGACCGGGATCGGTCAATGGGAGGAGGGTCTTAGAAGCAGAGTCTGGAGACATCAGCTCTTTCTTCACAGAGGAGGACCTCAGTGTCTGTTTCGGGAGTGTGTCCCTGTAGTACATCGAGTCACAGCCTTCATGCAATGCCCGGTCTATGTCGGCCCTGCGCACCTAACGATTAGTATAAGCGGATTCACGACCGAATACGTACTCACCGGCAGATCTTATGCCAGATCACCCAGTTAGACGAGAAGGCTTTAATCCCACCTCGCATCTCAAGCATAAGCTGGAGAGCCTTCAGATGGACTTTGCTGACGCCAAACTGGTTCGTGAGGTTCTCGTGCACCGCAAGGCTCACTACCACGGCGAATGTAGCGTCCGATGGCGTGCCCTGGCCCCTCAGATCTTGGTTGATGCATTTGTACGTATCTGCGAGATGCCTGAGTGCTTGTGGCGAGCGCAAAGGCTTCCCTAGCAGGCCATCGATGCAGATTGTCGCCATGACCAGCGAGCAGTGATAGACTATCAAATACAGTGAGGTTCGTCGCAAGACGATTATTGGAGATGGCTTACAGGTCTCGGAGCGTTGTATGTATTCAAACCATGTCGACCTCATATGATCCATCTGGAAGCAGAACTCCTTCGGGTACAAGACTTGCAGTTGGACAACCATAACTTTATGTCCTTAGTCGGCCGTTAGCTGGCTGAGTGTTTGCTACGTACATTGATGTATGAGGCGTCTTGTAGACAGGTCCGCTTTGCAAGGAAAGGTAATGAAGGATAATTCATCTCCAAGCGGCCTCTCAAGAAGTGGTAGTTTCGAGGCGTAGTCGATTGACGTGAGGGCATCGCCAGGAATTCGATTCGAAGATTCATTGGTCTTGTTGACGAATTTCTGGTCGCATCGAGGCTTTGCCTTGCTCGCATTCTTGCCCTTCATAACATGACTTCGAATGAGCTTTCGGTTGGATTTGAGGGCGTCATTGTCGACGAACTGGAACTTGGAGACCTGTGCCATGGTGCGATATTAACCGCCGTGCCAGGATGCGACGCACCCATCTGGCGGAAGAAGAATATGTAGTTCTTCTAGGACGAGACGAAGTCAGAGAAGATGGAGCCATACCCGAGTAGCGCGTCTTGGACCGTGCACGTGCATGTGAAAGTCGCTCTTTCCACCTCAGCTTTCAACGCAGCTTACCTTCCGCGTCTTCACGAATGTTACAATGCCGTCCAAGAAAGCGAACAACAAAGCCACGAGAGCAGCGCAACCTCACGCGCAACCTGTACAAGACTACGAGACGGACACAGACGCCGCACTCACATCAGGACCCATGGCCGCGCCTCCACCGAATCGCACCAACACCCAGCTCAACTTCTCCGTGCTCCGACGATACGTTCCCGACGTAGAACGCATCATATCCATCGCGCCATTCGCCGTCGTCTACACCTTCTCCCCGGACTCCCAGCAATGGGAGAAAAGCGGCGTCGAGGGCACGCTGTTCGTCTGTCAACTGTCTGCCTCGCCTAACCCACGGTACAACGTGGTGATACTGAACCGCAAGAGCCTGGACAATTTCATCACTGAGCTGGTCAGCGAGGACGACATTGAGATCACGGAGCAGTACGTGATCCTACAAGTGCTGGGAGAGAACGACGTGCCGACGATCTATGGTCTATGGATCTTCTCGGATGAGGGCGAGGGTGTACACAGCACGCGAGAGATAGTGGCCCACTCAATTCAGGAGTGTGCTATGCGAGCAGCCCATGCGAATCTGGCTGCGGCGGAGGAGAGTCAAGAGGACTACGAAGCGTCTGCACCGTACGGCTTCGATGGCACTTCTGACGGTCACGCCGAGAACAATGCGCCCCAACCCAAAGAGTCGGGACAGTCGATCGATCTTCTTTCGTTGTTTGGCACTTCGACTTCTCAACCTCCGGCGACAAATGGCAATGTAACGAGTCCACCCGCAACCAGACCTGTGCCAGAGCAATCCCATTTCGTCCCTACAGCAGACACAGACTTCTTCAGATCTACTGGCAGCCCTGGAGCAACATTCCAGGGACATTCGAGGCCTCCGCTTCAACAAGATATGTTACTCAATTTGTTCAAGAGCGCGAACCACGGCTAAAGCGAAATCCATAACGGATCATTTCACTTTGTGCTACGGTAGATCCGACAAGGCGGGATGATTACCGTGTACGGGTTATGGTAAGCTACGTACCAAACACGGCCGTCTGCCTCAGGATCTTTCCGTTTGCACTGCTCGCCTGCCTCATCTCTGTAAGCTCCTCCATCGCTTTGTCCTTCGACCACCCATTAACAATCGCCTCCCTCAGAATATCCTGCTCGCTCGCTGGCGACATGCCCGACGGACCTGGTGGCCGGCAGTCCAAATTGGTGGGGAATGGGTATCCTTCCGCCACAGCACGAATAAAGGCATCGACCTCCTTGGTCATGCCCTCCGCTCCGTGCTTCGACTTCAGCGTCTCGTACGTCTTCTCGATCAACGGCAAAGTGTCTATGCTCTCCATAGTCTTGCCAAACGCGCTGGAGACTTGGATGAGGTTGGCACTGCGATCGAAGTCTGCCGTGCAATTCTCGCCTGCAGCATGGAAGAGTGCAGGATTGAAGAACACAGCATCGCCTTTCTCCATTGGCATAGCTACGTAGTCCTGCTCGAAATGGTCGATGAACTCTTTTGAGCGATATGCTCTGAATCCTTCAGGAAAAAGCTGCGAATACGGCAACAGTCTCGTTGGTCCAGAGTCCTCCGGCATGTCTGTGTGAGCCACCGCGCCTTGCAGAGTTAGAAGAGAAGTCATGGCATGCACCGCCTTCGGCCACGCAACGACATCCTCATCTGTCTGGAACCCGAGATGGTAGTCCCGATGTGGCATCTGCGCTTTCCCGCCCGGCCGTACGATGTTCACTTGCGTCGTGATGCGGTACGCTGGGCCCAGGTAGCTGTCGCAGACTACTTTGAACCACGGGTTGCTGAAGTACGCGGTGAACGACTCTGGGTCCTGGAGTGCGTGCTTGCTGAAGGAGTTCCAGATCCGGCTGTTCGCTGATGCTGGAGCGAAGTGGTCGCCTTTGGCGCCTGTCTTTTCGAGCTCGTCGTCGATAATAGCGCAGAAGGCTGCGTTGGCTGAGTCGATGGTGGTGGAGTCGGAGAAGAAGTGTTTTAGTATGTAGACGCCTGGTCCGGAGGTGAGGTTGTGGTAGAGCTCGTCTTGCAGGCGATCGATTAGATCTGCGTCGTCTAGATTCAAGTTGTGGCAGTCGTATATTGGCATGTTCCTTTCGACCCTCTCCGCCAGTGGGTAGGTGGTCTTCGATGTCAGTTGCTGCGTGATGGCTGTGAGCTCTGTAAGAGACGGCTTGGTGGTGGCGTTGTAACATCTTGGCTCAAGCTGTTTCGATTTGACTCGTTGCCGTAGGAAAGCCGGTATGTCGAGGTAGTACAGTGTCCCGAGCAGACCGACTGTCGACGCGATGCTTGCCGCTGCCGTGATGGCGGTGTTGCGGCTTCGGGCTTGACGATTCATCTTGACTGCTTTTCAAACTGCTCAATGACCTTGACTTCTTTCGACGAGATGTCTGATTATAAGTAGTCATGATGGCTCCGACAACGATCGGAAGCTGGATGAGGTGGCTTGGCGGCGACACTCGAATCGGCAAGCAAAGTCCGAACATCGGATGCTTGAGGTGAGAGACATCGGAGTGTTTTGAAAAGATATGACCTGCGCAAAGCGTGACCGACCTTGCTCCTTAATGTCCGGCTGAAGACGTCTTCAAACAGTACAAAAGGCGAGATATACAATCACGAAGACGCAGTATTCAGGCCTCGAAGGTACATCGTTGCTGTATGCAAAGTCACATGCATTGCCATCAGCTGTGACGTAGCAGGGGCCAAAATCTCTCTCTTTGCATCAACGAAATACCTCATACTGCCCTCTCTGCTCTTCATCTCTGCAAAACAACCACCCTAACACCCACAACCCGCCAAAATGAAAGCCTACTGGTTCGATAACCTCCCTGGCGACCAACGCCTCCCCCACGACTCCTCCCGCCCCGTTCCCCCCTCCTACCTCTCCTCCCTCGGCATAATCCACCACTACCTCCCCTCCGACCTCCCGGGCGTCGACGCCATAGCCTCCGAGCGAAACTACAAGAATCGCGACACCATTGAGATTTCCCCGACTACGTTACCGAACTACGAGGAGAAAGTCAAAGGATTCTTCCATGAACATTTACATGAAGATGAGGAGATAAGGTATATTTTGGAGGGCGGGGGGTATTTTGATGTGCGGAGTGAAGGAGATGAGTGGGTGAGGATTAGGTTGGAGAAGGGGGATTTGATGATTATGCCGGCGGGGATTTATCATCGGTTTACTACTGATGAGGAGAATGTGAGTTTCTACACCTTACCGTAGAGGGAGTGAGAGGGGTGGTGCTGACTGTTGATCGGTAGTACACCAAAGCGATGCGGCTGTTCAAGGAGGATCCGAAGTGGACGCCGTTGAACCGCGGGAAGGAGACTGAGACGAATGACTTCAGGAAGGATTACTTGAAGATGAGGGATGGGGGTACGGGTATTGCTGCGTGAGTGGCTTAAAGATGGTATTAACATAGACCCATAACGACGTGATGACTGTGTAGCTTTGAAATATGAACATATCCACAGTTTTGCTATCTACATGTAGATCCTCCTTGGCTTCGTGGCAAGGTCAATGGTATCGAAAGCAACGCTCAGAACGCATGCAGAAACTTTCCCACGTCTAGTTCACCTCCGAATGCATCCTCACTCGCGCCTGGAGCTGCTTCAACAGCTCGACTTCCTCGTCGCTCAGTTGGAGCTGATGTGGCATGCGAATCTTGTACGGCTCCACCCTGATCTCCCACAAACCCTCCTCGAACTCCACGTTGTTACTGAGCTCGTGTGCAAGGGTGTGATCACTCCCCGAATCCACCTTCTTCATCTCCGCCTCGCTCTCCTCGTCCTGTGCGTACTCTTCTTTACTCCAACGAGGAAGCTTCCGTCCCACTTCTTCAGGCGTCCACCAGAACACCGGATACTGCCTGGCAACGTTGTTGAAGACACAAGCCACCGCCACCATCAGGACACTCGCCAGCAGCATCAACGCTGGGAACATCCATCCTAGCGCTATTACTGTAGCATCTGTGCATGCTAAGATCGCTGTCGCACCGCCCGGTGGATGTACTGTATTCGTCATGCTCATCGCGACGCTCGAAGCAGCACACGCCACTGCCGCAGCGACCCATCCGTAGTTCGCGAAGAATGATGGCGCATGCTGGAAAGCTTTTGAAATACCCGTGCCCACTATCGCGGCTATGGTGTGGCCAACGATGCTATTGCGAGGTTGTGCGAGCGGAGAGCGAACGGTGTTGTAGTCGAGGACCGCGCTGGCACCGAGCGATGCGACAATGGTCGGAGGGTTGTACTGAGCTACGCCTGGGGCGTAATTGTATACTGCTCCGACCACGCAGATGCCGGCGACTGTCGCGAGCACTGTGTTCAGCCATTGCACCGTCGACGGAGGCTCTTTCGAAGGTGTCTTGCGGTAACCCAGAAAATGCGCGATCGGTGTTGGAAAGTGTCGGACCTGGTTGTGCGGGACGAAAGGGTTGATGATGGTGTCGATATTCGGGTCCAGAAGCTTGGTCAGTGTAGGCGAAGGCATGGCGGATGGTGTCGTGTTAGGGCGGCGAAGGCGGCATCCATGCCAGAGAGACGGTGAAATGAGATGGAATAACCGTTACCCTACCTGGCCTCGGACTGGCGGAGTGATGTCTCCATTCTATACCATAACGCGTACTGCACGTCATGCTTCTCCTCGGGAGTTGACGCCGGTTCTAGATGTCAGCTCTCCGAATGAGGTTCATCTCGCCGGCTTCCTCGTGTTGTTGCTGACCAGCACCTCGCCTGTCATCTTCGGCGAAGTGTCATCGGCGGAAGCGCACATGGCAGGTCCTCGTAAATTCGGTGCGCATACTGTCATCGCCATGCATCGTCGCATTTTGGGCGATTTGACAGTCTGGTAGCGGGCGTGCGGGTGGCTCGGGGTCGAAGTTTCTTTCACGTAATCGCTCGATGGCGCGAGCCAGTCAGGAATGAAGGCGGGAGCTTGACCGAAGACTGTTATTTGCCTTCTGCTACGCCTTTTGTGGTTGTTCAGGGCTCGTAGCAAAGGACACTGGATGGAGTAGAAATGGAACAGGAAGAGAAGAAGAGGTGAAGTGGAGGGAGAAGTGTTGTTGTCGAGATAAGAGGCGTCGATTGATAGCGCATGCATTCCGAAGATTAACCGGCGGCTACCTATCGCCCGCGATAACCAGCGAGGGGCGGGTTGACTCGACGTGAGCCGCCGAATGACGCTCGAGGGTCATGTCAGCAGTACCTCACGTCTATACCGTCCTTCCTCTTCTTCACGAAATCCTTTCCATTCGTCTCCACGTGATTGGCAAGGTGAGGTTGCCTGGAGGTGACACCCGTCTGTGCCAGCGCCGCATCCGGTAAATCCACAACCTCACACGACGCTGCCACCTTCTACATCTTCTTCTTCACCTGACTCACCAAACTACTCATCCTTCCTCTTCAACCACCTTCTCTGGCGAAGACCGCAATCATACCACCGTCCAAAGACTCACAGCACCCACAACCCGCAACTACAGGAACGCCGTACTGTACCACGACCCACCACCAGACATCACCTCTCCACTACTCAGCCATGGCGGAAAAGGTCCTGATGAACGAGTACAAGGCTCTGTCGAAAGAGTCCTGGACGAACATCTCGCTCATTAACGACAACGTCTTCGAGTGGAGCGTCGCCCTCATCGTCCTCAACCCGGACTCCCTCTACTACGGCGGCTACTTCAAGGCTACCATGAAGTTCGGTCCCAACTACCCATACGAGCCACCGGACTTCCGCTTCAACCGCCCGCTGTGGCACCCAAACGTCTACCCCGACGGCCGTCTCTGCATCAGCATCCTCCATCAACCGGGCGAAGACGTCATGAGCGGCGAGGCGGCAGGCGAGCGTTGGAGCCCCGTGCAGCGTGTGGAGAGCGTGCTCATCTCTGTGCTGAGTCTGCTAGATGACGCGGAGGTGTCAAGCCCGGCGAACGTGGATGCAGGGGTGCAGTTGAGGATGGACCCGAAGGCTTACCAAGAGCGCGTGCGTCAGGATCGCGACAAGAGCAAGGAGGACATCCCGGCCGACTTCACTATGCCAACCCACGAGACTGCGTTTCGCAAGGAGGAGAAGGTGGTTGATGACTTCAGCTGGAGCGACAGTGAGGCCGAGGACGACTTCAACAGCGATGGCAGTGACGTGGACGAGGACATGTTCGAGGATGGGGGTGATGATACGGACCCGGATGTCGACGAGGAGTTATGATGATCGCTAGGAATGAGATGCGGGACGGAACACGGTGTGACGAGCATACGAACTACTGGTGGGGCAACCTGCTTTCAGCGTGGAGTTTGGGTGTTGCTCAATGAGGCATGGAAGGACCTGGCTGAACGACCTGACGGTTCGGACACCTTCTGGCATGGCTGGTCTTGCTCGCGAATCTTACTGCATGTTCTGCATATCAAGCTACCGGCATATAAGGTAGCTGGTTGCATCTTAGCTATGATAGTCACATGCTGAGATATTGGAGTCACATGTGAGCTGTTCCCAAAGAGCCTGATATCGGTCTAAACTCCCTGCGTATGAGTAAACTGCCAGCCTATACGCCTGCGCCCTCTCATCATCGTATAATGTCACCTCGCCGCCCTCACTGTCGTCTCTGCTCATCTGCAGATCTGGGCCAATGACGCCAGTCGCGTCCAAGCTCCAAGATCACCACCATGTCGCGCAAGCGCAAACAACCACTGATTCAGTACGGAAAACGCAACAAACGAAACCTGCCCCTACCCATCCCTTCTTCACCCTCTCCGCCTCCCACCTCCTCCGCCATGAGCTGGCTTCCATCGGCAGACGAAATCGACAAAACCCAACGACCCAACCCCAACCCTCCACCTCACAAACCGATCAGCCAGAAAGACGCTACAATGGTCGCAGAACCCAGCGCTGACAACATCGGCATGATGCTGGAGATCTGCGCCGGCATAAGCCAGCAAGAAGCAGTGAAGTACCTCAAAGCAAAACACAACAACCTCGAGGCCGCCATCGACGCCGCGTTGAACAACGAGAACGTCGACGCGGCTCTGCAGGCATCCACATGGGACGACAATCTCATGAGCGCAGACCGGGATGGTGGATATGATCCTCATCTACGGCCGCTTGGGGTGAGCTCGGCTGCGGCGACACGACCGAATAGTCCTGCTGGGAGCCACAGGAGTAATCTCCATCCCACGAATAGGCAGGAGGAGGATGAGGACATGCAGCGGGCTCTTGCGATGAGTCAGGCAGATGCGGGCGTGCCAATCTACGGGCAGGAGACTGGGGTGGTGGGTCCTGGCGGCGGGCAGCCTGTTTCTGGGCCAGCGAAGAAGGAGGCCTACGACAAGGACCAGTGGGCTATGGTGCCGACTGGTGCCAACAAGACCGGCTGGGGGCAAGCCACGGAGGTTGTGCCAGATCAGGAGGCGCAGGACAGGGTGCTGCGCTCCGGAGAGCCGAGAGTGTTGAAGCAGTTGCCGGATGGAGACTACATGCCCAATCTTCTGACGATCTGCGCGGCCATACCTGCTGCGAAAAAGGCGTTGTTGATGCAGGAGTACGTGCAAGTAGATTACGGGCAGGATGCTGAGTGGTGGCGTGGGCATCCAATCGCGAAGCCGCGGATTGTACATGTTGGGGATGGAAGTGCGGTGGAACCGGAGAGTGATTGTCAGGATGAACTGTTCGCGGAGGTGCAACGCCTGATGGCATTTCTCACAGCGAGCGACCGGAGTTACGCCAGCGCAGGCGCGCTCACACAGACGGAGTTCTTGAAACGCACAAGCCCGATGGTAACGAGGTCAAGGACTCTGCTTGAGCTGTTCTTGCAGACGTGGAGTATGGCAGCTTCGTCGAATGTGGGTGTTGACGGGGACGTGTCGAGGATATTCACGACGACAGTTGGGACGTCAGCACCCGAAGGTATGGACACGCCTGACATGAGCTTGATCGACCTGCAAGTCACTCTCGGCGAAGGTGAGAAGGCAGATCTGTTCGAGCTACTGGACGGACTGCTGTGGGAGACCGATGCAGACAGTACGGCCATGTCGGACAACTTTATCGAACGACCGGCGGATGTGCTCGTCATGCGTGCGCACCAGTCCAACCCAGCAGTTGCCAAACAGCTCCGCGTTGAAGTGCCCCCAGAGTTCTACGTCGACAAGTACCTAAAGGACAACATTGCCGCAACACGAGCGACGAGGCGTGAGATGGCGAACAGCAAGCGACGCATTGCGAAGATTGAGGAGATCGAGAAGAAGCTGAGGACGTGGAAGCATCCTACCAAGAACGAGAGTCTGGACGCTGGCCTGCTGCTGAAGCACACTCTCGGCCACTTCACTGGCCAGAATTTACTCAACGCCTCCAAGAATGACCGTAATCACAGCACCGACGAACTAGCCGAGCAGCCACCTGCCTACCAGGACATTTCCAGCAAGCTGGAGAAGCTCGTCGTCAACATCGAGTCGAAACTTCAGGTCCTAACTGAGGAGAAGGAGAAATCCCGACAAGCCATCTCTTCCATGTCCAAGGCGCCACCTCCAGGCCTGGAGTACGAGGAGCAACAGTACCGCTACACGCTGCGAGGCGTGGCCACACGACCGGACACAACTTACGTGCTCCTTCCCAACACTTTGGACGCTGATGTGGAACTCATCGAAGACGAGCACACGCCTGCAGGCTGGAGGTGGTGGAGGGTGGAGTACAAAGCCGATGGATCTTCAGATTCCTCCCCTACTGTTACCAAGACACTGGCCAGCGACTTCGACGTCTTACGCGCAGTCGAGCTAGAGCACAGTTCAGCTTTACTCGTGTACGCAAGCGATGCTGCAATGAACGACCGGCAAACCGAGCATGGACTTCCAGAGGCTCTGCGCAAATTCATAGCAAACGACAACGCCCTCTTCGACGCCGAACTTCAACGCGCCAAGGACGGCGGCGGAGGTAACGACACTTCCAACTACGGCGTCACCCACATCGACCTCACCGACGCTCCACGCCAAAGCATTGAACGCAGCAGCATGGACTCCACTCGCGTCGAGGGCAGTTTCAATGGTTCAGATCGCGGTGATCCGCCGGATTATTATAAAGGGCCGCCGGACTTTGGATTGGGGCCGAATCTTGACAAGAGGGGGGATGCGATGGAGGAGGATGAGGCGCCGGTGGTGGAGATACGGTTGGATGATGAGGGGGAGGGGCAGGGGAGTGAGATGGTGGAGAGGGGAAACGGGGGTTTGATGGGTGGGATGGAGAGAGGTGAGGGTGGGCAGGATGATGGTGTTGGTGGGAGGGGTGGATGAGGGATATGAAGAGGTTCGGCAAGATTTCGGTGGTTAAGAGGAAGCTCTTTGCTGGACTGCGAGACGATATGACCCATGAAGCGATACCACCTGCTTCACAGAGTTCCCAGTTGCTGGTCCATCCTCCCCCATTGCTTGACTGATTGCATTTGCCGCTCTCCGCCACTATCGATGCCTGGATAGCAGCCGAAGGGTACGGTGGTTTCGGAGCCGGCGGATAGAGAATGGCGCATGTTTGCTGGCGAGAGTCTAGGTGCCGGAGGGTACCAACAAGCGACGACGCTTGGGCCGATGCTGCTACACGTGAGCCGTTGCCAGGTACCGGTCAGAGTAGGTTCACTTACCTCGTCACCTTTAGCCTTTCGGGCCTTCTCCAGAGCCAGATGATCCCGCAAATCTGCCAGTAAACAGATCTGGCACTCCTCGATCTCGAATGTCGACACCCCTGCTCGTTGGCATAACTGTTTGGCCTCCTCGAAATGGTCCTCAGCTACGTGCATCCACGCTTCCGAGTCTATTCCGGCGGCCTTCCGACTCCTGCAATTCGCCAGCGCCATATACGAAGCGAACTGACCACGCTGAAAAGCAGGGATATTGGGTTCGATGGGCACTTTGAAGAGCGTAAAGAAGCAGACCTCGTGGACAGACACGTAGTCTTTCACGAGATATGCAGCCTCCACGGCCGCTAACATTCTCGTCATGTGTTGGAGATCACCGTTCCAGGTCTTGAGGGTCTCCACCCAATTTTTGCTGTCGAGCACTATTGGGGCTTCTGATTGTTCGGTAGTTGGTGGAGTCGAGGCCATAGCGATGGATGCTGGATTGGAAATACGTGAACGCTGTCAAAGTCGAGAATTCGAGGTCGTCAAGAGGTGGCAAGAAGAGAAGGCAAGTGCGGTCATCAGTTCGCTCCTTCTTCATGTGATAAAGCTTGGCCGCATGAGCTAGATCTTAACAACCTCACTTCACCATCGCGCATGCTTGGACTTCACCACACCCCACGATGGCAAGCGCACTTTGACGGCGAACCTGCCATTCAACCTGCTGCGTACCTGCGCAAGCTGTTGACAATCACTACTCACAGCAAAGTGCCTCTCCATGGCGCCGACTCTGCGCAAGCGCGCGACCAGAATCGAAGACATGACAAGACAACCCGCTCCAAGTCCCAAGATGAAGGCGAAGCACGTGTCTAAGACAAAGCCATTGATAACCACTGGAATGCGACCATCCCAATCCGTGCAAGACAAAGAAAACTTCGCCCCCAGTCTGGCCGATCGTATAAAACAAAGGCGACGTGCAGCGGAAGGACCAAACGCATCGCAATCACCGCAGCAATTAAATCACGTTCGCGAGACATCGCCAGATCCTGTGGTATCGTCGCCGTCATTGCCAATCATGAGTGTTAGTATCCCGACCCTGCCGCAGGCCGCGCTACCCAAGCGCAAGCGCTCCGGTGATAGCACGCGCTTCCCGCCGATGAAGCGAGCTCGAGCAGTGAGCGACCTACGGACTGTGTCAACAAACAGAAAGACCGATGATGCTGTACGCAGACGGAGCGTGCAAGATCTCACGCCGCAGCCGACCACAGCTAGCAGAGACAACGTGATCTCAGCATCCGAACTGCCAGCAAACCCGCCCATACATAACACGCCAGATCTTGAGGATGCCAACACCAGCGCGGAGCAACCGACTGAAGCCAATGTTGCCACTCCGATTCTACCAACAAACCCCTCAGCCAATGGAGGGGAAGAATACCGTTGCGCGCATCCCCTCCATGTGGAGCTCCATCACAATCCCATCCAAGATCAGCCGGTCCAGCAGGAGCCGTACGAAGCCCTCGTCCACCTTGCGCAGTGCGAGAATCCGCTTTACAGGCCAGACTTCATACCCTTTCCGCTGTACGATCTTGAGTCTGCTGGTCAGACGCTGACTGCCACAAATGAAATGGTTGAAGGCATTGTCTCTCGCCAATCGTCGGATGCGGTACACGACAGGAGCTCGACGTTGCTGTACAGCGATGATATTGTACTGCAGCTCGAAGCGCAGAGCCCACGCGAGCCCGAAGAAGCTGGTGACAGCCAGGTGACCTCCGAAGTAGAGGCAAGCAGCAATACCGCCTTTCTTGGTGCGGACGATGGGCCAAATGACGCCGTTGATGTGCCGCGCTCAAGTACGATGCCGGCCGAACAGGAGCCCTCGTCGCACGCACAAGATGAGGCGAAGACTGTCCAGGTCGAGACCGAGCTTCCTGCCACCGAGACAATTGCGGACGATTCACCAGAAGTCACTGAGCTCAGTATCGCACCCGAGACAGCTACCTCCGCACCACCTCGCTTGCTTGTCAAGATCCCAGTGTCCGCGCCAGAGCAGCCGAGGCCGCACAACGCAGCAACGCCAGAAGACCAAGAGTACATCGATGCGATATCAGCGGCATTGAAGGCTCAAGGCAATCGAAGACTGCCAACATTGGTCGACATCAAGCCAAGCGCATACTCGGACTTCTGAACCTTGCTAAACCTCCAAGCGCCGAAGAAGCTCTTTTTCTGTCCGATGAAGAAGCCGGGACCCATCTGGACACCAAGACCTTCTTTTCGGGACCCGTCTTCGTGGAAAATGCACAACCTCGGAAGCTCGAGACGGTCACGAACTTCCTAAACGAATACTATGACGACGAGGCAAAGGTGTTCGTTCAAGATCCAGCCTCGAAAAAGGCACCCCACGTGCGTGAAGTCACGATGAAGCAGCTCAAGAATCGCTTCGCTCAGACGACCAAGCAGCAGACGCCATGGAACTGCCTAGAGTTGGCGGCACACATCGAAGACGGCTTGCGACCAGCATTCCTCAACAATGAGGACTGCCGTCTACTCACCAAGGTCAAAGTACCGAGCGAAGAGGACCAGGTCAAGCGTCGTGGTCTTGCACCAGGCTGGAAGGAAGTGGAGAAGTGGGCATTGCTCGCTCAAGCAGGATCGTTGACCGAGCCGCATCAGGACAGCCATGGCTACAGCACATACATCACCGTCAACCAGGGTATCATGGGTTTCGGCTGGCTTGCGAACCCCAGCGAGGCACAGCGGAAAGATTGGCGCACGAATCCATATGCTTTCAAGGATGGCGACTGGCGTTACAAGATCCTTCGTCCTGGCCAAACCGTCTACTTCCCGAATGGCACGGTGCACTTCGTCTTCCGCCTTAATTCGGCAGGCGACACCCTCGCTTTCGGCGGCCACGTCCTCCGGTGCTCACAGATCGTGAGCTGGGTCAAAACATTGATTGAGGAGAAGGCTCATCCGGCGATCACGAACGAAGAATTGTCTGTCTCAGCTCCGGCGTACCTGGAGCGTGTCGCCCGGTTTGTCAAACAGGCTCGTAGGATGGGCCAGGAGGAGAAGTGGGGCGGTGCGCTGGCGATACGGGAGTTTTTGAGGTTGAAGGATCAGTTCATGGAGGTCTCTTGAGCTGGCTGGGTCTCCGTGGCGCAGGTAGAGGCTCATTTGCTTGGGTAGCGACTGGACGACTTTGATTTTGCTGGGTTGGGAGATGTGATATGATGTGTACGAGGCAAGCGAATAATGCAGTGAAGAGGAATGCGACTTTGGTTCTGTGATATTGTACGGGTGGCTGCGGGTTAAGGTGGTGAGCTTGGATAAGGAAGATCGACTGTCAATTGAGATACCCCAAAGTACGAATAGAACGAAGCCCTAAGTGGACATACACTCTCTCTGTCATACGGACATATTCGTACATATTATATGAGACTCTCTTTCTCGGGTGCAAGACAATGAGGCTCTGGTGCATATGGTTTCCGTCTGCATGTGGTTGAGGCAGTACCAAATATACGCGTAAGTTTACAGTCGCAGTATCAGCTCTACTCCGAGATATATCGAAGTGCCTCACCTCACCTCACCTTTGAAGGCTGCAACATCCGCGACCACAAACACCGTATACCTTTCCAGGCGCACAACGACACCACACCCAATCCGCGACAATGCCCGCATATCATAGTGTCTTCCTCGACGAGCCGAACCAGCAACTAATCGGCAACTTCGCCCTTCTCCCCCTCCGAACAAAGACCCGCGGTCCAGCACAACAACTCCCCCAACTCCCAGCCGGCACCTCAGACATCGACCTCGACCCGTCAAACGAATCCTACGACCCTCTAGATGAGGTCCTCTCGCTCTTCCGCGCCAACACTTTCTTCCGCAATTTCGAGATCAAAGGCCCCGCAGACCGGGTGCTGATATACGGCATCCTCTTCCTCAGTGATGCATTATCGAAGATCAAACCAGGCATGAGCAAACGGGATGCAGAGAAGGCCGTGGGGAACGTGGCGCTGGAGACGAATTTCGCGATACCGGGCGATGCGGGCTTTCCGCTGAATCAGATGTTTGAGCCGCCGCGGGATCGGAACGAGGCGGAGGTGCTGAGGCAGTATGTTATGCAGATGCGGCAGGAGCTCGCGCAGAGGCTGCTGGGGAGGGTGTACGTTGATGGGTCGGGCCAGCCGAGTAAGGTGAGTTGTAATCCACTGCTGAGTGCACTATCCGGCACGAAGAGAGCGGACGCTAATGGTTTTAGTGGTGGCTGAGCTTCTCGAAACGGAAGTTCATGGGCAAGCAGCTATGATGCCTTTAGACAATATTTCGAGGAAACGACTTTCACGACGGTATGAGAGGAGCGATAGTAAGCTGTCGCGGCGAAGTGTCTGCTTTGCAATGTGCATATCACTGGACCGACTGCTTGGGCAACGAGATTAACTCACAGCGCCTGCTTAGAGCGCTTGTCGACAAGTTACGGGCGGATTTGAGAGCACCGGAGCCGTGGCACAACATATGATAAAGACAGCGGCGCGGTCACGCGACTCTTGGTCAACAATTGTACGCTGCAACGTCCGTACATAAGTATGTATCCGATGCATAGCCCTACAGATACCCGCATTGCTTGATGACGTCCGTCGTAGCTCAGAAAGTGCAGGCCCGTCTCAGGTATTGATACTAAGCCCACCGGTCAGCAGCTGAAAATACGAGAAATACAGGAAACTTGCTTGATCTGGATCGTCTTCGTCTGGAGGTAGTCTTGCATGCCCTCGAGACCGCCTTCGCGACCATATCCGGATTGCTTGACACCGCCGAAGGGTGTGTCTGGCGCTGGGAAGTACCAGTCACTGCAACAGTTCGTAAGTTTCCCATCACTTCTACGGGCTGACGAATCGACACTCACTTCACGGCAATGGTGCCGGCCTCGATCTGGCGTGTGACGCGGAGTGCGCGACTGATTGATTCAGTGTACACACAAGCTGTCGAATGTCAGCAGGTCAACATGCACCCTGGAAGTTCAATCGTTACCAGACAGGCCAAACACTGTATCGTTCGCCATCTCGATCTGTGTCGATGTGTCAGCACCACGTTTGCACACTTGGAATCGTCATCGAAGTTCTTACAGCCTCGTCTTCTGTCTTGAAGGTATGGACCGTCACGACCGGGCCAAACACTTCCTCCTTGACGATCCTCGATGTGTTGGGCGTATTTTTGAAGATAGTAGGCTCGACGAACAAGCCATTCTTGCCCCGTTGCACGCCTCCGGTCACTAGCTTGCCTTCCTTTTTACCGATCTCTGCAAAGAGTACTTATCAGCATGCGTTGCTTTAAGCAGCAGCAGCATCGAACCCACCGATCAATTCCATCACCCGCTCGTACTGTTTCTTGTCCGCAATCGGACCAACTTGGGTGGTCTGGAGCGCGGGATCGCCGATGATGCCTGCTTCGCTCGCCTGCTGGAAAGCGCCCTTGAGGTTGTCGATGAACTTGTCGGAGATGGATTCCTGGAGGAACACACGGGAGGCCATCTGCAGAAAGGTGTCAGCATGGACTTCTTCCCAGCTCACGATGTACTACTTACGGCACAGATTTGCCCAGTATTGGCCAGGATACCTTCCATGGACCTAGCCGCAGATCAGCAAAACACCCACCCATATCAAAAGGTCAAATTATACTTCGCCACAGCGAGATCCATGTTCGCATCCTCGAATATCACCGACGGCGACTTGCCACCTAGCTCCAGCGAGACACGCTTGAGGTTGCTCTTGGCCGCATACTCCTGGATCTTGCGGCCCGTGGCAGTGCTCCCGGTGAAAGCTATCTGCCTGATCTCCATATGTGCAGCCATGAGCTGGCCAGTCTTTCCGGTGCCATTGATGATGTTGATGGTTCCAGGTGGGAACACTTCTTTGATCAGCGCACCAAGAGCCAACGTTCCCAGTGGAGCCTTTTCGCTTGGCTTATACAGAAACGTATTACCGGCTGCGAGCGCGGGCTGGATTTTCTCATCAGCAAGACAATCCTTCGAATGAACGGAGCGACGTACAGCTGCTTTCCACCCGAACAGGATGGCGGAGACGTTCCAGGCGCCGATGCCTGAGCATACTCCAATGGGCTCTCGTTGGGTGAACTTATACCTGTGCAATGAGTCAACGACAGACCGCACCGACGGGCAACAACACTGCCCACCTGCCAAGTGAAGTCGGATAGGCGGTCTCTCCGTGGATTTTGTCGGCTAGTCCGGCGTAGTAGTCGAACAGGTCGGCACACACGCCGTAGCCCCTGGCGAACCGATCAGCGCGAAGTCTCACAAGCTTTACTGAAGTTCTAGGCTTGCATTGTCTGAGTACCTATCGCGGAGCCCATCGCCTTGGTGTCCAGAGCTGCAAGGTCCGATGCTTTCTCTCGCATCATGTCTGCGAACTTGTGCATGGCCTTCGCACTGAACACATCCGAGTGCGAGCCCGTCAGCTATGTCTGGGCATCAAACAGACATCTGCGATTTGAGCTCACCGATCTGTGGGATCCGTCTTGCCCTATTGGCCTTTGAAAGCTGCCTTTGCGGCAGCAACAGCAGCATCAACATCGGCTTCGCCAGCAGCGTGGATTTTGTCGGAGATCAGCGAGTCGTCCATGGGATTGTACACCGCAAGGTGCTCTCCACTCTTTGCGTCGACATATTCGTTGTTAATGAACAATCTTGTCTCGAAGGAAGCCATGTTGTGTGTGACTGATGTTTTCAACTGGTAGCGATATCGATGTTGGAAGCGTGCAGATCAAAGCCTTATGTACACAACACGTCCCTCGGGGCAGCTCAGGTCTCTCCAAGCCCCTCTTGCTGCAGTCAGCTTGGGAGGGGAGCTGAGTGAGGCCGTTGATGTCACTATCTTCAGCTCTTGGAGTTCTTACGTGCAGGCGGCCGATGATCTCCGCGCTGTCATACTAGCTGGTCTTGAAGGGAGAAAGCCTTGCACGGAATGAGATTCTTCCCGGGCATTAGGTCTGAACGATACGTAGCACCAGGCAGCCTGCAGTAGTGACCATTTGGTCCAGGCCGTGGTTGATTACTATACACCAGAACGACCAATCGTTTAGAGACTCGCGGAAATGATACATCCATTCGAAGACAATCAGCCAACAAGCCACAACCCATGGCTTTGAATTGATGCATGCTGCTGATTCGCCCCAAAGCCCGTCTTGTGACAGACTCGCAAAGACCCGGCATGTGAATGATGTGTAGCAGCAATCGAAGACAACCCGGTTGGCGTGGGTCACTTCTTCAGCCACAACTCTACTCCCCATTCCTTCCTGAAGTCAATCGATCTGCCTGTACCGTTTGGTCTCTCCAAATCGTCAAGGGCTTGGATATCCTCGTCGGATAGTCTGCGCACAGCGAAGTTGGCCTTGATCCGCTCTGCATCGAAGTCAGCATATCGAAGAGGAACCATCTGTGCTTGTGACATACCTTCATTTCCGCTCTTGCCCAAAGGAACAGTGCCTCTCTGAACTGAAGTAAAAGTGCACCTGTATCAGGAGAGGTCATAAGTTGGTTGAATTCTGTCCTCTACGAAGGTGAGTGCCTATATCCCATAAGGGGACAAAGCCCTACGTTTGCTCTGATGCATCCCACTGCAGGGAGTCTAAGACAACATGAACTGCCCAGCTTTGCAGCAGTTGCCCAACGCCCATGCAATTCTTCTCCGCCAGCTTCTTAACAGTCGGATCCTGTACAAGTGTCGCACCATCTGCCTTTTGACCCGCGAATGGCGAGAAGCAGCTCGTGACGATTCCATGCTTGTTGCCGAACTCGACGACGTCTCGGTTTGGGAACCAAGGATGCGCCTCGATCTGATTGACACTGATCGGTATCGTGGCATGAGGTAGTAGCGCCTTCAGATCCGCAATGTCGAAGTTTGACACTCCAATTGCTCGGGCCTTGCCCTTCTGGACGAGCTTCTCCATCGATTTCCATGTAGGTACGATCGATCCTTCGGGATGGCCGCCTGCGCGGGCTATGGGCTCACTAGTCCATTGCCAGTCGATCATCACATCGCCGTCTTGCGTAAGAGCCATGCCCTTCTGTTCCATGGAAGCTTGATCCTGAGCCGATGCAGTCTTCAGCGCTTCGAGCGAAGTGGGTCGGAACGCACATGGCCAATGAAGCAAAAGACAGTCGACATGGTTTACCCCCATGCCGTCCAGGATTTTGTCACAGCAGACTTCTACATAATCCGGGTGGTAGAAATTGGGCCATATCTTGCTTGAGATAAATATCTCAAAATGAGGGATGCCGTACTCGCGTATCGCCTCGCCAATCTCGCGATCGACGTCATAGAACCAGGCGCATTCGAGGTGGCGGTAACCGGTGTCGAAGGCAACTTTCAAAGCCTTTTTGATCCATTCCGGATTAGCTGGATCCGTTGGTCCGCCTTCGAAAGCCCAGGTTCCAAAGCCGACTGACGGGAGGTCGATGGTTTTGCCACCTGCTGCTTGGATGGGAAACGATCGAGGAAGCGCCATCTCGACGCTCAGGAGGTGCTGACAAGACTATTGTCACTTCGTTTCTCGTGGAACGCAAAGAGCACCAAGAGAAGCGGCCGTCAGCGGGTCGACATGTTGCCCACCGATGGATGCATTGATGCATGCGGGGTAGATGGACGGTCACCTCTGACTTCTTCGTCGAGTCCAAAGACATTCTGTTGCAATGGCCTGGGGCTTTGGTGTTTCTTTCGCGTGCTCCAAATCTGTGGTCTGAGATGGCGATTGTAAGAGCTGAAGTTTGAAGTCCCGAAGTGGGTCTCGCACCAGAGCGGCCGCACAAGGCTACGACATTGACTATAGTCTGGTTCCGCATGCATGGTGCAGCACTTAGTGGTGTTGCAAATCGAGACAGATTCAGGCTACCCTATGTCAGCAATAATGCAATGGGCGGAGCAGCCCGTGCTGGATCCCACTAAGCACTCTATCACCCGCGCCCGGTGGGAACACCATGAATGGGTGGCGAGGCTGAACAAACCACCGAGAAGAAAGCGGTGTACTTGTGTCGAGATCCTCATCAGAAGCTGCTGCTGGGATACAAAAGGCCCGAAAGCGCTCGGCAGCGTAGCGTCAGCATTTGAGAATCCACACTACTCTTGTAGTTGGAATGGCGCAGAAGACCGTCCTCGTCCTTGGTTGCGGCCCTAACATCGGCAGCAGCACAGTAGGAACGTTTCGCAAGAGTGGCTACCGAGTTGTCTCTGCCTCGAGAAGTTGCGATGGCGAAGCGAGCGACGACTCGACAATGGCCTTGAAATGCGACCTCGCACAACCAAAGTCCGTGGAGTACCTGTTCAAGACCGTACGTGAGGAGTGGGGCGAGCCATCTGTAGTCGTGTATAATGGTAGGTTGTCCAGCAGCCACTTGCAGAAGTGTCGTCCAGATGATGTGTATCAGGCTGTGCCTATTATCCGACCAAACCCGAGGAGTCGTTCAACATACCGACCGAGAACTTCGAACAGCAGCTAGCCATCAACACCACAAGCGCATTCGTCGCAATGAGAGAGGCTGCCAACAGCTTTGCCAGGCTGGATGGTTCCAAGACTCTCATCTTCACCGGCACCATGGCCAACGAAGGCGGAGTACCCGGCTGGCTGACGCTGTGCGTGGGCAAAGCAGCAGGTGCTTACATGATTGACTTGGCCGAGAACGTATACCGGGAGCAGGATGCTCGGTGAGTATGGTCATGTTGCAGCTGTCCGAAATTCGTTGATGTGATGGCAGATTTCATTGCGTTGATGAGAGAACGTCAGAAGGAAAGCCGATGTTTGAGGGCCTTGGAGGACAGGCTCATGCTGATGTGTTCTTGGACCTGGCGGAAAGGAAGGTAGACTTGCCATGGCAGGTCACATTTGTTAGTGGGAAAGGGTATGTCGAGTTCCCTCATGAGCTTATTTTGTAGCATAGGGCAGCTTCCTTATTGCCGTCAGGGACATAGACAGCGCAGATACCTTACAGCGCATTACCATCTCCCCGGGTACTGCATCGTCTTGCAATGCTGAGAGAGAGTCTTGACGTATAATTTGTTCTCTCCGTTAGGCTCCTCCCATCGCTAGAAAGTGTGGGAAATTCCGCCAATGGAAGAATGGATGTTCACAAACATGCCGCATGCATGAGCGTATCTGGAGAACAGGCCCAGCTGCTGCTCGTCTTCCATTGTGCGAGTCATTTAGTCGCGGTCTTCGACTGAGCCCTTCGTCGCAGACACGCTTGTCAACGACAAGATGATGGCAGTTGTGTATTGCCTCCACCTCCGTGACGCGATCGCCTTCGGCCGAGCGTGCTGTTGGGTCCTACTCTTGCCTTTGTCTCGAGAAGCATGCGGTTCTTCTGTTTTGTATCCGTCTTCCACGTGAGGTAGTCTTATACCGAAAGGCATGTAAGCACATTCGCAACTAGCTCCGGTCGCCGAGATTGTTACTACTCCTGGAACAGAAATACGAGGAAGATTCCCCCCACGTTCACCCCCACGCCTCTGGACCTCTCTTCTCTGTCCGCAGAGTAGTCCAGACCACCATTTGAAGACGATTGTTTCGTTGCAACACTCGTGGACCCGAACGGCACTGGAAGAATCGGCCTGGCAATCTCATACCTCGAGCGATGGAGACGGTAGAGGGAATCAGGTTGCGCGACTTCGCCTTGAATCCCATCGAACACCCAGTATCCCAGGGAGATAGGCAGCCTTCCAGTTCCAGTCGACCTAATTTTTGGTCAAAATACGTCCGCCTGATGGTCGAAGAAAGAGATTTTAGAGACCATTTAGCTCTCGAACGCACATACCTCGCCTACGTTCGGACTGCTTCAGCTTACGCGCAGTTCGGTGTCCTGCTGTCTCAGCTCTTCCGTTTGAGCGATTCGGGCACCGGCTCTAGTGTGCCAACCACGCTCACAGTGGGCAATGCTGTCGGTGCGAGCACAGTAGGGGTCGCTATTGCGTTGGTCCTTATAGGTGCTGGTTACTTCTTAAAGCAGCAGAGTGGACTTCACAAGGGTGTGATCGTGTCAAGAGGTTGGCATGTTCTCGTTATGGTGGCGATCTCTTTCACGGTACGTCTAGATCTGAGCTCTCCGGGATCATGACATCGTCTTGGATAGAGCAACTGCTGATCGTACATGAAAGCTGTTTTGTATCATCCTTGGGTTACTAGTAGCCGGCGGCAGCTGATGGACCTCGAGATGCCAGACGAGGAGGGGAACATGAATCAGTCTGACTGCGAGAGAGCATCTTTTTTCATGGCCGCTCGACTACAATTACTGGATTTTCCCGCCTCCTGGCCATGCTGTACAGTAACGAGCCGTACAATCGTTCAAAGCATCGTGGAAACGACAGTTTAGTCGCGAAATATGGAGCACTGTGCAATATGTTTGTGTGCAGGATCTTCTAGGCCGAGACCGTGACACTGATGAACCGTTATTTTATTCTCACAGCGCAACTGGCACCGGATTTCGCTCACGTGACCGCTACGGGCTGACGAGATGGCGCCGGCGCCGAGCCAGAGCTTGGAACAGGAGGTGCGGATGACATTGGTCCCGAAGAGGATGCTGCCATTGAGGGAAAGGCTGGGCCTGAGGACGGTGCTCCCGGAGATGGCGCAGTTTTTGAGCAAGATATTGACGCTGATGGAGGTACGGCTGACGACGGTTGTGCGGAGGATGGTGCAGGTACCGATGATGACACTCCTGCGGAGCTTGAAATCGCTTCTGGATTCGCAGAGCTTGTGAGCGGTGCTGAAGCAGAGAAACCACTAGATGGATTGGCACTCAGCGGGTTGGAAGAGCTGGGAGTCGGCGCCGAGGAAGCAATATCGCTCGATGGACCTCTAGAGCTGGAGATATGCGCCGAAGACGGAAGACCGCTTGATGGGTTCGGAGAGCTTGGAATCGGTACAGAAGAGGAAACCACTGGGTGGAATGGCACTTGATGGATTTACGCTCGATGGACCGGCGGAACTCTGTATCGGCATTGAGAAGGCAATACCGCTCGGGGGAATCGCGCTCGAGGGCTCGGCGCTAGAGGGGTTCGCTGAGCTTCACTCCGTTGAGGCTGAAACCGGCGCTGGGGCTAGCAGAGCTCGGGAGCGGCGCCGAAGAAGGAACACCATTAGCTGGATTGTTGGGTGGCGCAGATGAAACGAGCTCATACTCACCGGAACAGAAGTTACTCGTCAAGTGAGGGCTTGCAAATCCAGTTTTAAAATCACAGCCGCCAGGCCTGCTCAAGGCCTCGAACCTGGAGATTTCAGTGCCTTGTCTCGAGTTTCGTTCAATCGGAACACATCGATTGACGCGGTTCTTCATACTTCCTTGAATGTCGGTAGACGCGGAAGGATACTCGTCACAGTCCACGCCTGGAGGGGCACCTTTGGCGACAGAGCAGCGGTTCGGTCTCGGGGCACAGCCTGCCGCCTTGCGACGGGCTCGCTTCCGCGTTAGGATCGCGTTGTGGAGGGTCTGGTAAAATCGGTCAGAGGCTTCTCGCCCAATCATCTAGGCTACGTGGACAGGACTGGACTTACCAGGTCCACCCCAATGCCCAAAAAATACGCCCCAAAGCACATATTGGCACATACTTCTGAAATGATAGCACAGTCGAACTCCAGAACCTGGCTGCCGTTCGTCCTGGTCTCCAGGATACTCGGGAAGGCCAAAGCATGATGAGGCAATAAAGTGCCGAGGAAGCCCTTCACAGTCATACTTTTTGCGAGAGAACGAAACAAGCAAAGGTGGAAGAGTGATTGGAAAGCGAGACCAGCTTGCTGAGAATGAAGAGGATTGTAGAATACCTACAAGAGAAGACATGCTTCGTGTACTATAGATTCATCGACCAATGGGCCCCATGGCATGAGTTGTCACTCACTTTCATCAACAAAGATTGGCAGCTCCTGCTTGCCTTCGAAGGCAGACCAGTAGCACAGCGTTCGGGTATAGCAGCGTGGACACTCACAGCATCGAGGGACAAGGATTTCGTCGAAGCCATTCTTCGGAACGGCCAGTGTCGCGATATATGGCTGAGCAGGTGACGAAGGAGAACCATTTAGATGTTTCCCGAAGGCTTCCCTAAGCAATTGTCGGTGGCACGCACCATTTGCTGTGCCTGCGTAGAAGACGTCTGAGTGTGATGGCGGCAGTCTGCTGCGTCTGATACCGGATAATGACTGATGGAGTAATAATCTGGCATTGACAAAGAGGAGAAGTCAGAAGTCGACCTCCTATTCAGCTAAGCTTCGACTAACCCGCAACTGGAGGCTTCGCGGCACGCTAACGAAAGCCTAACCGCCAGGACGGCCCAGATCTTCCCTCCAAGATGCTGAAACCCACATATCGCTCGGAAGCTACACATCGACTACCATAAAGTCTTACGAACAAAGCGGCGCCTTCCTCTGGAATACTATCATATCCTGAGATTCGTTGCGCAGTGCGAAGCAGCTGACCAAGCTTCGCACAATCGCCCGGCTTCTGACAACGTCGCCCTTCTTCACAACTCCCGTCCACCTTTCCCCCATCGTTGTAAGATACAACCGCTGCCCACTTGCGTATCGTCTCAGGCCTTCAGCTGCTTGACAGAACAAGTGAAGAACAGGTTTCAATTGCCATTGAAGGAACGCCCACCCTAACATGGCCAACCCACCAGACCTCACCTTGCCGGATGTGATCCCCGAAATGCGGCAATACCACGATCAACCTGAGGACTTCCTCCCCTTCGCCCTCTACACGCTCTGTGAGCTGGACGATAAGACGCTTGAGCGTTACCGTCAGCGATGTGCATCACGTTGTGACGACGACACAGTCAAGTTGCCACCCAAGGCCCGCTTCGTTGGGGAAACACTCAGGCAGATTGTCGCCTCCCATGTTCAGCTGGGACGCGAAGGCAACTTTGATCCAATTTATCTTCTTGTGTGTGTCTACGCGGATTCGGATTTGGTGCTGGTCGTCACGTTGGACGATCATGACCTTGAGTGCAGGCCAGGACAGCTGTGGACAAGCATGGAAAGATCCGGCTTAATGCTCCAAAGTCTAAACATCTGGAATACTGATTGGTTTGCGGCCAAGGAAAACAGCCTGGCCGCTCCGTCGCAGCCTGAGAACGAGGGCGGTGATGTTGAAACCGCTCCAGACACACGCCGGAGCGTGATTAACGACAGCCCAGATGGTGCCACGGACAATGAGAACGACCAACAGGACCAAGATTATGGCACACCGCCACCCCTTGGTTTCCACATCCAGGTCTACACCACCCCTGACGTTGAGCAAGACTCATTGATCGAGCAAATGGAGCCCGGAAGCTCATACAAGAAAGCAGACCGCAGCGATTGGGGATGCAAAGCGCATCGTCTCACCAACAGTGCCAAGCAGGATTCAATAATGAACGCTGCAAGGATACATCCATATCGATGTCTCAAGCATCCCACGCTGGAGAAGAAGTATTTCATCGTCGCTGACGAAGCAAACTATGCCGATGAAGGCGTGGCCATCGTCCACCTCGACTGGAATGGTCGGACTGAAAGAATGAGTGCAGATGAGCTTCATGAGTTGGGCGGCCGTCTGGACTACCAAGTGCAGAGAGCCGAAGTTCCTGACAACGCTTCCAGAGCAGTCGTCGCCACCGTCTGTATGCTTGCGCAGGGTTATGAGAAGTGGCAGCCCAAAGTCAAGCAGTTTGCAATCTACTACCCCAACGCTTCCGACGCAGACATTAAACTGGCGGACGCGATCGATCCCAAGTGGGTGAAGCGTGGCCATGGCCAAGAGCGTGTTGCCCTCGGCGGATCGATGCAAGGCGACGAGATCGAAAGCGGAGGTGGCTTCTGGCCTGCTTTCATACGCCGACACGTTGCGTACTGCAAGCGGCAGAGGTTCGTTCCGGCTTTCGTTCGGCCATACTTCATCCATTGCGGTGTCGAGGAGCCGTCGGCGGAGAGTGAGGTACAGGTTATCAAGCTCGATTGGGATGGAGATTTGCGACTGGCGGATGTGCTGGCTGAGCAGTACAGGAGCAAGACTTCGGTAGTCAAGACATCGGCCTCAACGGCGTACGGGCTGCTCACTGATGTAGTGAATGGAAAGGTCGAGTGGCAGGGTGTGACAATTAGCTAAAGAGCACGCCGTGTTTGAGAGGCTTCATATCAAGGATTCTCGCCGCTCTTCGCTCGCGCTTTCAAATCCGCTCCAGGTTTTCATCGGATCAACTCCGACGTCTTCTTGCTTCGTTGGGCTCTCACTGAAACTTCCAGACGCTTGGAGATCATCTGCCCCTCCGATAGTATACACTCTGCCTGCCTCGTCCGAAGAACCACCTTCCCCATACTCCTGCCCTCCAGGTATTGTCCTCAACGGCATTTCCTGGTAAACCCCAAACCTCCACTGAAGATCCTCGTACGACCACTCCACCTCCGGCGCTGTGCCAGCATAATTCCCATCGCGGTCTCTGGCAAAATACTTCTTATAATCCCTCCTCGGCATCTTCAGCGCGGTGTACCGGTTGCCATCCGTAGGCGAAGAGACACGGGTTGAGACTCGCCGGAGGAAGTTGCGCTTTCTTGGTCGTTCCGGCAGCTCCGAGTTGCCTTCTACGCTTGCTCGACGGAACGAGTCTGTTACACGTACAGTGGCGATGATGATCTCGTCGTCGTTGGGCGGGGAGGTGTCGACGTCGCGTTCAAAGTAGACCCCTCCCCAAGGACCGCCGATTGATCGTGTGCGGAAGTTTGCTACGTTTCGGTTGGTTTGGCTGCTAGTCGATCCTTTTCTCTGTTCCGCTGGCTGGCCTCGTGAGGACGGAGCTGTTTGCGATGAGACCGAGGCAGACCGTGGGACATTTCCTGGTGTTGGTGGCGCTGCTACGTTTGAGTCCAAGGGCGAGGTTGTCGTTTCACCAACAGGTCTTTCTTGGTGCCGCGCGATGTTGTAGTATGGGTTGGACGGATGGAGTGCTGCCATTGGTATGGCCGAGAAGCGGAGAGTTCTGACTCCCAATTCCCCGTCGGCAGAAGAGTAAGTCTTTCGATCGGCTCGAGTCAAGGCACGTAGTTGGAATAATGGCAGCCGTTGAAGACCATTTCTTCGCTCATATATTCAGTGGTGAAGACCGGGGTTTCTAACCGAAACGGTTCCGTAAGAACGATATAAATGGCTTTACAGTAGCAAATTACGCGAATCGGAGTTGAGCAGACAAACGAAACGGGAGACAATCCATCGATATACCTCCAAGATCAAGAAAGCATCAGATGGAAGCCACATCGTGACGGCACTTACCCCACTCTCGCCACCGCTTTGGGAAGGAGGCGTCTTTCGGAGAATCGGAATGGACGTATCTGGCCGTGCCGACAAGCAAATGGTTTTGAATGCAACCCATCACAAGGCTTGATACAAGAGATAGAAATCACTTGACATCCACCATCTGCCTCTCCCTCAACTCCAAGCCGCCCTTGTGCGTATAAACGCCCTTCAAGTCACCAACACTCCTCCTCAACGTCCACTCTTGAGCCGTCATCTCAGGCTCTTGATCCTTCTCAGTCTGCGGTTGTTGGTTGATCAAACCGCCTTTCAGCCTGCGAAGCACAACCGCATCCTCCGGCCTCGAGAAGTACACCAAGCTGTTGCGTGTAAGGCCGTCTTGAGGCGGAGCAGGTGGGACGACACGATGGATGTTGGACCGTAAGATGCCGGCTGTAAACTTGACGAGCGCATCTCCAAGATTGACGATTGCAGATCCAGGGATGGGTTTGACGTAAACCCACTCTTGTGTCTCTGGGTGTCTGATTTGGAGGCCACCCAGCCAATTCATCAGGATCGTCAAAGTGCCGAAGTCGGTGTGCTCGCCCTGGCGCGCTTGTTCATCTGACCAAGGCTGAATCGCTGCTTGGTTGAATCGGACATGATCGCCCGAGCGAGCTGTGATACGGTGAAGTTCGGCTAGAGCGTTCTTTGGAAGCTGTAGATGAGTCTCCAGATGGCCGATCATCAAATCAATGGCCGCCCGACAGTCGACGACGTATTGTTTGAGGACATTCCAGTTCTTCGTGACCAGAGGATGGCACGGGAGTGGGTCTGCATTACCTATGAAGTCGTCTTTGCGCATCTGTAACACGTCAGAGCTTGGATGAATCAACATCATAGACATAGCTGACATTGTACGTCTCATTCCTCTTCACAAGGCCATTCTCATCCTTAATCTTCAGCTCAGCTTTGCGGTAGCCAAAGAATGGATCAATCTTCTCCCTTGCAAACTCTTCCTTTTCAGAGTTCGGCTGCTTGAAAAACTCCTGCTGGATCTTGTGCAACTCCTCGGCGCCGTTGACCATACTCTCTCCGAGCGATGAGCCTTCCAGCTTCAGATAGAAAAAGCCTAACTTCTTTGAAGCATCGTAGAAGGCTTGAGATTCTGCTTCATCGCCCGATTCGAGCTTGGAGAGGGAGATGGAAACAAGTGGTGCGGTGATGATGTCTGAGGGGAAAGGAGGGTAGAGATGATGACTTGTTGCTACTCCTGCGGAGCCCATGGTGACGTTTTGATGTAATAAGTAATGTACACGCTACCTGATCGCAAGATGGAGACGCGGTAGGTACGTTGATATGGTGTTAAAGAAAGATGAGGAGGCCTTACTCTGCCGCCCATTAAGATGTCATTACCCCGAGGTCGGAAGGTGTCTCCTCGAGAGCTGCCAGGAACAGCTCAGATGTACCTTTCGGATGTACCTTGAGTACGCAGTGGTGTCGAAGGTGCCGTCGAAGACATTCAGCAGTGCCATCCAAGTGCAAAGAGGCTGGAGGTAATTTTGAGTCGTAGGAAGAGAGGTGGAGGAATACTAGACATCGTCCGGACTGACACTTAGTGCCACCGCGCTATTGGGCATCCCGATCTCGACCTCACGTCCTCGGACACCTACACGCATACCTACTTCAACGACGAGCGCATGATGACCAGATGAATACCTCACCAAATGGCTCCCTGCACACCCTCCTGCTCCTCTCAGACTCCGCACTCCCCCTCGGCTCTTTCGCCTTCAGCAGCGGCCTAGAATCCTTCCTTGGCCACCACAAATACTCTAACTCCACTTTCAAATCGCAAGCCTTTGATGGATTCCTGGAAGACTCCATCGCCAACGTGGCCAGTACGGCCCTTCCGTACGTACTGACTGGCTACGCGGAGCCAGAGAGACTTGAGGACCTCGACAACGACTTCGATGCCAGTACGCCTTGCACCGTGGCGAGGAGAGCAAGTGTAGGGCAGGGGAGAGCGCTGCTTGCGGTGTGGGAGAAGGCGCTGTCTTGGTCTTCTGTATCGACTGGACAAGCGCGAGACGCGGCCGCTTTGGTGTCGGGTTTTGCTACGAAGGTGAAGACGTCCAAGCCAGATGCCTTTGGACTGAGTTTGAACGCGCACTTCGCTCCGCTGTTTGGAGCTGTGTGTACTGCTCTGGGGCTATCTGCACACGATGCCGCTTACCTTTTCTTGCTGAACCACGCAAAAGCAGTGCTTTCGGCTGCTGTGCGTGCCAGTGTCTTCGGACCCTACCAGTCTCAGGCCACGCTTGCGAGCGCAAGACTACAGGGTTGGGTCAACGATGCGGTAGAGCGAGAGAGTGATCGAAAGGCTCATGAGGCCGCGGTAACAACACCGGTAATGGACCTGTGGATGGGTAGGCATGAATTGCTGTACTCGAGGATCTTCAATTCATAAATACATCGCCTTGATGTAAATGCACATCTGTACAGGGGTATCACAACGAACATTAGGCATGGATCGATCAAGTCATCAGAACTCCAGCTCCTCAACCTCCATACCACAGTCCACGCACCGTCTCTTGGTCATCCCTGTCTCCGGATCCTCAACAGAAGCACCCCACTCATGCTCGTGCTTGCCTCTGCCGATGGTGTCCCCAAACTCGCCTCCGCCGCCTGTCCGCGCCCGCTTGTACGCATCAACTCTCGTCCTTCGCTTTAGCTCGTTCAGCTTGCTCTTGAATTTCTTCTCCTTCCGATCCTTCGTCTCTTGCTGTCGTCTTACGAACTCCTCATCCAATTTCTCCGCAGAGCCCCATTTCTGATCCGAGAAGGCGTACTCCTCCACTTGAAAGCGAAGGAAAAGCATCATGTCGTTCCACGTCGACTTGTGCGGATTCGGCTTCTTCAAGTGCGGTAGCAAATTTGTATCCTTCAACTCCGGGTCGGTCAGGAGATAGTCCTCCTTCGCTTCCGTCTTGGTGAGAAGCGAGTACTTCTCCGGGAATTTCTCCTTGCAGGCATTGCAAACCTGCGCGTGCAGCACTTCCTCCCACTGCCAGTCTATTTCCTGACTACCGCACTCTCTGCACTTCTTCGCCTCCGCCTTTCCGTTCAATACACTCAGCCCTGGTTCGTAAGGACCAGCGCGTTGCTGCCGTAACCTTTTCTCCAGCTGCTGCCGCTCCCACTCCCTTAGCGTCATGTTCGCCGGCTTCTCATCCTTCTGCGGCGCATTCAGAGCTTTGTTGAATGGATCATCCTCCGCTGTCATGAAGCCACCCTTCGTGTCCGTCATCTTGCTGAAGTCGTATTCAACAAACTTCTGAAACTTCCGCGCTGGACGGACAAGGTCTTCTTTTGCACCACCATGCTGACTGCCGCTATTCGTTTGACGTGCATCGCGGACAGTAGCTGAATGAGGGCGTTTCTGGCCGGCGATGGAGTTGTTGTTCGCCGGCTGTACAGACTCCGAGCGCTTTGAGGCCTGCTCTTGTTGTGTTCGTAGGGTTTTGGCTCGCAACCGGTTCTCTTCCATGCGTCTTACCTGCTCCGGAGTGATGGGAGGTTGTGCTGCGTTGGATTGCTCGCCTCGAGGTGGCGTTCGCGGCCGTTCGGTGTCCGCCATGATGGATGATGTGCTCCTGCACTGTCGAACAGGTGAGGATGAGTACTGTGCTCTCTGGAAGCTGGCAGTGGTGAACGATCCGAAGTCGTGTGCCTAGAACGTGAAGTGAGATATCGAAGATGACGCATGTGAAGAAAGGTTCGGCTCGGTCCATCGCGCTAGCGCTCCATCATGTACCAGCCAGTTGGGTCTTCTCGTTCTTCATCTCGCCTGACTGTCCTCCCGTGAACTCCCTCACCCAGCGACACCATGAAATGCAGTTCTCAAAACAAGCAGCATGCATGCCAGAGGGCTAACCGACGACACCTCGGCGCTCCTGCTGAGCAGCTCGGCCTGCGGCGGAAGATGGGCTCACCTCACCTCATCCTGTCGTCCTCCTACGTCCTCCCGCGTCTTGACGGGCGTACTGTATCACGGCTGTTCTGAACTTCTGACTGTATGGCGCTCATCCTCACGAAGATCCACAACTCTGCCTCTGCAGTTCGCTTCAACCATCCTTGCGCTACAGACGCGAGTCAGGAATCTGGCACAAGCGCCGGCTCTGTTTCCGCTCCTGGCTGGAGCTAAGTCGAACTGGTGTTCGCGAGATTAACTGTGCACCTTATTGGGACAAGCAGTAAGGCTGTCACATGGGGTTGGTAAGGTAGTATTCCTCCTCGCATTCTTTCTACCCCATGGGTGCTCTCCAGCTCGCCTCTGCGAAAGGCGTGCAGTCAGACCGTCCCTCAGTCGTACACCCTCTTACGTTCTCCATTTCTTCCGTCGTACCTCTTGCATCGCTCCATGAAGCGAGAACGCTTCAGCATGTTCTTCCATCGCATCGCCCTTAAAGGCCTGGCACTGTCACTCGTTCATAACTCTTTCGTTAATGCCGTCGTTCTTCCGCGCCAATCCAAGAATCCAGCATCAGATCTATTGAGTCTGATCGGCGCTCTGGACACCAGCGGAGCGGACACGGCTTCTAATCCGTTTACCCTACCTGGCCCGAAGTTTGTAATTACCCAGAAGGCTGATGACCCCGTCATTCGAGCGGCTGCGATAGCCACGAAGCAGCTTACTTTTCTCTATGGGCCGCCCATTGCAGGTGGCCCCTCGTATCCATCCGGCGCGACTGGTCTGTTGCGAACTGCTGCCGACCTTCTTGCTATCCAGATGGACATTCGACCGGAGCTAGCGGGTGCTGTCCTAGACGATACACAAGCCACGGTCAATTTGCCTCAATACGATGGACTGGACTCTGTCAAAGACTACACAAAGCTGTACCCAAACAACTGGGAGAACACCTTGCCAAGAGGACCTCATCCTGGAGCTGAAACCAACTTTACTCGAGATCTCTTCTTCTCCATGGAGCGGCTATCGAACAGTCCTTACCAGGTGCGGCGGCTGAACCCCTCGTCGGACACCCTTGCGTTCGAGATCGATGACGCCACCGCCAGAAAGACCGCTGGGTCAACTCTGCAAAGTCTGCTTACTGACGGACGCCTCTTCTACGCCGACTACCGCGACCAGAAGAACTTGCCACCAACCACTCATTACAGTGCCGCATGCGATGCATACTTCTACATCGACCCTTCTTCCGGCGATTTCCTGCCTTTGGCGATCCGCACGAATGTCGGGTCGAACTTGATTTACACGCCGCAAGACACCGCGAACGATTGGCTTCTGGCCAAGATTATGCTGAATGTGAACGACTTTTGGTTTGCGCAGTGGAATCACCTTGCACAGACGCATGAGGTGGTTCAGATTGCTTACATGGCCGCGGTTCGGACGCTGAGCGAGGATCATCCGGTGCTTGCTTTGCTGAATAGATGTATGCCTTGCCGAAAGCCAATCCTCGAGATTTGCAGCTAATGTGGTTGGCCATAGTGATGTTCGAAGTCTTCGCCATCCAATCTCTTGCTGCGGGAAGTCTACTCGATTCGTGACCAGTGTAGACAACATGCTGACCGTTGTACAGACCGTTCTGTTTGCCCCGGGCACAGTCGTCGATCAGATCTTCCCTTATACCGGCCAGTCCGCGCAGGACTATACTACTGATCGTTACAAGAACAAGGGCAGCGGGCGGTTTGAATCCAACTACTTCGAGTCAGAGCTAGGAGCCCGCGGGCTGATCAACTCGAACGTTGGCCCGGCTCTGAAGAGTTTCCCGTTCTATGAAGATGCTTCCACTATTCACGATGCTATCGAAAGGTTCATGGCCACTTTCGTGAACTCATTTTATGCCACGAAAAAAGCTATCACAAGAGATGCAGAACTCCAGGCGTGGGTCACTGAAGCGCAAGGTCCTGCTGAAGCCATTGACTTCCCATCGATCACGAGCAATGGCGATCTGATCGATGTCTTGACCCACATTGTGAGTATCCCGAATACTTTGTCCGACGTGTAGAGCTGATCGATTGTTGCAGGCACATCTAGCATCAACCTCGCACCACACAGTCAACACCAACGAACTGATCGACATTTCATCCACTTTGCCGTTCCACCCACCTGCCCTCTACAAGCCCATCCCGACCCGCAAAGGCATCAAAAACGTAGCGAACTACCTCCCACCATTCAACCAAGTCCTGACCCAATTCGCCGTCGGCGCCTTGTTCGCACGTCCAAAGTTTGTCGGCAGCAAACGAGCACTGTTACACATGTTCGACGACCCCAACATGCTCGACCGCATGAACCCGAAGACACGGAAAGCAGCAGCGAAGTTCAAGAAGGACATGCAAGCGTTCAGTGCCGATGTCAGCGGGAGGACGTTCGACACGGACGGGTTGAGCCAGGGTATGCCGTTTGTGTGGCGGGCGTTGGATCCGAATGTTGCGCCGTATTCTATAACGACTTGAGGGATCTACATAGCTGCATGAATGCATTCAATGTGATTAGCGTGCGGGATTGCTTGACCGTACATATAACAGACTCTCCGAGGCGGGACGCTTTCACTTTATATCCAGCAGAGCTGCCAGACGTTCCAAGTCGTTGCTTCATTGGAGAAGCCATTCAGAATATCATTCAAAACTCCAGTATCAATCGACTTGTCTCAGAACCATTCGGCATCCGCCAACGGATCTGCCGACCCCATCCAAAAGTTCGAGATCTGTTCCTGCATGCGAGACCCCACCAAATTTGCACGCCATCGCCTCGAGTCAGAAAGCCGAGTCACTTTTATTACCAACCACATCTCTTCTTCACATCTACCTTGTTAGTTGACATCTTCTTACCCCTTATCCTGCGCACAAGCGAGCGAACATCATGGACTTCCCTATCATCAGGTCGGCTCGGGAAACCGGAGACCACAGCGCCTTCATCGATGGGCTCATACCCGGTGGGTTTGAAGGGAGAATACACCATTCGCAAGAGAAGGAACTGCCCGGCGGTGCCAATTGGGTGGTCCAGAAGTTTGGCGGCACCAGCGTAGGCAAGTTCGGTGCCAAAATCGCAGAGGACATTGTCATTCCAGGTCTCAAGGACCAGCGGCTCGCGATCGTCTGTTCCGCCCGCTCCACGAACACGAAAAGCGAAGGGACGACCAATCGCCTTCTCCGAGCCGCGAGACATGCGAAGGACCAAGTGGGTGGGTTCATGGAAATCGTGGAGGCCATAAGAGCAGATCACATCCAAGCTGGCGAAGCCGACCTTACTGGAGAGAAGAATGCCGGGCTACGGAAGCAGTATGTGAAGGATGTCATGACCGAATGCAATGGTTTGGAAGTGATCCTACAGAGTGCGCGGAATTTGGAAGAAGTCTCGACGCAGGCGAAGGACATGATCATGTCGACTGGTGAGAAGCTGGCGTGTCTGTACATGACCGCGCTGCTGCAGGCGAGGGATATCAAGGCCGTGTATGTGGACATGAGTAAAGTCATTAATTTCCCGTTTGCTAAGGGCTTCGGGGATGACTTTTACATTGGTCTTGCGAAGGCGCTTGCGGAGCGTGTCCTTGCTATGGATGAGGATGCTGTACCGGTTGTTACTGGATACTTTGGTTTAGTACCGGGTGGGCTGCTGGAGCAGATTGGTCGCGGCTATACGGATTTGTGTGCTGCGCTGGTGGCGGTCGGCTTGCGAGCTCGAGAGCTGCAGATTTGGAAGGAGGTTGATGGCATCTTCACTGCGGACCCTCGCAAGGTGCCCACTGCTCGTCTGCTGGACTCTGTTACGCCGAGCGAGGCTTCCGAGTTGACGTTCTATGGATCGGAAGTCATCCACCCTTTCACCATGGACCAGGTCATTAAAGCGCACATCCCGATCCGCATCAAGAACGTCATGAACCCGCGCAACGACGGTACGATCATCACGCCCTCTCGCACCGACGACCTATCAGCTCGTCGTCCAGGCCTCTTCCGTAACCGCAGCGCTTCAAATCTGCTCGCCAAAGACATGCCACGCCGCCCAACCGCTGTGACCATCAAGTCCGGCATCACCGTGTTAAACGTCCACAGCAAGAAACGCACCCGTGCCCACGGCTTCCTAGGCTCCATCTTCAGCATACTAGACAAGCACAAACTCTCCGTCGACCTCATCTCCTCATCGGAGGTGCACGTTAGTATGGCCCTGCACTCCGAGATCAGCCTACTATCCGGCCACGGCGAAGAGGAGCTCCGAATCGAAGACGAGTCCCTCCAAGGCGCCGTCAACGATCTCCAGCGATGGGGCGACGTCGATCTCGTGCCATCCATGGCCATCATCAGCCTTGTCGGTAGACAGTTGCGAAGCATGGTCGGCATTAGCGGGAAGTTCTTCAGCACGTTGGGAGAGCACGGCATCAATATCGAGATGATCTCGCAGGGAGCGAGCGAGATTAATATTAGCTGTGTGATTGAGGAGAGGGAGGCGAGCAGGGCGTTGAATGTGGTGCATACGAATCTGTTTACGTTTTTGGATTGATGGGGTGGGTGCATAGCGTTGGGTGCATTCGGGCTGATACCCCAGGATGGAGGGATGGACAAAAGTTCTGGGTAGAATGGATGACAAAGTCTGGTAGCAGCATGAGAATCGTTTCGACGGAGAAGTCGTCTGCCTCATATCTGTCATTGGGATCTCACGATTCGATTGGCTGGCAGTACCCGCCGCTAGCTCGCGTCCTCCCGACGTGACCACAAAAAGTTGACGAAGCCTTTCTGAGCTGTTTCTACGCTCGAGAAGCGGCGCGAGCAGTCGCAGGCCCTTGAGGTCGACGACTTCGACCAGTTTCGTGGTGCCTCGGACGTGTCTGCCCCTTCTCGAAGATCGAATTAGGCAATTTTTCGAGACTCGCTCAAATTCATGAGAACTTGAAGCTCGGAGAAGAGCGCCGAGCTGGGCTTGGCACTTTTTGAAGCTGACTTTTTCGGCCTGGTCGGTCAGGCAGGCTTTGAGAGCTTCTTCTCGAAGATCGGAACAGCTTTTCGTGGCCACGTCGCTGGCGACAGTTGTTTAGGAGAAGGGGAAATTGAACCTAAGCTAGCGCCTTTTGATGTCCGGCCAATCATAGACCACCATTTCAACACTCGTTCTCTACTCCTACTTCCAGAGAAGGTCGAACGATTGTGTGAAGCTGTACAATTTACACTGGGTATCTAGTCTGCCCTGATAGCATATCTACACACCTCGGCCACGCTTCTTATATCCGCATCTTCTCTATAATCTCCTTGTACTCCTTCCTCTTCTTCACCTTCCCACTCACCCTAACATACCCCTTCCCAATCGCCTTCGCCAGCCGCGGGAACAACAGCCGCTCGGACAGGTACATGCAGCAGAATCCACCGATTCCCAGCACGAGGATGAAGATCTTGAACACCGAGCTCAAGTACGTCAGCTCCATCAGCTTGTACAGCCATGGCGCGGGGTCGAACAGCATATAACTGCTGATCGCCAGCGCCACGAACATGGTGATGACGAAGGGAAGGTTGTGCCGCATGCTCTGCCTGAACGGCGGGCCGACGGAGAGCACGATGGCGCTGAGAATGTACTGGTAGCAGCTGAGTAGGAACAACGTCGTGTTCTCCGAGTTGTGCGAGTTGGAGTGATCGCGGTCGATGACGGGTGGCTGGTACCAGGGTTGCTTGCGCACTGCTTCCCAGCCGACGAGCTGCACGACGATGCAGATGGCGATCTGACCCAGCAAGGGAGTGAGGACTTTTCGACTGACGAGGCTGGCGGTCGGTCGTTTGCGGGAGAGTTCGCGGTACGGGCCTGTCCAGCCCATGAAGATGGCAATGGGGAGGATGAGCAGGAGATCGATGTAGAGGAACTGGAAGTCGCCGAGGTTCGAGGCGGAGGCGTAGAGGAAGCTGACGCTGGTGAACTGGATGGCGGAGTAGAGCGACATGTACTTGAAGCAGCTGAAACTTGTGACGAGTGCTGCGCGGCCTTCGCGGATGACTGAAGGAACACAGCTGATGTCGAAGACGCGGCTGGTGAAGGGGGCGGCGACGCTGGCTTCGGCTTCCGAAAGACTGATGCCCACGTCTGCAGCTTTGAGGGCACCGCAGTCGTTGGCACCGTCGCCGCAGAAGCCGGCACAGTAGTCGATGCTTTGCAGCTTTTCAATCATCTCGTGCTTCTCGTCTGGGCTCATGCGGGCGAACACCTGGCCTAGGACAAGCATTTGCTGGAGAAGCTTGGGGTTTGCGAAGTCGACCAGCCAGCGGAAGACGTCTCCTGTAACAGCTATCGAGTAGTTGCGCAGGTTCGAGACGTCGTACGGTAAGCTCGAGTCGTGCTCTGCTGGCGGCGGCAGCGGCTTGAGTGTGTGCTCGTCCAGCTGATACACTGGGTTGTCGACACTTTCCCAAGTCAGCTTGGCTAATGGTGTGTGCGCATCTCCCTCCTCGAAGTGCGGTACGAAGCAGTGTGCATTCCTGTCAATCAGCCCACACTCTCTGGCCACCGAGATAGCAGTGAGGATGTTGTCGCCGGTGCACATCACAGTGCGGATATCAGCATCCCGCAGCTCCCTAATGATGCCCTCCGTTGTAGGCTTCAGTTTGTTCTCGAAGATGATGAAGCCGACGAAATCCAGGTTGCTCTCAGCTTCCTCACGCTTCATCTTCTGCACCTTCAGCCAGTTCAGCTTGAAGATATGCTTGGATGCGCAAGCGATAACTCGGAAGCCGCGGTGGGTGTAGTACGCTAGTAAGTCGTCGTAGTCCGCTGGGAAGCTCTCCGGCTTGCAGATGTCTTTCATGGCTTCGGGCGCGCCCTTGACGTAGACATCGGCGCTCTTCTCGCCGAATTGGCGCACAACCACGCTTGCTCGTCGAAGCTGCGAGACGAACTCGAAAGACTTGAGCACACCGAGCTCGATCGGGCGTCGACTGTTAGGCGAGTCCTGGTCTTCGTCTAGATCGTACTCCAGGCCAGGTGGCGGTCGGGCGACGGAAGGCGACAGCGAGTGGTCGTCCTCGTCCTCCGTTGCGTTGCCCGCACCACGTTCCGTGCCTTCCTCGTACTGCCAACCGGTGTATTCGAACATCTTCAAGTCCAGAGGATCGCCAATGAACTCGTCGTCCACGATACGTAAGCTGTGGCAGGTTGCCATGGTGTACAAGATCGCTTTGTTGGCATTGTAGTCGTAAGTAGGATCCCGCTCGTACGTCGCGCCCGGCAGTAGCGCAGAAGCATCCGTGAGAATGTCAGTGAATCTGTTGGCTGGCCGGCTCACAACTCTTACTCCAAGCACGTCCAGCCCGTCTTCGGTCAACGTGCCAGTCTTGTCAAAGCACATGACGTCCAGCTTACCGCCGACATTAACACGCTGCGGGCTGATGCAAAAGATGTTTTTCTGCTTCAGCCTACCCAGAGCGAAGTTCGTGCCAATGGTGAGCGTGGCGGGCAGCGCAGGAGGCACGACAATGGTGATCAGATCCAAGGCTCGGACAATAATCAGGTGCCACTCCAGACCCAGCCGAATGAAGTTGATAAACGAAGCAATGAAGCCAATGCCGGCAATGCATGCCATGACCGAGATGTATCGGAATGAGTCGCGGTAGAACTTGAAGCCGGATGGCTTAGGGAACAGCATCGACCGTACCAGAGCGCCCTTTGTCGTGTTGAAGCCGGTTCGGACCACCAAAGCAAGAGCCGCCGCTTCTTCGTCCTGGTTGATGTCGGCATCTTGTGGCCTTCGAGCGCGAATAATCTTGGTGCCGCTGAAGAGCATGTGTTTGGCGACGTCGGCGTGAATGGCACTAGCACTCAGACTGATGCGTTCGAGTGTCTCGTCTGTGGCAGGTGTCTTGGATACCGGTACAGACTCGCCAGTCAACATGCTCTCGTTCACGATGCAGTCGCCAGAAAGTAACAGGCTGTCGCACGGGAACTGGCCAAGATTGGGATCTGTGACTTCGTAGACATCACCTGGTACCAGCTCACTCGATTCAACATAACGCCAGAACCCAGATCGTAGCACGCGGATGTCGCAGTCGAATCTCGAGATCTCCCGTAATCGCTTCATGGTCGCTTTTGTCTCGATGAGCGTAGTCGTGATGCTTGCCACTGAGATGACGAAAATGCAGCCGGCGTAGTAGTAGTATTCGTCCATGCTCCATAGGAGGATACTGGCAATCTGGAAGACATAGAACGGGTGGAAAGCCTCGTCCATCAGTAGTTGAGTGGTGGTCTTCATCTCAATGTTGATCTCGTTCTTCCCGAAGATGCGCTCCCGGTTCTCCTGCTCGTCACTGTCGATACCAGCGCGAACTGTGGTGAGAGCATCCATGTTCGACCATGTGGGGTCTTTCCAGACATTGCCAGACACGAACTTGTCTTTCAGCGGGTGGAAGCAGAACCGGATGTAGCGGTAGTCTAGGATACGGAGCTCGTCCATGATCGGGTCGTCGTACTCATCGTAGTCCATCATCTTGTTCCTCTCGCTCTGGCCAAACACAGATGATAGCGACTGACCGAAGACTTGCTTCTGCATATCCTGCACGATCATCTCACCCCATTGGTTCTCGATGACGACCCAGTCGCACTTCGCGAGCTGCGTAGTTCGGCCCACTAGCTTGACATACCACTTCGGCAGCCACCGCAAGAGCAAGTATCCCAGCCCTCCAGTGAGCAAGCACACACACAGGTACAGCGCAAAGCCGAACAACGATGTCTTGAACCCGGCCACCACAATCGTCATATCCTCCGTCAAGATATAAATCTTCTGGCTCACCCTGCCACCGGTCCGGAATCCACTAGCATCACTCCCACCAGAATGATGCCGCCTCAACAGGGGCGTGTCCGCCGACGTCCTGCTTCCCCTCGAGCTCTTGGACACCCCCGAGCTCTTCCTCTCCAGCCGGCTCTCCCTCCTGACATGTCCATTCCTAACCTCGTACCCGTTCCCTACATGCCCCTCCTCTTCCAAGTCTACCTCGGGCTCCATAAAAGCATCCGAAGCATCAAAACTCCCCTGCCTCTCCAAAGCCCCCAGCTCATCCTCCTCCTCGATCGCCTCCTCCAAACTCTCATCAGCATCCAACTCCTCATCATAAAACTCAAAATCCGCGTCCGAGTCCCGCCGCGATCTGCGATACGCGAAAGTGCTCGTAGCCGTAGGCACCGACTCGCTCATCGGACCCGAGAACATCTCGTCCTGCGCCATATCCACGTCCGCGAGGAAGCTGGCCTCGGACATGTTGCTGCCGCGGCGGTACATGTCGCTGCGTCGGCGGAGGAATTCTTCTTCGTCCATTGAGGCGTCGCGGCTGTTGGCGGCGGAGTAGAGGGGGCGGCTGTCAGCGCGAGGGCGCGTGTAGTGGGAGGACATGATGGTGGTGAGATGTCGAGGGGATGGGCCTCGACTTGGGGGTGTTCAGACCATGCGGTGATGATGAACGGAGAAGGTCAACAAGATTTCCCGTGTGAAGATGGGAACTTTAGAAGCGGCCCGTGCTCGGAAAGAGGCAATGTGAATACAACTTCATGAATCGAGCACCATCTGGCACCAATGAAAGCATACATTCTGCGTGACAATTGTTCATGGCTATCGAATAGCAAAAGTCGATCGCAAGCGTATGGTATCATTGTAGTAGATTCACGTGCAACCATACTGCTTATGGACTTGCGCAGCTTCACAAAACCCAGCATGCAATGGCAGAACCCATTCATCGATGTCCACTCTTGAAACGCCACCCAGCACCTACGCTAAATGATCCGTAGCAATGTCCCTCACCTCCGATCGTAATGGTCTCTCTCTCTGTTCTGCAACCTCTCCACCCGGTCCCGATCCCGCTCCCTCTCGCCACCCCCATGCCTTCTATCGGCGTCCCTATACCTACCAGGGCTACGACTCCTCGTCCGCCGCTGATCTCCATACCCACCTCCTCTGTCTCGATCCCGATATCCATCCCACTCACGGTCTCTAGGCGGAGGTCTCGGCGCATCCGGGTCCCGGTACGCTCCCCTCTCCCTTCCATTTTGCGAAAGGGGAGGCGGCGCATCTGGATCGCGATACGAAGGGCCGTCACGACTGCCACGCCGGCTGCGGTCGTATGACTGGCCTGGAGGGCGATCGCGATCGCTCGGGTTGGCAGAAGAGTAGGAGGGAATGTAAGTGTCCACACCGCCAGCTCCGCCTCTGTCTCTGCCACCAGGAGGCTGAACAGGACGTGCAGGGACGTCAGGACGAGGCGGGAGATTGGCGGCATTTGGCCCGGGAACCGGTGGTCCTCCTCCTCTGCCGCGCTGTTGATCTTGTCGCCAGGCCGGCTGTCGTGCATCAGAAGCTGGTGGTGGACCTCTGCTCCGATCGTCGTAGCTTCGGGGTGGGGGACCGCGGTCGCGACGCGGCGGACGTTCGCCACCGTACCCATAGTTACCGACAGGACCTGAGCCACCCCACTCGTCCGGGCCCATGCCGACTGTACCACCAGCAGGGGCAGGCGGAATTTGAGCCCGTTGCTTCTCGTGGCCTCGTCTTCTTGAGTCGAGTTCATGGCTGTCTTCGTACTTGGGCAGATCTTCAGGCCGGCTGGGCAAAGGCGCGGTGGTGAAGTATTCGTGCTGCAGAGCGTCGATGGCGTTGATGCGCTTCCGCCAGTCCAGACATAGCAGCTGTTTCAGCAGATCTATGCCCTTGGGTCCAACACGCGGTCCAAAGCGCTTCTCAATGTCGCCTTGCTGGAATGGAAAGTCCTTCGTGCCTTCGCAACCCGGCAGCTCAGACCAGCCGGGCATTGTGCTGTCATTGGGAGAGCCAACGAGCTGGAAAATCCGGTGACACTGGTCGGTGTCACTCTTGCCTTCAAGGATGGGCTTGCGCTCGAACATTTCGCCAAATACGCAGCTGTGATTTGATCAGCATCAGGTTTTGCCTGGCTTTCTCTTCGACACTCACCCGACACCCCACATGTCAATCGCGGGCGTATATCGCCTCAGCGTAAGCAAGAGCTCCGGCGGCCGATACCACCTCGTCACCACTAAGCTAGTGTAGTCTCTCACTGCATCCCCGTTGCCGCGCCCAGCCTGCGGTGTCTGACCCTCGTAATGCCGTGCAAGTCCAAAATCTGCAATCTGCAGCAGGCCGCGATTGGAGATTAGCAGGTTCGCTGCCTTCATGTCGCGATGTAGAATGTGCGAGTCGTGCAGGTAGCGTAGACCTTCCAGCAGCTGCAGCATGTAACACTTGACCTGTGCCTCGGAAAATCGAATGTCCGGGTTCGTCAACATGCCGCTCAGATCATGGTCCATGTACGGCATGACCATGTAGAGTGTTGCACGCTTCTTCCCGCCAGTCGACTTGCCATCAGATTGCAACCGCTCTACCGCCATCTCCTCCAAATGCAAGACATTCGGATGGCTCAGCATCTTGAGCAGTTTGACCTCCCGCAGAGCAGTAATGGGAAACCCTTCCTTCTCGTTGTGCATCAGGATCTTCTTCAGGGCCACGATGTTGCCAGTGCGCTTCGACCGCGCTTTGGAGACAATGCCGAAGGTGCCCTCCCCAAGCTTCTCTGGGAACTGGTCATATTCGGTGAACTTGGCCGCGCCTCGGAAGCGTCGCTGAGTAGGATCGGTGCTGATGCCTTCGCCGGTCGTGGGTGCTGTCGGAGTCGTTACGCTGCCCATGTTGAAAAGCTCGTGGCGGCTCGGTGTGTGTTGCGCGTGTTAACAGATGCCAGTCCAGCTGGGCGATGGTGAAGGCGTAGGTCGGCTAGCGAGGAGCGCGCATTTAAAATGATTCCACGAGACCGCCAGTCCGACAGCGCTTGGCTAGGCCTGGGGTCGTGCGCTGGTGTCGCACGTGGTGTCTGTGGTTAATGTCGCGTTACGTGACCTTCACTTCTCGTTGGAGCCAGGATCTCGACGATCTACGTCGCAACTTCCTAAAGGAGATGACTTCCCCAACCTCACCAGCGACCTCACTTCACTCGACGACTCAGGAAAAGACTCCCATGCTCTGAACGACAAAGGCCGCAAGCAAATAACGAGACAAGCAGTGTGCGTATACCCTCAGACGGCTCCTCGACACCAACTGACCGGAACACAGTCCCGCAATGGCAGGAGGACCACCTAGAGCCGGCGCAACAAGCGGCCACCCCATCCACATCCATCCCGCAAGACCTCTATACCGATTCGCGGCGGTAGGGCTCGGAGCGTCGATGTGGTTCTTTGTAGGTCATGCCCCACGTAAAGATTCCTACGAGAGTCTGGTTGAACCTGACTGGGTGCGATGTAGCTCTTCTACCGAATGCGACACGACGGCGCGGCGTTACTGGGCCTGAAGCATCCGTGGGATCACTGAGAGGGCGTCGATTGCAGCGTTTATGGCGTTATCGTGGCTGAAGAACGACTATGGGGTGGAGCTCTGCGAGGAGGAGTAGTCCCGAGAAAGGCCATGAGCCAGGAGGACTTCTGCCACGCGCACTTCAAAAATACCACGAATACAATATACAGAGATTGGCCTCCAAACTACGTGAGTCTGCTCTTTGGCTCTTCGTCCATGTTCGCCTTCGTCATAGTCAACACTACAACTATAACTCCACCTACCCCGTTGGGCGTCACTCAATCCACGTCCCTCCAGTCCGACAGCCCAACATCCGCCGACATTGTGCGCGCCTGTAGCAATCTCGGCGTACATCCTTGTCTTTTAAAAAAAAAAATAAGTCAAACTAAACGCCTCCACAAACCCACTGAACGATCCTACTCGGAGCAAAAGTCACAAAGCATGAAAAAGAGCCTTCCAAGGAAGCAAAAGACAACACCCAACCCACCCCCTCAAGGGAGCGAGCCAGTAGAAGAGACACTCAAGCCCGTTTCCAAAGGAGAAGAAGCCTGGTTATACTCATTCATTCACTACAAGAGGCTCGAGCCAACCCCTGATTTGAGATCGCTCGAATCCACCCCGGTGGGGGAACCTTCTGCTTGATGCCGCGTGCAGGGAATCGAACGACAGTCGTTAAGTCGTTATTAGGCGTTTGTCGAGGTAGGTAAGCTTGCCAGGCTTTCCCGTTGTCGACGGAGGGGTGGGTTTTGGATTAATTAAATATTAGGTAGCGCGATTTGTCCTCCGAGTGCTGAGATTACCTCGCCAACGTACAAAAGCCATTATTAAACGCAGAGTCACACCGAGGCTATTTTGCTGCAAATGAAGGTTGTTCTAGGGTATCATGCTGCTTCTCTACGTACACCTGGTAGGCTAAGCGCTTTGCCATTCCAGTGTGACCAGCCTGGATTAAAGAGAGCTGTGCCCACTGACCAGTGCATAGCCAACCCTCACCCAGCAGCAGCACTCTTTCCCTTCACCCTCGCCGGCCCCAGCCCCTGCCTCACCTCATCCAACCCCGCCAACCCCTCGTCTGCCACCCTCCCCTTCCTCAACCCCCTCCTCTTCGCTCCTTTGCCCGACCCAGTAGTCGACAAGAAATCATCAATCATCCCATCAAAGTCCTGCCTCACGCTCTTCGGGCCCGACTCTCTCACCTGCGACAGCGTGCTCGCCCTACTCATCCCGCTCATCGCACTCATGCGACTCGTGCCGGTAACGCCGGAAGCCATGCTGCCTAGCCCACTCGCCGCGTCGTTCTCGTCGTCAGGGAAGCGGTCGGCGGAGTAGTCGGACTCGAGTTTGTCGAAGCGGGCGTCGAGGAGGCGTTGGTGCGCGGTGCGGGAGAGGGTGGAGGAGGTCATGGAGAAGTTGGTTGAGGCGCCTGTGCCGCGTTTGCGGGATTTGCGGGTGGAAGGGACGTTGGAGGGTGCGGCGGCGGAGGAGAGGGCGGCGGGAGGTGGTAGGGGCGTGGATGGGGTGGTTTCGCTGGGTTTGGGTGCGGACTTGAACTTTTTGTATTCGTCGAGCCAGGCGCCTGCGGTTGGGTCGGCTGGAAGTTGGGCTTGAGGCTCGGTAGGTGGGTGTAGCATTTCGCCTTGGGATTTGAGATCTTGTAGGGAGGGAGTTTCTGATGCTGTGGTGGGTGGAGGGCTGGCGGCCTTGATCGTATCATCGCTCTCCCATCCTTCGTCATCGTCGAGATTTGCTGGGCCGCCATCTTCATCAAAGGTCAACGCCTCGTCCTCGTCGACCAGCATCTGCTCCCCAAACATCTCAAACTCGTCCTCGTCCACCTCACCATCCCCGATCAGCTGACCGAAAATATCGTCCTCGTCCAGATCGTCCACGTACTCCTCATCCTCCATTGCCTCCAGCACCTCGCGTAATCTGGGGTCCATATCAGGCTGGAACCCTGCCAGATCGTCCGGTACATCCTGCTGGTCCTGGTAATTCCTCTTCCTCACAAACTCACTCGGCAGCACTTCCTCCGGCAACAGACTCCTCGCCTTACTCGCGCTCGTGTCTGCCGTCCCCACGCTCTGCCCATCCAGATCGATATCTCGCAACGCATCTTCCAGCTTCTGCTTCCTCTTCGCCTGCGGCGGCGCCGAAGCCTCGACCCACATCACGCTCCCTCCCCCACCGCCGTTGAGCTCGCGCATATGCTGCATGTAGTCATACTCGGTATCGTCGTAGAAGACACCGTGCTGCGCCGCCTGACCCTCATTCGGCTTGAAGGCGATTCCGAATTCGTCTTCAAGGTCGCCTCGTTCCCGGACTTTGTTCGATCTGTACCTTTCGCCTTGGGAGCTGGATATTACGGATTCGACGTCGGAGTAGGCATAGTCGTCTTCCCTCGCACGACGAAGGGACTTGGGTTGTGTGGTGGGCTTTTCGGCGAAGACCATGGAGGGGGCATCTTGGTCGTGGTAGAGCGGGTCGTCGCCGGCGCGGTGGACGAGGGCGAAGGTCGTCGCATTCTTCTTGTCGATGAACTTGCGGCGCGGCATCTTGACGTTTAGCTTGTTCTGTATCTGGTTGCGTAGACTGTGGTTATCTTTCAATCGAGCCTGGCCCTACCAAAATAATTCACAAATTGGACCCTGGTGGGGCGAGGCGAGCGACGTCACTTCTGCTTAGATCGACTCTTCTCCGATTTCTCACACATAGTACTCCTTCAACTCTCCCATACCACTCACAACACTCTACAGCCACGAAAATACCGCAACCATGGTCTTACCTAAGAGCAAGAACGCCGTTGGGCTCGGCAACAGCCTGATGAACGTATGTCTTCCACACCACCAGGTCCCTCTGCACATACTGACACGCCCTCCAGGACCGCTTCAAGTCGAAGAACTCCAACATGCACCGCACATCCGCTTCCAACCAGCCTGGTTCCATCACGCGGACCGACCAGTCCGGCAACTCCTATATCACGCCCGCCAAGAAGGAGGCAGAATGGATGAAGATGCGCTCGGTCACGGAGCAAGGCGCGTTGGACGAATTCCTTTCTACAGCAGAGCTGGCTGGTACAGACTTCACGGCGGAGAAGATGAACAACGTCAAGATTATCCACCGCGACCAGAAAAATCCGTACCTGCTTTCGCGGGAGGAAGAGAGAGGAGTGGTGAGGAAGCAGAATGCGAAGCGTGCGCGTCTGACGGTGCCACGGCGACCGAAGTGGGATGAGAATACGACAGCTCGAGATTTAGACGACAGAGAGAGGGCAAGCTTGCTGGACTGGAGAAGGGGGCTGGCGGAGCTACAAGAGGTGGATGATCTGTTGATGACACCGTTTGAGCGAAATCTGGAGGTTTGGAGGCAGCTGTGGAGAGTCATCGAGAGGTGTGACCTGGTTGTACAGATCGTGGATGCCAGAAATCCGCTTTTGTTCCGATGCGAGGATCTGGAGCGGTACGTGAAAGAGGTGGGTAAGAGGAAGCGCAATCTGTTGCTGGTCAACAAGGCGGATATGATGACAGAGGACCAGCGAAAGGCTTGGGCGGAGTACTTCGTGGAGAACGGCATCAACTTCCGATTCTTCTCGGCGGAGCTGGCACGTGAGATGAACGAGGCGAGAGAAGATGAGGAAGAGGATGTGGACGGCGCAGAGAGTGCCGAGGACGAGGAAGACAGCGACGAAAATGATGTGCTCGACGACAATGATGTAGCAGAAGAGATCGATGCCCAAGGAGGAACTAGAATCGACCAAGAAGCAGCAAAGATGTCGTTACAAGAAGAGCAGGAAGACGATGAGGATTGGGTGGATGAGGAATCTGTTGACCCAGCACCCCACCCGGAAGTAACACAAGACCTTGAACTCGACGGAATCAAACTGCCCATCGAAGAACAAACCCGCATTTTGACCACCGACGACCTCGAAGCCCTCTTCGTCCAGCACTCTCCAACTCCCATAGCCGCCACCTCTACCGTGCCCGAACGGAAAACGCAGATCGGCCTCGTAGGATACCCAAACGTGGGCAAGTCCTCTACCATCAACGCTTTGTTGGGAGCAAAGAAGGTCTCCGTTTCCGCCACTCCAGGAAAGACGAAGCACTTCCAAACCATCCACCTCTCATCCCGTGTCATCCTCTGCGATTGTCCGGGTCTAGTCTTCCCCAACTTCGCAACCACAAAGGCCGAACTGGTGTGCGCCGGCGTGCTTCCCATCGACCAACTACGCGAATACACCGGCCCTGCAGCCCTCGTCGCAGCTCGCATCCCCAAGCCCTTCCTCGAAGCCGTGTACGGCATGCGCATCGCCACCCGCCCCCTAGAAGAAGGCGGCACCGGCCAACCCACCGGCGAAGAAGTCCTCCGCGCCTACGCCCGCGCACGAGGCTTCTTCACCCAAGGCCTCGGCCAACCGGACGAAAGCCGCGCCGCCCGCTCCGTCCTCAAAGACTACGTCAAAGGCAAACTCCTCTTCGTCCACCCACCACCCAACACCAACCCGCCCATCGACCCCAAAGCCTTCAACCGCGACCTCTACGACCTCGCGCACCTGCCGCAGAAACGCCGCGCCCAGATGGCTGCCGATGCCGACGCTGTGCTCAACGATACCGCGGACCCAAGTCTCATGGACGAAGGCGCCGACATCCTCCCCGCACCAGCTCCACAAGGTCGGAAGGGAGCGAAGTTGGATAAAGCATTCTTCGCCCCCGGACAAGGGAATGGGGTGGTAAACCAGCCGTTCCATTACCAGTACTCGGAGCAAGGGTCGAAGCAGCTGAGTGGGCGGAAGCTGAAAACGGTGGCGGCGTTGGAGCAGGATGTGGATCCGAGTGAGGTGGCGAAGGGGAAGAAGCACTTCAAGGCGAATAAGCGGGCGGCGAAGAAGGGGGTCAAGCAGGGGCCGAGGGGTGGGTTGGGGGATGCGGATTATTGAGGGTGAAAATGTGTGTATGGGGTTTGGGTGATAGATGATGAGATACGCTGTAAATGACTCTGAAGCGCTCGCTGCGCAATTTGCAAAGACTCTTGAAGTTATTGGTATCATGTCGTAAAGCCAGCCATCTGTCCCAGGGCTCAAGCTAATCTAGGTTTCCGCCGGCCCAAAGACGCCAGCGCCCTTCGCTATGCTGGCCAATGCTCTTCCATATTATCCATGCCCCAGACGCCGGAGGGCGTAAACCATAGTCATCCATGCATTCATTTTCAGATATCAGTCCCTCGCCCTTCACTTCTCCTCCTACTTGCTCTTCCGCAGCGTATTGCCCGCACCACTGAAATGCTGCTTCTTCCCCTGCTCCTCATCCACGTTCGCGTCCTTGTCCTTCTTCTGCAGCGGCTTGACCTCGTACCCGAAGAACAGCTTCCCGGGCGGTAACCGCAGCGGTTGTGGGCCGTTGGACTTCCGCATCGGCTTGTTGGGTACCGGCAGCCCGCCAGTCGCTCCAGGTATCGGTGTCGATATACCAGGTGTTGATGTCGGCGTGGACGCGAGATTCGACTTGCCTTTTTTTGACGCCACCAACTTCTGTCCACTGCCGGCGAAGTTCGAGGACGCCTTCGCGTGGCCTTTCGCCACGGTATCTGAGTTCGGCGCGATCGAGGAGTAGTTGATCGCCTGCGCCATCGTACCCTCCGTATGCATCGTTCCACCTCTCCGCGCCATCTCACTCCCGATACTCCGTGGTGTGCTTGTCCCGCTCGCGGCCCTGCTCGGCTCCTGATATCCCACGGGCGGCGCAAAGTCGACCTCTAGATCCGTCTCTACGACCGAAATCGCATGATTGTCCCCCGTATCGGGCTTCACCTCCAACACCGCAATCTCGTAAACCGTCTCGTTGTACTCAAACGTAAACACATCTCCCACCGTCAAGCACGAGAAATTCCGGAAAGCCGTCTCCAGCACTGCCTTCGGGTCGCTGATCTCGAGGAAATTGACACTCTGCGGCTGCAACTTGATGAAACTCCCCAACGGCAAATCCGTGCTCTTTACCTGTCCCAAATCCCCCGGCTCCAACCCCAGCGTCTGCATAAGCCAATACGGCAAATAACACCTCCCCTCCTCCGCCGTGAACTCTAGCACACCAGCATGCGTTTCCTTTCCCTGCGCGCCGTTGATCAGCTCGAACAGCATCGGGTACGTGATGTGCAGCTGGGTGAGTTTGTCAAGGGCAGAGGCGGGCAGGAAGATTTTGCCGCCGTGGTTGGCGCTGGGGCGGTCGGGGCCCGGGAGCATGGCGATGGGGTAGACGCGGTAGTATTCGTCGAAGCGGCGGGGGCGGCCGGAGGGGAGGCGGGATTGCATGGCGGCGCGGTACATGGACATGGGGTCCGCGTAGGGGTCGGAGTAGTAGGACTGGGGAGGGTGGTTAGTAGAGGTGGAGGGAGGGGTGTGGGGTGCGCTTTACCATGATGGCGGTGTCCTGAAGGTGCCCGGTGAAGTTTGTGAAGAGGATGAGGTTACGAAGTTGAAGGCTGCCTTTGCTTGTGACGCCTTCGGAGCTTGTGCTTGGGAGCTCCGATATCAGCTTATCACCACGTGACAAGTGACGGCATGCGCTGGTCTGAGCGTTATTGGACTTAACATTTACCTACTCTTTGTCTTCTCGGTCTCGCCACTTGATATCACGATCTGATCATGCCCATCCAACAGCGTAAGTCATCCAAGTTGTTTTACACTTAGAGAGCAACAGTTCGGCATTCAGCCATGTCATTTCCTGCGTTGATTCCAATCTCAATTCACTTGCCCTTTTCTTGTTGCGCGAAAGAGCAGACACATCCCTCGTACTGCTGTCTGTTCGTTGTCACCGACGGCCACCACGGCGTTTGTGCCAGTATGTTCTACATACACGTTCTATCCTCTGCTCTGAGGCGACGTGAGAAGTGCGGAACCGACAACGAAGCAGCTGCCTTCATGAGACGGCCATCACTGAGACGTCTCGCTCGTTGCAAAGGTTTGTCAACAAAGCCGCCAACCTCTATGGAATGCCCTGGAGATCGAAATGCCTTCTCCCTGGAGTGCGGGCAAATTAGGAACTACGACGGGACACAATACAAGTAGCCGCCAGCGTGCCCTCCTCAGACCCCGATCAACATTCGCTTCAATCGTCTCCAACCAGATTTCGACATTCACATTCAATACTTGCTCCAGAGATCTTCCAGATACCTCTTTCCAGCGACATCTCTTTCCAACATGGCGACCTCCCTGATCGATGCTACGAACGAGACCGAGAGCAAGCCCAAGGTCATCGGAGTGTATGGCCTCCCGGGAAGTGGCAAGTCAACACTCCTGAAGCAACTCAAGGTTATCCTTGGCAATGATGAGTTCCTCTACTTCGAAGGTTCCGAAGAGCTTGCCAGTCTGTGCCCCGACAACAACCTGAACCACTTCAAAGTTCTCCAAAAACGAGAGCAGGATCGACTTCGTGAGGAAGCAGTGAAAGGCATCGCAAGGAAGTGCAAAGAGGCAGGGAAGGTTGGGATGGTAGCCGGTCACTTCATGGTCTGGTCATCAGACGAGACGAGCCCGACGAAGGTGGTGACCGATGCTGACTGGGGAGTGTACACGCATGTTCTATACCTGGCCACACCGGCAGAAGTCATCTGGCAGCAGGTGGATGATGACTCTAGTCGCGAGGACCGCGAGCCACTTTCTGTGCAAGTTCTGCAGACATGGCAAGACCGAGAGACCATCGGTCTCCGAACGGGCTGCTCTCGAAACAACATACTCTTCACAGTCGTCAGTGGAGACAGAACCGGTCGGGCTGAGAGAGTCGCGAAGCTCATGCTCACGCTTCTGTCGCACAACGAGGCGGATGGTATGGGTGCTGTCTCAGCAAAGCTGAATAAGGTTCTTCCGACTCATCAGACTACCGTCGACACCATCCTGGACATCGACGGAGACAAGACTTTGATCGCGAACGACACTTCCAAGCTCTTCTGGGAACACACCCGCGACTGGAAAAGAGCCCCACACCCTGCAAAGATCCTGTTCGACGAATTGTTCGACGGTGGCTACTCCTACGAGGCGTTCTTGAAGGCCGCTCTGTTTTACGAAGAATTGGACAATCATGGTTTCGATGAGCTGTGTGACAAGGTCGCGGCGGAAGTCACTGTGCGCTCGGAATTTGTCCAAATCCTGAAGGAGGTGGCGAAAACCCCACGACTGGGCGTAGTCATCGCCTCTGCCGGTCTGCGCAAAGTGTTCGAGAAGGTGCTGAAGCGAGCAGGGCTCTCTGACGCAGTGCTAGAGATCGTCGGTGCAGGACCTTTTGGTGACGATGACTCTGTGGTCGTTACGCCTGAGTTGAAGGCTGAAGTGGTGAAGTACCTCAAGACTAACAACAACCTGCGAGTCTGGGCTTTCGGTGACAGTCCGATTGACATTCCAATGCTTCTGCAGGCCGATCGAGCTATCGTCGTGGTTGGCGAAGGTGGAAGCACGACTATGGATGGAAAGCTGCGTCCGGCCATCGACCTGAATGGTCTCAAGGCTCGTCAGCTTCTGGTCCCAAAGACTGCCACGCCCCGGCTCGACACAACTTCTCTCCCACCCATCGACCTCGACGGGATCCACTTCTTGCTGCGTGGCAGTCTTGTGGTCCACCATGCGACCGGCAAGAACGCGGCCAAGCTCTTGATGAGACCTACGCGAGACCAGAGCGTTCAAGGTCCGGCGCTCAGAGAAGCTCACCACCGTGTCGGACAGTATTTGGCGACAGAGTACGTTTCTGAGATCGTTGGGCTGGAAGAGGACTTCATCACCAGTGTTCAGGGCAAGAGCACTCCCGGCCACTGGCTCCGTGGCGAGGCTACCGCCCTGATCGTACCTCTGATGCGCGGTGGCGAGCCGATGGCCTTCGGTGTCAGCGAAGTCTTCCCGCTCGCGACCTTCGTCCATGCCAAAAAGCCAGGAGATCTGACTACCGAGCACATGCAACATGCATCCACCATCATCCTTGTGGACTCAGTCATCAACAGCGGCAAGTCGATTCTGGACTTCCTACGTCACATCAGGGGCGTTCGTACAAGAGTGCCTGTGATTGTTGTTGCTGGTGTCGTTCAAGCAGATGCTACGAAGCGTGACAGCGCTTTTGCGGCTGAGATCTTTGAGTTGGGAAGAGTTGACCTGGTAGCACTTCGTCTGTCCGAGAACAAATACACCGGCAAGGGCAAGACTGATACCGGTGCGAGGCTGTTGAACACGGTACAGTTGGAGGAATGATGAGCAGGGGGGTTGATGAGCTGATGAGATGGTGACTGATGGGCTGAGGATTGATGGATTGTTGCATGTGCTTTTGCCAGGAACTTGATTGGGAATGTGTGTCATGGTTGCTTTTTGACGACTGCCTGGGAACATGTGCGGTGCATTTGCTTCGATCACTAGCTGCGAGCTTGTACATGATTTACTTCTAGCATCCATACGTAGATAGACCATCAACCACAACGCTCGGCAAATAAGTTGCGCCTCCCATGCATATTGTACTGCCTCTCAAGTAGCACGAGCGTAAGCAACAGTGCTCAATGTTGAGTTCGACTGGACGTTCGACTGGACATTGGACTCCGTCTCGACTTCATCGCAGGCCTCTTTCGCCTTCATCATTACGTTTGGCTTTTTCTGTTGTCGTCGTTAGCAGGGTACGCAAGGCCACGTAGCTGCTTAGCATTGCTTACCGGTGTACCAGCCTTCGTGCAGCTGGCGGTGAAATTCCCCAGGTCCGTCAGCCATGCACCGCCTGCGCAACAGAACCGTCAGTAAAATCTCTGACGGGGAGATCGGTTCACAGCAAAGCACACTGAAGTTCATCAACACTTACTGTTGAACTCAGAGTAGACCGTCTCCATCAACCATGGCTGCTCGCAATTGCTCCCATCTGGGTTAGGAACCGTGTCAATGGCCACAAGGCCCGTGACCGGCAGCTCAGGATGAATAGGACCCGGTGCTGAGGAGCGCCAGCGGAGGTGGACGGAGGTGCAGGTGTGCCAGAGATTCAGGATTTGGAAGCTGAACAGTACCCTGTCAGTATTCTGTGTAAACAAAAGGTTGAGCATAGAGGGACTTACGGGATAGGCGGCTGCGTGCTCTGCCCCATGATAAACTCCTCCCTCGACGAGAACGTCGCTTCTCCAAGCGTGTTTGGTCCGGGACAACCAGCATTCACAAGCTCATTGACGCCGTCGGAGTAGTCGTGGAAGTTGGGAGTCATCGACACCCTGGCCAGAGTGGTGTTGAACTCGAGATTGATCAGGTCTCTGAAGTTGTTGGCGATCTTTTTGGCGTCAAGACGGCCCATGCAGTTGAAGTGGCCGGATGATCGTGGTTCGAGGTCGAGCCATTCTGAGGCGGCTGTGAAGGTGAGGAAGGGGAAGATCGCAAGGGCGAGGGAGCGCATGGTCGATTCAGATGGCTTTGAGGTCGTTCTGGAGATATATAGGCTCTGAAGGAAATGTACAGTATGAAGGCTTGAGTGAGATACGAAAGTGCTTGTAGTACATAGAGAAGAGTGAGAAACATTTGCGAGCGAGGAGGTGTACTACTTAGTACTTAAGGACGTCCTACCTCGAACGTGGTCCTAGAGGGGCTGGTTTGACTGAAATAGAGCCCATCGATGCCTCCACGTGGATCCCATTCGTAGGACATCGAGCGATGGCAGGACGTAGCAAACGACGCCGACGGCCGGAGATCTCAGCCATGCTATTCGGTAAGCACATGATTCCTTGCGTTGGCTGATATGTTCAATGGGGCCAGATATGCGGCCGCTGCGCACATCTCTCAGGCTGCGACAGCGTATGCATGGAGTGCAGTACCGACGTCAGTGCAGGGAGAACGTGGCGAGAACCGCTGGAGGAGATGCAAACAATGTTGTCATGACGCACAGCCGCAACCACTGAGGTCCTGCTGGTGGTCCGGAGGTCGTTGATGAGCGTTGACTGATTTTGCTGAAGTGGGAAGAAGGATTTGGGGGCTGATCGAAGACCCAGCCAAGCCACACCAAATGCGCAAGCAATCGACAAGGCGATCTTCGACAAGGCTGTTGTTAATACGGTCCTCCCTGCAGTGTTGTACTGCTCCCCAGAATGTTAGCCTCATCAAAGCCCGGTAACAGATAGCCCTCTGACCGGCTAACAAGTATAACCATGTGATCGCTATCACTCTTCCCTTCGATACGGTCTCACCAGCACCGGCTGCACCAATCCATACTCCATTGCCTCCACCTCCTCCGCTTCTGTCGTCGTCCCAGCCCCACTCGTCTTCGACTGGCCCCAAATCGGCTTCAGCGTGTTGAACAGCGGTGTGACAACCACGGCCTCGACGACATTCTCCCTTTCCACCAGACAATGCGAGATGTCGGCCTTCGCCCACGTGAGATCCAATGACGGCAACCTGTGTCCGTTAACTGTAACGCGGAGCGAGTGAAAGAAGGCGCCGAAATCTATGATCGCTGCTTTTATGCTTGACGAGGCAGGAATGGTGAAGGTGTTATTGTAGTGAGTGAGTAGTGGTCAACTGCCCAGCTGCCGTTTTACCGCCAGTTCCGAGGTTCACTTTGCGGGCCACCCAAGGAACCAGGGTCGTTCACTACTCAGTGCGAGGCGTGGATGAGGTAGACGAAGAACATCTCGTAGTGCGACCCATTGCTGTCGTTCGGAAACGAAACATCCAGCCGCCCATTCTCGCTCACTTGATCAGTGATCTCTTCCAGAGCACCCTTCGAAAGCGTGACCTGCGTCCGGTGCTCAGGCCTATCATTCGGCAAGGCAGGGTACGTGCCGGGATTGACGATCTGCAGCGTTATCTTCGAGACTGTGATGTTCTCAAACTTAGTAACGAGTCCAGACGCCACAGCGAGCAACTCCACCGAGCCAGTAGCGAAACCTCGGGCGGACGTTGTTAGAAGGATTGGTGAAGGTGCCGTTGTCGATTGTGCGTTGGTGTGGGAGTCGGTGTGGTTCCTTGGGAGGGCTGTGATCAGCGGGAGGAGGAAGGGGAGAATGAGGGTCATCGTGGGCTAGAGATGCATGGTTCTGTTCTTTCTGATTTCAAATCATTGAGTATTCGAGCGAAGTGGTTGCTTCAGCCAGGTTGGTCCAGAGGTGCGGTCATTTGGCGATTGCGGCTCTCTTGACGAAGGACGTGAGGAGGGTATATGAGCTCCATCTTCAAGCGATAGGTTTTTCGATCCATACCTTGCCGAGCAAGCTTCTCCAAGTGACATTGTCTTCAGTCACTAGTGCTTGTTCAATGTTCATCAGGCACAACATACGTGCATCCCCACACAGCAATGACTCGCCTCCGCATCGCGACATAGGTGGAGTGGTGGAGGAGTTGAAGCACGGTATGAGCACCGGCCACGTCGGAAACTGTTCCAATACTAGTACTATCTACACAGGCTCGACACTCTTTCAGACAAAACATTGTACCCCCACATGAACACCATCGCTATGCTCAAAATACCCATCACCCTCTAATACCTCCTCATCCCATTCTGAGGATAATACGCCGGTCCGTCGAACTCCCCACGGCAGCCCGGGACATCCTACTTCCCGAACTGAAAGCCGCCGAAGCCTCCTTGCCCTAAACTCCCGTGCCCGAAATGCCCTCCTCCGCCAGGCGGACCTGGTGTCTGGTTCGACAATCCTGCGTGAGTTCCGGTTGGTGTGCTAGGATGATTCGGCGTGAAGCCTTGGCCGCCCAGGACACTCGATGCCGCACCGGCCATGCCGTTGACCTGCTGCTGGGACGCCTGGTGTTGTGGCGTTCCTTGTGCTGCGAAGAATTCATCTCGTACGTGCTGTGGTGCGGGCTGCGAGACGCCGTGAAGGCCGTAGATCTGGTCCGCGAGGTCTTCGTCTAATGTGCCGTTGAAGATCTTGTTCTTGAGGCCGAAGAAGACGCTTCCTGTGAGCCATGCGTCAGAGCCACCAGTGTGCGCGACGCCGATGCGTTGGCATTGCAGTTCGTCGGCGAGATCGGAGAGGCCAGACTTGGTGCCCAGACCGTCGACGATGCGTGTGCCTTCGACGCCGAGACGACCTTGCGCGCGCATGCGCTGTGCGTGGCGGAGCAGGAATTTGATGTCCCAGAGTTTGGGGAAGAATGTGCTGACTTGCTCGAAGAACTCATTTTGTTCTTGCGGCAGAGCATTGTCGCTGAGAAGTTTGATGAGGTAGCCAAAGTCGTAGCCAGAGTGGAAGCTGAGCCAGTTGACGTCTTCGGAGAACACCAGGCCGGACGTGGTCAGCAATGCACCGAAAGCGTCAAGAGAGATGCCCATCTCGTTATGCCGCGCAAAGTCGACGCCGCTGTTCTTGAGCAACTCGATGGACGACTCGGCGTACATGTCTTCCTCGAGATTGAAGTGGAAGTTGAACACCCAAGTACATGGCAAGTACATGAGATTGTTGGGGTATGGACTTTTGCCGTTCATCCGGGAAAGCAATTCTGCATCAGGCTGTTGTGGTGGCAGCTCACCTTCTGCGGTCCACAGAGTGATGCCGACCTGTATGGGTTTGAGGATGTCCACGTTGCAGCGCAATGTTTGATAATGATATTCGGCCTTGGAGCCTGCGAAGTGACCGATGGGACGAGCGACAATGCCAGGAAACTCGGCGTCCATACTGACGAAAGGATATTTGATGATCAGCTGCCGTAGGACAGCCATTTCCTGGTCGAGGTTGTGCCGCCACACTTCACGTATCCTGCCCATCGCTCCAGTCTTGACGCCCATCAGGCCTGCTTCTGCCGCAGCGTGGGAGTGCTCTTGCATCGCCGCTCCTCGCGCAAAGCCTTGTTGTGCCGCGACGCTCGCCAAGCCTTGCCCCTGCCCTCCAAGCACACCGCCGTTGAACGTCGAAGCCGCCGCCCCAGGCATGTTGCTGAAGGCGCTACCTCCATACGCAGAGCTAGGAGTGAACGGTGATATCCCGCCATTGAGCGCATTGCTGCTGAATGCTTGTTGTGGGTTGAAGCCGCCAGGTAGGTGTTGCGATTGAGTCTGGTAGTGTGATGTTTGCTGAGGAATGGAATGTTGCGGATTCAAGTGTTGGAAAGGATTCGACATGTGGCTCGGGTGCATGCGCGAGACCGCGGGAGGCATGTTGGAAGACCAATGCGGGTCAACAGGAGGTGGATTACGAGGTTTTCGAGGGGCAGATCTGGGGAGGAACTCGCTCGCTTGGCCGTCAAGGTTGCTAGGGTTGCCTCGATCGTAGTTAGAAAGATCTGTTCGTGGATAAGAGCGTCGTGTCGGAGTTGTAGGGTCGTGGTCCTGCCTGTGCTCTTGAAGACGCTCGGTCTCGTTCGCCTTCCAGACACCGTTCTTTATGTGTCTCCTTATGTCCCGTGGATGGTAACTGCCTGAACGTGGGCCTCGTCGATCCGGCGCGGTGCCGTTGTGTGTTGCGGATCGTTGCTGGAAAGGCGATTGAAGTCCGTCGTAGTTGGGGGTAAAGTCGTCGTTCCCGCGGTCGTGGATAGAATCCCGTGGTTGGTAGTGCAGCTCCTCCCTGACTCCTTGATCTACCCTTGGATATCTCTCTTCTCTAGCTTCACCGCGAGTGGGGAAGGGATATCCTGTGAGATGGTATCTTGTTAGGTTCACTGACGTCGCAGGTATGCCAGACGAACGTCGGTAGTGGTGGGTCGGCGTCAAGGGCACGTGTGGCCGGAGGTCAGGTGGTCGTGCGCGAGGAAGAGGGTCGGTGAAGTTGCGATAATCCCGGGGGTTCACTTCATTCACGCCGTGTTAGCGTCAACGTAAGGCTCATTGGAAGAGTCGGTACTAGTGGTTGATGCTCTGTTGTTTGCTCGTGAAGTGGTTGTGATCGCGAATGGCCGTCATGTGCTTCGGGGGCGCTGTCGCATGTTCTGGTCCCAGTGATGTGGTATGAAAGCACATGTGAGGTGAAGTTCTCGTCGATGTCTACAGTATACCCATCCCGCGCCTGCGATCTTGAAGCCAAGGTCAATCTGGAGAAGTGGCAGTAGGCACAGTGACGGAAGGAAGGTGCGGCGAGTCAGGCTTGGCATTTCCGACGCCCATTGATCGAGCTCTATGTTTCCACTCCTCGAGCTGTCGTGCAAGTCCAGCGCTGCGACTATTGCGATCGAAGAGGTACGCATGCGATGTGTCCTCACATGCTCTGTGAGAACTGACAGTCCACAGCACGCGCCATGCCTTCGGGACGACCCAACCTCACGGGCTTCGACCCCCAGAAGTTCGCGGCAGCGAGCGGACAGCCTGCGAACGATCCTTGGGCGAGGAAGTACGACACACCTTTCCTACCCGCAGGCAGATCGTATGGCTAATATATGTCGGACTGCAGCGAAGCATGGCGGTACACCGGACCATTCACACGACGAAACCGACTAAAGGGCCTCTTCCCCGGCTTCGGCATCGGACTGGCGGCGTTTGGGGTGTACATGGTGTATGAGCAGCTATTTATGAGCTCAGGGCACAGTCACGGCCATGCAGAGGGCCACGGCGAGGGGCATCATTGAGCGCGGAGGCAGATGGACAGGCTGGAAGCGGGAGGAAGACTTGTACAGCGCATGGGACAAGGCGTTTGGAGGAATCACTATCACCCCACGACAAGACGACATTCGAGGCTATTGCAGGGTAACATACGGCTCCTGGATCCTACTCGAAGCTTCATCTTCAATGCCACGGAAGCAAAGGGAGTCCTGCTGCATGCCAGCTAATCACAGACCCAAGCAGAGTAGCTCAAATGCAATATACCTGTAACTACCGCACCATCACGCTCGATCCATATGCCTACCATTGCCACAATGTCGTCTAGGCGTGTTCATCCCCATCTTTCACGAGTTGATACGGGAATATGTCCAGCGAGCAACTTCAATCAAATATTCATTAGCTCTTAACCACGCCATTTCCCCGCTATCCGTAGGCTCTCTCACCGACGACCTCGAACAAGCAATGGGCTAGAAGACATACATCCCCTCTCAATCGCAACCTTTGTACAGCATCTTAACCACCAGCCTCATATCCACACAGTCTAACCTACCAACACCTCCATCCGCCCCGAATATCCTCTCGAACCTCAACTATGCCGCACCCAACATGACCACCCCCCACCGCTCCAACTCGACGCATAAACCATGCCCCGCGTCTACCCACCCCTCGAAGACCGCCGCGCGCCCCTCACCCTCGCGCCCTCCCTAATCGAATCCACCGCCGGCTTCACCGCCGGCTGCGTCTCCACCCTCGCCGTCCACCCCTTCGACATCGTCAAAACCCGGCTCCAAATCGAGCAAAACGAACGCTCCCGCCCCGGCGGAAGCCTCCGCGCCATTCGGCGCATAGCAGCAGAAGGTGGAAGTGGAGGCGGCGCGACAGGGATCGTGCGATGCTTCTACCGAGGGTTGACGCCGAATATGGTCGGCAATAGTGTGAGCTGGGCGTTGTATTTCATGTGGTACGACAATGTCAAGTCTCTCATACGGGCGACAAGAGCGAGGACGGCGCCGAGCACGAAGTTGGGCAAGCAGGAGTTGAAGGGGAGTGATTACTTCCTCGCCTCGGGCGTCTCTGGGATCTTGACGGCGGTGTTGACGAATCCGATTTGGGTGGTGAAGACGCGGATGCTGTCGACTTCACGCAATGCTCCGGGGGCGTATAGGAGTACGCTCCAGGGTGCGCTGTCGCTGTATCGGGACGAAGGGGTGAGAGGGTTTTACAGGGGGTTGCTGCCAAGTCTGTTCGGGGTGAGCCATGGGGCGATACAGTTTATGGCGTATGAGCAGTTGAAGAATTACTGGGCGCTGCATTTTCGTAGCGGGACGAAGGATAATCTGTCGAACCTGGATTTCCTGAGTCTGAGTGCGGCGAGCAAGATGTTTGCGGGCAGTATCACGTACCCTTACCAGGTGGTCAGGGCGAGATTGCAGACCTACGATGCCGGACGACGCTATGCTGGGGCGTTGGATGTGGTGCGGAAGGTGTGGATGGGCGAGGGGATTGGGGGATTCTACAAAGGTCTGGGCCCGAACATTGTGAGGGTGCTGCCGAGTACGTGTGTGACGTTCTTGGTGTATGAGAATACGAAGTTCTATCTGCCGCGGTTGATGGCGGCGGAGGAAGACCTGAGATGAGAGGGCCGACCTTAACTAGGCTATACGAAAGAGCGAGAGAGCCCTGAGACAACACTTCCATGAAGAAATTGGCTACCGTACATCCTACCCACCAAAACCCCCTGCCAACCAAAAGGGCTCGAGACTCAGCGAAAAGATCTTGGATCATTGCAGCCTACGAAAACCCGAGGCCCATGACGAATGCGAGGCACCTGATGACAGGCCTTGTGCGAGTCAACGACGAAAGCCAAGAAGCACGAGAAGTGCTCGTCTGAACATACATGCCCAGAACGCGTGAATTGGATCTTGGGGCGGAGGGTTGTACAGAGGTTGCAGCTGTACATAGAGGGATGTTGATAGATGTAGATGAATTACCTACCGAACGTGAGCAAGGCCTTCAGTGTCTCCCTAGGATCGACTATAGTCTGCTTTCAATAAAATCTAGGTATCAGACATTCAAAGAAAAGTGATGTTGGCATGAAAGAAGGTGAAGTGGCTCCTCTCAGTTCCACACTGATCACGTGATGCTTAAGTGCCAAGAGTTCTGCAAGCCACTCGAACGAATTTCGAGCAAGAACACCTCGACTTCATCGAAACCGACAGTCGACCACCACACAACACCGCAGTCATGTCGTCCTCCACGAAGACCACCGGCAAGACCAACAAAGGTACCGTCACCCAGGCTAAGCAATGCGCACCTCTGCAAACCACCCATCTCAAACGCGCAACCACTAACCACCATGGCTATCACAGGCTCCAAGTCGAAGCCCGGCAAGCCCTCCGCCAAAGCCAACCAAGCGGCAAAGGCCACCCTCCGCGGCGTAAGCCCCCTCCCAACTTGAGGCGTGTCAGAGCTCCCATCATCTGACGGCCTGTCTTCACACCGCAGGTCAACTCGCACAAGTCGCGCAAAATCCGCACCAGCACCTCCTTCCACCGCCCCAAGACGCTGCAGCTCCAGCGCAACCCCAAGTACCCGCGCAAATCGGTCCCGCACGTCCCCCGCCTCGATGCCTCGAAGGTCATCATCCATCCGCTGAACACGGAGAGCGCGATGAAGAAGATTGAGGAGAACAATACGTTGGTGTTCATTGTGGATGTGAAGGCGAATAAGAGGCAGATTAAGGGGGCGTTGAAGAAGTTGTATGATGTGGATTGCTTGAAGGTTAATACTATGGTTAGGTATGTTGCAATTCGAGGAAGCCGGGTGAGGAGCAATTGCTAATGATGGAGACAGACCTGATGGCTCGAAGAAGGCGTTCGCGAAGTTGACGGCCGATGTGGATGCGCTGGACATTGCGGCGACGAAGCTGGCGATTGTCTAGATGGGTCTCATGAGAGGACATGCTGCATGTGCCGCTCGTCGCGGCTCATACGGTTGCTCAAGGTTGCTCGACCAATGCGGTTCAAGAGGCATGCAGTTCCATAGAACACGGTCTCCGGCGAAGGTCCTACCTACTGCGCCTGACAAGGAGCGCTGGAATTCCGGCTGGTATGACCATAGTGAAAAATGCATACACTTGAGTGCCAAACCGTCCACCATCTCACCTCTTCTCATCCACACATGCTGCGTGCCGAGTTCAGCGACCTGGCCCAAGCTCAGGGCTTCACACGCTCTGAGCTCTGGCCATCATCATGCGAAGCCCTGAGCTTGGGCCATGAGATAGACATTACACTGTAGTAGGTTGGGCTGCACTTAGCTCGACTGGTAGGTCAGAAACGAGTCTGAGTGGGTGGAGGAAGACATCTCTGGGCGGTCTGGGCCTTGTGCTCTTTCATCCCATGGTCTCGTTCATCCCATGGTCGCTGCACCCTCCTGGCACTAGGGCATCCCGCTCTCTCAGATGCTACAGCTGAAGTATAGATCCATTCACATTAATGATCCACATGTATTGTACATCTATGCCCGGTCATCGACCTCTTGATATTGTGCACATCCTACAGTCCCCCTCGCTATGCCGTACGCAGTCCGAGACAAAGCCAGCATGCCGACTGCGCACCATGTTCCAAAGTCGCTCATTCCCGTCCATCCATCACAACGTCCTCATCTGCTCCAAATGCCGAATGACCGTCATATTCGCATCCATATACCGATCCACGCAGTTCTGCACGCAGGGCTGTTCGCTACGGTCGAGAGTGCCGGCGGAGATCTTGGAGGTGACGCACTTCTTGAAGCACATGTCTGTCAGGTTGTGGACGTTTTGTTGGATTTGTGCTTTCTGGCCTGTGACGGGTGTTAGCTACGGAAGAGAGGTGTATGTGGATAGAATACGTACTCTCCGCCATGATGAACTGGTTCAAGTCCTGCTTGTCCTTGTCCGAGAGCTTCTGGAGGTTGGATGCCGTCTCCGGGCTGAGGTTGATGTTGTTGTCCATGATGTTGATGTGTTCACTGCAATGATATCTTCTTCTGCATGTGCTTTCACTCGTGTCCACATCAACTTCGCGAATGCATCTCCGCCACTAGCCGCATCACCGCCGATTCGCCCGGCCGGTCCCGACGCGGCGTACCCCACCAGCCAGGCATTTTCTACGACGTCTCAACGGGCAGGCCAACGCTGAGCAGGTACCTCGCGAAAGAACCTCCATCTACCGTGCTGCAGAACCTTGCCGCTCGACCACAATCCCTCCCTCCCTGCACCGCGATCATCACTGCACCCACCCACGACCTGTTGCCCACGCTATTCGCCGATCATCCGCCGCAAGAATGGCCGAGCCCATTAACCGCAAGGGTAACGCCGCTGGCGCGCCGGTCAGTCTTTTCTTCACCTTTTTCTCTCTTGCCTCTGTCTTTCACGTGTTGCGACTCTAGTGGAAGGACCTTATAGCTGACGTGAAATATGCAGACTCCTCAGAACACGTGAGATTACCTCTACAAGGCTCATGCATGGTGGACTGCACTGACCGCTAGACAGACCCGCCAACCAGGCCCCGATCTCGTCACGAGCGGCGGCACCCGGTGTTGATAGTATCAAGGAAGGTGTGTCATCACGGGCAGTCACGAGACGGGGACGAGGGTGAACAAGGCTAACACACTCCCCAGAGGACCTCGACCGCGCGGCAGCAGCTTCGATATTCGCCCAGAACCCCAAACTCGTCTCGATGATGCAGAACAAGCTCCAAGGCCTAGTCGGCCGCTCCTCAGGCTACGTCGAATCGCTTCCAGCTCCCGTGCGCAGACGTGTGGACGGCCTGAAGGGCGTGCAGAAGGAGCACTCCAAGCTCGAAGCTGAGTTCCAAGAAGAGGTGCTGCAGCTCGAGAAGAAGTTTTTCGCCAAATTCACCCCGCTCTACGAGAAGCGCTCGAAGATCGTCAACGGCCAGTCCGAGCCTACTGAGGACGAGATCGAGGCGGGCAAGGCGGACGAAGAGGAAGACGACGAGGAGGCGGAGAAGCCGGAGGAGTCGACCGATGCGTCTGCCGCGGACATGAAGGGTATCCCAGAGTTCTGGCTCAGCGCGATGAAAAACTCGTCGCTTGCGGAGACCATCACCGACCGTGACGAGGAGGCGCTCAAGCTTCTCACTGACATCCGCATGGAGTACCTCGACCGCCCCGGCTTCCGCCTGATCTTCGAGTTCGCCGAGAACGAGTTCTTCACCAACAAGACCATCACCAAGACCTACTTCTACCAGGAGGAGAACGGCTACGGTGGTGACTTCATCTACGACCACGCTGAGGGCGACAAGATTGACTGGAAGTCTGGAAAGGATCTGACGGTGAAGGTGGAGAGTAAGAAGCAGCGCAACAAGAGTGAGCATTTCACAATAACGACAGTGGCCTGCGAATGAGCTAACAATATGTTCTAGACACCAAGCAAACCCGCATCGTCAAGAAGACCATTCCCACCCCATCCTTCTTCGACTTCTTCAACCCTGCCTCACCACCTGCGGACGAAGACGAGGAGATTGACGAGGAGATCGAGGCCAAGCTCGAGCTTGACTACCAGCTCGGCGAGGACATCAAGGAGAAGCTCATCCCACGCGCCATCGACTGGTTTACTGGTGAGGCGCTGCAGTTCGAGCAGGGTCTGGATGACTTCGACGAGGATGAGTTCGAGGATGAAGATGATGAAGACGACGAGGATGACGAGCGTGATGAGGACGATGAGGATGAAGACGATGACGAGGTGAGTTCCCGCCTTAAGATTTGATGGTCGCAGGATAATGATTAACGTGAAGTAGGAGGACGGGTCGAAACCGAAGCAAGAGACTGCGGAGTGCAAGCAGAGCTAGGTGCTGAGCACAATTCCTGAAGCCTCGCTGTGACCTCGAGCTGCATGCTACTCCAAACATCGCCACAACCTTTCCAGCATCGGCCTACCCATGACTTTTGCCACTTGAGACGGTTCTCATCAATCACGACCATCCTGTATATTCACCCACGACCGCACGACCCACCAAAACACTCCTTGACGACCATCTCTTACGGTTTTGCAAGACTGCATGACACCCCCGGCGTTACATGACGAATGATCCTGCACTACGGCTTTAATTCACCCACAGCACATACCAACCACTGAGCGGGACGGCGATGCGGATGGGATGGTGGACGGCGTACGAAGTTCTGGTGTAGCGTTTTTCACTGACGGATCATGGGGTGGGCGGCGAAAGTTGTTTCGGGGGGAGTAGGTAGTACGGGTGCTGAAAATGAAATGCTTCTTCTATTGCTCGTCTCGACATCTCTGTTTCTTTGCGTACCGCGGGGTATCATCAACGCTCCAGCGATGCCATCGGAATGTGGTGGAAGCCACCCTGCCGCCTCCACGGGCGCGCAAGCCATTCAGTCGGACGAGGTGTCTAGCCAGCAGAGCATCTCACCTCGACGTTGACCTCTGTATACGCTCATCACCGTGTCAAACTCTCCCGACGCGAGGACGAGAAGGATCGACTTACCGGGCGAGTACGAATGACACCAACGGCAGCTCAGCTCTTGCCGCTTGCGCGGTTGCTTTGGCGTGGTGTTGGAGGTTGAGACGGCAGGCACTTGGCTGTACGCGTTGGTGGGTTGACTTGGAGGGGCATTGTTAGGTACTGTGTCTTTATGTCTTCGGTAAAGTAGGGTGATGTGCGACGGTGCGAGGTGGTCGAGCAAAATGAGTTGTGGATTTCATGGTGCACGGCTGATCAGCTAGCATGGTAGGGCGGTGACGGTGATGACGAGGGTGGGTCGGCGGAGGAGGAATCTGGGATGGAAGGAAGGGCGGAGATGGGATGAGAGGCTGCGTTGCAAGGGTGGGATGGAGGAGCGCCGAGCAGCACTGGTCATCTTGGGGAGGGTGACAGTGCGACGAGGATGATGCGACGACGACGATTCGATGAGAATGATGCGATGAGCGGGACATTGCACACTGCGCGAATGGATGAAGAGGCAGCAGAGGGCGAGGCGGCGATGAGATGGGTGGCAGTGAGAAGGCGGCGATGAGAAGGCGACGATGAGGCACAGCAGAAGGAAGTGACGAGACCATGAGACCATTGAGAACAACTATGAACAGCTATGATACAAGAATGGCAGTGTCTTAGCCCTGAAGAGCGCCGAAGCACCCAGCAGGTTAACACCCTGACACCATCGATGAGGTGCACTGCCGTCGCCAGGGGAGGGGGGTCTCGGGATGCCTTTCCAGGACGTTACTCTTTGACCCCCCCGGCCCACCAACGTACCCCCTCCACTGCCACGCATGGGACTCACGATCGGAGGGTTTGTCGCTGGGCCTCAGACAAAAGGAAAGAGGACAACGAGTGCCTCAGGTCTTTTGGTAACGCAGAGACCGTCGAAACTGCGCCAACAGCCTGCTACGGACTGAAGGGGTAGGCGAGAGGAGCTGGACAAGCCAGAGGAGGAGAGAGAAGGTGGCACCGTGTAGCATGGTGGCGGGTTTCCTTGTACACCCACAAGGTTCTGGTCGGGAGGTGTGACTGGCCCCAGGACTTTTGTTCTCCCGGAACGTCCCAATCCGCGCCGATCATGTTTAACGTGGCGTCGTTTCGGACCACGAGAAGTTTTGTTAACGCGGTGCTTTCCAAAACCGCCAGCAGCAGGGTTTTTTTCTCTCGGACCCACCAGAACCGCGGAGTCTTTTGGTAACGCGGAGACCTACCCAACCGCGGAGTCTTTTGGTAACGCGGTGACGAATCCCCATCCGCGGCGTCCTGTGTTTGTTTGGGCTTCTCACTGCGGATAGTAGAACACGCGAACTTGAGCTTCCGAGCTGAACCTCACCCTGGTCTCCGTCGGACGCTGGGTGTTTGAGTTCGGCAGGATCGGAAGGCGCTGGTGACAGTCAGCTTGGGCTCTGAGAGAACATGGACGAGATGAAAGGGATGTAGATGGGGTGGAACCTGGTTGCGCTTCTTGTTGCGCTCTGCCTCGTCATGAGGTGCCCTCTCACGGGTCGCTTCCTCTTGACGGGCTGTACAGCGGGTGATGTTAGCAGATGGCTCAGTTGGTGAGTGGGAGAAGGTGGCAAGCTTACCCCATGCCTTTGCGGTCATGGGACCGACGCGAACGCCGGTGTGCTTCATCAGCCAGTAGCTGAAGCTGTGAAAGTGACAATCATTGGGTCAGCGGGGAGGGTGGCAAGGTGAGAGGCGATAATGATACTGACCGCATCCTCAAATTGAGGCTGAGGCAACCCATGATCGGCAGTGATCAGCTGTTTGTTGTTGTGGTGGTTGTTGGTGCTGCTGCTGCTTCTGATCGATGGGTTGAGAGAAAAAGGAATCAGGAGCGAGAGGGGAGAGATGAGGGTATTTATGGACTCTTCGGATAGCTGCGGCTGTCCGCAATCACCTCAGAATCAACTAAAGCGTTGAGATCAATCACTGAAGCAGAGTGGAGTGAACCATTGTTCGAACGCTGCGTGACTGCCTGAGTGGGGTGAACCCTGGAAGTTTCGCTCAAAGCTTCGGAGCGTTCTCTACTCCTCTCACTGCCAGCACCGCACGTTTACGCCCGCTGTACTGGCCTAGCCTCCAGCATTTCCTTCGAGGTACCGCATCGATCCTCAACTGCTCTCCCTGTGTTTCCAACCCCTTTTCCCGCATGTGATTCCTTATCAGAGGCTCGACATTCGCTGTACTGGCGTCTGATCGATCGTGCGCTCCGAGAAGCGGCGCTTCGAAAGTCGGTACGCCAACGGAGGGTCTGGGCCATTGCTCAAACCGAAGCCATACAACATCTTTGAAAACTTGCTCAGGGTCCCAGTCCTGCCCCACCGTACCGTACAACATGTTCAAAGTCGTACGACTTTCACGTCCAGATCGAGGCATGTTCTCCGAGATCGAAAGCAAGCTGGTTGTGATTGCGCTGCTTTTGGACTGCGTTCGCGGGTCGAAAAGTGATTGCGCTGTTTCGAGCATAGCCTTGAGGGTCGCTGAATGATTGCGCTGTTTCGAGGATGGCGTCGAGAGTCACTGAGTGATTGTGCTCTATCCGGCTAGTTGGCTACAGTCGTAGCAGGCTCTGTACCGCGTCCGTAGATCCGAGCTCTCGCTCACGTGCCGAGCGTCAGTCCGTCTTGCAAAGAGCGCCTCCAGGACAGACAATGCACGGCTCGAAGGCGATGTGTATCGCATGGCTTTCAGAAATTTCGTTGCGTTCCATCTCATTTGCTGTACGGCAGGAATTCAGGATACCAGCGTGCTGGCGGTAGAGCCATGACAAATTCTTTCTCCTCACATGCTGGCGATGGCGCTGGAAAGGGGCCCATAGGCCAGTGCCCCGGGCGTTGAGTCACGTGCAATTCTCGAAAAGCCATTTCCAGTCCGCTTCACACTCCTCCATGTCCGCAATTCCAGTCAGATAGCAGCTGCGTGGCCAGGAGTGACGTCCCATGCGTCGTACAGCCGCGCAGACGGTTCTTTTCGCATGCCCGAGGGTTTTGCGGTCCTCCCAAGTACCACCGGTCCCGTCTCAGCGGTATTCTGCACGTCCCGAGAGACAGGAAAGAGGAGATAGAGATGGGATGAAGTCGAGCGAAGAAGGTGAGGTTGGTATAAAGTTGCTGCGGCTATCTCCACTCCACGTGCTATGTCTCACAATGTCGATATCGCCCTGCAGCGGGTGGCGCCGCCTGAAACCTGAAACACACACCCAAACCCTTCCCTCCACCGCCGCTGACCACCGACCTCGCCCTTGTCGCCGGCGCATCCGCGGTTGACCTCAACTATGCGGGACTAGGTCCAGATGAGACATCCAGAGGGACAACTCGGTGGCCGCGGTCTCCCAGAAGCGGCAACAGGAGTGCTCTTCCCGCGGAGACGGGCGGAGATGCGCGATCTGCCAGCGAGGCACGAGAACAGCCACTGCGATAAGAGCGTCCCAATCGAGGGTTGGAGATATCGACTTCAAGAGCATAGCAGGCGGATGGAGACACCCCATCCAAGTGAAAAGGAGATAGATACAACGGGATGATGAAGGCTCGCTGTCTTCGAGCGCCTGTACGGGCATAAAGCAGCCTCGTCGCTCCTATCCTGGCATACGGCAGTCTCCTTGTCCAGACGTAAACCCGTCTCAGCAGTAGCCAGACTGGCGGCGAACGTAGACAGCACGCTCTGCGGACGAGGTGCGTTGCCGGCGAAGACGAGCGATCTAGCAGCGAGGCTAGAGAGCATCCGGGATTTGGCAGGCTAATGAATATACAAGTATGAAAACCACTGGGACGAAGCGCAGAGGAAGCAAAATGAGAGGGACCGTATGAAAGGAGGACAATACATTCTGGCCGAGATGAAAGCCTGGTGTCATCCAGCGGCTTCATGAGCACAGAACGGCATCGTTGCTCATAATTTGTACAACGGGACCCTGTAATCGATGCCTCTCACGGCTGTGATCGGGCTGGCAGGCAATTCGGCCAGCATGCATACAGCACGCGGGACACGTGAGGTTACGACAGCCATGGAACAGAAGTCGCTGCGTTCCACGACGAAGCTGCCGGCCTCATGCCTTCCGCATGCGCTTCAGAGGTAGCTGCATTTTGTGAGACTTGCTGCATCCGTGGTTGTACTCCATGTGAAAGTGCGAACACGCGGCTTCTATATGCACCTACGCCATGCTGCACAACCTTTGAAGACGAACCCATCCTCCGAATCAAAGCTAAGTTATACTAATCTTTCTTCGCATCTTGCACCACTTGAATTCTCTTCACCTCCGAAGGAAGCTCGGTGTCATGCTCCTTCGTCTGCTTACACTCCTCCAGCGCATTTTGGCTGCGCTTCTTGACGACCATCGACGAGACAGATATTTGTATCCCCGAACTCTGTTCAAGAGCAGACGCTGTCGTGTCGTTGTTGTCTTTTCTCATCCTATACAGCCTCGCTTGTCTTGTATAGGGTTGGTGGTGGTGGTGGTGATTCATCCGATTCTTAGGGTTGGGGAAGTTTTAGTTTTAGTTTTAGGGTCGGGGTAGGCAAAGACAAAGGCAAGGAGGCGCAGGCAAAGAGGACAGGCAAAGGCACCCCCGAAGGTATAGCAGCACTGCATTGCCACAACCACGTTCAGCAGCATTTTGTCATAGATTAGTGTAAATGTTACTTTGTTGATACTGAGACTACACTTCACTCTCGAGACTGGTTCGTGGTTGTGCGGGAGGGTGTTTTCGGTCGTTGATCCCCCCTTAAAGCGGCTTCAACAATGCATACTTGGTAGAACTGCCTTGCGCTCAAGTACAATAGACGTCTCAAGCAGCCGATGGAGACAAGTGTGAAATCCGACACAAATAAAACTGGATGGTCACTGATGTTACCTTGGTTGCCTTCCAGACGGAACAAAGCATTAGTTAACATTGACAAAGTGTCAACAGTGTGGGAACACGGCAGTAAAGGCAAGTTTGTATTAAGGAGAGACTACTCGATTTTGAGGAGACACCATTCGCAAACAACTTCAACTCATCGACCAACACTTGCTCACCAAAAATCAATCACCCAAAAATCGATCACCAAATCATCATTCCTCAATTCGTACCCGACGCCTAAGCCATAAAGGCCGAGTTCACAGAACCATTTGGCGACGTAGTCCCATCCACGTTGTTCTTCAAGTAACATGTCCCGGGCAGGTACGAGAAGCCCTGACATTCCGTATACGCATCGCAGAGACTGAAGCATCCCTGGAAAGTATCGGACGCAACGGCCTGCAGATCCGAACCATTCAGATCGGCGTTGCATGCGACGGTGTACGAGTTACCATCGTCGGAGTTATACGCCGTGCCGTCGATTGCAGCGCAAGAACCGGCCGCAGGACCCGAAGTCGGGGCTGGAGCAGGCGTAGCCGAAGTCGGGGCTGGAGCAGGCGCTGGAGCAGGCGCAGGATCAGAGCTCCCTGGCTGGCTGTTGTATGCGGTGTCGACATTACTATTGGAGGTCGGGCCGACGAGCGAGCTCTTGAAGTAGCAAGTTCCGGGTCCTGAGCCGCCGACGTAGGCGAAGCCGACGCAACCAGCCAAGGCGTCGCACATAGCGAAGCAGCCTGCGAAGCTGTCCGAGCTGCTTGCGGCAAGGTTGCCGCCGTCACGGTCGGTGGCACACTCGATGGTGTACGCTACACCCTGGGAATCGGTGTACGAGCTTGGCAAAGCGCTGCAAGAGGCGCTTGGGGATGCAGCAGGCGGGTTCGCTGTCGGGCTGGTCGGAGACGCCGGTGGATTTGCTGGCGTCGTCGTGGTCGTTATTGCTGGCGTCGTCGTGGTCGTTATTGTTGGCGTCGTCGTGGTCGTTGTTGTTGGCGTCGTCATCGTCGTCGTTACCGTCGTCTTGGTCTTCTTCGTCTTCGTCTTCTTCGGCTTCTTGACCTTCTTCGTCTTGGTCTTGGTCGTTACCTTCGTTTTCGTCTTCGTTACCGTCGTCACCACGGGAGCCCTCTCCTCGAGTGGCTGAGCTGCGGCATTTCTCTCCTCGAGTGGGGCGGGGTTTCTCTCCTGGAGAGCGCCTCGCTGTGGTAGCGTAAGCGGATGCACAGAACAGTAAGACGCTGCAATTACTTACATTGAGGAGGGATACGCCAGGGAAGGCGGTGGTTACGGTTGCAAGCGCAAGAAGGCCTGTAAGGGCAGCAGTTCCGAAGCGGACCATTTTCGCGGTGGTTGTTGGAGGACGGTTGAGCTGAGATAAGCTGGAGAGAAGATGAAAAGAAGATGAAGATGAGATGAGGACGAAGAGAAGATGATGAGGAGAAGCAGGAAACAGGAAGAGGTACTTATACGCCAGGAACACACGAGGCTTGAGGACTCGGTATGGAGATTCCTCACCTACGATGAGCGATGGTCGGCATCACCGTGTTACTTTTTCGAAACACATGTTCTAGCCCGAGAACATTCCAGCCCGGATTTCCATCTTCCCAGGCGGTTATGCTCTGCATGGAGCCTGAGCTTATAGGGTTGAGAGTCAATTCATGGTTGATTGACGGGTGCACGAGATGGAAGCCGCGAAAGTTGAAAGGTGATACCACGACCCTCCGAACGACCCAAGGTTGGCACGATGAGAGAGTCTAGGTCTGTTGACGGTGCCTTGATGAAGTCTGGTAGAGCCTAAAAGGAGGAAAAGTTTGGTATGCTTGGCTTGGTTCCGCTTGCGCCTGCGCCTGAGCCATGGTAGAGTGGCAGACGCCAGCGTCGAAACGTACACGTCGGGCTCCAGACTACGTCATTGCTCCTGCATCTCCTTCCGCCGCTGCCATACCTCCGAAGGTAGCAGGTTGTCGAGTGGCTGCTCTTCCGTTTGACCATTGAGTCCAGGCCAATGCAAGGATATGGAGGACAAATATTCAAGCCTCGTCAACGGCCTTCGGCCAACTCCGAATATACAGGTGCTTCGTCAGGATCGAGCCTGTTGTTCGAGGACCCTCCGGGCTGCACCGTCGCGACCGCATCAAGGCGACTGCATCTCCTTCGGCAGCTACCGTGCCGCGTCTCGCGGCAGCGTATGTAACGACAGGCTGTCAAGTGGCTGCTCTCCCGTTCGAGCATTGAGTCCAGACCATCGAAAGGGTGTAGAGGAGAATGGTCGAGCCTCATAGAACCCGATCCACCTCTTCAGGCCCAGCATGCCCTGCTCTTGTCTGCTCTTGTTTGCGCGGCTCCCCGCGCATGAACTCTGATGAGTAACTGAACGAATCATGGCCATCATCTCACATCACGCCCGCTCCCCAGCTCCCCCAACCTCCCCACAACCTCCTCAACCGCCCCCTCAATCTGTCCCTTCTCGGATACAGTCATCTTCCTCAACACGTACCTCGACACAACCCCACTCTCCCGACTCTCCGGCCGTCCAATCCCCACTCCAATCCTCACGAACCCCTTCCCCGCCATCGTAGCCATAATACTCTTGAGCCCGTTATGCCCCTTTGCGCTCGCGCCAGCGTTCGTGCGGACAGTGACACTCCCTAACGGGCGCTCGAGCTCGTCATAAACAACCACGAGCCTGCCGTCGCCACCCTCGGAGGGCAGGGCGCGGGACCATGTGTTCCAGGCTGCGCGAACCCTTTTGCCAGACTCATTCATGTATGCTGTACTCTGCCAGAGCGTCCAATCTCCTCGTCCCTCCACGGGCGGAGGTTTCGTGACGAGCCCGTCTCCTAGACTACGGTCTTTCTGAAAAGCAGGGGCACCCAGGTGTGCAGCGAGGCGATTGAGGACGGTGTGGCCGGCGCTGTGCAGGGTGTTGGCGTATATGCTCCCGGGGTTGCCGATACTGCAGATGAGAAGGGGGAGGGCGCCGGGTGCGGGCATCGGGACGGCGAGGGTGAGGGGCGTGCGGGGTTGTATTGCCGCTGGAATGATGGCTGGTGGTGGTGCTCGTGGTGGTGCTCGTGGTGGTGCTCCAATTCGACTGCTCGCCTCGACGTCGGGCGAGCTGTGGCGTCTACTGTGACGTGGTGGCTTCCGAGAGACGGCTTGCGATGCGTTGAACGTGATTTCAGGAGTATTTGCCATAACAATTTGTAACTCTACGTAACTGAGTATGAAATAAATGCAGGGGAAAGAAGTGTATTCATTAGGCATGACAAATTCATAAGACTTGAAATCTTCTTTGTCTCGCCAGGCCTGAGTCACTAGCTCGACCACACAGCCGCAACGACGAGGTACGCTGGCAAAGCCCTCGAATTGTCTTGAAGTGTTCCACCTTTCAGTGTTCGCCCTGTTGTACCGACCTCTAATCGCGGAGGCATTTGTTCGGTCCTGTTGAAGCATATCCCAGATCTTTGCCTTAGCCCGTAATTGTTCCACGACTGCAACGGACCGCGCTCTGATGATCTACATGAGGACTCGGCGGTGGCTTCTAGAAACGCGGTAAGACGGCGTAATCGATGGGTGGGCTACGGAAGACCGTAGTGGTAAGGACTTGGTCCCGACGCTGAGCTGTGGTGACTGTGTGGTGTGTAGACGACAAAGAGCTTGCCCTTGGGCACCCTCTCGCATGGCCTTTTTGGTAGGCTGATGTCGGTAGCTGATGCTTTATATTGTTTCTGCGCCTGGGAAGTAGGTCTCTCATCGTATCTCAGGAACTTCCAGCGCAGGAGACATAGGCGGATTCGCAGCCAGCGGGGACATAGTCGGGTGCGCCGACAACGGCGACATGGGTGGCCCGACCGATAATTGCGGTGCTGGAGACATTGGAGCAGGCGAGCCAGGGAGTATAGGCGTAGGCTCTTTCGGTAGCCTTTCAGTGACGTCTACTTCGTCGCCAATGCGAAGTACGGCGCCGCTTGGTCCTGCGCAGGCGTATTGGCCGAAGACTGGCTTGTCTGAGATGCATGTCAGTGGGGATGCAGAGGTGCAGAGGTCCGTTGGGGAGGAGCGTACGTGGAAACTGGGGGTTTACCCGTCTATCCTTCATCAAGAGACCGAAGAGCTGATTGGGTGTCGTGATCATCGCACCCTTTGACAGATCAACGTTCAGGCTGAGGCATCTGACCTGGATATAGGAGAAACAAGGTCAGCTAGTGATTCCATACAAGAGTACGCTGCCAATTGTCGTCTGATCTTGTCGGTGGAGTAGCAGGTCTTGGAAACAATCGTAAGGAGTGGACGTACCGTCTTGAAGAGACATCGCACCATTATCTCCTGTGCCGGATCGAGCTTTGGCCTGATTGATAGCATGTTCCACGTATCTTCATCATAGGGTGCTTGTGCGTCACCGACATCTACGTGAATGTTTGGTCTGAAGCGTACAATCAGGTCCTCACCCCGAGCTGAGGGTGGCAATCTTCTTCGTGCGTCCTCCTCAGATGCTGTAGAAGTGATAAGAAGGGGCGCGGCATCTGCAAAGCGCACTCGTTGCGGCTGTAATCTGTCGTTGACAGATATCGAGACAGCCTGGTAGTTTTTGGGAATAAACGCAGCACCTGGGATCTCTCTCTGGCCGTTCCCGCCGATGTAGAGCAATCGCACAGTCTGCTTAAGATGATGAGAGAAATATCGCGCAGCCTCCTCGCCCATATCCAGACCAGGCGCCTTAGTCCCGAAGATACTGACTTGAAAAGTCTCTGCGTTCAATAAGCTGAGCGGGGATGGAGATAGCGGAAGTACGAGGACGGCTTTGTCTTCAGCCTGCGTATGGGTCACAGTCAGCTTAGACCATGACTTGTCGATGGACTGCTTGAAGAGGCCCAGTTGGAACGTCGTCTTGATGGTGATGTGCTCGGCCAGGCCTGCTGACTGCTCGTGGGGCGGCTTGACCAGGACATATTGGCGGTCGAATCTGAGGCCTTCGTTGGTGATCTCTGCTGCGGCCAACTCGACTGGGCCGAGCGATTTTATGGGATAGACGAATATCTGGAATCGTTAGTCGCCGGTTTCTGAATGGTCATCGCTCGTGTTGCTGGCGCACCCGCTGGATCTTCATCTTGTCCGTGACGTCGCCGCTGAGAACAATATGGGTATTTGCGTACTCTTATGCAAATGGCTGACGATAGAAGCGTGGTCTTAGGTCGTAAACTGCGGACGAGTTTGTCAGCCTGTAGAGAGAGTCTCGCCATCACCGGCTGAAGAAGCCGGCTGTGACCCCTACCGGCGATCCAACCAACAGCCAAGCTCTCTCGAATCGCGGGCAGGGACGCGACCTCTGCGCTCTCCTCGAAAGCACAAAGTCTCGCATAGAAGAGAAGTTGACCAATTCTACTTCACTCTACCATTTCACAAAGTACTACTGAGGACATCACTGAGGCATAGTGCTACGCGCGGTACCTCGCGCTTCTTCTCCCAATCCGGCAGTGAGAGGGCGAGCGCAGACTGGGAACTGGCGGAAGGCGAGACCAAACGAAAGGCGACCTCGCGCATCTGACCCAAGACGAATACAGCAGGATCGCACTCCATTCTACATTTCTAGATGCGCCTGCATGGCGCAGGAAGGATTCTCTGAACGAGCCTGTGATCGCTGCAGAGAACGTCGAGTCAAGGTCAGTCTCATCTGCCAGCCCTATGCTTACCTATGCTGGCCGTCTTATTCGTGGCTCTAGTGCGACAAACGCATACCTTCTTGCGCGAGATGCGAGAAGCTCGGCAAAGACTGTCCTGGGTACGACAAGAAACGGAAGTTTGTCGATGAGGGCGTTACGCTTCGGAAGAAGTATCAAACGCATGATAGGAGGGAGAGCGGAGAGCAACCATTCAGCAATGTACGTTCAGCTGGCCGCCATATGTCCTTGCCGGAAGACTAACGGAATGGAAGCAGAATGGTACATCCTTCGCTGGCACTCCTTCCGCGGGGAGGAACTTCATATCGCCACCAAACGACTTTATGAGCCCTGCTTTTCCGCATCTCTCAACGAACCATGCACAAAGCAGTCCTGCGTTTACCGACCAGACGCTAGACAGCTTCGCAGTCAACAACACTCCTCAGGGCAATGGAGCGAAGACTTCTTCGGCGAACATCGACCCCGTCCTCTTTCCTCCAAATGCTGGCCAGACTGAGTACGACGCTTTCGACAATCTCTTTGACGACCCGGCCATAGATCCTGCTTGGTTCAACATTGAGCCAGACGTCTTCTTCGGCCCTCTCGGACATTCTTGTGGATTCATACCGGGAGCCCCAAACATTGTCGATGAGGTAGACAAGAACGATGTCGTTCAGAGCACAGAGACGAGTACGGCAACGCCAATGTCGTTTGGTGGATTATCCGACAAGTGGGTGCATTCAGACCAACATGTCAAAGGGGAAGCTAACGGGGGTTCAATGTAGCAATCTGTGGGCGCCAGAGGCTCAGATACATACCAGTGCGATCATCACAGATGAACGAGAGCACGAAATGGCGTACCTCATACGGCATTTTACCGAAGCAATCGGTCCTTGGTAAGAAATCGCATTGAGCATTCGTACAATCAAGCTGACATAACACAGGATGGACTTGTTCGACCAAGACAAGCACTTCAGCAACTTGGTACCTCTCAAAGCTCTTCGAGATGCTCTACTGCGCAACGCTATTGCCGCTGTGGCTGCGAAGCAGCTTGGACGGGTCAAAGGAGAAAAGCCTTACGTCGGCATACAGTGCCAAAAACCTGCCACGATGGAGGTCATCCATGATGTGCCAGTTACGGACTGGTTCTACAAAGCGGCGAATTACTACGACAAAGCTATTGCTTTCTCACGCTTGTATCTACAAGCGATTTCTGGCTCGTTCAGCAACCCACCTTCGCCCAATGCGCAGTTGACCGTTTCTTCTGCGAACTCGGACGACTTGTTGGTTGCCGTCTCGATGTTCTCGTTATACGAATCACTTGACAATCTCGAAGTCAGCTGGTTACAGTAAGCACACTACCATTCTCTTTGCGATCTCGAGGACTAACAGACTGTCAGGCACCTCGCTGGCTTCAAGACACTCCTCACCACCCTCAGCCTTGACCAACAAGACACTTCATCCGTTCCTCTGACACCCGTCGTAACCGTCGGCCGCCGCGCCTCCTTCTGGAACTTCGCCCGCGCCGACTACCAAGCCGCGTACATCAACCACCAACACACCTTCCTCAACACCACCGACCTCTCCCTCTGGCGCAACTCGGGCCTCCAACTCCAATCTGACGGTTCCCTCTACACCAATCCCGCCGCTATCAAGAACGACCCCACCCACTGTCGCGAGATTGCCGAAACCGTCTCACACACCCTCCTCTGGCTCCTTTTGCGGGTAATGAACTACCTCGCCTCCGACACCGACGCCATTGGCCCACAACAACGCCGTCAAGAATGGGACATTCTTACATCCCAACTGGATAGCTGGCATACACACCTACCCGCAACCTTCCAACCTGTCGCGCAAATGCGCCATTCCTCCCGCCAGAATTCCTCCCAACTCACCGAAGTCTTCTTCACCATGCCCGTCTGCGCCGCCTCCCTACACCTCTACCACTTCGCCCGCATCCTCCTCTTACTCCACAAACCCCTCACCACCTCCTCCTCCGACAACAGCCCCGTCCTCAACGCCCTCCTCGCCTCCTCCGCCGAAGCGCTCAAACACGCCCACCGCATCATCGGCATAGCCCTCGGCCGCCCTCCGCCGGCTGTGAGAGTGGAGATGCTGCTACCGCTGTTCATCGCTGGGGTGTGCGTAGAGGACGAGGAGGAGAGGGGGGTAGTGTTGGAGTTGTTGCGGGCGATTGAGGTGGACACGGGTTGTGAGACGGGAGGCAGGTGTGAGGAGTTGAAGAGGCGATGGGAGTGGGGCGGTGAGGATGAGGTAGCGAGGGAGGGGATGGTCATGTAGTTTGTATGAAAATTGTTCTCGGCTGACGTTGCTCGTGCCCACAGCTAGGGGATTGTCGGCTTTCTGGGAAGGTTGATAAGCATCACACGAATAGACTGCTCACTGCGGGATGAGGCTACGACGTACTAAAGCCCGTCATTCCGCTTTCCCCTGCTCACCGCCATAGAAGTTCCCAACGGACTGTTCCACCCCCTCCCCTCCCTTGCACCAGCCCACCCAGTCCCTCCCAAACTGCTCAATCCTCGGCTTCAGCTTCGTCCCATGCAGACCAAAATCATCCACCGTTCCAATCCGCGGCGCGCTCACCCCGGGAAACCCCGAACTCCGTCGATACATCAACGTCCCGCAGACCGAGCAGAAGAAATTCGTCACCGTGTTTCCACTCGCGATCTGCGCGCTCCGAGCATACTTGGTCAGCTTGTCCTCGCCACGCGTGTGCTTGAGCGCGGCGTCCGTGACGATGAAGCCGGAGGCGAACATGGAGGCGGTGATCTTCCGGCAGTCGGCGCAGTGGCAGATGAAGGTGTCGATGAGGGCTTCGCCTGCGAGGGGCTGGGGTGCAGAGGATTATTAGCTTGGGCGTGACTTGACCAGGCATGCGTTGGCGGACTTACTACCACGATCTGAACGGTGCCGCAGAAGCAAGTCGCCGTTGCTTCTTGTTCGTTCGAGTAGCCGTCTCCGCCTAGGGGCATGTATGGTGCCATTGTTGGGTGTTTCACTTCTGTTGTCTTTGGGGGCGGTCCAGATGGATCAACTCTGCTGGCCAGTGCTGGGGAGGAAATTGACGTGAGCTTGCTTTCCATTCTAGCAACCATACTTGCCAGACTCTGCTGCCTTATATGCTCCATGTCCATTGCTGAAGGCTGACTAAAAAGCAGCCCAGTTGAAGCTAGAGTGGCCGTAGCAGCGATCCTCTCGGTCGACGTGGTCCTTCTAGGTATAGTGGTGCGGTAAGCAAGCCGTCTCATCAGTGAACAATGCTCAGCTCGACCTCGATGCCAAATACTTTGTCCGAATCTACTGCCAGCTATTCTCCTACTCCACCTCAAAGCCCAACGCCCTCGCTGTGATAATTTACAAGCAATACCCACCTCGCGCCACTCAATCATCCCCACCCAACGGACCGCCGCCATGATCACTGCTTCCCGCCGCCGTGACGCCCTGTGGCTCAGCATCTTCATCTTCATCTTCGTCATCATCTAGCACTCTCCGCTTACTCCTCGCAGTCGCAGCTCTCCCCCCTACCTCCTCATCCTCATCCTCAACACCGGGCGTTTGAGCCCCACCAGGCGTCTCGGCAAACATCTCCTCCCCATCCCCGTCCCCGTCCATCTGACTGCTAGGTCCAGCGGCAGCACCAGTCCCATCGTCCTCTTCATCAGACTCCACGACCATATCCGCACTCTTGAACTTGCTCTGTGAAGCAGCAGCACCCTTCGACTTCCTCTCCAACTTCCTCTTCTTCGTCTTCCTCTTCTTCACACCCTCGCCATCACTACCGGTACCAGGCGTGCCAGAAGTGCCAGTAACATTCCCACTCCTGCCCTTCCTCCCCTCATCACCCGACCCCTCATCATCACTATCCTCGCCCTTCTTCTTGCGCTTCCCCTTCCCCTTCTTCCGCTCGCGCTTCTTTCTCTCCCCCGTCTCTTCGTCGGTAGTGAAAGCTGCCTCTTCAGCCTCCTTCTTCGTCTTCTCCTCCTCGGCTCGTCGCGCCATGAGTTCCCGATCCTCCTGCGCGATCCGTTCGCGCTCCTCGCGAATCTTGCGCATCTCCTCTTCCCGTCTCTGCTGCTCTGCTTTCGCAGCCTCCTCCCGCTTCTGTGCGGCTTCCTCGCGTCGGCGCTTCGCTTCCTGCAACCGCTCGGCGTTGTTCCGTTCGTACTCAGCCTGCTTCTCCATCGTGGCGGCGAGTTGACGCTTCATGGTGTTGCGTCCCATGCTGGCGCGCTGCTCGATGTCGCCGCGTGGAAAAGGTGGATTGGGCTCCTTGGCGATGAGAGCGAATGACTCGATGGCTTCGTCTAGGCCGGCGGAAGCTTGCTCCACGTCTTCAAGCGTACGTTGTGCTTCTGGGAGCGCGATGAGCATCTGCGCCAGCTGCATCTGGACGAATGCGACGTTGAAGCGATAATTGACATTGCCCGGCGCTTGGAGGAGGGCTTGCTGCGCGAAATCGAGGGAGGTTTTGTAAGCTTCGAGCTTCTTCTCCATGCGGCCGCGAATCAGCCAGACACGGCCGAGACAGGCGAGGATGCCGGGTTCTTTGGCGCCGTGATTGCTTTTGGTGAGCGCTAGTTCATAGCTCTCGACTGCGCGGGAGAACTGCTTGACTTCTGTGAAGACGTGGCCAAGGTTGACGAAGACGCTGGCCTCAGCGCCGCCTACGCTCTCGCGGATACGAGAGAAGATTTGCACGGCAGCGGTCGGGTCCCTCTTCTCCTCCACAAGTGCGATACCTAGGCCCTGCGCCGCGAAAGCGTTTCGAGGATCGAGGCTCAGCACCTTGTCGAAGAACTCCACGGCCCTCAGATACATCTTGCTCCTCTTCTCGCGATGTGCGTCAGTATCCCGTGGCATCTCGCGTGCAATAGCAAGATGCAGGTTGCCCATGCCGGTCAAAGCATAGGTGTCATGCTTGTCGTAGCTCTGCAAAGTGTGCTTGTAGTGCCTCTGTTCGGCATCCTCGTTCAACGCCAATGTCCTCTTCTTCGCTGTGTGAATGTACCAGCCGTAGAGCGCTCGCACTTCCAGGTTGCCAGGGTCAGACTCAAGCAGCGCTTTGACGGCTTCGGCACCTTCAGTTGGGTTGGACTTGAGTGCGAGATAGGCCAAGCGCATGCGCGCGTCGATGTAGTCGGGGTGCCGGAGTAGAGTGCCTTCGTAGACTTTCTGTGCCTCGTCGTCGATGCCTTCGGCTTCATAGGTGCGGGCAAGGTTGTAGCCGATGGTCGTGAGGAGGGCTTCGTGTTCGTAGGATATAGCATCGCCATTGACTTCGCCATTCGTCTCACTCTCTTCCTTTGCCTGGTCTCGCTTCGCCTTGAGCTTCACGCTGGCGTTCAAAGCAGTCTGGAAATCGTCTCTCGCCTCAGCGAACTTCTCGGCTCCAAAGTGGAAGCAGCCGATATTGTTGAGAAGCTGAGGTGGCAGAAGTTCTCTCCGTATGCGCTTCTCTTCCTCCTCATCTCCCATCTCGTCCGGCAGATCATCCTCCGAGATCGCTGAAAGCAATATCTCTTCCGTCTCTTTCAGGCATGACAGCGCCTTTGCTGGCTCCTCGCTTTCATACAGACGTGCGAGGTTGAGCAAAACTGATGCATCCTTCTTCGCTTTCCTCTTCGGGTCCTTCCATGCTACCCTGACCTGCTCAAGCAGAGAGACCGCCTTCTTCGCTTCTTGAGTCTTGTCCTCCTTCACCGTGGCCGCCTGATTCGCGAAAACATCCTCCGCGAATAATACACCCAAAAGTGTCATTGCTTCCAGACTCCGACTCTTCTCCACAATCTTCTCAAGTCGGAACTTGGCTGCCGAAACATCGCCGCCTAAAACCCTCAGCTGCGCGTTGCCAAACTTCGCAGGCACGAAGCCCTTCTCATCCCCTCCGCGAGCATTGTCGGCCTTGTTGTACGCATCTGCCGCCGTGTCCAAGGAGCCCTCATAATGCGCCTGTAGAGCCAGCAGATACCAACCGTCCGAAGCAATGGCATTGACGTCTGTCTGTTCTAGGGCTCTTCGTGCAAGCCGTTCGACGTTCGTCCAAGCCCGTCGCTGTAAGAAGTAGCTCCCGAACTGCGCGCAAGTGAGCGCATGCATGGGGTCTAGCTTGAAGCCAGTCTGGAAGTGAGTGGTGTAACCCTTGCGGTAGAGGTCGGCGTTGTGCGGGTGGCTGACTTCGAGGCTGCTGTCCAGTTGGTCGACCCAGTACTTGCCGAGCAAGCTATGCGCGATGACTGACTGCGGATTCAACTCAACCGATCGCTGCCACGCGTTGTATGCTGCCTCTTTGTGTCCCAGTGTCCACAGACAGACACCAATGCCGATTCGAGGGTCAGGATCGAGCATGTCAGGTGCACGTTCGAGAGCTTGCTGATATAGTTGGAGCGCTGATTGGGTCTTTGATAGCGAGAACTCGACTCTTGCTTTGCCTAAGAGAGCGAAGATGTTCCTGCCGTGGGTCGAACGAATGGCATCGTCGAAGCACTTTCCTGCTTGCCGTAGTATGTCGAATCTGTTGGTCTGATCTACAGCGCCCATCTGCGCCTTGGCGGGTTGTATTGAAGCTCGGAGAAGGTATAGCGTTCCGCGCGCCATGAACAGCGGAGGGTAGGAAGGGTCGATACGGCTGGCGTCGTTGAGTACGTTTGTCGCGAGATGTAGGAACTCGTCCTTGGTCCTGAGGTCGTCCTCTTCTGCATGCCCCGGCGGTCTGGGCTGAGTAGGCCTCACTCGAGGAGCGTGCCGGCACTTCCATAGGTGTAGCCAGCAGAGACAAGCCAGAATGCTCAATCTGTCTGCATCCTTGCCACGCGCATGCGCCGCGAGACCCCGCTGCAGCATCTCCACCGCAACATTGACCTTGCGCAGCTTTGCGTATGCAATTGCGATGGTGATCCAGTAGTCCTTCGAGGCATTTTCTGTCTCGAGCAGACCGCAGAGCTCATCTGTCTCATCCAAGAGCTCCGTGAGGTCCAGATTGACCACTTCATCGCCGTCTTCACCGCGCACGGGAATATCGAAGACGTCGGGGATGTCGCCATAGCGCGGGTAGAGTTGGGTGATCTGGTCTGCGGAGGAGGTGCCATTGATGCCGTTCGCATGGCCGTTCACCACTGCGGTCGACATGATAGGTGAGGAGGGCTGGAGGTAGGTTGAGGAGGAGGGTCGTCGTCGTGTTGTTCACTCTCTCATCGTAATTGCTGTCGTCGTTGTGCGTCCTCCGCTCCGTCGTCATGAATAAAGTCTCTCTGCACTTCAGAAGTTCAAGACGAGCAGCGATCCTCAAACAACGCGCTTTAGCCTCACCTCCGCGGAGTTCGGGAGGCTCGCTTCACTAGCTGCCGCAGAGCCGCATGGGGTGACAGGGATCATTGAAGCTTCCCAGCTTCCCTGGAGCTGCCAGACCTTGAGATATGTATGAGACGACAAGCCAACGCCAGATGGATGAAGCAAGACTTGGAGACACTAAAACTCCACAGGATCGGTCGCGCAACGTGAGGCGAAACGCGTGAGCAAAAGTTGGACTAGGAAGGCCGCCAGCACCGCCGCAATGGCATACCCGAATGGCTACACGAAAGGGACGACGAATGGCTCCTACAGCTCCCTCCGCCGGCACGACTTCCACGACAGCAGTCGCGACACTAGCGCCGATGAACACTCGCGATCCCGACCAGCCCCCTCATACGGCCGCAGCTACAACAACAACTCCGCTCAACCCGATCATGTCCATGGGGTGAGCAGACTCGAGCGCAGCCACAACAACCGCCGGAGTCGAGACTACGCAGCTGAAGGAGGACAGGGAAATCAATCATGGTCCGCCAGCCGAAGTCGCAGCCGACCCGGGGGTCGGTATGGCGCAGCAGGGAACCAGATCGAGGAGGTTTTGAAATACATAGAGCAACACTGGGGCTTCATGGCGAGCGCAGACTGCATTCCGATCAAAGTGGCACTCCAGCTCATGGATTCTAGTAGTCTCGGGTTGCAGGACCAGTTGTCGCAGTTCAGCGAGGCGCATACACAACTACAGAATGCACTCAAGGTCATCGTGAATGAGCACCATCAGGGTTTCAACAGCAGTATTGGTACATTCCATAAGATCCAGGCTGCGATACACGCCAGTCAGACGCGAGTGCGGACGTTACGGGCTGGACTGGTGGATGCGAAACGGGATCTCATTGGATCGGCGCAGAGACCAGAGTTAAAAGCGCTGGCGTCGAGTAGTGTTGCTTATGACAGCATGCTCCAGACGGTTTCCACGATAGAGCAGTTGCAACTGGTCCCGGATCGGCTGGAAGCACAGATCCGGGAGAAGCGGTATCTGGGAGCTGTGGACAATTTGATCGAAGCACTGGCGATGATTCGGAAGCCTGAGTTGGAAGACATCGGAGCGTTGAGCGAGCTGCGAGTGCACTTGAGTAATCAGGAACAAATACTGACAGATCTTCTGGTGGAAGAGCTGCATAACCATCTATACCTGAAGAGTCCATATTGTGAAGAGAGATGGAAAGGGCACATGCGGCGGGCGGCGTTGGCATCTGGCTCAACTACTATGGACTCCGAAGCTGCGACTGCGTCTATCATCGAAAGCGAGCGAGCCATTTATACTTTCTTGTCCAATTACGACGGCAGCAAGCCGATGCAGGAGGATGCCACCCGCAACCCGGAAGCAGATACGTTTTACTACATCCAGCTGCTCATCGAATCATTGAACAAAATGTCACGACTTGACCTTGCAGCTGATAAGATCGAAGAGCGCCTGCCCGTGGAGCTGTTCAAGGTGCTCGAGCGGACATTGGGCGAAATAGAACAACGACATCCGCAGAGCATGATGAAGAGCGGTCGAAGACGACAGCAGCTCGCGTCAGGAGGCGTAGCCGCTGGCCCTGATGCTGAACAGCGAGCCACGTTGGAAGACCTGCTGACGATGCTATACGCCAAGTTCGAGGCAATTGCTGAAGGTCATCGTGTATTATTCGACGTCACCCACGCCATCCTCAAGCGAGAGATAGTACCTTCGTCTGAGGCGACAATGCTGAATCGTAGTTTCAGAGAGCTGTGGAAGCTCCTACAGAGCGAGATCCGGTCACTGCTGCATGACCATTTGGCTTCGAGCGGCAGTCTGGGCACAAAATCGAGACAGCAAAACCACGCCAGCGCCAACATCTTCAAGAACCAGCCACGAGACAGAAACAGGAAGCTGTTCAAGCTGCAAGATACGCTGAAGCCAGGCAAAGACGGCAAAGCCAACACAGATCTATCAAGTGAGCGATCAGACCTCGAGTTCATTCTCAAGGCATCTGTTCCAGGCTTGGTCAACTCGGACTCAGATGCCAGCTCGCTCAACAAGCGCCCTGGTGCCCTAAGTAATTTCGAGGACGACGACTCACCTTCTGCTGTCGCCGACCGTAGCGCCACTGGTCACAAACTCCTCATCTCTCCCAGCATCTTCAACATGGGCCTTCTCTTGCCGCCCTCGCTGACCTTCCTCCGCCACCTCAAAGAGATAGTTCCTACACAACAGACCTCTGGCGTGGTTCCCAGCACCCTCACATCCTTCCTTGACGACTTCCTAATCAATGTCTTCTACCCGCAATTGGACGAAACGCTGCTCGACTTGTGTGGACGATGTATGAGCGACCCGGATACGTTCCAGCCGGATCCGAAGTGGAACGAGGTTGCGAAGAAGCCGATCTTCAAGGGTGCGCGAAGGTTCATGAGCATCATGGAGGATGTGTGTGGATTGTTGGGGCGATTGCCGCATGAGCAGAGCTTTGCACATTTGGTAGTAGGGCAGATGAGGGCGTTTTACGACGTCTGCTATGAATGGAGTAAAGGTCTGCTGCAGCGAGTTGGTGGGAGCGGCGAAGAAGGCGATGAAGGCAATGGAGCCTTGAAGATGCGGCTAGCGGCTGATCTCGCAACCGAAGGCGACATCAACGCAGTGGTCATCGAGCTCCTAACAGCCAAGGACGACGACAAGGAAAAGATCGTTCTAGCGGAGAAAGAAAGCGCCTTACTGCTCCGAATGATCAAGAGCCGCGACCTCGAATCCACCGACCTGATCCAAGACCGCAAAGCCCTTGCCGCCCTCTGCACGCTCCAGGTCAGCATGAAATGGCTCGCCGCCCGCTGCAAAGCCCTGCGCTTCATCTCCCCTTACGCCGTCGACACCACCAATATCCAAACAGGCCACACACGGCGCTGGACCGCCACCACTGTACCAACCCTCTCCTCCAACGCCAACTCCACGCCTCTCCCGACCACCCCATACCTCCCCCTCGACACCACCACCGCCCACCAGTTCGACGCCGTAACAACCTCCTTCACCGAACTCTCCACCCTCATCCTCCGAACCCTCCACATCGACCTCCGTCTACACCTCCTCTCCGGCGTCTCCGCCGCCCTAAACACCACCTACGCTCTCGGCCAACCCTACAACGACCCGGACCCCGCCATCCTCACCCTCTCCGAAGACCTCGGCTCCTACGACGCCCAGCTCTCCGCCCACCTGCTCCCGCCGCAACACGCCTTCCTCGCCTCCAACTTGCACGTCACCGCCAACACCGCGCTCGTCGGGTTGGTCTCCACGGTCCCCGCGCTCGACACCCATGGCTCCGGACGCATGGGCCTGAACATCCTCGTGCTCCAACAGAGTCTCAAATTGCTGCAACCATTCGCCGACCTAGGCAAAGCAGCGCAGTTCTACGAGCTCGGCGCCAAGGGACCAGAGGCGGTGGTCAAGGAAGGACCGAAGAGTGAAGAGGGCTACGAGACGGAGGACCTGAAAGCGCTGATAAGGCTGTGCTATGATGAGGAGAGGGATAAGGGTCTGGGCGATAGGGAGGCGGTGGCGATGAAGTTGGGCGGTTGGCCGGCGAGGAAGACGAGTTTGAAGGGCAGGGGTGGGAGGAGGGGGATGGGGTCGAGGACGCAGAGTTCGGCGGATTGATTGAGTAGTTCAGCGGCAGTTTTCAAATCTTTGACAAGTTCAAGCCTGGTTCCCTGTCTCTGTTTAATCTATGCTGTATCATGTGAGATGTTCGATCTGCGGGCCGCTGCAATGCACATGCATGACCCTGGACACACTTTTCGCCATTGGTCCACATGTTCGCATCACCGCCAATGCTTTTCACCATTTCGCCTCACTCTTGCGAACCAATGAGACCTTTGCCTTGGATCGTGATTGCCAGGAACATGCCCTTGAAGCTGCCGGGACTGCTGCATGATTCTGGTTTCGAGATGGAGAAAGACAGCCGGCAGAAAGGGCGGTATAGCGATGGTGATACAAGTAAGGTAGCAGACTATAGTACACACCGCCTGATCAACCAACCACCGACGGGGTGGGTGCCACTGCAGGACTACTGCTGTACTCTAGAGTAGCTTATCTAGACGTCTTTCTTTCTGATGATCGTTAGCTGAAGCCATCGCCTTAGCGTAGAGGCGGAATGGTACTCACAGGACCGTTGCCAGTGGAGTACTCTAATCTTCCATCCTTACTTCTTGCCGGACTGCCCACCACCATTGCCGCCGCCGCCGCCGCCGTAGCTCAAGTTGTATAGGCGGTAGTCGTCTTGGTTCGAGTACCATGTCTCCATTGAGTTGAATTGGTTTCGCTAATGATGTGTTAGTAACAAGCCGATCTGCCTGAGAGACTCGATGGAAAGGGATACCTGTTGCGTCTGCTGGTTGTAAGTTCTGTATACTGGGTTTACTGTCGGTTGACGCTGGTCCTGTTGTTGACGCTGCTGTTCTTCCAGCTGCTGTCGTTGACGCTGTTCTTGTTCAAGCCGCTGTTGCTGGCGTCGTTGGTGTTCGAATTGCTGTTGTTGAAGCCGCTGCTGTTCGAGGCGCTGTTGTTCGAGGCGCTGTTGTTCGAGGCGCTGTTGTTCGAGGCGCTGTTGTTCAACTTGGAGTTGTTGGCGTCGACGTTGTTGCTGGTCCTGACTCTGAGAATGTACACGGCAGCCTCTTCCACTGGCACATGTGCACTGGGCCGCTGGCCCAGCTGGCTTTAGTACCATGGTGGCAGAAGATCCGTTGTGTTCTTGGAGGATGAAGGACAACTGTGTCCAGTCAGACGTCTGTTGTTGCGTTAAGGTCTCTGGAACCGGACGATCGATGTTGCTACGGCAGCTTTTACATTTTTGAGTCCTGCAAGAGAAGACTGTGGTCAAAAGAAAGACGGCCATGAACGGCCTTATAAACAAGTTTGGGGACAGATGAAAGTGAAAGATAAAGTGACGCCTTCATGGAACCTGGCAGTCGCGCCCGACACATGGCGCAAGGCAAATACGCTAAATTGCCGCTTGGTCCAAACATCCAACCAGTCAGGAGGACGGAAGGACAATTCATTGAAGCGACACCGCTCCCAGGGCCGAAGGCACACCTGTCGCATGCAGTAATGTGACCTGCCCGGCATGTACGATAGCGGGATCCGAGATGTGAGGCGGACGAAGGCAAGAAGCAGAGCCACGCGCAAATGACAGGTGGGTTGGGTGGCCGGTCGCCGCGGGACATCAGCACGCGGTTGTGTGTCGATTGGATTCCCAGGTCAGCTGGGCTTCAATTCGTTTCAAGCATCCAGACGGAGTCGCAGAGGATGATGAGCTCGGAAATGGGAGAGCGCGCTTGGCAAGACGACGTCCAACCACACCCGGCAGTAGTCAGCCTCACGTCCGGGGTTCAGGATCGTCTATTCGCTCCTAAAGGCATTGAGAGGGACACAGCGTGGCGGTTCATGGCCTGGGACCACGCTGAGTGCGGAAGCGAGCCGTATAACATCCATGATGAAAGACCGAATGCCTCGCGCGTCTCACTTGGGCAGCAACCCGGCGTTTGCCTAGTGAAATAATGCCCAAGGAGAAAGCGGTCTGAGGTGTCCCATCTTACCTCCTAAGGCAGAAGGATAGCGTAACGCTGTGTGCGCGCAGCCCGTATAGACGCTAGGGATGATCAGCGACCTCCAGCGAGACTGGATTCGACCCAAGGGTGGAATCAGTCCGCCTTCAAACGAGGGAGCGGGTAACAAGGAGGACAATCGACGGCTTTCCAGTCGCGATGGATTGAACGAGAACGCAAGTCCGGATTGGCTAGAGGCTAGAGCAATCGCTCGAAGCAGTCTAGTCGCTGCCTCATGCCGGCCAGACTAGAGGACAGGGTATCTCAAGCGTGGAATCCGTCTGGCTGTCGGGGAGCAACAAAGTCGCCAGCCAAAGGTTGGTCCTTCCGATCTCTCCCGTTCCTTCACGCCCAGACCCCGATGCCCTTTCGACGAGTCCCGTCCGATCAATACACGAGGCTACCAGTTGGCGCTATCATCTCGAAGGCGTGCCATAAACCGCACAGCCATCGACGTCGGGTAGTACAGGGAGAGTTCCCAAGACTTCGGGCTCACAGATTGGCTAGACCTGAATGAAGCAGGCAGAGCCGCACCAGCTGTAACCCGATCCAGGCGAAGGAGCTAGGCGCTTAGCAGACCAGACCTCCTCGCATCGACGCAAGAGGCTCGAGGGAGACTCCTGACGCCCGACGGCTGGAGGTGTGGCTGCGCTCACGCGCTGCGCCGCTGCGATTCTGCCGATTCATGCCTCGTCGAGGAACGGCGTCATTCGGGCCTCAAGAAGGCATGCGAGCGCCTCATCACCAAACGACACGAGCTATCGACTGCCGCCTCGGAAACCCTTTGCGCAGCCGCCAGCCACAAGCTGCAGTACGTACCCCCTTCCTCAAGAGAGCAGTCCAGGCGCGCCCTCCGGGTAAAGTCGGTTCGCGAGGTAGAACCGTAAAAGGCGGTAGACGTCGTGACGAGAGCACTGCCGCGGCAGCGAAAGACGGTCCAACGGTCGAGACATGTGATCCAAGCTGTCAGGTGTCGTGGGAAGGTGGCACAGCAAAGGTACTGGTACAGAGTGACATGTGAGGTCGGTTTTAGCGTCTGCCTGAGGCATTAACGCACGGACGTACGGAAAGGGGAAGGCTGTCACATGTTAGAGATGACGAGATGATCGGCGCCTACACGGGCGTGAGTCCCATGCGCATGCCTGTCGTAGAGTATCTGAAGTGGTCCGGTACGGCGTGTGGTCTTGCTTCGTCACACACAACGCGTGCTTTTGGTTTCGGACGTTAGGATCACGGCTCTTGTCTCGAACGCGCTGGCTGTACTCCAGCCCATCCTGGCGAGACGGCGGGGACGGAGAAGTTCGAACAGCAGAGGTGAAAGGATCTCAGACGTCGTGAGAAGGGCCAACCGTAGACAAAGCGAGGTCATTGAACACTGATGAGCAAGGAAACCATCATATACCCGCTGACCCAATATCTATCGCCACCATCTCAGCACAGTCGGCCAACTCGCAAGCAGCAGACCGTCTCATCGCCAACACATCCAGCACAAACAAGGAAAACCCAAACACAACGCCAACGATCGTTCCAAAGACCAATCATCCCGTCACTTCCGCAATAGAATCGTTCCGCTTTGGTGTCGAAGACGGAGAATCCTCTTTGCCGGCCAAACCCTCCAACCACTTAACCCAGCACCTGCACCCCTCGATCTGCTGACCCTCGATCTTGTATTCGCGGCAATCCAACGAATGCACGATTGTGAATTCACCCGCAAGAGCAAAAGATGCCAAGACTTAGCAATGCATGCAACACATTCCATTCTTATTCTCCGATCGTGCTCGTGTGTTGAGGGATGCGGTGGGGGGACGGGTGACGAGGGGTTTACAGGCTCTTGCCGGAGACTTTGTCGGCCTGGGCCCTGAGGTTCTCGGAGCTGGCGCCGGTGGTGAAGAAGCGGCTGAAGATGGGCTCCATGACGGTGCGAAAGACGACTTGGGCACCCCTGTGAAGCGAACGATGGTTAGTGGAGATTTTGAAGTGGTGGGGAAGGGGAGAGAGCGTACTGAGTCTGGGGCAGCGCCATGTACATGATGAAGACGAACTTGAAGGTGTAGTAGAAGGGGAACCAGTAGGCGGCGTTGACGATGGACTCGAGGACAGTCAGGAAGGCGTAGACGACCCAGTACTGCGTATCGAAGTATATGTCAGCGATTATGCTCTTGGGTGTTGGAGTTAGGGCGGTCAGGCATACGGTGAGCCACTGAGTATCATCCGCTTTACCCATGGTGAAGACCGCCTCCATGGACCAGTAGGCCGGCAGCGCGAAGCCCGCAGTGTTGACGAGAAACTCGCCGGCGATGTTGAAGAAGACGAGGAAGAAGTAGAGGGCGCCGAGACCGAGGACGACGTAGACTTTGGGGACGGAGGTCTGCTGCTCGAAGTTCTGGAGTTGCGGGTACTTGGACAGCTCCCTGAGATTGGGTCAGTGAGGAGTAGGGCAGCTGTGGGGGGAGGTGGCGCACTTGTCGAGGTTGGAGAGGTGGTACTGCGCCCTGTACACCGCTGTCAGTATGCTTCTTCGTGCGGTTGAATTTTGTTGGGAAAGCGGACTTCTCTTGCATGGAGCTCATGATGGCGGTGTTGACGGGGTGTTGTGGGGGTTGAAGGGTTCGACCACGGTATGGGAGCAAGTGTGAAGTCGGTGGGGTGTTTGTGGTGTGATTTGGTGGTATGAGGCCAGGTGTTGATGGGTGTTATCGAGGAGGAAGCGCTGAAGTGCGGCTTGAGTGGGGGAGCTAATGACGAAAGCGCGACTGGAGAAGATTCAGGATTTCGAGCAAGAGCTGCTTTATTCGATGCTGTCTAGAACACTCCAAGCCATAGAAATGGTCAACACAGTTATACTATTGACAAACCGCCAGTAGCATTGCCTATGTTTCCCAGTGTCTTCACAATTATCTGCCTTCGACTGACTTTCACGTGCGCGCCAAGTTCGCTGAAGCGAGCAAGCCAGTGAGGCGCAATTCGTGGTCGAGAAGTAAAGCAAGAAGGAAGACAGCACTGCGGATGAAGCAACTGCGAAGTGTTGTCAAGAACCAGCGACCCCTCCATTGCAGCCTAATCCCATACTTCCCCTTCTCCTTCGTCCATGCAATGAAGTGGTAATGCAGCAAAGTTGACTTCATTTACCTTTCTTGTCATTGGGACAAAATTCTCTGCGCCAGCCAAGACTGCACGGCGACATTTGACGGGTGGATTGCTCTCGCAACCGAGATCGAGTAAATAAACAGCCATCCATCCTTCCACCGCCCAACCGGCCATCGTCCAAGCGCACTCCACCCCGGTAACCCTCCCCGTCTGCTGGACTGCACCTCTGGATCAGCGACACCCCATCCCTCTGGACTGGACGCCGCCGACCCCCTCACCTGGACCGCACCCGACACCCGCCGCTGGAGGCTGGAACGACGAGCACACCTTGTCGCACTCGACACATCCGACTGCAACAGCACAGAGACAGTCTGAGACAGCGACTGACTTGCTCATGAGTGCCGCTTAGTTCAGACAGCAAGTCCACCGCGAGTGTGAGTCTACAGATACCCACCAGAGCGGCAGTCGCAAAGCGACAAGACGGTTGTTGACGGGTCATCAGCATCTGAACAACAACACACCGAATCCCTCCCGACTCTCGACAAGATGGTGACGAGACATCGTACCAACACCTCCATATCGGCGCAGAGTACCCAGCGACCCGACTCCCGAGCATCCACCACAAGTGCGACCTCACAGCATGACGATGCGAAGCAACAAATGCATCCCAGCCATGGCTCCTTCATGAACGGCAACCCCGAAGCAGCATTACTGCAATACCATGCGACCATGGAGCCGCAACAGATGCCGCTATATGACATTTCGCAACATCAACATCACCATGGCCATCCTCAGGCTGGCTCGTTCCAGGCGCCGCTGGGCTATCCTATTCAAGATCCCGCCTACATGCCGCCGCAGGATGTACAATACAATAGTCAACCTCGAAACGGCTCTGTGCCTATACAGTCAGGGACGGAGGGACACGACGACAAGCGCAGGAAAGGGTCGGCTGTCACTGCCACCAACGACCGGGAACTTCGAGAGATGCTGTCGCGCAATGAAGGTCGGCCACTGAAGGATGTTGCTCAAGAGGTCATCCAAAAAGAGAGGACGCCGATGGCAGAGAAGACCAAGCAGTTGTTTGCGATGCTATGGTAGGGTCATGCTCTAACCTTCTGTTCAATAACGAATGCTGACTGTCACCAGGCTGCGTGCTGTGTGCAAGCCAGCAAAGACGTCCGTCCCACGCAACAGAGTCTACTCTCAATACGCGACTCGCTGCGGCACCGAGAGAGTCGTGCCACTCAACCCGGCGTCGTTCGGGAAGCTTGTCAGAGTCATCTTCCCTGGTATTCAGACGAGAAGACTCGGGGTGCGTGGTGAAAGCAAGTATCACTACGTGGATCTGGCTCTCGACGAGGCGGCAGCTGATGGTACCATCCCCTACGGCAATGAATACTACACGGAGAGTCGGCCACGATCGCAAGCCACGAACGCACCACAGCTTGATTTCAACAACATTCCACACATGCGCCCAGACACTGCGGCATTCCCGACCGCAGACGCAAGCTTCGACTACCCTCCACGACCGCCAACACCACGGAGAGTAGCATCACACGGCCAAGCTTTCGCATATCCAGATGCACGGGGTATGCATCCCGGCACCGCAGAGTCGATGACCTACCCGCACACATTGCGCTTCCCATCAAGCAACCTGCCAGTCTTTACCGAGAACGAGTCTATCACTTTACCCGACGTACGCCCATATCTGCCTCCGAAGACAGACCTCGACACAGCCGATGCACTCTTCGCGCTGTATCGGACGCATTGCACATCCCTCATCGACAGCATCCGCTTTTGCAAAGAAAAGCAGTTCTTCCGTCTTTACACCTCTTTCCATGGCACGCTCACTGTGCCTGTACAGAAGCTTTTTACTCATCCTAACCTCAGCCCCTGGATCGAACAGTGCGACCTCGTCATGTACCGTACGATGGTCCGGTTCGTCTCCCGGCTCACTCTGCAAGCCGCGCCGGTCATCGTCATCAACATCCTCTCAAACATCTCAGCGAACCTGCACGCCCACATCTCGAAGACATTCGCTTCGCAGCCTCCGCACGTCCTGGACGCGAAACTCCGACCAGCCACAGTCTTCGCTGGCTTGTTGTACCGGTTAATACGAGTCAATCAGTCTGCCCACGCCGCCGCAAACCTCCTCACGATCGACCAAAATCGCGAACAGATGTGGCGCGAATGGAGTTCTATGGTGAATCCAAAACGCGTCATGGAAGCCGAGCTGCCAGCCTGCGGCTTCGAAGAGGTCTACCAGCTCCTGACATCTGAAATGCGCAACCTCCTCGAACCGCTCCAAGCTCCTCACTACAACGACGATCCTTATAGCTTTCAGCTCAACTTCGACGAGAACGGATCGTTCGCGAACTACCTGCAATCGCACAACATGCAGCAACCCGGCTCTCGCAATGGTGCTTCGGCGGTCTCGACGGAGAATGTGCTGGATCGTTGGTCTGCCTTCATCACTTCACTACCTGCTCGGTTTCCTAACGCCTCAGCGCGCACGCTGCTGCATTGTGTCTCCGTGATCGGTACGGCTGCACTGCGGGATATCACCATCATGAACGGCGCGAGCTATGGGCATTGGTGGGTTCTGAAGATCTTCGTGGATGAGATGGCGCTCTGGCTCGCGGAAATGGGCGGCTTCCTGGACCCTGCTGTCGACGAGATGGTACCTACACCCAACGGCAGCGGATCGATGTACCACAGTCCCATCCTCCACGAAGGCAGCGAAATGCACAGCCAAAACGGCAACACCAACGGCGGCAGTCGCGGCGCGAGTATGGGCGCTGAAGCCCACCACGCCATGCAACACAACCACAACGGCGGCATGCCACACCACGCCCCCGACAGTGGTATGATGACGTACGGCTACCCTCAGCAATACCACCAGCACCCCCAAGGCATCAGCCTCCCGTTCGCGCCAGCTCCGCATTTGCAACAGCATAAGCCGCATGGTGGGCATGAGATGGCGGGTGGTGGTGGAGATATTGACGATTCGGGCATTGGGATGGAACTCATGGTTTAGCAGACGGGGTTGCCGGTTTCTACAAGGGATGGGTGGGCGTAATGTGGGATGAGCGGGATGAGCGGGATTATGCTTGGGTTCGGAGGGTATGCGCATGGCGCTGGAAGGACGCAATGAATAATGGGGTGCTCACCGGGGGGCACATGGGTGGGTGGGGTCTGCAGCAGCTGGTTTTGACGTGTTTGGATATCCCTGTTGCGCTTTATGCGGGTTTTTGTTATGTTTGGAGCTGAAGATGGTGCTTGAGATGGAGATGTTTTGATGGGTAGGTTAGTGAGGAAGGAATACAATGTTTGCACATCAGCGCATTCCAAAATGTCATTTTCCAAGCTCTCTGCTTCTGCGTCTTATGACCGGGTATCTAGATCTCTATCCACATGGCTCGCAATGTTGTTGTATGATGGCTACGCAATATCATTCCCATAAACACACGCCGTCCTCGCCCTATCCCTCCCCAACGCCGCATCCCGATCAAACACCCTCCGCTCCGCCACTTCTTCAGGATCCGCTCGTCTCTTCATCCTCCCCACCAACCTCTCCGCGACTTCTGTCGGCACAGCGCCCGCGATACTAACCTCCCTCACCCCCCTCAGCTGCCCGAAAGGCTCTAGCATCTCCTCCACATCCTCGTTCATCTTGCCTTCCTCGTCCCGCTGCCGGACGGCGTCGCTCTTGAGGGAGTCTACGACTGCGCTGCCGTTCGAGACGCGGATGGAGAGTTTCGCCAACCTCCGCTCCCGCGCCTCCTCGCTTTCCCAATGATCCCCGCTCTGTGATGAATTTGCCCGCAAAGCATCCACCAACACCCCAATCTTCTCCCTTAGCCCGACCGCTAAGCCCCGACCTTGCACGTTGAATTTGATCATCCCCATGTACGGATCTACGTGATCGACGTGTACGACGACCTTCTTCACCAGCATCAGATACCTTTCCGGCATTAACTCAATGAACCCGTAGCTCCGCGAGGGCGCGAGACCGGAGGGTAAGAGCCAGCGGAACCGGAACTTGATCCCGCTGTACGTCACGAACAGCAAAAAGGTGTTGCTGCCGTAGAGCAGGTCGGCGCATTCACGGTGCAACTGCCGATTCACGGCAAGGAGGGAAGTGGTCCCGCGCTGCCAGACGATATTCGCGACCCCGTTATTCCCGCCTCCCTCTCCACCTCCACTTCCCTGCTGCGGCTGCGCAGCAGCGCACGAGGTCGAAGGCACTACCATCCCCTTCGCCTGCCGCTTCTTCACCGCGGAGAAGTTCCTCGCATGGCTGGTCAGCAGCCCGGAATCCCGGAACTCGCGCGTGTAGGGGAGGCAGTACCGCAGGATCTGTTGCCGCAGCTCGAGGGGCAGGCGGAGGAGGGGGAATTTGGGGCGTTGGGAGGCGGGGCTGCGCGAGCGGGCTTCGAGTTCGGTGAAGGATTCGTGGCGGGGGAGGGAGGGGGTGAGGGTGGTGGGGGCGAAGTGGGGGGTGATGTGGTAGTCGCGGCAGTTGTAGTGGCCGTAGTCCATACTGGGAGAGGGGGCCTGACCGGCGGAGGATGGCTCGGGAGGGTAGGAGGGGTGGGGATGGGAGACATATCGTCTTGATAATGAGTTGCCTTGTTGGGGTTAGGGTGTCGGAGCGGAGTGAAAGCTCCGGTGGTCACCCCATCTCTCTCCAACGTCTGCGACTCCTATCATCCTGTCTCCTCACCACGCAGTCATGAACGAACGACACGACGACAGCCCTCATGGGCTGGCAAACTTGCCGATCTCATCCAGCAATGGATGCCCTCTTCTCAAATATAGCCCCAACGGAGGGGTGTACGCTATTTAGCCCTCCGGCCACCACCTGGACGGCTTTTGGTCGTTCAGCGTTCGTTCCATTCATACTCTACCACCGGAGAGGAAGCAAGATTGAAAAAGCGAGTTGAGAAGAGTGCCAGATTGCCAGCAGAAAGAAGTACGAAGAAGTAAACCCCTCAAAACCAGAAGAATACCAAACGACATGGCTCTCGAGTACCTGCCCACCGAGATCATTACGCAGATCTTCCTCTCTCTACCGGACATCCGCTCGGCAGCCGCCCTATCCGCCACCTCCCACCGCTTCCACAGCGTCTTCCATTCACCGCAAAACCTCGTTATCCTGAGCTCGACCGCTGAAGCAGAGTTCGGGCCGCTTGACGAGATCATTCAGCTCGTCACCCACAACGCCTCCCAACCGGCCCACATCCGCCGTAAGGTCCCACTATCAACGGCCTTGATCAAGCAAGTCGTACAAGTCGGTCGCGTCGCCCAGCGTTGGGAAGAAACCTACCCTTTCAAGAAATGGAAGTCCGACTTCGCCTCCCGCCGCCTCCTCACAACGGACGAGCGCTACCGCGTCCGCCGAGCAGTCTACCGCCTCTGGCTCTTCAGCAGAGCCTTCCACAACGCCTCCAACATCCGCACCTGCCGCAGCATTCCCTCTGTTGTCTCAACGCGTGCCGCTTTACTTCACAACTTCTCCCTACGCGAGCTGGCGGAGATGTACGACGTCCACCAGATCATGCGCGAGGTCATGCGGACCAATATTTGTCCCTCCAACGGCCGCATGCGCGTCAAGTACCAGTCACGATATCCCGACCAGCCGCACGGGTTGATGTTTAACATCCATCTCAATTATCCTCCCGCACCCTCGTCCTTCATTCCGGAATCCTGGTTCCACAATTCTCCCACCGCGAACCTGAACTCCCGCCACCACCAGCCGTCCCGCTGGCTGGACCCAGGCGCCGAGGGCTGGGGCGACGATATCACTCACTACTACGTCGTGGAAGACATGCTGAAGCTGGACCCAGAGCAGATCCTGCATCTGCGAGACCATTGTCCGTTGAAAGCGCAGGTGGAGGCTTACGTTAAGGAGGTCGCCGGGGAGTGGTTCATCAACAACGGGGAGACTTTCAACGAGACGTTGGCGCATGTGGTGCGGCAGAGGGGGGGGGAGATGGAGGAGTTGGGCGCGGCGGTTGAGGAGGGGGAGATGGGAGTTGCGGGAGCGGAGTAGAGTGTTGTTGGTGGGGAAGGGTAGTAACAGACTGTATGTATGCATTATTCGAAGGATCTTTTTGAGTGCAATCAATCATCAATCAGGGGTCGTCCAAAGCCAAAGTCATCGAGGGAATCGAAGAGGCGAGAAGGAAACAGGTGCAGTTGCATCCAATTCTACCGGTTTTGAGGTCTGGTTGTAACCCTCATCGTCAGTTCCTCCCCTTATGGACTTCGAGGTTTAGTTGTAGTCGTCGAGATCGTAGCCTCTCCTTGGGGGCTTGGAGGTCTGTTTGTAGTCATCGGTATCGTAGCTGCCCTTCGTAGGCTTAGAGACCTCGTTGTAGTCATAATCGTCATAGGTGTACCTCTTGGGAGACGTCGAAACCTGGTTGTAGTATTGATCATAAGCCTTCTTGTCCATGGACTTGGAGGTCTGATTATGGTCGGCTTCGTTGCCCTCGTATTGATACCGCTTGGGAGAGGTCGAGTCCTGGTACTTGTACGCTCTGTCGTAAGCGTTGGCTGCTCCGATCGTGAAGTAATAAGGGGTCGTCTCCCAGCCCCGGTATCTCTGCGCCTCCTTCGGTGAATTGTTGTATTGTTCGGATGCCGTCCCCAGGAACAGGTCACGATTTGTCGGTTTGGGGTGCAACTGGTTGTCGGCACGACGGCTGTAGTACAGATTTCCAGATCGCGCTTCATGGCCTTTGCGGCGAAGGCGTTCAGCATCGGCCTGCAGTCTTTGATCACCCGCTCTTCGCCGCCTTGTCGGCTCGCTTTTTATTTCTGTTCGGTGCTGCTTGGAGTGTGAGCTACCCATTGCGATAAGACGAAGGAACAGATTCTTGGACCATCACGCGAAGCTGGTGCGCAGCGTTACGGAACCTACGAGTTCTTGTTATGTCTTGCTGCGTTCCAGACAGGATTGTAGATGTGTTCTGGGCGGTGCTGCTGCTGCGGCGGGTCGATGGGCTGATGGCCTCATTAGACACATCACACCACACTCATGCAGCCAAGGTGGTGGTGTGATCTTGCTGCAGGAGCCGTACGATGGGAATGGGAGAATAGTACTTGAAGGTATGGAGGCTGTGGCTCGCTCACTTTTCATACCCTCAGGTACAGAGTAGAGCTGCTTTCGACTTCACCTTGTCATGATGGGAAACTAAGCAGCTGCTCCCCAGTACAAGGCAGCAGCTACAAGCAGAGAAGCGTGATAGCCAAATGAATGCATACACGTAGCTTTACTGTCCGCATTGCCATAGGATTGGATCTTTCAGTCTTGGGCTCTAGTCGTTCAGGTCCCTTCAACGTCCTCACTCATCATCTCGTCAGTCGTGTGGCGTTCGATCGTCGCTCATGTCCTCGATCATCGCCAGACCGGCTGCGACACTTGCATGTCGTATCCTGTGGCTCTTTGGTAGGGAGAAGAGAATTGATTGCCGCTACCGGAAGCTTCACGCACGTAAACAGAGTACGACTGCTGGTCGGCGTTTCCACTGCTTGCCGGGATTCCTTCGGAGAACTGGTTGGCGGTGTCTCGACGACTGGTGGCGCGGACAGTCGATGACCTCTGGTTGCCGAATCTTGAGGTATTCTGATCCGAATGTCGTCGCGGTGGCGAGCTCCGCTGGCGGGGAGGCAGAGCGTTATAAGGCCCCTCATCCCTTTGCTCGCTGGATGGAGAGCAACCCATTGAAGCGTGTCGGAATTTATAGGTATGAGCACTTCGTCTGGACGATACACGAAGCTGCTGGACACGGACGTTGGGGTTGAGGTCGCTCACGCGTCTTCCCTTATGGCATGGGGCCTCGCAGGAAGGCCATCTCAGCCTTGTCAGGCTATAGCAGGCGATGCTGATGTGCTGGCACCATGTACTGTATAAACCCCTTCGGTTAGATGCCTCAGAAGGCTCATCAGATTGCCATTATGGCCTTAGGTGGCGCAGTCTAATGCATGCAGCCTGATGCTCAGCTCCCAGCCGTGCCGTGATACCCACGCAGCAAGTGATGCGAACTACTGAACATGGTATAGCATAAGAAGCAGAAAGCGCAAAGTTGAAAAGTTGATCAAGTATGACACTGCCGTCCAATTCTCGTCGTCCCAACCCGGCGCCGTCGTCCCCTGTCCCGTCAGCCAAGTCGCCTTCATCCATTGCTCACGTTGTTCGTCATCGCCTGTATGGCTGCGACACTTGGTTTTCATAGCCAGTGTAACCAGGCGTGGCTCTTTGGTATGGGGCAGAGACCTGATTGTTGCCACTGTAAGGGTTGGGCGCCCGTGGTTGCGACACTTGGTAGGCGTTCCCACTGCTACGTCGAACTCCAGTCGAGACCTGGTTTTGGGTGTCGTGGCGGCTGTACGCTTGCTTCTGCGACACCTGGTTGTTGTAGGGTCTCGACTCCTCCGGGCGCCAATAGGCCGCCGAAGATGGCACAGGTGGATCGGCTTGAGTCGAATATCGTGGCGTTGACGGACTCCGGTAATCAGAGGGGGCTCGGCCATACGGATAGGGCTCGTAGGGTTCGGCGTAGTAGTGATATGGTTGTGGTTGTGGTTGTCGATATCTAGCGTTTTCGTATGGCTCCACATCCGGCACCTGGAATGCTCTCCGTGCATCCTCCTCATACATTTGCTGAGTCGAGGGATAGCAACCCATCGCGGCGTGGTGAAGCGTGCGATGCTTCGACTCCTCCTGAACTGACACGCAGAGCTGTCAGTCGCCTGCGTTGAGATCGAGGTCGCCATCGCACAATTGTAGCTTGCAGACTTGTAGGAAGAGCGTCTGGGCAACGCAAGGCTATTTCAGACCATGCAGCTGTGCTATATTGCGCCGAGTCCTTCGGTTAGACAGATGGCCTTGGGTGGCGCATTTTAATGCATGCCCACCTCAGCTGTCAGTCTGTGCCGTGATAAGGCTACGCGAGCTGAGATGGAACTAACATGGTCACGAAGTAGAAGCAAGATCCAGAAGTCGGCAATGTTGATAAAGTATGAGGGAGAATGAACCCGCCGCCGACCGCACACGGGTCGGGGTCTTTCGATGAGCACACCCTAGATGAAGGCTGTTCAGCGATCAGATTCGCAGAGGCCACAGCGAAAACTCTTGATCTGTACATCTTCGCGGTCAGTCTCTCCAAGTGGCGAGCAATGAACATGTACTGACTACTGACCAGAGTGGTTCAACCGATGTGTTCGAAAGTGAGATAGCAGATGACAATGCTCTTCAAGCATGGATCAAACAAGGGGGAGTCTACGACCGAGCCACAAGCAGAGGGCCTGTTGCTGCCGGGCTTCGACTCCTCTGCCTCCTTGACCATAAGCCGTCTGGCTTCAAGTTGAAGCCTGAAGTGCTCAAATCGATGATCAAGTCCTTGGGCTTGCCGCAAAGCTACCCAACCGACTCGGTGTCTGTAAGGGTAAATGGAAGGCAATATGTGACCGATCCATCATCAACAACGACCTCTCAAGCGAAGGACATCAGTGAGCTCCTCAGACCATATCAGATCTACGTAGCCCTGACTTCTCCCAGCTATGTACTTCATCTCTCCCTCCTTCCGAGACAACGAGATGGACCTGGCCCTATCATACAGCTCCACCACCCGAATCACCCACGGCGTTCTCGTGATGAAGGCTGCTCCCCACAGCCCACTCCAAACCATCCTCACAACCCTCCGCCGGTCTCCTGCACTCAGCTGCCACCCACTGCTCCTCCCAGCTCTCGCTTGTAACGCCTGGATCGAGATAACCAGTGACCAGTACTGCGGCGTACACGAAGGCATCCGCGAAGTGCAACGTACGAATGACCTGATGCCTACTTACTTCCTGGGCGAGAAACAGGACCGTGGAAAAGACTACCAGCACATCGACCAGTCAACCGTACAGGAGAAGCACAGACTTACCCACGAGAGGATTGTGCAGCAGCATAATTATCTGCTCAATGGACTTTCGTACTTCGTCAAGGATTTTGTCGATGCATTGGAGGGCGCAATGAACCATCCGGCGCTGCTGCAAGTGGAAGACGGTAAGAGGGAGGAGATGCAGAGGTACATAGAGCGGCTGGAAAGGAAGATGAGAGTCGGTATGAACTTCCGGGAGAGGTTGTTCGGAAAGCTTGAGATGCAGGTGCAGGCGGTAAATCCTCTCCTCGCCACGAGGCGTGAAGTCCTGCTGACATGAAGCTAGCTGTACACTCTGATGCAGCAGCACGACAGTCGTACCAACATCGAGATCGCAACACAGACGAAGCGGGATAGCTCAGCGATGAAGACGCTTTCGCTCGTGTCCGTCATCTTCTTGCCGCTCACAGCGGTAGCGGTACGTGGTTCTCGAGGACAGCTCTTGTTGTGATGCTCACGTTTGTCTTTAGTCTGTATTCAGCATGGACCCGTTCGTGTCGAGAGATGCTTCCGAAGGCTCCCGGGTCATAGTATCTTCGCAATTTTGGATCTACTGGGCTGTCGTCATCCCGCTCACGTCGATGATATTGTGCGCTTGGGTCGTTTGGATCAACCGGGAGCAGTTGCTCAGTCGTAGAAAGGTCGGGTCGCGGAAGCAGCAGCAGCCTATCAGTGATAAGAAGGTCTGAGTACGAAGGAATGCATTCTAAGTCTTGAGTGTCTTGACTGTCTATATTGACGAGTCGAATATCGTTGTTCGACTTAGCAACCGGTCTCATTTAAAAGCAGCACAATACATGTCGTGCTGAGCTAGATGTGCAGCCATCTGCTACTTGTCACTGCGGAGAGGTCAGTATGTGCACCAGGGCTCATGACCAGTCGCTTCTTACCTCCACTTTGCTATCTCGCATTTCCTGCCTCCACATCTCTACAGGTAGCGACTCTCTGCCGAGCCACTTTTGGACAGCGGGCCTCAGAAGAGCCTCACATTTGAGCAATCACTTTAGCCAGCGCGCATTCTTGTTCCTTCTTAGTCCTTCTCGCCCATCCCGTAGTCCTCCATCACAGTCGCCACCCTCACACCTCTACTTTCCGCAATCAACCCCATCAGACCTTGCCCGATGTCCTTGATCTCGTTGTACTTGTGCAACAGCGAGATGTGCTCCTTGATCGTCACATTAGCAGACGCGAGCGCTGACTTGGTCTTCTCGTCTTCGGCCCAGGAGTCTGGCATTGCAAGTCCAGATGGTAGTTTAGACTGGGAGACCAGAGCAGCGCGTTGATCCTGTAGGGCTAAGAGTTTTGCTTCGAGGTCTACTTTCTTGGCTGCTAGAGCTTGGAGTCGGGGGTTGGACGGTGGTGAGGCTTCAACTGGATCACTGTGAATGCCTGGGACTGGGGCCACCGCCTCATTCTGGGACGGTGGGCCTGGCGAGCTGCGCGATCGTCTGTCTGATGACGGTGGTGGCATACTTGTTGCAGGTCCATCTGTGCGCGTAGGTGAGTCTTGTGAGGCTGAGGCCATTGCGCCGTTTGGTTGGCGAGAACTACTGCGGCCGCAGCGTAGATAATTTGGATCGTATGTCTCTTCTCGATCAGCTTCCCTCGACATGTGATGGACGTTGTCCTTATGATATGGGTTAAGAACGCGTGAGCGCGTGCAATCATGGAGTGAGGTTGGAATCAGGGTCTTTAGCGCGACGCTAGCATCTCAGTGAGTCTCCCGCAAAGTCCGCCTCCCTCATCTTCAACTCCTTGACGCCGCTCGGGAACGCACCACCACAACCATGCCAACCTTCCGGACAAGACCTACGATTGCCCTCGCCATACTCGCCTCCCTCACTCACACCGTCTCCGCGCATGGAGGCCATGACCACATCCCCGAAGGCAAGGTCATCAGCGCTGAGCCCATCGATACAACACTCTGGATCCATATCTTAATACAATGCACGGCATGGGGCATCATCATGCCTACGGGAATGGTGCTCGGCTTGATCCGCTCGCGATGGCATGTGCCTACCCAGGTCCTTGGGGCGTTAATAGCGATACCAGGCTACTTCATGGGGCACATGCACAAGGGACGACAGTTTGGGAAGAACGCTCATGCTGGCTTCGCGAACTGGCTGATGTTGATGTTGATCGTTCAGTTGAGCATGGGCGTGATACTAAAGCTACACATTGAGCGAGGGTTTCTAGGAAGAGTACGGGGCTGGGTGGTAAAGGGCCATGGATTCCTTGGATGTGCTATGCCTATCGCGACATGGGTGCAATTCGTGTTTGGTGGCATCGCGGCACAAGGCTTCTGTCAAGGCGAACATACCGGACAATGCGCAGCTCATTTCATCATGGGCTCGGCTTTCATCGCCTACGGGATCGTGCTCACGACCCTTCTGCTGAACGGACAAGCGCTTCTGGCACGCTCGGGCAGAAGTCAGGAGTTCTTCGACAGCCTGGTCATCAGCTTGTGGGGCTGCGTCAACACCTTTACAGAACACCGATGGGGTCACGCGTGGGTGAAGAACGACTTCCAACACACGAGCATGGGCGTCATCTGGTGGGCGGCAGGTTTGGTAGGCGTATGGCTCTCGCGCGACCGCGCCGGACGTCCAAGGCGTAATTTGATCCCTGGCATCGTTATCATCATGACTGGATGGGGCATGTCCGGACATCCACAAGATCTGCATCTCTCGACAGAGGTCCACAAGACTTTCGGCTACACTCTGATGCTAGCCGGTCTCACCAGGATCATCGAGATCTCATTCGTTCTCAAAGACAAGAACACCCTCATTGGACCTGAAGGTGGAGACGTGGACGAGGAGATCCACAGCTTTCAATACATTCCAGTCTACCTGCTCTACGCATCTGGCTTCCTCTTCATGGGCGCCACCGAAGAGCAGATGGCGGTGCTCAGCGCGGCTAACGTGACGCACGTTAGCTACATTCTTATTCTGTTTAGCATGGCGTTTCTGCTATTCTTCTGTAAGCGCTGTCCACCCACTACACCTACGGACTTTGACTAACGTTTCACAGTCGTTCTCATGCTACTCCATCTGTACTCCGCGCACATGGATCCGAACAAAGCCAACAAGCCGTCGAAACTCAATGGCACAAACGGGCCTTCACGAGCCTTGCCAAACGGTCACGCGAGAGGCCACAGCGCAGCAGAAAGGCAGCTGAGGGATGTACAGGAGTTTGAGCTTGAAGCACTTATGAGTGATGAGGAGGACGCGGAAAGCGTGAAGATGAATGGAAGACATGGTTGAGAATGGGAAGGTCCTTGTTTCTTGCTTGCGTTCGAGCCGTCTGTACAAACCTGGGTGCACTGGTCAGGCGTTACGAAATGGCCACTTGTCTTGTGTATATTATCTCATCGTTCATGAAACGTACCGTCCAGCTGGACGCTCGTGGCGCTGTATCTCCGATTATCTCTGATCACGTGTTTGTGTGTCCAATGCGGTTAGCGTACCGGCGGGAGAGCCTCACTCCTTTACAAAACATCGCTTCTGATCGTCTTGTCCTAACGGGCATCAACCGACTGACACTTCGACAGACGACGGATCAGCCGCCAACACTGGCCCCTTCTAATAGGTACAAGCTTCGGACCATTTTCTAGGGACACGCCTTACAGGAATGTGGCAGTGCCTGCAGGCTAATGCAAGCTTTGGAACTACCAGGCCAGGCGAGCGAGGGAGGAACGCTGGACAGAAGACGAGGACTTTGAAAGAAACGTAAACCAGCCCCGATGATGGACTGTCTTCATATGGCCAGATTGCCGACGAGGACATTTGAATATCAAGCCTTTTTTTTGGAGAAGGCCTGGATTCTCGTCTACTGCCAGGCGGTTATGCTGCAGTATGCATTGCTCCCGACAAGGTATAGCTCTATGCAGGCTTCTCGAAACGACGCAGTCATGCGGGTGATTCTGCGAACCTCCAGTAGCCTCACCGGAATCGGGAACTTGCGCCACCACGGAAGATCGTGGTGGTGTCGTGACTGTCCTGACTCCGACAGGTAGGTACTTGCTTACGAGCTTGTGAGGTATCCTCTCTCTCCATCTGCCTCTTCTCTATTTCCCACTCTTCACGAAGCGAACTACACTTGTGATGGCTTTCGGATGCGGAGTGGGCGACATCATCCAAGTAACGCGGCTGCTCTCGAATATCACCAGGTCTTTCAAAAACGCGCCCTCCGACTTCCAGGAAGCTGAAGAGACAGTGACCAACCTTGATCTCCTCTTTGCGTCCATCAAAAGTGAGGTCGACAAGCCGGACTCAGTTTTCACCCGGGACCCAGCGTCCGGCGAGCGATTCGAAGCGCTCACGCGATCGTGCATCTCATCCTTGAACAGATTAGACGATCTACTTGCCAAGCACCAGAGCTTGGGGAGCGATCACATCAAAGTCCTCGACCGGTTGAGGTTCTCCAAGAAAGACGTTGTCGAGATACAACGAGAGCTGCAATTTCGACATGCTACTCTCGCCGCGTTTCTCGAGACGCTAGGACTGGGCGGCGTGGGGCGGATAGAGAATAAAGTTGATGGCCTTGCACAGCAACAGGATAAGATCATCGAAGCTATTGACAAGATCGCACTGCAAGCGAGCACACGGCTTGAGACGGCATCAGTGTTCTCGAACCACAGCAGCGATGACAAGGCTGTGTGGCGACAGCTGCGGCGCGACTTGAACGGGGCTGGCTTCAAGTCGTCTGATCTAGAGAGGCATAAACCTCTCATACATCAGAAGCTGATGGAGCTGCAAACCTCAGGTATGATCGAGTGGCACGCTCCGGACGGTGACGATGATAACAAAAGCGAAATGTCTGTAACCTGGATTGGACGAACAAAGAATAACTACCGGCCTCCAACGGCGGAGACGGTGTATGAAGACTCGGACGAGGAGGACAACTACACTCATCGCCAGTTCAGAGATTCGATGGACCCGCTGTTCGAGGAGGAAGAGGAAGACATTTTGCACCGACCTGGCGTTCAAAGCGAGAAGAACAGGACCTCGAACGGAAGGCCACCTCCATATCAAGCTTCTACGACGGGCCCCACGCTTCAGATACCCATCCCAGTACCACATCGAGCATCGCGGTCAGCGGGAAATTCTCCACAGTCGAGTCCAAATGCATTCGCGCCAGTGCATCCTGGCTTTGGAGGCAGCTCGCCTCGACAGAGGAGACCAGGCTTTCAGCCACTATCGCGATATGGTAGCTCGCCACGCGCTGCCACGCAAGCCATGCCACGAGCGGCACGGCAGCAATCCGACCGCCCTGGTAGCTCTGGCAGTGGTCGTGGCGATGAAGGACTGCGTGTTGGGAGGCGTTCCGCTCCGAATATGATCTGGCGTTATCGCCGACCTGCGGACATCCAACGGCCTCCCATGCAGTCTGCCGATCTAGGAGATGGTACCCTGCCGAAAGCTGCCTCTGAGGGGAAGACGTCAGATGCACAACGTCTCCTCATGCAAGGCTACAACATTGAGTCTACGGGCTCAAGAGCAGTAACCGAAAACACTGCCTTCGAGAACACAACCGCCCTTTTCCGAGCAGCTCGAAATGGACACTTTGAAACCGCACACATGCTTCTCCGCCACGGAGCTAACCCAAACGTATACAAAGCCGACGGCAAGGGCTTGCTGCGTCTCCTGGTCAGCGATGGTAATACAGAAATGGTGCGACTGCTACTGGAGTACGGTGCCCATCACGAGAAACAGGGTGCTCTACCTCAAGCAGCTCTATTCGGGTATCTCAGTATCGTTCAGCTATTGCTGAATTATGGCATCGACATCAACGAAGTCGAGAAGCAGACAGCGCTCTTTCGGGCCTCGTCAAACGGCTATTCAGACATCGTGGATCTCTTGCTTCGAGAAGGAGCCGACACTGGCTTCGTGGCGCCTTCTGGAGCCAGTGCGCTCTACAAAGCCGTCGTCAAGGACCACTACAAATGCGTCAGAGCACTACTTCTGTACGGAGCTCGTCCAGAAGTTGGTTGCGGACAGGACGGCGAGACAGCACTATCCACTGCTTGCGCTATTGGCCACGAGCCAACCGTCCGTCTCCTCCTCCAACGCGGTGCTAGGCCAAATGATCTGTGGTTCCGCCGATACCAATCTGCCGTTCAAAGACGAGATGGATTGGTTGAGGAGTGGTTTGCCGACGGTTCGCTGTTTGCAGCCGCACGGGTAGGAAGGGTGAACATCACGAGGCTGCTGATAGACTATGGTGCGGACGTGCACGCGAGGACGCACTTCGGCCAGACAGCGATCGATCTCGCATTCCAGAATGGCTATCTACCTCTAGTAGACATGCTACACGCAGCCGGGGCACGTCTAAGTCCAGAGACGATCGAAGCAGCGGAGAAGCGAGATGCATGGGAGCGGAGACGGGAGGATCAGAGGTACAAAGACGATCCGAGAAGGCCACGACATTACAGCACCAACGGCGTCGATCTCGAGCGCGGCGAGGGGAGAGCAGGAGATTCACAAGATCAGCGGTTGCAGATGTCAGAGTTCAAGCGGAGGAGCAAGAGCTCAACTACTGTTCGGCAGAGTACACGGGCAAAGGGCAGCTCCGCCGGGGGAGGGCTCAAAGTTGCTACTGCTGCTACCACGGGGATGTTGCTGCTGGATAGTTTGATGTTGCTTGGGGGTTAGAAGGACGCCAGTTTCGCAAGGAGGTCTTAGTCTGACATGAGTTCATCTCCAAGACACATATAGCTGGAAGGCAGTATTCTGTAGAAATATACCCTCTTCTGTACCGCTACGGTTTTGGAGACGAGCCTCCCTTGATCCTTGCCAGGACCTGACCTCCACTGTGGAACAGAACGTCCATTCTAGTGCCGTGTCGTGTTTTTCGACACCCCGTCGCTTGCTGAGCAGGACGTTGGCCGTCTCTCTCCCGCTCAACGGTGTTTAGAACAGGTTGACCGCGACGTGGGTACTTCTCCGAGACAGGTGTCTATGAAACACAGTCGCCTGTTGCATTATATCGTGACCACACGGCGTTGGTCTTGGAGAACCATCATCCAATCTGAGCTTTATACTTTGGCGTTGCACTTGGGGGCTCGCAATCCGAGCGCATGTAGCGGTCTCCCAGAACCCATTGGTCCTAAGTTATCGAGCAGTCTGCTTGAGTCTCTTCAAGCTGTCGTTTGCTTCGAGCACAGTCCAACCCAGTATCCACCTCCGGTAGCCTACAGGGCGGACCTAGACTTTCCATACCATTCCTGAACTTTTGCCACCAGTATTCAAAGGAAGTGGAAGTGGACAAGACACATGTCAGATGAGTTTCGTTAGTATTCACGACTGTACTAAACTGCAGCAAGCTAGCTCGTAGGCCTGCTTATGGGGTATCTCTGTAAAAGCAACCATTCCCTCCATCGCTCCCACTTCTCAAAACGCCATGAACACCCTTCGCATACTGGAGAACACTACTTCGCAAACGGCGACCCACCCATGCTCGCACCAGCAAAAGTCGACGCCGGTGGCTGCAACGCCGCGCTGACGCGCGGTACCGGCTGTGTAGCAGAAGGCCCGGCCATTCCAGCTATCGGCGGCATCGTCGAAAGCAACGCCTTCTTCCCCCTCGGCCTCTTCTTGCCCATCGCAATCTCCTCATTCACCTCCTTCAGTTCCTGCTCGTCCAGCGGCGCGTCCATAGCATCCTCGTGCAACGTCTCCATCGTCTTAATTGCCCTGATGAGCGTATCAATCTTCCCAGGCTCTTCAAGCCCGTCCCCGTGTCGGAGAAGCAACTTATCGAGCACCTCCGGATCGTTGCCAAACTCCGCGTTGAGCGGCTCCTGCGGCACCTCTCGCGGCTCATAGAAGTAGTCTTTGGCGTTCCTCTCTGCGTTGCGGCGGGGATTCTTCTTGTCGACTACACGCTGGGCTAGCGATGTCTTGAACATCTGCATGTTGTAAAGGTTGCTCTCGAATGTCCCACCAGCAACGAATCGATACACGAAGACGGGTTTGGTCTGGCCGAGGCGGTACGCGCGACCAACCGCCTGCTCTTCGTGGGTCGGATTGAAGAGGAAGTCCATGATGAAGACTCGGTTCGCGGCGTGGATGTTCAAACCGACACCTCCGGCTTTCGTGGAGATGAGCATGATGTCGAAATCGCCCTTGTGGAAGTTCTCTATCAGGCGTGTGCGTGTGGGCATTGTGGTCCTGCCGTCAATGCGGCCGAAGTCGCCGAGTTCGCGTTTGCGCGTATCCAACAGCCGTCCCACGTAGTCGAGCGTGAGAATACTGGACGAGAAGATCAATACCTTGTCTCCACATTCGAGAGAATAACTCAAAAGCGTCATGAAGATGGACATCTTTGCAGATATCTCCGGGTTGATGTCATCGTCGAAGCTGTCCAGTATGCTGTTGATCGTCTGCTGAGAGAGCCCGAGTGTGTAAACGTCCTGTTCATGAGGGTCAGACTCCGATTCCGCATCCTTCGGTGAAGCAACCGCGAAAGGCGTCGCGGCTCCGCTCTCTGTCAGTGGAACGTTAGAGTCATCAGGATCCAACACCTCTGTGTCTTCGTCGCCATGCGCGTCGACTTTATCGCGAGGCATATCCACTTCGTCCTTGCCTGCTTTGCTCTTCTTCTTCTTTGGCGGCTGCAAGAGCTTGTGACGGAACGCATTCGGATGATTCGTGATCAAGCTCAAAACTCCAAGACGACCGAAGAACATAAACTGGCTGACCTCGTCCTCGCCCTTATCCTTGTTGACCAGGGCATTGACTGTCGTCTTGTAGAGTTCCCTCTGCAATTCGCTCAAGGGCACCGTGATGACGTATTCGGTCTTCGGCTTCAAGCTTCCACGGAGCACTTCAATTGTCGCGCGATGCACCTTTGGTTGTACTTCAGCGTGGAGGACCTGTAGTGATGAATAGAAAGGTCAGCAGGTATCTCCGAGAGGGTACTGGAATGAAAGAGGCCCAGGCCAACCCATGACAAGTCATCGCCTTTTGGAGAAGCCTTTCGCCCGTTAGTTTGACGTACCCTGAGTTTCACGAGGCTCCTCCGTTTCTCGGTCGAGGTGCTGGTGGCAAACGTCCCTTGGACGATAGGCTCGGCAAAGTGACTTTTGAACTCGATGTGGTTTCCCAAGAAGCCGGGAGCGATGAAGTCGATGAGTGAGAAGACCTCGCCCACTTCGTTGCTCAGTGGTGTACCCGTCAAGCCAATTCGACTTTCAGTTTTCAGCTTCCTGGCGGCTTTCGAAATACCCGTGCGCTCATCCTTGAGTTTGTGGACCTCGTCGACAACCACAATCTCAGGACCCTGGGTCAGTAGCTCTTGCACTCGCACGCTCTCGTCATCCATAGCCAGCGTGGAAGTTCTGGCCTTCACAGACTTCTTGCCGGCTACCATAGTGGTGAAAATGGTTGTACCAACGAGAACCACACCACCGTGCACCTTCCAGTCTTCCAGCTGTCGCACATTGGATTCCATAGCTTTGGACGCCCCTGACTCAATAATGTAGACATCACCAAGCTGACCTCTGGCCCACTCCCCCACCTCGCGGCGCCAGTTGGCCATCAGAGAGGCAGGGCAGAGAATCAGAGTGCGGAGATACCGGTCTCGCATCGATCTGCGGCGCAAATGCTTGGGCAGCTGAGATCGGATTTCTTTGTTGTCCGAACGGGCACATTCGTTGGCCGTAACCAGCAGCGTAATGGCCTGCATCGTCTTGCCCAAACCCATTGTGTGGGCAAGCATGCAGCCTTGTGCGCCATCATCCTCCTCCTCTCCAGTAGCCGTTATTTCCCTCCACAGGAAGCGAACACCGTCAATCTGATGAGGCTTCATCCGCCGAGCGATGAACTGTGGTATGAAGATAGGAACGGCATCCTCGTCTCGGACTGGGTTGATCTCGATCTCGACAGGAGCAGAGTCACTTCCTATCATGGAAAGCAGGCGAGCTGGGTCTGTTGTCTGAGACTCGTCGAAACGGCGCTGGCGTTCTGCAGCCACACCACGTCTTTGCTTTGCACTGGCATCGATCTTGACCTCGCGCTTCCGCTTCTTGTGGGGTGTGAGGTGCTTCGCCGACAGTCCATCGACCGGTCGCTCGTCGCTCGAGGATATTATCACTGGAGCTGACGAGCTACCGATCTTGGACGAGGTCGACTTCGTGGCACTTCTCTGCGCCGGACTGGGTTTCGAAGGGCTGACGAGGGTCCTCTTCGTGAAGCATCTGCGCAGCATATTGGAGAACAAACCGGCCTGCACCGGGTCGAACAGGACTTCGAAGTCGTTGTCTGGGAGAGCAGCCACTGCGTCCTGGTCTTTGTCCAGAAACATCCAGCGTATATAGAGCTCACGGGCATGGTCAAGGACGTCGCTATGATCCAAGTCAAGCGGCTCATTCGAGCGAAATGCCTTACAAGACTCCACCAGGTCCGCTTTGAAGGTCGGTCCCAGCTTTCGCAACAGATCGTCGAGGCCACGACAAACGTCACCTCCAGTTTTGCGGACAAGGTGTAGCAGTATCCGCTGCCTGTCCTTGTCCCGTGCGAGCTTTTTGAAGTCCCAGGCATCTATCTCCGAGGGCGTAGCATCCATGGCATCGCCAGTAAGCGGTAGAACTTTCTTCGGACGGCCTCGCTTTCTAGGAGAAGACTCAGTCAGATTGGATGGGATGATGCTGGTTCTCCTCCGCAGGCTTCCCACTGGTGCTTTCGGGGTCGAGCTGTGTAGTCTGAACTTGATCAGTTTGGAGGGAGTCACCAGCTCGTCCTCGGAGTCTGGAAGCTGAGAGCCAGGTGTGTAGCTATCGTCCTTGCTACCTGTGTCGAGAGGTGGCGGTGCAGCTTCCGCGCCCGTCAGAGCATCTGTCTCTGAGTACTGGTCATCTCCCGTGAGGTCAGCTCCATTCAGGTCGGCTCCATTCAGGTCGGCTCCAGTCAGGTTGGCTTCATTCAGGTGATCGTCCTCAGTGTCCACTACAAAATCGTCCGCAGAATCTACTGCTCCAATATCGGCACTTGCAGAAGCAGGAGGACTGTTTCCGGGAGTATGGAAATGCTCGTCATCGTCGTCAGCATCGTACATAATCTCTTCAACTTCCTGCTGGTCCTGAACGGGCTGCGATGCCGGGGAGAAACTGAGTCGATCTTCAGGGAGCGGAATTAACTTCGCAGACTGCAAAGACTTCGCTGCGGTAGATGACGGTGGCACGTTCGCACGCCTCCTGGTGACCTGAGCAGCACGATCTGGCTCTTGCCTTTGCTGCCACACCGAGATCTTCCAGCGTGCCATCTCGCGATTCTCGATCGTGCCTTCAAGCATTCCGCACTGTGCGGTTAGACTGCTCTCGCTGAACCAGGTGTCTTTCAACAGCTCGCGCTTCAGCGTATTAAGGTGTTTTGTCAAGTGATCGATCTCGCTCTGCGCACTGGCAATCAGGCTGGCGCGGACCATGCGGCTTTTCTTCATCTGGTTCCAAATTTTCCGCTTGCTTTTCTCTTCCCGCTTCGGCAGCTTGTCTTGCCACTCTGCAATGCTTTTCGCGATGCACTCTTCGACGATCTCAATCTTTCTCTCGTCGGTGATGTTGTCTGCTTCGGCAACTTCCATTGCTTGAGACTCATCGTCACTGCCGGCAATACTCTCCTCCGGCGCCTCTGCTTCAGGGTCATGCTCGTCCATTTCAGCGCCGAATACGGGCAGAACGTCGTCCTCTTGTGCTTTGTGGTTCTCGAGAAGATGCTCCCACTGCCCATTGTTGTCGGCCTCTACTTCCTGGGCATCGGCTGTATCTGGGGCATCCTCTCTGTCAAGCTTCGTAGCTTCCTCTCGCAAAGCTACCGGCGTGTCTCCAGCCTCGGGGAACTGTATGACCATCGCAGAGCGGACTCCCCTGGATTGCGATTCGCGATACGGGAGAATGCCGACAGCAGGCCGCCCATATCTGCGCAAATCCAGGTAGTCGGTGTTGCTCAAGAAGTGTCGCATCTGCCGGTAAACGTGGTGGATTGCTCCTATTGAGCCTGGCTGGGCGAAAAACTGGAAGTTGTCCTCACTGTTTGCGTGGTGTTTAGACGGCAGGTCCGTATCTGGCATCTGACCTCCAAACGGAGTGCCACCGAAGAAGAGCCGTTCGATGCACATTTCAGAATCCTGAAGATAACCGCCGGCGGGCTTAACAGTGTTTAGAACAAGCTTGCGACGCTTCCTGCCCTGCACATCGAGCACCTGTGTCTCGTTTTGCCTGCTCGTAGGAGGGGCAGTGGCCTGGGTGCTCGGTTCCGGTGGCGCAATTCCAGAGTCAGGTTCTCGAGCCGCGGGGTTGTCCAGAAGTGCTCCGGTCAGTGTAGAAGGCACCTCGTTTCGCTTGCGCTCTTGGAGATACCTCTGTGATTCTCGCCTGAGCTTCGTAATACAGCGCATTACCATGCTGCGATGACCCAGCACTCGCACACCACAGTCGTCTCTCAACGTCTCACTGGTCAGGTCGTTGAGCAGAGTGTAGCCCTCAACCTGGTTCTCTTCTAGAGCTGCGAGAAAGGGCTCCATGTCCGGAAGCTTGCCGCGTGGCACATCTGCGATGTACTTGGTGGCATCGTTACGGAAGAAGTTCTGCACGTCGGAAAGGTCCCAGTCGTATGGGTCGTCTGTAGAGGCCATGCTGCCGCAAGTCTGGTGTTGTTCGCAGTGGTTGAGTTCGTGGTTGTCAGGAGGTGTGAGGTGTGGAGTTGCCTTGGACTTGGAGGTGACTTTCGCTAGCGCGCGCGTCACGTGGTTTCGCGTCTCTTCTCGAGAAAAGACGCAAAAGACAACAAATATCGTGCCGTCAAGACTCCTGGTGGTTGACCTTTGACGCAGAGAAGAGTGGTTCGCAGGTTGAAGGTTGATGTGGACAATAAGGCCGTAGGATCTGTTGTTCCAGTGACGTCGCAACAGCAGCAAAAGAGACACACGAGTGACGGACAATTCGAGCGCTGTCGACAGAGGTGCAAATCTCACATTCACGTGAGTTGTGTCAATATATTGCCACGCCTCTCCTCGAGCAGGACGAACTCCCAGAGTTCATCCGATCGCCGTGACGTCCAGAGGCGGTTCATACTCGCAGTGATGACGGAGAACACTTGGAACGCGTCGTGTAGTAGGCGGAGCTTGAGTGATGTTCTGATTCCGTGCAGCTGCACGCGCCGAGCATGTGAAAGCGAAGGTGTGAAGTCGAAGGTAGCTGTCGGCAATATCTCGGCGAAATGTCGTCTGGGTATTGGTAAGCCGACCTCTTCCTCAAAAACACAACGAATTTACAGGTTGTCCTCTCACAAACGATGGCGGCACCACAAGGCAACATGTACCCGGATTACCCCCCGCCCCTCGGTGGCGAGCAGGAGAAGTATCTTCTCAACAGTCTCAAGGACTTCTCGATCGCCCACGGTCTCGCCGTTCGTCCCACGCCATCATATGTATCTCCAGAGACAGATCCCGCAGTGGCACTGGCGACGACCGCGCCGGTGACCTTGTTTCCAAGCCTGTTCCCTCGAGTATGCTTCGAGCAGGCACGGTCGGTCATTGGAGCATACAATGAACTTTACTCTGCCATCGCCAGTGACGAAACCTGGCTGGGAGAGATTATTGGGGAGTAGGTGCTTTCGTCTAGTCTTGTTTACTCTCCTGAGATGCAAAATTTAAAAGACACACATGCGTTACAGGACGTCACCTGCGTCACTGCCTTACATGTGATCTGTCATACTGATCACCGGCATACGTAGACTAATAGAGATCGACGACTTCATGGCCAACTTATGGAACGTTCACATGAAAGTGAAGAAAGAAGGCTACGCCCAAGTGAGACACTATTCACTTCTGATAGAATCTACCAGCTAGCTAACCATAACCTAGACGCTGAATCTAGGTCTCTTTAGGTCAGACTACATGGTGCATGTCGATCCCTCGGAACCCCAACCTTCAGTCAAACAAGTCGAGTTCAACACCATTGCTTCTTCTTTCGGTGGGCTCTCCACTCAAGTGTCGAGCTTACATAAGCACCTGCTGTCCATTGGAGCGTATCCGGAGAGCATATCAAGCATCGTTTCACCTTCCTCAGTACCACCTAGTCCATCGGTCCCAGAGCTTGCCAAGGGTATGGCGAAGGCACATGAAGCTTATGGGAAATCCAGCGGTGGCCTTCAGACCTGTGTCGTCTTCCTCGTTCAGGACCCGGAACGAAACGTCTTCGATCAAAGACACATCGAGTACGCACTTAACGAGAACCATGGCGTGAGAACATTCCGGTTGCCGTTCGGAAGGGTACTGCAGGACACAAGAGTGGACTCTGATCGGAAGCTGATCTATACGCCACCTCACACGCCAAACAGGCAGTACGAAGTTAGTCTTATCTACTTCCGCGCCGGCTACGCACCCTCCGAGTACATAAGCCAGGAAGCCTGGGACGCCCGACTACATCTCGAGCGTAGCGCAGCGATCAAGTGCCCAAGCGTCTTACTGCAGCTGGCTGGCACGAAGAAAGTCCAGCAAGTCCTCGCCACACCACACTCCCCACATTTGAAGCGCTTCCTCCCAAACGAAAAGCAAGCCACAGAAGTCCTCAAAACTTTCGCTCCAATCTACCCCCTCGACACAAGCACCGCTGGCCAGGAAGCACGTCAACTCGCCACCGATCCAGCAACAGCTGCACGCTACGTGATGAAACCCCAACGCGAAGGTGGCGGCAACAACGTCTACCGCAAAGCCATCCCCGAGCTGCTCAAGACGCTCCCCGAGACGCAATGGCCGGCTTACATCCTCATGGAGATGATCGAGCCGCCGGCACAGAGCAACGTTATCTTCAGGAACGGCGAGTCGCAGAAGGGTGGTGTGATTTGCGAGCTTGGGATGTATGGGGCGTGTTTGTGGCGGCAGGGTGAAGGGGATGGACAGCGTGAGGTGCTGGAGAACTTTGATGCGGGATACTTGTTGAGGACGAAGGGGGATGATTCTGAGGAGGGCGGGGTGAGTGGATGTCTTTGCGGTCTTTTTGGGAAGTTGAAGCTAATGTGTGACAGGTTGCTGCGGGATTTGGGGCCATTGACAGTGCGTGTCTTGTAGATGTGTGAAAGAATGCTGAGACATTATTGCGGTTCGTCGCGCTTTGCGCTGCAGTCTCACCGAACGCTCCAACATGGTCAGATTGTTATGCTTCTGAGTTCTGCCGTCTTTGGTCCGGAGAGTTCGGCTGCATCGCCATTGGATCCACCCCTGCCGTTAATCTAATCTAACCTTGTTTCCCGAGCCGGCAGTTGCTCACAGGGACCTTTGCCCATATCTTGACGACCGTTAGCATGTGATAACGACAGACGTGGTGACTTGCCAGCGCACCCGCAATACTATGTATAAGACGTTCTGCTATAGCTTGCCACGTTGCAAATCGTTCCTGGCGCAAGCACATGAAACGTGGACGCTGCCCCAGATTAGGCGGAGCGTGGCGCCCGCTACTGCCGAGCCCTGTCAACCTTGTCGACGATCTATACTTTTTGGGAGACTGTGCTCATCGACTTCATCTCGCTTGGATGAGCTGCACTGTGCGCAAGGCTGGGGAGAGGAGAACTCGGCAGAAGAATTATAGGAGGCATTGACGCGACGCGCGCAGACAACTTCACGACTCCAGCGCATTCATCTTGAAGACATTGCGCACTAGCTAACGACAACGAGGCTGTGATATAGGTGGAGAACCAGCAGCGACCTGCATGCATACAACATGCATACACACTCTACGGACCGTATCGCCAAGTTGGCGTGGTTGGATGCCCATCAAAGGACCGTGCTGCTGCGTGCACTGGCCGGCAATCCGATTCGAAGATGTCTTTCAATTTCCTTAGCTCGCCCAGTCCACGCAGATCTTGCGCCTGACAGGCTGCTTTTGGGCGCCAGCCGTCGCCGTTGACCATCCTCGGAGGCAGGGAAAGTCTATCAAAAGTCCGAGAGGGCCCTTCGACGATTTGGTTTCTGGGGGATCGTGAGGAGCCATGTTCTTGATGGATTTTCTGCATGGTTAGTTCGTTTCCTTCGGTGCCCTGCAGCGCATACCTTGACATATAGCCCAGGTGTCGTGGAGAACGTCACCGCTTGTCGGGCTTGCAGGAGATACTGCACCTTCTGCTCTAGGGCTGCAGCATTGCTTCAACGGCACCCCGCGACGGCTCGAGGTTGCGGTTCATGGGATTCCTTGCTTCTTGAACGCATCTTTCGGTGTTCGTGATATTCTTACCATCTCGGACGGACGCCGACGACGATGTACTTCCGAGGACCATTGACTGCGGCTCTGCTCGCGCTCTGTTGCGCGCACGATGTTGTCGGACGAGCCGCACTGCATCCAAGACAGGATGGCGGGACTTCAACTCCAGCGACGACGACGGATGGCGGGACAGTGTCCTCGACGCAATCAGTAACCTCGACCGCGCAGTCAAGCCAGACCACTGAGGCTACGACCAGGAAGACAACCGATGATGAGCAACCAACGAGGACCGCACGAACATCGACAGAGTCGACTCTATCAACGACAAGCACATCCGAATCGACCTCTCCCACAGCGCATCACAATACCACCGCCGCTGTCGACAAAGCCGACGAGCTACCGATCCAACCCGAGATCACCCCAGCACTCGGTATCGCTGGAGTCGTTCTCATGCTTACCGGCGCCGCCTACGCAATCATTGGGATCAAGCACCAATGGCTCAACGTCTTCTTCAGCGCAGCGTACCTGACGTCTCTGTCGGTCACAGTACTCATCATCTACGTGATGAGTCCTCCGGTCAGTGATGCGATCCAGGGAGCTTACATGGTTGCGGCTCTTCTCACTGGCCTGATATTTGGCGCCATCTCACTCGTCTTCAAAGAAGTCACGGAAGGACTTGGTTGCTTGTTGGGTGGATTTTGCTTGTCTATGTGGTTCCTCATGCTAAAACCGGGGTCTTTGATATCTTCAACGACTGGACGAGCTATTATGATTGGTGTCTTTTGCGTAGTCGGCTGGTCTCTATCATTCAGTCAATATACGCGCACTTATGGAGTCATCGGCTCTACTGCCTTTGCCGGAGCCATGATCACCGTCCTTGGTATCGATTGCTTCAGCCGAGCGGGCCTCAAGGAATTCTGGATGTACATCTGGGGTGAGTACCTCTCCAAAACGACCTTCAAGACCGTCCACTGACTGGTTGTAGCTCTAAACAAGAATGTCTTCCCTCTCCATACTAATACATACCCCATCACTCGTGGCATCCGAGTCGAGATCGCAGCAACGATCATCATATTCTTATTCGGAGTTATGTCTCAGATCAAGATCTGGAAGATAGTAAGGGAGCGCAAAGCGCGCAGCGAGGAGGCCAAGGAGGCGGAAGCGTCACGACGGGACCAGCGCGATTCCGCCATTGGCAAGACAATCGAGCGCAACAATGGCCGCTCGTTGGCACTGTGGGAGGGGATCTATGGCAACAAGGACAAGGCTTACGTCCACCCAGACTCAGGCGTCGGCACTTCCGTCAACTCTGGCGACCACAAGAAGTCCGTGAGCGTCGCCACGAGAGAGCTTGGCAGTATCGAAATGGACGATATGGGTGGCGTGCATGCAGAGTCCTCGAGCAAAAGCCAACGGCATCCCGTTTTAGTGCGCACTGGAACAGACGAGGAGATGCAACATGAAGATCCCAACACTGGAAACCCGATGAATCTAGATCCTGAAGAGAGGCAGTGGTGGGAAGACTTCCAGTCTACCAAGACCAAGAGCCGCCCCGGGACAGTGCGCAGTGTGGATGAAGGTTCCCTGAACGAGATGCTGCCGTCTGATCGACAGCATGCGCCAGGCGGGCCTGAAGTGGTATCGCTGCCCTTCTTACCACCTGCAGAACGATCAGGTGCACGTACCAAATCAGCAGGCTCGGCAGCTTCAAAGGCGGAGGCCGCTCAGGAACAGACTGTCAACGAACGGAGGGGTGTTGCATTAAACAAGTTGGCGCTTGCTAAGCTGGACCAGAATGTCTCCTCAAATGTGCCTCGGATCGACGACGATAGAGCCTCTTCTGTGGCGGCTACTGCTGACGATGACCGCTCTATGAAACGACAGTCGCTCGCTCCTACGATTCAGTTGCAGAGCGAAGGTCTTTCTCCGTTCTCGGATGAGTTCAAAGCAGACGCACCGAAGTCTTCGAGAACTTTTGGAACGCCTGGCACTCCGATAGAAGATCCGATGGATGAGAACGATGATGAGATGGTCGTTCGGTCGCCTCCGCTTGCAGTCAGGCCTGTGGAGGAGGGCAACAAGGAGAAGCCGGCACACAAGCAGAAGCGACGAGACAGTGCTGGTTCAAGACGGAGATCCACTAGTAGTGCAGGCGCAGCACATAACGAACGTGATTCAGCATCCCAATCCGAAGATGCAGCTTCGGTACATTCATTGAAACGTCATTTGCCCGAGAGCATATCGAAGGTTGCGATGGCGTATCGCACAAACGAATGGGCCAAGCACATCGCGAATGCCGATCAGCCAATGTACGAGGAAGCACTGGTGGACGAAGCCGGCGTCCAGGTCGAGGTTGGACGGCCAGTAGAACAACCTCGCCCTCTTGATCCCGCAGCCCTTTCGGAGACCGCACCTCCTGAGGTCCCAAACTTGTCCAGCAATCCCTCCTTCCGCCAAAGCAAGAGTGTTCAAGAGCCAAGGAGGAAGAGCTCCTCTGGCCCCACGCCTGTCTACGCGTTCTCGCGAGCCGGCTCGTACCAGTCGCTGCAACGACAGGGCAGCAGCAATTCGGTAAACCAGCAGAAGCGGGACACACGAAATGCTTCTGCTCCCGTTCCAACGCTTGTCGAGTCGCCGATCGAAGAAGACCAGGCAACCTCCGGACCATATCAGAGCAGCACACCATTCGCCAGCACGAGCAATCTCTTGGACGAGCGTAACACCCGCCTGTCCCGCCGCACAACAACCACATCCTTCAACGCCTTAGCTTCGCAGCCCAGCCTCAACATCCAAGCACCTACTCCAGAACCAGGCCGCACACCAGGGCCACCTCTAACAGAAGTCGGCTCAATACCAGGCGAAGAGGACCTCACCCTCTCCGAACGCAAAGCCCTCATCGACCAAGGCGCCATATCTCCACCCTCCCGACACCGCCAATCCTCCAACCCCACTCCCCCACGCGCCTCCAACAGCCATATCTACGACTCCCACCAACCGCGCCGCACCAACACCGTTGATATGGCAAGACAGTCCGCCATGCTCTCGCAATGGCGGCAGTCGCTGCAACAGAACACGCCATATCAACCTGTCGGAGTGGCAGAGGAGCAAGCGAGGCAAGCGATGTTGAGTCAGCGAGAACACGCGGGTGCGAAGCGGCAGAAGGAGCTGCAGAGAAGGGAGAGCAGGGATAGTAGGCGCGAGGTGGCGATGCGGACAGGGCAGTTGGCGGGGGCGCATCAGGAGGCGATGAGGAGGATGCAGGCGAAGGCTAACGAGAGTGTGGCGGGTAAGGAATAGTGGGATGATTGAAAAGTGGTGGGAGGATTCTTCTTTGCAGGGTTAGGTTTGCGATGGATTTTGGATGATACCCTCTTTCATGGTTAGGTTAGGTTGGGGCAGCAATGCTTGTGGGTGGCGTTCACGAGGGATGAGGCGACAGGCCTGGGGTAGCATCAGGAACCAAAACAGGGGACATGGGAAAGAGGCTACCGTACAAACAAATAGTAATGTTCATAGTGTAATCAGCATAATGGTACAAATGGCAGCGATGAGCTTCACTCCGTGGTCTTCTCTTGAGCATTCCTCGAACATGTCATTGTTGCATTGTCGGATATCGTAGCAATAGCCATCTAAGAACTTTTCGTCGCCCAGCGTCGGCTTGTTACGCACGTCAGGCGACGTAGTAGAAGAAGTGGCAGTCTCCGCAGTCTAGACCATAAGGAAAGTATATTCAGAAGCCTCTAGGTGAGAGATTGGCTATCGGAGAAGAGGCGAGGAACAGGGGAATAGAATAGCTCTCCGAGATAATAGGAACAGCGTCGCCCAGTAGGAGTCTTCATAGCAGGCCATAGTGTCACGGAGAAGCCAGAACCTGACTGCCACTTCTTCAGCTACGTCGCCTGACGTGAACGACGACGCCGTTTTTATCGATCGTCCCTGGAGCCATATCAGGCAGGTCGTCAATATCTCCATCCGCGCATTTCGATGACCATTCTGCGGTGGTCCGGTGTGTGCCACGCAAACACGAGTTGACACGCAGCGAACTGAACCAGCTCGTCTTCTCCTGGACCGTCGTGTCCTTCGAAATTCCAATCTGCCATACCGCTGTCATCATCACCGGAGAATATTGGCTGGAACGTGGCGTCCACGGGGTTGGTAGGCTTGCGTCCGCGCATCGTTGATTGACTTTAAAAGAAAGAGGCCGCCGTCGTCGTTGATATTTGCATTGAACGTATCCATGTCAAATGCGGGAACGTCCTCTACAGCGTACCTCATCTCTATCTACCCTCCATCAGCTTCTCCTTTCGCATTTGCCATGTTAGAGCGAATTGGAGCGGAAGTCATACATCGCACCATCGAGGCCGCAAGCGAGTGCCATCCGTGCCAGCTCCAGCAGTCGACGAGAAGGCTGGCCTTTTCCAAACCCATTTGCCGGCATTTCCCCCATTTGAGCCTGTGTCTCCGTAAGAGGCGCATGCGGCTGTGACAAAGCGACTATGGCATCAATATACTCGGTCTTTTCGCCATCTTCCATTCCAATCTCATCCCCAGCTTCACCGCTTCTTCCCACCAGCCTTCTTCGGATGTTTCGCGAACGTGATGCGGTTTCGAGGCTTTCGTATGCGCTTCTTCTCGATCTTCGCCGCCTTGTTTTCCTTCTCACGCTTCAGAGATTTGTTGCTTCGCTCAGCAGGCTTTGCGGCAGCTCGGTTGGCGTCCATATCGATGTCTGCGCAAAGAATAATGCTGCGATTAGCCGCCTAGTCCACAACGAGTACCAACTTGACACAGAACGCAAATCTGAACAGGTGGGTATCACGGCTTATGTGGAGCACGCAAAGCTGAGCTGTAGTTCGCCGTTCTCATCGAAGCCTCCAACATCGGTGGAGGCGCCAAGCAGATGGTAGAAGAGATATTCTTTGGCTAGCTCTTTCCGTGCTGGGATGTCGAGAGTGGTTGGGGAATTTGTTGCCAGGCTTCGCGCGTCGTTGTGCAGAAGGGATGCCGGGACCGGGACTGAGAGAAAAGACGAAGACACACCTTGAGTGGCCGAGTCATCCTCCTTCGCTTCTGGTGCTACACCTGTCAAATCAATGGTGTCAGATTCCTGGCCAGTCACTCTTCGTGGAATCTCCGCATAATGCTGCTCACCTTCCTCTTCAACATCCATCTCAGGTCGGGGTGGTTTTGGTTGCTGCGCGAGCTCCATGAGTTTTGCTGACAGTCGGTCGTTGCGCGCTGTCTCCGCCGGACCAAAGACCTTGCGCTTGAGGGCCTGGTTATTCCTCTTCTTGACCGATGCTCTCGCGCTCTTCGCCATGGTGTTGTATCGTTCTTAGTCGCGCGTAGTCGTTCGCGATGTTAGTCGAAGGTCGACCGAACTTTTTGTTAATCCGAGGCACAATTAAGCCACTTAGCGCGCGGGGTCTCCCTAGCTCCCGGACATGACGAGATAACGATACCGCACCTCAAGTCTGGCTCGACTTCGAGATTGAGTTCCGGCAAAGACTTCGCCTGCTTCACATTCACATCGAATGCTGCTGAGGCGCGTGAAAGTCACGCAGTATCATGTGACATCCAATCGCGCCATGAACACATCTCCACTCCGCCGGACAACGTGAACCTGGAACCCTCCTTCCCGCCGAAAGCCTCACTAACCTCACCTCTCCAATCCGCCAGTGAGGTCACACGAAACCTCGTTCACCTGCTTTTTCACCATTCCGCGATCACGGCTTCGAGAGAGCGCAGTCAACTTGCTCGCGCACCCTCAATACCCACAGCAACCACGGAAAGACTGGCGAAAACCTTTGCGCTTGAGGCGATAGCAAGGCTTCGGAAAGAACAAGACTTCGGCGCTTTCGGCGCAAGAGAATGGCATCGAGTGGTCACATACTTCAGCAACAGAAGCCTGGGGTAGAGGCCCGAATCAGAGCGCTCGTCAATGATGATCTGAAGACGATATGTAGGGCATATGGGTATCAGGTCTCCGGAGCCAAAGCCCTCCTCGTCAACCGATGCGTAGAAGGTAAGGACGACCGCGAACCGGGCTGTGAACGGCTGCCTTGATTCACTCCGACTTTTACACCACCACCAGGACCAACAGAATCTAACTTGTTCTACAGCTCTCAACACTGCTGTTGAAAACGGCGACGTGAAGGCATTCGAAGACCTCAGGTATCGAAGTCAGAACCGGGGGAAGGAGCCACCGCGGGGCGTGATAGACGGCGCTGTGGCCCAGAGGTGGCCACCAACAGGAGGCTTTCAACCTTACAACATGGCACCTCAGCGAAACGGACCTGGCGTGTCCCAGGGCAGACCGTCTGGGAAGGGTAATGTGGCTGTAACCTTCACTCGCGGACATATCACTGACAGGGTAACAGGGACTTTCAAGACGAGCCCGTTCTATGAGATACTAGAAACTTTGGTGCCGATGCACGATCTACCTGGTGAGCATTCTATCGATCCATTGTCCTCTACTACGAGCGCACTTACGATGCTAATGCAGAAGGTCCAGAGATGCCTCAAAACCGCCACACCGTCAAATCATCTCTCACACTTCGAGCCGACCTTGCTCAACAATGCCGAAGCGATCCGAACCTCAAGATCATGATGTACTGTGGTCTCACCAAGACGATGTCCCCTCACAGCCCTGCGGATGTGGCCTTTCCCAATCAAATTGAAGTCAAGGTCAACGAGCAGGAAGTGAAGGCAAACTTCAAAGGCCTGAAAAACAAGACGGGCTCAACCAAACCTGCTGACCTCACTTTCTTGGTCCGCAAGTACAACGGCCAGCCAAACGGGGTGTCCGTCACTTACGCGCTCACCACTAACCGCTTCGCTTTCGCCATCTTCCTGGTACGGTATCACACCAAAGACGAGCTCGCGGCACGGATCAACAAGCATAACATCATCCGCAAACAGACCGTTCTGAGTGCGATGAGCAAAGCGAATTCCGATGATGACATCGCGGCAACGTCCATCCGGATGTCGCTCAAAGACCCCGTTTCGACCTTACGGATCAGCAGCCCAGTGCGGTCGTCGTACTGCTCGCACAACCAGTGTTTCGACGGTGGAATGTTCATGAGCCTCATGGAACAAGCACCTTACTGGCACTGCCCTGTGTGTAGCAAGGCGATCACATACGACTCACTGTGCGTGGACGAGTACTTTCAAGAGATCTTGAAGGCTGCCCCTGCCTCGATCGAGAAGGTAGACATCGAGCCGAACGGAGAGTGGAAGGTGATCAAAGAGGAAGAAGACAGCCAAACTGGTGGTCCAGCCAACAAGCCGCGAGCATCATACGATGATGACTTTGACGATGACTTTGACGATGATATTGTTGAGTTGGATCAACCGGTCTCGAAGCCAGTGAACGGCGTCAAGAGGGAGTCGCAATCCCAGGCGAGCTTAGGTGGTCGGCCTACTGCTCTCGACACTCCGCCTTTGTCATCACGCGAACCATCCGTTGCGCAGTCTGCAACATCCGCACAGCGGGGCAGCAAACGTCCGCAGAGCGCGGTTATCGACCTCACGCTCTCCGATGACGATGATGACCAGCCTGTGCGATCTGCGAGGAGAACAAACACCATCAACGTGCCGCGTCGAGGTGGGAACACCAACAACACCGCCACCACCGCCTCTCCATACGACACACCCACCTCTCTACCCGACCCTCGGCTGCAACCTCCACAGCAGAACCACAACGCCCACCAAACCAATCAACAGGTAGATAGCTATCGCCCGCCGCAGAACCCTTCCTACCCGCAGAACCAAGCTTACGGGTTCAGCGCTCATAACAGCATGTCGCCACCCAACATCAACTCGCCGGTGGCTTTCGGGCAGACGAGCATACCTAGCCAGCATTCTCGCCCCTTCCCGAGCCCGGCCCCTCCTCAATCATACTCCGGCTACACCAACGGGGCCTTCGCGCCTAATTCACCGTACCGTCCGCCGTCTCAGCAACCCAATTACCAGTATGGCTACCACCAACAACCAAACCGATCCACGTCATCACCGGCTCCAGCAGGCAACAGCGGACTCCGTCTCCCACCCATGCAGCCCCCGCCGCCGTATCAACAGCAGCAGCAGCATCCGTACGCGTCGCCGTCGGCGTATCAGGGTGGTGGGTGGAGGAGCGATGGGTCCGAGTTCGGAGGGTACATGAACTCAGGCAGTCCTGGTGGGTGAGAGGAATGGCGTGGAGGGGATGAAAAGTAATGATTCAGGCGAGAGTTGTAAGTTTTTGGGTGGACATGAGATCACGGCAAGCAAGCATGGCGTTAGGGAGCATGGGTGGCTAGGGATGATACCATGCGGGATTCTCGATGAGCAGAGACGCCATTTGGAGGGTTCGAGGGAAGAAAAAGCGTTCGTTGCCGTAAGTACCGCGAGAGAGGAATACTCTGCTGCTGCGCAAGGCACATGCATGTCTTTTCTCATTGCTTTACTGTAAAAAGTGTTTTTCAACTCTTCCACTTCATTGGTGACAGTGCCTTAAGTGCTTCCGCTCATGGATGCTCCGTCTACTCCTAAACACTCTACCTCCTACCACACCCTCCAGTATTGCAGCAACAACGACCTCACTCAGAACATAGTGCTATCTTGACGGGCCTGAGGAGATGGCTCGCAGAGCGTATGCAGTAGGTGACGTGTAGGAGAAGTGGCAGTCTCCGTAGTCCTGACTACAAGCAGAGTATACTCAGGGGCCTCTGGTAAGTAGAAGATTGTCATGCGGAGAAGAGGCGAGGACTATTAAGCGGACAGTATGGCTCTCCGAGACGGCAGGAACAGCAGCGCCTTACAGGAGGCTCTATAGCAGGCGATAGTGTCGCGGAGAGGCCAGAACCTGAACTCTAGGTCAGAGTGAGCCGTATAAGGGATGTTTCTCCTTGATAGTGATATTTCCCACCCCACCGACTGAGGTGGTACGGCCTTCTCTGGCGCAACCGGGTATTCGAGAAGATTGCCAGACATGCCGCTGGGTCGCGTTCACTGTCACTTTGCTTGGTAGCCTGGCGGTGGGTTGTGATTTATAGTTCTCCACGTGCAACTATTGCAGTATGTCGAGCCTGTGTCGGAAACATTGGCGGTGTGCTCCACATCTTGTCGCCACAAGCACCTGATCGTCAATTCCCGTACAGCAATTCCGACGCTGTTTGTTCAACGGGGCGATGGTTTGATGACAACGTACGATCACGTTCCCCGACAATCACATGCATCTCTAAGAAGCGTGCCGTTGTCGGCAGCTAGAGACGTTTGGACCCCATCTCCGCGTGGCCAATAGGTGGCAAGGACCCCTGCCGAACGGTCTTGCCCTGCAGAGTCGGAGCTTTCATTTCGAGCAACGTGGGGCGACTGTGAAAAAGATCATACGAGTTTTGAAAGCCGAATTAGCCCGCATTGGCAAATACTTTGACGACTACATCGTAAGCTGTGCCTCCCTTCGACCTGCGACCTTATACCTCGACCTCAGAGCTCTAAAAACGAACGAGAACGAAAACGAGACCAGCGCCGCAATCTCGAAAAAGCCGATCAGGAGCTGCCACCGAAGCGCGTACCACGAACCAGAGCTCGAAGCGTGCGGAGGCTGTGGGAAAGACAGGGACAAAGGGAGCTTTCCGGCGCCATGGACGTCGTGCTCGAGGTCTTCGATGGCCTCATGTTCGACCGGCTATACGCCAACATCCTCCCAATCCAATCCGCATCGTCGTTCGACCCCATCTCAACGCTCACCGCCGGCTTCAAGGGCTATGGCGGCAACGACACAGCATGGCAAGCGGCGTCACAGGGAGCCGATATGGGACTGCAGAGGTCGGCGTGGGAGTACAAGCCGGCGAGCCAGTATCTCCAGGTGCAGCCGAGCGAGTATGCGTGGATGAGCCGGTGGGATAGGGACGATGCGTGGCGGCAGACTGTGAGCTTGTACATCATTACATGGTGAGTGCAATTTTCATAAGTTGAACACGCTGGAGTTCGAGGCTGACCGAACAATCACAGGCTCTTCGGACTGGTCATCTACTTCCTCTGCGCCTCGCTCTCCTACATCTTCGTCTTCGACAAGGACACCTTCAACCACCCGAAATACCTCAAGAACCAAATGCGCATGGAGATCAAGCAGACCCTCGAATCTATCCCCATCATGGCCATCTTCACCGTCCCCGCCTTCGTCGCCGAAGTCCGCGGCCACAGCTTCATCTACGACAACATCTCCGACATCTCCCACCCCATCCTCACCCTCTTCGGCTCCTCGTGGAACTACCTGCAGTTCCCCCTCTTCATCCTCTTCACCGACTTCTGCATCTACTGGATCCACCGCGGCCTGCACCACCCCAAGGTCTACAAGCGCCTGCACAAGCCGCACCACAAATGGATCATGCCCACGCCTTTCGCCTCGCACGCCTTCCACCCCTTGGACGGCTTCAGCCAGAGCGTGCCCTACCACCTCTTCCCCTTCATCTTCCCCCTGCACAAATTCGCCTACATCGCCCTCTTCACCTTCATCCAGATCTGGACCGTGATGATCCACGACGGGGAGTATGTGGCCAACAGCCCCATCATTAACGGCGCCGCGTGCCACACCATGCACCATCTGTACTTCAACTACAACTACGGGCAATTCACCACCCTCTGGGACAGGCTGGGCGGCAGCTATCGCAAGCCGAATGATGAGTTGTTCCAGAAGGACCAGAAGATGAGTAAAGACGAGTGGTCGCGGCAGAGCAAGGAGATGGAGAAGATGGTCAAGGAGGTCGAGGGGAAGGATGACCGGAGTTATGGGCCGGAGGAGACTTTTGTAAGGAGGAGGCAGAAGGTTGCGTGAGCTGCTTCTGGAGAGTGTTGTGTGTTGATTTGGGCGTTTGGGGAGGGTTGGAAAGATTGCATTGGACTGGCCGTCTGGGGCTGTTCTCAATTGTTAGCGTTCTAGGCGTGCTGATATTTGGCCTAGGTAGGCTTATAGAGCGGTTGTTTTTATTTTTGAGCGAATCGAAAGTACTTCGAACGAGAGAGGTATCCTCCCATCATCACAACAAGCCCCGTCGACTCAAAACAGCCACAGTGCCTAGGTGCCCCGTTATCTCATCGGATGGATCTGATGGTCTTCCTTGACGCTGCCATACGACTACCGATTCAACTTGGGGCTATGTAGGCTGGGACAAAGGCCACGAAGGCCACAAAGGCGACGCTCGTCAGGCGACGTCTTGGAAGACGGGGAAGTTTCTTACCTAAACTCTCAAGAACGACACCCCGGTGGTCCAGAATCTGGTTAGGATCCGACTGCTGTTCTCGCCAGCACTGAGGCCCGGCGGCTTGTACGTAGCCCACTCGTGTGAGTTTGCTCATGACCGCTGCTTCTCGCGGCATCGCGCGGGTATTAAGAAGAGGTGTAGTCTCCACCCGCGGCCTTGGGATTTGGAAGAGGTGAGGTTGGGGCTCCATTTCGACCGCAGCCCGGCCCACTAGGATGGAACGCGTGACAATGCCACCGTCCCGTGGCCATGGCGCTGTATGGGACTTCGAGTCCGGCTCAAGGTGACGGCTGGGCCATACTGAACCTCCGTCTGCATCGCCACAGCCCAGAGCGTTCTCGACAATCGGCGTTCGCTCATATCGGAGCTCTGAATACCCGGCGAGCTCTCCGCAGAGGGTTTGCCACTGTTGCGCGAGAGTGGGCGCAAACTAAATTTGGGAGCTTCGATGGCGCAAGTAGCGCAGCACTCTCCTCGTGACGCTCGTGTTGCAGCATACGAATGCCAAAGGACTCTCGCGTGTCCCTTCATCAAAAGGTGGTGCTGCCTTTGAGATATGTGTTGGATGGCGGAGGGAAGATCGCAATATTCAAGCGGTGGTTGTTTGGTGACATTGGCTGCGCCGGTCGGCACGAATGCCCGCCGAGGAGAGGTCTTGAGTCTGAAACAAGCCCTCATCTCGATTCTCGATTGGCCGAGAAGTGGCCGGTACGTCACCTGCAGAAAGAGGGTTGCGAAAGAAGCTCTCGCTATCGGAGAACGTCTTGTGGTGTTGACCGTTGGAAAAAACGTGCAACTCTAGACAGCCCTACCTCACCAGATATCACAAACCTTCTCCTCAAGTCTTGCGGCGTTGACGGTGCTGGCGCCGGGCGAATGCTATGCCTTATTCTGCTGTGTTATAGTGCCTCCATTGGCTCTCATCCCGCCTCGGCCGCTCGTATATCGCATGTCTTAAGACTGGTTCAATCTCGACCTCACGCGCGCGGGTGTCTGTAGGAGGGAAGGCCATCCAACGGGCAAGATGTCGCGGAGCAGTAATGACAGCTCTTGGGGCAGGAGGAGGTCGTTGCTGGCCCTGCCGACCCTCAATTCACTGGGCGGCGGCGATGGGTCGAAGAAAGAGCAGAGGACGTTGAAGAAGACACCGCATCGACGAGCGCCGAGTTTGTTCACCGAATTGAATCACCCGGACCTTGCGAATGACACTGGCGACGAGTTGAGGTCCGCGCCGGCGATTACAGATTCACCACGGTTCCGGCGGCCTTCACTGAGTCTACGATCCAGCGTGAGGCGGCCTCCCTCGACTCCTCACAACTATTTGAAGACTTCGGGCTCGCGCGGGAGCACTGACGACACCTACGACTTGAAGTTCGGCGAACCGCTATCTGCTACACCCTCCAGCGCCACTTCGTACGGCGAGTGGAGCATGGATGGATCTTCTCCAGCACGGAATGTGCTTCTGCATGGCGACGTCCAGACTAGTGGAGGAGTGTTCAGGAAGAAGAAGGAATACTTGGTTTTGACGGAGACGCACATCATACGGTTCAAATCGCAGTCCAAGGCAGCAGATGCTCTCGCAGGTGTGCCTCACCCGACAGGTAGACCTCAAGGAGCGAAGCACAACCAAATGCCTTCTTCTGGATCCTTGACCGATCTTCGCGCAGAGTCGGATTCATCGGGCGACAAGGACGGTCGGATAGCTTTGCGACAGGTGGTTGCAGTGTATCAGGTGGACGACGGGAAGCCGTACTTTGCACTTGATGTTTGTTTCCTGGACGAAGAGAGCGCGCAGTCGTCTGCACTTACGATGCAGTTCAACGCCGCAGACGAGCGAGACCTTTGGGTGAGGAACATCCGAACGGCAGGCAACAGCGCTCGACTACGGCAGCCGGTGCAACTCTCGTCATTCAATGTGGAACATGCAGCACGCATAATCGAGCGCGATCACGACTACGATCCCGCCAACTGCGCCATCTACAAGGTGGTCCAACGGCAGCCCTTGAAGTCCAGCCGCTCCTCGACAGACGACCTGACGAAGCTTGGTTCAACCGGATCGACTGTGTGTTTCCTTGTGATTGGCGTACACAAGGTGCACATCGTACAGCTCATCAAGCCTGCCGCGAATCGAAGTGGCAGCCCATCGTTACAACCGATCAGCTCCCAGGCCTCGTTCGGCATTCTCAACCTGTCAGCCATCAGGATCAACGACGTGGACGATGGCTTTGAGCTCAGCTTTCGACAGCCGCTACAACCAGCGAAGCGACTGTCACTTGCATCGCTGGCGTCTCATGAGATTGGCGCCCGGCTACACTACGTGGAGAACTATCTGCGACCTGAGGCCGGGCATCGTCTTTTCAGATTCAGCATACCGCCAGAAGTGGAGAACTTGATTGCACCGCCAGTGCGGGCTGAAGAAGAGCACAGCTGTTTCGACCGGACACTATCAGCGTATAGCATAGCTTACGGTCTGAATCCAGCCAACGTTCGCTACACGATCAACTACGATTGCGAAGATGCGCCGCGCTTTGAACTGCTGCCTCCTGCTGATACGAAGAGATCGGACTACCGACCGCTGGCGCTACTGGCTATCATGCGCGCGTTGCGGTATAACGAGAGCTTTGGAAGCTTGTCTTTCGCTGGCATCAACCTCGACAGCTTGAATGGCCTTGATGATGAGCATGGGAAGGAGTACGTATGCACACGGACGAAGCGAGGGACACCCATCCGATTGACGGAAGACGAGCTTGGCCGTGCTTGCGTTCTGGTGCAGGAAGTTCGTGCGTTGGCTGCAACGAGCAAGAGATTACGGCGTATGGACTTCTCTGGATGCGTCACGCCGAAGACGATCGCACTCGCACAACTGCCCGAAGAAGAGAATCCTAGGACGAAAGATATCGGGTGCGGCGTGGTGGAAGCTCTTGTGCCGTTGTGCAGACAGCAGACCACGAATGTGGACTGGATTTGTCTCAATGGCATCGAGCTGAGCGATACTGACATGGACTATCTTGTCGGCGCGGCTGTCGACAAGTCTTGCCACTTCCGTGCAATTGAGCTCAACAAGTGCGGTCTCAATGACCGGAGTATGGGCTTGATATTGGATGCGCTGCGAGCACAGGAGAACACGCTGGAGGCCATTGAGATTGCTGGGAATACTGCACGTATTGACCCGGTGACGTTTGACAGTCAGTTGGGCATGTTCGGCTTCATCAGAAAACTCAACCTCTCGCACATTTCCAGAACATCGGGTAACGAGCCGCTGCTGACGGCGGAAACGCTGCTTGTGTGGCGGCTGCAGGAGTTGCGTCTCAGTGGTACGCTGTTGAACTCAGCATCAATTGACGCTGTCGCGACATACCTGGCTCATCCTCATTCGATGACGCTGCATGAGCTCTACTTTGACAACGCATATCTGACTGGCGGTGACATCGCGACGATACTGCATAGCTTGTCGCTGGACACTGGCTATCCGCGAGACATACACCTTGACATCAGCCACAACATCCTGTCAAAGGGTCTTGAAAAGGTCACCAAAGCTATTGCCGATGGCCTGGCACCCACACGACTCAGCATGAGAGCCATTGAGTACCGGGAGGAGTCTCAGTTCCGCAAGATGTTGAATGCTTTGATAAACAACAAGAGCATCCAGTATCTCGACATGTCGCAGACGGCATTACCAGGTGATGCGAGCGAGGAGACGTGCCGTGCCATGGCACGATTACTTGCGGAAAACGACACTCTGGTTGAGCTCGACCTGTCTGGCGAAGACTCCAGATTAGCGTCGTCCAAGTTCGGCGCTGGCATTAACGATGCACTTGTCGGCTTGAAGCGGAACACGTCACTGCACACGTTCCGCATCGAGCGGCAAAAGCTGGGAGTGCAGGGCGCCAACACTCTTGCCGACGTGCTGAAAGATAACACCACACTCCGCGAACTGCACTGCGACAACAACGAGATCCCACTCCAAGGCCTTACCGACCTCGTCAACTCCCTCATCGATAACACCACCCTCATCTACCTCCCCAGCATGCGCGACGGCCGCGAAGCAGCCTTCAAATCCGCCGAAGCCACCATGAAAGGCATGACCGACCCCGAATCCCCCCCTCCCGTCCCCCACCGCAATACCGCCTCCTTCGGTAGCGCCTCCGGCATGCGCCGCGGCCTCTCCACCGTCCGGCAAAAAGCCTCCCGCGCCGCCTCAGCCTACACACCCTCCTTTCCCGCCTTACCCTCCCGCACCCCAGATTCCCCCAACAGCCGCCAGTCCTTCTCCCTAAGCCTCCCCACCGCGCGCTCCAAACAGTCCACCAACGCCCCCATCGCCGCACCCGCGCACTTCACCGTCCAGGATATCCAAACCACGCATCGGTTGTTGTCGGAACAATGGGACCGCCAGCACTACCGCTTATCCCAGTATCTCGAGCGCAACTGGTGCTTGCTCAACAACATGCCCGTGGACATGGAAGTGGAAGATGAGAAGTTCGAGCGTCCAGCCTCCATCGCTTCATTGGGCAAAGTCCTCGAATTGGTGAAATCTGACACCACGCCGAGGGCGGAGCCGGATATGTACTTCACCGGCGACGCAGACGCAGATCTAGATCCGATGCCGCAGGTTCCTGCCGTGCAACCCCAGCAGGCGAGGAAGAGCTCGCTAATGGGCGAGAAGACGCCGAGTGGGATGAGCTTCAAGCAGTTCATCCTCGATGGCAGCGCGCCGGGGACGCCGGAGTCTTTGACGGAGATGGAGGCTGCGGGCAGGCAGTTGCGGGTTGACACTGCGAATTTGATCGATTATGAGGAGCCGAGGACGCCTACGCAGGCGGGTTTTGGGAATTGAGTAATTTTGGGTTCGGGGTCTAGTTATACAACCGTTTTGCGCGGCGTTGGCTTGGGTATGCGGCATTGGATCGGGATATCGAAGGGCGTTTTTGGGCTGGTGGAGGTTGTTTGTATATATGCATTGATTGGGAGGCAACGCTGCCAGCTACTGGAGGGGCAATGAAGCATGATGGTATTGATAACATGTAGAGACGTATATGCAGACATATTACCAGATGTAACAATGCGTTCATTCGCATCTCCTCGTGGAGTCAGAAGAGAGGCAACCGGGGGCTGGTAGCCGCCTGCCGAGTACCGTGAAGAGGAGACAGAGATGAGAAACAGGAGGTCATCGGAATCAGCTTGTCTGATGCCTCCGTACGAGTCTTCTAAACGTGCATCTAATGTCTAACGTCTAATAGCTCCCTTTCAACCTCCTAGTCGCAAGAGCAGCGACGACAGAGCTCAGTGCTCCAACTGTTCATACCCAAATTAGCACCACCTCACTTCCACCTCATCACCCAGGAAGAAGACTTACTGAACAAACAAACACTAATCCCACTCACCCCCTCCGCCGCATGATGCTCCCCCGGCCTTGCCTCCTTCGCCAACTCCGGACTCTTCCCCGGCTCCAGCAGCGAAAACACGACCCAGCTAATCGCCGTGCCTACGAATTGCGGCAGCGTGGTGTAAATATTCAGAATACCGAGGTATATCCCCGACAACTCGCCCGTCGAAGACGATTGCACTGAAGCGTTCGAGTCGTGCCGCAGGTGCAAGATCCGAGGCGGCGAGTCCGTGGTGCCGTCTAGTTCGATCGAATCGCTGCGCTTCCCGCTGCTGCCGGAGGACACGCGGCTGGTGTACGGTAAGCCGGTGCTGAGGCGGTTGACTTCGACGCCGAGGAAGGTGGCTGGGGAGAGGGTGGCGATGGCGTTGGAGACGCCGAGGAGGGCTACCAAGACCGTGGCGAACTGGACTGATTGGACGATGGGGGCCCAGATCATGGCGGCGGAGAAGAGGAGGCAGCCGACTGCCCAGGCGGTGAGGAGGGAGGGTTTGCGGAAGCGGACCTTGCTAAGGACCGGTTCGAGGATGGTGGGTGGGCGGGCGGTGTAGGCGGGTTTGTCGTTGTCGTCTGGGCTGTGGATGAGCCAGGGGAGGACTATGGAGCAGATGGTCGCTACGATTGAGAAGACGATCAAGGACATGCTCCCGTGTCGGCCGACTTCGTTCAGAGCGTCGTCAGATTTGTGGTCGGAGGAGGGGACTTCGTAGCGGAGGTAGATTTCTCCAACCCACGTACTGCCGTAGAAGAGGACAGGGAACCAGCCGATCCAGCTCCAGAACTGCACCCAGCAGATGGCTTGGATGCGGTCAGGGACGTTCAATATCGTTGAAAACGTCTGCGAGAGCAGTACCATGAGACTCTGCTCCTTCTCGCCTTCTTTGCCGCCGTCCCTAACCAAGACGCGCTCTTGGACTGCCCAGGCGGTCGTGCATTGGGCGATGCTCATAGCTATCGCCGCGATCACACAGACCTTCTTGAACTGGGTGTCGCCTAGGAAGCTGCCGAACATAGAATTCAGGTCCAGAGCTCCGATGGCGTAGACCATGAGATGGCCTATGCCGCCCATTCTGCTAACTGCCGGATGTCAGCAGTCGCCCCTGAATGAGGTCACGAGTAGAGATAGAGGAGCGGGAAGACGTACTCACCCCAGGCGGCTCCGAGTTGCTGTTTCTCAATCGGCAGTGTATCGACGATCAGCGCTTTGCACGTTGACTGTGCTACATTAATGACGAAGTCGAGCCTGCAAACAAAAGGGCAAATGGGTTAGCGAATGTCTCAGACATGGTAGGGTGTTGCCCATGGGTTTGGTACACATAAATATCCCCCACCGCAATCACAATCGCCAACTTCCTCCTCTGCCGCACACCAACAGTCAGCACTCATCCCATCTCACCTCCTCTGGCCACCCCTACCCCCAATCCCAGCATGCGCGTAAAAAGGACAGGTATACCTCACCCCCTCAACCCCCTCAACAACCCACCCCGCAATCTCCTTCGCCCACCCCAACACCAAATAACACGCCCCCACCGCCACCGTGCCAGCCAGCATAAAAGGCCTCCTGCGCCCGTATTTGCTCGTGCTCTTATCCGACATCATGCCTACAAGAGGTTGCACGATGAGCCCGGAGAGGGGCCCGGCGGTCCAGACGAGAGACATGCGGGATTTCGACATGCCGAGGGAGAGGAGGTAGGGGGTGCAGTAGGTTAGCTAGATCTACGGGTTAGTAGGAGGATGATGGTGAAGGGGGGGGGGAGGGAGGTACTTCAGTGCCCCAAGCGAATTGGAGCCCGATTACGCTGGCAGTGAGGAGGAACATGCGGAGGGATTCGGTGGAGCCTTTGATTCGGGGCTGGCCGGTCCAGGAGAGTGTTGGTATGGCCATTGTGAGGGATATCGTGTGTTCTTCTGTGTGCGTTCCGAGGTGCCGCGCGAAGCGGCGAAGGAGATCGTGTTATAGCAGCATTGATGCTAGTCTGGTGTACGTGGATGTACTTAAGCAAGGGATGGTACAAGGCTATCAAAGACAAGGTGTCTCGAGGTGCAGTTGAGGTTGGACGAGATCCGAAGTCGAGCTTGCCTCTTAGGTCAGGCGCGTCCGAGCGCGAGATGCTCGACGATCACATGCAACACAAGGTATAGTAACACGAGGATATCATAGACAGGAAAAAGTCATCTCAGATGTGTTCATTTCAACATTTCTACATCCCATCATACCACCCGCCCAAAGTCTATCAAAGAGCGAGCGCCAGACGAGGTCCATTCATATCCATTAAGACTCTCCCAACCCACCGATCCCGAATCACATCACATCAATCGTCTCCAAAAAGCCACGAGCACACCAACCATGCATACGGCCACCCGTCTCTGCCTCAGTATGGTTACAATGGTGGACGCTACGCCGCCCACCGCTTCCAAATCGCGCCGCGCACGGGCGTTGCTCGAGCGGTGTCGTGTACGGCGTTGAACATCTTGCTTTTCGTTGACTTTTCAGGATGGACGACTTCGAGGGTTTGAGGGGAGGAGTGGATCAGAGCTTGTTGGGCTCTGTGGACGACTGGGGCCATTGGTAGCCGGCGGCGTCGGAGAACTTGTAGCCGTAGCTGGCGGTGAAGTCGTCAAGGACGGCGGGGCCGCGGGAGCCTGGAAACGTGTTAGCGGATGTTTAGAAAGAGGATAGAACGAATTACTGACCGTACGGGTAGCCCATGGGCACGATCTCCTTGTTGTCATCCAGGTAGTGGAGGAGTGGGGTGAAGATGCGCCACGAAGCGTCAAGCTCGTCGTCACGCACGAAGTTGCTGTGGTCGCCCTTCAGCGAGTCGAGGATGAGCGACTCGTACGCCTCAGGAATCTTGAGGTCAGAGAAGCGTCTCCGATAGGTGAGGTCGAGCTCTGTGACGGTGGTCTGCATGCTCAAGCCAGGCAGCTTGGAGTTCATCTTGATGTAGATGCTCTCGTTGGGCTGCACGCGAAGCACCAGCTCGTTGCGGGGGATGTCCTTGAAGATTCCGCTCGTCACGTCCTTGTATTGAATGCGCACCTCCGTCTTCTGCTCGTTGAGAGCCTTGCCAGCCTTGAGAATGAAAGGAACACCGTCCCAGCGCTCGTTCTTGATGTATGCGACCATGCTAGTGAACGTAGGGCAGCGCGACTCCTTGGGAACAGTGTCGTCCTCCTTGTAACCAGGCTTCGTGCCGTCCAGCGACTTCTCGTACTGGCCGATGATGACGTTCTTGGGCTCGATGGAGGGCATGCCGCGAAGCACGCGCACCTTCTCGTCACGGATGTCCTCAGAGGAGAAAGAGATTGGCCTCTCCATCGCCAAGAGCGTGAGCACCTGCAGGAGATGGTTCTGCATCACGTCGCGGATAATGCCAAACTCGTCAAAGTACCCGCCACGACCCTCAGTACCGAAGGGCTCCTTGAAGGTAATCTGCACATTGTCGATGTGGTTGCGGTTCCAGGTTGCGCCGAAGAACTCATTGCCGAACCTGAGGATGAGGATGTTCTTCACCATCTCCTTGCCGAGATAGTGATCGATACGGAAGGTCTCCTCCTCCTTCCAGTTGGGCCGCAGAGCGCGATCGAGCTCACGAGAGGACTCCAGGTCCTTGCCGAACGGCTTCTCGATGATGATGCGAGCAATGCCGCTCTTGGGGTAGTTGTTCCTCTTCAGGTGCTCGCTGACGGGAATGAACACGCTGGGAGGCAGGGCCATATAGAACACTCTGTTGTTGACCTTCTGTCCCTTCTCCACCTCCTGCAGGTGCTTCTCCAGGTTCTGAAAGCTGTCGTCCTGGTCGTACTGCCCGCTCACGTAGGTGGTGAGTTTGCAGAACTCTTCAGACTGCTGCTCCAACTCTTTTGTGGGCGTCTTGATGTGGCTCTTGACGCGACGCAGGTACTCTTCGTGGTCCATCTTCGTCCGGGCATAGCCCACGATCTTGACATCCTTGGGGAGGAAGCCATTGCGATAGAGGCCGAACAGTGCCGGGAAGGTCTTCTTCTTCGCAAGGTCGCCGGACGCACCAAGGACCACCACGACGGTGTTGTCCTTGAGCTCCATGTTGCTGTGGTGGGAGAGATGTCAGCAATGCGGTGAAGATAGCAAGGTGGGGCGGTTTTGGAGATATGGTTGGAAACATTGCGACAGAGCGAGGATTGCACCTCCAATTACTCCCTCCGCGAAGCATTCCTCTCGCCGCTCTCCATATCGCACGGTAGAAAAGGAAGAGGTCAAGTCTTACCCAACACCTTGCGGCTCATCTTGGTGGATGATACTGCGATTCAGTCAGCATGTTGTTCGCCAGTGGCACTCAGCGCGGGACGTACGTGTCGGCCATTGTGGTTTGTGAGGGGATGAGGTGAGGTTCGGCGGAAGAGGCGAAGGTAACGAAGAGGTTGTGATGTTGAGAAATCTTTGGAGCTAGCGAGTCTCTGCACGATGTCGCCTCTGTGGGGATCTGCGATTCACTTCTGACGGAGGACGGGCTTCGTGATGCAACTAATGCCGAAACGACGGGACAACTTCTCAATGCTCAGTTGCTGCTTCCTTCTCCAGCATCTACAAGTCCAGATGGTATTTGTACGGTCAAACAGCGAGCTTCAATCGCAGTATATGCTATCTACCAGCCTCACACCGATTGATGGTACGTGGAACGTAATGCATCTGCTTACAGAAGCTCTCGTCATATCTCCGACTGATCCGCTGGTCATTTACCCGCCGTCCTACATTGCACCGTAGACTGTGGTACGGGATGTGCAACGAGGTACGGTGGTCGGCATTGACTGTTCTTCGTCGCGATGCTGACAGTCTGCTACTCTCTCACTCTATCGTGCAAGTCATCGCCACCAACACATCTAGAGTGGTGCGAAGAGCAGAAGACTGTTCAATGCAGTGAGAAGTGAATGTAGTGGATGACAAAGCGGTGTCTTGCCTGAGGCATCAGCGCCAAGCCACACCTTCGGCAGCACCCGCAAATTCGCGACCACATCTCGAAGAAGCATATCCACCTCAAGTCAATACCACCACTCCAACAACACTCTCTCTGGAACCGCTTGCTTCGTCCCCGGAACAATACCGACACCATGGCAGAGAAGGTCGCAGGTCACCGGTTATACGTGAAGTACGTCTACATCCCGCGACACCCTGCGCAAAAATGAGGATATTCAAACATATGGGTTGAGCCATGCTAACATACACTCTCACAGGGGCAAGCACATCTCGTACCAGCGCGGTTCGTAAACCCATCCGCAAAGTCGTCCTCCAGCCGCCTCGATACTAACATAACTGCACGATACAGGCAAGAGGAACACCAACCCAGGTACCTCGCTCATCGAAATCGAGGGTGTGGACAACACCAAGGACGCTACCTTCTACCTCGGCAAGCGCATCGCATACGTGTACCGGGGCAAGAGGGAGATCCGCGGCACGAAGATAAGGGTCATCTGGGGCAAGGTGACGCGAACACATGGTGAGCAGACACACCAAAAAGCAGCAGTGGAGGGCTGTCGAGAATGAAGAGGACAGTACTGACGATGTGGGAACAGGCAATTCCGGCGTAGTAAGGGCGCAGTTCAAGCACAACCTGCCGCCAAAGAGCTTCGGTGCGATGGTGCGGATAATGCTCTACCCTAGCTCGATATGAGTGCGCGAAGCGGGACTCTCCAAAAGAGCGAGGACGACGATGTGGTCGCTGGCATGCATGGCGTTCTTAGAAAAGAAGGGTTGCAGTGTATCATGGCTGGTTGTGCGAGATTGGCCGACCTGATGCTGCGCTGACATCTACCTTACCACTCGATGCTCGTAGCGATTAAACTGAGCAAAACGATTCGATCACCCAAATATTCACAACGATTCCGGTGAGGAGATGAAATGTGGACATGTGCTTCGCTTGGTGTATGCCGTGAACGAAGTGAGGCACTGAATTCTGCTACGAAAACTCACGGAAGGCCGTGCTCCGAGCGGTGCAGCTGCATCAGGTTCATTGACGCCGCAACGTCTTCCTCGTCGCCTGGTGTCCCCTTCGCACCGACATGCTTCCCATCGGCTCTGCTCTCAGCGGTGGCAACGACTGGACTATCCAACCTCTCCTTTTCCGAAGCAGCTTCCTCGCGTTCCTCTTTACCCCCACAGTCCTTACGCCCACCATTCTCCTTCCCACCCGTCTTCCCCGCCCGCGCCTCCCTCACAGCCTTACACTCCTCCACCCCATGCCTCGCCTCCACATCCCCACACCCACAGCCCCAACACCTACACCTCTCAACCGCCCACCCACACCCGGCGCACTTCTCGCTCAGCTCAAAAGCGACTTCAGCCTTCTCTGCCTGACGCTTGCACTCGCTGCACTCGCACTCGCACTCGCAGTCCCAGTACGTGAGGTCGCAGTGATGACACACGTCCTCGACGAGGCAATCGCATTCTGACCAGGTATTCTCGCAGTCGCCGCAATGGGCCAGCGAGCCACTCTCACTCTCCTCATCCCCCTCCTCATCCCCATCAACCCGTCCCGTATCCCCACGCTCAGCCGAAACCCTCACCCCCCTCCCCTCGACCCTCCCCAGCGCAACCAACACCTCAACCACCCTCTCCCGAAAAAACGCATATATCTCCACGGCGGATTTGTCATCGACGGGGACGGACCAGCGTTCCTACGGCGTCGGGGCGTCAATGGTCTGGTAGTCGCAGAGGAGTTGCGTGTAGGCTGGGCTCTGCATGTAGGCGGTTAGGGCGCGGGAGGCGGGTGCGGTGAGGGAGGCGTAGTGGGAGGGGTCTGAGGAGGAGGTGCGGAGGAGGGAGAGCTGTGTTCTCGTCATGTCCGTTAGCCACTCACACCTCACAGCAAAAAGAAGGGCAAGGAGTGCGAGCAAAAGAAAAGACTTACGCAATCATCGAGTTCCTTCAGCTCAGCCTCGACTTGTTTAGTACCATTCACATCCTCCCACACCCCCCTCCCCCCCCTCACCTCCTTTTTAACCATCTCAAACTCCCCCACCCACCCACAAATCCCGACAACCTCCTCCATACAACCCCCCAGCACTTCCCGCAAATGATCCCACGCCACCAAATCCAGCACCGCCGTCAACGCCGCCGCGCACAGCCTTACATAACTCGCGAGCTCCGGCGTGGATGGTATGGTTTCGAAGGCGGAGGCGACCAAATGCCCGCGGTCGAAGTGGCCGGGCGAAGAGGTGATGCTGGTGAGGAAGCTGAGGGCGGCGAGGTGGTTGAGGTCCTGGGCGCCGGAGGGAGCGGGGGGGAAGTGGAAGGTTTTGCAGGTGGGCGGGGGGATGGGGAGGTTGGAGGGGACGGGGTTGGAACTGTTGGGTGTTGGTAGGGAGGAGTCGGGGGCGGGTTTGGAGTCGTCGGTGTGGAGGGCAGATGGGGTGGTGGCTGCTGTGGGCATCATGGGAGGTCGGGAGGCATTCTCGCTGGGAGCTGGTTTCGGCGTGGTAGCGTCGGGTTCGGCGGCGTTGTTCGAGGTCTCGACTGGCGTGGAGAATGAGGGTTTAGAAGCAGGCGACGGACGCTTGTACTTCCTGCGATTCTCCGGCATGCTTGCGAGCGAGTCTGGACAGCGTTGGTACCTTGTCGTCGATCGTCGCTGGATAGCACTGTGGAAGAATGACGGTTTGTCCTGCTCTCATGAATGTGTGAAGCGATACTGTCTTGTGTCTGCGGACGTTGATGATGAGATGATCTCGAAGGGATGGAGACGTAACACTGAAGGGATGGAGACGTGAGATGTCCCTGTTGAAGATACGATGTTTGAGAAGTTTTAGGAGGCAAGCACTTATCATACCTTCGTACATGCAGCTTCCACGAGTACCGCCCAACGCCACGCTAAATGTTTCAGCAAGAGCATACCAGCCAGATCAAGCGAACAACACCCGATCGTCGAGCTCGTTGACCTCCCTCCTCCCTTCACCCGTCCTCAACCCCAGATCCCTCTTCTTCACCTTCCTCTCCACCGTCCCCTCGGCCCTCTTATTATACCGCCCCGCCTTCGCCCTCCTCAAATCACTCCTCACCTGATTCGGGTTCACAAACTCCTTATTCTCATAAATCACCGGCCCGCCAAAACTGCCCTCCAACATCACAATCGGCGTCAGCACGAATCTTGGCCCAATCTCCACCAGACTCAGATTCGTCTCGCTGCCCTTCCCGTTCACCGTCGGCATCTCCACGTCCCCGTCCCCCGTCTTCCCCTTGCCGGCCTCCGTCTCCGAGATCTGATAGCACCGCACCCACACCTTCCCCCCCGCGACCGTAAACCCCATCACATGGTCCACGAACGGCTTCCCGCCCCTCGCCCGCTCCGGCACCCCGAACGCCTGCGTCAGCAACTCCTTCAACACCCGCAGATGCGCCTGCTTCTCGAACGCCGCATCAAAAGACAACACCGGTCTGCTCCCCTTCAAACAGTTCCCCGTGAAATTCAGCTCCTCCATCGTGTGGATATTCTGACAGTGCATCTTCACCGTCGGGCCATTGGGCGGTTTGGACAGCCAGAGGTACAGATCTTGGGATTTGCGGGCCTCGAAGAAGGCGATGTTGTTGCAGTTGTAGAGGTCCGCGAGTTCGTTGAGTTGAGGGAGGTCGGTTTTGGTGTCGAGTTTGGCGTCTTTGCGAGAGTGGGGGAGGAGGGCGTGGAGGTCGGCGAGGAGGTGGCGATGTCTGTTGTATGGTATTAGTATAGAGGGGGAGTGGTGGGTGTGGTGGAAGTACCGATATGTTACGCCGCGGGAGCTTAGGATGAGGAGGCGTTGGCGGTTCTTGGGTTTGGAGTCGCCATTTTCGGTGGGTTGTTGGGACGTGGCCTTCTTTTTGGATACTGATTTGTATACCGAGGCCATCTTGTGTAGGTGCTGTTTGGTTGTCGAAGTCGCATTCGAGATGGTTTGAAGCGAAAGAGCTCAGAAAAATGTAGGAAGCTTTTCCAACCAATCACGTGCTAGCGCCGAATCTGGAACTCCCTCTCAACTCCACGGATTGCGCCGATTCAAAGGCACGAATTGACGAAGTCAGCTTTGCAGCTCCGATTGTCTGCGAGGCTTTGTTTGAAGAGAAGCATACAACGACGAACTTGACAGGTAGAAACATAGACCAATCGAAATGCGAGTACCACGCCACAATAATCATCTCGTCTCTTTTGGGATATATCAGACTTCACCTCTGTATACTGTTAAAAGTAGGTGGTGCTGGCAGATGGATTGTGGAAGATGAGGCACGGAAGGCGAAAGCCCCTTGGCTGGATTCCAACACCAAGCGCCACTGCTCTCCGTCATCCACCGTCCATCACCGTGTCCATCCATCCATCCATCCCCCCTCCACCGAAATCCACCAATTCATCACCGCCGCCGTCTCGTGCATCCCCGTGCCTCGCGCGTCCACGCGGACAGCCGAAGCGTGAATTGTCGATTGCTCGCTCATTCACCTTCGGACCTAGGGATAGGCGAGTCGGCCACCGCAGCCTCGACTCTGCTGCACGGCGAGAACAACGATAGACCTGTCCATCACGAACCCGACACCAAGGCAAGGCAGTTCCATCGACGGACATCGCCCAGACATACACGACATGGCTCCTCGATCGTCCTAGCAGCACATCAAGAGCAAGCCCACCATGTTTTCTGCGGATCGCCGGCAAACGCCCACTTCGCCCGCACAGGGTCAGGCGCAAGGGAATGCCTATTCACCTGCGAGCCACAACAGGACTGGCTCATTTTCCGGCGTCCCTCCATCGCCGAACCACTACCAGAGCCTCCCCGTCTCACCCACATCCACCCGCTTCCCACCACCACCCTCGCCGACAGCACGCGACCGACCGCCTTCAGGCTACTATGACCCTACAAGCGAAGCAAGAGCAGGGATGCGCGAGCAGAGCGTGAATGGCACTCCATACCAGCCTCGCTCGCCGGTCCAGGTAAGCCATGCCCGGAAATTCACATTCATTCTGAGCTATCAATACTGATTACCGCTAGCAACGCGATCATTCTTTCAACCAACACAGCTTTCCACCTCCTCCACCTAGACCATCCTTCATGAACGGCCACCCCCACGAACCACATCCCGCCTTCATGCCTCCTCCGAACCAATCCTCCCCCGCATCTCACGCGCATCCAGGTCCACCACCGAGCTTGACATCCCCGCCGCTAAACTACGATACTGTGCGCTCCAACGGCAACCACACCCACGCGCACTCCACCAGCCAAGATTCCAATACCTCCTCACAACCTGCGCCGCGAAGGTCGAACCCGATGTCGATGAACAACATCCTCAGTGAAGCTGCGCCAACTACACCAGAGGTGAAAACCAAGGCGCCATCGCCAGTGAGCAGCATGGCTGCGAAGCCGCACAGCCGGAAAGCGAGCAGGGCATCAAGCGTCTCACAAGCACCGCCCACAAAGATGAAGCAAGAGCCGCTAGATCCACCACGTCCGTCAGCGCAGCCTCCTCGCGCGTCTCTGCCACCGCAGACGGGTCCGCCATCCTTAACGATAAAAGCGACTGAGAGTGCTTGGGCCGAAATACAGGCTATGGATCTGTCGGATGTTGAGAACGAGGACCATCCCTTTGCGCGCGAGCAGAAGGAAAACTACAAGAAGCTCAGTGACAAGCGCACTCTGGAGTTGGAAGCCAACGAAGGGGTGAAGCGCAAGCGGCGCCGCGCAAACCTCATGGGCAAGTTCTACGAACACTTTAATGATGCTGCAGAGGCGGAGCGACAGGCGTTCATTGACGCGCATGAGAACGAGGTGGCTGAGGAGGTGCGCCAGAAGGAGGTCGAAGAGGACAAGGAGCGCAAGAAGGATCAGCAGCGCAAGCGAAGGCGCGAGAAGGCTATTGCGGACGAGCAGGTCAAGCTCGATGAGGCGATTCAGAGTCTGGCGAACGTGCAGGACGACGAAGAGAAGGCTCGCCTTGAGAAGGAGATTCAGCGCTACGAGAAGAAGATCCGGGACACGCACAGCCGACTTCAAGGCATCACTCCATCGAAGGAGTTCCGGCATGAGTCTCCTCACAACAACGCTGCACTTGGGAGAAGAGAGCGCGAGGTCGCGATGGAGGGCGGGCTCATGACATCCTTCTACAGCACCAACAGCATGAACGAGGAGGGCACGCCAGAGTACTCGGCATCAGCACGTGGTCGCGCAAAGGCGGGCAGAGGCGGCGCCAGCGGTGTACGCGCTCGCAAGAGCAAAGAGCAGAAGCAAGCCGAGAAGGACAACGCTGCTCGTGGACAGGCATTCCTCGACCAAGGCCAAGATCTGCCAGCTCTCGCTCCCAAGGAGGAAGAGCGATTGCTGAGCTACGGCGAGCGCCGCCGCCAGATGGACCGCGAGGACTCCGAACTCTCCGACATTGCCCCTACGGCATTCGACATGCAGCCCACGGCTGGTCTGACGGGCATGGCGAAGTTCGAGAGCAAGGGGTACAACCAGATCTACGAGCAGATCTCGCGGGATATTGCCAAGAGTGTGCCAAAGGTCGTCCGTATCAAGAACAACAGCCTGGACACCAAGCAGTCGAACGCTCGCAAGACGGCCCAGCTGGCTGCCAAGGAGGCGCGACGATGGCAGCTGCGCACGAACAAGAGCACGAAGGATGTTGCTGCTCGCGCGAAAAGGGCTATGCGGGAGATGCTCGGCTTCTGGAAGCGCAATGAGCGCGATGAGCGAGAAGGTCGCAAGGTCGCTGAGAAGCAAGAACTCGACAAGGCTAAGAAGGCTGAGGCAGACCGCGAAGCCAACCGGCAAAAGAGGAAGCTCAACTTCTTGATCAGCCAGACGGAGCTGTACAGCCATTTCATCGGCAAGAAGGTCAAGACTGATGAGATCGAGAAGTCGGGTGTTGATGGCGATGGGGTCGCGCCGACCGCACAGACTGTGGAGGACAAGCCTGGTGCGAATGTCGTCCAAATGCCTGACGGCAAACTCAAGGCCAAGGTCACTAACTTTGAAGACCTGGACTTTGACGCTGAGGACGAGACCGCGCTCCAAGAAGCGGCCATGGCGAACGCACAGCATGCCATTCAAGAGGCTCAAGATCGCGCGCGAGCCTTCGACAAGCAAGAAGGTAACGACAGTATGGATCTACAAGCCGCCCAGGACAACTTCGACGAGGGAGAGATGAACTTCCAGAACCCGACCTCGTTGCAAAGCATGGACATCACCCAGCCGAAAATGCTCGACTGCCAGCTAAAAGAGTACCAGCTCAAAGGTCTCAATTGGCTGGTCAACTTGTACGAGCAAGGCATCAACGGTATCCTTGCCGATGAAATGGGTCTGGGCAAGACTGTGCAGAGTATCTCCGTCATGGCATACCTGGCTGAAGTCCACGACATCTGGGGACCTTTCTTGGTCATCGCGCCTGCCAGTACCCTGCACAATTGGCAGCAGGAGATCACGCGCTTCGTGCCGGATATCAAAGTCCTGCCATACTGGGGCTCTGCGAAAGACCGGAAGATCTTGCGCAAGTTCTGGGACCGCAAGCACATCACCTACAACCGCGAGTCACCCTTCCATGTGCTGGTGACGAGTTACCAGTTGGTTGTGCAAGACACCGCGTACTTCCAGAAGGTGAAGTGGCAGTACATGATCCTCGACGAAGCGCAAGCCATCAAGTCCAGCCAGAGCTCGCGCTGGAAGAGTCTGCTCGGCTTCCACTGCCGCAACCGTCTCCTGCTCACCGGCACGCCTATCCAGAACAACATGCAAGAACTCTGGGCCTTGCTGCATTTCATCATGCCCTCGCTCTTCGACTCCCACGACGAGTTCTCGGAATGGTTCAGCAAGGACATCGAGAACCACGCGCAGTCCAACACCAAGCTCAATGAGGACCAGCTGCGCCGTCTTCACATGATCTTGAAGCCTTTCATGCTTCGTCGCATCAAGAAACACGTGCAGAAGGAGCTGGGTGACAAGATTGAGGAAGACGTCTTCTGCGACCTCACCTACCGCCAGCGGGCTTACTACACAAATCTGCGCAACAAGATCTCAATTCTGGACCTGATCGAGAAGGCTGCTGTGGGCGATGACCAGGATACAGCTACGCTGATGAACCTTGTCATGCAGTTCCGCAAGGTGTGCAATCACCCGGACTTGTTCGAGCGAGCCGAGATCACCAGCCCGCTTGCCATGAGCGCTTACGCGGAGACGGCAAGTTTCATGCGTGAGGGCAGCTTCGTGCAGATGGCGTATAGCGTCCGTGGACAAGTGGAGTATTGGCTGCCGAAGATGCTTGCGGAAGGGCAGGGGAGGCTGGATGTTGCTGGGCCCGAGAACGAGAAAGCAGGCTGGAAGACGAAGTTCCTTGGGACTGATGGCAGTGTCTTTGACGAACGCAACGTCGTCAAAAGCAACGCCTTCTCCTGGCTCCGCTTCATAGACATGTCGGCTACTGATGTGGCTAGCACGGCGAAGAAAGGCATCTTCGAGCGCGCGGTTGGTGTGTTGCAGCAACATGATCGACTGGGCAGATTCAAGGTCGCCTACGATGATGACGAGGAAGAGCAGGAGAATGCTGGGTTCACGCCTGTGCATTCGATGCTCAATATCGTTCAGCGCAACAGCCGGAAGCCGCTTGCAGACGTCACGCAGGATGGAATCTTGAACAAGCTGATGAACGTCTCCCGACACTCGATTGAGGAGAAGGGCTACTCCGTCATCGAGGCCTGCTACATCCCGCCTGCGTCTGCGCCGCCGGTCGACCTGGTGTGTCCGAGCGACAAGGCGATGGCGGAGAAGGAGTCGACATTGTTCAACGTCCCAATCCGCCGGGCACTCTACCCGGTCAACACGCCGACCGAATCTGCCTTGCTACACTCGAAGCTCCCGGCATCAAAGTACCCACCCACCGGCCTCCTACCCGCGCCAGCCTCCCAAAAACAGCGCTTCACCCAAATCCAAGTGCCCAGCATGCGCCGCTTCGTCACCGATTCCGGCAAACTCGCCCGCCTGGACCAACTCCTGCGCCAATTGAAAGAAGGCGGCCACCGCGTCCTTCTCTACTTCCAAATGACCCGCATGATCGACCTGATGGAAGAATACCTCACCTACCGCAATTACAAATACTGCCGCCTCGACGGCTCGACCAAACTCGAAGACCGTCGCGACACCGTCGCCGCTTTCCAGAGCAGCAACGACATCTTCGTCTTCTTGCTCAGCACACGCGCAGGCGGGTTGGGAATCAACCTCACCTCCGCGGATACTGTGATTTTCTACGACTCCGACTGGAACCCCACCATCGACTCCCAAGCCATGGACCGCGCGCACCGGCTCGGGCAAACGCGACAAGTCACCGTCTACCGCCTGATCACGCGCGGCACGATCGAAGAGCGCATCCGCAAGCGCGCGCTGCAAAAAGAAGAAGTGCAGCGCGTCGTCATTTCCGGCCAAGCGGGCGGGGATAAAGTCGTGGATTTCAATAATCGTGGCGGCGAGAAGGTCACGAATCGCACGAAGGAGATGGCGATGTGGCTTGCGGATGACGAGCAAGCGGCTGCGATTGAAAGGCGGGAGGCAGAGGTGCTGGAGGAAGAGGCGAAGGGGCCTGCTGGTGCGGGCGGCCGGGGGAAGAAGAGGAAGGCGCCTGCTGCCGCCGGCGGCGGAGGGGCGAAGAGGGGGGCCAAGGAGGTTAGTATGGATGATATGTATCATGAAGGTGAGCTCGGACATCCTCCTACTTTGCAATGAAGGGGCTTTTGCTGACGTTGGTGGAAAATAGGTGAGGGCAAGTTCGAAGACGGCCCCCCGAACGATGCCTCCGGTGCCGCGACACCCGTGGCAGCCGGCGATGGTCCGCCGGCGGCGAAGAAGAAGAAGGGGATGAGTAAGAAGGCTAAGACGGTTAAGCAGCGATTGGCTGTTATTGATGGGGAGGTCGGTTGAGGAGCATGTGGAGTGGGGGGGTGTATTATTATGGTCTTGCTCGGAAACACGGCGAGGTGCATGGATGTTGCCGTTTGGGTTGGGATGGGGGTTGAGCATTCATGTCTTGATAGAAAAGACTCCCGATGAGATGGGTCATCGAAGGGTGGAGCTCGCTTAGCTCTACAGGGCATAAAGTGCTGTTCCTACAAGAAACTATTCACTACCTTCTATCCTCTTCCCGCTCGGCCATCTTTTGTACCTCCTCATCAACCTCCCACGCCAACCACCCCGCCACCACCACCACGCTCCCAAACGTCACACCAATAATCGCCCTCCCTCTCGCGCCCTGCTTCGCCTTTAGTCCCTCATCCTTGCCAAGAATCGTCACGACGTTCCGCAAGAAAGCGTAGCTCAGCCCGCTCCACACCGTCGTCCCCGCGACCAGAAGCTGGAAATACTGCATCCCCTGCTTCAACACCTCGTCCCCTACGCCGAGGAGGCCGGCGTACTGCCCGCCGGAAGTGACGACGGGGAGCGCGAGCGTGGAGCCGATGAGCAGGAGTTGCAAGAGGGTATTATACTTCGACACGGTCGTCGGATGCACTTCCGCGCTCGGCAGCGAAAAATCCCAATACCGCATCATAGTCTTCGGCGCCGGCAGCGAAGCGTAGCGGTAATAAATCGCCGCCACCGCCAAACTCGCATCGCGCCCTAGAATCAGCGTCGCCAAGTATACCGGAATCGCGCCCTTGACCGCCAACGTAACAGTCAAAACGATCATGAGCGCTTTATCCGCCATCGGATCGATCACGCTCCCCGCGACGGTCTGCAGGTGGAATTTCCGCGCCATCCAGCCGTCAAGGAGGTCGGTGAGGCCGGCGTAGGCGAAGAGGGCGAGGGCGTATTTGTGGTGGTCGTGTAGGAGGAGGTAGGCGGTTAGCGGGGCGGCGAAGAGGCGGGAGAGCGTGAGAGCGTTGGGGAGGTTGTAGATGTTTTCGTGCGACGTCAGGCCGGGGAGGGAGGATTTGACGCGGTCGCGGACGGCGCGGGTTTGGGTGCGGGCGGCGGCGATGCTCCTGGAGATAGGGGCTGTTGGTTGTTTGGGGGCGCCATTTTGTGGTTTCTGGGGGGTGAATCGTTAGCTTCAGTTGGTGTGAGTGAGAATGCTGATGTGCGCGCTGCTGCTGCTGCTCGAGCAGAGTTTGCCCGGGGCGTTGTAGGCAGAGTTCCATAGCCCAAAGTATAGCAGAGAACTGATGAGTGATATGAAATCACGTGCAGCCGTTGCCTCCGCCTTCGACACCAAATCTCGGCCCTGACTCCGCCCGCACATATGATCGCGAGATCAAACCACGGCGTGAATATCTCCGCGGCCCAAGGACGAGGAGCCTCTGCGCCATGGCGCTGCGCCCCGTTGAAGGTGGGGTGGGCAGGGCATTCAGGGGAAAGATAAAGCCAATGCTCGTCAGAATGCGGTAGGTCCAAGTTCTGAAACATTTTTTTTTTCTCGCTCTTTCGTATGAGGATATGAGAAGCGATGGGAATCCGAACTTACTTCATCCCCCCGCGGCGGCGAGGAACGCGGCTTGGCGTCGTCGGAGACGAGACGGGAATGCTGTGGTTGTGGTAACCATGGTATAGCCGGCGGGCGAGGTCCGCTGTGGTGTCGTATCAGCGAGGTTGTAATAAGTGGTAGTGGAGGGGGGGGACGCATACCGAGAGATAGACCGCGGCTGTGTTGGCCATTCGCAGGTCGAAGAAGAGGGGGTCCGTAGTGTCGACCGTACCAGAAGATGACGAGGGTCCCCTTTTGACCAGCTGGCAAGACATCGTCCGCGGCTAGCAGTCTGGACGCTGTTCGTTTGTGCAGCCTGCCGACAAGCTCGTCGTGTCGTCAAGCCAGCCAGACTGGCCATATCGATCAGGAGGCCATGTCGTATCATCTCCTCCTCATCATCGTAAGGGGGGGGTGAAGTGCGAAAGCTGGAGATCCCGTAACGTTGGCTAGCGCAAGAAAGGATCTCTCTCCGCTGCAGGAAACCGGCCCCAGTCGAAGCTACTACTGCACGCAAGCTCGGAAATCACATCGTCGTACCGGGATCCGTTGGTGTCGATTGTGTGCGATCGGCGAGAGGGGTCGGCGTAAGCGCTGATAGTAGTCGTGTTTCGTTGGACTAGAGGGGCCCTGATCTGCTCGATCAAAATATCATGACCTCGGCCATCGAGCTCCACCGGATAGCGGATGCTGTGCGACCGCGAGACGAGATGATCGGCGACAAGGGTGTTGAAGATCAGCAAGGTTTCGCTTGGAGATCATAACGGCGACGACTCGAGCCTGTTCCTGAGCTGCTGTGTAACAGTGACGATAGAAAGTTTGTGAAGCAGTGCAAATGAAGAAACGTGGAAGGTATCACAGCAACAGCAATCGTGTATGTCCATGCTGTATAATACATGTAGTTACAATAAAGCCAGCGAAACACTTTTCCTCGCGGCGAACCCATGCCATTACCACCCGAAGCTGAGGAATAATAACAGCTGTGTCCCTTCGTGTCTGTCCTTTCAAGCCATTGCCTTCATGTCACCATCGACGCCTCTTTGAAACACTGCTCTCGCCTATTCCATCATGACTCTGTGAATGATTACGCCACAAAAACGCCTCCCAACATTCCATGAACTACCGGTAGTGCTGTGCTGACGAGCCGTAGCCTGCATACGTCTGCGCTGTCGGACTCGGCATGGCCGTGCTGCTGTAGGATGGACTCTGCATCGTGGTGCTGCTGTAGGCCGGCCGCGACGTGCTCATCGATCCGTATGTGGAAGGGAACGCAGGTGCGTACTGACTCGCGTACGACATTGAGTTGGAGCTCGCCATAGAGTTGGAGCTTGTCGTCGTCCCGTCCTCAGTCTTGGGGGTTTGCTGCCCTTGCGGCCTGTAGTAGTTGTTGAATCCTGTACCATTGTATCCTGGATGGTTTCCGTACGCGATCGCTCCTCCGTTTTGCTGTTGAGCTGCATGACTTCCGTATTGGACTGGCGGTGCGCCTTGCTGGGTGGGCCACGCGGAGCTGGGAAGGCCATAAGCGTTGGCGCCAGGCTGTGGCATCTGATACATCGACTGCGGGTAGTGCTGTCCGGGGAAGAATTGACCTGGTCGCACGGCGTAAGGCCCTCCTGCCGTCGAGTAGAGCATGTGCGGGTGACCAGAATTGCTGCCGTCGAGCGCGAGATGCTCGCCATCCTCGATAGGTGAACGGAAGTTCTGCTTGAGGTACAGCTCCGGTCTGATCGATATGCCGTGTAGACGCGGGTCGGCCTGAGGACCGAGCAGTTTGCCGTTCTTCACATCGTCAACGTTGTAATAAGAGACCATGTGGTGCGAGATGTTGTTGATGGTGATGCTCATGGTCTTCTTCACGAGGCCGCCCGGTCGGAAGCCGTAACTGTCTACCAGCGAGCCGATCAGATGGCGTTCCATGTCCTTGTCGGCTTCGCTGGTGGGCTGCTCCGACTTGACTTCACCGTTCGCGGTTGGTGTTGGAGGAGTGATTGGCGTGATCTGATCTCCCACTTCGTTCTCATCCGAGTCGCGGCGAGGGTAGGGGTCACCTGGAACACCTTGTCGCTTGCGCTTCATTGCACGTTTCTTCTCGCCTGGTGGGAATGGCTTCTCGAGCTCGCGGTAGATGAGGAAGTTGCCGAGAATGCGACTCGGGCTCCAGGCGACGCCATCAGTCCATCTCTTGATGCCTGATGCGTTCTCTTCGTAGATGAAGATGCTGCCGCTCTTGATGAGGTGTGAGCGCTCTCTGTCGTGCGGCCGGCGGGGTACATGGTGAAGCTTCCCACTCAAGCACGCCTCAAACAACATAAGACCGTCCGTTGTGGTCGATACGAAGCCATGGAAAGTGGGCACTAAAGGCCCTGCTCCAGTGCCACCACTCATGGTGGGTTTTCTTGCAAGGACGTCCTCCGAGCAGGTGAGTGCGGTGCAAGCCGAAGACTGACGGTCGAAACGCTGCGTAGCACCGACAGCAGCTCCGCGTGTCGTTGTCAGTCGTCTGTTCGGCGAACGCGCAAGGTTAGAGTGTCGAAGTAAGTGATAAGCTTATGCTGGAGAGATAAAAAGGTTCTCGGCAGTGAACTTATGGTAGACACTGGGTGAGGAGGATCAGAAGAATTTCGAGGTTGCGTGCCAGTGGTGGTGCAGCGAAAGGTAAATGTGGTAATCCAACCCCAAAAGCCCAAGGCGAACAAAGTTGCGGAGCGTATGAGGAAGGAAGGAGTGGTAAGTTGCGGGCAGTCGCGCCGAGGAACTGGTCTGCGTCCAACAACCTCTGCAAAGCCAGGTTTGGGTCAGCGGCGGCGAAGGCGAAAAATCTGGCGCCATCGCCATCGCGCAGGACTCACCAGTGGCACCTCAATTGACAAGACCTCCGATAGCTACCGACTCCGGCCGTGCGAGGGGCGCAGCTCTATTACGTGGATGGATGCTGGACGAAGTGGACTCCTCCCCCTAGGAGATTCGATGCACCTCTTTGTCGGCAACACAGCCGGGTATCGGGTAGAGGCCCAGGCCTTTATGATCGCCGACCTCCCACGGCGGGCGACTCACGAAGTGCTTATGTGTTAGAGCGGATGCGCTCGACTGATTTCGCCCTTGCTCCGGGAGACACGATCGCGCGATGCCGATATGGTTAGTGTGGTCGTGGGAAGAAGCGATATGTGCGCTCTCCTGGTCTGCCCAGCTTCCGGAGACATTCGGCGCGTCGTGGATGTCGTGGTTGTTATGGCTCTACCTTCACGCAGGTACCAGGCGGAGTGGTTGAAGGTGATAGAGTTGCGGGCGCGAGGAACTCAATCTCTGTGGGGTTGCTTCAGACTCTGTCGGTCGGGCTCGCTGATGAGGTGATGTTCGTTGTGAAGTCTGGTTGCAAAGCTGCTGCCACTCCCGCGGGCCTTCAGATGGGCCGCGATCTACTCCCAGCACTTCCGGCCTCGCACTGACTGACGATCTCACTGACTCGACTCACTGCGAGATTGTGCTTGCTGCTGCTGCATATAGCCTTGCTTAGTCTCCGCTTCAATTCGCCCTCCTCCATCACGCCTTCGCAAGCCGGGCGAATGCTTGCAGAACCTGGCCCTCCAATGGAAACCCTTCCGGCGCCTTTCTCCTAGCGTCTGCAAAGGACAACCAGATCCGTGCTGGACGTCAGGTGAAGCGCTCACGCAGTGGAGATGGCTAGCGCGGACGAGAAGGCCCGGTGAAGATACTTCCGCCAGTGATGCTCCTTCTCAGCCCGGATATCAAGCCATGAAAGTCAGAGCTGGTTCCTGCGCGCTTGTGAGGATCCGAGAAAATGGAATCTGTCTGTGCCCTCTCGGGATCTGTCTTTCGCCTCAAACTCTGTAGCCACAACCGGGGGATCTGTATCTTCGACCAGACCTCACTCCATCAATCTATGCCTGCATGGCTAGGTGGAAGTCTGCTCAGACTCTATGCGCAGCAACCAGGGCGGACCCTCAATCAATCAATCAATCACGAGCGCCACTGACTACACACTCAATCTGGATAACGCGTTGGTGTATGTGGGTCGGTCCGGCTTCCATCTGGTGATCTGCGCGAGCTGCAACGAGCGGCACAAGCCGGTCACCCAACGGCCAATGCGGCCTTTTATTGTGATGATGACAAGGATCTCTTCCTCTTGGACAGCCACTCCTCTGTAATTATTCGACGTAATGCTCGAGGTTTCAGCGGCGAGCGAGTAGGCCTGGCCAGACCAGCCAGACCGTCTAGCTAAAGCTGACGAGTGACCTTGTTTTTGACCTGCTAGACCTGCTATACCCGCTAGACCTGCTACACCTGCAGACGGGCAGGACTACGAAGTGAAGCAATTTCACGATTGCGCGACGTGGAGAAGCGCCGTAACCAGCAATTGCAGTAGAAAGCTACTAGGCTTCTCCGAGGAAGTGAGTAGGCGATATGGGCTGGACGACATCAACCACACCATGCACCGTATCTCGATTGATTGAGAAGCGGCGATTGGACTCCCCCACCCCTGGCGGTGCCTGGCGTCGACTGCGACATCGTGCATACAGCCACAACAGCTCCGCTGCACGACACATCAACAATCAACCTCCAAGCAACCTCTTACCTAACATGATGAAACCCCTTTGAAATCTGATCAGTGATCACAAAGGAATCACAAAGAGCAAAGACCTAGTTCTCTCAATGACTCGTAGCGACGAGCGTCGATCATGCATATTACTCTTTAGGCCCGCCGTTGTGGCTGTGCCAGTATTGAAAACCGTTGGAGTTCCTGATGATCTGTCTCTCGTTGTTGTGAAACCTCGTCTCGAGCCCGAGTACTGCTCTCAGGGTCTGCTAGCAATGAGGGGCCGACGGCGGAAACAGCGCCGCGTCGAGAAGCTGTTTTTGTCATCACATGCAACGAATGCACAACCAGGGTTCGAGCAGGGCCGGCTATACGACCTTCAGCTCAATATTGTCTGCACAATCGTGGCCACCACCTCGCGTCGCTGCACGCCGCACGCCGCACGCCGCAAGCAACTACCTAGAACAGAGCTTGCTTGACGAGCTGAAGAACGATTCTGGTTCTCTCGCTGCGGTCGAATGGCGTTGTCGAACCACGGTACTGGATGGCTTGTGAGAACGCCATCCCGTTGCCCCCCGTTCCAGTCGGCTCTACTGCTGCCAACCGAGCATCCACTCCAGCATCCATGTAACCGCTGTCTTCTAGGTAGGCTATCTCCCAGACTATGGTCGAGCACGATGACAATTGCTTGTACAGTAGCCCGGATACCCAACGCCGCCGGCTAAACCACCAGCCGTCTTGCATATGCACAAATGCAAAGCACAAGCAGCAACGAGGAGCCTCGCTAGAACCACCGCCACCAGTAGTTGCTCGTGTGCAACCGCCTCGTCTAGGAAGACATCCTCGTAGACCACTATAGGCAAAAAACAACCAACCTGCTGGGTCCAACCACAACGTCCATACTACCAAACCAGAGGTACCCACAACCCCTCCTGTTCCCGTTGACAGAACTCTATCGCCCTCCCCCCAGCCCGTCGACATAACTCTATCGCCCTTCCCCCAGCCCGTCGACACGATCTACCATCCTCGTCTAATGCATCACCCTACATCCCGGTCGACATAACTCTACCACCCTCCCTGCAGCACGTCTAATGCACCATCGTACATCCCCGTCTGCACAATTCCAAATACAGCAAATGCTGACGGGACAGACAGACGCGCACGCCGACGCTCCAGGGCTTCCCCGTCCCGTCAGGTCGTTTCGTCCGTAATGCAGGGTGACGGTGACGATTGCGTGCTTTCCGTTCTTCGCAAGACCCTCCCGCGGGACGACGCAGGTACGGAAACCAAATTGTAATGAATCGACCCGGAGGCAGGCCCGACAGCTGCGTCGAGCACTATCGGCTGCCTCCTCCTTGACCGTCGAAGTTCATGGTAGCCGGGCGGAGTCAGATGCTCGTTCTAGAGGCTGGGCTAGGTGGGACAGTCTTGTAGGTACTACCTACCTACAGCGCCCAAGCAATGAGACCAGCAACCAGCCGCCTGCCCCTTCTCCTCACGAACGCGAACTCTCCAACATCCCCCGTCCCCCATGACATCCCACATCCTCCCACCCCTGGGTGTCTGTGCGGTGCGGGCGGGGTGATGGAGAAGCAGTCCCAGCCGCTGCAGACGAGAGCCAGGTTGCGGCGTTTCGATGAGTTCTTCTCGACCGGTTAGCGTGACGTCTGGGGACGCGGGCAGGCCGTCGCCGCATGCATGGAACCGCAGTAGACGTGAACTGACGGGGTGTCCGAGACGTGCTGTGGCGGGGTGCCCGAGACGTACGTCTGTCTGCAGGCAGGTGCCCTGCGCGATCAGAGACGGCGTTGGGGGAAGACGGGTTCGAAGCGGTCGATGGAGGGGAGGGAGACCTCGAAGAACCAACTATGCTCTGTGCAGGGCTCGAGGGAATGCCATCAGCCCGCGAAGCCACCGCCCGATATACTCTTATTGCTCGAAGCCTGACTTCCCGATGACCAGCAAGCAATAGCGATCATCTGTTGAAGATTACAGTCGTTTCTGCAGCGGGTATCGCTACCCGATGGGACGGTCGAGACGCTTTGGTAAGACGATTCCGGGATGATACCATCTGCTGGACGTCATGGCCCTGTAGATGAGAACACTCGAGAGACTAGCTTCCAATAGTAGCCATGACATGGTCTTTGACCTCCTTCGCAAACTGGGCACTATCTGCTGGACACAGCAGCTGGTAGCCCACGGGTGGTAGGTTCGCTGAGAGGGTGAAGATGGGGTGTATTGAAACTGCCAAACCGAGTGTCAGCTCGATAACCGACCCTTTTTCAGTCTCTGGATGTTAGACATAGGGCCCAGGTACCGGGAGTGTTCTGAATGAAGAGTTCCAGGTTGCTGACCGGAGAGCGCAGTCGAGGAGACGATATCTCAGTTCGGAGTCCCATTCGATAGACAACGGCAACCGCTCTGTAACCCCTACCTAGGCCAAACATCAGCAAAGCATGGATAGCTAACAATGAGACAGCGACTGACGACGGAGACGTGGCGTTGATGTAGGACATATATACACAGAACCCTCCCCCACCTCTCGCACCGCAACCACACCTCCACTACTTCCCGCCCTCAGTAACCACACTCCCCTTAACCGCCACCCCGCCCTCAGGCGTCTCCGTCCAAATCTCCCACCGCCCCTCCCCCGTCCTCGTCCCACAAAACGTCACGGGCTCATGCGCGTACAGCGGCGCGAGATTTCGGTACTCCACACTCTTCACCACCTCTTCCCCCGCTTCTCGTAAGCGCTGTTGTAGGAGCGTGATCATGAACACGTAACTCAGCGGGCCGTGGAACAGAAGCGTGCGGTGGCCTTCGACTTCGCGACAGTACTCTGGATCGAGGTGGATAGCGTGCGCGTTGAATGTTAATGCTGAGAAGCGGAAGAGTAGCTTCGCGTCCGGGACCATGGTGTGTTTCCAATCCGCCTTCTGTTGCGGTCGCAGCTCCTTCCCCTTCGCCCGTCTCGTCTGCTCCTCCGCTTCAGCCTTACTCCTCTCCCGCATAAACACAATGTTCCTCGTCTCCACCACCGAACAGACCCCGAAATCCTCCTCCCCATCCCGCCACAACCGCTGCCTCACCCGATGCTCCAGCGTCTCTTTCACTCCTTCCTCCCCCAACCGTGCTTGCTCCGCCATCTCCACCTCCTCCGCGGAAGCCTTGGCCTGCCGCCGTTCAATGGAAACAAAGACCTTCTCCTCCCCCTCCCGCCCTTTCACGGAAACAGAGCGGATGAACTCCGCACATACACCCCTACCCCCATCGAGCACGAAGGGGTTGGAGTGGTTATACCGCACGCGCCCACCAGCCCACATGCGTCGGACGAAAGGGTCGCCGGGGGATTGGTCCGGGTTGGTGCCGTCGGGGAGCATTTCCGACGAACGCTTTGTTGGTTCGAAGTAGACTAGATGGTGGGGGAGGGGTAACATAGGCGGGTTTGGTTTCGCTGGGGCCAGGATGCTGGGTGGGGAGTGGGAGGACGGCAGGAAGTCGGACAGGGTTATGGACAGGCGGTGGGAGGTTTGCGGGGTGAGGTCGTCGAAGATGGGGGAGATTTTGCGGGATTTCAGTTCGGATTCGAGGTGGGAGAAGGTGGATTGCCATCGCTGGTAGGCTGGGCGGAGGAGCGTGTAGGCGAGACATTGGGGGCGGAGGAGGCGGGTAGGCGTCGCCATGGCTGTGGAACGGGGGAGGCGGAGAGGGATGAATAGGTGAGAATGCAGGGAGAGGAGAAAGGCTGTTGATTTTTTGTCTGGTTGACGTGGGGTTGGAGATTGGAGATGCAGCTTCCCCAGATTGCTTCGAGTGGCCTTTATATCCGGCGTATTGCCAGGACGAGATGAGAGAAGACAGAAGTGCAAGGAGTGACAAGAGTTGGACATCTATCTACCTTTCCATCGGCCTTCCAGGCCCTCCTCATAATCTTCGAGCCCAACTTGCCGTAGCAAGAGGCCGTCCCGACTTCCGCCACAAGGCCATGGATCCCCTCCCAAGCACACGCTCGTTGCCAGAGCGTCCAGTCGTCAAACCCAGACAGCAGATGCCCATCGCCGTAGACATCCGTCCCAACCCGTCAAAAACTCCACAAGCGCCTTCGCTATGCACATCAAAGTCAAACAACCCTCCGAAACACCCATGCCGTCTGGATGCCCCCATCCTAATTGCTCAAAACATTAAGCTTCAACATACGGCGTAAATCGTCCTCCATCGTCCTGATGTCCTGTTGGCCCCCAGAGCCACTTCCAGTACGCGGAGAAGCGCCCGTCGCTGGAACGCCATGCCCCGCAGAAGGAACCGAAGAACTAGTACCATTAGGTAGTGGTAAAGGCGGCATGGTCGCGGGCTGTGAAGCACGGATGTGCTGGTCGAGATAGTTGCGAGAGAAACTATCCGGATCGAGTTGAGGTGGTGGCTGGCGGGAGTGGGTGGGGCTTGTAGGAGAGAGCTCGCCTGAGAGCTGTTGCTGGCGAAGACTCGACGGGCGGGGTGGGGTGTCGTGCTGCGCCGCTTTGAACATTGGGGAAAGGTTGCGGTTGCCGTAATGCAGGGAGTAGTGGTTCTGCTGCTCTGCTAAAGGAACAGGTGTGGATGGACCAGAAGTCGGCCGCTGGAAGGGAGACGGGGTCTGGTAGGGGCTCTCTGCATTTCGTGGATTCGAGTTGCCGCGTGGTGCGCCGTTACTCGGCGATGGAGGGGGTGGAGTAGCATTCACGTTAAACAATAAATCCTTCAGCGACTTGGTGTATGCGTCTCGATCGCCGTCGTTCTGAGAAGGCGAAGCATTGCCGGACGAAGAGCTGCGTTGTGGCGGGACTGGACGGTCGTTGCGTGGCACAGTCTTTGGACTGGGCATGTCGAGATCGCCATCCATCTCCCGCAAGAAGACGCTCTTGCCGGACTGCTGGAACGCATTCCTCGGCTCCGTAGCTGGCGGAGCTCGTCTCGCGGCCATCTCGGGAGACCGCAGGCTCGCACTGCGGCTCTGCTCTCGCTCCGCTTTGTCCGCTTTGAAGAACAGGTCCAATGGCGACAGCTGTGCATCCCGTGGTGGAGCTGGTGCAACAACCTCAGCTTCTGGCGACGATCTTTCGGCCTCCGGTGTCTTTTCGCCAGCCATGCGTGCTCCTAAAGATTGTTGCTGCGCGGCTACGTTGGGCACGGATCTGGAGAAGAACTTCGGTACTGGTAGCGAGGACGGTGCGGGTGATGCTTGGAACGTTGGTCCCGCATACGCCTGCTCTTTCGCTGGTGTTGCTGGGAGTATGCCGCTGCCCATTGACACAGGTCTCGCCTTTGCTCCATTGCCTTTGCCGACGTTGCCGTTCTCTATGGGCGGTGCTCCAGTTGCGACACTCTGGTGTCTTTGTTTGTTGTTGTTGTTGTTCTTCTTGGGCTGCGGACTCGCCATCGGGTTGGTCACTGAGTCGGATACTGTTCCATCGATTTGCGGCAGTGATTGAGAGTGGTTCTTCTTGTGCTTGTTGCGCTTGGTTTTGCTCGGTTGATTGGATGGTTGATTGACCGGAGGCTGTGCAGGCTGCTGGTTCTTGTTTTGTGATGCGGGTTGACCGTTTTCGGCCGGGAAGCTGGCGGGTATGCTGGCCATGATCGCTGAGTGAGACCTCAACGTTATGCAGTCTGGTGGTAGGGAAGCGACAGTTGAATCGCTACGTTGGAGAAGGCGCGTATCGCCTCTTCGGTCTTTGTGGTGTTCGTAGGCTGGTGGTGAATGCGGTAGTGAAGGTAGACATCGGCGAGATTGATAGTGACGGTGAAGATGTAGTATGCAAGAGCTCGTCGAAGTCTTGCTGTGGTAATGGTCGTGTCTGAGGTGGGTGCGTTGGAAGAGAGAGTCGACAAGTGCTTGCGCCGGCTGGCTCATAGCGGTCTTGGCTTACCACGCCGCTTCCAGATCGTGGCGTCCGGCCAACCTTCCGGCTCGCGATGGAACAAGGCACCAGCCGCGATCCGACAATCGATAAGCGTCGTGCACCTTCAAGCAGGAAGCTTTTGTCATTCTTTACGATTCAACTCGCTGCAACACATCGAGACACGAGTAATTCACACTCCCAGATACATCGCGGAGAGTCACCGACCAGCAGCAGGGACCAAGTAAAACCTATCTTGAACCTTAGACCTGCAATCCTTCTAGGTTGTCGCCTTAAAAAGCCCCGCCAACCACGACCTTCACATCATCACCACTTCCTTAACCACGAGGGAAGGATCCGCTTCGACCAGCTCACCGGACCTGTGGAGTACCACAGGCCAATCGAAGAAGCGATAATACTGCTCTTCCCGGGAGCGCAGCACGATACTGCTTCAAAAGCAGTAGCGAAATCATAGGCCATGGCTGATGTGGAGATGATGGACGCTGCGCCAGCGGCCAAGGGCAGCAAAGCTGGTGCTGAGAGCAGCGGGGAGAAGAAGCCTAGATTTGAGGTGAAGAAGGTGAGCTTCGACATACAACCGGGCATATGTGAGGTGGAGGAAGAAGCTAACGTGAGGGACAGTGGAACGCAGTCGCGCTGTGGGCGTGGGACATCGTCGTCGACAACTGCGCCATCTGCCGCAACCACATCATGGACCTGTGCATCGACTGCCAGGCCAACCAGGCTTCGGCGACGTCTGAGGAGTGTACGGTGGCTTGGGGGATCTGCAATGTATGTGCTTGCATCACAGAAAAGTTGGAGCAGAAGCTGACATATGTGGCAGCACGCCTTCCACTTCCATTGCATCTCGCGCTGGCTCAAGACGCGTCAGGTCTGCCCGCTCGACAACCGGGACTGGGAGTTCCAGAAGTACGGTCGCTAGAGGAGGGGAGGGGAAGAAGCAAGAGCGCCACGACTGCAAGCATGGTGAACAAGGTCAACGGAAGCACGAACGAATCAAGGCGCACAAGAGGAATGAGGCATGGGCATCGAAGCTCGGCGTGGCTGGCGTTATGTGCTTCTCGGCAAATGCTAGCGGTTCACAGCACCGTCTGCACCAGCATAGACGTTGCGCTAGCCCTCAAAATGAAAGCTCCAAACACATGTCATCTCCATTCTTTACTCCGAAACCGCGTTGCCCACCCACCCCATCAGCTCCCCTCCACAGTAATCCCCTGCGCCCACGCCCCCCTCCCCGTCCTCGCCGGCAACCACGGCAACGGATCCTTGTTGAAGAACGGCCACGGCGGTACCACCACCAGAAACGTCAGCGCGGTTCCTCCCAGCCCAATGTAGAGTGTCTGGTAGATGTTCTGGGTGACGAAGCCGACGATGAAGGCGAGGAGGCCGGAGAGGGAGAGGAGGGTGGTGGAAAGGGTTTCGGCAAGGCGTTGGCCTTTGAAGTCCTGTAACATGCGGAGGTTAGTGAGAGGATGGTGGGAGGGCAGGAGGAAGGGATGAGGTACGATTTCGCCTTCGTAGATGGTACGCGCTTGTTCTAGGAGGTCGTCCATGGTGCGTGAGGTTGGTTCGTTCAACAGCTGGTTGGGGGTACGGTACATGTAGCTACGTATATCTGGTCTTGAGGCTTGCAGCCAATCTACCCCAATCGGGCTGGTGGCATGTGAGCAATGCTTGTTTCCTGCGAGGCTGCAGAGGCTTGCCCAGGATTATCGCCGCGCAATGCAGTGTCACATGTTCGTCCTCCCCAAGGCTCGTAAAGAAGTCTGACGGTGACTCAACACTTCATTCGATTCTCGTATACGAAGACCGCGATCTCCAAGACTCCCGACGACCGACTTCCTTGATTCACTTCACTTGCGCTTACCCAAAGCAGACACGTCGGTGGTCCGCGCTCCTAGAAAGTTTACATCAGATTCTTCCCCTTCGCCAACTTCCTCAACCCTTCACCAACCGCCTGGTTACACCTCATCCAATACACCCACTCAAGGCTCATATACGACATCTGCAATGTTTTGACTCACCGTCCAACATCACGAACAACACTCGCTGGCCCACCACCAGCAGCCAATAGACACCTCACCATCACCGACGACAACAACTCTGGCTGTGCTTGAGGCATTTTCGCACTCTCGCGACAACCATCCCCTCTACAACGACCGTCCACGCGACGGCTTAGACTCCAATACCATCAAGTTGGCGGGACTCCAGGATCTCCAGTTCTCCCATATCCGCCCTCTCCTCGGACCATTCTGGTTCGTGTGCGGAGGCGACATCAAGCAGCCGCCATAACTTCACCGACCGCGCGTACAAGGGGCTTTCAGACATTGGAAGCGCACGATTTATAGACTTAGAGCCTGATGGGTTAAATTGCTGGCGCTTATAGAGTGTGCTTAAGGGGGTGGAAATTCGCTTCCCCGAGGACGACGATACAGAGGATAGAAAGGGTTGCCACTTGAGGAGGCAAGAATAGGAATCGTAAAGAAGACGAAAGAGAAACGCTCGCGATGGCATACACTCCGCGCTCCGGACGGTCGCAGACCAGGTACAGCACCCCTGAGCCTGATCTCGACGACCACCGCAATCAGCCAGAGAGCCTGCCTACTGTCACTGAGCCATACCATGGCAGGCGCCGTGGTACGCTTGCCAGCATCGCGAGTGCTGAAAGACCGCATGCAAGCCCTGAGCTGGCCGGCCAGTCTTCGAGGCCCACCATGGACCAGCTGGAACTGCCGCAGATGTCGCACTACAGCTCCATCGCTCGGGACTTCGAGCATGCCGTAGACGACAACAGGAGCGTCAAGAGCGGTAGGAGCAACAGATCCGTGCGATCGAACGCATCGAAGAGGTCCGCCGACGAGGACTGGCACAGAGAGCGGCGGGGATCTAGCAGCCCTGTTGCTGCGCGCCGGACTACTTTCAGACGGGCCATCCACAACAGGCAAAAGGAGAACGGACACGAGACGCGCGACAACTCCAGCGACCGTAGCACGTCGCCGCCGAACTCTGTCGATGCATTCGCTCATCCGCCACCACCACGACCGCGCGGCAGAGCTGGAACCGCGAACAGCAAGGTACCTTCACTGGACAACGTGTCGTTGAACCGCTCAGCCTCCAATTTGACACGCCCAAAGCGTCGACCCACGTTTGGTGAGGAGAATGGCACTGCAGGTGGGAGGACCGATGCAGCTTCCATCCGTAGCTCGGTTCAGGAAGACGTATGCTTCCCACCAGAAGACCCCCCAAACACCTACACCATCGACTTCGAGGACCTGGAGGAGTTTGTTGCACAGACTCACACCAAGACCCCAGTGGCGCATCCATTCGCACAGAGCTACTTCGGAAGCCAGACTGCCCACCAGCAGAAGGTGTTCCAGGATCTGCGCAAGAACGAGGGCGCTCACAACGTCCCGGTTGATGGCATTGCGAAATATGCCAGGGATGATGAGGTTGACGAGGAGAAGAAGGCCGAGCTGGAGTCTGAAGAAGAAGAGCTTACGAACGCGCAAACCGCTGGCGAGATGCAAAACCGTTTCACCTTCTTCTCCTCCGAGATCGATGAAACCATTCACGCGCCAGAGCTCGGCGGTCTGCTCATGCCCGGCGAGACCTTCCGCGACCTCTTCGAGCTTGGCCCAGAAGGCGGCGTCTGGTGGCTCGACATGCTCAACCCATCCGAGGAGGAAATCTTCACCATCTGCGGCGCCTTCCGCGTCCATCCTCTTACGCGTGAAGACATCACCACCCAAGAAACGCGCGAGAAAGTGGAGCTCTTCCGCAGCTACTACTTCCTCTGCTTCCGCTCCTTCAACGCCATCGACAAGGACAGCGAAGACTACCTCGAGCCCATCAACATCTACGCCGTCGTCTTCCGCGAGGGCCTCCTCACCTTCTCCTTCTGCCAGAACCCGCACGCCGCGCACGTCCGGAAACGTATCGGTCGGTTGCGCGATTACGTCAACTTGAGCGCGGACTGGATCTGCTACGCCTTTATCGACGAGATCGTCGACGCCTTCGCCCCCGAGCTCCGCGATCTCGAACGCGAGACCGATACCATTGAAGACTCGGTCTTCACGGCCCGCTTCGAGGACTCCCGGGCCATCCTCAAGCAAATCGGCGAGTGTCGCAAGAAGGTCATGGCCATGATCCGCCTTCTCGGCGGCAAAGCAGACGTCATCCGCGGCTTCGCGAAGAAATGCAACGAAGCGTACTCCGTCGCCCCCAGAGGCGACGTCGGCTTGTACCTCTCCGACGTGCAGGACCACGTGGTGACCATGATGTCGAACCTAGGGCACTACGAGAAAATGCTCTCGCGCAGCCACGGGAACCACCTCTCCCAGATCTCGCTTTCTCACATCGAGCAAGGGACGCGGGGGAATGAGTTATTAGGCAAGATTACGGTCTTCGCGACGATTCTCGTGCCGTTGAATTTGATCGCGGGCTTGTTTGGTATGAACGTGCATGTGCCTGGGGAGGGGGCGAGCGGGTTGGGGTGGTGGTTTGGGATTGTCGGGGTGATTTTGGCGTTTACTGTTAGTTGCGTGTTGGTGGCGAAGAGGATGCGGTATATTTGAGTGGAAGGATAGATGGGTGAGGGCGGTGGATGGTTTCGTTTGCTTCGTGTTTTGTGTTGGTAGAGTTTGGGCTCCTAGAATTTTAGATACTCCCCATTTGAGTCTGCTGGGATTTTGCTGCACAGTGTCACCGTCGCCGGCTGGTACTGGCGCACGAACGTTGGATGGGGTGGTCAAGGATTGAACGTAGTTGGTATGAAGCTATTGTCCTACGAACTTCGCAGGGAGACATTCGTCTCACGTCGTCGTTTCTGCCGTGTACTCATTCTGTTGAAGCATGCCTCATCCCCTCAGCCACCGCTCTCACGTCGACCTAGCAGAGTCGCGACTAAGCATCCCTGGGTCTCAGCCTCACTTCTTAGGTCTTGATCCCCCCGACCAAGCCACTGATCTTGTCCATATCAGCGTCAGCCGAAGCATGCGTGACGGAGCCGCCGGGCGTCGCGCACGTGCGGAGAGGCGATGTGACCTGTCCTCCTTGCCTTAGCCACTGCCAACTTGCTGCCAACTCACTGCCGACTCACTGGAAAGAAAAAGTGAAACATACCTTCGGCTTATTCGTCTCCACAATCGCCTTCAAAGAGCCAGCATTGATCACCGGCGTCTTGCCGTTCTTGGTGAGAAGATGCGTCTTGGCCAGCATCTCCGCCACTCCGTTCGTTTCTGCCTCGTTCTTCACCGCGGAGGCAGTCGCAGCGGCAGCGGGGTTTTCGTCACCCTGCTGCGGGCGAGGCATCGGCGTCCCACTCGGCGGAGTGTGGACTGCTGCCGGCGCCTCGCTCACTGCGAGGGTACTATATTGTCAATCTGTAAAAGGTCAGTGTCATGTCAATGATCTTGCGATGGGAGCAATCATTTACCATCGTAGAACTCATCCTCGTCATCAAGATCAGCCAACTGCTCAAAGTTGAGCTTGTAGCGCATGATCGCGCCGATGCCACCAAAGCCTCGCACAAACTGGTTGCCCTCCGAAGACCGATCGGAAACGAACTCCAGCGTGGCACCAAAGTCGCGGTACTTCTCAGCCAGCCACTCCAGGAATGGCTGCTGGTCGACCACTTCCATCTCTTGGCCAGTCTCTTTGTCCATGAAGTTGCTGCGGTCCAGCTCCTGGGTCTTGTTCGTGTGCAGAAGCACTTGGCTGCCTGCGCTGTTCTTCAGCTCCCAGCGCGTCATCTCCAAGTTCTCGTAGACGATCAGAGTCTCAGCTGCACCGGCTTCGAGGGCCTTGAGAGTATCTTCAATGCCATAGCAGACCTTTCCAGTGTCCTGGCTGATTTCGTCAAAGTACTTGTTAATGAGCTTTTTCTCCTGGATGAACTTGACGTTGGAAAGAGTCTCGGAAGCGAGTTCGATGGCCTGGTTGAAGCCGTTCTCGCCACCGTAGCTGACGTCCACAATTTTGATGACCTTGTTGACGAGGCGCTGGTCAAACATGTCAGACTGGTTCAGATCGTTCTTGAAGTCGGCAGATCCAGCCAGAATCAGACCAGCGACGTTGACCTTGTCATTGGTGATGAAGTTCTGCACTGCGAGTTCGGCCACTTTGCGGACGTAGTTGTGGCGTTTCTCCTCACGGAGACGAGCGAAACGCAGAGCAGACTGACCACCACGGCCGTGCTTCTTCGGCAGATCGACGCTGAACTTGTGGACGACATCTCTGGTGTTGCCCGAGAGCGTACCGAAGAGAGCTCCATTCCCGTCCATGATAATGAAGCCGAACTTCTGGTCAGACTCCAGCAGCTCGCTCAGTGCCTCGGTGTGGAACTTGTTGTCACAGAGGTACAGCGAGGTATTGATCGGCTTGAACGGTTCGAAGTCGATGTTGATCTTCCTCTCCTTTCCTTCGGACGTGATGATTTCACCACAGTAGACGACCAAGCCGTTGGGTGGGACCTTGCTGTACAGCTTCAGCCTCTGCTGCGTGGACGTAATGGCCGAGAGCACGGAGAGACGGTTGACACGCGACTTGATGTTGGACGCGGTACCGAACTCTTCAGCCAACATCTTCGCCGCTCGCGAGACCTGGTCCTTGGGCGGGATGATCAAGCTGATCATGGAGGTACCGTTGCCGCGGGCGGCTTCCAGGCGCTTGATCAACTTCTTGACCTTCCATATCTCAATGTTCTTCTCGGCCTCGTTGGCTTGTGGTTGCGACATGGTTGCGGTAGGGGAGCGAAGGGGCGCTCAGGGCTGTTGAAGAGGTGAGGTTGTCAGAGATTGCGGGACACTTCAGCCGGTGGGAAGTTGCTGTAGAGGCGGTGTTTGCCACCTCGACAGCGCAGTGATTCACGGACATACCTTGACTCACACTGGGGTGTCTTCTGCTCGACACCGGTACAGCTTTCACTGTACGTTCGTCTCGAGCTGGGTGTGTAGAGTGGTGGAAGAAGTGTCGGAGCGGTTCAGGTTGAAAATCCTCGCCCCACACAGTAGCCACGCTCGACCCTTGCTGCCGCTGCACCGTATGCCAAGACGAATGCATGACTCGCTCTATTATTTCTCCTCCTACCTCCATACCTTTCGGAACGATGAATACAACACATAAGAACTCTACATCGCATTGCTATCAACCCTCACAGATCGCACACTCCTATCTTGAACATAGTGTACCGGAGAAGTGCCGCGCCCCATCAACATCCCGGCTAGGATCGGTCCCGCAGCTGGAGCTAGCGAGCATTGAGAGATACCTCGAATATTGATTGACGTCGGGAAAATTCATTCAGATAAGCATTCAACTACTTTACTTCATTGCCTTACTCAACCCTAGGCTGTTGTGTACATACCCTGGTCTGCTATTTCTGTTGTTTTCGAGCGTTCTGTTCTTGCAACACTCCCGGTGTCCCGCCTGCCACAATCCGGCTTGCCCGAAGCAAGTGCTCGACTTTCGAAGCCCGTTTGACTGTCTGGTAGTGCTTATGAAGGGCACGCAATAATCAAAAATCTATACATCATGGGCTCCCAACAACGCGTGACAATGCCGTCCAGCTGGGCCGGCAGCGGGCCACGAGACTCATCGGACAGCAGAGCCAGCATAACATGGAACCAGGACAGCGGGCATCATCACAGCCAAGACCATCTCCGACCAGACGACGCAGAATATGGAGACGGGCACCAGAACTTACGGAGACGGAGGTCGTCATTGGCTGAACGAGTACATGCTTTGCGGTCAGCAGGCGGGCCGAACTCGTTCGACAACTTTGCACGATCATGGCAGAGAGCGGCTGGTTTCTTCGAGGTAGTGCCTGTGAGGCATAGCTTTCGAGTGCCAGAGGAGGATGAGGAGGATGAGGAGGAGGAAGGAGAACAGACGCCATATCAGAGAGGGAGCATAGATTCGTCGCCTATGGCTCAGAGATCTCTACTGAGGGAGCAGCTTGCGAAGGGAGAGAGTAGAGCACCGGATGATGCGCTTGAAGAGGAGGAGGAGGAGGAGGAGGAGGAGGAGGAAGATACAACACCGGTACCGGGAAGGTCGCCATCTCACGAACCTGCTAGAGCCAGCGAGCAGTCGCCTCTGCTACGAGAACGGCTTTCGAGACCGCGGGGCGACAGCATCCTCGCGATTGAACCCCAGCTTGCCTCGCCGTTTGGCGGCTCATATGGCAGCACATGGAGCTCTCTTACTTCTCGAGTCAACGAACCCTCTATGCGGCACGCAGGACGACTGTTTCGCCAGCAGCAGATGACCGGCACTTCGGAACCGGACAAGGAACGGGAACCTCTGCTCGTGAAGCAAATACAAGAAAGTGACGGTCAAGTCGTGAACGTGGTAGTCGGCCAATCCACCCTGCCACAGACCATCTTCAACTCCGTCAACGTTTTGATCGGCGTCGGCCTCCTTGCCCTTCCACTGGCAATGCGCTACGCTGGCTGGATCCCAGGACTACTCTTCTTCACCTTCTCCGCCATCTCCACTTCTTACACCGCCAAGATCCTCGCCAAATGCGCCGACGTCGACAACAGCATCATCACCTTCGCCGACCTCGCCTACGTCTCCTTCGGCCACTCCGCCCGCATCGTAACTTCCATCCTCTTCACAGTCGAGCTCCTGGGCGCCTGCGTGGCCCTGGTCGTCCTTTTCGCCGACTCCCTCGATGCTCTCGTACCCGGCTACGGCGTTGTCGCCTGGAAGGTCGTCTGCGGCATCCTCCTTACTCCCTTATCCTTCGTGCCGCTCCGCCTCCTCTCTTTCACCAGCATCCTCGGCATCCTCTCTTGCTTCGGCATCGTCCTATCTGTCTTCGTCGACGGTCTGCTCAAACCCCACTCTCCTGGCTCCCTCCGCGAACCAGCAACCACCTACTTCTTCCCCGCCAACTGGGCCACCCTCCCCATCGCCTTCGGCCTGCTAATGAGTCCCTGGGGCGGCCACAGCGTCTTCCCAAACATCTACCGCGACATGCGCCACCCCTACAAATACCGCAAAGCCGTCAACGTCACCTACGCCTTCACCTTCCTCCTGGACGTGCTGATGGCCGTCGTCGGACTCCTAATGTTCGGCGACACCGTGCGGGACGAAGTCACCAAGAACGTCGTCACCACCCACGGCTACCCGAAATGGATCTCCGTCTTCGTCGTCGTCTGTATCGCCATCATCCCCCTCACCAAAGTCCCGCTCAACGCCCGCCCGATTGTGAGTACCCTCGAACTTGCCCTCGGCCTCGACGCCCGCGCCATGGCCGCCACGGAACCCATGACCGGCCTCTCGGGCCTGACGCGGGGGATCATGAAAATCGCCGTGCGAATCGTCTGCGTGGCCGTCTTCGTCATCCTCGCCATTCTGGTACCGGATTTCGACCGCATCATGTCGCTCATGGGCGCAGTGGCGTGTTTTACGATTTGTATTATTCTGCCTTGTGGGTTCCATTTGAAGCTTTTTGGCAAGGAGATGGGAAGGTGGCAGAAGGGGGTGGATTGGGGGTTGATTGTCGTTTCGACGGTGTTGGCGTTGGTTAGTACGGCGTTTAATTGTATACCGAGGGAGCGGTTGGGGTTTTAGGGGTGTGTAGGTGTGGCTAGTTGTATATGTGTATATTGCCACTACCACACTTTCTTAAAATTTCTTGGTATAGGTCTCAAGGTGAAAGAGTGACGGGAGTGAAGGAAACGACTGGCAGTCCACTCCTTCCCGATGCAGTGATTTGATTTTTGCGCTTCACTCCAGTGCCATGGTCTCCTTCACGTTCTACTCACCAAATGGTAAACCTTTGTGTCTGAGACTGAGAGACCAAGAATCGTATTCGATTCAAACTCCAATTGACTACTTTGTGTGTCTTCCACGTCCACCTCAGGTCTCAACTCAACTCTTCTAAACCCAGGCATATCCACCATCAACGGAGACACTGCATGCGCCACACCACGATATCGACACCCAGTGAGATTTTGAAGACATTTACGCCAAAGTTCTTAATGACCAAAGCCCTTCTCCAAAACATCAAGTAGTGCCAGCTGCAATAACCTGCCCACCACAACCGCAACCTCGCCATGGACAAAAAACAGCCTGTCGTCGCCTTCCTGGGCCCTAGGGCGTCGTACACGCACCAGGTAAGTCGCTCACTTACGCAGTATCTCCTAGTTTCACACAATAAGCGCGCTGTCGTCGGCTGGCCTAAGAAACCATGGCACTGGCTCGTTGGGCGGAGAAGACGCGAATCTATGATTCCTTCTCCCAGAACGAAACAGACCTCAAGGCACTAACCACAATGCTACAGGCCGCGCAGTCCGTCTTCCCGCCCGAGAGCCATACACTCACCCCTCTCATGTCAATCGCAGACTGCTTCGCAGCCGTACAGAACGACAAGGCCTCCTACAGCGTTGTGCCGTTCGAGAACTCGTCAAATGGAGCTGTCGTATTCACCCTGGATCTGCTGGCCGACATCCAGGGGTTGTGTGGCGACGTGGTGGTGACGGGGGAGATTTACCTACCGGTTCATCATTGTCTGGTGGGGCGTGTCTCCGGGGGGGAAGGGGGAGGGACGCAGGCACAGTCGGTGAGCGGCAGTCATGACGCTACTGGCCTCTTGGAGAAGGAGCCCACTGAGTCTCAGCAACCTCACGTACGGCCCACGCACGACCTCTCACACATCAAGAAGCTCTACTCCCACCCCCAAGCCTGGGGCCAATGCAAGCGCTTCCTCTCCACCCACCTCAAAGGCATCGAACAAATCGACGCCTCCTCCACCAGCAGAGCCGCCGAGCTCGTCGCGGAAGACACCACCGGCACGACCGCAGCCATCTCAAGCAAACTCGCGGCCGAGATGAGCTCCCTCAGCGTCTTGGCAGACAGTATTGAAGACTTTGAGGGCAATAGCACGCGCTTCTTCATCCTGCAACGGCGGGACGCTGTCTCTCCGCCACCAAGGCAACGATCAACACCACAAACGTCCCAATCCGACCCTCAAACCCAACCCCCACCCGAAGAAGCATCGCCAGCACCAGCATACAAATCCCTCCTCTCCTTCACAGTCTCGCACACCATCCCCGGAGCTCTCCAGCGCAGTTTGGGCGCTTTCAACAACCACGGCATCAATCTGACGAGTATCAATACCCGGCCGAGCGGAGAGGCGGCGTGGCATTATATTTTCCTTGTGGAGTTTGAAGGGAGGAAGGGGGAGGGCAAGGTGGATGAGGCGTTGAAGGAGCTGGAGGGGGCGGCGAGGGGGTGGCGGTGGTTGGGGAGTTGGGAGGCTTGGAGGGGTGGTCGGGAGGGGTGGGATAGCGTATTCGAACAGTAAAAGTGTGCTGTGCGAGGCAATGATGGCCCGAGCGAGATCTTCGAAGGCGGACAATGTGACTCGATTTCAGCGATTTAGGCAAGCGTTGGTGATCTCGAAAAGCGGACCACTGGGCGGACCTACCGAGACACTGGCTGAGAAAATTTTGTGACGTCGGAGGAGGTCATGCTCATCACACAGCTCATATTCTTCTACTGGCACAAAGAATTTGAATGGTATCACCACCACCAATGCGCCAAAAGACCCACCAATCCCCTCCCTAGCCCGTACCTTAGACCACAGAGGTAAAAATCATCAGAACACCTTGCCCATCTCATTCCAATCACGCATCCACCTTCTTGCCCTTCTTCTGCTCCACCTTCAACAGCAGCGCGCGGTTGATATGCGGCAGCACACCACCAAATGCGATCGTCGCCCGGATCAGCGTGTCCAGCTCTTCATCTCCTCGGATCGCGAGCTGCAAGTGGCGGGGCGTGATGCGCTTGACTTTGAGGTCCTTTGCGGCATTGCCGGCGAGTTCGAGGACTTCGGCAGTCAGGTATTCGAGGACGGCGGTGACGTAGACGGCGGCTTTGGCGCCGACGCGCATTTTGTTCTGGGTTTGCGATTTGAGGAACCGCTTGACGCGGCCGCAGGGGAACTGTGAGTCAAGTGCAAGTTAGTCGTGTGCGATTTGAGCGTGGAATGTGCGTTGCGACGCGCCAGGCTTCCGCAGATGTGAAACCCCGCTTCAAAATGGTACACGACGCACCTGGAGACCGGCTTTCGCGGAGTGCGATTTCTGCGACTTTCCTGACGTATCGGCGCCTGCTTTTCCTCCCGTCTTGCCACCGGTCTTGCCTGTGATGTGTCAGAAGGTGTCTCTTGCGCCGACGTGTGTGTGTGCAGATGCGCACCTTTTCCGCCAGCCATTTCGGATAGGATGTGTTGGTCTGTGTTGGCTATTGATCAGCTGTTTGCGGTCTGAATGCGATCGGTGGTTGGCGTGGTCGATGGTGTGGGAGGAAGAGAAGTCGTGTGGGTTGTTGTTCAGAGGATGAGCGCGCGGCGCTAGGCCCGAAGCGAACCGATAAACATTATCACGTGATCGTCAAATCCTCCAGCAGGCGGGTTGGTGGTGGGGGAAGGCGCGGCGGCGCTCTACTGCTGTCTTGATCAGTGAATTGTGAGTACGGTAAGGTACTGATCAGCACTCAATACTTACCAGGAAGTCCGGCTTTGATGCGTTGCGAGGCATTGACCGAGACTCTCCCTTATGTGGATATGGGGCTGCTAAATGTTAGCTAGTCACCCAAGGCAGGAAGGACGTCTTCATATGACCTGGAGTTCTCGGCAACACACTCACTTGCATCAGCCACCACATCTTGTTCATCAGCTAGGCACATCACCCTGTCGCCCTTTTCCACAAGCAATGAGGCCATGCCCACAGTCCCCTGGAACCGACCGAAGAGCAAAGTCATCTCAAGGTTGGTTCGGGCTATAGACCTCGCTGAAATTGCGGGTCATGCATGTCCTTGATGTTCTGATTAGATCGGTCAGCCGTGAACAGCTAGAAACAAACATCGTTCATGTCTTTCGCCATCCCAAAGTCGAGATGTTGTTCACGACGATCTCAAGCCACTCGCGCCAAGAGCAGTCACGGGACGACTCCACTTTTCCACCTCGCGTTACACAAGACGCTCAAGTCGACCGCCTCCTTCTTTACTCTCAGGCTTAAGAGCCGCCAATATATTGTAATGTGAGATTGGATGCATTGTGAATGGCCATGGCCACGGCGATGATCCGCATCTTCTCCAGAGCTGGCACTGGTCCTCTGTCGTCTCGCGGACCACACGCGCAACACACCTTTTGACGCTCGCTCCGTCATCCGACATTCAAAGGACCCGTCAGCAGAGATAACTTTCGTGAATAGTAAGACATTTGATTGATGCTCTTTAACAGATCGAAGTCGCTGACTGTTTCAGCTACCTCACATATCCATGCAGACCGACTCCATTCCGCCCGTGTCACTACCTGGTTTCTGACCAGCCTCGCAAAAGTGTGACACAACTTCCCCAGCGCTTACAGACGGATCCGTTGTCATGCTTTGATGATGTCAACGTTCCGCTCGAAATAGCGGCGCTATCATTGCAGCTCTACATTGCGAGGTCACATTCCAAGCATAGATCTCCCCAGGAAATACGACATCGCTACGAGGAAGACAAGCCGGGTACGAGATCCATGAGATGGCTGATTCGCTCTAAGATCTATGACCAACTCGAACACCATCAACAGCCTATTTTACTTGCCAGCATGGTGTTCTGTCTTGTCGGTGAAGGTCCAGAGGCTGAGAAGTTTGTCTGGTAATGTGAGGACTCGGGCAGGAGTCGCGGCTTGTTGATGCTGAACCTTGACTGACCAAAGGACAGGGATGGTCGACAATCACATTCGCAATGGGAATCGAAGAATGGACAAGAAAGAGAGCTACACCAAGAGCTGCCTGCTTCGTTCCCTAGTCGGGTAAGTTCGCGATGCTGGTCTGCCAATTGTAGTGTATGCTAATGATATATCAGTACGGTTCATCCCGTATAATCTGGGAAAGCAGTATTGGGATTGCTGACTTGGAACAGAAGCTCAAGCGTTCTGGTCACCAAGATGGAATTCTATGGAGGTTCGTAATAATTCGACTGTTGGTCATACGCAGTGCCACTTGACTAACAGTCATACTCCTGCTCTAGGCTTCATATAATCCGTTTCTGAAGATGTGTCGCTTCGTCAGCGAGACTCGAGGATGGTTTCCTTTTCCGGCGACAGCCAAATGGCTCGACAAAATACCACATTCAGAAGTGCGCAGTTCTGTCAAGCCTTGGCAATTCGACTCGTACTTTCGTACCATCCCTCTCTAGAGACATGGCTTCCCAGAAGATATCCAGTGGTCCAAGTGCTGTCTCATGCTGAGCCACCCAACAAACCCAAGCGGAGCTCCACTGCTTGAATTCCTCAGAGGGTTTCGGAACACATCTGCCATGACTAGTTTCATCGGACTAATACTCGCGTCCGAAACAAGAAGCGAGATGACTTTGTTGTTCTACAGCTTTGTCCTTTCTTCACAGCTGCTTAACAGGGCAGGGCGAAGTGACGATGCACGGTGGATCTTGGAATTTGCTCGGGAGCACCGGCCGGATGTGATTGGGGAGTCCGCCGCATGGGATTTTGGAACCCCGCCCATACGGAGCGTCTCGGACATTGGTACTAGCTGGTTGATCTACCACGGTAAAGAACAAGGAGACAACAACAATAACAACACTGCGGCGGAAGGAGATCAAGGACTCCACGACGAGATCCATCGTACGCGAAAAGCTATGAGCGCAGATGAATTCAAGATTGAAGCCAGGTCTTTCAAGAGACCTTCCTTATCGAAGAGCGTCTGAAGAACCCTTCCGTTTGCAGTCGCCGCCAATTGCGAACTACGCATCTCGTCAATATGGCGCGGAGAAACCACCAGAAGACATGCCGGCCGAGCAGCGGCCTGCGCTTGCGGAGAGAAAGCTCCCAACTTATCGAAAGATGCGACACGCTCAAAGGACCATAGACCACGGCCCATGGCACGCTCCCTCCACGAATCTTCCTCATGCAAGGAGGAATTGAACATTATCAACAGTGGCAATCAAAACAATCGCTGGAAGGGTTCTCCGAGACACGGTCAACTTTCAAGGACTGCGAGCCGCCCTAAGACCTTTTCATGTCTGTTCCGGCTGTCGAGACATCTAATCACCATTCTTCCCATCGGTCTAGGTACGTCGAACTGATGGGTGGCAGGGTTCTCCAAAGATGCGTCTGGGTTCTCAGGACCATGAGGTGCTCCGAGACCTCACCACTGTTGTTCCGCTTGTCGAGACATCTGCTGACCCGTCTTTCACTCTAGGTACCTGTGAGAAGAAGCCTGGTGGCTGGCGGCGCTTACGGGCTGATTGACACCCGACCTGGCTCTGGCGGCAGCGACGAGAGCGTCTATTACTATTGCCACGGAACAATGGTGTCGGCACGGGACTACGATCATTGAGAAATTCTCTGACGCTCATGATGACCAATCTTCCACCGCAGAATTTCTTCTTTACCTCATTGTCAGGCCGCCCAGGCTACGAAGACTTCGTCTACTTCGAGAGTGGTCAAGGCGAGAGAAAAGGAAGAAAGGCGCTCGCTAGTCTCCGGAGAATGAAAATGCATGCTATAAGTTCGAAACGAGATGCGCCGTGGAAAGTGTTGATCGTGGAATATGTTACACATTTCTAGGAGGCCGGTCCCTCACTATATGAGACTTCATACTGTACATCGCGTCGTATCATCGGCTGCTGGCTGACATCGCTACCGCTATGGGAGACCCGCCGATTATGCACCGCGCTGACAGAATACTGGTTTGGATTCTCCAGGCCTTTGTGTTGCGACCTCCTTGAGCTCGAGCTCGTGACATGCTGCGCGAATGACGATTCCTTGTCCTGATTGGACCGCCAGTTCGACCGACTCTGCCTACTCATAGGATCGGAATACGAATTGGTAGCTTGTCCTGACACCATCCCGAAAGAGGTCGTGGTCGCCTGCATGAACGGTTGCAGTAAGGGGACGGTTGGCGTGATGATGGCGAGCGCAAGACAGATCTGCGTGTAGATGTAGGGTCGCATCATAGTGTAACTCGAAACTTTTTGACCATCCGTCCATTCGTAGAAAGGGCGCAGGGCGAGGAGATGGAGGATGAGTGGAATGATCACCACCAGGCGTCCGCCGAAGGAACTGATGACTTTGATCTTGAGCTTGGTGGCCATCTGGAGTTTGGCGACCATGAAAAGTGGCTGGGTGAACAGGGCGACTTCGAAGACAACATCGATGACTGTCGCTGCGACCCATCTGTCGAACTTCGATACACGTCAGCATATTCTAACAAAAACGCACCACGTAGAGGAGGCCATCAGGTGAAATGCTTACAAGACCGGTACAATGCTGGTCGATGAACAGCCAAGCGTGGCTCAGCTCACAGCGAAGAGCAACGGTCAGGACTGAAGCCAGTCCGAGCACTGGGATGGCCCCCAGCATCACTTTCCAGAACATCTCATGTCTCGTGACGCGAGACATGCGCTGAAAGAACAACGCTGAAGCGCAGCGCGTCGACCACAGCGCAAAGAGGTAGAAGATATCAGCGGCAAGGATGGCCTAGGGAAGGAGTCAGCGTCGACAGTCTTTGCCGGCAACCTTGGCGGGTACCGACCTTTTGCATCGAGACTCCCTCTGCGTGGCCGATGAGACTCGATGTCACGCCCAGCCCATCCCCGGCCGAGATGAACAAGGCGATCGTCTGGGCGATCATGAAGAGCTACGCGTGCATATTGGTATCAACAGGTGTTGCGCATGGGGGAGGAAGACTTACAAACGACAGGGCAATCGCGTAGTCGTCGCTCCCGAACGCTTGTCCCGAGCCCATTCGCACGTATGCGCGCACCACCAGGCACACCATTGTCGCCGCCAGGGCTAGTCCGCCAGTGACAAAGATGACCCCTCGCTGGTCATCGGGAGTGATGACGGCGAGAGGTGGTGACTGCCCGGGTTCCAGCCTTCTTGCCATCGTTCACCAACTCGTAGAGCCGTGGCTGCAGAGTTGAGGGCCAGAGAAGTGGGCTGGCAAGTGGGCTGTTGTACATAAACCTCGTCGTCGCTCTTAGTTCGGGCGTTGAGGGTGTCCGAGTACAACGTAGGAGAGGAAGGGAGGGTCGAGAGATGGGCGCCACGAGTCACGACCGAGGGTGGTTGTTTGATCTTATGGCCGATCGACACGCAAAAATTCGGTCGAGAGAGCCCCAACCCGTCGGCTAAGAGAGTATAATAACACCACCCTCGTACCTGCAGCTCACCAAGGGTCCCACGAGGTCGCTTCCGTCCGGCAGTGACATAGCCAAGCTGTCGACAGTGAAAGCGGCCCGTTCGACCAGAGTCAGCCGTGTCAGGGACCGCCTTCTCACAAACAATGACCGCTCGCTAGCAAGAATGATGGGGCCTTTTTGGCCGCAATTCCGTGTCGGACAAGAGTCCTAGCCATGCTCGGTTGGCCGCTTTCACTGTCTCTTGCTTGATACGGAGTACCTCCTGTCTCATGCCTCCGGTGTGCCGTAGGAATCAGGATCGATAAGAAGAAGAACGGCCTGAAGCGAGGTGAAGTGCTGAGTTCTGCCGCAGAGGCGACCGACAATGGCTCCACGGCGGCTGGTTGGTCTATAGGCTAGCCGCTTAGGTATGCTCGTTACGAGGTCGAGATAACCAAGCGAGCCAAGGCTTGCGAAGCTGACGGGGCTTGCGGGCCGATCGTGCATGGCGTGGGGGGAGACTGGGGTTGAACGTTGACACGTGCGATGGGAGGCTCTAGCCAAACTCAATTTCTTTGTCTCCTCGCATTTGCATATGCCGGGGACAATCTCGCCCGCCTCGGAAGCGTCCAGGTCATTTTTCGGTTCGATGTAAGCTTCCTAGCAGCCTAGGTGCCGGCGACCCGCCGATTGATCTAAATGGCTCCGACTGTTCCCTCCGGCTTTGCTTTTGGGCCTTTGGCTCAACATCTACAACGTCCCATCGTTCGTACTCCTCAAACCACCCAGCGCTCGATACAACCATGTCTTCCAATAACAAATCGGTTCCGCAGCACGGGGCAGAGGAGGTGGAAATGGACGAAGGAAAGGACATGGTGGGCACGGCCAAGGACGCGCAGGAAATGGACCGTCTGGGAAGGGAGCAGCAGCTGAATGTATGTGTCTGAAGCACGACGGCCGTGTTGTGCGTACTCTGACATGGGCAGCGAAACTTCCGCTTCATCTCTATCCTCGGTTTCTCCAGCACGGCAATGAGTACATGGGAAATTGTCCTGAGTTCGACAATCTTTGGCTTGTTGAACGGAGGCCTGGCCGGTCTGGTATGGGGGTTTTTCCTGGTCTGGATGGGTTACTGCTTCGTCTTTGCCTCGCTGGCAGAGATGGCCTCCATGTACGTCGATGCGAAGCTTCTAATCGCGCGCTCGGGCTAACATGCCTTCTCGCCAGGGCACCAACATCTGGAGGCCAATACCATTGGGTGAGTCCATGGGTGGAACGGTTCTCCAAGACACGATCACAGTGCGGGTGGCGCTCTGAGACCTTGTGATTCCTCCTCCAACATCGAGACACCCGCTGACCCTTTTACCCATCTGTTCTTCAGGTATCGGAGTTCAGCCCGAAGAGCACGCAAAGATTCCTCAGCTACGCCGTCGGCTGGATTTCCGTCCTTGGCTGGCAAACCGGACTGGCGTCCATCGCCTACATCCCAGGCACGCTGATACAGGGCCTCATTGTGCTGAACAACCCATCTTACGTCTTCGAGCGCTGGCATGGGACTCTCCTCGTCATTGCCATCGTCGCCTTCGCCGTTCTCTTCAACACGTTCTTGGCTAAACGATTGCCAATGATCGAGGGGATCGTGCTGATTCTGCACTTGCTGGGATTTTTTGGGGTCCTCATCCCGCTGTGGGTGCTTTCGCCGCGAAACTCGGCGGAGATGGTCTTTACCCAGTTTCAGAACCTCGGCGGCTGGCCGACGCAGGGCCTTTCTTTCATGGTGGGACTGCTGACGTCCGTCTACGGGTTGCTAGGCGCCGACTCTGCGGTCCATATGTCCGAGGAAATCCGGGATGCCTCCATCGTTCTCCCTAAGGCGACTATGTGGTCTATCGTGGTCAACGGAGCATTCGGCTGGATCATGATCATCACCTTCGCCTTCATTGCCGGCAATCCCCTCTACATCGTGGATTCGGATACGGGCTACCCGTTCATCTCGGCGTTTTACAATGCAACCGGCAGCAAAGTAGGCACATCCGTCATGGTTGCCATCATAATCACCAACACCGTATCGTCGGTCATCAGCAGTCTCGCCACAGTGTCGCGACAGCTCTGGTCCTTTGCACGAGACCGTGGGGTGCCCTGTTCCAGCTTTCTTGCCCATGTACGCCTTCCCTTCCGCGATCCAGAATATGAAGCAGACTAACAACTATCGCGTAGGTCAAAGACGGCTGGAATATTCCGCTTAATGCTGTCCTCGTCACCTTCTGCTGCACCGCGCTTCTATCCCTGATCAACATTGGGAGCACTGCAGCTTTCAACGCCGTCGCCTCTATGGGCACCAACGCTCTGCTGACCACCTACATCATTTCGATCGGTTGCGTCGTGATTCGAAGACTCCGTGGGCAACCACTGCCCGAGAGACGGTGGAGCTTGGGCCGAGCGGGTCTCTATGTGAACTTGTTCGCGCTCGCGTTCTTGCTGACCATTTGGATCTTCCTCTTCTTCCCTGTGCAGACGCCCGTCACTCTGAGCACGATGAATTGGAACGTCCTAATCAATGGCGGCGTGATGATTTTGGCGTTTACTTACTACATCTTGTACGGAAAGGATATGTACAGCGGGCCGGTGGCGTTGGTAAGGAGCTATACATGAGCTCGTCGTCAAGCGACGGACAGTGAAGGCGGAACAGCGGGCATGTCTGGCTGCCTTCTCTCAGACCCAGTCAACCCGGAAAAGCCACACCGCTCTCGTGGGCGGGCTTTGCTTGTCTGTCAGAAGATTCATTAGATCGCTCGCTCTGGCCCAATGGGCTACTTTCACTGTCCCCCGCTTGAGCAAGGAACAGTGGAAGGGGCCCCTGGGGACATCTGGAAGTCTTCTCAGAGACGAGGTTGTGGTGAAAAACGCCACATCACTCTCGTTAGCCGGCGGTCATTCTCTCCGAGAAGGTCCGTACACGGCTTGCTCTGACCTGCTGGGCCGACTTTACTGTCGACAGCTTGGCGGCTTCATCAGAGGTTGTGCCATAGAATCTTGCTTGGTGTCACGCTTCCAGATAGATGCAAAGACCTTCGAACCTTTTCTATGTCACTTTCTGGTAAAGGACTGCTCATAACCTTGAACACGGGTTGACAAGGCGGAAGGAGCACCCCCTTGAAAGATCCAGTAGGCAACGGGCGTAGGAGGTATGAGGCATGACTTAGAAGGGAACGACCTTTTCGCCAGACGACATTGCCTTAGTATCGTCTGATCAGGTTGAAGCGGACAGAGCAACTTGACGAGATCCCAAGGTATCTGCCAATCATTCCTGCGGAGCTGACGGGCCAATTCACCTTCTCGAAGCGACGGGGGTTATGAGCCGCTCGCTTATCCGTGGGCCGTGGCCCTACCTTATTGATTAGCCGAAGGATTCTGTAGCGTTTGCACAGACGACGGGGAGGCGTGGGGGATGGGCAGGGCCGCAGGGGAACCTGGAAGGGAACGCTAAAGCCGAAACCCTGCGTACAGTACCCGTAGCTTGACCGAATTGGCGTTGCTAAGTCACTGTTCTCCCGTCCACAGTTCGATTTCATCTTCATCTTGCTGCGAACGCCAGAGCAACTGCCTCTGTACACAGTACCAACAACTGATTTACCGCTCAGCCGCCGCCGAACATGTCTTCAGCGCCACCAAAAGGCCAGATGTACGACTCCGTCGCCGGCGACTACGACATCATCTGGAGTGTCCCGGCTGTCAAAATCCTATTCCCTTTGCTCGATACCAACCTCAGGCGCCTCGGGCCATGGAATGGAGCCTCAGTCCTCGATCTGGCCTGCGGCACAGGCATCGGCCTGCGTGAGATGCAGAAACTCGGAGCGACGAAACTGGTGGGTGTCGACATCAGCGATGAGATGCTCGGTATGGCAAAGCAGACGTCTCCGGAGGCTGGGTTTGAATTGCACCACGCCGACTGCTCGCAGCCACTCGACCACCTGGGACTGGAGAAGGGGAGTTTCGATCTCGTGATTGCCATGTGGCTTCTCAACTACCCTGCGGATCGAGCCCAGATGGCTGCAATGTGGCAGAATGTCGCAACGTATTTGAAGCCGAAAGCAAAATTCGTCGGCATCATTCAAAACCAGGATACCGTGAATCCGACCAGCATGCAGGGTAAATGGGAGGAGTATGGCGCACGGGAGACAGGTCTGCAGCCTCTCCCTTCCGGTGACGGAGTCCGCATGCATATTGAATTCAACACCCAACCCAAGGTGGAGTTCGATACATTTGTGCTGAAGAAGGAGATTCTGGAAGAAGAGGGAAAGAAGGCCGGTCTAGTAGATCTCCAGTATGTCCGGCCTGGGGAGGAAGTGAAGAGGGAGGTCGAAGGCAAGGATGCAGCGTGGTGGAAGGAATTGTTGGAAGAGTATCCCAACCAGCTTATCATTGCGACCAGGGAATAGAGGGGAGAATCGTCATTCCAGATGCAGATGCATTAGATGAGATGCGGCGAGAGCGCTCAGCAGAGCGTCAGCTGCGGTAAACCACTCCTTTTACTTTCCATCGCCCTGCTTAATGCACTTCCGGCATACGTCAATCTTCTCGCGTGTGTACGTCTCGGTCAGCAGTCGCACCACGTGCCCACGTACCATCTACTCGATACGGTCCATATCCTCCATCACCGGCGCATCCTCCACCACAATATCCTCAACGGGCGGCGGCTCCACTAACTCTTCAACCGCGGCCTCGCCAACCACAGCCTCCATAACCGCCGCCTTGCGCCTCCACACCCTGGCCCAACGCTCGCCCCACGTCTTAATCAACTCCTGCTCCTCCTCATCACCCTCGAATCGCTCCACCATCTCGTCCTGCGCACCAGTAGCGATGCCAGCAACCGCATCCTCGATCGCAGCAAACATATCGCGCATGCCTTGCCTCTCGTTCGGTAATGCCTCGTCCATCTGCTTCCGCTGGTCGAAGGGTGTCTTGGTGCTATTGCGCAATTCGAGCAGCTGGTGCATGCGGTTGGTAACTTTGAACATCGTGATCGAGATGATCTCATAGATGTAAGCAGCCGCTAACGCACGGCCACGATCCACGTGGTCGACCAGCGCCCATTGAATCACAGACATCGGTGTGACGATGGTGTAGTTGATGAGCTTGTCGATGATGTTGACCGCAGTGCCGGGGTGATTGGCCCAGAACTCAGCCACACTGGCGAGAATCTGTCTCCTGGCCTGCTCGCTTTGGGTCCCGATGGCGAGAAGGCGTTCTTTGCAGCGATCGATGGTCGATAGCACGTGGCTGAGCGATTTGCTGCCGGAAGACAGAATGGCGGTCATGTAGACATCCGTGCTGCTGACCATGGGATCGGCGACACCTTGATTCCGAGCTTGCTCTTGAATGGAGTCAAGCACGCGCTGCATTTCCTCCTCGGGCGCCTTCTTCTTGAGGAGATCGAGGACTTCTCGAGCCTCCTTCGCGAATGGCGTTTGATCGTTCGCGAACTTGGATTCAGGCATGTCCTTCTCTTTGCTGGTTGGGATGAGTTTATGGTACGGCTCGGGAAGGGTCTCGCGGATACGCTTCGCAAAAGACAGTCTAACTTCCTTGTCCAACGCGCCGTTGATGAAGGCCTTTCGGGCTTGCAGGTCCGGCAGATCAACATCAGAAGTCCTGTCGTTAATAGTCAGCTTCACATCCGTCACATAAAGATGCCGAACTCACCATTCCGCCCACTTCCACCTAAACTCGAAGTTGCTGAGATGGTGTGCGAACCAATCCGTGTAGCGGTAAGCCAGCTCTAAATCCATAGTATCAAGACCTCTGTAGATGAAGCGAATCGCACGCCCAAGGCTTGGAGCTATGGCAGCAGGCGCAATCTTGCACATCTCGGTGATAATGGCGTGGTAGTATACCAGCTTGTGTTCTGGAGCCGGGAGGGTAAGGATCTGCGAGAACACTGCGTCGATAGCCACGTCTTCAGGCTTCCACTTTGGGCGACCATCGTCCGTGTCCCTCAGCTTATCAAAAGCCATACCACGCTTGTGAAAGATGTTGGGAGGCCAGAAGCAGTCGATCTCACTCAGGTAGCGGGCAACAATATTACGGTTGAAGTCGAGAGCGTTGATCGTATCGTTAATGGCGTCGCGGATGAGTGTGGATGCGATGTTCGAAGTGGACGGTACTGACTCGATTTCCTGGTCCGCGAAGACAGAGAAGAAGAGCTCTGGGAAAAGGGCCCGTGGTCCTTGAACGACAGGAGAGGGCACTGTCACCGAGGGGAAAGAGATTGATGTGCTACTCCCGTTGGCGTCGCCGTTGGCCTCCAGATTGGTGCCGCGCATGTATGAGGGATCGTAGACTCTCAGAACACAGTCGAGGGGCCACCCGTTCGACGCCTCCTCCTGCAGCTGTCGCTGCAAAATTGAGATGGTGCTGCCGAAAGCCATGGGCTTGTCGGCGTCATCCTGGCCGAGATACGGGTCGACGAGCGCCTCCAACTGATGCGGTGTAGAAGCAATCACATCCGTCTTTTCCAACAGTTCCACGGCCTTCTGCTTGAGCGTCTGGTCGGAAGCGGAGGCAATTAGGTATGGGATGGTCATCAAGATGATGCGCACCAGCTCAAGCCCCACTGCATCCTCCTGCGAAGCCGTTTGCAGGTCGACCGCACGGTTGAAGAGCTCATCGAGGATCGGGAACACGCCGTCCTGCTCATACACCCTGCTCAAGCATGCCAAGAACCTCAGGGTCAACTTGAACTCCCGCCATTGTCCCTTCTCGAGGCGATCTTGTAGTTGCGCTCCGGCTTTTGTGATCACGTCTGCGGCGACCTCCTTCTTCTCATCGTGCGCGAAGAGGACCACGCCAGCAACGAATGGGATCTTGAACGGCTGCTCTTCGACCAAGCGAAGAATGGCCTCGCTGAGTGTGTCCCTGACATACTCGTCCTCGTAATTCTCCATCGCCAGCTTAGCCAGATTCATCGCGGACTCGTGCGGCATGCGCAGTGAATCTTCCCCAATATCGAGCAAGCCCCTTCTGAGTCTCGTGCCAGGTGGAGCCTCGTGGCGCTGTCGCTGATTGCGGTATGGCTGCTGCTCGAAGTCATCGTCCTCTGCGAGCATGAAGCATTAGCAAGGCGCGTTTCCAATCGTGACCGTTTGGTAGCCTCACCTCTGAACCTCTTCCTCTTGTTGTTGTACCCTCTGCCGCCGCCGCGACCTCCGCCTGGACGGTAGTTGTCACGTTCCCTTTCGAAGTCAGCCATTAATTGCGAGTCGTGATGCTTGGTGATGTTGGCTGAAGTGGTCGTTGGTTAAGAAGTTCAAGTTTAGGGAGACGTCGCGCGTTGAAGCTGGAAGCTTACCGTGACGAGCTGGTCCGTGCGAGACGCTAGCGAACTATTTCACATGAACCAACGAGGCAACCTCTTCACCGCGATACTCACTCTCGCATTCCATCGAACACCACATCAGGAGAGACAGTCGCCAGCATGCCAGCAGTACGAACGGCAAAGAATCGCAAACCGCCGCCCGACGGCTTCGAGGACATCGAAGACACCCTGCTCGAGTTCCAGAACAAGCTCAAGGACGCCGAAAACGCCAGCCACGAGGGCAAGAAGAAGCACGAGATGCTGTGGCCCGTCTTCCGGATCACGCATCAACGTAGGTATACTCCTTAGAAGCGCGTGGAGCACTCAATCTGCGATCGCAGTCACCCAAAGGAAAGGTGGCGAACACATAGCCCTCGAGGCCCGCTAAGGTGAGAGATATCGTTCTCTTCTGACCTCTGCGTGCATCTGAAGGGCTCGAGTGAAGACTTGCTGACCTCTTTGTTTGCGTGTATGTAGGCTCAAGATACATATACGACCTCTACTACGAGAAGGAGGCCATCAGCAAGCAGCTCTACGAGTGGCTTTTGAAGAATGGCTACGCTGACGCGAACCTGATCGCCAAATGGAAGAAGCAGGGCTACGAGAAGGTAAGCTTGAACTTGCTGATTCGTTCTTGGTTGCTGCTTGCTGACTTCGCATGATGCAGCTCTGCTGTCTGCGCTGCATTCAAACCAAGGAGACCAATTTCAACAGCACGTGCATTTGCCGCGTGCCGCGCGAGCAGCTGAAGGAGGATCAGGAGATCCAGTGTGTGAGCTGTGGATGTCGCGGGTGTGCGAGTAATGATTAAAAGTCCTCTGGGCAGGAGGTCTGGAGGCGTTACCGGTGAAGGGGGCCTGATGAGGCAGTGCATTCGGGAGGGAGAGGACCACTGGTAGGTGACGCATGGTTATGATGCACCGCGCAGGGCAGCCACGGCTGTGATGAAGGCGTTGTGATAATGACATTGATGCTCAGGTATATTGCTATGCTCTACGAGAACGCTTCAAATGCAACATTCCACTATACATTAGCCAGCATCCAGATATCCCTCACCAGCGCTCTCACTCTCCCTTGTGCCTCTCGGTGTAGAAGGCCCACTCCGCGACTCTCTCGGATCCAACACATCCTGTTCATCGTCAGCATCATCCCACTCTGTGCTGGCACTCCCTCGCTCTTCTTTCGGTGGTGTAGGTGGCTCGACGTGAACATCGACCGTCAGCGGACCATCCTTGCTCTCCGGCCGACTGTCAGTCACCGAGGCTGTGCGGTCAGTGGCATTACCACCCCCGGAGCTCGGGTCGGTGACAGAACGCCAGATTCTCCTTCGAAATTGGCTGACTGGAGATCTGCTCTCAGGCGAAGGACTGATAGGTGGACTCTCCCATCCTGTGCGACCTAGGGCAGCAGAAGATTTGTTCATCATCTGCTGCATCAGCGGGACTTCGAGGTAGCCTGTGTTGCCTTGGCGGGCGAAGAGCACAAGACCGAGGCAAAGGAGTAGAAGCGTCGACTGCACGATACCCATACGTTTCTGCCAGACCAGCTCGTCAGCGACGAGGGTCAGGCGTGAGCTCATAGCTAGCATCTCTCGCTGATACTGTTCACGTTGGCCTTCCAGCTCGATGACCGTGCTTTGCCAGAGTTGATCGTACGCCTGCCGGAACCCATGCAGCTCTTGCATCACAGTCTGATTGAGATTTGAGAGGAATGAGCTCGTGGCGGAGATTTGCCGCTTTTCGACCTTCGAGAAGGCATCGCGCAGTATCCGCGACTGCTCTTCGATGTACTGAAGAGACAGTGTGCTGTTCGCTTCAAGCTGTTGCAGACGCTTGTGGATCGACTTGAAGAAGGACTCTTGTGTGGATGGCTGTGGCGGTGCGGGGGCAGATGCTGTGCTTGCGGCGATACTCTTGGTGCTGTTTGAGCTGCTGCTCGACGACAACGCGGTGTCGCTTGAATTGGTGATGTCCGAGGACGCAGCGGAGCGTGATGGTTCGCCCACTGGCTGTGTCTCCACCAACACGGCCGAGTCTGTGGCCTGTAGCTCGGGCGTGCTGTTGTTTACGGGCAAGTCGTTTGCTGAGCTGGACTGTTGCGCTTTGGCACCTGGAGGCATGGTTGAAGCTTGGGTATTTTCCGAAGTTTGTACAACATCGTCACTCTTACTCGTCAACGCATGGGCCGCAGATTTAGTGCTTGCGCTCCCAGTCTCAGACATGGTTCCAGTGCCTTCGGACGGAGGGCCAGAAGAACTGGCTACGGACATCGATGACGCTTCTGCAGTAGATGTTGGAGAATTTTCGCTGGTGCCACTTTGGGTTGATCCAGGCTGCTGAGAAGCGATCTCGGATGGTTTAGAACGGTGGCTCGACGTCGAGATACCAGTGACAGCGGTACTGCTTGCTGCTCCATCTGCTGGCAACGTTTCCTTCTCGACCGCAGGTACTGCCTGCAGCGTCTGCTTAGCATGCTCATTGGTCGACGATGCAGGCTCTTGAGCTTCAGCTGTGGGTTCGGCTGCTGGCATCTTCTCCTCGCGGACTTCATGCTGAGCTGCGTATTCCTGATGTCGCATGTCTTCCAACATGGTTGTGCCGTGGATTCGAAGTAAACTGACGGGGCAGTAGTACTCGCTGCCATAGTGAGTCAGGAACTCGATCCTTAGATATCGAGCCCATATCTGTGGGTGCTCGATGAGGAATGCTTGTACCTCCCGAGTGTTGCGAGCTTCGAAGGTCCCGAGATCCTTCCATTTATCCAGCTGAACGGGATAGACGTCAGATACCGAGACTCGAAAGTGTCGGAAGATGCTGCTGAAGAACTCATAATTGGCGAGTACAATCGTGTCCACCAAGATGTCGTTACACAGCTCGACAATAAAAAACTTGTTCTGAGCAGAGCAGGTATTGAGCATGTAGCTGTCCTTGTTCTCCACCAAAACTGAAGATGCCGACTTGCACTCGGGGTTGTTCTTGAGGACGGTGGCAGCGCAATCGAACGAAGCATAATTTGTCCGTTCCTTACACGTCTTCCCGGCATCTTTTGATCTCGGAGAGTGAGCCGTAGGTGTCGCTTGACCCGCCGCAGAATCATCACTGGCTCTGTATGCAGCCTGCTGCTGTCTTGGTCCACTCGCGGGGCTACCAAAACCTGAGAAGTCTAGCTCGATCTCTCCCTCCTCCCCGAACCCGTCAAGAGCATTGTTAATGCCGGGACGTGGTCGATCGGGACCTTGTTGGGGATCGCGGCCTGGCTCTGGTGCTTTGACATGGTTCTGCTGCTTCCACTCTTCGAAAGACAGAAACTTCGCATTGTCGAGTGGTGAATCAGTCTCTGCTTCGCTATTCACCGTATCTACAGCCTGGATGGACGTCGAGGCAGTCTGGAGGTCCGAAGCGACCGAAGGAGTTTGCCTTGCCTCCGGGACATCATCAACGACACGGGAGGGAGAGGCCTCCAGCGACTGTTCTGTCGATGGAAGTTCATGGGCGGTTCCAGTTGCCGAGCTTGCCGTCGCGGATTCGTCACCCAAAGACCTCTCTGACCCTAAGCTGGAAAGATTGATAGCGTCAATGCTAGTCTCAGTACTCTGAGTTGTGGTTGTATTCAGCCGATCGGGCCGCAGGCACTGCTGCGGCAATGTGTGGGTAATGTAATTGACAGTACGGCTGGGACACGTTCCGCTGCCGAGTGGAGGTGTGGTCGTGCGTGCCGAAGAAGACGCGGTTGCTTTACTGGTGGTTACGGTCTGTGTCGTGCTCCTAGTGCTCTCCACGGCGATGGTGGGTTCGCCATCGCTTTCATGTGCATGGCAAAGGCTTCCGGCAGCTAGGGCAAGAACAACTGCGGCGCATAAAAACTTCCGCATGCTATCCTCAATGTAGTCAGCATGTCCACCCTGACTCTGTCCGACACTTCAAGATCATGTCAATAAGTACAGATGAATGAAAGGACAAAGACACTTTGCTTGCCAGTCAGCCATCCTTCCCAATGCGGTCAATGAGCGGCTCGGTCCGCGGGTGCTAAAGTGACCACTGTCGACGGCGAGTTGATAGACACGAGTGGGAAGACAACAGCAGGATTGTCAATCATGGCGTTGGTGTTCTCTGCAAGAGCACGAATGCTATGGGGCCACGCGCCGCGTGTGAGGTCAGCGAAGGCCTTCCGGCGCGGCCTTGCCTCAGTGGCAGACCTGCCGGTCGATAGAAGGTATGCGACAGTCACCCGCCGATATTGCAGACACTGATCAGCTCTAGTCCTCCGGCCGACGTCGTAGTCATAGGTGGCGGCCATGCAGGCTGCGAGGCTTCGGCGGCGGCGGCTCGAACAGGTGCTCGAACGACCCTGGTCACGCCTTCATACGAGAATCTTGGAGTGTGCAGCTGTAACCCTTCATTCGGCGGCATTGGCAAAGGAACGATGATGCGCGAGATTGACGCCCTGGATGGCTTAGTCGGACGCATTACAGATGAAGCTGGCGTACAGTTCCGAATGTTGAACCGCAAAAAGGGCCCTGCGGTCTGGGGACCACGAGCGCAGATTGATCGAGCGTTATACAAGAAGCACATGCGCGAAGAGATGATGAATTATCGTGGGCTGCAGGTGAAGGAGGGCAAGGTCGCGGATATCATCGTCGATCGATCGCCGGCTGCAATGGACGAGGGCAAGCATGGAAAGATTACGGGCGTGCGGTTGGAGTCTGGAGAGGTCATTGATACAAAAAACGTCGTAATCACGACGGGGACATTTCTGGGTGGAGAGATTCACATCGGATTAGATGTCTTCCCTTCTGGACGCATGGGCGAGGCCGCCACTGTGGGCCTTTCGAAGTCACTGAGGGAAGCTGGTTTCAAGCTTGGCAGACTCAAGACTGGCACGCCACCCAGGCTAGACAAGACGACGATAGCCTTCTCCAAACTACAACTCCAACCGGGTGACGATCCGCCGGTTCCTTTCTCCTATCTGAACGAGAGAGTGGCGGTTGACCAACAGCTTGATTGCTTCAGCACGTTCACAAATCCTGCAGCACACGACATCGTCCGGCAGAACCTCGACAAGAGCATACACATCCGGGAGTCTGTCAAGGGGCCAAGATACTGCCCTTCACTGGAAAGCAAGATTCTGCGCTTTGCTTCGAAGGAACAGCATCTCATATGGCTGGAGCCGGAAGGCTTTGACAATGATGTGATATATCCAAATGGCATCAGTATGACTGTTCCAGCAGATGCACAGGAAGCCATGCTGAAGACCATCGTCGGCCTTGAAGACGTGAGGATGCTCCAGCCAGGATACGGCGTTGAATACGACTACGTGGACCCTCGCAGCTTGAAGAGCACCTTGGAGACGAAGGCCATAAGCGGACTCTTCCTCGCCGGCCAGATCAACGGCACCACTGGATATGAGGAAGCAGCTGCGCAAGGTATCTTGGCTGGCATCAATGCTGGCAACTCTGCTGTTGGCCGCCTGCCGTTTACAATGTCGCGAGCGGACAGCTACATCGGTATTATGATTGACGATCTGGTCACCAAAGGCGTGAGCGAGCCATACCGCATGTTCACGTCACGGTCAGAGTATCGCATGTCCGCTCGAGCGGACAACGCGGACCTGCGGCTTACAGCCAAAGGCAGGGAGGCTGGAGTCGTCGGCGACAAGCGATGGTCTGCCTTCGGCGACGAGAAGGCGCAGCTGGATGAGCTTCGTGCGATGCTTGAAAGCAAGAAACTCAGCTCGCACGCTTGGATTGAGCAAGGCTTCACCGTGCGCGAGGACAGCTCAAAGCGCTCTGCGTTTGACCTGTTGCGGCATGCGGACATCACCACCGCATCGCTGGTCTCGGTCGTTCCCGAAGTCGCCAGATACTCTGGTCGTGTCCAAGCTCGAATGAACATCGAAGGCACATACGCACCCTACATCACGCAGCAAGAAGCTTCAGCCGCAGCCTTCGCTCGGGACGAGACGCTGTTGCTACCAGCAGACCTGGACTACCAATCCATCTTCGGCCTGAGCATGGAGGAGAAAAAGGTCCTGAGCGACACGCGTCCAGAGTCCGTCGGCCAGGCAAGGCGAGTCGAAGGAGTCACTCCGGCTGGTGCTCTGCGATTGCTCGCTCATGTGAAGAGCGAATGGCGGCGCTCGCAGAAAGATAGAGTTTTTAAGGATACGTTTGAGGCTCAGCCGCCTGGGAGAGAGGCTGAGGCCTTGGCGTGAGTGTTACTGGGGACTTTGCATAGCGATGGTGTTCGACCGGTGGATTCCGCTTTACTGAGAGAAGTTGGGTGTCATGATAGTACGATGTATAGATATTCACCTTTTGTCACACTCGAGCTTCAGCTGCAGGTCTGAAGATTCTTGTTGAATAGCGAGACTGAATGCTCGCAACCGTCATAGCTGCGAAGAATGGCCGTTCAAAGACAAGGGGAGGCTGTCACGGCAATAGCATCTCCCGAGAATCATTCACATTGCATATCAGGGTATCTATTCCGCAGTGTCGCTGCTCCAGCGACAGTATTATCCACAACACTTTCCATTGTCCTACACGCACACCCACAGCCGTGTGTCGCAAGGAACTACCAAGTCCCGGCTCGTAATTCATGAAGTCGTCAGCACTGCGCCTTTTTCCTATGCAAACATCTTCAACGACAGTCCAGCCCACACCGCTTCAAGACCTCCGCTGCCGCTTGTTCGGCGTACCGGCCCCGTCTTCTCCACCATTCGGTCCAGCCGGACTGGTTGCTGAACTGCTCACGCTCTCGACTTGTCCACCGTTCTGTCCAGCGGCCAGGTGGTTTGGATCCGCTGGAGTTGGACCGAACAAGTCGTCCACAGCGTTTTCACCACCCGCACCCGCACCCATGTTGCCAGGCCAGTTGTTGTTATCCCCATCGCCCGCGCCCGTGTCAAACCCAAAGTCAAAGTCACCATCCCCGCCTCCGTCCCATGTGTTCTCGTCGAAGTTGATGAAGGCATTCGGATCGTAGTCGCCAGGTGCGCCAGTGAGGTCGAACGGATCTTGGCCGATATCCTGCACCAAACCAGGAATGTTACCAGTTGGTGAGTGCGGACTAAGCCTTCGACCGAGCTCCTTCAGCGAATCTTGATTCTGCTTCTGCAAGACCTGCAGCTGCTCGATGGTGTTGTCCTGATCTCGTAGATGCTGCAAGTCAAAGTTGGGCGGTGCAGGATGCGTGAGGGCGTTGTTGTCGCCTGCATTCGCACCCCCTTGACTGCTCATGATGGCTTGAAGAGTGTTTTCCCGCTGCTGTGGTGTCAGGGGATTGCCAGTGAGGTTCTGGTAATGGTCGACGATGGATTTGAAGTCTCCATAGTCCGGCGCGGTGGTTGAGTTTGGAGTGCTGGCTTGTGTCGTGGCGTTCACGGTGTTGATCAGACTCATCATCTCCTCGTTCGGCGTCTGTGATTCTGCCTTCACGTTCGGACTGGGAGCTGTGGTAGTGCTCTGTGGTTGGGGTTGGCCACTGGACACACTGCCACCGTTTGAGCCATCATTGGGCGGACTGGCAGATGCTCGGGCAGAGTTTGGCTCGGTGGCCACGTTGCCAGGTTGCAGCGACTGGTTCGCATTGGCAGAGTTTGGTCCGGGTAGAAGCAGCTGTGGTCTCTTCATGTACCGCTGGAGCTGCTGCTGTTGTGAGCTGGCTTGAGGATCTGGCGTACCATCAGTGTATTCTTCCACGACGCTACCGTGCTGTTGATTCTGATGCGCAGCCGCATTCGTGAACATGTTGACCAGGTTCTGCGCTCCTTGACCCTCCACACTTCGATTGTAGAAAGTAGCTAGAAAGGTCAAGATGGCATTGATGGAGTTCTCGTGCCGGTCATGCAGGGCTTGGAAGGCGCTCGCTTGTCGATAGAACTGATCGTTCTGATCTTTGAGCTGAGTTATCATTTGCGAGATGAACTTCTGCTGTGATTGCAGCTTTTGGAGCTCTGACCGCACAGCCGCAATCTCATTCCGTGGTAGTTGTGCTAGATCCAGGGTGTTGCTCGGCGCACCCAGCTCCTGTATGCGGCTCTCCGGAACAGGCGAATATTGACGCTCGTCGTCACTGTCATACTGCTCCTTGATGGTCCCATCACGCTTCCGCTTTGCAGTCGACTTGCCACCAGGCTTGTTGATCAGCCAGAGAAGCTTAGGTCGATTCCTCTGGAAGAACCTATGTGAGTACATGCTGGGTGGCTTCAGCCCCTTTCTGGCCTTCTCTGACTGTCGCAAAGAGCCGTCCGTGATGTTTATGGTCTTGTGAAAGCCATACATGTTGAGCTGGCGAACGAAAGAAGCATAGTTGTTGTGCTTGAACAGCTCTGGGATCAAGGTGCGCGCAAACTCATCCTCGTCGAGCACTATGAAAGACTTGCCATCGTCAGACCATCGGATGAGATCTGTGTGGTTGCTGTCGAGGAAGCTGCTGAGCTTCTGGATGAAGGGTGGTATCGATTTTCTCTTCGCCAGTCCTTCCTTCATGGCTGCATCAGCTCTTCTCTCAAGTTCCATGTCATCGTCAGTGTCTGGAGATCCTGCCAACCCTCCACTGCCATTCCATTGCTCTTGTTGTTGTCCGTTTTGTGGAGCAAGTTGCTGGTTCCGCGTTCTCCTCACAAGCTCTGTGGAAGGTGCTGCGGGTGTGAAGTTGCTACCGTATGTCTGCCGCTGCGCGCTGTTCAAGCCGTAGGAGTTGAGGTTGTTGTTGTCATCAAAGGTAGTGTTCGCAAAGGTCTGGTCAGGAAGTGGATTTGAGAAGTCAAAGTTGCTGAAGTCGGCGTTGTCCGGTATCTGCGGGTACTGGAAATTTGACTGCTGCGGCTGCTGAGGCATCGGTGAGGTGCCGGGTGCTGGCCGTTTGCGATTTTGCGGGGAGTTCTGCATGGTTGTATGCAGGCCGGCGGTGATATGCGGGTAGCCGTGGGAGTCGATCGCAAGGTGGTAGGATTTCAGAAAAACCGGCAGAAGGTGCGCGCTCAGGGTCCGACGTGCCTGATGTGCTCCCGACAGGGATGGGGGAGGCAGGATATAGGTGGAATGGGAAGGATGAGGTAGCCTTAAGCCTTTCTTGCTGACTTGTTCTTGTTCTTGTCTTAACGGCAGGCGGCTAGTCAGGCCTAGCTGATGGAGGAAGGTCCGGTCCTTTCACTTCATTATGTCCCGCCTCGAGTAGAACAATGCCAATATGAGTCAATGGAGTCTCTTGTCCACCTGGCTTCTCACTGGATTGTCTTCACCTCGCCCGTGGTTGGCTGGTCCTGCGCACGTTGCGGCGGTTGAGGTCGTTCGTCGATGAGGCACGCAATCGCGGGTGTATGGCCGGTTCGTATGTTGGTCCAGTCAAAGGCAACGCCTTTGGCTTAAGGTGAAATCTGTCGTCGTGATCCTCCAGGAAGTCACCGTGATGTGATGCCCGATGTCTAAGGCAGGTCTTGGCCTTCGGATACGGCTCCGATAAGCGAACTCCACCAAAGACAACAACCACATCTCACCTCTTGCTTCTCCAACTGAGATATGGCGCACAATCAAGACACAGTTTTGATGCATCATCTTGAGCTCAGCTTAGGCTGTACGAGAGAGGAGATACTGGGCGAATATATCCCCATCTCATGCCTCCGTCCGTCCAGATCACCAACTCCAAACCTTGACCCGGCGACGCGCCTTCAAAACAACTGCCCTTCTGCATGCTCGGTCCTCTGCTTAAAGGTACATGTAAGGTCTGTTGTTCTCAGTATCTCATGTGTCACAATCTTCGTCTACCCTGTTGCATTTCAGAAGAAACATGTTATAGCGGTGCCATGAGGCTGGACTACCGCGCAAGTGGCCAGATGAACTACACCATCCTCCCCCATCCATACCTTGCTACGAGACGTGGTCGGCGATTCCAGCGCGCAATCTCAGCTCTAAGATGAGCGTTCGCCTTCGTACAGATCAACCTTGGATGGGATGGTGTTCTGGTGGCTGAGCTGCCGCCAAGACCTCAGCCTTGGAGGATTTTTACGACATAGCCGCAAGATATACAGCGAGGACACTGGTCCCGGCGTTGCTTCTCCTTTGCTCGTACCTCACAATGCGAGGCCACCATAGAATCGTGTATAGTATTTTGAAGACAACAGATACCGGCGAAGTCCTTTGCCGTCGACATGTCCTGGCTCCATACCAGCTCGTGCCGTGTCGCCGACATGGACGAGTATATAATCGCAGAGCCTCCAGACGACGTCAAAACTGCGAGCATCACCAATTGGCTCAATCCACATGGCAGATTTGGCGCCCGCGACGCACTTTACACCACGACCGGTGTTCGTCTTCGACAATCCACGATCACGCTCTCATCTGTTCTTCCGATGGATCTCAACCAGTCCGAAACTTGCCCCAATCCACCACGCTTTCATGATGGCATCCCTACTTGGCCCAGATCGTTTCACGCTGCACACCCGAGCTTCTCCGGGCAGGAAACAGCAAACCCAAAGCGCTGTTGCTCCTTTTTGCGGCGATGAGACACATGAGACCTGCAGAACCCAACTAGCCCAGCATGTCTTGAACGCTCATGAGAAGGTGAGTCTGGCTTGAATACCTGGGAAGAACGGCACTGACGCCTTCTCAGAGTCTCATCCCGTTTGTCAACGAACACTGCGTCTTAGCTTTCAAGCACGAAGACATGTTTCCACTGTTGCGGGGGACAAGGGACAGCTACAGGCACTTTACTAACTCCACCCACATACCTGACGATTTCTTCAAAATCATCAAGCCGGTGCTAGTCATCAGGCATCCGATTCTGGTGGTTGACTCACTCTGCAGAGCGATCGAGCAAGAGGGCAGCAAGCCTGCGCCTGCGGAAGAGGACTTTGAAGCCATCACGACGCTGAAGCTCAGTCGGCATTTGTTCGATGGGTTCTGCTCGCAAGGCCGCAAACCACTTGTTGTGGATGGAGATGATGTGCTCTGGAAGACTGCTGCGGTGGGCAAGGCTGTTTGTGAATACATTGGCATCAACGCAGATGAGTTGAGCGAGACGTGGACGCCATATCCGGCGCATGAGCGACCGACTGCGAATGCGTACGCTTATGAGTGGACGAAGGTGGTGTGGGAGAGCGATGGCATTCATCGTCCTGCGGAGAAGGTGCCTCAGACTACATCAGCATTGTTGAAATAACTGCTAACCTTCTCATCAGCCCGAGGAACCGGAGCTGGAGAAGTACTGTGCCATTTGGGAGGCGAGTTACGGCAGTGAGGCGGGTGTTGCGCTGAAAGCACTGGTGCTGAAGAACATGCCGCACTACGAATACTTGTCGCAGTTCAAGATTGGTGGTCCACTGCAGGACAAGCCTATGATGACACCGAGCAGCAACATTGGCGCAGATTACTTCAGCCTTACTCGTGGGGAAGAGGAAGAGGGTGAGCCGTGGGACATCCATCGTCAGGATTCTTGTACGCCATTTTGAGATATCGTGGGTGGGGTTTCTTATGGTGCAGGGATGGATGGGAGGTCGCAGTGCCAACTTGTGGCTTTCTGTAGAGGTTTCATAATACTTGTCCTGCTTACATGTGAATCTTCCCAAACCGGAAGGTGCCGAGGTCCAATTCAAAACACGTCTTCCAAACGCGTTCGCGTTCTCACCTGCAACCACTTCCACCACCACCACCCACCATACCAACCATGCCCACCCCAATCGACCTCTCGCTCTCCTCCCTCGTCCCCACCCTCTCCCCCATCCCCGACGAACTCACCAACCTCGCCTCCTCCCTCCTCGCCCAATCCCGCTCCAAAGCCTCCGCCCTCAAACCCGAAGAAGAAATCGGCCGCACATACGCTTGCTGCCACATCGCATGTCAGCGGCTCGGGCATAAGCTGGCGCTGGAGATTGGGAAGCCCGCGCCGCCCGTGGGGCCGAGGGTATACGCGAAGTTGCATAGGTTTTTAAATAGTGTTTTGACTACTACTACGGGGACGCCGAAGAGGGCGGTGAGGGGGGCCGGGGAGACGCCGGGGAGTAGGGGGAAGGAGGGGGTTTCGCCGGCGGCGGGGCGGTCGTTGGGTAGGCAGGCGACTACGCCGGGGTCGAGGAAGAGGAAGGCCGAGGCGGTGGAGGAGACGCCCAGTAAGAGCGCCAGGACTACGCGAAAAGCAGATGCTACTAGCGAGCCTCCGGTGGAGGGGGACGCAGAAATTTTGGAAGACGAACTTGAAGACGCGGACGATCAAGACACCCCCGTAGCAGTCGCACGGCCAGCGAAGACACCTCTGCGAAGGGGAGAGAAGCATGGCGCTACCGACGAAGACGACCCTGGACCTGCGGGTCTACTGCCTGGTCTGGGGACGATGTTCCAACCTGCTGTGGATTGGCTGAGCGATGACAGAAGGGCAGAGTTTGCGCGGTGGAAGAAGGGTATCTTGCGTGAGGTTGCTCTGGTGGAAGGGAAGGCTTGATTGAGCAGGGTATGGGATCTGAATGACCCCACTGTGATGTGGTCAGTTCCTTAGAAGCAGTAAAGATGCTTTCAGATTCCCAAACAGGGCCCCCGCTCCACAACGGGCCATCTATGAATGAACAGACGGAAGGTGTTCGGCAACTAGGCTTCTCCCTGTATTCCACGGCCAGCGGACCAGCTTGACAACCATCAAGAATATACCGAGCAGAAATGAGGATGCTGCACGTCAGACTTTCAGGACCATGCCTACGACAGTTGGGCCAGTGGCCACAATGGCCTTAGGAACTACCGCTATCAACATTTATTGCGTACCATCATCGGTCACCATTGCTATGAAGTCCGGTGCGAGGCAGTAGAGTATATGACAGGAGCGTGCAGAGGCAGAAAGAGTCGAACAATTGTATCGCCAGCCTTAGACATAGCTCTGTGTAATGATCTTCACGTGAAAAAGCAAACACATGCTATCTCCACTGATCAGCCAACGGGATCTCCACGATCCAGTCTATGCTTAAATTTAAGGTTTGGATGTGAATGTGGAGGAAGGTCTCAACGGCCTGGATGCGATAAGACGTTGTCGCCCAATGGCATAACAAAGGTACTAACTTCGCCCGCAGCAAGATGGCAGAACCGAACTGGTATCGCATCGCAGCTCTCAAAGACTTCCTCCCTCTCAGCGCGGATCCGTCTACAGCTGCCGCCCGCGAGCATATCGCACAATCACGTTCTTCCAGCAACCTAGCAGCGATGAGGAACCGCAGCTTCGTCACGCGCAGACGAAGTAGCTTTGGCGCAGAAGATCTACCCAAGAGACAAGGCGACGAGAACGCCGGGGACAATCAGGATGCTCTGCCAGACGGACAGTCGCAAGTGCTCTCATCCTCAGCAGGGCACTGGGGAGGTGGGGATGAGTATGCGCTGCGACGCAAGATCAGTATACCAGCGTCTCTCATCACACCAGAGATGCGTTCGCAGCGCCTGATTGGCAACAGCAATCCACGGTATAGGTGGGAGCAGTACTGGAAGACGGAGAAGCAGCTGAAGGAGATGCCCAAGGCCATCAGAAAGTACTATGAGCGCAACAACTATCTGATCCAGAATTACATGTACATCGATCGGCTTCTGGACAGCAGCTTGCCACACAATCTGATCCAAGAGTACCAGCAGATGAATTCTGGCTATGGTACGAACCAGCCTGATGTTCCGCCGACCATCACAGAGGAGACTTCTCCCGCTGCGACGGGATCGAACACACCAGAGCTAAATGGCAGCACGCAAAGAGTCAAACGCACTCCAAAAGACATCTACAAGGTCCATGACGAAGAGCTCACACCATTACTCCCAGACCAGAAGGATGTGGACGACGAAGAGATCCTCGCCATGCCACCAGATCTAGACCTAGAAGAAGAAACAGGCTCCCAATCCCGGGTCGTCACAGTTGCGATCTATCTCAATCTTGCCGCCAACACCGTGCTGCTGATCATGAAGATTGTTGTTGTCGCCCTGTCGGATTCCGTATCAGTTCTGGCCTCTCTGGTCGATGCCGCGCTCGACTTTCTTTCCACCGCCATTGTGTGGGTAACTACCCGTCTCATCAGCCGGAACGACCAATACTCGTACCCGATCGGACGTCGGCGGCTGGAACCCATCGGTGTCCTCGTCTTCTCGGTCATCATGATAACCTCGTTTGTACAGGTCGGGCTTGAGGGCTTCTACAAGCTTACTGGACCCGACCACGAAATTGTCAAGCTCACCTTGCCAGCCATCGTGATCATGGCGGCGACCGTGGTCATCAAATTCTTGTGCTGGCTGTGGTGTCGCCTCATAAAGAACAGCTCGGTGCAGGCGCTTGCTCAGGATGCCCAGACTGATGTGGTGTTCAACACCTTTTCGATCATCTTCCCGCTCGTCGGCTACTACGCGAAGGTGTGGTGGTTGGATCCTCTGGGAGGCATTCTGCTCTCGCTATACGTTATCCTCAACTGGGCGCAGACGTCTTCGACACATATTCGCAACCTCACTGGTGCTGCAGCTTCCGCAGATGAACGCAATATCCTACTCTATCTTACTATGCGTTTCGCAAAGACCGTCCGGAAGATCCAAGGCTTGCAAGCCTACCACAGCGGCGACAAGCTCAATGTCGAAGTGGACATTGTTCTCGACGAGCACACCAGTCTCCGAGACTCGCACGATCTAGGCGAGAGCCTGCAGTATGTGCTCGAGAGTGTGCCTAATGGTATGTCCAATCACTACCGTTGCATTCCTATTCGCTTTTGCTAACTCTTCGACAGTCGACCGAGCCTTTGTTCACATGGACTACGCAGACTATAACCTACCATCGCATCTGCAACAGGACTCTTAGCAGGAACCTGAAAGAGATTTTGGGGGCCGTTGTTTGCTGAGTTCACCGCGAGATTACTGATAATGTACTATAGTGTACGATATGAGACACCCCAGTGATGAACGTTGACGATGGGAATCAGCAGAGAATGCTATCTTTACGACACCATGTCCACCCTTCAGCTGTACCTTCACCACGAACAGCGGGCATTGCTAGTCAGCCTGGGAATACCCTACATCATCAACACCTCCCATCGAGATCAATCGTCCTTGCATGCCCTTTGCGATATCTCGCATGTCGGGCGGCAGATTGCTGAAGTCCGCTTCCTTCGCCCAAGAGCCGATGCCGTGCTGCAAGATGTTCCTCGCCCTTGCTGCATCAGTCCCGGCAATGCCCATCGTGCCGTGCAGCGTCATTCGCTCATTGGTCGAGTCATACACACCTCGATGCAAAATATTGTTGTTGTAGAAGAGGATATCACCAGGGCCCATCCTCACGACCTTCTGGCCTGGCATATCGTCTTCGAACGGATCAGCACTTCGCTCCATATCAGTCCGAGCACGCTTGTGCGAGCCAGGCACGACGACCAAGGAGGCGTCGTCGAACAGTGCCAGATTCCATTGCGTGTGCATCATAGGTTCTTTAAGCCGCTCTTCTTCTTCTTTGGCAGGTACATCAGGCCCGATGTCATCACGGTGCCAGCGCAGTGCGAAGTCTCGGTCGGGTCGTACAAGCATATTATACAGCTCCAGGACCAACACGTCCCGCTCGCACTGCAGCAATCGGCACACAGCTTCAAGCATCGTGTCGTTGAAGTACGACTCCGCGAACACCTTTCGCTCTGGCATGTCGGGATGAAGTAGATGCTGAACGCCCCAGATTCCATGACTGGCGTCTTCATTCCAGGGAGGGAATTGCTTGGGGAGAGTTCGGATGTAGGGCCATTTGCCGGATCTTGCGAGGTCTACTGCTTTCTGTGCGGCGGTTCTGTAACGGTCCAAAGTTTCGCCAGAGAAGGCATTTCGTATGAGGACAAAGCCGTCGCGATCAAGGTCAGCTCTGAGCTCTGAGCTGGTTGGAAGTTGTGCTTCCATTTTGCGGCGGTTAGAGAATTGGCTGCGATGATAGCGGTACCTGCTCTACGAGCTCATTCATGGAGAATTCCCATTGATATGTGCGATGCTAGATAGCTGTATGAACGTTGTAGGTCGTAGGTCCTTCGTATCTAAATTGTATCCAAGTGAGGAGTATTTGCATGTGATCGTCTCGAATTTTGCCTTAGGCCAACACACCCGAACCGCACCTCGTCGCCTTGCTTCAAGTACCCCCTCTGCCGTTTCTCAACCACAACAACGTCTGCCGGCATCACAAGTCCTTCGCAGTGCACTCGAAGCATGCGCGATCCTTGACCAGGCGTACGTTGGTTCAGCGGAAACACATGGTCCCACTGGCGCAACAGGCGCAACGTGATCCTCCACCACCGCCAATATGGACATCTACGCGTCAGTCTCGAACTACATCACGAAGATGGTGTCCAGCGGAGATAGTGGATCGAGTGGCAGCAACCAGAAGATGAAGATTCTCCTGCTCGACAGAGACACAGTAGGCCATGTACGCCATCCTTAGCAAGAGCAGGACTGACCAGTCAGGTGCCCATTGTCTCCTCCGCTACGACACAGTCGGCCCTCCTCAACCACTCCGTATACCTCACCGACCGACTCGACAACGAAGAGCGGGAGAAGATGCGGCATCTACGCTGTCTCTGCTTCCTTCGACCTTCGCCGGACAGCATCCAGCTTCTGATTGACGAGCTTCGGGAGCCAAAGTACGGCGAATACCATGTCTGTATGTGCACACTCTAGAAAAGCAATATAAGGCGACTTCTGACTGACACAGACTTCAGCAACATCATCAAGAAATCCTCTCTCGAACGGCTAGCGGAAGCGGACGACCATGAAGTTGTCAAATCAATTGTCGAATACTTTGCCGATTTTCTGGTGATAAACCCCGATTTGTGCTCGTTACCACTGTCGTCTCGACTGTTCTCGTCCTCGCCAGACGCATGGAACCATGACAGCCTCACTCGGACAGTGGAGGGCGTCGTGGGAACGCTGCTAGCGCTGAAGAAGAAGCCGTTGATACGGTACGAGAAGAACAGTCTGCTGTGCAAGAAGCTGGCGACGGAGGTTCGGTACTCGATGACACAGGAGGAGCAACTGTTCGACTTTCGAAAAGCAGATACACCACCTATACTCCTGCTGGTGGACAGGCGGGATGATCCGGTAACACCTCTGCTCACGCAGTGGACGTATCAAGCTATGGTGCACGAATTGATGGGCATCGAGAATGGGAGGGTGAACTTGAGTGATGTGCCGGAAGTGCGGCCAGAATTCAAGGTAGGCAGAACAGACCGGACCAGTCAACCCAGGCTAACTTCGATACCAGGAAATTGTCATATCCCAGGATCAAGATCCGTTCTTTGCAAAGAACATGTACCTCAATTTCGGCGACCTTGGACAAAACGCAAAGGACTACGTCGAACAGTTCGCATCGAAACAAGCTTCAGGCCAAAAGCTCGACAGCATCGAAGACATGAAGCGCTTCGTAGAAGAGTACCCGGAGTTCAGGCGGCTTAGCGGCAACGTTACGAAGCACGTCACGCTCGTCGGAGAGCTGAGCAGGCGAGTCGGTACGGACCACCTCCTCGACGTCTCTGAGCTCGAGCAGAGCCTAGCCTGTAACGACAGCCACAGCCAAGACGTCAAGACCCTCCAAAACCTCATCAAAGACCCATCAATCCCTCCTTCCAACAAGCTCCGCCTTGTGGCAATCTACGCGCTCCGCTACTCCGGCCACACCAACAACAACACCCCCGCCCTCATGGAACTCCTCGCCGTAGCTGGCGGCGTGAGTCGTCATCGCATTAACCTCATCCCCAAACTCCTCTCCTACGCCCACTCACTCCAATCAATACCACAAGGCGGCGGCATACCAGAGCTCTTCCAGCCCAGCAATATCTTCTCCGAAGCGCGCTCACGTCTAAATCGAGGGCTTCGCGGCGTCGAGAACGTCTACACGCAGCACTCGCCGCGTCTGGAGACGACGCTGCAGGATCTCATCAAAGGTCGGCTGAACATGAACAGCTATCCTTTCGTTGAAGGCGGTGGGCAGACGCGGGATAAGCCGCAGGATGTTATTGTGTTTATGGTGGGCGGGGCGACATATGAGGAGGCGAAGATGGTGGCGCAGGTGAATGCCAGTTCGCCTGGTGTGCGGGTCGTGCTCGGAGGGACTGGTGTGCAGAATAGCAGTTCTTTCTTGGATGAAGTGGAAGAGGCTGTGGATGCATGGCCGGAGCCGAGACCGGAGACGGCGGCCGGGAGGTTGAAGAAGGAAGTTGGAAGAGTGTAATGGAGTGGAAGTTTTGCTATGCATATCAGAGAGCGAGCTCTCTCCGTGTTGAGGTACTAATGAAAGCTAAGCTACTTTCTCCGAAGCTACTGTTCTCTGGAGCTACTTCCTCTGAAGCTACCTCCTCTGAATCTATCCATCACTGTCATCGGAAAATGTCTCCTGGAACGCCTCGTCCTTCTGCTTCGTTTTCGAAGACGGATACATTAACTCGATCAAGTCTCCAGATTCTTCAGATACCGGGAGGCTGCAGGGCGGGCGGCCAAGCCGAGTCCTGTGGATCAGATCGTGATCATCCTCATCGGCGCGTCTCTTCCAGACCCGATCGTGATCATCCTCTTCGGCGTGCCTCTTCCGGACGATGGGCCCGAGTGGGGTGTTGCTGAACGATCCTTCGGTATTGAGGCGCTTGCCCTGGTCCAGCACCTTGGAAGCAACGCGAGCGGTAGGCGGGATCTTGACACTGGGCCCAAACAATACCGCCGGCCTCATCAATCTCGTCGCGTCAATCACTTCTCCCCGCTAAGAAGAGTAGCTGGCCACCGTACCGCGACACTCCGCCCAAAAGGCCTTCACGATGGTCTTGAGCAATCTACCGTCACTCCTCACGCCCGTGGACAACGAGCGTAGGAACTTTTCCCGTTCCCCCATGCCCACGTGCTCGCTAGGGAACCCTTCAGCTTCGAGCGCATACTGCAGCCACTTCTGCGTATGTTTGTGGTGCAGGAGGAGCGTCTTGAGCGGTTCGCAGAGAGTATCGAGGTCAGAGCGGTTAGCTCGGCCGCCGATCTGCTGAACGAGGGAAAAGACGAATCGCGGTCCGAATGTGTCGATCACTTGTCGGATGCGGTCTTTGGTATCTGCTGAAATTGCATCGTTTTGTGTTTTGAAGAGTTTGTTCCAGAACTCGCAGGCGGAGCGCTTGGGGAAGGGCTCGCTGCTGCCGATGGCGGTCAATGTGAAGTCGAGAAGTGCTTCTGTGATATGTCCGAGTAGGATGTGGGTGTATGATGGCATTAAGCGAGTCATGAACTCAATGCACGAGGAGGCCACTGCTGGATCGTTGCTTGGGCGTCCCAGTGTTATCGCGAAGCTTGCCACTGATGCGTATAGCGCTGTGGCATCCTCATCGGCGAGTCTATGGCCTCCCTTTGAGGAGCCCGTAACCAACATACTTGCTGTGCTGAGAACAGACTCGAGCTGTGGTGTGGTAACGGAACATTGCTGCAGGAAGTTGATCGTGACCGACGGAGGCAGCACGAATGGACCAGGCTGGGTTTCAGCCAAACCACTGCGTAGAACCTGGCAGGCTGCATCGACGGCCTCACCGTATTGTCCAACGACCGAAAGGACGGAGAAACAGCCAATGATGCGCTGCTGCACTCTGTGGCCATCTTCGCTGACCCAGAAACTGTCCTGGTAGGTCGGTCGCTCGTCATCGTCGTAGATGTTGATCGGAATGTCGTCAGGGACTTGCAAGCCTTTCCCGACGGCCGTAAGAGACTGCAGCGCCGTAACTCCAATGAGCTCTGTCATCTCTGTGTCTCCAGTCGAGGCGTAATGCTTGGCCATTTCAACATCCCGCTCAATGTTAGAAAGCAGGGCAAGAAGTGGCTCGGCTTTTGCGCTCTCGGGACTCAATGCTTGGATGATGGCAGCAATACCCCCGATGACCTTCTGCTTCGTGTATGGATCATTGGTGTCTGCACCGAGGAATCTCTCATACTGCGCTAGGAATCCAGGTATCTCATGGGTGAGGTTCGCGCGGCAAGTAGAGCAGAGTGAGTCAATGCTTTTGGCCGCAGCGTTTGCCAGACCTGCCATCTCCAGGGAAGCGAACAGGAACCTGACAGTGTTAGGGAGGAACTCCGGATGACGCTCAATGTACTGGCCATATGAACCCAGCGTATCAATAGCAGTTCGTCGAGTTTGTGTGGATATGGTTTGGCTGAAGTCAGCCACCTGCACGAACAGATCCGACCGAAATAATGCTTCAACTGCCTGCTCTGTTGTCCCGTCCTCAAGCACATTGTCCGAAAGAGTGTTCAGCGAGAACAGTGCAGCTTCGACGCCGCGCCATCTTTTCATTTCGAGCGACTGCAGTGTGAAGGACACTAACTGTTCAAGCATATCCTGGCCGAGAAAGGCGAATATGGAGAGCATAAGGTCTGTCGTGTCAAGCCGGAAGTCCTTGAAAGCGTCGTGCTCTGCATCACCCCACCCCTTCGAGACACCGGCTGACGGGATCCAGAGCTTGTTCCAGAGTAGGCCGACGGTCTGCGTCAAGACGGATTTCGCAGGCGCGATCCAGGCGGGCTGTTCATCATTCGAGCCCAGTGAGTAAACAGTGTCGTTGATGTATTCAATGTACGTGTTCCAGAACTCAATTGTGTGGACCGATAGCGAGTCAGCATCACCAGGAAAGCCTTCCAGCGTAAGGATGTCTGTGAGTATCTTGATGATCGATCTTGACTCGAGCTCGTTGTCAGGGTCTTCGATGACCTTCTGAATATTCGCACATCCAAAAGCCACAATGAACTGCACGAGGGCCACGCTGTCGGTGTCTTCTTCACTGATGGCTCGCTGTAACTGCGGCGTTATATGCTGTGCAATAATCCTGGCCAGATGCTGCATGTGCTGTGGCTGGAAGAAGTCTGCGTAGCAATCGAGCCGATCCCTTAGGATAGCTAATGCCTCGGTAGCAAGACTCTGGTCCAACAAACAATTAGACACCTGCTCGAGCAAGGCCCGCAGAGGCTGGAGAGCCTCAACGTTGAACCTTGCGTCCTGGGAGTAATTGGCCCAGGCTGCGTATGCCGGAAGGGCGTTCGACTTCGCGGCAAACCCGACTGTTGGACCGAGCGACCATTGGAGCAGTTCACCGACATCGTTCAAGCTGACTGCCATTTCTGCATGCTGTCTGGCAAATGCTTGCTGTGTCACAGACAGCTTGCTGACCTCTTCGGCGAGGGTTTCTGCGAAGCAAAGCAGTACCTCAAGCTGTTGTTGAGGCATAGACCAGAACAACCGAGGGATGGATGGTACACTTTGTAGTGCAGAATCCGGAACATCGCTTTGTTGAGTATCCAGCGCAATTGCCAGCTGCACCACAGGTCGGGGCCATGGGAGGGGTGATCGTATGAAGTATGTGACCAAGGCTGCACAAAGCTTCCTGGTCACGAATTGTCCCTTGCCCGGTTCTTGGGACAGTCGGACCTAAGAACGTTAGCACCGCAGGCGAAACGCTCGAGGATGTCTAAAGGTGAGGTTCGTGGTGTGCTACACTTACAAGCCAGTATATCAACCTCGAGCGTATTGACAGGGCCGTGTTCTCGTCGAGATTTGGTCTATCGCGCGGTAAGCAGAGGTCTCGCCACGGGCTCAGCTCAGGGCCAATACTGACCCATCATTGTTGAGTTTGACTATGAACGTGAGCGCGGCGTAGAAGCGGACGTTGGCATCGTCGCTGTTCATGAGCTGGTCGGCGAGGTTCCAGCCACCTGGCGAGAGTTGCAGCTGAATCAAGTCATCGTTGAGCTTCGTGTAGTCTTGCTTCGAGCCAGGGCCGTAGAGTTGCTTGATGAGCTGTTCGACATCCGCCATTGACCTGTGCGCCGGCCTGGCTGCTTCGGTCTCCATGTCGTCGAGGAAGAGGGAAGACGGGTGCTAGGTTGACAGTCTTTCACATGTCAGCAAACCCAGCGAGACTGCCCATGCAAGCATCGTCACGCCTGCTGCGCTTAGTCCCTCGCGACCGGCGAGGAGAAGCAGGAACAGTGGCTTGAAATGTTGTAGACGATGGGCAGTGCGAGTGGTAGGCCGGAAGGTGCTTGCTTGTGAAGGTTGATGGCGATTGGTAGGCGAAGCGAGAAATTGTTTGCTGGCTCGAATTTGGCAGGAGCTCGAAGCGGCGTAGCGTCATCAATCACGTGAGCCTGCCGTTGGAGGGTATTAAGGTACAGACCACAAAGCTGGAGAAGACGCAAGTTGAACGAGTGGGAATGAGGGAGCATGGTCAATGAGATTGAGCTAGCACATGATATGGTTGTTGCCATGCAGTCGCGCAAGACCGCTTCCAACTCTCCCATGCTCGTGCTATGGATTGACTAATATCTGATACGGAAACGGATTCGAATCCGTCGACGTAATGGGCGGTATATGGTCCTTCTCACCATTCGCCGTCTCTATGATAGCCATCGCAGCAGTCTGCAACTGCTTCTCCATCTGCCTACGATTCCGCGCTGCCTCTGGCTCGCTGCGCGCCGACGTCAAGGTGACTTCTATCACCCAAGTCTCCCATACCGTCTCTTCATCCGCTTTAGCAACGAACCACCCCTTGCGCCGCTTCTTCTCGAGGAACTGTACGACGAGGTGCCCTTTGCCTGGCTTGGGCTGCGACTGCGGTGATTGGGAGGTGGAAGCGGAGTCAAGCGCGCGCATGAAGGCGTTGGTGCGCTGCTCAATGAGCGTCTCAATGTCATCTTCGGATACGTAGGGTAGGGTCATCTCCAGTATATCGTGCGTGGCCGGCTGTAGCGGGACGAAGCATCGGTGGAAGAAGATCGTGTGGAGAGCGCCTGGTCTCGATCAGTCCGAGCGTTATTTGAGCTAGAGTTGTTTGGATACCTTTGACCACATCTCTGACGTTGGAGCGATCTGCCGATAGTTCAAGCGCATACTCTGGTGCTCGTCGCGTGTCCATGGTCAACTTTGAGTCCAGAAGAGGTGTCGAGCTGCTTACGCAGCGTTATGGCGATCCGATCACATGCTCGCTCCGCCTCTTTCGAGGGATCTGGAGACAGTTTGGTCGTTTGCTGCTGTAACACCTTGCCTACCTCGGAGTTACTGGTCAGGGGAACAAGATGTTTGCTGTCATGGAGTGGTACGGATAGCGGTGTTCACGGCCCGACGATTCCATCGCGACATCGGCACTTGCCTTCGATCAACAACATGCATCACGGCGACCTTATCGGAGCCGACCAAGGTAGGAGATGTAGTCTTTCATTAAAACGCAGTAGGCATGCATGAAACCAGGTAGGAAGTCACCAGTGTTTCAAGTCTGCTCTCTCCTCGGCATCAATACTTTACCAAGGCCTGGCGGGCACGAAGATGACGAAGGCGTTGATATACGGCACGGGAGGAGTTGGCTCATGTTATGGCTATATCCTCGACAAAGGCGGAGCAACGGTGACAGCAGTCTGCCGAACGAACTACAGCGCCGTTCGCGAATCTGGCATCACCATCAGATCAAAGCTATGGGGCGAATGTCACTTCAAGCCTCATGCTGTTCAGTCAGTCAAAGAGGCCACGGCCGATGGACCATTCGACTACATCATCGTCGCCTCAAAAGCCTTCCCAGGCACGGCTGAGTTGATCAAAGAAGCGGTCACGCCTGAGCACACGGCCATCGTCCTCGCGCAGAACGGGATTGCTATCGAGGAGGATTATGCCAAGCTGTACCCTTTTAACACCATCATCTCGGGCGTGGTATACCTCCCTGTAACCCAGGTGCAGCCAGGAGTCGTAGAAATGGGACCGCTGGAACGCTTCGAGATCGGTCCCTACCCAGCCAATTCATCCTCGACAGCAAATGCGCTTGCACAGCGGCTCTCAGACCTGTGGAAAGCCGGTGGCGCCAACGCACCAGTCTTCGACGACGTGCAGCCGGTCCGATGGTTCAAAGTCGCTATCAATGCCAGCTGGAATCCCATATGTGCCCTCACGCTCTGCGACGATGCCAACTATCTCCGATCTTCGAACAACTCTGAAGCCATGGTGCGGAAGATCATGCTCGAAGTCGGCCGAGTTGCTACTGCAGAGGGCTACCCAGGAGCAATCACAGACGAGATCATTACGCGTGACCTGGCGAGGCCGAAGGGTCGACTGGAGACTGGCGGCAAAGAACCATCAATGCTGACGGATGTGAGAGCAAACAGGCCGATCGAGGTTGAGGCGATCTTGGGAAATACTCTTCGTTTGGCGCAGAAGCACAAAGTCGATACGCCGTATCTGGAGCTTTTGTATACGCTGGCGAAGGGAAGAAACTATCAGCTGCAGCCGGACGAGAGGTGGCGGGACATCTCGTTTGCGAAGGTTGTGAATGCGACATGAGGCGAAAGGGGTATTCACTTCCATGGTCGCCTTCCGCGAGATAGAGTTACCAGCTGCAGTAGAATATATCAGGTGCCTCGTTTGAGTATATGTTCCTTGGTCACTCCAGCCTTGGCGTTGAGCAATTCGTCAACTTCACATGGCAGACTTGACAGCTTCGCTCTTATTGCTTCGACCCAGACCACAACTGAATGTCCATTCTTGAAGCATGTGATCGAAGCAAAACATGGCCACAACACTGAAAAGCACACCAGAGATATCAAAAGAGGATCTTGGAAAGCTCGGGCACTTGTCAAGCCTACTCCATCTCTTCAACCATCGGAATAAGAATCAGCATCGCCGCAGCGTCTGGTGGCGACACTTCTCACTTTTCCGCCGGCATCTGGAACAAACCGTTTCGGACTATCAAACTCTCGACGAAACTCCTACGACCCATCTGGAGCGAACACGCAAGCGTACTAAAGACGAAATCACGCGGACCCGGATCTCACAACGACTCAACCTTTGGCAAGAGGTTCTGGTCCCGAAGTGGCATCATGCTTTCTCGCAGCTGGTTGCGGACAGCAGATTCGCAGTGTTAGGAGTGGTGCTTCTGGCAGCCCTGTCGCAAACCTGCCAGATCTTGGGGATCACTGAAGCATTCGAGGATCTGGGCCAAGCGGAGGCTGAGAAGGCTATCGAGAAGTTTGGGCAGGAGTACTGGGTAGATGGTTTTCAGGCTGCTGGGAGAGGGTCGGATGGGGAAGATCTGGGTGTAGTGGTGGCACGAGAAGAGGAAGTGAACGAGGCTGCATCTCCTGGTGAAGTGTCTGAGAAGACACCTCCGGCTGTCAAGCCAAACCGCGGCGTTGGCAGCGAGAGTTCGTTGAAGCGGACAGGAGCTGCGGAGAAGCTACCGGGTGGTGTGAAGAAGAAAACGCGAGGACGTTGAACAGATCAATGAAGTATGGGCAAGATTGAAGACCATCAGCCTCGTCAGCGAGTCTCAAGCTATACTACAAAGCTGGTACAGCAGGCTGCCAAAGCCGACATTGACGACCAGATGCCAACCCAGCGACCAGGCCAGAGCGTACAAGTACTTCGGGCTGAAAACGGTCCAGATGAACAGATGCGTCCGCAGAGCTGTGCATGCCGCCATGACAGCCAGCAGGGACGTTGCCACGAAGGCTGTCATGCTGGCAACATACACAAACCAGGCGCCAGCATGGGGATCTTCCGACGCTGGCTGCTCGTTCGCTTGCTTCGCAATGGCTTTGGCATCCTCTTGCAACTTCTCGCGTTCGACCATGACCCAGTCTCGATCCTTCTCAGCTCCAGCGGTCTCTTTGCGACTGGCAATCGCTGGCCGTTGTGTACACAGCAAGACAGCGGCGCTGCACCACCAGATCGGACCCGCCCAGTTGCTGGAGAACAGTAGGAGACCAACGGCAGCAATGTTGTAGTCTGCAACGCCATTGTAGGCATTGCTCAGGTCGATGCTGGAGATGGAGTTCGAGCCGCCCATGCAGAAGTAGTACGTATGCGACAGCAGTAATACTGATGTTGCTGCCTCGACGGCTGAGGTTCGAGGCTTGGTGGCTTTCTCTTTCGAACTCGAGCTTTGTGTCGAAAGCAGCCAGCCCAGCGCAGACTTCTGCGTTTCGAGCGCGAGGAACAGAGGGACGTTCGGGGCTCGCGTCTGCGTCATCAAAAACAGCGTGAGTAGATGAGAAAGCCTTTCAGTCAAGGCGATGCTCGTCTGGGCAGCCTTAGCTTTTTGGCCACTCTTGCCTCTCGCCTGGCGTATAGCGAGCACAACCACTCCGGCTCCCGTGACGGCCATAGTGGCAAATGCTGCTCGTGCCTGCACCACCAGGCTGAATGGCTCGCTCCATTCTCTCAACTTCAGCGCCAATCCCTGCACCAACTCCGGAGCATCAGCCTGCGTGAAGTTGAGCTTGAATACGGTCGCGAGGACGATCAGGGAGACGTCCGCGAAAGCAGTGAGCTCCGGTATCAAGAGTCCAGCAAAGGTTCTGGTGTGTATGAAGTAGCCGTTCATAATATATGTCAGCAGAATGAGAAGCCACATCAGCATGTGATGCTCCGGAAAGATGGCGTGCACAATGTCCGGCTCTCCAGCGTGTTTCTGGCCTGTCTGGTTCCAGCGGACGGCGAGGCGGTGACTGCAGAGCAAAATTGCTCCAGCTGCTGCTGTTCGCCAGGCAGAGGTCATGTCTGATCTGTTGCGAAGACTCTTTGCTATGAGAATGCTCACCCAGACTGGAGTGAGCCAATACCAGAAATGTTGCTCTTCCTCGACGTAGCTGCTGGCGAACATCATGACTCCGTACAGCAGGCAGATGAGCGTGAAAGACATTCCAGCAATGCCCGGCGGCCAAAGGGATGGGGACGAGATGACTGCAAAGACTAGCGCAGCACCCGCGACCGCCATCCCCGTCACCATGCGCGGAATATCGTACGAGCTTGCCGTATCGCTCATGGTCTCCTGCGCGAGCTTCAAGAACCGGTAGAGCGCCTCTTCCAGCAGTTGATCATTCTCCAGCCCACGTTCCTGCGCGAGCCAGTACAGCACCTCGCCCCAGCCATGAATCAACTTCTCCTCATCGCCCTCTGGCCCTCGACAACCTCCGTCTCCTTCCTCCATAGCCTTCGCATGCGACTCCGCGTCGCGGTCGAACCGCTCCCCACCATACTTTGCCCGCACAATGTGCAGCAACTGCTTCGCATTCTGCAGCAACAGCTGCACCCTCCTCTCCCCCTTCCATAGGCCCGTCAGCTCCGGTAGCAGAACACCCAGACTATTCTTCGACACCGGCATACCCATCATGGCCGCCAGCGCCGGCACAAGATCGCTCTGCTCCACCTTACTGTAGTAATGGAACTCCGTGCCTTCCTTCGGCAGCGTCGGACACTCATACTGTCTCTTCTCCATCGCCTTGAATACCGGACTCGCGAACAATAGCGCCGGTTCCGTCTCCCCTGGCCCACTGCCGCCATGGTTCCCACCAGCGTTCATCCCATGATCACCAGCCAGCACCAAAAGCGTCGTCTCATGATGCTCATACCCCTCCATAGCCTCATAGATCATCTTAATAATCCCATCCATCTCCCGCTGCTTCGGCAGCATATTCGGCCCCTGCGGCCCCGTCTTATGCCCGATATGATCCAGCCCCAAGTAATGCAACACCATAGCATTCCAATCGCTCCGGGCAAGTTCATCTGGCACATGACGCGTGACATTATTATCAACCTCTGTGAAATCCTGTTCAAGCGAGAAAGAAGTTCATACTCAGCTATATGTTCTATCATCAACAAACCAGGGCCAGTTCTACTGACCGAGACAAAGAAGCTACTGGTCCCATCGGACCGCTTGAAGAAGGGTTGTCCTTCAGGGGACGGAGGGAAGAGTTTGAGCCAGGTGTCGTCGCCGTAGAAGACGATGCTGCCGTTCGCGGCGAGGATCTGGGCGAGCCAGGTGTCTTGGGCGGAAAGGGAGGAGGAGGTGTCGGATTCGGCGAAGTTGAGGATGAGGTCGAGGAAGGACGGGACGGAGCCGGTGGTGAGCGCTTTCACGCGTGGCATCGTGACGGTCGGTGGGGTGGCGTGGGCGGTAAAGGGGATGGCGGCGCCGGAGCGGATGAGGCTGTAGTTGTCAAGCAATTAGCCTTCTGCTTCGTCTTGTGCTCGAGGTATCTTATGTTTCGTGCTCGCAGCACTTGTCCAAGGCTCCAACATACCTCTGCGTAAACCCAAACCCACTCCCCTCCCCATACACAAAATCACTCCTCAACGCATCCACCACCATGAACACCACACGATCGAACACCGCCTCTTCCTGCCCCCTCCTGGCTCCTCCGGCACCTACTCTTGGGCCTCCACCCTTCTCTCCCAGCTCTTCCTTCCCACCGCGCAATTCCCCAACATCCTCAAACCGCGCCAGCCCAGGCAAAAAGGGCTTATACGGAAAGAAGCCCGTCGCGAACACCAGGACAGCTATGGGTAGAAGAATGTTGGAGAGCGACAGAGCGGCGAGGCGGAGGGAGCGAGGGCACGACATGGCGGTGTCGGCAGCGGTTCAGATGGTTGAAGGGTTAGGCTAGAAGGAGCGTATTAGCATCGTGGTTATACTGAGAGAGTCATGGGAGGTGATGTTGGTAGAGGAAGGAAGTCGTTGAACTGGCCGCGGAGATGTACGAAGTCCTCGGCGTTGACTAACAACCTCCTTCCCAACCTTGGAACAGTACCAGTACCATTCTTGAACCTCTACCATACACAGCACAGCATGAAGAGCACTCAAAAGAAGAGAGGGAGAAGCAGTTGGCACCAAAATTGTGAGAAGAGTCAATTGCATTAGTCGCAAAGAACGACGACTATGAACCGCTGCCTCCCTTCTCTACCCTCCATTTTGATACCCATGATTACGTGCCCAGAGCACCTATATACCGCTCCATTGCCATTCTGATCCTTCGTGCGCCATGAGCACCCTCGCTTGTGCATTCGTTTACTTTAGCAAGTACAAACATAAGAGATCTGCAGCGATGACAAGCCGTACTGAGCATGAGCCGTGGGGCCCATTCGTTCCAGCAACGTACATCGCGCGCAGCAGCAGTAGCAAGAACGCAGCAACCATTCCATTCCGAGCAAGTTCCATACCATGAGCAACAGCAGCTCAGCAAAAGCAATCCATCCGTAACAAGAAGCAGCCAGTCGATAAAGCAGCGCGATAAGAAATACAGTACGGTCGAGTCGATGCACCGCCAACGGATGCTGCAAGAGTGTCCAGGCATGAACGAGTCGACCAAGAGAAGCGGCGTCGCCGTCGTCTTCAAATGGCCATCCAGTTCGCCGCCGTGTCAATCGGGTCAAGACAGGATAATGCTGCAAGACGTCGAGATCCAGGAACACTCGGTATGCAAGCGGCCGTGATGAGCGCAAGAGGAGTATTAGTGCTGTTGGGGGTGATGATGCAGTGCTGTTGCAGACATGTGGTGTCCGCGAAGTATTGTCGTGTGAGTAGCCTGAAGGCGACGAGGTGCCTACCGATGAGAGTTGTAGCCGTTGCCGAACTGCTGGCCGTACCCATCGTCCTTCGGGCTGTAAGCGGCGTCGTCGTAGCCGTCGCCGTTGAACTGAGTCGGGGCCTGGATGGTGTAGGCGTAGCCGCCACCGTTGCGAGGAAGGCTGTCGTTCAGGTGGTGGCGCGGAGCCTGGACAGCACCACCGACGTGCCGGTTGGCGCTGTAGACACGGCTGCCATTGGAGTGGACCGAGACGTTGCCGCCGCTGAACTGGCCGAAGCCATTGGATCCGTGGAAGCCGTTGGACTGGGTGCCGCCATTGAACTGGTTGCCGCCGTTGAACTGGCCGAAGTCGTTGAAGCCGTGGACGCCAGCGAACGGGTCTTGGTTCATGTGCCCGTAGCCGTTGTTGAACATGCCTGGAGCATGGCCGGCGAAAGCAGGATAGCCCATCTGGTACATCTGCTGTGGTGGCGAGCCCATGAACATCGGACCGTAGCCCTGGTTGTGGTGCTGCGACATCTGGTACGCCTCGTCTTCGTTGATCTGCGAGAGAGTGCCGCGATCGTACTGCGAGTGACCGTAGCCACCTCGACCGCCTCGACCGCCACCACGGCCACCACGGCCGCCGTGACCGCCATGACCGCCATGACCGCGAGCAGGCGAAGCGAAGAGGCCAATCGTGCCGGCGTTGTCCCTGCTGCGCTGTGCTTTCGCCGGGTTATCGACTTCAGGCCAAGTCCTCCCCTCGCCGACCTCAGCCTCCCTCCTGAGATTCTTGTCCTCCCACCCGAGGTGCGTATCCTCCTTGGTATACCACAAACGCGGGACGACGTTGGGCATCTCTTCCAAGACCGCCGAGTTGCGGAACTTCAAAATACAGCCGTCCTGGTCCTGGCAGACCGCGTACGCAAACTCGGCCAGGCGTGGCCCTTTGTGCGGGTTGAATGGCAGCTCAGGGCACCACGGGTGACCCTCCCAGGCGTCGAGGAACTTCAGGACGTCGTCGGGGGTCACGAAGTTGACGAAGCCGTACCCCACGTTCGTACCCCTGCTGAAGTCCATGCGTAGGTATGAGAAGTTATACCGTCCGCGGTTGGCATGGTTCAGAATCGTGAGGAAGCGATCCACTTGCATGTCGATCGGCAGGTTGCGGCACATGATCGTAGTGCGGACGTCATGGCCTTCGACAATCTTCTCGCGGGAGACGGTCTGCGGCTCCATGCCAGTGCTCTCGTTCAACGGAGTCATCTGCCCGGTCGAGCGATTGAAGCGACGACTGGAAGCGCTGCCTGGGGTGTAGTTTGTCGTCGGGTAGGATCCGCTGCGTGGTGGAAGTGCGGAGCCGAAAGAACCGTGAGGAGTACGCGGCCACGGGTCTGACTGAGCCCGCTCTGCGTGCGGCGCTTCCTGAAGAGCACCCACAGGAGCACGTGGAACCTTGGTTGGAGGCGGCATGGGAATGATGGAGCCATCGTCTGCCACGCGGTACGCCGTGCGACGGGTCGGGCTCTCGAAGTAGGTTCCTTGGGCCTGACGAACGTGGCGCGGCGTGGCCGTCAACGGCTTAACCGACAGATCGTCTTCCGGCGTGAGTTGCCTCTGACGAGCATAGACGGACCAGGACTGTGAGGGGCGGTCAGCGACACGCGATGACTTCGACGATGTGAGTGAACATACCTTGATCTGAGCAGGACTGTCTTCAGCAAGCGCGAGGATGGCCTTCTTCGCGTCCGAGATCCTGAAGTACTCGGCCTTGAAGGTCCACGTGCCTTTGACGATCTCTGCTGAAGCGACGCCGAGGATGTCACCGAAGCGCAGCGCCAGCTTGCTGATGTCTTCTTGCAGGTGAGAGTCGTCGAACGAACCGCCTTTGCTCGATGGCTGGGCTGCGAAGACGACCTGCCCGTCGAAGAAAGAAGTCTCCTCACCGGCCCCCTTGAGCTTCAGCGCCGCCGCGAACTCTTGCTGAGTGACGTAATGAGCCTCCCACTTGCCATTGATCATGCCAATCTGATCAACCGCCTTGGCGGCCTCGCGGATGTCATCGAAGCTGAAGATGATCTGAGGCTCGCTCGAATCAAGGCTGTCCTCGATCATCGTGGATCCGCGGGTCTTGGTAGCCCAACCGAGCTGCGGTGCATGTCAGTGTGAAGATTCGATGTGGAGGGTCGCTTCAACTTACCTCTTTGTTGAGAATGTCGACAGCGTCGGTAATCTTCATGCCTTTCTTCTTGAGTGGGAGGGTGGTCTTCAGGTAGTGACCGCCGGGTGAGGAGACGCCGACTGCGACATCTGTGGTGAAGACGAGAGCGCGGGTCGGGCTGACTTTGGCGCCACGGGTACCGACTGGCTGCTGCGCGGAAGTGACCTTCTGCTTGCCATTGCTCTGCGGCTTGACATGCTCAGTGACAGCTGGGGTGGACACGATGGTCGGCTGCGACGGCTCATCATCGGCCTCGCTGTCGCGATTGAGAAAAGCGATGGGGCTTGGCAGAGTGCCGTTGGCTGCGCCGGCAGTCTTCTTGAATGGGTCGCCGTTCACGACGGAGGTGGTCGCGTCTTGCTGAGGACCCTTCCAGCTTGGCATGGTCACAGCGACGCCACCGTTGAGCTCGCCGCCCTCGGTCGACGGCTTCTTGAGAATGCTCTTCAGGCCGTTTGGTCTGCTTGGAGGTCAGCTTCAAGTTACATGCGATGGATAAAATTGGGTGAAGATGGGATGGTTCTCACTGCTTGTGCGCGACGGAGCCGGTGCCGTTGGCGGTGCCGTTAGCCTTGGGCTCGGTGGTCTCCTTGCTGGCCGAGTTGCCGCCGCCGTTGACTTGCTTGGATGACTGCATGGCTGAAATGCGCGTGGAGTCGAGGATGATGATGGGAAGGAGGGGAGGAGTGATGTCGTGATAGACGGTGGTGAGTGCGAAGATGCTGTTGCGAAGACGCTGAATCGGATGAGATGACCAGTGCGTCCAAAGGAGCTGCCCAAGTGAACCTGGCCAAGAGGATGGTGAGGATGTCAAGGACAATGTGTGCGCAGTGAATGCAGGGGGCAAAGAATGTGGTATGAGGGTGGAGGGAGAGTGAGTGGTGAGGGATGGAGGATGTTGACACGCGGAAGAAATTTTGTGTGCGCGAAAGGGTCTGCAGGGCAAAAGGCGGTGGCTGGCTGGAGCTGTGGATGCTCCCGAAGTTGGGTCAGCAACATTGGCAACTGCGAAGTGGAAGGAGCGAAGCTGTCCTCGATCTCCGCAGCTTCACCACCGCCTCAGCTTCAACAAGTGGTCTTTGGGCCGACTCCTTCGCATATAGCATGGACGGGACGACGGAAGAAGCTCACGTGTCGATCGTCCATTTTCTCACGTGCTTCTACAACACGTAGGGCGTCGTCCACGCTGCTCGCTCTTCGTGGTTGTGCTGGACACCGTTGTGGGGCTTTAAGCTTCGCCGTACAGCTGGGACTTCAACCGTGGACCGACCATGTGAGAGTGACATGATGCTTTCCACGTCTCATGGGATGCACAGTGTTACTCTTGGACGCGTATGGTGATCCAAGAGGACTGCACGATGCTTCTTGCAAGCACGCAGCGCCTACAGTCACTTCTTCATTAGCATCTCAGCTTCATTTCGCAATACATCACTTCCACCTCACACAGGATCATTTTGATAGACCCTGAATTTCGGAGCCCTGCTAGCGCCGGGAAACCGGCCACTAGCTCTGCCGCTAAGGATTTAGTAAAAACGGCAGAATTAAGCGAACTTTCGGCCTCAGGCATGGAACGCGACGAGCTCGCTCCAACTTCACTTCCACCAGTGTGAGAGCAGCGTTTCGACGACTACGAGTGATCTTGTCGTGCGAATGCCCGGTAGTCTTGCGAGCGTCTTCTTGAAGCCTGAAGGCAATCTTCATAGTGCACGAATACACTCCACAGAGCGTCCGCCATCTGCTCGCGAGACGCTCCAGGCGACCTTCACTCATCCAAAGGCTCGTAGACAGTCTGACATCCGGAGCATCACGACTGCACAAGGAGCTGTCCCACCAGGTCCATAGACTTCACGCTGACGTGATAACAGCTTTGACCGCGCCATATTCGTCCCGCGAACCACCCAACCCTCTGAATCTTTCTGCCCGCCACCTGCCATCGCCTTGCGAAGAAGAACAGAAAAGAAAATGGTTTGAGCTTACCAGTATCTTTTGCCTGGCGAACCTTCGACCTTCTCCCGTGCTGTGTGGTTGTCTGGCCATTCACCGAAGTGTCGACTAGAATCCTGCGCCCTGCGCTGATCCAACGAACGTGTCAACCAGGCGCGTTGGGCTGAGCGGAACCGGAGGGTGACGGTGATACCACGGTCCGAGTGGTTGTAGTGGAAGGCTTTCTCAGTGCTTCAATCGCGGCGGGGGCAGTATTGTATTAAAGATGCCTGGTCTGATCAGCAATGACCCATATGATGACCTTCGAGGTGCTGTACAGCAGGTGCGTACTTCTTAATCCAAATCTCATTTATATCCAATCTGCATGAACGAGCATCAAAGCACGTACCAGCAAAAAGTGTGTCAAAAGACTGAAGAGGCGGTGTCGGGGGCGTAGGCGCTGAAGCATGCCCGAAGCAATGCTGGCAAGCTGAGGGTGGCACATGATACATGATGTCAGCACCCAACCAGAAACGGCTTTCCATCCGCACCTTCACTTCAGTACCCCTGAGCCGCGAATATACACTGACATGGACGACGTGGCCCAGATCATCCTCTCTTCCTCAGAGTCGGACTACCTCGATCAACTCATACCTCTTTTAAAGAACGCCGAAACGCAAACCCAGGTCACCCCTCTCATCCACGCACTCAACCATGTCTCCGCCGACCGGGAAGCAGAGATCGAGCGCATCTGCAACACCAACCACCAGGAATTCATCAGCAGCGTCAACCAGCTCCAATCCGTTCGCGAGGGCACCGTCAGCTTAACATCCGAGATCATGGAACTTAGCAAGTCCATCGAATCCAGTACAGAGAAGTTGGCCGAGCAGAAGCGAGCGTTGGTGGAGTCCAGAGGCGTGCGCCAGAACATCGACGAATGCACACAGGCCCTTAAGGATTGCCTGGAAGTTCTGAGACTGGCGAATCAGGTGTATGATCTTTTGAGTAAGAAGAGTCATTATGCTGCGCTGAGGGCATTGGACGAGCTGCAGAATGTGCATTTGCGGGAGGTGGCAAGGTACAAAATTGCTGAGACTATTGAACGGTCGGTGCCGGCTACGCAGAGGTTGATTGCGGAAGCAGTCATGTCAGACTTGAATACCTGGCTCTACCGCATTCGAGAGACATCGCAGTTCCTCGGCGAGGTTGCCTTCTACCATACAGAGATGCGCCGGGAACGACAGAAAAACCGCCTCGAAACCAACGAATACCTAGGCTCTTTCAAGCTAAACTCTGCCGTCGAACTCGTCGCTGACGAGGTAGAAGAGTTCGACGTCCTCAACAACGAAGAGGTCCAAGTCGACTTCTCTCCTCTCTTCGAATGCCTCCACATCCACGACAACCTGGGTCAAATGGACAAGTTCCGCGCCGACTACGCCGCCACCCGCCGCACGCAGAAGGAACTCTTGATCCCGCAGACCATCAACCTGCTCGACGACGAAAGCAACGAGCTCTCCAGCTTACTGGAAGGCATCGCCGGCTTCGCTATCGTCGAGAAAGGCACCATGGCCAAGACAGAAAACTTCCGCGCCCAAGCCGACGTCGATGAGTTGTGGGAGAGCATGTGCCAGTCCGCCATCACTCTCATCACATCCTCGCTCGACAAAGTAGCGAACGACGAGAAGCTGCTCAAGATCAAAGGCGTCATTGCCCTGTTCATTCAGACCATGGATTCCTGGTCCTACCCTGTCGCCTCGCTCGACGGCCTCCTCCTGACCTTGTTCGATAAGTACAGCAGTCTGCTGAAAAAGCGCTTCTCCGACGACTTCGCCGAGATCGTCAGCACGGACGACTACATGCCCATGCCCATCAACAACGCGGACGAGTACGCCAAAGTCGTCAACGTGAGCTGGTACACACCACCTGACGGGCACGAGGATCCGGAAACGCTCACGTATCCCTGCGTGCTGCCTTTCTCGCAGATGTATCCGCTGGTCTGTATTGACATACGGAATTTCTTGAATCAGATATACCTCTTCTCGGACTCGCATTTCCGGCATACGACAGTTATCGACGCTACTTTAAAAGAGAGCCTGGATTCCCTGCTTGTGCACAAAGTCTGCCGATCGCTAGTCGAGCGCCTTAACAGCCAATACGCCGGCCAAATCGTCCAAATCCTCACGAACCTCGACCACTTCGAGCAAGCGTGCCGCGAGCTGGAAATCCTCCTCGTCGAAGCCCGCAGCAGCTCCTCCGCCGCCGGCCCCATCACCCTCGCCGCTACAGCAGAGTTCAAAGAAGCCAAGACCAAAGCCGAAAAGCGCCTCTTCGCATTGGTGAACAGCAAGATCGACAACCTGATCCAGTTGGCAGAGTATAACTGGCAAGCCCGCTCCGCCCCGCAGCACGTGGAAGACTATATGCAGGAACTCACGTCCTACCTCGCTAACACCATGTCCTCCGTCTTGCTCGGCTTGCCGGAAACAATAAAACAGCAAATCTACTTTGAGGCGCTCACGCACATCTCCGCCGGCCTACTGGACTTACCCCTGGATGATTCGCAACCCAAGATCTCCTCGCAGAGCGTCGCGCAGTATCAGATGGACGTGCAGCATCTGGTAGAGTTTGTGGAGGGGTTGCCGGAGAGAGATGTGCTGGCGCCGACGCTGGAGGAGTTACGGCAGACGACGGATTTGATGGGGTTGGCGGCTGAGGGCCAAGGGGAGGAGTTTTTCGACACGAGTAAGGCGGGGGTACGGTTTGGAAGGGTGGACAAGATTCGGGGGGCGGAGTTGCTTGAGAAGGTATGTTGCTGCTATCACGAGGTGGTATGGATGGGAGAGATGGGAATGTTGCTGACAAGATGAACAGGTGCAAACGAGGACGCAGAGCACGCTCCTGTCGCCGGCGCCGCGGAGCCCGAGCGTTGCTGATTTCGACGGGCAGCATGCGAAGAAGCCGAGTGTGGCGGGATTTGGAGGGTTGGGGGCGCGGTTCGATCAGTTCAGGCGGGATAGGTCTTAGGGAGGCTGATGGTGAGATGAGCTTGAGGCAGACGTGGTGTAGAAGAAGTTGCATCGCCCATACATTTTCATGCAAGACAGCGTGTAGTATTTCAGTGCCTGCTTCTTTGCTTCGAGATGCGATTCACTTCCGTCATCAACGCCGCCTGCGCCGTGCTATGCTTTCCCTCCCCATATATGTCCACAGCGTATCGTACAGTGCTTGTCCTTTCCTCCCTTTCCTCCTACTGCTCCCTTCAAGCCTTCGCCCTCCTTGCATCGCTCAGTTCCCGAGTGGCGAGAACAATCTACCCCCATCGTCAGTGTTCATCCTTCTACCCCTATGTTTGATTGATTAACCTGATGAGCGAGGGCCTGGGGTTGCTCCTCGTGTAGCCCAGGTAGATGATTAGGGGAAGGTAGCCACTGCTTCTGCATCAGTCTCGAGATCCCCCGCTGGTGGGCAGACGGAGAGGTAGGCATACTAGTGCACTGCGCCGCGCGAGAACTCGAGGACACGTGCGATGCGCTCCTTTGTCTATCGTTAGCTGGTTGCTCGATGGTCGTCGTGGACGGCCGGTGGATGGTGTCGGGCTGGGTGCGTACCTTCGATTCTTCGGAGAGTTGAAGCCAGGCCATGGTGTTGTTCTGAAAATTCGGTGTCGTACAGGTGGTGCGTAAGGATCGAATGGAAGTTGAAGCTCCTCTTCCATCACATCTGATCGCAAAAGCTCACAACCCAAAGCGGAAGCTCCGGCAACTGCCGCAGAGCCGCAATCACAATCTTGGCGATGGAAATCGCAACCCACCAGCAAGACATCCAAGAGGTCCAGCAGTTGACAGTACCACTACAACCACACACTCTACAATGGCACCAACACAGTTCGAGAACCTCAGCGAGGACCTGATCTGGGAGGTCTGCCGTACGTACTACCCTCCCCAGACCACTCCCAACCGATCGCAAGACAACGAGCATTGAGACTTATATACATGTGATATACAGGCCACAACAACGCCTACCTCTGCAAGCGCAAGCAAGCCGGCGGCGTCCAGTTCTCCCGCGACCCCATGAACCTCGCCAACAAGCACTCCCGCAAGCACGCCGGGTTCGTGAACAACAAGGCCATCGGCATCAACGCTGACTCGAACACTGTACGCTCTGCCTGCCCTTCCTACCTGATGTCGCTGCGTGGAACCTTCAATAGAACGCTTGCTAATACGTATTAGGTCGGCATGACCACCAAAATCGCCTCTCGCCAGAACAAGCCCGCCAAATCGACGCACAACTCCTCCTTCTCCGCCTCGACGCCTAGCAGGAAGCTCTACCGCAACGTCGTCAACTCCACTGCGAAGAAGGGCTATCGCGCGGATCTGAGGGGTGATGCTGTGGCCCGGGCGAGCGCGGTCAAGCAGAGTCAGAGGGAGAAGAAGGATACGAAGGAGGTGAAGCTGCGCGGGGCGAAGGCGAGGAAGGCTGCTGCTGGGAACGCATAGACAAACACCCAGGGTTACGTGAGAGTGCGGAGCGTATCAAGGCGAACGCGCGCGGTCGTGAAGTCTCGAAGTAGCTTCTGGCATGCTGCCATAGGTAAACCATAACCTGAAATGTCACTCGAGAAACACCCATACACGCCTTTCGCTCGAAACAAAATGCCCTGTTAGCCCAGATTAGGAAAACATCACAGCCTTCCGATCCAACGGCCTTCCATCCTCCCCCACCCCTTCCCGCCTAAACCTCTCACTCACCCACACCCTCCTCGCCTCATCAAACCCCACCCCCCTCTTCCGCATAATCCTCTCCACCTCCCTCTTGCCCCGATCATCCAACCCCCGCCTCGAATCTCCCGCCTCGATATTCTCTGCAATGTTGAAGTTACTGCTGTGGAACCCCGCCTCGGCGTCTTCGGCGAATGTCGCGGAAGTGGGGACGCGTGAGTAGCGGTAGGAGTCGAGGTAGTCGGATATGGTGTCGTGGATGCGGTAGAGGGGGGCGGGGATGGTGCCCGGGGCGGTTAGGTAGGGGATGGGTGGGGCGTGGGGTTTCCAGATGTTGCGGGTGAGGTAGAGGACTGGGAGGGTGGAAGTGTCAGTGCGTGGGAAGAGCTGGTGACAGAGGGTGTGTTTACTGGTGGAGGTGAGGAGGAAGAGGAAGGTTAGGGTGTAGAAGAGGTACGCCATGTTGTTGTTGTCCGTTCGTTAGGCGGGTTTGTCGTGGCTTTGGGAGGTCGGAAGTGAGGTTAGTTCTCGGCCGTGCGGGTGAGTGTAGATCGAGTCGCAAAACCTGTCGACGGGCTTATTCGCCCTCAGCGATGTCGTAGGTACATGCGTCTGGTGTCCAGGCCGGCGTTGGGCGGAGAGGCTGAGGATGTGGTCGCCTCGGAATGTTCGTCAGCTTCGAGCTTGTTCTCGCGAAATCGCGCTAGCCGGATGCGGCAGGAGTGGACATATATTTGGTCTTGACAGCATGCCTCCCGTCTTCCAACAGTATATGCACAGCAGGGAGGGGAGTGTAGCAGTTTGATGATGCTGGCATATTATGAGGGAGGCACAGACGTGACACTGTCAGCATCTGCTCTACGATATCAACTTCGATAAGTTCCATCACCAACATCCTCTGTCCAAAGTGACGCGGATTACGGTCAAGCTGGTGCGGAGAGAGGGGGCAGTGTGCTTGTTGCTTGAGGCCAGCAGCAAGAACAACAGTCAAGACATGATCGGAAGCAGGAAGGTGAGCAGGCACATAGGTTTTCAGGTGTTTTCATTCCATTCTCCATGCGACGGCTACATACACAGCGGTAGTAGGATGGTTCAACCTTCCATGCCAACGAAGCGCACGTCAGGGACTCCCATGAAAGCTCAGCGCCAGCCGGGTCATCAGCACAAAACCAATAACCAGCGCAATCGAGTATCATCCGTCCTTGCACTCTTCTCAATCTCCATCCATGATGCACCGTCCGCAAAGTCGACCACTAGTCTCCATTGCCGTAGTCCATCTCGCACTTGCTCTCCGAGTGAGGGCCGCAGTATGTCCCGTCAGAGTCGTGGTATGTCTTGCGGACACGTCTTTTGCGACGGAAGGAAGAGTTCTGTGCAGTGCTGCGCTCAGGTTGAACGTCGTCTTGGTCCTGAGTACGGAATGGGCGACCGGGGAAAGAGTTCTCTGGAGTGCTGGGCTCAGGGGAGTAGTCGTCTTGGTCGCGTTGACCACAGCTGTAGCGGTCTTTGTCGTCTTCTTCTTCGTATGCCGGGATGTCCACAAGGCGGTGAGTATGCGACGAGCGAAGGAAATAAGGATTCTGTGCAGTGCGAGGCTCAGGGTACATGCCGTATTGCTCGAGTTCACCATCGCTGTAGTCGTCTTCTTCGTTGCCCTCATATGCCGGCATGTCCTCAAGACCTGCGCCCGTATAGTCCGTCTCGTCCTCAGACTTGACTTCCGGCTCCGGGGTGATTTGCCGAAAAAACAAGGTACGATGTCCGTCATTGGAGACAAGCTCGACCAGATTGTTGCGCTCTGTGACGAAGATACGGTCCCCGTTTTTGTGATCATACGTGGTGATTTTACCGCAAAATCGAATACCGCGTTGCTGCTCGCTCTGTCCCAGCTAGGGAAGTTGCGACGCGCCGTTGTGCTGATTCGGGTAGTTGTTGGGGTATGGACCTGGCGGACGTGGGGGAAGGTTGGCGTTTGGTGGCGGGAACGCTCCCATCGGCGGTGGCGCCATGGTATTGTACGTCGGTTGCGGCGTCGGGAACTGGTACGGCTGGTACTGATGCGGCTGATACTGCTGCGGCTGGTATTGCTGCGGATACTGAGGCTGCGGCGCGTTGTACCCCTGGTTGCTGTATCCTTGGTTGGGGTTGTATCCTTGGTTGCTGTACTGAGGAGGGTACTGCTGGGCATACGGTCCAGGCTGAGGTGTGTGCTGGGGAGTGAACGCTGCTGGCTGAGGCGGGGGCGCTGGATCCTCTGGCTTGAAGGGAGCGCCATAGGGGTTGGCTGGCCCGGTCGGTGGGACACCCGCCATGGAATGAACCTCGATGCCGTGGGCTTTGGCCTGAGCAGCAAGAGCACGCTCCGCTGGATCTCCGTGACGCTCACTCTTGCCGTCCTTTTTGTAGGCGTACTGCACCGTGATCTCCTGGGAGCTGGGACCGAAAGGCTGGCCGTTCATGTGCTCAATCGCGTCGTCCGAGGCTTCGAAGGTACTGTAGCTGAGAAACCCGAAGCCCTTGGGGAGACCGTCTTCCGTGCGCGCAATCTTCGGCGTGGCAATGAGACTACCAAAGCGCGAGAAGACGTCGAAGAGCGCGCGCTCGTCAGCGGTCGAGTCGAGGTTGCCGATAAACAACTCGGCGCCAATGCCTTGAGCTGCTGCAGCTGGTTCACCACCTGGACCACGTCGGTCCGCACTGGCCTGAAGGAAATGTGTTAGCAATGTCGCGTGATGAAAAGTTTTCATGCTGCGGGGGGTGGCGTACCTTGTTGACGCGAAGACGCTTGTTGTTCAGTGAAATGTTATTCATCAACTGACACGCGTAATCGGCATCCTTCTCGCCGCGAAACTCGACGAAGCCGAAGCCTTGGTGCGACTGTGAGACTCGGTCTTTGGGGAGGTGGACGTTGACCACCGGGCCTGCTTGAGTGAAAAGCTCCCAAATCAGGCGATCGGGAATGCGCTCTTCGATTTGGCCCACGTATATGGTGCTGTCCTTGTCTTGGTCGTAGTGACGATTGCCTCCGCCTGACATCCTGAGAGTGACGAGCTCTCGGTGCTGCTGGGAGTGCGTGAAGGAGAGAGGCTCGAGGGCAGCGTCAGAGCTTGAAGCAGCTAAAAGTTCGCGCACGGTAGCGGCCGCGCGGGAAGACTCCGAGGGCGGTGAAGGAAAGGCGCGCAGTAATAGACGGGTGGCTGCACAAGCGTGAACCTTGTTGAGCGGCTTAAACGGACCTCACCTGTTGGCGTTCCGCTGGAGGTAAGCCGGAGGAAGCGGAACCAAGATTTGGGTGAACCTTTCCCTTGGTTGTGTACCAAGATGATCAGAAGCTCTGCCAACGTGTCCTATCGATTAGATGTTGTTGGATGAGGCTTGTCAATGCTTGCTGTTGTTGTCCGGAAACTCTGGTTGTCGCCCTTGGTTGAGTTCCTTTGATGAATGGTCGAGGAGGGACGAGCTTATGAAACCGCCTGAGGATACCCGCGTGACAACGGCGACGGTGAGGGCGAAAGTGAATGCGACGGTGAGCTGAGGCTGAGGCCGCTGTGAACGGCAGGATGATCATCTGCAAGCGGTCATGATGAAGCTCGCCGCCGCCAGCAAGTGACGGGGTGGTGAAACAGCTGAAACCCCCGGTACCCGACTCCACCAACACCTCCTTCGAGGCGTCGCAACAATGGCACCAGCGACGACCTGCAGCGCCGGCGGAGTCGTCAAGATCTCCAACGTGATCGAACCTCCTCGAGATGCCTACCCAACGAGACCCCGATAGCCAGGCGAAGCACACCCCCGAGCGCAACTGCACGGCGGACTACTACCTGCGAGCGCGCCTTTCCAAGACGACAGCAGCAACGCCAGTGCGCTTGACAACCTCGATTCGACGCTCAAGATACTCGACAGATACCTCCGAGCCCTTGTCGGGGGCATCCACCATCGACTACCACTCCAGGGCCGGCAGACGCACGCGCCAAGACCTGGCGTTGCGCTCACCGACAGTTGCCCTTGTTCGGAAGCTACACCTCCCGCGAAGACCAAAGGGTACAAGAAAGACGCGTACGGTGGTTTGCACTGGCTGAGCGATGGGCGCGGGTAGCAGTCCTGGCAAAAGAGGGGGTTTAACACCAGATGAACCATCTCGGCAGCGTACATTTGCGCCTTCGCGCTTGCAGTATTCATTGGCGACGCGAGCTATCGAAAGGACTTGAGCCTGCGCAATTGCCGCGCCAGGCTTGACGGGCCAGGGAGGTTGAGATGGAGCCAGGAGCCATACTGATGCCCACCTATAGGTTGCGGCCGCTCAACGCGGGATGGGGCTGGTGCTATTGCTTGGCCGGCGCAGCCGCAAGAGCAGCAATCTATTCTGCGGCTGCGCCGATCTGCTGACAACTATATGGGAATTCAGACACCTATACGACGAGCAGTTGCACGGCTGCAGCTCCTGGGACCTGCTGATGGCCGGCTTTTACTGGATTTCGACTTGGGTTGAACCGGACGATCGAGCACACTCGTGCTTCCCTCGAGTCGATGATTGATGGTCGAGTTCGAGTGGCTTACAGACCGTCTGTTGCGGCAGAGACAAAGGGAAGAGATCTAGCTCAGCATGGTCGTCGATGGTTACGACATCTGAGACATGCCGCGCCGACGCTGGATGAGTCTTACGCCGGTCTTGTTGGATACCGGATGTCTGATGTTGTTGGTTGAAATTACTCCAGGAGCCAGATGAGATGGGTCGGCTTGCCAGTCCCGGCTTATTCAATATGTAGTTTACGGTATCGATTCGCCATATCTGGGATGAGTCGACCATGAGAGTTGGGACGAAACGATCTGAGCCATCGCAGGATTGAGCTGGCCCGGTGCAGACAATCTCGACGACGCACCACAGCTCCAAGGCTTCCGTCTGAGTCGGGATTTGGTGCCGTCCTTCTCGACCTCGGAAGCTGAGCTCAACTTCTCGGGAGTACTTGCATCAAGAAGGGAGTGTTGTTGCAATGGAGTGATGCCAGAGTGGAGTAGAACCAGGGTGGGCTGAGCTGTAGTTCGTCCTACAAGTGTGCTACCATCTCCTTGAGCCGAGAGCTTTGGAGGCGCCTACTGGGCTGATGCGGCCAGCATTTTTGTTTTCCGGAGCCCGAGATGATGTTCATCAGCCCTGTCACTTCCTGTCTGAGGGGATGGCTTCGTGGCGCTGGCCACCTTCTCCTGGCTAGTGGAGGGCACGACAAGCTAGTCGTGCTGCGATGAACTGCGTTTGTCCCGCAGAGAAGACCTCCTGCCTACTGTCGCCTGCACTGGCCTTGTTGGCCTCGCTGCTGTCGCCACCGGGGCGTACTGCGCTTTCTCCGCGGCCGGAGTGCTTCCCATGCTCTTGTCAGCCTAGACCTAAGCCCGGGACCGGCGTTGCTCGCTCTGAGAGGGCAACGTTGCTGGCGCTCGGCGTGGTACTGATGGTCGTTGGCCTGGCACAGGCGGAGGCGACGGCGCGGAGGAGATGGTCGTGATCGTGGTGGTGACTGCTGCTGTCCGTTCAGGCGCAGTCTCGCTTGCTGCTGCTTCCAACTGCGCTGTCTGATCGCTCTCGTCTGGTCCGCTGTGCTCCTGCATACTGGTGAAGCCAGTTGTGGTGTTCGTCGCCATTGTCGCAAGAAGGGCGGAGGTTGGTGCCGCTCTGATTGCCTGCCAGTACTGCACCATGTCGCGGTTTGCTCTCAGCTGCAGCTGCTTCTCAACAATGACTGCGAGCGGGAGAGCGGCAACGAACAACAGTAGCAGACGCATGATGATGTGTTCGACAATGGCAACCATTCGCTCGTGCTCGTGTTCGTGTCCGGTCGCAAGACTACAACACCTTCGAAAGCCGGTCCTCAACCCAGCCGGTCTTGGCATTGGACGAAACATCCCCGAACGACGATAACACAACACCAGATGAGCGAAACATCCATTGGAGCACACGAGGAGACTCAGTCGACTATCCCAAATATTCCCATACCCATAACACCCCACCCCAACACCGCCGTGCAAAGATCTACCATCCCCGGGCGGAGATGTCTCGGAGCTCTTCAGCAAGAGTTATATTAATTTACCAAAGTCAAGTCTTTCACCAGCGTGGCGAGCTGGTCCCTATCGGAGCTAAGAGAGTAGCTAGATACGTAGTTATACAAGCCTGCCGAACTGTGCTGACTTAATTGCCAGAGTTCTGAGTTCGAAACTCGGGTGCTCCTCTTTTTTGCTTTTTGTCGAGATGGTATGAGGAGGTTCTAGGGTGTCTATTGTGGCATCTCGTCAACTTGTTTGGCAAATGATGATGTTGCTGCCGTGGCACGGTGATGGTGGTGAGCGTACATTCAGCGGAAGTGGCTTGCGGGCTTCGCCGCCCTGCGGCATTCTGCCATGACTACGAAGGGCTCCAACACGACTACTAACGATCGGATCAACTACTGGCACTACGAGAAGCCTCATCGGGCTCTGGAATCTTTTGCTCGAGCGTTGACATTCCGTCTGTTCTTGCACATCCAAGTCAGAGTGGAGTTTCGCAACAACAGTAGAGGTGAGCGGGTTCGTCTTGGAGACTACTATGGCCCGTCGCAATGCCGCAAGCACGATGTCTCGCGCAACGCCTGGCAACACTGACAGCATGGCATTCGCTTCATTCCTCCCCAGCCCCTCTACTGCAGCCATCTCCAGACTCCGCACCGCGGCGACAGCATGAAAGGCCACATCGACCCATGCCATTACTCTCCGCCGCTCGAGATACCTCTTCCGCCCATACATAACGACCGTCCGGGCTGCACGGTCCTGTCGCCCCTCCGGCCCCTTTGGTCGTCCTCCCGCACCACGAACCTTCTCCCGAACCTTCTCCCGGATGAACCCATGCTTCCTTGCTCTTTCTGCGCTCGCGAAACCGCCTCTCCACCTGTCTCTCAGCTTCAGCGTCTTCTCGTTCTCTCCCACCGCTTTCATGGCGACACCGGCTGGTACATGGGTGTACTGGCGCGATTGTGTTCTGTGGAGGTGAGAGCCAGCACATCTGCCATGGCAAGCTCCCTGCGAACGGACAAACAACCGTTGGACAAACGAGCTTCTCCATGAGAGCTGGTGCTCAGGGGGCAACCTGATCTACCACCCGCACACCTCATCTTGCTGCGAGAGCATGGAGCAGTTGGGTTGGCTGCAACGTCCCACTCCGGCACCTTCGCTCCCCAAAACGTGCCAAGACCGCGTTGAGGGTGCCATGGTAGGTCTCAGGGCGCCGGCAAGGCTCAAGAATCATATCCTCGGCTTCTGAACTCATGTCCAGTGTTCTCCTTGCATGATTCAACAATCTCGCAACGACAGGTAGGTCAATTAGCTGCAGCTAAGGGTATTGCAGGAGAAGACAGATAGGTACTGGTCCAGCAGCGCTCGGCCCTCCGCCGCCGCTCCGCTCCCACAATCGCACATCTGTTATTTCTTCACCTTCATCTGTTCACAACTTGCTACAACGGACACCACGTACGGTCATACATCGCTTTTCGGCCCTTCAAACGCAACAACCCTCAGCTCCGCCACACCTCCCCGTGTCCACCTCCGACTCAACGCCAGCCAGGCGAAAGTTCACGCTACCATGTCCTCTTCGACGGGCGAGACGATCAAGGAATATGCCTCCATCGACGCTCTCATGCTACACTACTCCAATGACCCGATAGGTCTGCGCAACGCTCAGCATTTGGCCGGCGCGTTGAGAGAGTATAAGGCGAATGTACTTATAGCTGACGAGAACATGATGAGGTTGGTCAGGGTGTGGTCAACATTTCGTCAAGAGGAACGGCCGGGTTTCAAGTTGGACCAACTGTGTGACCAGCTTACACCACCTTCGAAGGGCCCTCAGGGTGATGTGGACCATCTCCTGATCGTCGCCTACTTTGGTCACGGCCATGTGCGGAAGACAGAGCAGTGGAGCGAAGACGGAGAGTTCGTTGAAGAGCCGGAGCACCTCTTCGGTACCAAGTAAGTTATGTTCCCGCCGATCAGCACCTCACTGCATATACTGCAATGTCATCGTGCGTTGGTCCTCGCTCTCCGCTTTAAGCTGACCATGCAACAGTGGGGCAGACCTAGGGTTCGACTTGACCCGTCTGCAAATGCGGCTGCGCGACGAGTCCTTCAACTCTGACGTCCTTTTCATCACCCAGTTCCTCAATACTCGAACGTGATGGGACTGCTTACGCTGATTAGGCTTGGTGTGTTCAGAACGTCCATCAACGCTTACCACGAAACATCGTCCACCTGCGAACGGCTACGGTGTTTGACCGGCGGCACCCTCCCGCCATCCGTTTTCCCGGACCAAGAACAGGCGACCACCTTACCATCGATGTTGTCGTTCTACATCGGACTTCCCAGCTCGTCTCCGCTGCCAATGCGAAACAACTGCAACTGGCCTTCCAGAAGTTTGGCGCAACCGTGCTCACGGTAACGGAGAAGGACCTTGGCACTCACAAGGGCATGTCACGAGGCACACCGCACGGAAAAGGTTCAAGCGGGAAAACGGGAGTCAGAAGGTGCTGAGGCTTCCAGCTTGGCACGACTATACAGGGCTCGATGGTAGGAAGCAGGACTTGACCAGGGGGCTGGCGGAGAATCTGGAGCTCGATCCGCTGTGTACGAGCCTGATGCAGAGATGGGTCATTATGGCGATGATGGATCGACGCCAGGCTGGATAGAGCGGATTGTGAGAAGCTGCGGTCGACACCACGACCGTTACAATGAGACGAGCTGGAAACGACACAAAGATCCATATTGAGGCTGGCTTCCCCCGGGGTGGTCAGCTACGACCTGAACCCTTCTCCGAAATCAACATCTGCTGGCAACTGCTCTTCGGTCTCAATGAACCCTTTCACGTGAGTAGGTTCATCGAGACGACCGATGCTGGGCCTGGTGCTTACAACGTAACGGTAGATAGAGGTTTCGGGAAAGTTCGAGCGGCTGTATGTACAAAGCCATGGGCTGAAGAATGCTCAAGAATGGTAGGACGACTGCTGGCAGACAAATCGCCATTTCGGTGTCTCGGTGTCCCAAATGCTTATAGGAAGTTGATTTCTCCGACCAGCGCTCGTACGGAAGGATCAACATCACCGTCAAACGTCGTCAACATGGCTGAAGAGGCTAAGACGTACGTCTCGCGGATCACAGTTCTGTTCGTCTTCAGTAATGACTATGAAGCCTATCTGAACGCCCAGCAACTGAAAAGGCTTTCAAAGAATACGACCTCAATACGGACATCATCACTGAGCATCACATAGGCCTAAGTGGAGAGATGTCCAAGGAGGAGCAAGGCCGTGTCTTCAGACAATTCTTCCACAGCTTCATGGCCCAGTGCGACCAACAAGTCCCAGCTGCTTGGAGGGACCGGTTGACTAGGCTCTTCACGTTCTGCTACTTTGGGCATGCGGATCTCAGGAAGCAGATGCCACAAGACGACAACAGTCGCCCATGGCAGCAAGCGAAGCATTTGTTCGCGGTCAACAAGGATTGGAACGAACCCGACTCAATCGAGTTCGATCTGACATTCGTCCAGCAGTACCTCCGCGACTCATTCGATCACGGTGCACTCTGCATCTTCGAATTTTGCTGCGGCGGGTATCCAGGCATGGACGTGCTGTCTCCGGAACAGACCGCAGGTCTCAACCACACGATGTTCACGCTCTCTGCTGGTGCCAAACGGATTACGATCGAGAACACGCCGCATGACTTCACGGCGCGCCTGGTAAAGAACCTTCGTGCTGATCGGGGACCAACGACCATCATAGATCGGTACATCGCTATTCACAGAGATGCCATCTGGGAGCAGACGGACAAGCATGCGATGATCACCTGCAGTATGAATGGCTCGCCAGGACACATCGTGCTGCAGCCCAGAGTTGTGGAGCCAGAGAGCAGCTCCGAAGAAACGTCTTCTTCTGAGGACGGCAGACTCCCCGAAACTGCTGACGGTTTCCCCATCGTTTCATTCGCTGGTGGGGACGATTCCAGAGGAGCCAAAGCCACATCTTTCATCGCGGCGCTTCTTCGCAAGTTCGTCACCGGATCCGTGGTGCCATCTGCAGGCAGTCTCGTTCGCCCGCCGCTCACGCCATTCAACGCTGCACTTCTTCCCAATTTCACAGCTGGGATAGCTCTTCGAGCAGGAGAAAGGTCGCTGATGAAGGTCGCAAGTCCAAGTTAGTTGGCTCGAAGACAGCAGGTTGGTTTGGGGTCTTCAACTTGCTGCTCCCGGGCATATGCTGGTGCGGAGAAGGCAGCCTGGTTGATAGAAGTCCGGTCTCCATCACATCTGCGGTAGCACTGGTGTGGTGCATATTCGTTCTCGTGTCATGGATCAAACCAAAAGTTCACTCATTTCCGCTCCTTAACCACCTCCCCAACCTTGACCGGCAGCCCCTCCTTCCCTCTTCTCCTGCACCTCCCCCTCACCCGCCACCCCAGCCCTCCCACCGCCAACACTCCCACCACCCACCACGGCACCGGCAATACCATCTCCACCTCCGCCTTCCGCATCAACAGCGCTCGCCTCAAACACCCAATCCGTCCAAACTCATCGAAATTCGCCCTCCACACGAACTGATACCACGGCGGATCCGCGGTGTCTGCACATCGCCAGCTCCAGAGACTACAAGTCTTGTCGTCCGGTCTCGGCGCCTTGTGATTCTGAGCCCGGTCTTCGATCGAGATACTGTCGATCACGAACGAGCGGTTAGGGTCATCTGAGGGGACTCTGTTGGTTTCGCGGAGATTGATTTTGAGCCATTTCTGCTCTGCGGAATCCATCAACGTTGTCTGCACCTGTAGGCCAGGTAGTCCGGCGCCGATGATTTCGAGGTACAGTTCTGGGTGGTAGATGTAGTAACGTATCCCCGGATCATCTCGGTTGCGAGCGGAGAGGGAGTAGTCCAGCCCGGTGAGTAAGTGGCCGGCTTCTGTTCTTACGTAGTCGAGATCACCAAGGCGCAGTTTGTTGGTGTCCGTGATGTCGAAGTCGGTGAGGACGCGGGCGGCTTCCAGTCGCTGCGGGCGGGAGGGCGAGGGGATGGTGAGGGCGAGGGGGCGAGAGTTGAGGAGGAGATGGTGAGAGTTGGGGGAGATGGCAAAGTTGAGCAGGACGGAAAGGGGGCGCGTTGGGTTGTCAGTTGGCGGTGAGAGGGTTTCTAGACCAGGTAATTGGAGTTTGACCAGCGCTTCGGTGTGGTTGTCGGAGATCCAGACCGCGTTTGGCGCGGTGGAGTTTGGATATGGGTTCGGTAGTGGTGTTGGGGTTGGACGTGTTGGTGGACGCGGCTTTTTGGCTGTTGTTCTGGGACAGATCTCAGGCGGACACGTCTGGCCTGACATGTATTTGATGATGCTGTAGCGTAATGAGATAGTGTTCGGAGAGTCGTGCTTCACGGCAGGCTTACTCTTCCACGGCCCTTCCACCCTCATACGGCCTGAAGTCCTCAGGATCACCATCATAGATCCTCATCATCGGATAGCTCGTGATGCCATGACGCTCGCACATGTCATAGTATGTCGGGCAGTCGATTGTGGCGAGATGGATGTTGTAGTCCTTGAGGAACCCGGCTGCCTTTTCGAACGCCGGAGTAAGTCTTCTGCAGTGAGCTGACCATGGCGAGCCGACTGTTACACGTATTTACTAGCTAGAACTGTAAGTTAATGGTACGGGCGAGGTTCTTACATTGCACAAGGACCGTCTCGTGCTCGCAGATGTATGAATCGAAGGTCTCGGGAGTCAACTCGAAGACATGGCTTTTGGCAAGGGCGGGCAGCATAGAGTTCAAGAGTAAGAAGAAGTAACGCAACGCTTTCCAGGCCATTTCAGAAGGTATGAACGTGTACCGAGAGTAGTCGGGAAGAGATAAGACGAGGACTGAAGTTTGAGAAGCCGTTGGCCTCAGCGTCCGCCGCTTCTCAACGGCGTCTGAGCTACATGGCTTTGATATGGAAAGTGAAAGGACAAGAGAGGGTGTTGAGGTCCATAAGGGACAGTCTTTGGCTCCTCGTTTGCGTCGATGTCTAGGTACAGTCGACGGTGAAGGTCGAGAAGAAGAGTCTGTACTAGAAGAGCGACAGCTTCCGCGAAACTCAAGCAACGAACAAGATACTCTGTCATGGTCCGTTGTACACTTCATCATTCGTAAAGCAATCATCAGCCAGCAATGCAACACATAACCACACTTGCCACGCAAATCGGCTTCATCCCGTCTCCTGCTTCGGCGACCCAGCAGCCGCAGCCTCCTGCTCCGCCAACAGCCTTGCCTTCTTCTCCGCTCTCTCCTTCTTAATCAGCTTCAGCTTCTCCGCGCACTCCTCCACGATCCCCTTGCTCTCTCCATGCATCGCGTCCGTCGCCGCCCAGTTGCCCGCCTCGACCTTGTTCTTCCCCTCACCCTTTCCCAGCAGTCGCCTCTCGTATCCGTAGCCCGTCAGGTAGAGAGCAATGAAATGCCTGTTCTGACCAAGCTGATCACCCTTCAACTCCAGAGGCGGCCTGTCAACCTCGTAGCCGAGCTTCACGCCATTATCGAGAACCCGCTTCTGCAGCTCCGCTTTCGCCGCTGGATCATACATCTTCCGCGCATCAGCCTTATAATCCGAATGCGTAAGCTGTGCCCCATGCCCACCAACAGGCCGCTCGTCCTTCACCGCCTCCTCCAACTTCATCGCCCACAGACTCGTCAGCCACTTCTCCGCGACCGCAAACCCTTCCTCCGCATCCGAAAGAATCACAGCCGCGACATAAGCCTCAAATACATCCCCAAGAACCTTGTTGAAGCCCTTATTCCCCTTCTGCTTCCCTTCCTCCCGCATCTGCTCCAGCGCAGCCACTTCCACGCGCTTGTCGAGCCCATAGGCGCGGCTATACTCCGCTAGCGTCTCGTTCTTGACCACCAATTCGCGGAGCTGCGATTGCCGGCCAACGGGCAGGTAGTTGAAGCGCTCGAAGATGAGGCGGCTGGCGATGATTTCGATGTAGGCGTCGCCGAGGAACTCCAGGCGGTCGTAGGTTAAGTCTGGAGCGGTGGAGGCGGCGCGGTTGTAGGTTACGGTGGAGCGGTGCTTGAAGGGGCCGTTTTGGAGGGAAGGTTGGGTGATTGCTGGAAGAGGAGGCAGGCGGGTGCTCACCGTGAAAGGGACGTAGGCGGTGACTGCGTTGGAGGCGTGCTTGGGTTTCTTGTTGGAGGGTTGGTCCCGTTCTTCGTGCTGTCGCTTCATGGTGGCGGTGGGTGCTGCTCTCCTAAGCGCTGTCTGGGTGGTAAGTCTGCGACAGCGATGAGATGAGCGGCTGCGATGCTGTATCAAGAATGATTGACAGTGGAGGTGTCAATATCAAAATTGCACATTTAGATTTGGGTGATGGAGTAGGAAATGCTTCCAGCTCCTCATTGGCCGGGCTGGCCCGCCGCTAGCTCATGTCCGACTACTCAAGACCCAGCTCCTCCGCCCTCTTCCCCGACGTCAACTTGAGAAGCGGCAGAGGACACCAGCACCGCCGCCAATGGCAGTCCCAAGATCGCGCATTGTCGACCTCATGAAGGTACATATCCCCCAGTAATACTTTGGCCTTAGCTAAGAGTTGTCGCAGGCGCAATGCAGCATCTTCAACACCGTCTTCAACCCCACCGGCGAACGACTCGGTAACAAGATCTTGCGGCAACGCTTACGAGGCCCAGCGCTGGCATCGTACTACCCGCGACGAGTAGCGACGTTCAAGGACCTGAAGAACGTGTATCCCGAGTGGGATATGTACGATGAGAAGGAGGAGGATCGGCTGGAGCACTTGCAGATTTTGAAGGCGAAGGGCAAGGGGGCGCCGAAGAAGAAGAAGAGTGCTGCTGGTGAGTATATGATCGTGAGAATGAGAAGTGAGGTGGTCTTGGAGCGATTGCTGACGACGTTTGTGATGCAGAAAGCAGGAAGAAGCCGGGCAAGAAGCGGTAGTACTTGGGCTGTTGAGGTGGGTGTACGATATGGAAATGGTGATTTGCATGTTCAAGAGCACAGCGATGCCAACAATGGGAGCATTGGGTGGCGTTCCGGCGATGGGAAGATACCAATCTGTACAGCTGAACGAACTACTTCCTCCCTTCCGAATCTTACCTCCAACGACCGTCAGCGAGCCCGCAAATGGCCCCGTGCCCTTCATGTATTGACATACAGTGCTCTTAATCTTCTGGTCTGGCTGAGCGAGCTATCTGCCCCGGTCCAATGGGAACTGATGAAATTGGGTCCTCAGCCTGGTCAAAGCCCACATGAAGGACAGTGAGTGTAACTTCAGCTGCTTGGTGGCAATCCGCCAGGCACGAAAAGGTTGCCTGCTCAGGAACAAGGACAATGAAGGCTACGTCGAAGCACGTACAAACTCACACGCCTTTCTATCACGAGGCACATTAATCTTATCACAACTCTCTAACAAGCAATTAGTGTTACCGCCCAGAGCGGTAGCGCCTCTTTCGCTTCCATCTCACTACCGACCGAGCCACTTCGGAAAGACAAAAAGAGTAGCGATTAGAGAGGCCGAGCCTTCAACAACAGTCAAACGGACCACGCAAAAAGAAAACCCGCGACCCAAAGTATTGAGTTCTGCTCCTATACAGCCAAATACCGTTTTACAGGACCTTTCTATCGCCTATTAGACGGAATGGTCGGAACTTTCAGCGGTGGGAGATCCTGTAAGATCGTATTGTTCATTCCTCATAAACCATCTCTACTCACTTCCCTACTTCGTCGTCGTAGCCAACCCACTCTTACTCCCGACAATACTCACCACATCCTCATCAGCCACCACATGACTCAACCCCACCCGCTGCGGCACATGCCTCGCGCTCGCCCCCCACACCAACGCATACTTGAAACTCTCCTTCAACGTCCGATGAATCGAATCACACACATCCTCAATCGAGCTATTGTTCCGCACAATCAGCGCCTCCCCAAAATCCGGATCTATACCCTTTCGTTTGGTGTAGACGCGGATCAGCCGGAGCTCGTCCCAGCAGCGATCCACAACGTCCATGATGCCGAGGTCGAGCTCGCAGGACATGACGACGGTGTTGGGCTCGCGGGCGAGGGTGTCGAGGTGCTCGAGGGAGATGGAGTCGATTTTGTTGTAGACGTAGAGGCATTTGATGTAGGTGCGGTGGTCTTTCATGATTACGTCGATGAATTGGTCGATGGTGGCTGCGATTAAGAGTGAGTGGGCTGAGGATGGTTGGAGGATAGGAAGGGCGTACCATTCTCGTCCCGAACAAGTACCTCACAGTTGAGCATTTTGTAGTCGCGCAGGATGTTGTAGAGCATCTTCTCGTCGAGATGCTTTGGCGGGGCAGAGAAGGTGATTTTCATCCCGCCGGCTTTCTTCTGCTTGAGGTAGATGTTTGGGGGCTCTTGGTTGAGTCGGATGCCGACGGCTTCTAGTTCTCGCTCGAGCAAAAATCGTTGCTCTGCTCGTTTGGTGGCGTCCAGAATCATGAGGACCATGTCGCTGGTCTGAAATTGCAATCAGTAAGTGCATTTTAAACTATAGAGAGGCGACCTACCTTCGCAGCAGAAATGACCTGCCGTCCTCTGCCTTTCCCCTCCGCAGCCCCTTCGATGATACCAGGCAGATCGAGCACTTGGATCTCCGCGCCGCCATACTCCAGTACACCCGGAATGGCCGTAAGCGTAGTGAAAGAGTAAGCAGCGACACTCGATTTCGTCTTCGTAACTTTCGACAAGAAGGTGGATTTGCCGACGGACGGAAAGCCCACCAGTGCTATGCGAGCGTCGCCCGACTTGGAGACGTCGAAACCTGTTCCGGCGGCACCACCAGCACCTGGGCCAGGCTCGAGGAGCTGCGCTCGGAGTCGCGCAAGCTTGCTATCATGTGGTCAGTTCCTCGCTACAGGTTCGATAAAACGTGGCGTTGGCGTACCCTTTGAGAAGCCCGAGATGGTACTCTTAGAAATGGTTAGTAATGGTTGGCAGTGGGTATATTGAGTTGCCTACCAGTTGCCTTGTTCTCTATCCAGTAGTCAGTATCCTTTTACGACGAACGATATCAGCCAGCATACTCTGCGTCTTCCTCATCTCCTCCTCGATCCTACCGAAATGGTCAGACTTGATCGACATGGAATGGAAGCCAACCGTACTCTTTGATCCGCTCGGTGATGTTCACCATCTCTGCTAGTTTTACTTGCCGCGAAGCAAGTCTCCTCGATACTACACACCGAAGGGTGGTTGATGCAAAGTATTAGTAGTCTTCACCATATCGTACCTTCCAAAAGCGGGACGGGCGGAGAAAGGATGTTCCGTGGACTTTGACTTTCTGAGGTTCGTCTGCTCTTCCGTTCCTTCTCATTGACACGACCACCATAACGCATCGCATCGAAGATCCCGTATTCAGCGGTCAAGCAGATTGAGCATTACCGCAGCATTCTGAAATGAAGGACGTGAGAATGTCTTGCGCAATCGGAGCCTTCTTATCCCACTCTCGACTACATCAATCATCTACATTCCACTCCATGACCGGACTTGGACCAAACTGAAGAAGATACCTCCCCAACTCAACACTCAGACATCGCTCCTCCGACGACTCCAGCCGTGCTATTAGCGATTCCGCCCCAACCCGGCCTTCCACGGTTCCTCGCCTCCCGGTCCCTGCTTCTCGTCCCGCCATCTGGCAATTGCGTAAGGATCTGTCTTCTTGCCCGACTTTGGACGCCTCCGCTGCTCTTCCTTTCGCTCCTCTTCTCCTCTCTCTTCACGTCTCTCCTCGCGTCTCTCCTTCCTTCTCTCCTGCCGCTCGGCCTCCCGCTCGGCCTTCCGCTCTTCTTCGCGTATGCTTCGGACCTCCCTCTCACTCTCGGTCGGCGAGGGTCGCGGAGCTTTTGACCTGAAAATTGTCAGTCACTTGCCGTGAAGATGGACGACCATTTACTTACTTTGGCTTCCGCTCGTCCTCAAATGCCATATCCTGAGCGGTAAAGCTGCGACAACAACGGAGACCGGAGCAAGACCGGGTCGCTGTTGCTAACAGTTGGGTGTTGCGAGAGCTGTATACTGTAGCAGTGGGTTGAGGTGGGCGTTGCTTCCTTTGGTTTGGTGTGACTGACACGAAAGATATGAGAAACTCCCTACTTATCCCTCATTTTATGCTACTCTCGACGTTGGATACTATCCAATTCATCATTTGCATACTATGCAACAATTCAGAGTCGTGTTAAACTCTCTGCGCCAGCACGTTATGGATAGTATGCAAATCCACACGGACCCAATGTCCGAAAGCCATTGCGCACTGGTCCGTGGGTTTGGGTGGCAAAAAAGAGAGTTGTCCTGTTGACTTGTCATGGGCCTCTCTTTTGATGTTTGACCGACTTCGAGGCCATGTAACGTTTTGTTCATGCGCTTGTCCAACCTTCCGCGCCAGCCGGTCGGCAGCAACAGATGCTCCCATGTTAATCCCCTGCGACGAAGGCAACGGTACCAGTTCACAATGGGGCTTCGCAAACTGCGCTTTTTTACGACAGCAGCATATCCTTTTCAACTCAATCACATTCAAGGCGTTGCGGACCTTGGAGCGGGGCAAGGTCAGGAGACATTTCATGTTCAGCCAATAAGCGGTGGAGTTCTTGGATATCATGCAGCCTTCTTGGCGCTTCTGCCTTGTTTGACAGCCTCGTTGCTTTTTACCATTGAGGTCGGTAGTCCCACCGCTTCACACATGGGCTCAACAGCAGTCTTGCCGCAAGTGCTGCGCCTCTTTGACTTTCGAAATCAATATTGAGTCCCGGAACGCACGGCAAGTTGCCTTGCCTCTGACTTGGGAAACAGTCATTCGCAGCTGTACAAGTACACATACCCTCCTTGATCAACCACAGCCCAGCTTGCACAAGATTATATTTGTGTTCCACGAAACTCGAGAGGTGTTGTGAGAGATTCGCCATCCATAGCCAAGGGGTGGCCTGCGATGGCCTATGTCTATCCGGCACAGTACCCGCCCCCTTCGTCCTTAGGATCTTACAGGACAACTCGACATCCTCCAGGAGGCGTTCATCTAAGGTCTCATCAGGCTGGTAGCGCTCAGCCTACTGCCGAAGCTCCTCACCATAACAAGAGGCCGTCTGCACCTTCGAAAGCCAGGCCTCGGGGACCAGGAAGATTGGCGTTCATGTTGTCCGACAAGGTCGAACAATGCCTGATTAGGTTCATGGGTTACACAGATGTGCCGTTCGATAAGATTGCACTTGCTGTGGAGCAGTCTAATGGCCCAAAGTAAGTCTCCTCACCACCGCAGAAGGCGCATTTTGCTAACGAAAGCATTAGGAAGAATTGGCTGAGGGAATGGTTCCGAGACGTTACGGGCACAAACAATCTGAATAGCAATCGACTGAAGAGTGTGCCTCAGCTTGCCGCTCTGCGGAACGAGGTGCAACACGCAGGCATCTCGGTTATGGCGCAGGTGGAAAGGCACATCAATGGCGGTGCCGGCGATACTGCACCGACGGACACCGACACATTTGAGCTAGAACCATTTAGTGGTGTGAACTTAGGGCCAATCGCAGCGCCATCAGACAAACTCGACGTCGCCCCTAGAGCCATACAAGTCGTGGAGGATGAGTGCCCGCAACCTGGATCCACCGTGCGTACACATGGTAACGACCATGGAGGTCACGAGGCGTCCAACCCCAATGCAAATTTTGTTATGGACACTACGACTGCAACCACCGGAGAAATCAATAGCGAGGCCAGCCAGCCCAAGTCGCCTTTTCTGGCGCGGCCTCAAAGAATCGCTTTCGCCGAAGACCAATTCATACCACCACCCTCGCGATCTACGGATACGGTCCTCCAGCAACGCGCATCGTGGCCATCCAAAAGACCTCGAACGGGTGATGCTAGTGACGAAGAGGACTGCTCGACAGACGATTACAACAAAAGGCGACGCCTGGTCAGAGCCATCAGTGTCACTGAAATCGCGCAGCATCTCGCCAACCTATGGAAAGACCCCGAACTTATCTGGCATTATGCAAGACGGTCTTCTGGATACGCAGAGACTTTCATGTCCTCCCGAGCCTCGACGTTCAGCGGACCACTGTCCTTTGCCGAGGTTGCGTTGTTGGAGTTCAGCAACTTGCATACGTCGGAGTATGAAGAGTGGTATCATACTGGTGGCGCATTCATGGACGAGGAAGTTGAAGACATGTTGCATGCTGCTCCTTTGGCCTGGACCGATCCTCCTGCTACGCATATCCTGATGTGCGCGAAACTGCTTGGGTGGGACGACGAATACACGGTCACAACGTTAAAGCAGAAGATTCCAGGAGACCCGGAGGAGGCCAGGATCTGGGTCAACAGGAAAGACAGGCATGATGTCTCACCTCTGCATTTAGCCACGGTATTTCTTCCTCTCCGCATTGCAAGGAAGCTGTAGAGTAAATGCTAACATTGAACTTTGACTACAGGCATTCGGACTTGTGGGCAGCATCGACTTGCTGGTCAACGCAAAAGCAAACCTCAGAGCCAGAACTGGCCGTGGGGCATCAGTATGCCAATTCGCCCGACATGCTCAAAGCCTTGCAGCAGAGGAGGCGAATTCTGGCCTCTATTGGCGCATCATTCACTGCAGGACCTGGTTACGACGGGGTCAGACTCCACGACTAAAGCCTTCTGAGGTCAAAGGCCTTCGGGCTAAGATCCTGGCTCGGCTGCCGGAAATATTTGAGACAATGGATGATCACGGTAATAGCGACGCTGGCCACGAGTATGGTGGCAGCGGACAGTCCTGCTTACCTGGCAGTAGCACCCAACGACCCGCTACTCACCCGACTGTGCCAGCACTTGACAGGTTTGCATGGAGGCATCACGATGGACTGGCCCAAGCCAACTTCGACGCTGGCGTCCCTACACGAATAACCAATTCACCGGCGTCGCTTCGCCGAGCAGTTGGGCCACATGGCAGCAACGGCAGCATCGTCGGTTTGGCCATCCAGGAGCCTCAGAGCCACAACCTAAGGAAGACGGCGACATCGAGTAACTTCCACCGGTCGCCGAGCGTGCCATCGATGCAGCAGGCAAGCTTGACACCTTTCAGCAACTTTGGCACGGTTACTCCGAGTCCTGGTTCTCGAAGACCGGTAGATCTGCCGTACCTGCAACAGACTGTCGCTCAGTCCACGCCGAATCTCGTTTCGTATGGCGGACCGCCCATACAACAGCCGGCTAACTTCCATGCTGGCCTGCCGAATGATCTCGCATTCGGTGCTGCTCCGAGTGGTTCTGGGTATCAGCCTCCGGCCGCTTTGACTAACAACACTGGGTACGGGATGCAGATGCCATCTCAGCAGGCATTCGTGCCTGGGGTCGGTCCCACAATCAACAATGGAACAAGACTTCCAGATGCTGGCTTCCTGCCGTTGTCCTTAGCTCCAGACACGATGCGCTGCACGGCGACAAATAACGGCCAAGTACAGCAATACCAGACATTCCCAGGTTGGCGACAAAACACTCATGGGACAGCAGGTCCAGTCGTTCATGGACCGCAGCCAGATTCTGCGCTCAGCCCAGACTTCGACGGCATGTCGGCGACTGACAGCATGCTAGGAGACTCGCAGCAGCAGTTATGGACGATGCCTTCGGCCACTCCTATCGGTGCATCGCCGCCCAGCCTGCGTACTCGTGGTCTTCAAGCTTACCATCCTGCTGGTCAGCCCCATTGGAGGAATTGTCCCTAACCGGCCCGTCAGCCAAGAGTAAGCAGTCCTGCAGTACCAAGATTACTCGATCTGACTCTGATGCTGCGAGATATCAACACTCACTGGTTTTCCAAATAGTGAATCCTTCTGCAACGGTTGTACAGCTTTTGGCGTTCGAGGTGTGTTCTAGATTCGACTGCAGCGCAGGGGTGGATAAAGTGCCTGAATCTTTGGCCGTGGATAGCCGTGCATGTTTGCGATTAGGGTACATTGCGCAACTTATTCCGAAAGATCTTGATCGGGTTCGCCATGTTCAATCCATGTATGTTGCAGGAGGACAGTGTTTCCTACTCACTCTTTAACGAACAGAACATCCGATACGTATTCAACGATATATCTACTGACTCTGCTTTGAATGAAACGGTCGGGGCGTTACTCTGAAGCAACAAGAATGTTGTTGTTCGAATAGCGGACAACGAGTCAGTACGAATAGAAGCGCCAATCGGGACGGAGACCACCGTGAACACTGTCCAAGCGTCGACAACTCCAGCCTTTACGGAGTAATGAACGACGACCTTCCTAATGCGGCCACTGCTGTACAGTCTGCGTCTCCAGACCGCCTCGGCTCCACCGCATCGATCCGACCCCAACACCAGATAGCGCCCTTGGCGTGGGAGAAACGACCACAAATCCCACGCCAGAGATGCGTGGAAGCATGCAAGGAAGGACTGGGGGGGTAGGGTCCAGCGGTTGACTGACGACTTACTGTTGGACACTCAGGCTCTCTTACTGACGACGCCCTGTTGCGCCAGCGTCGTACAGACGGCGGCGCCGGTATCGAGCAATCAAGGAGCCTCGTCTGCGCCATCGCTAACAGCCCATGGCGGGAGCTCTGCACACCTCAATGTTCTGTTATCAAACACCCATGCCCGCCAAGGGTACCGAAAGTGAGAAGCTGCCTTGGCTGCCATACAAGAGACTGCTTGGCCTGCAGTCGACGCAGCACGCGACGGGCTGGCTACAGGCTGGGCGTGCGACCAATGGACCTAGACAATGTCACGGTCCCCTCCTTTGGCGCCGTCGTAATCATCATGGGTACAGAATCCTATGCGGATCAATTGCCTGTGGCAGCCCTCGCCGAACAGCTAGCAGAGGTGTTGTTATATCAAGCTGATCGCGCACCGCAGGGCTCGAGTTTGAGACTATCCGTGTTGCTTTGCGGTCTTCTTGCTTGTCACTGCTAGGCGCGAGACCTCGACAAGCTTTGCGCTGCCTTGTTACTGATTGACTTTGCGCATCAGAGCACCAAGCTTCCGCCATGGCGATGGTTGGGATGGACAACGCGGGCGACATAGCTGCTGCGGAAGTCAAGGGTGCTGGACTGCCTACGCCTTCGCTCGAGAAACAGGTTGCGATAGAACACCAAAAGGAACCTTTTCCTGCGCCGTCTGCACGGTCTTCTTCGATTGACGACGATGAAGTTCGCAAACCTACGCAAGAGCAGTTGGACACTCTGAGGAGAGTTCCAGCTAAGATTCCTTGGATTGCCTTTACTGGTACTCCATCTACCAAATCTCGTCAGAAGATTGGATGCTAATGGATCGCAGTCGCGTTTGTCGAGCTATGCGAGCGTTTCGCCTACTATGGCACGACAGCAGTTATGATCAATTTCATTCAACAGCCGCTGCCGGACGGCTCAACCACGGGCAGCGACCCTCGCCCCAATGGCCAACCTGGTGCCCTCAACTACGGCCAGCGAGCATCCACCGGCGCCAGCTTGTTCAACCGCTTCTGGGCCTACTTCATCCCTCTCATCGGAGGCTACCTCGCAGACGCCAAATGGGGTCGTCTCAAGACCATCTATATCTCCATCGTAAGTGAAACCGGTAGAAGGGTACCTCTGGTCTTGGACATTGCCTCAAGACGAGTGGTGCCCTGACAGTACCTGCTCCACAATCCCGATGCCTTGAGACTTGCTGACCCTTATACCATTTTGTAGGGTGTTGCCATGGTCGGCCACGTCATTATCATCGTCGCTGCTATCCCATCTGTCATCAGCAACCCTGACGGCGCGCTTGCCTGCTTCTTCGTCGGTCTGCTTTTCTTCGCGACTGGTGTCGGTGGTTTCAAGCCCAACATCTCGCCGCTGTTCGCTGAGCAGCTGTCTGAGCGGGCAATGCATGTCATCACGTTGAAGAGCGGCGAGGAAGTCATTGTCGACCCTGCGCTCACGACTCAGCGCATGTTCATGTACTTCTACTTCTTCATCAACTGCGGCTCGATTGTTGGACAGGTCTCGATGGTGTACGCCGAGCGCTACGTTGGTTTCTGGCTGTCCTTCTTTCTGCCGACACTCATGGTACGTCTACGGGTTACTGTTTTCGTGGCGGCAGACCATTGCTGACTTCCGACTTACAGTTCATGTTCTGTCCCCTGATCCTGCTGGCCTTCCACAAGCGCTACAACCTCCGCGAACCCACCGACTCCGTCTTTGGAAAGTTTCTGCTGCTCACCAAGCACGCCTGCGCCGAAGGTGGCTACAAGCACATCGGCAAGGCCACCTTCTGGGAGCGTGTCAAGCCATCCGTTGTCTCAGTCAAGCCAAGCTGGATGACTTTCGACGACGCCTGGGTCGATGAGGTCGCACGTGGTGTCAAGGCTTGCTCTGTGTTCTTGTTCTACCCGCTCTGGTGGCTGGCGTACAACCAGATCGACAACAACTTGGTGTCTCAGGCTGCTACTATGTCGCTGCACGGTGTGCCGAATGACCTTTTGAATAACATGTACGTACACTGTCGTGCGGCGGACACTGCGACTATTGCTAATGTATACTGCAGGAACCCGCTCGGCATCATTATCATGATTCCAATCATTGACAACATTGTCTACCCGGCGATGCGCAAGGCCAAGATTCGATTCACGCCTCTGCGACGCATGTGCGCTTCCTTCTTTGTCGCTTGCTCAGCCATGGTCAGTAACTCATGATTGGCTCTCTGCGATACCTGCTGATCAGTTGCTGTAGATCTGGGCTGCCGTCATTCAGTACTACATTTACAACACCAGCCCTTGCGGCTACCATGTGGGTAGTGCAGACTGTGAGTACGTTAGCTCCATCAATGTCTGGGCCCAGACGGGATCGTACGTGCTTGTTGGCCTGTCTGAGATTCTGGGCTCGATTACCGGCTTGGAGTACGCCTACACGAAGGTAAGCACTCTCGCGGCCTCCGGGATCCTTCTGCTTTTGAGGCGTCGCTGACTGTCGGAATTTCTGTCTTGTAGGCACCAGCCAACATGCGTTCGCTCGTCTTCGGCTTGTACCAGTTCACCTCCGCCCTCTCGGCGGCCCTCGGTCAGGCCTTTGTCGGTTTGGCTGCCGACCCTCTGCTGGTGAGTCCTCGTCATCCCAACCCCCAGCCTCACCTTCATACTAACCCGTGTGTAGATCTGGAACTACGGCGCCGTCGCCATCATTGCCTTCTGCACTGGCATTGCATTCTACTTCATCTTTACTCGTCCGTGGGACAAGTACGAGGAAGAGATGAACATGCTCAAGGAATCTGAATATAAGGGCCACAACCTGGGAGGCAACTCAGAGAAGAAGGTCGAGGAGACGCCTGAGCAGCAGCAGCGGGCGCCGGCGAAGGAGATTCCGGTGTGAGGAAGGGTAGAAGTAACGTGAAGAAGAAGAAATACCATCGTTATGAGTATAGGGTTGGTCGAACCACGGTTCGTGTTTCTGTGTAGCAAATTATAAAGTTTTGGTATACACTAGAAACAAACTTCACGTCATTGATCTAAGAAGCCTGTGTGAGCTGCAGGTACCCGTAGGATTAATCGAAATAAAATCTTATTCCTCTATTTTCAAGTGATCATGACAGACGTTCGAACTCCGGAAGAATGATGTGCAAATACCAGCATTCGTTCATTTAGTCGTCGCTGTCAGACAAGAAATCAAATCCGGCCTCAATTCGCCACAACAGGGACAACCAAATGCTCCCCCCAAACCTTACAACCCCCCGCCAAGTCACCCTCTACTACGACTCCCTCTACGATCACCTCACATCTCCCTCGGGCGGCTACCACCCCTTCTTATACCCTTGGGCCGGCCTAGGCGCCTTCGTAAGCTCCAACTCCTCATCCGTACTACACCACTAACTCCACATACAGCTGGTCCTCGCCTACCTCCTCATCGACCACCGCCAATCCCGCTTCCTAACACGGCTCCGCTACCCCATCGCAGCCTTTCTCGTCGTCTTTCAAGCATGGTGTGTTCTGACGAACAAGGCACGCCATCCGGCGGCGGCTTTTGGGGTCGGGTTGTTGAGTGCGTGGGGCGTGGGGTGGGTCAGTACGTTGGTGGTTGTTAATGATTGTCAGAGGGAGTTTTGGCGGGTGGAGAGGCGGGAGGTGGGCGGTGGAAGGGTGCGGGCTGATGGGGATGTGAACGGGATGGCGACGGGGAAGGACGGGACTGAGGTGAATGGTTCGATTTCTGCGGACGCTGGGGATGAAGGCGGCGAGTCGACGACTACGACTACGACGACTCACGAGCTCTACTGCCAACACTACCCCTCGGCACCCTTCACCGCGCGCCTCGACTGGGTCGCCGACCTCTTCTGCTCCTTCCGCGGCGTCGGCTGGTCCTTCCAATCCTCCACCGTCCCACCCCTGCCCTCGCCTCCCTCCCTCTCCATCCCGCACTCGATCTCACACACGCCCCACCCATCGACCCTCACGACCTCCCGCACCGGCATCCGTCGCCTCCGCAACCGCTCTGACCTCCTGCGCCCCACGATCCGCAACCTCATCATCGGCTACCTCGCCCTCGACGCCATAAAAGTAGTAATGCACCACGACCCCTACTTCTGGGGCTACACCACCGCTCCCGCACCCACCTACCTTCCCCTCTCCATCCAGCACTCCGCGACCCTCACCCGCTCCTACCGCCTCCTCATCAGCCTGGCGGGGATCTACACCGCCCTCTGGGAAATCTTCCGCTTGGGACCCGCGTTCTTCTGTCTCTTGCTCGGGCCCAAATACCTTGGGATTAGAGGAGAGGCGTGGATGAACCCGGCGGATATGTACGGCGCCTTCTCCAACGTCCTGAACGATGGGTTGGCGGGCTGGTGGGGCGGGTGGTGGCATCAGGTGTTCCGGGTGGCGTTTGAGCAGCATTCGAAGTTCGTGCTGCGGCACTTGAACATAGAAGCGAAGAGTCAGAAGGGACGGTTAGTAGGCCTGTGCGTGGCGTTCTTCATGAGCGGGTGTTTGCACGCTTGTGGGAGTTATACGCAGTTGGGCGAGACGAGGCCGCTGATGGGGCCGATGCGGTTTTTCTTGCTGCAGGGGGTGGGGATTGTGTTGCAGACGGCGATGGTTGGGCAGTTAAAGAAGGCTGGCGTGGTGGAGAGGGTGCCGAGGGTTGCGAGGCAGGTGGCGAATTTCGTGTTTGTGCATGTGTGGCTGTATTATACCGCGCCTCTGCTGGTGGATGATTTCGCAAAGGGTGGGGTGTGGTTGTTTGAGCCGGTGGCGCTTTCGCCGTTGCGGGCGATGGGGTTGGGGGCGAAGGACGATCGGTTCTTCTGCTGGTGGGATGGAATAATATGGTGGCGGTCTGGGAGGACGTGGTGGGAAAGTGGCATTGCCATATAGAAGCGCTTATGCGTTGGGTTATGACCCTTTCTTCACGCTCCCGTTCGCCTTCGCCTTCTTTACCTCCAACCCTTTGGGAGCCTTAAGACCACCCAACACCAGCCCGCAGACTCCGACCATTCCGGCCCCGCCGATCATGTATGCCGTATCCCTCCCCGCCCACCAATACAGCGAGCAGAAGATCAGCGGTCCCAATGCTCGTCCAACCTGTCCAAAGCTCCGGTGGTTACCAAGTTTCTCCCCTCGCTCGTTGCTTCCGGCCTCGAAACTCGACAAGCTGTTCAATCCAGTGACCACCGTGCTGCTTGTTACTGCGAGGAGTGAAGCTGCGCCATAAAGTGCTCGTTCTGTCTCCAGGCGGGCCAAGATAAAGAAGGCGGCGGCGCAAGAAAGCACGCCTAGCTGTACCACTCGCAAAGGGTGCATTCGCCGTGTGACGCCGCCTTGCAGAATGCTGGCAACCAGTCCAATGAAGCCCAGAAGTCGACCAGACTGCTTCGAGCCATAGGAGAAAAGATCGTAAGTCATGAAGGGTAGTGAGAACTCCATGCCGCTGAAGAACAGGATGAAGCTGAAGTGGGTGAGGTTCAGCATCGCATGGGAGTTCGTCCGCTCGTGGCTTGCCGGCTCTGGCTTCTTCTCCTTCTCCGTAGACCCATTTGCCGTAACTCCACTTCCAGGATGCGTCTCGGGCAGTGCATAGTACAGATAGACCGTCTCCGTTACAATCAGCACCAGCGAAAACCCAGCCGCAGTCGCGAATGGGTTCGCGGCAACAGTCGTAACCTGCGACAGTGCGGCGCCCAGCGCTGGTCCAAACGTGAACGCAATGGAGAAGCATGCTCCCACCAGCGCCATGGTCTTGCCTCTCTCCTCGTTTGTGCTGATGTCCGTAGCAATAGCCAGCGCGAGCTGAATATTCCCCTCACTGAGCCCACCTATCACCCGACTCGCTAGAAACGTGCGAAAGTCCACCGCAGCGCACCACAGCGCCACCGAAGCAATATTGCCCATCATCGACCACAGCAGCGCCGTCCGTCGGCCATACTTGTCGGACAGCGTCCCAATCACAGGGGACGCAATGGCCTGGCATAGGGAGAACAGGGATCCCAGCGCTCCGCCTAGCAGGACGATGTCGTAGCGGTCGTTGATGGGTTTGGAGAAGCTGTTCTTGTAGGCGTTGAGGCCGAGGAGGATGCGGGAGAGGACGGTGTTGGAGGACTGGGTTTCGAGGTTGCGGTAGAACTCGAGGAGTTTGGGAAAGAGGGGGAGGATGAAGGTGAAGGATATCTAGATCATGTCAGTGCTGTGTTGCGCCCTGGATGTATGGTTTGAAGTGGGCATACTAGATCCAATAGCAACGATATGAACAGCACTCTAAGCACCTGCTTGCGCCTTGCTGGCGTTACTTCGCCTGTAGCCATGCTTCCGTCTGGTGTTGTTGCGGGAGAACGAGCGTGGAAGAAGGGATGTCGTACTGATATACTCCGTATCGACTCCAAAAGATCTCCTGGCCGAATAACAGTTGTCCAATACTAAGCTACTCCTCCTCGCCAGGGCGGAGCAACGGTCGATTCCAAACTATCGAGGCTCGCAAGATTCCTCGGTTTCGTTCATCACACGCGCGCTATTCGACGCGCCGTCCGTCGATCATCATCATCGTCGCTATTTCAGGAGGCGGGGTCGGCGCCGGCGGGGCGGGGCGGCGAGCTCGATCTTCCATCGTCCTTCCAATATCGACATCGCCTCATCTGGCACCAGTCACTCGACATATGAAATCCCTGGATGAACCGAGGTGGGAGCGCTGCTCCACACCAACAGACAAGGCGTATCGTACGTAAGATGCCGGTGCGAGGAGGTCCGCACCTGGACGGCGAGGTGGAAGAGACCCGGTACGAGAACGTCGCCGTCTTACTCCCACAACAGCTGAACGTGGTATGCCAGCCACACTGGCCACAAGAGAACAGACGCGGCGATTGCATTAGATGTGTCGGGCATTTCTGTGATTACTACATGTAGGATGCAGTCGGTGAGCAGAGCGCGCTCAGCGGCAAGTTGAGCGTGTCACCAACCCACCCACAGCATTTGCACAGCCGTCTGCCCTGAAATCCTATGCACCGATAACTCCGTAGCATACCTAGGGCAGACCTTCGTAATACGGCCGGGCTACGGTAGTACAAGAATTCCGTGCATCTCCCTTCACTTTGCTTCCCAAGAAATCGCTGCTTCTCCGTCCAAACAGGGACTTATACCCTCTGCTGCTGCTATCTCTTCTTTCCGCCCACCTTCATATAACCACCCTTACCACCAGCATGCCTCCGAAAACATCGATAGTCCTCTGCACTGGCGCCTGGCACAACGAAACCCACCTCCAGCCCTCCCTCCCTCTTCTCCAATCACTCAACTACACCCCCATCCCCTGCGCCCTCGCCTCCGCCAATCGACAAGGTGGCTGGGACGAAGATGTCAAAGCAATCGAAGCTTCAACCAGAAGCGAGCTCGGCAAAGGCAACACCGTTGCTTTGGTTCTGCACAGCGCCGCTGGACCGCCCGGTTGCGAGGCTGTGAATCGGATTCTCGCCACTCGGGATGGAAGTGAGCCGGGCAAGATCGTGAAGATGGTATTTGTAGCGTCTTTTGTAACGGACGAGGAGAGGGATGCTGTGGCTACCAACATGGCATCACGCGGGTACTTGCGATTCGGGACTGGGGAGGACAAGGGCGCTATATTCGCTGAGAAGGGTCACGAGGTGAGAAGTTATGCTTCCTGACTTGACTTGAGTTTTCATGTACTGAACGTGTCTGCCTTCGTCATGGCTCAGGCCATGCTCAACGACATGTCTCCCGAAGACGCGAAGCCGTATATCGTTGCTCTAGGCGGACAGGTGGCGGGTGTGAAGCTTGGTGTGACGGGTGAGAAGTGGAAGGAGGTGTCGGCGACTTATCTGCTATGCGAGCGAGATAACGTTGCACCGCCTGATGTGCAGGAAGGCGTGGCGAAGAATCATGTGATGGGACTGAGGAGGATCGATGCATCGCATGACCCGTTCATCTCACAGCCTGAGAAGTTCGCGAGGGTGGTTGACGAGATCTTGAAATCGTGAAAGCGAGCAGAGAAGAGAGAAGAGCATCAGCCTCTACACATCTACTGCTGAATCTACAGGTGCTGAACGCATAGACGAGGCCTCCATCACCATCACCGCGCCTTCTTCTCAAACAAATAATGACAAACCCCCCACTCCTCGCCCCCATTAAACGCAAACAACTCCGCGCACGCCAGATAGAATACCTGCCACCGATAATACCACCTCCACGCCTCCTTGGCCCCATACGTCGCCTCCAGCTCCGGCCACATCGCCTCCCGCTCCTTCGTCCCGCACATCCTCGCGAACCAGTCCTCGCACGTCTTCGCGTAGTGCGCCCCGCTGACCCACCACTGCTGCTCTAGACACAGATCGCGCTGGAAATACAATAGCAGATCCGCGCTCGGCATTGTCCCGCCGGTGAAGAAATGCGTCGTCATCCATCCGGACTCGAAATCGTAGGGCGTAGATTTGTGCGCGAAGTAGTGGATGAACAGCTTCCCGCCTGGTTTGAGTAAAGTGGCGACTTTAGCCATCAGCAGCTCGTAGTTCTTCATGTGCTCGAAGAGCTCGATGGACATGACGCGGTCGAAGGCTCCCTCGAGGGGCGTGGAGCGGAAGTCATAGGTGGCGATGTCGCCGGTCACGACGGTGAGGTTGGTGAAGCCTTTGCGGGCGGCGACGGAGTCGATGTGCTGTTTTTGCGTGCGCGAGTTGGAGAACGCTGTGATTTGCGAGGAGGGGAAGACTTCGGCGAGGTAGAGGGAGAGGGAGCCCCAGCCGCAGCTATACACATATCGATATCAGCGAAGAGTGGTGAGTAGGGATGAAGGAGAAGAAAAGACAAACCCAAGATCAAACACCCTCATCCCATCCGTCAACCCCGCCCTCTCAACATAACACTCCAACATCGCCCGCTCCGCCTGCGCCAACGTCTCCGTGCCCTTCGGATACAAACAGCACGAATACTTCATCCTTGGGCCGAGCATATTCGTCAGCACGCCGGTGCCGACTTCGTAGTGCTGCTCGTTCGCGGTCGCGGTCTCGACGGCGATAGGGCGCGAGCGGAGCAGAGAGACGTAGCGCATTTTGGTCTCGTAGGCTTGGTGCAGGGAGGTGGAGCTGATGAGGGAGAGGCGTTGGCGGAGTTGGGACCGGATGCCGCGGCGGAGGAGGGGGGTGGGGATGTAGCCGCTGTCGACTAGGGTTTCTATTATGGAGTCTGGGATATCTGTTAGTCTGGGCTTTTGGAGGGATGTTAGGGAAGGGTACCGTAATCCATCTTGATTTTCTGTTTTTGATATGTTGATTTGTAGTGGCGCTGGAGGACCGTTCGCGAGGTCTAACCACACAGGACGGTCTTTCGAACAGTTCCCCTCTTTATGTACAATACTCACAAGTACTACGTAGTAGAGATGATCCGACTTTGCAAAACCAAGGCATGAACCGGGGTGAATGAGGTAGAGTTCGGACCGCAGTTGAGAAAGTGCAGTCGAGACTATCAATTACGTCACTTCCCTTCGACTTTTCTTGAGAACGAGACGGCTGGCAGAAGACTATAAGAGGAAGATTGGGCAAGGGAGTCGTAGAGTAGAAGGCCAGTACAACTGTCTAATTAATCCACAGCACCACTGCCAAAAGAAAAGCCACATGTGGTTCGGAAGATTTCAACACAAGCTCAGCAAGATCGACAGGTACCAGCCCCACAACATGGTCCAGCTAGAACATAGCAAGGGATGACAGCGCGAGTGGCATAAGGACGATGTCGAACCTCAAGCTTCCAGCAGAACCTCCCGACCTCACTTGAAGCTATCCGGCGGCGGAGGCGGCAGACTCCCCAACGGCATCTGTGAGCTCGGAGGCAGATCGCTCCAGCCAGGCAACGAAAATGGCGGCGGCGATGGGATACTGGGTTGTCCAAAGCTCATCTGCGGGTCCTTGTTGATGCCGCTGGGCTCGGTGAATTCGGGGTCGACGGTGACTTGTGTTTCGTAGGTGGTGTGCTGTGGCGGTGATTCTGGTATCTGGGTCATCTCCTCGTCGGAGGAGTCGTTGCGGTTTGCTTGAAAGGCAGTTGTCGCTGCTTTTGTGGGCACGTTGTTCTTGGTGCCGAAGAACAAGCTGGGCTTTGCTGGCTGTTGAGCTGGTACAGCGAAGTGATGGGACTTGGTGCTTGCGGCCGTGGTTCGCTTCTTCGTGGTCTTGACGTCGGTGTCGATGTACTCGATGACGTTCCCACTACCCTGCCGCGGCTTCCAGTCAGCGATGGCTCGCTGGTACGCCGCCTCCAGCTCGTCGGCATAGTGTCTGTTCGTGAACCACTCATGCAGCAACGCTTGCTTGGCCGTCAGTCGTTGCGTTTCATCCACAGCCGCGCAGCCACGAACGAAGGACTTTGGCTTGCGGCCGACTGACTGCCACCATGTTGCTGTGTCCAGGACGTCCAGGTCGATGGCTTGCGAGAGCTGCGAGTAGTCCAAATCTTCGTCCATTGCGTTTGGTTGGTCGAGACATAGCATCTCGCCCGTCAGGAGAACGGCCGCTATGCAGCCGACCGACCAGATGTCAATGGCTTTGCTGTAGCCTTTGTCATGGAGGTCGCGCTTGAGCTGGCGGAGTACTTCGCTGTCGGAAGTAAGTCAGCATGGGTTCTGCTGCAGCTAAAGGGTGCATACTTACGGCGCAGTATACCCGATCGTCCCCACCACACTCTGCATCCGAAACACCGCCGACTTCTTCGCCACAGCTTTCGCATCACCAACAGTCCTCGCCTGCCCAAAGTCCGTAAGCACCACCCTCGCTCCATCCCTCCACGAAGTCATCAGGACATTCTCTGGTTTGATGTCTCGGTGCACGATGCCGTTATCATGTAGATACTCCACAGCCTTCAGAATCTGCCGCACTATGACTGCAGCTTGCGGCTCGCCTAGCACGCCTTTGAGGTCTGTATAAGACATGAGGTCGCCGCCTGTGATGAGTTCTTGGAAGATGTAGATGTTGTTGGGCGTGTATATGACTTTCTCAAGCGCGACGATGTTCGGGTGGTTGAGGTCTTTGAGCGTGCCGTACTCTCTTGTCAGCTCTGAGCGGCGTTTGTTCATGCGTCGTTCGAGGTCTGCCAGTCGAGCATCCCGTTCATCGTCGTCGAGCTTGAGGTCCTTCATAATCCGCGCTTCAGCTTCCGGGTTCACGAAGGGTACAGGTAGCACCTTGCAAGCGACCTGCCGCAGTGATTGTGCCTTGACTGCAACGAACACGCTAGCATTGCCTCCTACGCCCAGTCTGCGATTCGTCACTTCATAGTGCGGCCGCAGAAGCTCGAACTCCCTCCACTGCGTATCATTGAGACCGTCCGCTGTAGCAGCATACTCCTCCCTCGCCACAAACTCAACCGAAACCGCATCCGACAACTCTAGCACATCCCCATCATCAAGCAGCACGTCAGAATCCATGCTCGACACACGATGACTGCGATCTTCACCATCCATTCCCTGCCGGACAAGTCGCACTGGGTTCTTCGAGAGAACGCGAGCATACACCATGGGCGCCACTCTCGTGTCTTCGTGTAGCTCGTCGTACATGCCGCAGCGGATCTTGACATGGTGTTTCGAGATGCTTTGAGCCTTGATGTTGAACGAGTCCTCGACCTCTTCTCTGCCGATGTGATAGTCGTCGTTTGCTGATACCGTGAACGACATGACGCGGTCAAAGTCTCGATGCCGTAGGCGCAGATATGCGACTATGCGTTGATGTCGTGAAGCCATGTTTGTGTATTGCCTGTGAAGTGTATGTTGCTGCAGGTGTGAGGCGCCTTCAGACCTGAAAGGTGAGGTCGTCCTCCGCTTCACTCTAGACGGAAGGAACTCGCGGTCGCACCTGCCTTACATTGATCAACACCCGGAAAGTGGTCTAAGTCGGAAGGACCCATATTTGAACATTTGCCTGTACAGTATATCTACACCCACCCTCACCCTCCTCTATATAGCCCGGCTGCGATCACCCAAACACCCCCTCCTCACCGCCAACCCTCTCCGCCCTCCTCTCAGCCTCCCCCTCCCTCACCACCCTCGGCTGAATCCTCGTCCCAGCATGCGGCACATCCTGATTCCCACTCATAGGCGCCTCAGCCCCCCACTGCGCCTTAAAAGGCTGCTCCATCAACACCTCCTTCAACCTTCTCCACTGCCCCGCCTCATGCTCCCTCGCTCCCACAAGCGCCATCGTATCTCCCAGCCTCGCCTCAAGCCTCTTCCCTTCGGCCTCCATATCCTCCGCTACCTCCAGCCCGCTGTGCTCCCACACATTCGCCTTCATGCCGACACCATAGTACTGGTACTTCTTCAGGAACGCGAGCCAGATACTCACGACCTCCGGATGTCCATCCTGGATTTGGATGAGTCGACGCGCGGTGATGCGCTCGAAGTTCTCTTGGCTCTTCTTGTGCACGAAGACGGATCGGGGGACGGTCCAGCGTTCGGTAATCCTTGGTAAGGGCACGGGGCCGGAAGCGGGGAGGTTGAGGTAGTAGGCGGCTCGTAAAGCGAAATCGGTGAAGACTTCGAGGTTGCGGACGCTGTAGGAGCGGAGCTGGAGGTCGCAGGTGGGTGTGCCGGAGTGGGTGGGTTGGCGTCTGAGGGGGGCGAGGTAGGTTGCTTGGACGGCACGGGGGAGGCGGAGGGAGGCCAGCTCGTTCTCAATGTTTTCGGGGAGTGATTGGTGTTGAAGGGCGCGAGTTTGATGGGCGAGGGAGGCACTGGACGGGGGTGATATCTGGTGAATGCTGTTAGAGCACATTCATTAATGGATTGGAAAGCGTACATACTTTCAGCCGCTTAGCAGCGCATACAAGCGATCTCGCATACGACGGTGTCGCCATGATTGATGGTATACAAATCAATGATTTCGTTAGCATCGAGGTGGACTTGAAGCACACGATCCCCCATTCCCGAAGTTCACCCGTACCTCCTCCCCCGAACGCCGCACCCTCGCCAACAACATCACCTCTACCCGCCCACACGCCTCTCACAACCTACAACCGCATTCTCCACCCTCTATCGTCCAATGCTAGATCTCCTCCACCACTGCGCCTCAATCTACCACTCTCTAACCCACCTCTCGCACACCCTGTCCCTCGCCCACGACGAAATGACCACCCCCTCCCTGCACCCGTCCGCAGTCTTCAACCAGTGCGTCGAGACCGTCGAGTACCTCAAGATCAAAGTGCCCGAAGCGCTGGTACGGCCGCGGGTGGCTGTGGTGTGTGGGAGTGGGCTTGGCGGGTTGGTGGGGTGTTTGGATGAGGGGGGTTTGAGGTGGGAGGGGAAGTATGAGGAACTGCCGAATTGGCCGTTGAGTACTGGTATGTATGGAACTATTCATGGAGATGAAAGAGGTGGTGTGAAGAGAAAGAGAAGGGGATGAGTGTTGGTGACGAGGACAGCATGTTGACATGTGATTTTGGTGTAGTACCTGGCCACGAAGGCAAGCTCATCTTCGGCACGATGGGTCGCCAACAAGTCCCAGTAGTCCTACTTGTCGGCCGAGCCCAGTCAGTCTCTCCCTCGCCCCTAGCTATACACCTTTACATAGCCATCTTCAATCCCATGATCTCCTCGCCCAATTTCCAGCAGTTTTTCTGACTCCTTTTTCAGTTTCTACGAAGGCCACGAAATGTCGACTGTCACATATGCTACCCGCGTCTGCCGGCTACTCGGCGTCCAAACTATGATCCTCACCAACGCCGCCGGCGGTCTCAACCCCGATTACGCTGTGGGAGACATCGTCTGCCTGAACGACCACCTGAACCTCGCTGGCTTAGTCGGATTCCACCCACTGCGAGGCCCGAATGCTGAGGACTTCGGGACACGCTTCCCGCCTCTCAGCGATGCGTACGACATCTCGCTCCGGCAGCTCGCACACAAGTCATGGCGGGACCTGAGAGCAGACGCGCCGAGTCGAAGACGGATGCACGAGGGAGTATATGCGTTCGTGGCGGGCCCAAGCTATGAGACACGCGCCGAATGTCGGATGCTAAGGAGTTTCGGAGCGGACGTGGTGGGAATGTCGACAGTACCAGAGATCATCGTCGCCAGACACTCAGACATGCGGGTGCTGGCGTTCAGCTTGGTGACGAACAATGCTGTGCTGGAGCCCACAGTGAGAGCAGACGAGCCAGAGCTGCAAGGCATGAGTCGAGACGAGCTGGATGCGTATCTCAGCAAAGGTCGTGCGAACCATGAGGAGGTGCTCGAGTCCGGACGGCAGGCGGCTGTGGATATGCAGGGATTGGTGCTGCGCATCGTCTCTGAGCTGTGAGCGAGTTGGCTCGTCCTTCTTCCAGCAAGCTAAGGCATAGCGTAGGTATTTGGGTATCATCAAGAATCCTATGCGGAAAAAAGTGTTCTTCACTTCCCAGCTTTCTTCACTCCGCCCCGCCTCTTCTCCTTGAGTGCGTTGTAGTACGCCTTCTTGCCACTCGTCTTCTTGGTCTGCAGCTCCCCATACTTCCTCTTGAACCGCCCTGTCTCCTGCTCACCAGCCAGCACTTCCTCAACAAAGGTCTTCTTGCGCTGCTTGTTCTCGATGCGGCCGGAGAAGAACTCAGTCGGGCCTTCGACTATCGTACCGACCTGACTGTACTCCGGTGGCTTCATCTTGCCGCCATCCTTCTTGTAGTGGCGGTGTGGGTCGAGGACGCCTCGCATCTTGATGAGCTGAAGATCTCGCTTGAGCTCAGGGGTGAGATTCGTGGCGGGCATGTCGAACCAGTTGCCGCCGGCGGTAGCTTTCTTTTGCTGAACAAGGAGTCAGTTTTGAGCTCAAAGGTTGTGGTCAAGACTAATCGGGAGTGAAGCGTAGATGCTCAGAGTAACTATGATATGTATAGGCTCTCATAGATGCAGAAAGGCTAACCAAGACGGCGCCCGGCTCCGCTCAAGGAGATATGGGTTGAGATTTCCTCATTGCAAAAACACAATATGAGGAAGGATATAGCTTACCTCTGCCTTCTGCTGCTTGACCAACTGAGGGTTCTCGACCTTGCGCAACCCAGTCGACGTATGCTTTGGCGTCTCGTTCAGCGTCGCTAGTTCGGTGGTCCGGGCCAAGTAGTCTTTGTCAAGCTTCGGCAGGCGGTGCTGGCCTTTTTCGTCCAGCTTCATCACATCTTGAGGATTCGCCCTCTTCGCTTTGATCCGTTCTGTCGCGCGCGCGAGGAGCGACTCGATCTGCTCGTCCGTGAGATCATCGTCCCCCGCCCTTTCCGGCATATCTGAAGGCGCTGACATTGTGAGTGCGTCCATGTTCAGATTTGGAAGAGGTTAAAGATTGGAGAGAAGCGTTTTAGATTTGTGCGGGCAATAGTTTTGCCGAGGCCGTTCACTGCCAGATGTGGCAGTTGCTTTTGGCGAGACTTTCATGTGATGATCATCCTTCCATACCTCACACTCCCCTGTACATGTTTCTAGATGTGTTGAGCAGACCGGCTCTTCCGACTCTCCTTTCAGTGTTTTCAGTCTTCCTTCAACCGCGACAATGCCTCGCGCCTCCCGCTCAGACGTCTCCTACGCTAAGACTGACCTTTCGTATCCCATCTTTGCTGCGGACTTCGACCCCTACAATCGTGGATATCTAGTCGTTGGTGGAGGTGGTGGCGAGAGCAGTACTGGTGTCCCTAATCAAATTGTAAGTCTTCCATCCTGTCCATACTCACGGGTACCTGACACGACCACAGTCGGTCCTGGATGTCTCCAACCGCGCGCAAATCACCACCGCCGCCGAGATCGATCTCTCTCACGATGAAGACTCTGTACAGTCTCTCGGCAACCTCGCGACCAAAGACGGCCTGATCGTGCTCGCCGGTGTCAATGCTTCTGAGAAAGACCAAGCTGCCGGCAAGAATGAGCACTTTCGTTCGTTCGAGATTAAATACCCCCCTCGGAAGAGACAGAAGACCTATGCGGATGCGGAGAAGGAAGTCAAGGGACAGTCGAAGGCACTGGGCAAGCGCTCGCTCTTCAAACCCACCGGGCCAAAGAATGAGGCATACCAGCGGATACTGCGACTTTCCCCCAGCCAGCGACGCGAATCTGGCAGCAAGAGGATTGGTGCTGTAGCGACTTCGTTGGCGAAGGAGTCACAGATCGTCGTCTTCAATGCTACGAGCGCGATACCTACGCAGGAGGACATTCTTACGAGCATCGACCTTCCTGAACGAGCGGAAGCGAACGATCTGGATAGTATGGAGCCGGCAGAAGCTGTGTTTAGCATTGCATACTGTACAGACTACCATCTCTACGAACAGACCTTCAACTACAATTTCAGCACGAAGAAAACGGAGAAGACACCTAAAGGCCCACGAAGAGTAGTCGCCACACCTGACTCCTCCGAGATCAAAGCTCGCTCAAAGTTCCGTTGCCTGCGATTCCTCAACTCGGAGAATGTCATCGCCCTCCTCAACCTGCCGAACAAGAGCGGCGCCGAGCTACGGGTCTTCCACCTCTACCCCACGGGCCCAGCAATGCTCATGCAAACCAAGAAGCTCCCCTCACGTATTAAGCAGGCGTCTTCTATGGATGTCTGTGCTCTGGATACCGACAGTAACGGCAATCAGCAGTTCGTCCTCGCCATCGCCGGTGCAGACATCAGCATCGAAGTCTACACCACCAACTTCCAAGCCGCTACATCCACTTTCACGCCCTTCACCTCGTACATGACCATGCGGGATGTCCATCCCCAGCAGATGACGAAGATCTGCTTCTCGCCGTTTCACTCGCCGGCTCGCGCTTCAGATTCCAACGGCACGGAGCCAGCTACGCAATACATTCGCCTCGCCTCCGTCAGCTACGGCAGAACAGTCGTCGTGGATACTCTGCCCCTCACTCCACTTGATTCAACGAACACGAAATCACGCTACGTGCTCGAACATCCTTCAAACGCGAAATGGATGAAGATCGCCTACGTCTCCGTCTTCTCAATGATCGTCCTCGTCACCGCCTTCCTGCTCCAAGCTTTCGGCGCCGGTTTCACCAACGACCAAGCAGTCGGTCCTTTCGGCTTCCTGCCCGCGAACGTGCGGAGCTTTCTCGACGAACCAGCGGCAGCAGCGTACGGCAAGACGAGGGTGGAAGTGGCCACGAGTGCAGTCAAAGCCGCACCAACAGCCGTCGGCCGCCTACAAGCCCGCCTCTCAAAACACTCCATCACCCCCTCCTCCGCCCCATCCTCCGGCGCAGCCGATGGCGAAGGCGAGAAGCAAAAAGCCGTCGTTATGAGCGCCGCGCCGGAGCAAATGGGCGGCGTGACCGTGGACATCCACCCGGACCGCGAGGCCTACAAGCAGAAAGACCCTAAAGCGCGACACTGGCATGAATTGAGCGAGGAGCAGAAGGGGAGGTGGAAGGAGAGGCTGATGCGGGCGGGGGAGTGGGCGGAGGCGGAGGGGGAGAAGGTGTTGTTGGGGGTGTTGTTTAGCGAGTATGCTGGCTTGGTTGGCGAGGGGGCGGCGGGGATGATGAGGGAGCTATGATTGTGAGGGTGGGGGTTGATGAGGCTGTGTTTGTATTGATCCCGTGTACCTAGATGGCTTTGCCGTTTACTGATGCGATTATGCAGCTGATGCCATCTCCGTGCCCTTCCTTCCACTCCACCCGCTGATGCGCCTGCGCCATCGCTGCCCATCTCCCTTCCTCCACTCTACTCCACCTCAGTGCAATAAACGCCTTTACCAAAGTACCTCCCCTTCCTCTTCTCCCGCATCAGCTCCCGCTTCCGCTCCAGCTCCGTCTCACACGCCTGCCGCTTTTCCAGCGCCCTGCGCTCCCTCCGCTCAAACTTCCGCGCTTTGGCCTCGAGGGCGCCGCCCCTTCTCCCGGACCGGAAGTGCTCTCGAGGGTGCATGAGGTGGGATATTGCGGAGACGCAGCTCTCGCGGGCTCGGAGAAGGAGGCTGGGTTTGGGCGCGGGGGGCGGCAGGGTGGCCTTCGGGCTGGGCTGGGGAGGCGATGGGGCGGGTCTTGGCGGCGTATGCGCTGGCTGCTGGACTAGGGGCCAGAGAGGGTTAGCAGGTGTTCTCGAAGATCAAGAAGGGTTGGAAAGGTCTCAGCGCGGCACTTGTGCTGTTTTGCTGTCTCGGAGAAGCTTACCTTGCTCAGACTCCGGCTCAGGTGCCCACGGGATACCTGCTGCTGGTGGAAGCCCCCGGTCCTCGCCGACCGGACCGAAGACGTCGTCCCCAGCGATCGCAACGGTCCATGGTGGGTTTATCAGCGTCTGTACTGACGCGTCATCGTCGCTGATCTCGGAGAGCCAGGCAAGAACATCGCGCGGCTGGGCTTGTTCGACGGGCTGGGCTTGCTGGACGGTTCTCAGGGCCGGAAAGACTGGTGGACGCGGGAGAGGCCTGGTGTACCGGAAAACTCCTCCCTTTCGATGCCGTATTATGGTTTTCGGCGGTGGTGTGAGGCGGTTCTTCGGGCCACGCTTCTTGGGCTTGCGTTTCGGGGGTGCTGCTTTCGACCCTCGAGGTCCTTCGACGGCGGCTGGTAGGGGCTTTGTGCCGGCTGTGAAGACTCGCATGTTGGCTGCGCCGCGGGAAGTCCCTGGCGGCGGAGCTCCTGAGGTCAGTGGCATGAGTTAGCGAGGATGGTCTTGGAGTGATAGGCGACTGCACGGTGGCGGCAATGGCGTGGTGTGCAATGGTTGTTGGATGGCAATGAGGAAGAGTGAGCGTCAATGGTAAGGGCTTGATGAAGTGAGGTTGGAGTAAGCGTAGGCCACCGCTTGAGAAGACCTCACTTCATCTCTTCTCATCTGACCTCACCCTATACCATCTCGTTCATCGAGTCCATCTCGCATCTGCAACACCAGCACTGTCTTATCGACTTGCTTCCACTGCGAACGACCAGTGTGCTCTTCCATGTTGGACGCCATGTCCTCGCCTCCTGCGAAACGACACCTCCCCAATCCAGCAGCTCTACAACCATCAGACGGGACAGAAGTGATCCCCAACCTTCCAAAATCATACGATGAGTATCAGACGGCCATAGGGAAGGCCACCATTAAGCCGCATTGGAAGTGTCTACGTTTCAGCGGATTTCTTTACCGAGTCAGTCTTCCAGGCACCCGGCCGCTAAGCTATACTTGCTCACATACTACATAACCAGGCTATCGACAAGTCCTGCATCCAACGTGGATCAAGCTTGGGCAGAGACCAGTTGCGAGCTGTGTTGAACAACCCACAGTATACGCACTATTGGGTTCAGGGTGACCGCGAAAGTTCTCTGGATAAGCTGGCCTGTCCAACTTCACGAGCCGAAGTCGTGCGAGTCCTTGAAGAGGCGTGCCGACAGTGCGAAGGAGTTGAGAAGGAGGGTCTCGATGCCTGTATTCAAATGCACAGAGACATAATTGCGGCTATCCGCGCCGAGGACGAAGCCGAGGCTGCGGCCGAAGTCGAGGCCAAAATCAAGGCAGAGTCGAAGACCAAAGTTGAGACGGACGTCAAGGTCGAAGGCAACGTGAAGGACGAGCCCGAGATCAAGGCCGAACCGGACGCTGTGGGCTTCGTGCCAGGACCAACTATCGACATCATCAGCGAGTGGCCTGGACGAGGAGGCACGCTGGATGGCGATGAGCGGGACAAAGTCGAGGCCGCCACCGAAGGCACCGTGAAGCTGGAGCCAGAGTAAGGCATATCTGCCATCTCGAAGCCAGACGTGTCAGGGCAGGCAGCGGAGTGTCCAAATGTGGCGCTGATGGCTCACGTGAGGTATAGAATCTCCCAATCGCTGCATCCATATGCATGCTGGAGAACGTCGTTAACACATTGCTACCAGGAAGATTTGCTTGCGAGGCGTTTTGCTGGACGGATGGGTCAACCGCCACATCTCAAGGCGGAAGGTACAAGTAGCATGCTGCTGACAAGAGTGATAGCTTTTTGAAGTCGGACTTTTCTGGGGGACAGTATTGCTGAATGGCTAAAGATGGATGGTTTGTAGGAGGTGTTGCTACGTACATGTATCTTATCAATACACATCGTGTTCTTCGATTTATTGGTATCACGTGATGACCTCGGTCGCACCTCCTTTGTGACGCTTCCTGCTTCCAATTGCGACGTCTTCCACCCGCTTGCATGTCGTGATTCGAGGACTCCACAAGGCACCGCACGAGCGCACACACGAAAGCGTTTGGCTTGCTGCGGCGCGGAGATTATCTGAACGGGCGACGGCCCCTTTGCAGCAGACGCAGGGGTACTCTGGAGTTCACGCAACCTTAGCCAATAAGCGTTTGATGGCGGCGCTGGACGCGACTCGACCACAGATATTCCTGGGGACGCCAGACATCCTGAGTACTGCATACCACCACCACCATGTCCCTCATGTCCCTATGACAGGACGCTCGTCCATCCTGTGACCTCTTCTATATCACGGCCGTCGACGAAGTCCTTGTCCTGAGCATTTCTAGCGCTGGAGTTGGGACGGGGATAAGCACGCCGGTTGTTTGTGCTTGAGGGAAGACTGCGGAGGAGAGGAGGCATACACCGCGCCGACGACATGTCGAACTATCGCAACTACGATGTCGGCACGCGCGCCTGGCAGCAGGACCCGACCGAGGGATGGGTGTCCTCGGAGGTCACGAAGAAGACGGTCAACGGGGATAATGTCAAGTTGGTCTTCACACTCGAGAATGGCGAGGTATGCGAAGAACATTGTGACAGTGGTGGAATTATGTATACTGATAATACAACAGACCAGAGAAGTGGACACGACGGTGGCGGCGTTTGCAGAAGATGCCATGAGCTCCACCCTCCCCCCTTTGATGAACCCGGCCATGCTGGAGGCCAGCGACGATCTAACGAACCTCTCCCACTTGAACGAACCGGCGGTGCTGCAGGCGATCAAGCTCCGCTATGCGCAAAAGGAGATATACACCTACTCGGGCATCGTGCTGATAGCCACCAACCCGTTTGCACGAGTAGACTCGCTCTACGTCCCCGGCATGGTGCAGGTCTACGCCGGCAAGAACCGATCATCACAAGCGCCTCATCTGTTCGCCATCGCTGAGGAGGCTTTTGCGGATATGCTCCGCGATGGCCGTAATCAGACGATCGTGGTCTCAGGAGAGTCGGGAGCCGGCAAGACGGTCAGCGCCAAATATATCATGCGATACTTTGCGACACGAGAACCTCCCGATCAGCCCGGCGCACGCAGCAGAGGTCGCGCAGACACCATGAGCGAGACGGAAGAGCAGATCCTGGCCACCAACCCGATCATGGAAGCGTTCGGTAACGCAAAGACCACACGAAACGACAACTCCTCGCGGTTCGGCAAGTACATCGAGATCATGTTCAACAGGAGCACGGAGATCATTGGCGCAAGAATACGAACGTACCTCTTGGAACGGTCAAGATTGGTCTTTCAACCGCTTAAGGAGCGGAATTACCACATCTTCTACCAGCTGGTTGCGGGAGCTACGGACGCTGAGAGGGAAGAGCTGGGACTGATACCGGTGGAGCACTTTGACTACCTCAACCAGGGTGGTGCGCCGGAGATCGATGGGGTGGACGACGGCAAGGACTTCAAGGACACAAGGCAATCGTTGACTCGACTTGGAGTGTCGGAGACTGTGCAGACGCAGCTATGGAAGATCCTGGCAGCGCTGCTACACATCGGCAACATCAAGATTACTGCGACAAGAACAGACTCGCAGTTATCAGCCACGGAACCTTCGCTGGAAAGAGCCTGCAAGCTGCTCGGCATTGATGCAACAGAGTTTGCAAAGTGGACGGTCAAGAAGCAACTCATCACTCGCGGCGAGAAGATCATGTCGAATCTGACACAACAGCAAGCAACGGTCGTTCGGGACTCGGTGGCCAAGTACATCTACTCTTCGCTCTTCGACTGGCTCGTGGAGACGATGAACGCGTTCTTGGCACCGGACGACATCTTGAAGGACGTCACCTCTTTCATCGGCGTGCTGGATATCTACGGCTTCGAGCACTTCGCCAAGAACAGCTTTGAGCAGTTCTGCATCAACTACGCCAACGAGAAACTGCAACAAGAGTTCAACCAGCACGTCTTCAAGCTTGAGCAGGAGGAGTATGTGCGGGAACAGATCGACTGGACTTTCATCGACTTCTCGGACAACCAGCCCTGCATTGACTTGATCGAGGGCAAGATGGGTATCCTTTCTCTGCTGGACGAAGAATCGAGATTACCCATGGGCTCGGACGAGTCTTTCGTGACTAAGCTGCACCACCACTACTCCCAGGACAAGCACAAGTTCTACAAGAAGCCACGGTTCGGCAAGAGTGCATTCACGGTCTGTCATTACGCCATTGATGTCACGTACGAGAGCGACGGCTTCATCGAGAAGAACAGGGACACTGTGCCTGACGAACATTTGGAGGTGCTGAAGGCTACATCCAACACCTTCTTGAGTGAAGTCTTGGAGGCCTCAGCTACCGTTAGAGACCGGGACAATGCTGCTGTGGCACCAAAGGCGAACGGTCCTGGCAAGAGGATGGGCGCTGCGGCGGCTAGGAAACCGACGCTCGGCGGCATCTTCAAGAGCAGTTTGATCGAGCTCATGAACACCATCAACTCGACGGACGTACACTATATCAGGTGTATTAAGCCGAACGAGGCGAAGGAGGCATGGAAGTTTGAGGGGCCGATGGTGTTGAGTCAGCTACGAGCTTGTGGTGTTCTGGAGACAGTACGGATCAGCTGTGCTGGCTACCCGACCCGATGGACATACGAAGAGTTCGCTCTCCGATACTACATGCTCATCAAGTCAGGGGAGTGGACCACCGAGATCCGGGACATGGCCAACGCAATCCTACGGAAGGCGCTCGGCGAGGCGAAGAACGACAGCTCGGATAAGTACCAGCTGGGTTTGACCAAGATCTTCTTCCGTGCCGGCATGCTCGCCTTCCTCGAGAACCTCCGCACGAACCGCCTGAACGAAGCCGCCATCATGATCCAGAAGAACCTGCGCGCCAAGTACTATCGCCGCCGCTATCTCGAGGCCATCGACGGGATCAAAGCATTTCAGGCCCTCCTCCGCGGCGTCCTCGCACGACAGCGAGCCGAAGAGGCGCGGCGGCAACGCGGCGCCACGACTATCCAGCGTGTTTGGCGAGGACAGAAAGAGAGGAAAGGGTACGTACGCTTCCGCAACGATCTCATCAAGTTTGAAGCGCAGGCCAAGGGATGGCTTTGCCGGAAGCAAATCCTAGACAAGAGGCTGGGTGATGCGGCGAGGACGATCCAGCGCGCGTGGCGGTCGCATCGGCAGCTCAGGTCTTGGAGAGATTACCGAAGAAAGGTGGTGCTGGTGCAGAGTATGTGGCGTGGACGGACCGCGAGACGCGGGTACAAGAAGCTGCGCGAGGAGGCGAGAGACCTCAAGCAGATTTCGTACAAGCTGGAGAACAAGGTCGTCGAGCTCACGCAATCGCTTGGTACAATGCGGCAGGAGAACCGGACGCTCAAGGGCCAAGTCACAAATTACGAAGGACAGCTCAAGAGCTGGAGAGACCGACACAATGCTTTGGAAAGCCGAGCGAACGACCTGCAGCGTGAAGCCAACCAGGCTGGTATCACTGCGGCGAAGCTGGAGGCTATGGAGGCGGACATGCAGCGCTTGCAGGCGACGTATGAGGAGAGCACCGCGAATATGCGGAGGTTACAAGACGAGGAGAAGTCGCTGCGCGAGGATCTGCGGGTCACTAGTCAGGAGCTGGAGACCACGCGGCAGAGCAAGACGGTTTCGGAGACCGAAAAGCTTTCGCTACGGCAGCAGTTGGCAGATCTGCAGGATCAGTTGGAGTTGGCCAAGCGTGCTGTGCCTGTCAATGGAGAAGTGGTCAACGGGAACGCCGTACCCGCGCAGCCTTCGGGTCTTATCAACCTTGTTTCGGCGAAGAAGCCGAAGCGGAGGAGTGCTGGGCCAGAGCCGATCAATACGGAGCGCTTCAGTGGGACTTACAACCCCAGGCCAGTGTCGATGGCGTTCGGTGCTACGGGTGGACATGTACAGAATCTGTCTGGCTCGACGTTCAACCCTGGTTTGGAGAATGTTGAAATGGAGCTGGAGAACTTGCTCGCCGACGAGGATGGCCTCAATGATGAGGTGACGATGGGCTTGATTCGAAACTTGAAGATTCCTGCTGCCGGGGGCACACCACCGCCAACGGACAAGGAGGTCCTGTTCCCTGCATACCTCATCAACCTCGTCACTTCAGAGATGTGGAACAATGGCTTCGTGAAGGAGTCTGAGCGCTTTTTGGCCAATGTGATGCAGTCCATTCAGCAAGAAGTGATGCAGCACGATGGCGATGAGGCAGTCAACCCCGGCGCTTTCTGGCTTTCGAACGTCCACGAGATGCTCTCCTTCGTTTTCCTCGCTGAAGACTGGTACGAAGCCCAAAAGACGGACAACTTCGAGTACGACCGCCTGCTCGAGATCGTTAAGCACGATCTTGAAAGTCTGGAGTTCAACATCTACCACACCTGGATGAAGGTGCTGAAGAAGAAACTGCACAAGATGATCGTGCCCGCCATCATCGAGTCGCAATCTCTCCCCGGCTTCGTCACGAACGAGAACAACCGCTTCCTCGGCAAACTCCTCCAATCCAGCAACACGCCTGCTTTCAGCATGGACAACCTGCTCTCCCTGCTCAACAACGTCTTCAAGGCGATGAAGGCCTACTACCTCGAGGACTCCATCATCACGCAAACAGTTACCGAGCTGCTGCGGTTGGTCGGCGTGACGGCGTTCAACGATCTGCTCATGCGGAGGAACTTCCTCAGCTGGAAGAGAGGTTTGCAGATCAACTACAACATCACGCGTATCGAGGAGTGGTGTAAAAGCCACGACATGCCGGAGGGCACGCTGCAGCTGGAGCACTTGATGCAGGCGACGAAGCTGCTGCAGTTGAAGAAGGCGACGTTGAATGATATTGAGATTATTCAGGATATCTGCTGGATGTAAGTCACCCTCCACTTATCCTCTCACCCTTGAACCAGCTGTACTAATTAATGATGTTCCAGGCTCTCCCCCAACCAAATCCAAAAACTCCTCAACCAATACCTCGTCGCCGACTACGAACAGCCCATCAACGGCGAGATCATGAAAGCCGTCGCCTCGCGCGTCACCGACCCGAAATCCGACGTCCTGCTCCTGCAAGCCGTGGACATGGAGGATTCCGGCCCGTACGAGATCGCCGAGCCCCGCGTCATCACGGCGCTGGAGACGTATACGCCGAGTTGGCTGCAGACGCCGCGACTGAAGAGGTTGGCGGAAATTGTGAGCGCGCAGGCGGTGATGCAGCAGCAGATGGATGCTGGGGGGAAGGTGGCGGAGGAGGGGTGGGGGATGAATGGGGTTAATGGGAATGGGAATGGGGTGCATGAGATTGGGTTGAGTGAGGATGAGGAGAGTGGGTAGAATCTATTGCCTGTGAAAGAGGTGAAGAGGACGTGGAGCTTGGGGTTGCGGTCGCCGCGGGTGAGGGCGGGTTGCTGTTATCGTCGGAGCATTTTTTGGAGTTTGAGCGAGTGTTAGTTTGTTCTTCACACGGTGTTGTGGCGTGGGTGCTGAGCGAGGGTATGGGGTGTCTCGGTTGGTAGAGACCTAGGATAGTGAGTGTGTGGAACAAGATTCACTGTGTTGCCTTCTCCTGTCCCCTATCAACCCTGTTGTGCTCAGATCACTGTCACCGAGGGCCTCCAAGACGTCCCGCAGTCTGAGAAGACACACCCCGTTGCAGCCTTCAAGGGCTTCATCTCTGTCATCCAAACAACCCCTGTGAGTCCTGTCGACCTCTCATCACCCTATCCTCATCTCGGAGAACACTCAGTAAAGCTGATACCCCCCAGCCTCCTCCTCCTCAGACCTCTCCTCATCCTCCACCCCCATCCGCAAACCCTCCCCAATCTCCTCCCCGACCTCAATCTTCACATCCTCGCCCAACCCTTCGACCTCCGGCTCATCGCGCTCTTCGCCCTGCTTGATCTCGCCGGCGTGGACGCTCGAGTCGTGCACGCTTCTCTCTACGCCTTCGAAGTCGTCGTTGTCGTTGTCGGACTCGTCGGCGAGAGAGGCGTAGTTGCGCTTCGTGTCGCGCTGCTTGCGTCCGGTGGTTGGTGGGGTGACATATCCCTCCTTTCCGTCCTCTCCACCCTCGCCGTCTGCCGCTGCCTCTGCCTCAGGGGAAGGGGAAGGGGAAGGGGTAGGGGTAGGGGTACGCTTGACTTCCGTCTTGGCTTTCTTACCTTTCGTAGTAGCGGGCTTAGTGACCCTGTTGTTGGCATCCTTAGGCGTGAGAATCTTATCCGGCTTCGCCTTCGCGGCCATAGCTTTGCCCTTGGCGGCTGGGTCGACGGTGGCGATGTTGGACGAGGTGCCGCCGAGTTTGCGGAAGTGCGTCAGGCGGTGGGAGATCGCTTTGGGGGTGCAGTCTGACACATGGTTAGTTAGGTTTGACCTGGTTTAAAGCCGCGAGAGGTGGTGAGGTGAGGTCGTGTGAAGTCACAAGTGGCGTTTCTTACCCATGGCGTCGGCGAGCTCCTTCATCTGAGCGGCGTTGAGCTTCACGTCAGCCATCTGGATGATCTTGGCCGTGAGCTGTCGTATGTTAGCATGTGCCCTGCGAGGCAGTGATGAGTCGACGTACTTTGGCGTCGTTCTCCGGGGTCCAGGAGACAGGCATCTTGCTGTTGCTTTTGATTCTTCTCGACTTGGTGAAGTGGCACTGTTCGAGGGGATGTGCCGCCGTGGTAGTTGGTTGCTGTCTTGGAGAAGAAGTCGTCGTCGAGCTGTGTGGTATGGAAGAGATGTAGTGGAAAGGTTTCAAGAAGGAAGAAGTGTGAGAGGCAGTATAGAAAGGTGAGAGAGAGCAGTGAAGAACGTATTGTGCCAGAAATAGTACCTCACCAGCAGTGAGGTCGTCGATGTGATGTGATGTGAGGTTGGACGAGCACATGACTGAGTGCCGGAGTTTCAGATGAAGTGAAGTCGCAGCTGGTGAAGCCCTAGCCCAGGCAGTGACAGAGGGAATGAGAGCGTGAGAGCACTTACATCTGTTGGCGGCCCACGGACCTTGAAGCTTCAGTGCTGTTTAGGAAGATATCTACACGAACCTCAGCCCTCCCCTTTCAAGTCTTTCAAGTCCAACTCTTCCACTCGCCGTCCTCTTCCTCTCACTCCTACCTCCTTCCCCCTACCTTCCCCTACCTCCTCCCTCCCCCCTGTCCCTGAGGCCCTTGACCCTGCCCCCCAAAACCCCCCAACGGCGTCCTCCTCCAACCCCCCATCCCCTCCGCCTCCCTCCTCCGAAACTCCTCCTCCATCCTCCTCCCCTCCTCCCTCCGCCTCCCGACCTCCTCCTCCTGCAACCTCCTCCTCTCCCTCTCCAGCCCCAAACGCTCTACCTCTTCGCGCATGGCCATTTCGCCGTCCATTTGGCTTTGTCTCCGTAAATCGAGTCGGCCTCCGCCGGAGGCGGAAGCGGAGGGGATGAAGGGGGTTCCGCCGAAGGTTGGGGGTTGGAGGGGTTGTGGTGGGCGATGGTGTTGCATCGCTTGTTGTTGCTGTTGCTGTTCCATTTGCTGCCGCTGTTGTTGTTGTTGCTGCGCGGCGAAATGCTGTTGCTGCTGCCGCTCGTCCTCGTGCCGACGTTCCAGCTCCTGCTGCCGCCAGCGCATCTCGCGGATCTCGCGCTCTTCGCGATCACGTTGGGCGAGATGGTGTTGCTGGTCTTGACGGTATTGCTCGTACGATTGATCCTCCCGACTCATACCTCTATGATGCAGGGAGGGGAAGGGGCCGCCCATGGAGCCGTTGTGGGAGTGGTGGGCTTGGTTCTGTGCTTGACTTGGCGGGGGTTGGGAGAAAGGCGGCATTTGCTGGGCGCCGTAGGGGTTCGACTGTAATGCTTGCGCGGGTTGATGTGAAGGTCCTTGTTGCTGCTGACCCATCATCGACTGTCTTGCCTGATCGTGCGCTTGCTGGCTCGACTGCCCAGTCAAGGAAGGTGTTCTCGAATGCCCAATCCCCCCCAGCGGCGGCGGAGGCGAAGGATTACCTCTCTGCTGATTCAACGACCCAAGCAGAGAACTGCGATGCCCATGCTGGAAGAAACCCCGATCGCGATCCATACCCGGATTGCCCGCTCCGTGACTACTGCTCGGTCCCAAGATGCGAGAAGTCCAATCCGGCTTCGGCGGCCCTGGCTCATTCTTCGGCGTAGGAGGTCCAGGCGTCGGGTTCCGATTCGGCTGACCGAAGGGTCCACGACCTAACTGCCCTTGCATCGAAGATTGACCGAAAGACGTCTCCCGTCGCATACCAGGTATACTCGAGCCAGCAGACTGGACGTTTTGTTGTGACGCAGGCGAAGCCGTGCGCTGTGGCTGCTGTTGCTGCGGTGGCGGATTGTCGCGCTTCGGAGGCGGAGGGTCATCGTCGTTGTTGAGAAGCGACATGACGTTCGAGCGCTTCGGCGGTTCGGGCGGAGCCGGGGTATTAGACGTGGTGTTCGCAGGCGGAATCATGGACATCGGCGCCGGACGCGGCTCCTCTCTCTTCGTAGGTGAGAAGCTGAATGGCGACCGACCTGTCAGCGAAGCGAACGGCTTGTTCGAAGCGAACGAGCTGAAGCCTGAGGAGCCGATCGAAGGTCGTGCGAACCCAGAGCTCAAGAAACCAGGTCTCTGTGGCGAAGGCGGTCGTTCCTCGTTCGCGGATTTCCGCTCGGTTTGCTGCATTGGCGGCTGGCTCAATGGCTGGTTGAGCGGCGAGCCCTGAGACAAGTTCCGCGGCATGAGGTTCTGTCGATGAAGTTGCTCCATCCGCTCCGGTTGAGGCGGTTGCTGTTGTTCCTGCTGCTGCAGTCTGAAAGCACGCTGTTGCTCCTCCCTGATCCTTTCCATAACGTCCGACGTGACCGTCACACGCGAAGTCTGCTGAGAAGGCGGCCTGGAACTAGGATCCTCAGCAGCACGCAAAGCAAACCCAGGCTGCTGCGGTTGCGGCGGTCGCGGCTCAGCCCGAGTATCAGACATGAACGTCAGTCGATGTCCAAGCGGATGCTGCAAGCCCTGGCCCATGCGAGAAGCCGCCGCGATCTGCTGCTGCCCGGGCGCTGACGTAGACACCGGCGGACTCGGCACCACCCGTGCTACAGCAGGAACAGGCGTGTTCTGCGTCGACGTAGTCATGCGAGGTTGCGGCTGATACTGCGGCGGCGACGCATGCTTCGGCACCTGCTGCACCCTCGCAGCCGGTCCGCGCTCATCAACCTCCATAGCCTCGCCCTGCGGCGCCAATGGGCGCTGTTGCGCATTCGACGGCACAGTATCGTACTTCCGCTTCGTGATCGGCGTCGGTGTGGGCGGCGGACCAAGGTCTTCGCCGCGATTGATCCGCTGTTCCGCCTCAATAGCCGACCTCTCCAGCTCAGGCTTATTCCCACTGTCGACCTGGCGCTGGTAGTGGTTCTTAATCATCGTCTGCGTCTTGGTGCCCATGTGCGCAGCAATGGCAGCGAAGTCGCGACCAAAGTGTGCGATGTACAATTGAAAGTCGTGCTGCTCAGGGACAGACCAGTAGCTCGAAGCACTCTGCTTCGCCGTCGGACCTTGGCCAGCTGGCTTGGATCGATCTGGCTCCTCTGGCGCCGCCATGGGCTGCAGGAAGCGCTCTTGATTGTACATCATCTGCACCTCCGGATGCATCGTCTGACGCCCCGCTTGCAGACCGGCGAGAAGACCAGCCTCTTCCAGCTTCTGCTGCTGCGCCTGCTCTTCCCTCTGCAAGAACTGCTTCGCAGGCGACCCTTGCGGCGCAGCAGCAAGCAGCGGCTGCGCAGCCTTCCCCTTCCCCCTCCCAGCCTTCTCCCCAGTCCGCTTCTGCTTCTTGACACTCTTCTCGGACCCCGCGTCGCCATTCGACTCCGCCTTCCCACCGAGACCAAGCTTCTTCGCAGGCGACTGACCCAAAAGCGCCGCTTTCGACTCAATCTCCTTCTCAGCGAAATTAGTCGGGGCGGCAGCCCGCCTCGGCCTACCCTTCTCCGACATGGCGTCGATGGAGATATCCTCTGCTCGCGCCAAGTCAGCCATCAAGCCTCCCAAACGACCGCGCGCACCTCGCGTAGAACCTCTGCCGCGCTTAGCGCCATGCTTCAGTTTCTTCGTCCTGCTGTCTCGGAACCGTGCATCCCACTTCTTCGCGTAGTAGTGGCGGATGCAGTCCTCGTATGTGCGACCAGGGAGCAGCGAAGCAATCTCGCCCCATTTCTTCGGCGTCTCCTTGAAAGCGGCGACGAAGATCTGCTGCTCGTTCTCGGTGAAGTTGTCCGGCGCGGGATCGTACGAGAAGACCATAGTAAGGGCTTCCGGATCACGGTAGCGGTTCGTGTCCACGAAGGTACCACGTCTTATGATATCATCAGTCATTTGATCTCCCACGACAGCCTCCTTCTCCATGTCGGCCTGGTTCTTTCGGGTCTCGCGTTCTTTGCGCTCCTCCTCCAGGCGTGCAGTCTCTTCCGACTCCTTGAGCGCCTGCTGAAGCTCGTACTCGCTGTTGTACTGTCGTTGTCGTCGGCTGCCTTCTGTGGGCATCATAGGTGGCTTGGGGCCGTCGGCCTCCATTCTTGGCTCGACTGACTGTTGTCGTTCCAGCCTCTCTAGCTCTTCCCTCTCCCTATCAAGATCCTCGCATTCTTCTCGCCACTTGAGAAACGCTTCTGAGAAGAGTTGCTGTGCGTCTTCCTGCTCTTCCTGCTCTCCCGAGTCCCGGTCCTCCAGCGCATCCATCAGATCTTCCTCGGCCTCCAGATACTCTTTTCGCCGATCCTCGAACATCTTGCTGTCATGCAGTGAATGCCGTCCTTCCTTGAGAAGATACGGAAGCGAGATCGGCTCTGGACTTGGTCTACGAATCCGACGCACGCTCTCAGCAGAGTCATTACTGCTCCGTATGGCAACAGCATGATCCTCCTCGCCCTTCGGCGTAAGCAAAGCAGGCCCATCAGCACTATCCGAAGACCTCGTCGAGCCCGGCAGCAACTGCTGATTCTGCACAACAGGCGAATCATCAACCTCCATCTCCCTCTCCCTGATCTCATTAACCCTCTGCAAATCCCTCCCAGAAATCCTAACGAGCCTCGAGATAGACTCCAGCGGGCTCATGGCCCGATAAGGCGACTGCCGCAGATCCGTCATCTGGGCCTCGAGCTGCCGTTTCTGTCGCTCAAATTTAGCATGGAACAATGTCAAGCTTTCGTCTTCGATATCGGACTCATCGTCGTCAGACGAAGACGGTACCTCTTGACCTGCCTCCGACATGCCTGTGTCGTTGTCATCCTCCTCGACGCTCTCAACTGGCTTGCCGAAGAAGGACTGGGCTGCAGAGTGGCCGTGGCCGTGGTTCGATGCGAGCGAAGACTGGCGCTTTGGGGGCTGGTCAACCTCCATCTCGTCTGCGTTGGCCCGCTGGACTCTGACTGAAGATGCAGCTGGCGAGGCTAAAGCTGCATCGTCGACCTTTGCCGCTGAAGCAGCACCAGGCTCCTCGGCCTTAGCCTTCTCCTCACCAGTGACATCCCGCTTCGCCGGGACGACCTTATCGCCATACCCAGGAACACCCGGACGCTTCCACTGATTCCACTGCGGACCTCGAGGAGCAGTCGGAGCACCCCATGGCATCGGCGCAGCAAGCCTGTCGGTGACACGCGAAGCGGAAATCGACACTCGATCTTGCCCCCGAGGCGCGACAGGCGGGCCTCGTTGGCCTTTCGGTGCAGTGGGCGGTGCAGCTTTTGGTGAGACGCTGTATGCTTTGCCACGAGGCCCGGTGGGTGCCGTGGGTGGAGGCGTGGATGTTCTTGGCAGGCTGCTAGGTCCAGCAGGCGCACCAAAGTCGGATCTGGGCGAAGCAAATGGCGGTCTAGGAGACACCGAGCTTTGCGCTGCCGGCGAAGGGCGAGAGGCGCGAGGGCCTGTCGGCGGTCCGAAGTCACCAAGACGAGATGGATTTGGGATATGAGGTGTCACAGGCTGGTTGAGTGTAGGTAGGGTGGATGGAGCAGTGGGTTGTGGTGCGGGTAAGGCTTGGCCTGGTCTCGACAGTGGAGCTGCTGGAGGCTGCGGCGGTTGGCCTTGGCTTGAGACGCTTTCCAGTGATCTGACAGGATGCAAGCGGTTCGGCGCATTTGCATCATCTCCATCCTGCGCTCGTGGTCCTCGTGGCGCTGCTGGTGGCGGGTTCGTAAGATGTGCCTTCGGAGCTGGTGGAGGTACCCGTGGTGCGATTGGAGCATCCGCTGGTGGCGCAGAGCGAGGCTCAGCAGGAGACGACTGAGGAGGCTCACCATTAGATCCAGGGCGGGAGATCGCTTGACTGGAGTCCTGAACACCTTTGATGCCCGGCTGGGATCGGGGGGGCTGACTAGAGGGCGCCGAAGAGGCAGCGGGTGCTGCGAAAGACAACGTAAAAGCAGGCACAGGCGGTGCTTGCTGCGGCGAAGACGACCCACGCGTGCCATAACGCTGTGCAGTCGTCGCAGCCCTGCTGTTAAGATAGGCTGGCGTCTCTGGCGCATCACGCTTGACGTCACGTGCTTGTGGTGGAGGAGGAGGAACAGCAGGTTCTTGCTGAGTAGACTGGCGACGTGCTGGAATATCCACACCTGCGCCCTCGATAAGAGCGAGTCGGTCAGGATTGATGCTCGACGCCTGTGAAGTCTGGAAAGCGGCGTTTGCTGACCTAACGGAGTCGTTGGAGTTTCGGGCTTCCAGTCTTGGCGGTGGTAGGGGGTCCCGTCGAGGCCGCTCAAAGTCGCGTTCTCTGTCCTGCCACTCTGGTCTTCTTTCGTCTTCGCGTCGCTCAAAGGGTCTGCGCTCATCTCGACGTTCAGTGTCCCGGCTATCTCGTGATAAGTCTCGCGCCCATGGTCGAGGTGGCGAACGCTCGGGCCGTCTTATAAGTTCTCGGTCTTCAAAGGCATTTCGCCCACCTCGATCATCAAACCCGCCGCGTCCACCGCGCTCTTCATAGCCGCCACGTCCGCCTCTGCCACCCCGGAATGAAAACTCGCCACGCCCACGACCCCGCGCAAAGCCGCCGCGAAAAGGTCCCGCTGAAGGCGGCTGAGAGTCTGGATATGAAGATCCGGGTGGTGGACCATCTCGAGAGTTCCGTCGCTGCCTGGCGATGTCCAGATCTCTTGGTGGTGGTATCCTCGGCGACCTATCACGTGGCGAAGGCAATCTGTCGCGTCGGTCATAGTCGCGCTCGCGGTAGGGTCTCCCACGATCACTGCCCAAAGGCGGGGCATCCCTCAACGAAGTGAATGGCGGACGCCCCGCTCCCGGGGGAGGAGCTCCAGGTGGCAATGGCCGCGCACTGTCATACTGCGAGCGTGGCCCGCGGGGAGCATCCGAAGCACTGCGTGGCGGACCTGCAGGCCGATTGTCAAAGACGGAGGCCGCTGATGCCCGACGGTCGGAGAAATGAGGTGGGCTGCGTGAGCGCTCCCGTGCCCCCCGGTAGTCTGGGGGAGGGTATCTTGACATGTTCGAGTGTGCTTAGCGCAGCATTTCCATGCCTGATGGAGAAAGGAGTGGTGTCCGGGGCTGAAGAGGAGCGCAATGCGGGTCCGGAATCCTTCAAAAACCAGCCGATGGCGCTGGCAGCCTTCCTGAAAGTATGCTCCTTCAATGCGCCCGATCCAGCACCCAATGCCCGCTGTGTGGAGTAAGTAGAGTGGTATTTCGTGAAAGTGAAGTGAAACAGCAAGGTCGCGATCCGAGTGGAGCCAGCCACAAAGCACTAGCGTATCTTAGGCGAGAAACCTAAATCGCTCCGTGGCGCCGGGAGTGGAGAGGATCGAGCAGCCCAGCGCAAAGCTGGAGAAACACGGCGAGAGGGAGCAGCAAGTCTGGCCAGTGTCGTGATGTGTGTTGGTCAGGTTACCATCCGACTGGGCTGGTGGTCGATGTTGAGTGTGAGATGTGACCTCCGCTGCTGCAATAATCTCGGACCTGGAGAAGGTGTGAGAGGGTGTTCGGGAGGTGTTCTCTCGGGATGCCGTGCTTGCGACTCTGCGGTCCAGATCCGCGGCGCCTGCTCGACAAACCTCAAAAGTCAAGGGCCCGTATAATTGAGAGTCTTCCTGCGGAATGGATGTCGTCTTGGCGTGTTCGAGGTATGAATTGATGGTGTTTCGCGGACCTCACGTGAGAATACAGAAGCGAAGATTGGATTTCGAGGTCGGCGAAACCAGAACGCCAGAAGCCTATAGGGCGGCGCCAAATTAGGCTGCCTGTCAGTGCACTGGACTGGAACCAATGGGTGCACAGGTGGGTGTAGCCGCCCAAGCATTTTTCTATCACTCTACATTTCAACATTCCTTGAGAAATACTGTGTCGGCTATCTCTTGTTCAGTAGACTATACACCTGAGTATGTACTGGTTGTGAAGACCTCACCTTCGGTAGACATGTCAAGCTCCTCATCAACGACGCCCACACATTCTCGAGAGGCGCAGCGCAGCAGGGACCCGCGGCAGATACAGCGATTCCTTCCATAGCGGCATCATGCACGCTAAGATCTACGAGTCGAGACAAGCTCGCCCATCTTCGTCATCCCGCGATTCTCAGCTGCGAACAACACATCCAACCTCAATGAGACTACCTAGGTGGGACACAGGAGGTAGGTACAAGCGACACAGACATGGCAGAGGGTCGTACGGTTCCCTCTGGTGCCACCACACTCGCGTTTGGGGAATACTGTGTTGGTAGGTGTGGATTCGGCTACAGAGCGAAATGCAGGCTGCCACGTGCGCAGGTGGTGATTTATGCATGCCAAGAGTTTCGAGATCTTCAAATGCATTCCACCATTTCCTCCAACCACATCAACATGTATCATGGTCTGATATAATCCCAAGATGGCCACAAACGGGGAGCTCGGCGCAGCGCCTTCCGGTGCAACAGAGGCTGTACTGAAGCCTTCTGACCCAGTGCCTGAAGGCGCGATACCGATACAAGGGCTAGATTTCTCAGAATATGCCGGTCGGAATATCTCTGTCGCGGAGATGGTGGAGAAGATGGGGAGTATGGGGTTTCAAGCGACGAGTATAGGGCAGGCGGCGAAGATTGTGGACGGGATGGTAGGTAGGTATCTCCAAGAACACATCCCACAACTTATACTGAAGGATGATGTAGAGAACATGGCGCGACCCTGAGACGGGTTCAAAGACCACCATCTTCCTCGGCTACACCTCCAACCTCATCTCCTCGGGCCTGCGCGAGACGCTCCGCTGGCTCGTCCAGCACAATCACGTCTCCGCGATCGTCACCACCGCCGGTGGCGTAGAAGAGGATTTGATTAAATGTCTCGCCCCGACCTACCTAGGTACCTTCTCCGCCTCGGGCGCTGCTCTGCGAGAACAAGGCATGAACCGGATTGGGAACTTGTTCGTGCCGAACAGCAATTATCAAGCCTTCGAGGACTGGCTGATTCCTATTCTGGACGCCATGCTCGCGGAGCAGGAAGCCAGCAAAGCCTCCGAGGAACCCTTAGTCTGGACCCCATCGACCATCATCGCCCGCCTCGGCCGCGAAATCAACGACCCCTGCTCCGTCTACTACTGGGCCCACCGCAACAACATCCCCGTCTTCTGCCCCGCCCTCACCGACGGCAGTCTGGGCGATATGCTGTACTTCCACACCTTCCGCGCCTCCCCCCTCCACCTCAGCATCGACATCGTGCGCGATATTCGTCGAATCAACGACATTGCGATCAAGGCGAAGCGGACGGGCATGATTGTGTTGGGGGGCGGGGTGGTGAAGCATCATATTGCGAATGCGAATTTGATGCGGAACGGAGCGGATAGCGCGGTGTTTGTGAATACGGGGAATGAGTTTGATGGTAGTGATGCCGGGGCCAGGCCGGACGAGGCGATTAGTTGGGGGAAGATCCGGGTTGGGGGGGAGAGCGTGAAGGTGAGTGTTCCTTTCTACATGGATGATGGGGTGGATGTGGTGCTGACGTGAAGCTATAGGTGTACGGGGAGGCGACGATTGTGTTTCCGCTGATTGTTGCGGCTACGTTTGCGAAGGTGGAGGATGAAGCAAAGCCAGAGGGTCGAGAGGTTTAGCCCAGTTGATTTCTTGAGCCACAAGAGGTGCGGTGAGTCTATGGTGAATTGGGCTAGAAATCTCGCAGCAGTTAATACTGTCTTGACGATCACGTGCATCACAAAACCTGAGTCAAGCACGAATCAGACCCTGAATATCGTCTGGAGCTGGGCTAGTGGATTGTGGAGTAGCGGTGCAGATCAGCGATATCAATCAGGCTGGCGGCGACGGCGGCCTCACTCATGACCGACTTCTGCCTTGTGACTGTTCGCTATATAATACCGCTTGTACCCCCTCCCCAATGTGACAAGTCAGCGATCTCCACAGCACAGCGTCGAGTGTAACGACGACAGCCAAGCTCGAGCAATCACCTCTGAACCCACCATCTCGTTCTTCTTCCTTCGTCTTCACTCCATCTTGCCCTATTGTCGTGCTGCTATTGTGAGTCAACCTCTGATAGCCTGATCACCACTCTCGCCTCCACTTCTGCTTGACCATACAACCAGAACAAGCACCTGACAAGCAAGCAGACCACTTTACGACACGTCAACTGCAACCACCGAAAGCGAGATCACGAATTCACATGACACTCTGCCACGATGGCACACCCCCACCCGCCCTTGTCACCTTTCGATCCGACTAGCCGCTACTTCGGCTTCCCTCCCTCGACAAACCCAGCCCAAGACCTTCTTCCACCACCTCAGCCCGCCGACAACACCAACCCGGACAGCCATAGCCAGCCTGCGACCCAGAATCTAGACCGCCTCCTCGACCCTCTAACCATACCACCCGCCATCCCGCCGTTGCCAGCCATGTCGTCTCACGACCAGCCGCCAGCTCCGCCCGCGGAGACCGAAGGAGAGGGGGAAGACCACGCTGACCCTGCAGACCCAGAAGAACAACTCCACGACGAGTCACACTCCGACAGCGAAGACGAAGAAGAGCCACCGGAGCAGTTCCACTGGCAGCCCATCGAAGAAGACAAGAGCGAGCCGAGCGAAGACGAGCTGGCGTACATCGCCTCGCAGACCGAGCACAGCGCTACGGATCAACAGTACTGGGAGAAGAAGACGTTCTTTGAGCTGAACGATCCCGAGCTCGTGCCTGGTGAGAGCGGGAAGATTGACTGGTTGGTGGAGAATTTCAACGGCACGAAGGAGAACCCGAATAAGGAGGTTGTTATGAGGAGTCCGGTGGTGAGTGTTGGTGGTTATGACTGGCGGATCAAGTTCTATCCGAGGGGTAATGACACCGACTATCTGAGTCTCTACCTCGAGTGTGTGAGCATGCAGGCGGACGACTATGAAGGGAGTGAAGACTTCAGCGACGTCGCTCTGCCGTTCCTGAGCGAGGGCGATAAGCTGAAGAAGCAGCGAGCGGTGGCAGCACAACTCTCGATTGTCATGTACAATCCAGCGGAACCGCGCACCTACGAGTACCACCGCGACGCCCACAAGTTCACCAAAAGCAACGCCGACTACGGCTGGACACGCTTCTCCCACTTCACCCGCCGCGATTTCCACATCCGCAGACACACCCAACAGCGTCGAGCCATCCTCCGCGACGACAAACTCGCCTTCGCAGCCTACATCCGCATTGTCGACGACCCCACCGGCTGCCTCTGGGCCCACGGCACCGGCGTCTTCGCCGAAAGCGTCACCCTCACCGGCCTTCGCCCCTTTACACCGCAAATGCCCATGTTCGCCGCTGAACTCCCACTCCTCCACTTCGCGCCCTTCCGCAAGTTTATCTCGGGATGCAAGAACAGCACCAGGATAGTGTTCTGGATGCAGACGTTGCTCTACAAGATGCTGTCGCGGAAGAGCTCGACGAGCTACGGCGGGGCGGGGGAGGCGTGCGTGCAGAGCGATACGGTGGCGTGGTTGCGCTTTCTGGCGAAGTGTTTGCGGAAGGAGACGAGTCCAGCGGCTGTGACGGAGTTGGTGGGGAGTTTGGATCCGGAGAGAGGGGCGGCTGTGAGCTATAATCGGTTGAAGACGAAGAAGCATGCTTCTGTGCAGGCGGCGGTTGATGCTCACACGACTGAGATCGAGAAGCCTCTTTTACTCACACTGGAGCTCGAGCGGCAGGAGTTCGACCGCGAGAAGCGCCGCTGGGAGAAACTAACCAACAAGGTCGAAATGCAAGACGAGATCACCGTGTCCGGGACATCCTACACCCTCTACTCCTTCGCCACCCACAGCGGCGATCTCGAATCCATGAAATTCAACTCCTACATCCGTCCGAACGGCCCTTCGCGCCCCTGGTACCGCTACTCCGCCGGCAGCGTCACGTGCATGACGCACAAGCAGGCCGTGGGCAAGCACAGCGGGTACGACGAGCCGCCGTCGCCGATCAAGCATAAGCGCCCTTCGCACCGCAGCCATTACGCTGGAATGCGCGAGTTGTACCGCCAGGAGGAGGTAAATGAGGTCGCGCATGTGGTTATGTATGTGCGGGAGGATTTTGTGGGGTCGTTGACGGCTTTGCCGACGGTGGAGGAGTGGGTGGTGCCGAGGAATGTGGTGCAGGGGATTCCGCCTTCGTTGAAGGGCGTGGTGGATGATGTCCCGCCCGCGACGGCGGTGTATGAGCGGTTTTCGGAGCTGGAGGAACCTCCGCCTGAAGAGGCTCCTGTGGTTACTGAGCCGCCACCTCCACCACCGGCGTCCGATGAGCAGGTCCCTCCGCCTCTTGAAGACGTCGCCAGCCGTCGTCCCAGCCTCTCCGTCGACGCCGGCTCCGCGACACCTAATTGTTGGTTGATGGACGGCGAAGACGTCGTCATGTCCGACGCCGACTCCGACGCCGCATCTGTCTTCACCCCGGACACCAACCCCACCACCTCCCTCACCACCGCCGACGCCAACCCCCAAGACGAAAAACCCGAACTCACAACCATCGACCTCCTCGGCCGCGAATACTACCACGGCCCCTTACTCCACGGCCTCTACCACGGCCCCAACGCCCACCTGATCTCCATGAACGGCGACGAGTACCGCGGCGCCTTTCTTTCCGGCCAAAAGTCCGGGCAGGGCACTCTAACCTACGCCAGGAGCGGCGACACCTACACCGGCACCTTCGCCTCGGACCTCCGCTCCGGCACGGGCACGCTCGTGGAAAAAGCCTCCGGCAACGTCTACACCGGCGGCTGGGCGGACGACAAAAGACACGGGGAGTTTGTGCTCAAGGGGACGATGACGGATGATGATAAGGGCGTTTGTAGCGTGTGTTTTGACCGCGAGATTAGTACTGCGTTTGTGGATTGCGGGCATGTGATGTGTTGTAAGGTCTGCGCGGGCATGGTTGAGAGTTGTCCGGTTTGTCGGCGCAGGGTTGTGGGAAGGCTGGAGTTGTTTGGGGTTAGGTTGTTTATTGGTTGATTGCTTTGATGAGCACAGCGGGGAGGAGGGGGTGTGGAAGGAAGGTAGGGGATGGGGAGGGGAGAGGAGGAGGGCGATGGGGGATAGGGGATAAGTATGGTGGGGCAAGACGAGGAAGAAGTATGATGCACAACGACTCCACGACGAACGAGAACGAGAACGAGAACGACACGAACACGATGGCGTTTGGCGAACTCCCATGCACAACACCACAACGAGGACGACGGGGTACGGTAAGGAATGGTTCACAGGCGTCACAAGGTCTCACTGGGCAAAGGAGAACAAGGCGCAATGGTTCGGTTTGCGTTCGGGTATACGACCAGGGCCAGGCGAAGGCAAAGGCGCACGACACTACTCAGAAGATACCCCCCTTCGGATATGATATATGTTTAGTTTAGCGTGTGTGTGCAGATAGTATATTCAGCAGCCCACCCCCTCAGACCACCTCCACAAAAGCACTCGCACAGAGTAGATCCAACCGTAGGACCGTCGCGTCATTCCAACATCCATCATCCAGTACACTACATCCACACATCTACACCCACCCCTACCCCGGAATCATAAACCCGTCCCCGGCCCCCACCACCCCTCCCTTCCCCGTCCACACTTCCCCCATCGCCCGGTAGTGCTCCGCCGCATCTACATCCCGCCGCACAGTATGTCTCTTGCCCTCCTTTACCCCCCTCTTGCTATTCCCATAGCTCCCCGCAACGCAATGGTCGATGCCATTAAACGCCGTATCCGCCACCGTCTTCCACACCGCCGTCTGATCGACCGCCATCGCCGGGGTATAGTAGATCCTGCAGTCCGCGGGTTCGTAGACGAACTGCAGCGGGGTCTGACTCTCGTCGCCCTCGCGAATGCCGTCGCGGGAGTTGACGACGTAGTTCGTGCCGCGGTATAGCGGGAGGTCGGTGTAGTCGCCGAGCACGGTTTGGTTCTCGTAGTAGGCGTCGGAGTGGTAGTGCTGGATGATGAACGGCAGTTCCGTGCCGTAGAGGATATACGAATACGGGAAATCGTTCGTCCCCTTGACCCCGCCGACGGCTTGAATGATATCCTTGTTCGGACGACCCCCGAGCGCGATCGTGCGCACGTTGCCCTGCTGCCGCATCAACTCGGAGAAAATGGTGCAGGTGCTGGCGCAGTAGCCGTCGTAGACGATGACGATGTCCTCGGCGGCAAAAGGCTGCTGCGTGATGTTGCTGCGCGGGCCGTAGCCGGAGATGTAGATGCCGCCGCTGTTTAATGGCGTCAGGACGTCGGAGAGGTTCCAGCGGATGAGGGAGGTGAAGTTGTCGGGTTGGGGGCCGTAGGCGTGTGGGCCGAACTTCTCCGCCCAGCTGTCGAAGTTGTCGTAGTTGACGTCGACGTCGGTGCGGTAGTTCCAGGCGGTGGACTCGATGCCCTGGATCGTGGAGTTGGTCTGGTTCAGGCTGCGCGGGAAGAGGCCGGAGTAGTAGGACACTTCCTGCCCGATCAAGTCGAAAGCCTCGTGAGCGCGGAAGCGAGTCGCGCCGTACGGGAGAATGGACGGGAAGAGCTGCTTGAACAGATCATAGCCCTGCAGGATAGTCCCGCCGCCATTGGCGGAGACGTCGATGATGAGCTTCTTCTTGTTCCGGGCTTTGGCGAGGTCGAGGAGGAAAGTGTTGACGATCTGTTGACACATGTCAGTGGCAGCGGCACGTGGCGTGATTGCTGGGTTGACTGACCTGGAAGGGGAGCTCGTCGTCCTCTGAAGAGACGAAGCTCGGAACACTAAGCACAGCGACGTCATCGTAGCCTTCGCCTTCGAGGAAGTAGCCGGACTGCATACATGTCAGCTTCCATCTCTTGGAGAGTGATGAAGACATCTTACGTTGAGATTATTCGGCTCTCGAATGACAGGCGTAGGATATCCCGGCGCAGGGATACTCGTGGACATCGAGCTTGACGAGCTCGAACTCACGCTCGAAGGCGCCGCTGACGACGAGAAAGACGCAGTGGCAAGCTCCTCTGCATCCTCCGGCGGCCCCGGAGGAGTGAAGTACGTCTGGTAGATATCCTCTCCATTCTCGATCCCGTCAAATGGCACAAGCACCCTCGCGAAGTTCTCGTTCGTCACGCTCGAGCCGTTTGCGAAAGTCAGAGTAGTGTGCGGGCCAGGATAGACCCACTGCCCTCTTCCGCCTCCAGCGAATGTGCCTGCACCCGTCCCTGATGGACCCAGGGAGACTTGTGCGAGGAGGTAAAACATATTGTTCCAAAGCGCGTCTCTGTCTTGCAAACTCCCGTACTGAGAAAAGTTGAGCAGCCACTCCGTGCTATCCTGCCCGTCGATCTGGGCCAGTGGACTAGGCGTGAAGCTGATATTCCCGAACGAAGAGGCAAGGATGTCAGCGTAGACGTAGACTTCTGGAATGCTCTCGCCGTCTTTTGAGACGGAGACGAGGGGAGTAGTGCGACCCCAGGAGAAGATCAGGTTGGTGCTGTCGGGGTAGTAGACGAAGTGTCCGTCGTGGGAGCGCTGGAAGACGCGGTAGAGATCCCAGCCGAAGGCCCGTTCGTACGGGTAGCCGTTCGCCTTGGCTTTGTTGTAGATGCGCTCGTACTCGGCGTAGAAATCGTAAGGCGGCTGGACCTTCTCGGCGTACTCTGCGGGCGGTTCCTTGAGGTACTCGATCGTGGTCTGCCAGTTCAGGTAGGGTCGGATGGAGTCCATCAGCTCAACTGAACCAACGTTAGCACTCTTCTGACTGTGGGTAACCCAGTTGAACATACCTGCGGCAGAACTATTAAACGGCACACTAATTATACAATCCCAAGCCAGCGCAGCAGGAACTGAAGGCGTAGCATCTGCTCCAGCACTCCTGGTGTACGAACTCGCCAACTGCGAGACGCTCGCACAGGCATTGGCAGGAGCAGAGCTGTTGCCCGACGCAGAGGCGCTGGAGTACGAACTGGCGGATGCACTGAGCGTGGTAGTAGGCGTGGGACCGGTGGTGTATGGGACGTTGGTCTCTGCGGAAGACGCTACGGTGGTCTTGTAAGGCCAATTCGGCGCTGGGGCTGGGGGCGTGTAGACTTCTGGTTTGTGCCTGTATTTCGTCAACCTTTGAATCCACGCAATTCATCTATAGCCCTTGAGAAGGCTGGATCCAACTTACCATCCCGGATGCGGATTCTTATGCCACTCCCACTCCGGCTTCTTCTTCCCATACGGCGAAGCACTCGCCGCAGCTGCGAACGCAGCAACGACCAGGAACTGACGCATCTTGTCTTCCTCACCTTACACAGACGCACAAACCAGGAGAGCGAACAGAACGAGCAAAAAAAACCCGACGAACAAAGCGGACACACCAACCTACTTATCCCACGTAGACCATTGCACTTACAAGCCCTGTACCTGCATACACCATGCATATGATCACGCACCGATCCCCATCCAGCAGGTGGCAGTGTTCGCAAAGCGCAAGAAGAGGGGCCAAAAGGAACCAACGGGGCACCATTGCTATACACTTGGCTGAGATAGGCAGGCGACGCGGTGGAGATATTGAGGGTTGGTGCGATAAGTTGCCTAGATATGATGAGCTAGAGTGAATGACGATGCTGATCAACTGCTGCTGGGGGCCCTGCGGAAGGGGTTACATCCGGCTGAAACTGTGCTTGTTCTCTTACAAGATTCAGAGTCAGCCGAGGGTGGGGTGGCAGTGTCCTCTCGTGTTCGCGTTAGTTAGAGACTACGCATTGATTGCCTCATGGGAAAAGATGTCTCGATATTTGTGAGACACCTTTGCACGAGCAAGAGAAACGATGCTGTCGAAGAGAGAGCTCTCGGCACTCGGCAGACAAGAGCTGTCGTGGAGCCGGAAGTTGAGATTGAGCAGCGAGCTAGTCCTGGAGAGGAAGCTGCTTTGTTTTAAGCTTCTTTCGATGCGTGGGTGAAGGAAGAGGAGGGTGCTTGATCGCGTGGGCTATCAGCTATTCTACGGCTCTTTTCCTCCTTCGACGCTGCCAGTGTAGTCTTGGAGCTGATAAGCATTCCCACCTCGCATACTGCTCATCCACTGCCAGATAAGTCCCCTTGCGAGCTCGACACTCATAGGAGGTAGCATTACCGCAAAGCCCGATACCCAATATCCCTCCGAAACTGCATCCCCTCAAACTGTATGCACTTCACCCCCTCATACGCCCGATCCACCGCCTCCCTCAGCGTCCCACCCGTCGCTGTACCAGCAATGACCCGTCCCCCGCTCGTCTTGAGCTGTCCGTCGCTGCTGAGACTCGTGCCGGCGTGGAAGATGTACACGCCGTCTTCCTTCGGCTGCTTAACGCTCATCGGCGTGCCCTTTGGGTAGGAGCCCGGGTATCCCGCTGCGGCGACGACGACGGTGCAGGCGCTGAGAGGTGAGATGGAGAGGGTTTGCGATGCGAGTGTGCCGGTGCAGCAGGCGAGCATGAGTTCAGCGAGGTCGGAGTCCAGCAATGCGAGGCAGGATTGCGACTCTGGATCACCGAAGCGGACGTTGTATTCTAGCACTCGCGGGCCGGATTTGGTGAGCATGAGGCCGGTGAAGAGGCAGCCGCAGAAGGGGAAGTTTTCTTTGGCCATGGCGGAGATGGTGGGTTGGAGGACCGTCTTCTCGATGTCGTCGAGTAGTTGCTTCGAAGCGATAGGCGTGGGAGCGTACGTGCCCATACCGCCTGTATTAGGTCCGGTGTCGCCATCGCCTATCCGCTTGTGATCTTGTGCGGGAGGGAGGCTGAGGATAGTCTTCCCGTCTGATAGCGAGAGGATGCTGATCTCGTCGCCTTCGAGATACTCTTCAATCACGACGCTGTTTCCGGCGGAACCAAACTCCTTGTCGAGCATGATATCCTTCAACGCCGCTTGCGCTTCCTCCTTGGTGGTTGGGATGATGACGCCTTTGCCAGCCGCTAAGCCGTCGGCTTTGATCACGACGCTGTAGTCGATGGAGTCGAGATGCTGCTTTGCTGCGTCGTGGTCGCTGAAGTTCTCATATCGTGCTGTGGGAATGGAGTGGCGTTTCATAAAGTCCTTTGAGAACGTCTTACTGCCTTCCATGCGGGACGCTGCCTCGCTTGGGCCGAAACAGCGGATCTGCGACGCATGTTGCTTGAAGTAGTCGACGATTCCTGCGACTAAAGGGGCCTCTGGACCTGGGACGCAGAAGTTGAGGTTGTTGTCTTTGGCGTATTTGACGAGGCCTGGGAAATCATCGGCGGAGACGGATGTTATGTTGGTGCATTTGTTGAGACTGCGAGAATGTCAGTAAGATGTCTTGATCTCGTAGGTAGGCTTCAATGACCTTCAACGATCGACCACATACCCAGCAGTGCCTCCATTGCCCGGTACCACGTGAATACACTCAATCTTTTTGCTTTGCTCAAGCTTCCATGCTAAGGCGTGTTCTCGACCGCCGTTGCCTATTAGCAATATCCTTAGACGCGAGTCGTCTGCCATTGTGCCGTCTTGGTGTCTCAAATACTGTACAGCATCGACACGGAATTTTTGAAGGCGATTCCGAAGCGCACCCACGGCGGATCACATGTTCCGCGCGTCATGCCTGCGCCACACTTTGGAGCAAGCTGGAGTTCATGTTGCGGCGCAAGATTGAACCGTTCTCGAACATGATATACAAGTTGCGACAAGCCGCCCAAGTGTCTAGTATGACCTTCTAGCTGCGATCTGGATCCACGAGAACCAGGCACCGACAATCCTCAGCTTCAATCGCAACGCCCAGCCGGCTCACTGCCAGGAATAGCCAGGCATCAGCATAACCTCTACCATCTCCACCAGCGTCCACGTACTCTACAAGACCCATACCACATCCGGCGCCATGGTCACCAGAAAGCCCGTTGGGCCCCCGCTGTCTACCTCTTCCGTCCCTCCTCAGTCCTCCAACCCCGCCAACCCTCCATATCCAACAACACCCCAAGACTCGGCCAAGTCGACCGCGAGCTCGAACAGCATCTACTCGGCAGACCTGAAGAACAGTCCAGCGTTCGATCTGGTCGACGTGCAAAAGGCTCAGCAACGACATCGAAGCGACTCGGACGCTAGCTCGAACGGGACATGGGACTCTGACGACACGCTAGATCGGGATCACGACACGCCAGAAGAGACGGATGTGCCGAGGCCGTTGAATGTGCGAAGTAGTCAGCAAGCTATAGACAAGGCGACGAAGAAGGAAGAGGGTAAAGTTATGCTGCCGGAAAGTCTGAGGGTAGGCCCTCCAGCTGGTCACCCGAAACAGCGGACGTCGATGGAGGGGCAGCGGTATGATGATGAAGCACAATCAAATCCTTGGGCGGAGTCGGGTGTCACACCGCCTGCGGCGAACGGACGGCAAGAGTCGAACAATCCGTACATGCAACGGAACGGGTTCACGGTGGACGGGAGTCAGTCGGAATGGCAGGAGGTGAAGTCGCCTCAGATGCCCGGTGCTGCACCTCCGCCTGTACCTTCTGCTGCGCCGCCGCCACCACCACCTCCTGCAAATGCGCAAGCTCCGGTGGAGATGTCAGCAGTACAGTCGCCGCCAGCTTCCGAGGAGCAATTTCAGTGGGAGTCCGAGAGGCCGGTGACAGAACATCGGCCAGCGAGCTGGGAGACTGCTGAAATACTATCGGTGCCTCAGAGGGGACAGTCACCTTTCCCTCACCCCGCTGCAGCATCGTCTGCGGGTACTGATCGCCCAACCAGCACCTGGTGGCAAGACGGCCCTCAAACTGGACAACAGCCTAACATTGACCAGATGACGGCGCCCCCATATCCAGACGACTCAAGACCGCAGTCGGAGTATGCACCTCCCCCAGGCCCACCACCCGGACGTCAAGGGCCTCTCATCGACCACGAAGAGCCTGCAAGGCCTCCTCCGCCTGGCGTAGCTCCCATCGACACTTCTAGGCCCGTTGCAGCTGCTTCCTCATCAGCGGTTCCAGAGACACCGGGCACGCAGTTGAAGCATCAACGGAATCAGCACTATCAGATCAAGCATGCTAATTGGCTTGATGCACCTGCCGGACACAGTGCGAATAGCCGGCCGAACATGCGACGGTCGCCGGTACTTACGCAGAATGCAAACGGGCCGTGTCCGTTGCTTGCTCTCGTAAATGCGCTAGTGCTCAGTACGCCGCCTGAGTTGGATACCGCACTCATCGAAACTTTACGCACCAGGGAGCAGGTCAGCTTGGGACTTCTACTGGACGCCGTATTCGACGAGCTCATGTCCGGTCGACGAGGCGAATCAGCCACTCAGCTACCTGATGTAGGCGAGTTGTACTCTTTTCTTCTGGCTCTACACACTGGCATGAACGTGAATCCACGCTTCGTCACACCTACCTCAACACCGCGAGGTTCTCTAGACGACCGCGCTGAACTTCTGAATGGCGTTCATCCCACACACAGAGCGCAGAGAAAAGCTGGCGCATTTGAAGAGACCAGGGAGATGAGGCTGTACTCTACGTTCAACATCCCGCTTATTCACGGCTGGACAGCACCAGCTGACACACCAGCGTACGAGGCCTTTGTCCGGTCGGCGCAGACTTTCGAAGATGCGCAGAATATCCAGTTTCTCGAAGCTGAGCTAGAAGATAAGCTGAAGTCGGAAGGCCTGCCACCGCAGGAACAACAGACATTGCAGGATATCCAAACGATCAAGGCCTTTTTGGATACATGGCCGACTCAGCTAACGGACTTTGGTCTCCAGACGATATCAGAAAGCTTAATACCCGGTCAATTTGCGATTCTGTTCAGGAATGATCATTTCAGCACAATCTACAAGGAGCCCAAGCACGGTGCGCTGATGACGCTGGTCACGGATGCGGGATATGCGTCGCATGACGAGATTGTGTGGGAGAGCTTGGTCGATGTGAATGGTGCGGCAAGCGAGATGTTTAGTGGTGACTTCCGAGTCGTTAGCCATAACCAGGATGTGAGACTGAACCAGGGAAATACTGGCGGTGGGAATGAGGGGTGGCAGACTGTTGCCGGTCGGAATCGGAATCACGGGAAACAGAACAGTAATAGCTCCCTACCTCCAACGAACGCCCAAGCGCCACCCCTGCCCGGCCCACGACCCACGGCAGCCCCCGCATCCTCCTCTATCCCCGACGAAACTCCCCTGGACATCCCCTCGTCCGATCTTTCAAGAAAGACAAGCGAACAAGAAGACCACGACCTCGCCCTCGCCCTCCAGCTGCAAGAAGAAGAAGAAGACCACCACCGCCAAGCCGAACAACGCCGCCGCCGCGAACAAGAACTCTCCGAGCAATTCCTCTCCAACGAAACGGAAGGCCCGCGACCAGCCGTTCCTCCTCGACGCACTGGCGGGCGAACGGGCGGAGGGCCTACCACTTCTGCTGCTGCTGGTGGAAGGACGACGACGCCTTCGGCGAGACCGGCCGTGAGCAGACCAGCGGATAACCCCGAGGACCCGGAAGCCCCGCCGTCGTATGAGCAAGCTGCTTCGGACCTCCCGTACCGTCCCGCGGGTTCGACGGCGAGCGGGAGTATGGCGCAGGGGAATCCTTTGGGGGCTTACGATGCTCTTCGACGCCAATCAGGTTATCCTGGTAGTCCCACTAGTCCCGTAGCTGGGGGGAGTCCTGGTGCGGGCCCGGGGATGGGGAGGAGGGGGCGGAGGGTTAGTGGGATGAATGCTGCGGGACAGGGACAGGGGCAGGGGCAGGGGATGCCGGGGAGTTGGACGCAGAATGGTGTGCAAGGGCAGCAGGGGCAAGGGCAGCAGGGGAGGGTGCAGGGCGCGGCGGGAGTGAAGGATGCGGAGGAGAGGTGTGTTGTTATGTAATCACGTTACGCTTCACGAGGTCATGGCTGGACGGATGGTGTTTGGATGAATGAATGGGCGCTGGGGATACCCCATTCTTGAATGTAAAGTATCGAGTTCACGAATTGTCTCTCTACGATTCACAACCGCTTGTTCAACGTGTTCCTCGTTGCTGCAGCAGTAAGGTTTGCTAGAGACCGTTCAATGTCAGCGCGCGGGCCGTGGTATAGCCAATTGGTGTACGACCACCTTGACGAGAAACGTCCTCCACTGAACACACTTCAGTACAATCGAGGGTCTTCTAAGATGATAGACGCGGCGTCTGTAGAATAAACACCAGTACGAGCTCTCGTCTATCGAACCAGAATGGCTCTGAACCATGTTATCAGCTCGACCGACAAGGTCACGAAAACTACCAGACACTCCATATTGCGCTGTGCTGAAATTGCTGCTGCTGCATCTACGCTTCCCCAATTTCTACTAGTACAGCACGTCGTAGGTGGGGGAGGTGGTGGTCGCAAGTGGCGTACCGGTCAACAGCGAGAGAGAAGGCACGAAAAGTCGGGAGAAGGAATTGAGCGGGGGATCTTTTTTTTATACGATGTCTGAGGTGGACGCGAGCTAGCGTGCCTCCAAGCGTGGCCAATCAACGCGGCATGCCTTGCCGTGTCCAAAGAAGCTCGAGCAAAGGAGGGATTAGATCTCTGCTTGTTTCTTTCGACATTTGTCCTCTGAACGAACACCAGCTCGCCCTCCGCCTGCCCAACCAGAATGGCCGTGGAACCCGTCGCCGGCTCTGCTCACCACAGCCGCACTCGAGGGTAGCCGACTCGATGGCATGGACCAAACAGGCACTTCCGGCAACCGACGATACTCCCTCGTTGGGCGATGGTGGAGACGGCCATGCAATCCCAGAGCGCGTAGCGATATGGGCGAGGAGCCACAACGACGGCGTTGTAGATTGTGTTCTCTGCTGCTCGCAGCGGCTTTTGACCCGTCACGTTTTGTCTTCGCGCTGAACGAAAGCCTCGAGTTCGCCTTGGATCCGGGATCCTTCTTGTATCTTGAGAGGTGGGAGAACCGTTTCCTTGGTTCTCGACAATTGTTCTTTGGACAAACATTAGCGCAGGCTCTGATCTAGCCAACCAGAGCCGCTCCAGAGCGTCTTCGCCTTAGCTGGCTGGTCGAAGCCTGTATCCTCTGGGTGACAAGATCGTCGTGGCAGGGTAGAAGGGATGGAGCTCGCTAATAGGTGGTCTGAGTAGACCAGTGTCGTTTGGGTTGTGGCTATCCCAGCCCCTTGTTGTCCCCGTGGAGAGGGCAGCGATACGAGACTGCTGCTGACATGTTCGCAGATTTCTCTCCCATTCTTTCTTCCGTTGATGAAGATCAATGGCTTCACCCTCATCAACTCCACGTCTTCAGGACGCTCGACAATAGTGACGCCGATCATTAGTCGCTGTCCGCCACCGGAAAGACAGCTTCATGCGTCCCGGCTTGCACTCTCGCTCGCCAATAGACCATGCGGTAGATCCGTCGTACTCGTCAATTCACTCTCCACTCCGCCTCGAAGCCCCAGCCCCAAAAACCCCATACTCCGTCTCCTCCTCCATCCCCTCCTTCTGCGAACCACTAATACTGCCCGTCGCCCCCATCAAACTGCCCTCATCCCCTTCCCCCTTCTCGGCATACAATGCCCGCGCCAGACTCGCAACATGCCAGCACTTATTCCTCTCCCCCGCATCACGACTCCTGTTGCCCCCTGCACTCATCAAGCCGGTTAGCTGTCTAAGCTTACTCTTCCGGCGCGCATGCATGGCGTCGTGGAGCAGTTCGGAGATCTGTTCTTTCTCCTCCGCGGTAGTCAGGAGTTCTGGCTCGCGAAACCCAAGACTAAGCGGCGTGTTGCCTTCGGAAGTCGTAGCGTGCGGCGAAGCGCCCCGTCCGAGCAGCTGTTCGACGATCCGAAGACGGCCGTGGAAAGCGGCGTAGTGTAGCGGTCGCCAGGACTCGGAGTCCGGCTCGTCGATCTTGGCACCGTTTGCGATGAGCATATTGGCGACTTCGTCGTGCCCAAACTCGATCGCCAAATGGAGAGGGCGAGCTCCGGCATGCGGCCAGCGGATTTCAGCCCAGTAGCCTTTCCTTGCCGCATCGTTCGTTTTCTTCGCGGGCTTGAAGTCGGGAGAGCCCAGCTTGTCTTCCGTATTGGACGAGCGGACGAGGAAGCCAGCTACCAGTGCGGTGTGGCCGTATGCGGCGGCAATGAGCATAGGGGTGTAGCCGAAGTCGTTCACTTCGTCCAGCTTAGCACCTTTCTGCAGAAGTGCATTCGCGACCTGCGAATCTCCGACTCGTGTAGCGTGATGTAGCGGCTGTTGGGAGTTGACGTCTTCCACGGAGACATTCGCGTCCTTGTTCCGAATCAACGCAAGAGCGGTCGCTGTGTGCCCAGCTCGTATCGACAGATGAAGCGCCGTCTCGTCATCCTTCTTCGTCGTCCCCTTCCACGGGAGTTTCCACGCCAGCAGCTTCTCGACCATGGCTGTTTGGCCATGGTATGCAGCGTAATGCAAAGCCGTCCAGCCATCGGGACTGCGGTCCTTAAGGTTACATCGATGAGCAACCAGAAGATCAAGCATGGGCACAGATCCCGATATCGCAGCATATGCCACAGGCTTCCACGACTCCTTAATCTTCTTCGGCTTGACGCCTCTGTCGATGAAAGCTCGCGCCGTAGCTACATTGCAGGACTTGGTGGACTCGAGAAAGCCATCAATGAGCGCCACAGCGTGCCCACCTTGCGCAGTCCAGCAGTTCAAGAGGCAGTCGACTGCTTCGAAGTGGCCACCATACGCGGCTATCTGTAGCGGCGTTTTACCTTCTCTGTTGTACTCTTCCAATTGAGCACCAGCCTCGATCAGTAGGAGGCAGATGTCTACATCGCCTTGAAAAGCGGCGTAATGAAGAGCAGTATTTTGCTCGCCGTCTTTGAGATGCAGTCGACAGCCGGCTTGTAGGAGCATCTGGCACAGCTGGACTCGACGAAGACTAGCTGCTTCCATTATCGCTGTGCGCCCAGTGTCCGGCTCGGTCTCGTCGATTCCCACGCCCGCCTCGAGCATTTTCTGCAGGGCTTCGAAATGGTTCCCGCGAATCACCTGAAATATGCCGTCGGGCTGCGGGATTTCATACGACACACCACTGGACCGCCTCTTCGGATCCCGAGGTGGTATAGATGGTGGTAACGAGTAAGGCGGCGGGCTCTGCTTTTCATCATGCAATTGGAGACTCTGCGTGTCGTCGGCCAGATTGCTCAACGAGTACGAGGCTTCCCTGAACAGGTCCTGGGTGCTCGATGGCGACCGCAATGCCGCCCGAGTTGAATTCATCCTGGGTACAGCGGAGGCGGGCTGGATGGATGAGCCTTCGGATATGGATCCTCGACCGACCGGCTTTCTGGCGATTTGTTGGTGGACGACCATGGTCGGTGTCGTGGACCTCCTGGTTGGTAGCTTGGGGGGCCGTTCTGGCACAGTGCTGCTGGAAGATGCGGTGGCATTGCGGTCTGGAAATGGCAAGCTCACTTGGCGATGCTGAAAAGACTGTCGGCCGGCACTGGAGTCCTGTGGCACTCTCGAAGAGCCTGTACGCTCGCCATGCTGCGAGAAATGCAGCTCACTGCGGTCTCGTGAGCCATTGGCAAAGCCCGTATCCTCGTCGAACAGTGAACTCTCCCACGAGGTCTTGCGCGGCATCGACCGTCCAGAAGCCATTGCAAGCTCTACCTTCACGCCAAAGTGTCTGGTCTAGAAGGATTTGGCATGTTTATCGCTGCCGGCACGCGATCAGGCATCAGGATAAAACCAGGCGCATTGGTTCTGCAAGATGCTCCGCCGCAGTGACATGGGGGACGGATGCAAGCCTCTTCACTGCGCGAGTGCTCTGTCCGTACGCCAAGTGGGTCCATTGAGACTACCGTACCGTTGAGGACGAGACGAGGAGAACTTTGTCAAGAAAGGTGCCATTCTAGAAGTCCTGTCCTGAGTAGCGACATCGACTTTGTGTTATTCAATGTTGGCCAAATACTGGAGCGAGCTCATGTAGCTGCAGATGTAAAGTGTTTCAGAAGGCGCCACCCCGTCATGTTGCTATTTTCGAGTACCAATGGTATCATGCGCATGCAGGAACAGGCTGCCATATACCATGTTAACCATTGCATGTACTGAGATATGTCGTACCTCATCAAGTCGTAAATGCGTGTTGAAACGTCCAAGAGCCTCAAACTCATCGAGCTTCCCACTCACCGAGCCTCCAACTCATCGTAAATCAGTGACCGCACCCTCCTTCGCTTTCACAGTCTGATATCCGCCTGGTTGAACAAGCCTCCTCCTCCCCACCCCTCAATCTCTCTGCAATCATTCTCAAGCAATACTACTCTCCTCAGTCTTCACCACCCCATCCTCCTCCTCCCGGCCTCGCGCCTTCCTCAACTTCCTCCTCTTAACCCCCTTCCACGCCTCCACCAACGCAACAAAACACACCACACTCCCAAACACCAGCCCCCACTCCCAACTCAACGGATGATGTCGGAAAACCGTCTGGTTGATGACGGGAAGATAGATGATCGGGAAAGGCGTCACCATGCCGGCGAGCACGGCGAAGAACAAGAAGCGGTTCTTCGTTACGGTCGAGAAGACGGACGTGAGGCCGGGTTTCGTGGGATCCATGTTGAAGAGGCCGAGGGTGAGGTGTTTTGCTTCCAAGGCCATGATGGCGAGGAGGACGGTGAGAGTCGAGTATGCCGTCCCGCGGGCGCGGTAAGTGAGGCTGCAGGTGTCGTTGTAACTCTCGTTGCAATCGAACCCCAGATCTCCATCGCCAACGCCAAAGACCACGATCACGTAGTTGACGAGACAAAGACAGCCCATGAAAGTGCCGTAGATGAATTTATCCGTGATCAGTTCCCTAGTGAAGACGCCGGCTTTGAGGGAGTGCGGTTTGCGAACCATCACGTCGGCGGCGGCTTGCTCCATGCCCAGGCCGATGGCGAGGAAGGAGGACGTGATGAGGTTGGCCCAGAGGATTTCGATGGGTGAGAGGGGGAAGACGCTGTTAGAGTCGCGGTCCTGGAAGGCGAGGCCGACGAGGAGGAGAATGACTTGGGAGATGTTGGAAATGAGAAGGTGGAGGAGGAACTGTGTGCAGGTTAGCCTAAGCGCTCGTGTTGTCTGGAGTAGGATGACTGACCTTCTGGATATTGTCGAAAAGCCTCCTTCCCTCTCTGATCGCCGAGACGATGGAGGCGAAGTTATCGTCGGTCAGCACCATATCTGCCGCTTCCTTGCTGACATCACTGCCGTTCAGACCCATGGCGACACCAACATCCGCACCTTTCAGCGCAGGAGAGTCGTTAACACCATCGCCCGTCATGGCGCAGAACCTGGAGCGGCGATGGAGTGCGTGGAGCATGCGTAGCTTGGTCGTAGGACTACATCGAGCAAGTACAAGCGGCAAGGTTTCGAGGTCGTCAAGCTCATCGTCGGAGAGCTGGTCGAATTGGTGAGCTGTCATGACAGCAGAACCAGTATTCGATCCGGCTACGTGCGAGCCAAGGATGCCAATCTCCTTTGCGATGGATGTGGCGGTCTTGAGATGGTCGCCGGTGAGCTAGAGATCGCAGGTTAACAATGTCTTGGAAGATGAACGGGCTTCGTGTGACATACCATATGCACAGTGATACCAGCCTGCTGGCACTGCTTGATAGCACCAGCAGACTCCATGCGAGGCGGATCGTAGAGTCCAACCAGACCAGCAAAAGTGAGTTTGTTCTCGACAAACGCTCGATCTTTCGCAGATTCCGAATCGGCAGAAGACAGCTCACGATAAGCCAGACACAAGACTCGCAGACCAGTCGAAGCCATCTCATCCGCGCGAGCGAGGATGTTCTTGCGAACGTCGTCCGAGATGGTCATGAGCGGCAAGAGCACTTCCACGGCTCCCTTGGTGAATGCAATCATTTGCCGTTCGTTGTTCCTCTGGAAGATAGTTGTCATACGTTTGACCGAGGAATCAAACGAGTGTTCCGTGACGGAGCTCATGCCCTCGCGTTCGACCACTTCCTTCCTGGCGTGACCAGCACGCATGGCCATGACCTGAAGTGCAATCTCTGTGGGTTCCCCGGTAGCGGTCCAGGTTGGTTGAGCATTTGCTTCGTCTTCCGTCTTCTGGAAAACATTTGATAGATTGCACAAAGCCATGGTTTGGAAGAACATGCTCAGCTCCACGTCCTGTTGCACACTTTCCAGAGAAATTTTGGAGCCTTCGGAGGAAAGCTCGCCAGAGGTCGGGTCGAATGGACTCGTCTCATTCGCAACCGCCAACATCTTGCCGCTCGGCAAGAAAGCCTTCCTTGCCAACATCTTGCCCTGTGTGAGCGTTCCAGTCTTGTCAGAGCAGATGTTCGTAACTCCTCCAATGGCCTCCAGAGCGCCCATCTTCCTGACAATAACGTTTCCGCGCGCCATAGCTTTGGACCCAATAGCCATAGTGATGGTCAAGACCGCGATAAGACTCTCCGGTACCACCGCCACCGCGACACAGATACCGTAGATCAAGGTCTCATCGTCAATGTCCCACAGACTGACCGAGAAGACGATGATGGCCAGCAGAATGGCCAAGGCGAACAAGAAGAGCGCGAACCAGGAGAGCTTGACTTGCAAAGGAGTGCCGACAAGACCAAGCGCGCTCTTGGTGGAGCTTCCGATCTTACGAAGGGCACGCTTGAAGAACGATTCCTCCTTGTTAGCAATCTCCTTCTTTGCACGCAGCAACTGAGCAATCTTGCCAATCTCAGTGTGCATGCCGATGCTGATGACGATGCCCGCGCCTCGTCCGCGAGTGACCACGGTGGAGGAGTAAGCGATGTTGATGCGGTCACCAGCAGGCACGTCCACTTCATCCAGAACAGCGTCGGCATCTTTGGTACTCGCCTTCGACTCCCCAGTGAGCAAGGCCTCGTCGGTAGCTAAGTTGACGCCGCTGATCAAACGAAGATCTGCAGGGACGATGTCGCCGACGGTGAGCTGGACGAGATCCCCCGGTACCAGCTCTTCGGCCTTGATAGTCGTCATGGCACCTTGGTCCCGGATGACCTTACACACCGGTGCAGCCATTGCCAGGAGCGATTGGATAGTCTGTTCGGCGCGGTAGTCCTGGAAGAAGCCGACGACCACGTTCAAGACGATGACAGCGGTGATAACACCACCCTCGATAAAGTCGAACGTGCCGAAGCTGATGGCCATGGCGATGACCAGGACGACAGTGAGACTGTTCGAGACCTGCTGCACGAGGATTTGCCACCATTTGGTGCCTCCAGAGGTCTCGAGTTGGTTCTTGCCGTACTTCTCATGTCGGGCGACAGACTCTTGAGTGGTCAAGCCAGTCCTGATATACTATTAGCATTCCCATCTCCCCTCACAGTTGGATGTTAGTACTCACTCGAGACTGGTCTGCAGCTCACTGGCAACATCGGCACGTGCTAAGGTGTGAGCACGACGATTCACATCCCCCTCTCCATCTCCATTCTTCAATTCAGATGTATTTCCCAAGCGAGACTCGCCCGCCGACCGTTCATCAGTCAGCTGTATGGACGAGCTCGCGCTCGGTATAGGCGGCGGGTCGTCGACATTGTTGCCGCCCTCGTCTGCAGCTGGCTTGACGCCAGAGTGGTCATCAAAGTTGCCACTTTTAATGCCGCCATGCAGGGAGGGTTCTTCCATCAATTAACCGTCGAAGTTGTTGGTGGTGTAAGCGAAAGTACGTCTAAAGATACGTAGACTTGAGGAAGTGGAAGGATTAGGAAAGCGTTCGAAGTTGAGGTGCGGAGCTAACCTATATAGCACGACAGGGTGGAGCTCGCCATCCCGCAGCTCGTAGACATCTCGTGCCTTGGAGCGTCTTGGGGCATGCATGGAGATCTTGGCGAGGAGAGGCGGGTTCTGTACACTTGTCTCGCTGTCCGCCTCCGTCAGCATCCGATCACTGATATCAGCCTGCACGCCCCGCTTCCTTCTGCAGCAAGGGATGTTTACGATGCCCCATATACCTACGTGATATCCTCAGAATGCAGCCTTTCATGAATCGATATCTGCCAACATCCCGCGGACGGGCATCATCACTCCCAAGAAGACCAAGACGTGGCGAGAGCTGTGAGGTCCGCATCCAAAACTCAGCCACTTTTTGAATCGACTCATCATCAAGACGATATCAAGGAATGCACAAAGCATGGCGCCGTCACTTCAAGTGAGACGTCGCCACAGCACGAAGGGAAGGTTTATAACGCTGCCACTGTCCCGCAGGATGGCACATGTTCTTGTTATTAGCGTGAACGTTTGTCACGTGGTTCGGCTTCTGGAGCGATCGCGAGTCCGAGGTCAAGGAAGAGACCCGCAGTAAGCGTGGAAGGATGCAGCAGTATCTGTGGCGAAACACGCAGTATCTGAACTGCGAAAAGCCCGCGGAAAGACTAGTACCGCTCGACACTTTTCAAGTCTGCCTGATAGCAACAAACCCTCCCGCGCTATCATCAAACGTCCCCGTAATCTTATCAAACGCCATACACTGCCCGATGTAAAACCGCACCCCGACGCAATAAAAAATGCTATAAGCATCGCAGTAATCCAGGCAGGCTGCGAAGGACTCGGTGTCTGCCAAAGAGGACTCTAGTCAGCCGCCGGAGCATCTTGTCTCTACGGTGTATGGTGGAAGTACTCACAGACTCGCTTCTCCTTCTTCGGCCTCAGAAACTTCCGTCCCGAATTGGTAATCACGATACCGGAGATGTAGGTGTTGCACAAGATGCCATACACGTTGCCGGCAGCATCAACGCACTCCTGTCCGTTCTGCGACGGGCAAAGAGACTCTGAGCAAGGCGGCATCGGCGTTGGGGTTGCAAAGGTAGGCGCTTGCCAGAGTGTAGTTGGTGTCGTGACGGTGTATGCGTATGAATAAGAGATGGATGAGAGAGCGAGGGCGTTGGCTGTGACGCTGTAGGTGTATGTCGATGTCGTCTTGCTTTGGCTTGGGACGGCGGCTGTCGTCTGTTAGACTAGTTGCAGAGCGCCGTGAAAGGCCAACTTACTGAGGGTGACGGCTGCTTGGGCAAAAAGTGAGAGTCTCGCAAGAAAGATGCAAAGAAAGATGGACACCCTGAGGATAACCATGATGGGTATGATGTCGAAGCAACGATAAGCAGCCTCTCGTGGTGTTGGAAGAACGTGTCGAAAGGTGAGGTCGCCCGGTGTTTTGGCCACCACGCATCGGAATGTAAGGAATGCATTACTGCCAACCCTAGCGGAAATAGCTCAGGACGAAGGGCATCTGAACCATCCCGATGAGAATGCGAACCCAGATGTCCAAAATGGTATACGGAAAGTCTGGATAATGGTGCTGCATCCATGCCAGGCCTCTGCCGACCGTGTACCGAACCATCCACCCGATTGCTGAAGTCACCTCGCCCAGGAAGATGCTTCGTAGCAGTATGTTGTTCTTCGTGCCGTTGTAGCGATCGCGTTCTTCGAGAACGTTGAGCGCGATCAATGATACGAGTGTGGTGACCGCCGCTGATACATATATCCATATCTTCCGTCGTCGGAAGCGTCCTCTCAGATCGATGGTAGCGTGGGCTTCTGGAGGGTCTGGTTCTTTCTCAAGGCCAGCTTCTTCGTCGCTGCCTGCGAGACGGCGGTAACGGAGGCCCATGGCCTTCAGGTTTGGTCGGTGTTCGTGGAGTGCGTCGTGTTAGCTGGGTAAAGGCTCGGTGTTCTGCTTGCTGTCTGTTGATGGATGGGACGGATGCATCTCGCCAGCAATCGTGAGGGTCCAGAGGTTAGAGACGTCGTGCGCTTGCCGTAGATTGATCGTGCGGAAGGCGTCAGCCAAAGTCTGGTAAGCACGATTCGATTTGATGCGAACCACGGCGATCCTAGTGGCCGCAACGACGACCCAACCTAATGCTTCTCACGATGTTTTCCCCGTTTTTGAGCAACGACAGGACAGAAGATACCTGTAAGCACACGTCCTCTGACGGACCCGACGCATCTCAACCGGTGTCCTTGAAGACGACTCGACGATGAAGTCGTACAGCTAGCTTGTGATGGACGGTCGCGTTCATACAGCACTTGTTTGCTCGTCCCAAGGTCCTAAATCTGTATGCAGAGTAACAGTCCGCATTCTCCAAACACGACGGTTCGTTCGATTGGCCGAAGGCGCCGCGCAGCTAGTCCATGTCGCATGTGACTCTGCATATGACCATGCAGGCGTTCAAAGCCAATATAGCGGCTGAGTAGGTTGAGCATGTGGTAATTCTTGGTCCTCGCCTTGCGGACCGGCATCAATACCATCGAGCATTTCGTGTGCCTCAAATGTACCATCTCAGGATGGCTTCGGCAAGTAAACTGCCGTAGAATGGTCGGCCATCGTAACTCGCCAACAAGTCATTCGTTCTTCTTGAGAAGAACCCCAGCCTTGTCGAGAACTGTTCTGCGATGATAGTGACCTTGCTGGATCCGGCGACAGTCCGAGACACGACTGTCGTGCAGCCGCGAGGTTTGGCACCAAGAACCTTCAACGTTGAAGTGGTTAAATGCCACCATCCTCACGTCTTGAACCCCCGAAACACCGGCCCCTTCACCCTCCCCCTCGAATCAAACCTCACCCCCTCCTCGCCCAACAACCTCCGCTTCTCACCCGCAAACTTCCCCTCCTCTCCCCAAAACCCATTGAACCCCCCAATCGAACCATCATTCGCCACAACCCGATGACAAGGCACTTCCGGCGCGAAAGGGTTATTCCTCATAGCGCTTCCAACAGCACGAGCGCAGGTTTTGTGAGAGATTGCAGTGACGTGGTCGCTGAGGGCTTGGTAGGTGCTGTAGCGGCCGCGGGGGATTTGGCAGAGGAGGGTGAGCATGTGTTTGCGGAAGGGGGTGAGGGTGGAGGTGGCGATGCGGTGGAGTTGGGGGGCCATGTTGGGTTGGTCGCCTTCCGTAGTGCTAGACCTTGGCGATTTCTCGTCGCCAGCATCAGTGTCATCTTCAGCCTTCGCACTCTCGACCTTCTGAGGCGAAGTAGGCGAAGGCAAAAAGTACCTCGAAATCGTCCCGTCCTCACCCTTCCGTTGCCTCTTCGTTTCACCATCCCCAACCCCATCCGCACTCCCACCCTTCCTCTTCACCCCCTTCCCCATCTTCCCCCTCAACCCCAAACTCCTCCCATCCATCTCCACCAAATCAACCTCCCCACTCACAATACCCTCCGCCATCCGAATCGCCACCTCAAGTTGCTGGGCACTCATATGCTTAACCGCAGGCGCCTTGACAACTTCCGTCCACGGACGATCGATGCCGACGGCATTATCGAGCACGATACGCGCGAAGCAGTGGTCCAGATGAACGGGCCAGGATTTCTGCGCTGGGTCGTGGGATTTGGCGAGAGCTGGGAGGCGGGCGCGGTAGAGGGACGTCCAGCGGGCGCGGAGGCCTTCTATGTCACGTTCTTCTTCCTTCTCCATAGCGGAAGAATTAGTCTCTATCAAACTGGTGGTGTTTTGCCCGGTATTGAGGGACAAGACGTAGAAGGAACATCGAAGGTCGCGAAAGACGACGCGGTATTGTCGCCACCGCACGTGCCATATACCTCACCAACAATACATATACTTCAGTACCGCAGATATACTACTATCAGCCGACAGAGATGCACGGGAGAAAGAAGAACAGGAGAACAACAGAAAATCTCCATTCATCTATATCGAAGCCTTCCCCGCTCATAGCAACTCCACCACCCCTCCCACTCCCCACCCTCCCAACCGAAAACACACCGCTTGCTCAACTGACTTCGTATTTCGTTTTTCATCCGCGTTGCGCCGACCCATGCATACGCGCAGCAGCAGAAGAACGTGGTATCATTTGAAAACTCCTCGGCTTCATCTCAGCGGTCCGCACCCGCAGACACACAGGCGTGGCAACCTGGCTCCAAGAAAGTGTCTGCGAGCGACTTTTACTTCCCTCTCCCTCCCTTCCTCGCTCATAGCAATGATCATCCTCCCTCTCACTCATGCACCACCTCAGTGCCCCCCGCCCTTCCTAAACCTCAACAACTCGCTCAAACTCGCCAGGCTACACCCGTGCATCAAAAACTCATGCCTTCCCAGCTCCTCCGCCGTCGCACGGCTCTTCACATCCACGCACAAACACACGCTCAAGAAAGCCTTGAGCTCCTTACTCAACTTCTCCGGCTTCTTCAGCCTCGGCGTCCCGTTCGTCGCAATCAGATACAGCGCCTTCAGCGGCTCCTCGTTAAGGTATGGCGGCTCGCTCTCGATCATCTCGATGGCCATGATGCCCAGGCTCCAGATGTCGACTTTGTTGCCGTATTCCTTCTGCTTGACCACTTCGGGCGCCATCCAGTAGGGTGTGCCGACCATGGTGGCGCGTTTGCTGCGCTGCTCGGTGAGTTTGGCGCAGAAGCCGAAGTCGGTGATTTTGACGGCGCCGCGGGAGGAGAGGAGGACGTTGTCGGATTTGATGTCGCGGTGGATGATGTTTTGGCTGTGGAGGTGGATGAGGCCTTTGCAGGTCTGTCGCGAGAGAAGTTGTTAGCATATGTTCAATTCTGTGACTGGTAGACAACTCACCTCCAGACAGATAGTAGCAATCTGATCCTCCGTGATCGTCTGGTTGTTATCAATAACATCCGTGAGCGCACCGCCCTCCATAAACTCCATCACCACCCACAGCTCGTACGTGTCCTCCTGCAAGAAGGCGTCCAGGAAGTTGACAATGTTGTCGTGCCGGCTCTCCTTCATCACGATGATCTCGTTCACAATCAACTCCTTGCGAGGCTGCGATCGCAGATCCATCTGCTTGATCGCCACTTGCGCCCGCGGGCCGTACATCTTCGTGATATCCTGCGCGGTCTTCGAAGGCGCATTCTCGCGGATGCGAGCAACGTACACCGATCCTGACGCACCCTGTCCTATCTTCTTCTGCTTGTTATAGCTTTCAAGAGGGTTAGACAGGTTCACGACGGACCGCAAGCGCTCCATGACCTGGGCATCAGACATGGCGCTCATCCGCACTTCTTTCTCTTTCTTGTCAGCAGCCGGATCCTTCTTCGTGAGAGCTGCTTCAGCAGCTTTGACTGGATCCTTGGGCGCGCCTGTTGGCTGCTTTGTCGCCACATTGAGAGGCTTGACCTGTTGGCCGCCAGACGGCTGTGGTTTGTGTGTATTGCCAGATCCAGATGGTTTGCGGGTAAGAGGCTGCTGTTGGTAGTCTCGTGGCTGGCTCTGGCCATTTGCCGGTGACGGCCCGGGTTGCTTGACCGCGTACGGTGAAGTGCCATTCGCGGACGGCTTCTTCTGCGGCGACTGTCCATTCTGTTGCTGGCCTGGTGGCGCTGGAGCAGGGCGAGATGCTTGCAGACTCCTAAGCGGCAATTGACTGCCCTGCTGTCCGTTCTTCGATTGCGATGGTGTCGGTGGTGCAGGTCGAGTCGCGTTGTATCTGCTATTCGACTGGTTGGGACTGGAGTCGCGGCCATCTGAACCGTAGCCGCCAAGCTCCTGCTTCGCGAGCGGAGTCTTGCCTTTCGGTAACGACTCGTTGTACTCGCGGTCTTCTTGTTCCTGTCGCCTCCTTCGCTCCGCATCTTCTTCTCGCCGCCGCTTATCGGAATCAGCGCGTCGCCTCTCGTCTTCCTTCCTCCTTCGCTCTTGCTCATCGTTGCGTGGGTCCAGCGAAGACACAGGTGCAGTGTCGGCTCGCTTCGGTGGGCCGTACCTGTCCTGCGACTGATCTCTCGAGCCTGCGTATTGCCCCCCTGGCGTTTGGCTGCCGCTGCGACCACTGTTGTAGCTATCCTGTCGGTTGAATGCAGGTGGCTGCGGTCTCGGTGGTGCTACACTGTTACCAGCTGAGTATCCAAGCTGCTTCTCGCGTCCGCTGTCTACAGGTGGCGTGGGAGTGAGCGAAGGGTATGCCTTTGGATCTTCGGCGCGAGGCGCGAGCTTGTCGGAATAGAACTGGAGGACCTCCATGACGGCTTGAGGGTTCTTAGCCATGTCATCTTTCGTCAATGCAGAGCCCTTCAGCAGCCGTTCCCACTCCACCGGCAGCCCGACAAAGCCTCCTGTAACCGGGTCGAAGCCAACGTGTACGCGATGCGAGAAGCCAGTTGGGTGGGACACGCCGCCCATGCTCGGGCAGCGGTCGTAGATGCTGTCCATCCAGCCGTATACATCATTGTCTGTGTCGAACTTCAAGATCCACACCTTCTGATCCTCCTTTGTCAATTCAAGGCTGAAGGGGTAGTTGTCGGATCGCGAGATGTTTGCCACTTCTCTCAGAAATATCGAGTGTGATGTCTTGTTGCTGGTGTTTGACTTGAGAAAGTCCAATTGCTTCTCACGTAGCACAAGGAAGCGCTCGTTCCAGAATTTGCTCATGAAGCCGCCGCCCTCCTCCTTGACCTTGGCCCATCCATCTCGGACTACTGTCAACTCTCCGGTGATGGAGTCGAAGCCGGAGCCTTTGCCGGAGGTAGCGGTGGTGGGAGAGTTGACGAGTGTCGATTGAGAGGGGTTCGTCAGACTTCGAAGGCTTGGGTTCGGGTTCCCAGGCTGTCCATAGACATTGGGAGTGAGGTTGAGTTTAGGACGGTCGGTAGGCGGTCGAGGTGCTGGTCCGGGATTCATGAATTGTTCGGGTCGGTATAGTCTGGGTGATGTGGGTGGTTAGCTTGTGCTACCGCAGCTTTGTTTCCGAGGTGTGTAGCATGGTGAGGACTCAGGAAGTGGCAGGCTGGTACTCATGACACAGCTTCCACTCATGCTACACACGCGCACCTGGGCGACTCACGAGTTCTGCTGCATGCCGGCGGTATGCGCGCCCTGCACGCCGTCACACACCCTCTGCTCTACCCTGCTTCTCGCTGCCCCTCCACGTCTCTTTCACGCTCCTTTCACGTGAAACCTCGGCGGATCGAATGCGGTCGCACGTGATCGGCGGTAAGGGTGCTTACCACGGGGTCGCTACGGTCGTGGCGGAGGCAAGAGTGAGGTACCCCTCAGGTCGCGGTGTGTGCCAAGGTGAGGGCGGTCTTTGTGCAGTCGATTGGCGGAGATGTGGGTTTCCTTCCGATCTGGCTCAGGGTCCGCCGACAATGGACGCGCTTGTCAATACACTACCACTTCCTTTGTTCTCCAACGTCACAGCGTCGCTGACGGGGCAAAATCGCATACAACGCGGCCGGCAGGGCTGAAGATGGATGCAGGAGGTACTTCTCTACTTCGACTCGAGAAGGACTTGAGGCCAGCCATCGTTTCACAAACCCAGCGCTAACTTGGTTCTGGCAATCAGCCAATAAAACGCGCCAGAAGCTCCAACTGCCGGCGAAGACACTTTTGACCGACATACATCCGCTGTTTCGAAGCATCATCCATCATCCATACCATCTATATGACCGGTATAGAGCGGAGTGTACATCACGGGCAGGACGGGAGTCAAGCTCGAGAGGACCATGAGAAAAGCAATCGACCGTCCGCCACTGGTCAGGCCTGTTATCAGTGTCATGGAGTAAAGCGACGAGTGCACAGCCCGGGATGTGTGAGAAACATGTTCATTCATGGTCCAACTTCGTAAGGTCTACACCCATCTACGCCTCTACAACGCCGCCAGCGCAGCCATAAAAGCACCAAACACAGGCGCAGCAGTCATCACCGCCGCAGCATTCCCCGAAGTCGACGATGAACCACCGTCGTTGTCGTTGTCGTTGGACCCAGCACCAGTCTGCTGCAGGTTGCGAGTCGGCGTGACCGTCGACGTGACATCAGTAGTCTGTCCCTCGCTGTCGGTGGTCTGCACAACAGTCTGGCTAGGCGTGGCCGAAACGACAGCTGTGCCGTTCGAACCGCCCTGCGAGCCGAAGATCGTCGAGGTTACCACGTCGGTGTCGGTCTCGACCTCGCCATCTTCGCGGTCCGTTTCGGTCTGGGTCGTAGTGTAGACAGTCGTGGTTGGCGAGGCAGAGCTCACGGTTAGGCTGCCGGTGTAGGTGGTCGTGCTGAAGCCGCAGGCTCGGAGGAGCTCGTTGACGTCTGATCATTAAGTCAGCACCTATCCTCCTTCCAAAGCCAGCTGATGAAGTCAAGGACTCCGCTCGTGGAAGCAAGTACGCACCATCATCGTCGTCATTACTGTTCTGCGCAATGCAGGCCTGACACTGAGGGATGAACCTCTGCATGTTGTCGCCATTACAAATGCACTGCACCTCAGCGTTGTCGTTGTCATTGTTGTTTTGCTGGTCGCAGTACGACGAGCGGTCTGCAACGGGGTTGCAGATGGAAGCGCAAGCAGAGGGGATGTCGTCTCGCTCAATGTCCTGTGCCGAAGCTGCGCCAATGGCTGCCACGAGGGCGAAGGTAGTGGAGACGCGCATGTTGATAAAGTAGGAGAGTAGTCTCGTCTTGCTTGGGTGAGAGTCGCGTGGCTCGTATTAAACCTCGTGTTGATCTTGCAAGGAGAAAGTGATATGAACATGAGCGAACAGTCCCAGACTTATACCTCCCCCTCACGCCTCGACCACCACGCCCAATGCCCAACAAATTACATCACCCTCCCCATGCGCACCCACCGCCCACCGCCACATCAGCGGCCACGCAGTCGCCAGTCGCAAACTCTCCTTTGGCAAACTCATGCCCAGACGCAAACCCGAACTTGGCGATAGGGCACGCGACACTGGCGGCTTGAGCTCCGGGTCAACTGCGGGCCTCATCACAGCAGCGAGCAACATCACCACGTTCTGCTCCAGCTTTTCAGAGGTTGCCTGCGGGAGCGGAAGGGGAGTGCTACGTGTCCTGCCATGGCAGACCAAGCCTCGACGCGAAGCTCCTCGAGCTGCAGCTTGATGGTGGACGCGTGAGAGAGCTGATCGTTGGAGGAAGGGAGACGAGGCCGCGGGAAACGGCTAGAGTGCCAAGATGGTGTATGCGCGCGAGTCGTGCGTCGCGAGTCGGATATGGACGGAGGAAGTTTGAGGAAAGGAACAGAGTTTGGAGCCGGGGAGAAAACGCGTGAGATTAGAACGGTTTTAGTCGAAGGAAGGTCGAGGTCGGGATGAATTTTGACCCGGAAAAACAGACAAGGCATTATTCGATACGTGAACTCCGAAACTACATTCAAGACCATATCATAGCTCATATCCCTTCATCTACATATCTCCATCTATCCCGACCCCCCTCCTAGATCGCTCTACAACGCCGCAAGCACAGCCATCACCCCAGCAGCCCCCGCCCCCAACAACGGCGCCGCAGTCGCAACAGCCATACCCGCCGAACCCGACGAATCAGCAGCACCACCCGTAGCAGCAGCACCGCCAGTAGTAGTAGTGAGCACAGTGGTCGAGCCATCGCTGTCCGTGGTCGTCACGATCTGAGCGGTAGGCGAAGCGTTGCCGTTGCGAATGGTAGATGTGATCACTTCGATGTCGACGTCGGTTTCAGTCTCGTTGTCGTCGTTTTCGGTGTCCGTCTCTGTGCGTGTGGTGGTGTAGACAGTTGCTTGTGCCTTAGAAGCGCTGCCAGTGGGGGTAGAGATGGAGAAGCCGCAGGCGTTGAGGAGTTCGTTGATGTCTGTATACGCTGTTAGTCACTGTCCGCCATAGCTCCCGTAGTAGTTGGTCGACTTACCTTCAAGATCATCATTATCATTGCTGTTCTGCCGAATGCACTGCTGGCACTGCGGAATCAAGTTCTGCATGTTCTGAGCATTGCACAGACACTGCACTTCCGCATCGTCCTCGTCGTTCTGGTCGTCGCAAGTCTGGCCTTGGGATACGACCGCGCCGCAAGAGTCCTGGCAGGCGGAGGGGTAGTCGCCATCGTAGACGTCTTGCGCGCTCACGGCGCTGAGGCCGATGGCAGCTGCCAGGGCGAAGATAGCATAGGAGCGCATATTGGCGGTGGAGAAGTAGGTTTGGAATGGGGTGCTTGAGAGAGCCAGAAATTTGTCTTCAGTCTTCTTGCTGGTGTACGATGGACTTGGGATGAATGATGAGATGGGTTAAGATACGACAGATGGTCATCAGACTTATACCTCCCATCACCACCTACCTCTTCCCATCGATAGCCTCCCCAAGCAACTCTCTGAAATCTCACAGCCCCGAACACATCACCAAGTCCAGTGGCTGAAGTGTATACACGAAGTCATCGACCTATTCTCGCCATCGAGTCGAAGCTGCCTTCGCCATGTCCATTGGCACGACTCGCGCTGACCACTTCACGATCTCCACCGAAATGAAACAACCGAAGCCCTAGACCCCTGCGCAGCACGTTGCCGGCGTGAGGGCAGCGTGGCGGATGACGAACCTTCAGCTGGGTGTGAAGCGTGGTTGTTCAGCAATTACCATGAGACGCCGAGATTTTACGTCACGTGCCAAGCAGCCGGCCATTTCTGGGAGGACTTGGTTGAGCTGAGCCACTGTGGACGCGAGAGCGACTTCTTGTTCTTCGAGCGGTATGAGTGATCAGGAAGTGGAGTCGGTGGGAAAGGGAGGTTGAGGTTGCAGTGAAAGACGGCGGTCATTCATCGTTGCATTGTCGCTCCACGTAACACCACGCTAATCTGGAGTCAAACTCATATCGATGCCGCGTAGGCACACATTAACCGCCTTTGCCTTGCCTTGCATAGCCATCTCCCATTAAGGTACGTATCAAACGTCCACCGCCCCTCACTTAGCAGAGAACCTGCTCCTAGCCCTCAACTTCGCTCCAAAAAAGAACAGCACAAAAATCCCGCCAATACACGCCGCAGTTAGCGCACCGAGCAGACTGCACGCCTCTCCAATGCCCATGCCTGTGTACATCGGGTGTCCAAACATAACCGCAGCGAAAGCGACAAAGGAGCGCGCTGCGTCGTTGCCGGCGAAGAGAGAGGCGGCGTATTGCGGGTAGACGGAGGGGAGGTAGACGAAGATGCATTGCATCAAGATGAAGACGCCGATGGTGAAGATCATGATGCCGACTGTACGATGCGTTAGCATGCCATCCTTACTTTTGACAGTGGGTTGTAGGAAGACCCACCACAACTGACGATCCAATGAATCTTCCCATCCCCCGTCCAGCCAAAGATGAACAGTCCAGCCGGCAGGAAGAACGAGGCGAACATGGCGGGAATGAGAATTCGTTCTGGAGCTCCGAGGCCTTCACGCCGGATAATTGGCTCGACGACAAAATAGATCCAGGCGTAGTAGGCGATGATGGCGAGGATCACGCCGACGGTGATGCTGAGGAACGTCAAGCCCATCTCGCCAAGGTTGAAGCCGTAGAGGTCGATGTAGACGAGCGGGAAGGCTTCGAAGAAGGAGTAGTATATGCCTGTAACACAATTAGCAATGCATCGCGTTTTGATGGGGCTGAGCACACTGAAGACCTACCATAGCACAGCGCAACATAACCAGCAGTAAACCCAATAGCTGGATCCTGGAAGATGAGCTGAGCTGGACGGTAGATCGCCTCCTTGACGATCTCCTTGGTAGTGGTGTTCGCCTGGTCAATCTCAGACTGCGACTTGAGATGCTGGTTACCGGTCCGCTTCCTGAGACGCTGCGCCCGATGGAGCAGGATATTGGCGCTCGAGGTCTCCGGGAGGAAGAACAGCATGGAGAGGAAGATGGGGCCGCTGATCCAGAGGATCTCCCACAGTGACCAACGCCATGACTCTGCCGGGACTGAGAAACCGCTGATTACGGGGCCCAGTGCTGGGCCGCAGGTTGCTGCGAAAGCCCAGATGCAGAGCACGTATGGTAGCTTGATCAGGGAGTAAAGGTCTTGGAGCGAAGCGCCACCGGTGGCAAGACACGGCGAGCCGAAGAAGCCTTGCAAGAACCGGAGCACGAGGAGGCCGGGGATGTTGTCGACCAGCGCAGTAGGGATGCACAGGATCACGAAGATGCCGAAGCTGACCATGTAAGGCGGGTTGCGGCCGATGGATGGGATCTCGCTCAGAGGCGAGAAGAGAAGCGGACCCAGACCGTAGGCAAGGACGTAGAGTGAGAGGCCGAGCGACGCCACTTCCTGGCTCACGCCGTAGATCTCCATCAAATAAGGTGCGCTTGGTGTGTAGATCGCACTACCCATATAGAAAGCCAGGGTGTAGAGACAGATCATGCCCGAGACGAGCGCCTTCTTCGCCTGAGAGTAGTTCTGGGGGTTCTCGGCGTCGTCGGTGGTATACCAGTCCACGAGAATGTCGCCTTCGCTCGTCCTTTGGGGTACAATCGGCTGCGAAACCTCCTTAGTGATGGACGCCACATAAGCCGCCTCATAGGCTGCCTCGAGGTCTGCGCGGGTGTGAGCCTGCTCGAGGGCCGTCCTGGTGCTCACTCGTCCAAGCGTGCTAGCCGTAGTCGCGCGCCTCGCCACACCCTCCTGCTGCATGTGCGACTTCTCCGTGTCCATACGCTCCAGCACTTCTCGGTTGAGCGCCCGTGGTGCTTCGTATGGCGTGTCGGATTCCGCTGGCTCCAGATTGGCCTTCTCGACATCTTCCGGCTCCTCTGCTGGCTCGAGGTTGGCCTTTTCCTTTTCTTCCATAGGAGTGGCGCCAAGGGACGAAGAGACGGTGGACAGCTTATGCGCCTTTTGTGCTGCTTCGGGATGCGAGTAGCTCATCGGGCAGGTGAAGTCGTCGCGCTCTTCGGGATACAGCAGGACTCGATTGCCGGTGATGTATCGGATTAGCTGCCCGATGGGCGCGTCTCTGATGATGTCCGCCATGACTTTCGTGCTCTCGCGATGGTTTGTGTTCGATAGCAGGCGAGAGACAGAAGTCACGTCGTAAACAATGTTGTGAGACAGAGTTAAATGCAGTGAAGTGAGGTCAAAGAAATGGGCTCTGCAGCCACACCCACCTGTATATACCTTACTCACCTCGACCCGACATGAATGTCAGCAGCCCGGAACCGCTCCAGCAGCCAGCGGTATGAGTCTGAAGCTAACCCTACGACAACACCGAGAAGGAAGAATTGGGCGCCGACGGAAGGCTTGGGAAGGCTGCCGTTACAAAGCAAGACCTTCCCGTACGAGTGGTGATAGCCTATGCGGAGGAGTTAAAGCAAGGTGAGGTGGCGCTTCTCCTCAAGCAAGCAAGCTCGCATTGTCTTACTCAGCAATGAACTTTCAACGTCACTTCAACCCGGATGACGGTGGATGATCACTCAACTCTTACAACAACGCCTCTGCGTAAGATCAAAAATTGCTCCGACTGGTGTCTAACTCTTCACGTTCTTCCGACACCAGTTTCCGCAACACGTTCGCCGCTGCAACACTTCCTGATGAAGCATGGGCACAGTCCCGTGTTTCGTGAAGATGGGGGCTGCTGAATAACAGCTTCAGTCAGCGTCCTGACCAAGCTAGCAGCCGCCATTGACCCGCACATGCAATAGGGCAACGAGACCCCTCTTCTTCCTCCTCATCAGGCCATCACACGGCAAGGAAGTAATTCGCCCCTGGTCTGGAAAATCCTGTCCCGCGATCCGGATTGCGGCTTACCTCCGATGGCCTGCACACGGGACGGATACTGGTTCTCAACCCCGTTCTCGTGCGATCCGAGACGGTGGCTTGCTTCCAATGGTCAGCGATACGGAACGGAAACAAGTCCAATGGCTTCTTGACCACGCTGTTGGACAGTCGCTTGTCGGTGACCTCGAGCAACACGGGACGGATGTCGACAATTACCAGCGTTCGGACCGCTCCAGGCGAGGTTCTGTACAATATACACTATACTACAACGCGCCCCACGCCTCGCTATGCAACGCGAAAAACAATAAGTCGCACCGTGCCCCTCAATCACCGCTTCTTATACAACCACCCCATATAATCCTCCACCCCCTCCACCCTCTCCCCACCCCTCGCAACCGGCCTCCCGACAACAACCGGCTCACTTCCCTTCTCCGCCTCATCCGCCTTCACCCTAAAAGCCCGCCCCTGCTCACTCAACCTCTTCATAAACTCAATATACTCCCTCCCCTTCGCCTTCTTCCGGCTCTCCTCTTTACTGCTCGGCGCATCCTCGACATCATCCTCATCGTACTTCGAAAAAATCTCCTTCCGACGGGCTTTCATCTGCTCGTAGCGCGCCCACATTTTCGCGTCGGTTGGGTATTCGTGCGCGATGTAGTCGATTTCCCATTTATCTGTGGGGCGGAGGCGTTCGGGGCGCGTGACGGTTTTGCCGTTGACTTTGGATTCGCAGAGAATGCTGGCGGCGAAGAGGGGAGCGAGGTCGTCTGAGGATTTCGAGTCGTTTGATGTGGTGGAAGAGGAGGCCGGCTTTGGCTCGGGAGTTTCTGTAGTATCGACTTGCGTACTGGCAGCAGTCGACCACTTTGCATCCGCTTCTTCGCTTTCAGTGACGACAGCGTCAGTATCTGGCGTCTCCTCCTTCTCATACCCCAGCATTTCACGCTCGAACTCGGCCACTCTCGCTTTTGAACTCGACTGAATGCTCTCAATCTGCGCCTCGCCCATCGGCTCCGCAAAGACCCACATCACAGTAGCATCCGAGTCCAACTTCTCCGGCGTAGCCTGGAAGTGAAACCGCAGCGACTGCTCCGGGAACTTCTTCGTCGCCATATCGAACACCTTATTCAACATGTCCAAGCTCGCCTTGAACTCCTGGTCGCCAAGACAGGTATTGATCGTTCCATGAAGCGCCCGGTCCATGTCCTGTAGTGAGACATACTGGAAGCCGAAGATGCGCTCCACGTTGTGGAAGGCGATGAAGATGCCGTCCATGCGACCCATGCGCACTTGGAGCATGTACTTTAGCATCGTCGAGCGGATCATGTCGTAGTACTCCCGTTCGTAGCTCTCGAATCTACCTTGCAGAGTGTGAATCTGGTATCCAGTCATTGGCTCGAAATCAGTCGTGTCCATACGGACTGTTACGACTGCTCTGGTCTTCAGGTCGAACATGCCCGTGCCCGGTAAGCGAGGGTCGTAGGCGTCGAGCTGTGAGCGCATTAGGAAGTCGCCCATCGTCGTGTATTGAAAGGCTTCGGGTGCTGTGCGATCCTCCTCTGACACGGAGCGTGGGTCGGTCTTTCTGTAGCGTTCGAATTCAGAAGTCGGAAGAGTCAGCAGCTTCTCCATGGACTTCCCAAGCATCATCAAGACATTGGGACTATCGTGCTCCTTGTCGGCATCGATGGCATATGTGCCGTTCTTCCAGCGCAAGAAGATCGCATTCGGGGCGCGATTGATGGCTGTGAAGCTGTCGAGCTGATCTGGAAAGCCACGCGAGACCATGTTCGTGTTCAACGGCCGGAAAGCTGACAACAGGTAGTGAAAGTGCGCCAGTGTCCCGGTCATGCTCGAAGTAGAGCCGATGTACCGCTTGCCGTGCGACTTTGCGAGTTCGCCAAGCGCCACATCCTGCGAAGACGTCTTGTACTCTTTCAGAGCGTTGAAGTCGAACTCGACGACTGGCATGATCATTTGCAGGTAAGGGTCGAAGTTGTACACCCGCGAGTGCGGATCCTGGAGCTGGTACACACCAGGGTTGAAGAGCACCCTGTCTAGACCGTACTCCAGAGAGGGTACCGGCGGCTGGGGAATCTCAAGCGGTGTGATGGCGAGATCTTGTGGCTTGACGCTGCTCATTGAACCCAATTCTTGCTCGGAGAGCGCTTGCTGATCCGCCGAAGTGGACCTTTTCGACTTCTTCCCTTTGCCTTTGGAAGCCGACTTGTCCTTGTCCGCGTCAGATTTGCTCTGTTGCTGGAGCTTTGCTCGTTCGCGCCGATTGAGTCCTTTGGTAACGACCGGGTTCTTGCCGTTCGTTGTTTTGCTTGAAGTAGCGGCCGGCTTTTTCGTTGACTTGCCCTTCTTTGACGCAGCAGCGGACGCGGCAGTGTCGTCATTTCCAGCAGAGAGGTTCCATCCCGATGTGTATAGCTTTGCTAGGGCATCCGATGCCTGACTACTTGGTGTCTGCACTCCGAAGGCTGGGGTTGACATCGTCAGATCAAGGGAACCAGGAGCCCGCACTTCGGCACCTTGAGGCTCTGCTGTCTGGGCACCAAATGGCAACCCTTTCGGTGTGGTTCGAGCTGGAGCCGAAGAGCCTTCTTCTACAGGTGATGGAGGATCAATCGATTGAGATGGACGTGATCCTGGTAGTATTTTACTCGTGAGCCAGTCAGAAAAGGTTAGCCGTGCTGTCGACTGTGGCGGAGACTCCGCATTGCTGGTTGCATCTGATGAAACTGTACTCGACGGGGCACCGTTGGGTTGCTGTCCAGCTGGAGATACCTTAGATGATGCTTCTCCACCTGTCGAGCCATTTGCAGAAGTGCGCTCTTCATAAAAGGCAGGTCCTTTCAAGCCTACGCCACGTCGAATGAGGGGATCTAGCCCTCTGCCTGTCTCAGGAGCATCGCTAACTGCCTCTTGGCCTAGTGGCTCCCTCTTGTTGCGCTTTCGTAACAATCCGTCGTCCCCGCGCCGGTAACGAGCCGTCGCCCGCAGCCTCAAAAGGTCATGTGCTATGCTTGTGTCAGCAGCCTCGGGAGTCATGTCTTGTTCTAGTTTCTTCACCACATCCTCATATTTCGCGTACATGGCGGCTTCTGCACTACTGTGCTCGGCAGAAGCAGCCGCTGGTCTTGGCCGCTGCTTGGAATCGTCGATACCAGCAGATTTGCTGGCAATGACCCTCGTTTTACCTTGTGATGTGCTGGTGGTGTTGTTCTGTCTCGTGGTGTCTTTCCCTGACCCGCCTGCCATTCGCTCGTCCAGGCTCGACAGCAGGCCATCCACTCCAACATCTTGCTGGCCCCTTCCTTCTCGCTTTACGGACGAGCGCATAGCCCCATCTTTGCCTCTACTTCTCCGCGCCTTGATTCTAGACGCAGCTACCGACTTGTTTCCCCCCGTCTTCTTCCCAGATCCCACATCATCAGAAGAGGCATGCTTTGACTTCTCAGCGGGCGCTTCTGGTTTGCTAGGTCCCAGCCCGGCGTCAAGGTTGTTGAAGTTGTCTTCCCACGAGTCTACCTCGGATTGGGCTCTTCGAAGGAGAGTCTGATGGTACTTTCGGCGGGCTCGCTGGCTCTGCGCAGCCCATAGCTGGTGGCGACATGTGACGCAGACGTATTCTGAGCAGTTCCATGGCCGGAGGCGATCCAGTCGACGAAGCATTGGATGCAGGCCAGGATGATGTTCCGTGATGTCTTCGCCGTGAAGTCGCGAGGTCATGACTTTTTGAAAGGGTTCAAGCTTCTGGTCGTTGGAGCTGACTCATCTTCAATGGAAGCTAATCAATGTCTCGCGACCTCACTTGTCGCCAGAGCCGTCCGTCTTCAAGTGCCGACGCCAGACGGTTGTAATGCATCAAGGGGAGAGAACGGATGACATTCCTTTAAACATCTGTCTGGTATCAGCCGCATCCACTCGAGTCCATTTCACGTATCTCTGAGCGAGCGCAAATTGAGGAATATAGCACGATGGCGACCAAAGCAAGAACATCCAGCTTCGACGCCGCCTCATCTGAGTTCCGCCAGCATCTACCAGATCTAAGCATACCGCGATTCACCGTTTCGAAGCAGCAGAATGCATATGAGTACGCCGATGACTTCAAGAAGAACCATGTGCCTCCTTGGCTGTACAATCTCACGGAGACATGGAAGGAACTGCTGAAAGAACCATTCACTGGTGTAACGACAGATGGTATGATATTGCAATCTGTCAACCATTGGGTTAATGCTGATTTTATCGTGGTATAGGGAAGATCAAGCCCAATCTCTTCGAGCTTGAGGATATGGGCATCGATGTTGAGGGCGTATGCAACGCTACAAAAAACGTGCTTGGCCAATGCAGTCCAGAGCAGAAGCAGAAGCTGCATCATCCTGTCAATGCGCGCGAGTGGCGGGCCTGGTCCAATCCTGAGTTTCTACTTAGACCATTCGGTCTTCGCCTTGAGGACTTACCGGAGGATCTGGCAACATCAATCTTGGGAGTGCTCGAAGCCTCCTTCTCTCCGGAGGGATACCAAAAGGCACTCGCAGCAATGCGTATCAATCACTTCTTAGGTGAAGTCTGCGACGTCCGCAAGATCATGAACAAGTATTCGTACAACTTCTTGCTGTTTGGCGAGCCTTCACCAGAGAAAGCCTGGGGCTGGGTGCTGTATGGTCACCATCTTTGCCTCAGCGTCTTCTTCAAAGGCAAGCACATGGTCGTGTCACCAACCTTTACAGGTGCCGAGCCGAATATCATCGACGACGGCCCGTGGTCTGGTACCGAAATCCTACACACCGAGGGCAACCTGGGTTTGAAGTTGATGCAGAGCTTTTCCCAGGAAACGAAAGACAAGACACAGATCTTCAAACTTATGCGAGACCCGGGAATGCTCCAAAGCGGCGACCTGAAAGTCGATCGATGGAACCAGGACGACCAACGCCACCTCTGCGGCGCCTTCAGGGACAACCGCATCGTTCCTTACGAAGGCATCAAAGTCTCAGGCATGAGCTCCGAGCAACAGCAGCTCATCCTCGACATCGTCGAGCAATTCGTGCTCTACCTCCCTCAAAAAGCTCGGCAGCTGCGCAAAGAACATGTCCGCCAGCACTTCGACGAGACGTACTTCTGCTGGATCGGAGGTTACGGAGACAACGACCCATTCTACTTCCGCATCCAGAGTCCGGTCATTGTCTGCGAGTTTGATCATCATTCGGGAGTGTTTCTGACGAATAAGGAGCCTGCGAAGTTCCACACCCATACGATTGTGAGGACGCCGAATGGAGGCGATTATGGGAATGCTTTGAGGACGGAGGGGGAAAAAGTGCAGTGAGAATCATCGTGCTGTTTACTCTGGGTGGTTCGTGGCCCCGATCGACATGATAGTTCTTCTGTCACTGAGTCTGCGTTCTGTTATCGCCATTCGATCGTACAGCTACGCACGTCAGACATCATCATCGTCCACTTCCCCCTCCCTTCAGATCCTCCGCCATCCACCCCCAAGCCCACAATCCTGCTTGATCACGGTAAATCTAAAGCAGACGCTGAACGGGTGGGTTGGACTCCATATCGATGATCTGGTCGGTCATCAAATATCTCCGATCTGCACATGGTCTCTATCTGGATCTCCCAGACGGGCGAAAACATCGCCACACCATCGGATATCCTTGGAGTAGATCGGCTTCGTGTTGCTCAGTACATAGTCGAGTGCAGTGGTTCCTATTGGCGCCAGCGTGACTTCGCCAGATTTTCAGAAGGAAAGATTTGAGCCCTATCCAATAAGCAAGCAGGACGATTGCCTTTTCGACGAGATGTCGCTGACCACGGCCAACCACCGAACGCTATCCAGATCGCAGAATCGACAGGCGGGCCATTGTGGTGATATCCATGCCGGCTTCCACAATCGCAATCGGGCGGAGGGACATGTGGGGTCGACGTGTGTCCTTACAAGTAACCAAGGAGCCGGGGCATGATGGGCCATAGAGAGGCGAGGGAGGTGAGGAAGGAGCGTTACGGCATCTTCGCAGAGAGCTTCGTCAAGTTGGTCTGTCCGGGTCGCCGCACTCCGCTTTCGGCCGTCAAAGAGAAAGAGTCTTGAACCTTTGGAGGGGATCAGCTTCCTTGCCGCAACCTCTACTTCCTTCAGCTGGCCGTTTCTTGGTATTCTCCTCATCCCTCAGCAAGCGCAGATTCTCAATGTGCTTCGCCTCTTCCTTGCTTGGCCTTCGAAGAATGCCAGACCTGTGTCCTCCTAATCTGCCACGGACATAGACTGCGTAGCAGGATAGTTTTCGGGGGGGACAAGACCTTGGATGCAGAAAACATGCTGTTGGCCATCGTGTCCATTGACTTAGGTACGCTCCGCGCAGATGGTTTCATGTCGGTGCAACTTGCGACTGAGGAACACTTCTTCCGTATCTTCCCCATCCCATCTCCTACGCCGAGACAGCCTGTGGGGGTATACTACCTCCGCGCACTCCGTATAATTGGCCCTATCTGGAGTGGATGGAGCGGGACATCATCTACGCGACCTTGGCAACAGGGCGCAGTCTGCGCAACCATCCCGCGCGAATCACTGGGAACAGGATACTTGAGCCTCCATGTGTCCTGCGACCATCATGAAATGCTTCACGCCCCTTCTAGCTATAACGCTTACACAGAACTTTCTAAATCGCGGCATTCAAACAGATCGCATCCATGGGGTACGATGAGAAGACCAGCGACAGCGGTTCGTCGGCAGAGATGGCCTACGATGGCATGTCCTCATTTCCTCGAGTATCAGCCTCCAAAGCGATTGACATGAACGAGAATGTCGATGCTAAGTGAGCAACCTCCGTACCAACCCAATCCAAACCAAAGCCAACGCTCTCTCCAGAATCTCGAACCCGCTATCAGACACCAAGATGGATGATTTGATGCAAGACATCGAGCTCTTCACCGAAGAGAAAGGTCTGCTCGATGCGCTGGATCTTCTCAAGAGAGGTGCGCTGGTCGCGCAAGATCCAGCCAGCGCCGACAGTATGGACGTTCTCAGCAATGAGGAAAAAGCAGCTCTTCGCCATGAAGCCGCGCACAAGTGGAAGCAACCAACCGCGCTCTATCTCACCATCTTCATCTGTTCTATCGCGGCTGCGGTAGAAGGATGGGATCACACTGGGTATGCTGCCCGTCGTTCGCTTCAAAATCTCCAGCAATTGACATCAGCGTAGGGCCAGTGGCGTCGACCTGAGCTTCCCACAAGAATTCGGCCTCTATTACGGCGCCCGAGCCACCTGGATACTGGGTGTGATCAACGCTTGTCCCTCCTTGGGTGCTGCCACCATCGGCTGGCTGCTCTCTGACCCCTGTAACAACTACATCGGCCGGCGAGGGACCATCTTCTTGTCAGCGGTCTTCTGTCTGCTCTTGCCGATCGGATCCGCTTTGACGCAGACCTGGCAGCAGCTTTTGATTGTCCGTCTTCTGCTTGGAGTAGGAATGGGCCTCAAAGCTGCCACTGTACCTATATTCGCTGCCGAGAACAGTCCAGCGAGGATCCGCGGCGCACTCCTCGTGTCGTGGCAGCTTTTCGTGGCGCTCGGTATGCTCCTCGGATACTCTGCGAATCTTGCCGTCTTCAAAGTGCCGGTCATCGCGTGGCGGTTGCAGATGGGATCGGCTTTCCTTCCGGCCATACCGCTCCTCGTGGGCATCTACTTCTGTCCAGAGAGCGCACGATGGTACATGAAGAAGAACCGATACCAGGAAGCCTACCAATCACTGCTGAGGCTTCGCTTCCACCCACTTCAGGCGGCTCGAGATCTGTACTACATCCATTGCCAGTTGGAGGTCGAGGCTTCGATCGTGAAGAATAGCAATTACTTCTCGCGCCTCACGCAACTGTTTACCGTCCCTCGCGTCCGACGAGCCACCCTCGCCTCATCTACGGTCATGTTAGCGCAACAGCTGTACGTATACCATCCCTCCATCTCTGCAGATGATTAGCTGAGAAGCCTAGATGTGGCATCACCATCATAACCTTCTACTCCTCATACATCTTCCAAAGCGCCAGCTATTCCGCTCGAACGGCCGTAATCGCCTCCTTCGGCCTCAGCCTTGTCAAATTCGTCTTCACTCTGCCCGCCATATGGACCATCGACACATTCGGCCGACGCCCACTTCTGCTCTTCACCTTGCCAAACATGGCCTGGACACTACTCGCCGCGGGCCTCTGCCATCAGTTCATGCCGTTTTCCAATATGGAGGCGCGCGTCGGGCTGGCGGCGATGTTCATCTACCTCTCCGCTGCCTTCTACAGCCTTGGGATAGGTCCGGTGGCGTACGCCTACTCCGCCGAGGTCTTCCCGCTCTCACACCGCGAAGCAGGCATGGGATTGGCGGTGGCAACCAATTTCTTCTGGTCTTTCGTAATAGCGATTACGTTCCCGCGGATGTTGGTGACGTTCACACCGGTTGGAGCGTTTGGCTTCTTTGCCGGGCTGAATTGTTTGGCGTTCATCTTGATCTTCTTGCTGGTGCCGGAGACGAAGCAGAGGGCGCTGGAGGAACTGGATTATGTTTTTGCTGTGCCGTCGCAGAAGCATGTAGCGTACCAGACTGGGACGGTGGTGCCTTGGTGGTTTCGGAAGCGGTTGCTGTGGCGGAGGGATGCGCAGCTGGAGCCGCTGTACGATACGGACAAGTCGATTGTCGTCAGGTGACGAAAGTGGCATGTAGAGATCTGACTATGAGAATGAGATGGTGTTGTCACGTTGTCCAATGTTCACATCCTCTGACATGTGGAATTCCTTCTGCAATGCTTGCCTGACCACGACCGACCGACGGGCTCAAACATCGAGTGTGTTGCGACCGTAGCCGTCCATAGCGCGTCTCAAGCTCTCGACCTGGTCTATGGCCTTTGCTTTCCACTCACTGTATGGCCGGGCTGTAGACTTTCCATCAGGATCTGGCAACATCGCATTCTGAGCCTCATACATGCGTAGGTCCCGAAGAATCTTCCAAGACCGCGCCAAGGCGTACTGTCGAGCAATACTGGGTATCAGTGTCCATTGACTGGGATTTTCCATATAACAGCGTGCCAGGATATCGTGGTAGAGTTTACGACTTCTATGCTCTCCCCAGAAGAGACGACTACTCTCCGTCAAGAGTAGAGCGACCACTGCATCGTCCGGAGCAAGATCCAATGCTGCCATGAGCGCATAGATGAAATTCGGTATCAATGAGCCCAGTGGGTATCTCCAGTAGGGGTTCATAACATCCCCAACGCCCATTCCGTTCGGCACGTTTTCCAAATAGAATTCGACCAGAATGAACATGAACAGGTCTGACACTGACATGTCGTAGTCAGGCCGCAGGCGGCTACGGCCAAGGCCAAGGAGCCCGAATACAGCATCGTGACGTACTGAGAATGCATTCGAGTGAAACGTCCCTAGAAGTCTGCCTATGGGTTCCTTAGCAGAGTCGTCATCCTCACCCAACATGTTGTGTCGCCGGTAGAGAACTTTTGACACTTTGTCAATCACTCTCGCAACGCGGTCGTCTTCAGTTTCCTGCTGGGAAGGCGGAAGTACGCGCGGGAATACGATGTCCTTTTCCGATATCGTCCGTTTTCTACCAGGAAAGAGGCTGAAGTCTAGCAGGATTCGTTGCTCTGGCATCACCAAGGATCCACATTGCAAGGTCAGCCTTCGCGCCAGTACCACTTCTTGCACAATCCAGAGTTGCAGCCAATAGCTTGGTCGTGCGAAGGTGTCTTGCATCCGCTTCGCGTGCAACAGCGCTTCCGAGTCAAGTGCTGCCATCCTGTTGAGCAGTACCTGGTCAGCCATTGCTCGCCATTGGGATAATGACTCTCCGTCGATAGCAGGATTCGGACCCAGCCACGCCACAACCTGTTCGGCGCAACGATAGACATCGCCCATTAAAGACACCTGCGTGCTCCTTTCGTCGTTATCGGCCTGGTTGATGCAGAGAGCGTCGATAAAGATCCACTGAGATGCATCCGACTGGGCTGATCTCTCCTGGAGGTAGGCAAACAAGTTGGGCCGTACCGCGAAGGGTTGGCCATTCAATAGGATAGTGTGACCGGGTGGTTCCTTCGTCCAGGAGTAAGACAGGGCCGTATACGCTGGGGTGTCGTCCAGAGAGACTGCGCTCAGCTCGCAGCAGATGGTTTCAGCTGAGCTGTCATGTGGTATGAGCTTCACCAAGCGGATCTGTCTTTTGCTGGCGTCTAAAGAGGGGTAGACATTGCTGGGGGCCTTTGACATGTCGAACAACAGCTTTTGATTCGGGGTCGGTGCCGCTGCAGAGTATGAATTAAAGGTAAGGCATGGTTCGTCCGTTGCAAGAAGAGACAAGGCTGAGGAGCTGCAGACGAGGTGGCGGTGGCTCCCGGAGGCTCACGAGCACCATGTACACTGTAATTCACGCACGTTCCTCTGCAGTATACGCGAGGATTGCGCCATCCTGGCTGTTATCTTGACTAGCCAGCACCAACGCCTATTTCTTCAGGTTGCTGTGAGGCTGGCAGGCCATGGCTGCGGTTGTCCGAAGCCCGGCACTCCCATGGAAGTCTGCACTGTGCCATTACCGCCTCGTGGGCATCATATTTCTACATCTCCGGTCGAAGCTGCGGCCATCAATGCGTTTCTGAAAGCTGTGAAGTCGAAGGGACTTCAGGTTATTGAGGTCTGACATGTGAGAGCGTCTTAAGTCTTGGCTCAACCACGACTTTAGCCAACCACCTGGAATTTCGCGCCAAGCAACAGCTGCCGCACCGCCGCTTCGAATTAATCTTCGAAGGTTGCGCACACGACAGACGACCGACAACGACACCAATCTCCTCCCTTTCCTGCACAACACCGCCATCATGGCCGTAGGAAAGAACAAAAGATTGTCAAAGGGCAAGAAGGGCTTGAAGAAGAAGGTCGACCCATTCGCGAGGAAGGACTGGTTCAACATCAAGGCCCCATCCACCTTCGCCATCCGAGAGTACGATTGAGCCTTCGATGCAGCAAAAGAAGGCTGGCAAATGATACTAACAGCCTGACAGTGTCGGCAAGACGCTCGTGAACCGCACGACCGGTCTCAAGAACGCCAACGACGCCCTCAAAGGCCGCATCCTCGAAGTCTCGCTCGCCGACCTGCAAAAGGACGAAGACCACTCCTTCCGCAAGGTCAAGCTGCGCATCGACGAGGTCCAGGGCAAGAACTGCCTCACCAACTTCCACGGCCTCGACTTCACCTCCGACAAGCTGCGCTCGCTGGTCCGCAAGTGGCAGACTCTGATCGAGGCCAACGCCGTCATCAAGACCACCGACGACTACCTGCTACGTCTGTTCTGCATCGCGTTCACCAAGAGGAGGCCTAATCAGATCAAGAAGACTACGTATGCGCGGTCGTCGCAGGTGCGCGCGATCAGGAAGAAGATGGTGGACATCATGCAGAAGGAGGCATCGGCATGCTCGCTCAGCCAGCTTACCACCAAGCTCATTCCCGAGGTGATTGGGCGTGAGATTGAGAAGAGCACGCAGGGCATCTACCCGCTGCAGAACGTATGTTGCGTACACGTCGAGAACACCGTAAAGGTTAGAGGCTAATATGATTCAGGTCCACGTCCGCAAGGTGAAGCTGCTCAAGGCACCCAAGTTCGATCTCGGCAACCTCCTCTCGCTCCACGGCGAGTCCTCCACCGACGACTCCGGCCAGAAGGTTGAGGGCAACAAGGAGTTCAAGGAGCAGGTGCTGGAGACTGTGTAGAGTGGTTAAGGCTATGGTGTGGCATTGGGGAGAGCATTCGTCTTGTCATGCATGATGGACGGGCATTGCTAGGGTTTCAGCGTAGACTCATGCTCTCCAAGATCTTAGCTGCGTGATCGAAAGAAACTTACCAAGCACACTCTGTACATTGGCTTTGCCCAGAAGTGTGGCGTGACGTGATCTTTGACTCTGCGATGCGACCTCAACCCAAGTCGGCCATCGCGGCCAGCATGTCCATGTAGCACTTGAATGACTGTTCTGTGATAGAAGTCTCAGTTACCGCACCTATAAAAGATTAATCGAACGTCTAGTTAGAGAAGACTTTGTAGACTACATGTAATAGACCACTTCCTTCCGCGTTCCATCACCACCACCATCCACTTCATCACCCCATATCCTTGACACCCCATCTTCCTGAAGAAAAGCCACCATGGCGCCCACCCACCTCAACTTCATCACAGGCAACGCGAAGAAACTCGCCGAAGTCCGCGCCATCCTCTCCGCCACGCCCGTGGAACTACGAAGTCAGAATTTGGATTTACCGGAGTTGCAGGGGACGATTGAGGAGATTAGTCGGGACAAGTGTGGGAGGGCTGCTGATATTGTACGTACATCTACCTCTCAAACAACGAAAGGAGGAAGATTGAGCTTGGGGAGGGAGGAGGGAGACTGGGGATTCGGGTAGAATGCTAATGGTCGAACAGGTGAAAGGACCCGTGCTGGTAGAGGATACGTGCTTGTGCTTTGATGCTTTTGATGAGTTGCCTGGGCCTTATGTGTATGTACTGCATCCCTCCTCCCTAAATATCATTTTCCATCCGTCTCTACCTCCTCTGCGACTGTTTGGGGGCGATATGGCTGATGGGTGGTGGACAGCAAATGGTTCCTCAAAGCCCTCGGCGTACAGCAGTTCCACAAGCTGCTGGCGGGTTTCGAGGATAAGAGCGCGCAGGCCGTGTGCACGTTTGCTTATTGTGAGGGGCCGGGGAAGGACGTGTTGATCTTCCAGGGGCGGACGCAGGTGATTATGGTGTCAATCGAGCGTGGCGGTTGGGTGCTGATGAGTTGCAGGGCAAGATTGTTGAGGCGAGAGGACCGACTGATTTTGGTGAGTCTTCTGCTGAGAGCGTGGTCTCTCAAGAGCCGAAAGTCGCTGACCGCTCGAACAGGATGGGACGCGTGCTTCGAGTACGAAGGCCAGACGTACGCTGAGATGCGCGGCGAGGAGAAGAACCAGATCTCGCATCGGGGCAAGGCGCTCGAGAAGCTGAAGGACTGGCTGAAGCAGGAAGCAGCATGATCGAATCCACCTCCCAAAGCAGCCGAGATAGACATCGACCGCACCACCACTCTCTCACCCATGCAAGAACATCGGATCATCCTCGTCCTTCTTCCCACCCTCCCCTTTCGCCTCCACCCCGCCCTCCTTCCCATTATCCCTCTTCCAACTCCTGATCCACTCCTCAATCCTCTCCACATTCCCATCCACATCCTCCGCCTTCTCGCTCCGCAACTCCACCACCATCTCCCCCTCATAAGCGTCCCGCGCCTCCTGCACCAACACCTCCATAATCTCACAGTCCAGATTCTCCTGCAGCTTCTTCTCCCCGTAACCCCGCGCCTTCAACCGATCGTACAGGATCTGATTGTCACACCTTATTACGGCGACGAGATCTATCTGCCGCGGGGGAAAGAGGTCGCAGGCGTGCCAGTCGATGATCTGGCCGCCGTCTTCGAGGTCGTTTTCGATTACATCCAACAGGCGGTCTTCGTCGACTATCTTGGTATTGGGATCGTTTCCGTCGTTGGAAGCTTCGCCGATGGAGTGTTTTTTGACTACGTCGTTGATGTTGAGGTGGTGCAGGCCGGTTTTGGAGGCGAGGGCTTCGCAGTGGGTGGACTTGCCGACGCCTGGGGTGCCGGTTATGATGATGTTGGGGTCGGAGCGGGTTACGGAAGGCATTTTGCGGGTTGTTCTGGTGGTGCTGTATGGGCGGAGGTGGTGTAGGGGTCGTTGAAGGGCGCGGCGCAAGTTGGTGGTGAGCATGTGAAGGTGGAAGGTGTGACGTAGCGCAGTTGAAGTTTTGGGAGCTCTTCAGCCCTATGGCTATGTTGATCAATAGTCGCAACAAGACCCTCTCTCCTCCTACCACAACTACACTCCTTTGACCTTGTACGGTTGAGAAGGACGGGGACGACTCGTTACGAACGGCAATGCTCGCGCGAAGAGCGCTTCCACGCCTCCAGCAATGCCACAGACTTGTCCCATTTCTGTACATCCGGCTTTACTCGACCACAAAGCTCAGCAATGGCATAACACTGGCCTACGACCTCCACGAGCCAGCAAAGAAAGCTGAGCGTGGCCTACGAGACCTCCGCGAAAATGCTCCTCCCATCGTCTTCCTCCACGGCCTCTTCGGCTCCAAGAAGAACAACAGGAGTATGAGTAAGTACGTTCTCTGCTGTTATACCCAACCTATCCGCATCCTAACGACACCACAGAGTCCTAGCCCGCGACCTCAACCGCCCCGTCTACGCCCTCGACCTCCGCAACCACGGCGACTCCTCCCACGACCCGCGCCATGACTACAACGCACTCGCCGAAGACCTCGAGCTCTTCCTCCAACATCACAAACTCACCCGCCCGACTTTAATCGGCCACTCCATGGGCGCCAAAACCGTCATGACCCTCGCCCTTCGCAACCGCGTGCCCATCGCCAACCTCATCCCCATCGACAACGCGCCGGTAGACGCAGCGCTCCATCGGGACTTCATAAAGTACACTCAAGGCATGCGCAAGATCGACGAAACCACTATACACCGCCAGAGCGACGCAGACGCCATCCTCAAAGACTACGAAGAGAGCATCTCGATCCGGCAATTCCTGCTCGGCAACCTCGTGCGCCAGCCAGACGGGACGCAGAAATGGCAGATCCCGATTAAGATCTTAACGAATGCCCTGGACAACATGGCGGATTTCCCGTTCAAGGACCCGGAGGAGGCGAGGTGGGAGGGGCCGGTGTTGGTGGTGAGGGGGACGAAGAGCCATTATGTGGCGGATGAGATGTTGCCGGTGCTGGGGAGATTTTTCCCGAAGTTCGAGTTGGCGGATGTGGAGAGTGGGCATTGGGTTACTTCGGAGAAACCGGAGGAGTTTAGGAAAGGTGAGTCCCTAAAACCCAGCCATGATGGGAGACGTAGGTCGCTAACGTGGTGTAGCGGTGGTGGAATGGTTACAGGACAAGGAGTGATCGATATATCTTTCACTTTCCACGATGAGGCTCGTATGCGAAGACCCGAGTGTGTCCAGACCAGATGAACATACCGGTCAGTCATACAGGCCAGGATCTCAGAGCCGATGAGAACGGCATTGAGAATCGTGACACCGCGACTGCGTCTAGCAGACGAGACCCGGGACGACTTGACGTTCAGCTGCGGATGTCGACGATCTCTCCGCCTTGCCATCATCACCTCTAAGAGCATTGGAGTGTGTCGGATAAACTACGGTCGTCCGTTCGTCTGCATTCTCTCGGCCTGCTTACCCCACTCTGTCATAGTTTTTACGCATCTCTTAATTGTTCCAGCTACTCAGCAACGTTGCCTTGCCCAGCAGAGCCTATACCTTACTAGCTGTTGTTCAAGATATTGACTGCCGGCTTACCGTGCTGTCAGTCTTCGACAAGCTACTTTTTTGCTCGCTACTGTGCCCCTCAATTGGGCAAGACGCAGTGGGCTAGCGCTTTGATAAGGTCGAAACTCCACTTCTTCCTCCAACTCCACCGACAGCTTCGCGGACCTGCGGCCATGTGGGCGGATTACTGCGCGGTCTACTGCTGCTGCTGCTTGCCAATGGCTGTCAATGGCTGCTGTGCGCTCCGAAGACGGACCGCCTCGAGAGCTTCGAGACGATCGGCCGGCCAGCATGCTGTAGCTGTCGCCGACGACGGCACTGTTCGGGGAGCTCTACGGTAGGCATTTCGTACTCTACATATCTTTCCTGCGTCTGCCACCTTCCACCCTCCGTGGGCTTTCCACAACATCCCATAAGAAACATGTACACCCTCCCCATTCTCGCCCTAGCGGCAGCGCTGCCCACAGCTCTATCCCAAAGCTCCAACTCCGAAACCATCCTCGGCGTCTACATGTTCCACCGCCACGGCGACCGCACAGCCAAGATCACCGCGCCCGCCAACCTCACCGACCTGGGCTACCGTCAAGTCTACGACTCCGGCTCCTACTACCGCAGCCGGTACATTGACTCGGGCGCCGACTTCCGCATCAGCGGGATTAACCCGGATGCCGTCCTGCAGTCGCAGCTCCAGGTCTCGTCGCCCATTGATGATGTGCTGCAGAATAGCGCTACGGGGTTCTTGCAGGCTCTCTACCCGCCTGTCGGCAGTGAGCTGGACGCTGAGGAATTGAGGAATGGCAGTACTGTCACCGCGCCGATGCAGGGGTATCAGCTCATCCCGATCGGTGTGGCGGAGAGTGGCACCGGGAGTGAGGATAGTACGTGGTTGCAAGGGACCAGCGACTGCGCGAAGGCGGAAGTTAGTTCGAATGAGTATTTCGTGTCCGACGAGTATAGGCGATTATACGACTCGACGCGGGACTTCTACCGGAACTTGTTGCCTGTGATCAGTGGGATGTTCTCCGAAGACGATGCCACATTCGAGAACGCCTACGAGAGTAAGTCAAGCCCATCCCTCTCCCATCGCTTCTCCCATGCTAACACCCGATCTAGTCTGGGACTACATCAACGTCGCCACGATCCACAACAACACCATCCCCTCCGCCTCCCTCCTGACCGACCGGACGCTCTTCCAACTCCGCACCCTCGCCGACGCCCAACAATTCGCCCTCGCCTACAACGCCAGCACGCCCATCCGCGCCGTGACCGGCATGACCCTCGCGGCCCAAATCACCCAGTTCCTCAACGACTCCCTCTCCACCGCCGGCTCCTTCTCCGGCCAGAGGCTCGGCATTCAATTTGGCGCCTACGCGACTTTTGCTTCTTTCTTCGGGCTCGCTCAATTGCCGGAGGTCAATGAGGATTTCACTGGTGTAACTGATTATGCCTCTAGTATGGTGTTTGAGATGTTCACCAACGCTTCCAAGACGGACTATTCGCCTGAGGATGTGTTTGTGCGGTTCCTCTATCATAACGGTACGGCGAGCGAGAGTGACCCGCCAACTGAGTACCCGCTTTTCGGGACTGGGGAGAATGCACTGGCCTGGAATGACTTCATGGAAAACATGAATGCCTTCTCACTCGGGGATACGGGCGCCTGGTGTACGGCGTGCGGGAACTCTACTGGGGAGTGTGCGGCTTACGTCAATGACAACAACGACGATGGCAGCAGCGCTGGCTCGGCACTGTCCAGCGAGGAGAGCACGGGGTGTTCGAACGGCGTCAGTCCAGCTGTGAACGGAGTCATCGGCGCTATGGTTACTCTTGCTGTTGTGCTGGGGCTGGAGGCTTTGGTACTGGTGGTGTTTGGCTTGCGGGTGGTGAGCAAGAAGAGGCTTGCGCAGGGGGCGGGTAGAGTGGTGGGTGGTGGGGAGGAGATGAAGGGGTAGATGATGTGGGAGAACGAGCACTCCTCAAAGGCAGCGGAGAAGCTAAGGCGGTTGATGAGTAGTAGGCGACGATGAAAGAGGCGGCCTGTCATCTGCTGGTGGAGGCGAGAGAGAGGGCAGATGGGCGGTTGGTGATTGACTACGTTCTGTAGTAGTCGGGGCCAGGAGGTGTAGTGTATCATGAATCAGCAATGAGCAATGAAGTGTCTATTCGTATGTGACAGCCGCTCATGATCCCTGCCAGTCTGATGACATATATCCTGTATCGCAACAACTCCAACGAAGACGTGTAGGATGCCATAAGCATACATTCCCTTCAAAAACACAGACTTTTTCTCCAAGACACGTTGTTCCTGCAACACCGCGCCAACCCAAATCCAGCCCCATCACGCAGACCCCATCACCAGTACCACTCGCTGTCTCTCCTAAGATACACCCGTCTAGCCTTCCAATACCGTTTCCAACTATGTCCACGGGACCCTCCTAACCATTTCCCAAACGCAGTAGAAAGCTCCTGCATATACACATACCCTTCCGAGTCCACCTTAGACGAGCACGGCCAAAGTGCGTCCAAAGGCACCACCCTCACGCTCCGGCAAGGAGGTAGGTGTCGCAGGAGTCGCAGAATCCACTTGACGACCGGGATCTCCCTGCCTCCGTGTGACATGGTGGCGAGGAAGCTTGCTTTCTCCCCCTTGTAGAAGGCGTACTCGCGCAATTCCTCGGTCCAGAAGGGATGTTTGTACTTGGGCTCGTCGCGGAACCGTATTGTGATGTCCTGTAGGTTGTCGTAGCGGGCGAGGTAGTTTGCAACCTTGCCAACCTGAGCGCGCAACGGCCTTACTTCGTCTTTGGTCGCTTCGTGTCTGCTCAGCAGATCTGGCCTCCCATCATCGTGGCGCTCGTAGTAATCGATAAAGATCTCAACCTTCCGCAACCTGTCGAACAGAATCCGGCGCGGTGGTATCGAGAGCTTTAGTGTGATGACCAGACGGACGCCGCACCGCCTTCAGCACCAGAACGAAAGCTCTGAACGCAGTCTCGGATCGGCTGAGTTGACTGCGTGAGCTATGGCTTCGAGAGACGATGGACACCATCGTCCTTCCTTGAACGTATGGAGCCGATCCGAAGGGATGATTTCGTCGTAGATCATTTGTCGTAGCTCGAGTGGGAGGTCGAAGAATCCTGTCTTCGCGGTCGGCATGGCTTCTGATGTGCGTAAATTGTATAGCATGGTGAATCGTGGTGAGTACGTTGAAGACGATGGCTGTCCAGCGTCTGGTAGGTCTCGAAGTGGTATCTAATGCGAACAAGGCAGCCGTACTTACCAGCAACGAGCGTAGCGCGTATTTATATATCTTACCTGATATGCCTAGCAATCGACTCATCGCATGCGTTGCGTAGAAGTTATTTGAGCCTACCTAGTTGCGGGAGAGTTGATTGATCACATATAGTAGGCGTAGAACTTAAATGATTGTTCAAGGTGCACTGACCAATAGTAACTCCTCATGTTTCTATGCTGACCTTTCCTTGCCCTTCCGTTGGTACACGACTCGTGTGCGCGTCGCTGCTTATCAGAATACAGCGACTGCATTCTTACTGTTGACTGTTCTTCCAGAGATATCCTCCAACACCTTGCTAACAAACCCAAGAAACGTAAGCATAAAGTCGGTACAATGTTACAAGTCGAATGAGCGTGTAGTGGTGTCATGTCGCAACTCTCCCTCTCGCGTTGATCCGCGCGCGCGCTGCCTCAAGTCGTTCTGCGTTGGCGTCCTTCCCATTCTTCCCAACCGTGTTACCGCTTCTCTTACTTGGCTGAGGAGCGTTGTTGTAGGACGTCCACATCGCCGAAGGCTTCATGCCCGGATCGTGAGGAGGCGGAAGTGGCTTGGACGGAGCCGAAGTTGGTGACACGTTCTCCTTCGTATTGATGGCGGGTTGCACCGGTCGCAAAGGGGGTGCGTCGCGAGGGCCAGCCGGAGCGGCGCCACGTCTTGGTGGTGGTGGCAGGACTTTCGCTTGAGGTTCGAACGGGCTGGATTCGGGAACTGGTATGGACAGGTCGGTGTCGCCGGCGTCCTCGATGACTTTTGCGCGTTCTATAGTCGAGCTGGGCTCCGGGTGCTTTGGGACGATTGGGTCACCTGCAGGTGAGGGCAGGTCGGGTAGTCGTCTTTTGTCAACCTTCCCTTCCGAGCCATCAGGTGATGTCGACTCTTCGACACTGGGTTGCGCATAGCGGTCACTCTCAGAAGGCTTCGGCGCAAAGTCTCGGTCATCGCCTCGGCCATTGGCAAGCGTGTTAACGTCCAGAGTCTGCAGAGCGGTAGCTCGGGGTGTCTCTTCCACTTTGTCCTCATCTTTGGGCCTCTGAGCTTTTCGCTCAGACTTGCGGTGAGAGACTGGACTGGGCGAGCCAAAAGACTGCGCCCAAATGTCGTCGGCTGCTTTCGGTTGGCTTGGCTCTGGCTTGGACTTCACCCGAGCCCTCAGCGTCTGCAGGTCCATACGTGGCCTATTGGATGATTTGGATGGGTTGTATGGTTCGGACGGCCGCTGCACTGGGTCGGGCTGGGCATCAACCACGGCATGCTCTTCCCGCTGAGAAGAGTTTGTTCTCTGCAGGGGCACCAGCGATCCTGTATCAGCACTCGATGGCCGAGCAGAATCTTTCCTGCCAAAGTGCCGCTTCAACATGGCGATCTCTTCAGCTCTAGCCTCGGACTCTTTTCGGCTCGAAGAGAGCTGATCGTGGAGGTCTTTCATCAAAGCTGAAAATTCGTCCATCTTCGCTTCGAGCGTCTCAACTTTCTTGCGTTCCTGCTCCAGATCGTCCGACAGCTCGGTGCACTCAAAATCTTTTGCCATCGCGAAGCTTTTGGCGGCACGCTGTTTGGTAACGAGCTTCTTAACCTCACGCTGCGTATTTGTGCGGTAGATGTCGTATTCGCGCTTCCAGTATTTGCCAGACTCTGTCTTTGGGTCCTCGAACTCCGCCGGAACGTCGATCGGATCTTCAGCGGCCTTGCGAGCCCTCTTCTCAGCCTTGGGTTTCCGTTTTCTTGATTCGTCACGTGCTTGTTCCAACGCTTCTGTGAGCTTGCCGCGTCCGCGCCGTTTCTCGGGTTGCTCATCCTCAAGATCGCTTTCGTTCGCTAAAGCCTCGCCCGCACCTTCCTCGGCAGGGCTGTCGTTCAACGGTCTCTTCTGCTCGTTATCGAAGATATGGTCGCCAAAAGTCACGTTCTTTTTTCTTGCTGCGGCTGTACCAGGCGTGAGAAGGATGCCCTTGGTTGGCGAAGCCAATGGTTCTGGCGGATCGGCCGGCCGCTGTCTGGCTAATGTTTGCGCATCGCTGGCGCTCTTTGGCCTGGTCATACCAGGTCTCGCCGCCTTGTTGTCGCCGTTGCGGGGCCTTCCGTTCTCTGAGGAGTTTCTACGCGGCTTTGGCTGTACTGTTTGCGGCGTGCCAAAGATTGCGTGCTTGAAGGCGCGTACCGCGAAGACGGGCGCTGGGGTCTCTGGTGGTTCGGCGTAGCCTGTCGTGTCTGGGTCTGTCCCGTGTCAGTACATGGTGTTGCTTATGCGGCGTTGTGTTGTCCGACCTGTCAGTCCCCCAGGCTGCTTCGCCCCAGCCAGCCAGTGCAGCATCTCGTCGACGTCGTACGTTGTCCAGTGCTATACCATACTTCAGCAATGAACGATACAGTGCAGTCCAATGGTTGTTGCACTGCAATCCAGTGTTGAAGATAAGGACAAGGCGATGTCGCGAAGTTGTAAACAATGCCCGCGCAGAGTTCCCCGCGATGCGACCAAGCTAGGATAGATTGAGAGCAGCGCCAACCTTAACGAAATGCTTGTGCTGCACGAAGATCAACCAATCTCGAAGAGTCACAAACATACCAACCAATCTCAACCTCGCATTTGATAAGCATGGAGGCTTGGTAAAGACATGCGGCTGCTCCTGCAGCTGTGTGTAGCGTCCGCAATTCTCCGCCTGGAGGCGTAAGAACAAAACCACATGGCGCCGAAAGCACGCAAACACACCACTGCCAATATTGGAGAAACCAGAAAACCACAGGTAGATACTATCGACTACAACGAGGTCCAGAACGATGAGGTTCAAGCGCTGGAAGCCATTTTCGGGGAGGACTTCGAGGCTGTCGAGGTCAAGGGAGCCTGGAGCAAGACCACAGACCGGAGCTTTAGGTTGAAGATCCGGCCGTCTGATGAGAACGAGGGCGTGTTGACGTTGACAGTCCGTTTGACGGCGACATATCCAAAGACGGTGCCTTTGCTGCTGATCGAGGGCCTGGATGGCTACCATGACCGGACGCAGAAGCGGATCAACGCTATTCTCGCCACCCGCCCAAAGCAACTGCTGGGAGAGGCTATGATTTATGATATTACGAACGACATCAACGATGCGTTGGAAGATGCTGTCAGAGCCAAGCAGGAGGGAACACTCCCAAGCCTGGAGGATGAGCGGGCGACTGCTGAACAGGCCTCGACTGCTATGGCGCAAGAAGCAGAAGAAGCAGAAGCCCGACAGGCTCAGGAAGCAAAGGACGAGGAAGATCGGATGCTCAAACAGATGGTCGATGACGAGATCCACCGACGAGAGTCACGCAAGGTCTCCAAACCCGTCGAGGCTGAACAACCAGCTGCGAATGTTGACCAAGATGTTTTGACATTTGATACGCCCGCCTTCATGCAAGTGGGATCAGAAAGGGTAGCTTTTACTAAGGTATCGCTTCTGACTCAGCTGTCCCAATCTCGCGACCGTAAAGAGCACCTTGCCAAGCCCATCTCCAGCATCGCTCAGTCTTTCCTGGTCGCTGTCAAGCGTCTGACATTCCAGCGTAGCCGCGGAGAAGTCATGGAGCTGGAAGAACTGCTTGCCACCGTAAACAAGCTCCAACATCCTGGTCTACTCAATGTTCTCGCCTACCGTATCGACAGGCTCGAAGCTGCACGCTCCGAGCTCGTTATATGCAACGAGTACGCAGACCGCGGCACGCTCCACGATCTTCTCAGCCTCTGTACTCTCCAAGCCAGCAAGGCCCGTCAATTCACTGTGGAGATACTTGAGGCGCTAGACTACTTGCACCGGAACGGAGTAGCCCACGGCTGCCTGACGTCCAAGACCGTTGCACTTGTCGGCAGGCCTGCCGTCTCGCCGAAGCTGACCGACTTTGGCTATGCTGCGACGTTCCATACCCTTGAAGACCTCCCTTCCGGATGGAGAGCACCTGAGAGCCAGCAAGACTCCACTACTACTGTCCAGCGGAAGTCTGATATCTGGGCTCTCGGCGTCTTGGTTGCGCAGCTTTTCCTTGGTCTCGAAGTGACAGAGCAACATAGCTCCCCACAGGTCATGCTTGGGCGGCTTGAACTCTCTGACTCTTTCGGAGAGTTCCTCCAGAAGATGTTCAACAAGGAGCCGAAGAAGAGGCCATCGCCGTTCGATCTGCTTCCGGCGGAGTTTCTCCGTACCAGCGATAGCGTGATGGCAGAAGATCAGTTCTCCGCGCCGACAACAACTCGCGAGCGCTCAGGCAGCTCGTTCTTTGCCTCTCCCGTCAAGCGCCGCTCGAGACATAACTCTTCCAGCGCCTTCGAGCCGGCTGTCTCCCGGTATGCGTCAGACTTCACCGAGCTTGGCCGCTTGGGCAAAGGCGGGTTCGGAGAAGTAGTCAAAGCACGTAATAAGCTGGATGGCGGTGTATATGCAGTCAAAAAGATCAAACAGGCTCCAAATCTGCTTGATCAAGTCATCTCCGAAGTCATGGTTCTCAATCGACTCAACCACCCCTACGTGGTGCGCTACTTCTCCACTTGGATCGAGGAAAACAATTCTGTCTTCTCCATCATGGAGGACTCTACGACTGAGACTGAGACGGCTACTGAGACCATCACAAATGATGGGGACGAGGAGAACGAGGAAGAGCCTGGCATGGACTTTGGCTATAGCACTGGGGGGCTGGACTTTGTGAGCTCCACTGGGTAAGTCAGACCTCCAAGGATCGGAGGCTTCTCCAAGAAGCGGACAAGTTTCAAATACTTTGCGACGCTCTGTGACCTTTTCAGCTTTGCCCAGATCTTCGAGAGCTTTGCCAACCCTGCTCTCCATTGCTTGGACTCGCAGTGGTGAACATGGGCTGGCAGGCATCTCGAAGAAAACGTCGGGTGCTCGTAGTCTCAGCGGTTCCCATATGGCTTGATCGTGTCTCGGAGAACCTTCCAAACCCTGTCGTCTTCACCTCCATTAGATCGAGGGACGGATGGGTTCTCCGAGACGCCACCAGAGACAGAATACCATGTAGCGCTCGAAAGCCTTTTCGTGTTTGTTCAGCTTTCGGAGAAGACACCCGCTGACTCCTCTCACTCTAGATATTCGCAAGTCGAGTTCGGCGAGGACTCGGAAGAAGGTGACTCTGACGCCGTGGACGACGAGGAGGACGACGATAGAGCACCTTCTCCGCGCCCGGATGGAGCCGGACCCTCAGATGAGGTTTCGGACGCTCCTGGCCGTCGGCTTCGCCACTCGAGAACAGATTCTCGTCGAGGCGCCTCGACGCTGTACATCCAGATGGAGTACTGTGAGCGTCAGACTCTGAGGTCAGTATCCATGACATGTTCTCCGAGGCAGCAGCAAGCTGTGAGCACTACATAGCTCCCCCTGGGAACCTTAAAAAGTCGTTCCGACACTCGAGACGTCTGCTGACGTTCTACAGGGATCTGATACGAAAGCAGATGGGCTCTGATGACTCTTGGCGGTACATAAGACAGATTACCGAAGGTCTGGCCCATATCCATAGCCACGGCATCATCCACCGCGACCTCAAGCCGGACAACATCTTCATGGACATAGCCGGCAACCCAAAGATAGGGGACTTCGGTCTGGCCACCACTGCACTCCAGCATCAGGTCGCCGTCCCCACCATGAGTGGACACAGTGGTGGTGATATGACCCGCAGTGTGGGCACGACACTATATGTGGCGCCGGAGATCCGCTCAGCAGCCAACACGAGCTACAACGACAAGGTCGACATGTTCTCCATGGGCGTGATTTTCTACGAGATGTGCGAGACGTTCAGTACGGCCATGGAGAGGATTCGCGCGCTGGAGAAGGTGCGCCAGAACCAATTGCCAGCCGCCTTCCAAGCCCAGGGCGAGAAAGCCGGTCAGGGAAGGTAAGCTTCTCCAAGACAAATTCTAGGGCTGAGCAGCGTTCTGATACCCTTTGAATCCATTCTTCGCTCGGAGAAACATGCTAATCCTTCTCTAAAGGCTCATCTCCTGCCTTGTCTCCCACAAGCCAAGCGAACGGCCTAGCAGCACGGAACTCCTGCGCAGCGACATGCTTCCTGTCAAGATCGAGGACGAAACAATCCGACAAGCTTTGGGCGGTCTGTCTGACCCGAGATCACCATATCACCAGAAGATGATGTCGGCGTTGTTCTCTCACGACTCGGTCAACTCTAACAGAGTGAAGGCCATGGCTTGGGATGCTCGCGTTCCCGGTACCATGGATGATGCAAAGCGGCTTCGTCTCAGAAGCATCGCCAGACAATCATTCGAAACGGTCTTCCGCCGCCACGGTGCGGAAGAAGCCCGCAGGCACAGCATCTTCCCACGATCAGACTACTACGCCAATACAAACGTCGTCCAGCTGCTCGATGCTTCTGGCAACCTCCTACAGCTGCCTTACGACCTCACATTGCCATATGCACGACAGCTGGGCAAGCACACCTCCACAGATGTACGGTGCAGCTACACCTTCGGTAATGCCTACCGGGACGCCTTCACTGGAGGACCTCCCAGAGTCAGTGAGGAGGTCGACTTCGACGTTGTCACTCACAGCGGCGATGAGCAACGCACACTGGACGACGTTGAAGTGCTCAAGGTCATGGACGAACTTGCTTCGGAGATGCCGTCGTTCGCAGCCTCGAACACTATAAGCTTTCATCTGAACGATGCACGGATCTTGAACGCCATCCTGGACTTTTGTCGCGTGCCAGTCGCACAGCAGCCAGCCGTCAAAGAAATCGTCAGCAAGCTGGGCTTTCATCAACATACATGGGCCAAAGTACGGGTGGAGCTGCGCAAGTTCGGTCTACCAGACACGACGCTCGACGACCTCGAGACCTTCGACTTCCGCGATGTGCCTGACAAAGTTTTCACACGGTTGAAGAACCTGCTCGAGAACGCCGCCCCGCGAGTTCGGTCTCGTGTTGAGACTGGCGTAGACCACCTAGACGATATCGTACGCATCGCAGCCGCCTACGGAACGCAGCACAAGCTGTACATCGCACCCCTGGGTAGCGTCAACGCCAAATTCTACGAAGATGACTTTCTCTTCCAATGCGTGTTGGAGCGCAAATCCAACCGCATCGTGATCGCGGCAGGCGGCCGCTACGACAGCTTAGTCAAAGCTCATCGACCACCAGATGTGCGCACTGCTACTCCTGGCGTCGTGGGTGTGGCTATCGGGCTCGATCCGATCATCAACAACATGGCTAAGAGCAGCGAGAACAGTACGAAAAGAGCATTCTTGAAAGATCACGCATCTGAGACATCTACGGCAAAGCGCTGTGATGTTCTCGTACTTGCGGTTGGAAGCGATGCTGTGCACATCGCCGGAGTCAAGCTGGTCACTACCCTGTGGAACAGCGGCATGAGTGCAGAACTCGCCATCACCAGATCTGGCGACACCAAGGACTACAACTTCATCGTCACCGTCAGACACGAAGCATCAAGCACCGTACGCATCTCCAGCGCACACGCCGGAGCCGACGAGACTGATGTGCCAATGACCGGCGTCGTCAGCCACATCCAACAAGAATTTCGCGAGCTCGAATCTAGCAAACCGCGACCGCCCCCCTTGCTACGGCAGCCGAGCCACCAGGAAGTCGAGCGCAAAAGCAACGTACAAGTGCTTATGGCGAGCCGTGGAAGCAAGAAGTCGAATAAGTACCAGATCGTCAGTGACGCCCAGGAGCATTGGTCTCGCAAGCTGGACGCGGCGAAAGACGCACCCATTTTGGCGGTGGAGACCAGAGACGATGTGCTGGATTTGGTCCAGCAGACCCGACTCAGCGACGCAGAGAGCTGGCGCAAAGCGGTGCAGAGCGTACCACTAAACGACCGGCAGTACGTGCAGCAGATACGAGAAATGCTGTCCTCTTGGCGGAAGAAATGGGAGTCGGGCGACGGTATGCGGGAGGCGTGCGTGTTCAATTTCAGGACACACTATGCCGTCATCTACGACGTAGGACTGTGACGAGAGACGAAGAGACGGTTTGTAGCAGCTCGAAAATCGATTCGATTATGAACTACTGATGTTGTGGTGGTTGCGCAGCCCTCAAAGGCAGGCTCGAGACGAGCTTGCCGGTGTTAGAAGTGCTGGTTCCCTTTACTCAAGTTTCGCTCTTCTTCATGCGTTCCTGCAATTGGCGATGATTGCTTCCACATCGATCCCTCTCCCATCTCGCCATAATCGTTGCATGCTCGCACTGTCTGGTTTCCGATCCTTCCTTCAATGCGTAGTGGTGATGTGTCGCGTGATGGGTGTTATGTTGACTCTTCGAGGTCGACAGGAGCGTTCAGGTGACGCGAGAGAGTTTACTTGCTGTAGAAAGTGTCAATGGCATGTCAATGGCAGCGGAAGGAAGGGTGGTAACGGACCTGCGGGCTCTAGTCTTTCTTCTCTTACGCTTCAGCCTCCGGACGCGCTTCTTCCTCCATTTGGCTCTCATCTTGGGCGACTAGTTTCTGTACTCTGTATTAGTATGATAGTTGCTTTGGTGTGGTGGTGTGGGAACATACGGTGCGTGCCTTTGATGATGAGGTTGGATGGTGGAAGCAGGTTTGAAGCTCGAATTCGAGAGCTTGATGATGTGTGCGGGCCCGAGCTCGGCGGGTCGGCCCACTGTGGTCTTGGCTACCGACCTCCGGCATACTTTTCCAAAAGCTCACTGAAGATTTGGCTTCACTGATGAGAATTTGGCTTCACTGAAGATTTGGCTTTCACATACTGTACAAAGAGTGTGGGGAATGTCAGGTGTTTTACCCAAGACGCCACAACTTCAGTGAAAGCCGCAACCTCGGTGAAATATGTTATTGCAAAACGACAACTTGAGTTGGATGATTATGTGACCCTTGGAGTGTATGAACCAACTCCTCTGCGCTGACTACTGCAATCAATCATCACACCAGCGAGGACACAGCCAATTGGGATGTCACACCACCATCACCTCCGTGACAGAGCAGGCCAGCCAAGCTCAAAGTCGGTCGCACCACCTCCTGAGCCTTCCACTGAGCCTCTGGTGAGTCTTTCCGATGGTAGGTGTCGTCGCCCAGGGCGAGCAAGTCTTGATGCCACAGTCGCGACGGCAAGTTGACATTTCAGACGTGGCTTCCACACCATACACCTACCACCCGCTCGATGCAGACGAGATTCGCTTACTCTACATCTATCCCGCACCCACCGGCCAGCCCCTCTGCATCCACATCAGGCACCACAGACTGACAGCCGCGCTGCGGTAAGACACCCTCCCGTGTACGTGGGACCACCAGTGTTCAACCATAAAGTGGCGATTGTCGCTCAGAGTCCGCTGGACGGGAGAAGGTACGGTCAGATTCAACCACACCGGGGAGCAGCAGAAGCGCTAGAATTTTACTTCGCCATCACGCCGACGCTGAGACCAGTAAAGTTCGCCTGTTGTCACAGCCAATCACATACCGACGAATATATACGGACTCCCAATAATTGTGCAGGACAACCAACCACAGCAAGTTGATATGTCATCGCCGGCCCCGACTCCACCTTCCAAGAAGCAGCGTACATGGAATGGTTGTATTGGCTTCACCCATCAGTCAGAAGACAAGGAGAATTTTTTGAGTGTGGATGAAGAAGGCAGGATTTTGGAATCTATAAAGGCGAATGCTGCAATTGGCCTGGAAAGGGACAAAAATCGCAGCGAGATCACAAACCAGTACGTTGCTATGCGTCGATACCTAAGTGTTCACACTAACGCGTTCTCCACTAGACATTTCCGTACACGCCGCGAGAGCAGTGCCGACATGGGTGCACAAATGGACGTGATGGCCGAGATCCGACGTCTTCAAAGGAACGACAAAGAAAGAGCTGAACAAGTTGCGGATCTGCAGAAGCGAGATAAGTTCAAGGATGTTCAAATCGCGGCTCTACAGGAAGAAGCGAAGATCAATGCTCCTGCGAAGGATGCTGGTTTGGCCATACGGACGCGCCAGTTGGAGAGGTGCAAACGTCTCCAGGCGGGCGAGGCGAAGACTCAACTTGAGCATGACGGTAATGCTGCTGCTCATGGTGGGTACATAGACGCCGACCAGTACCTCGTCAAGCGGGACCAGAAAAGCATTCATCCCCGCGGTTACGGCAGTGTGTATTACCATGGAGCAATACTCGAGCGCACAGCATAGCAGATATTCTGCTATGACGGAAGTCTTCAATCTCCGCGGCCGGATCGCAGCCGCAAGAGACGACAGAATGCCAGATTCTTGCCACACGCTTGCAGAGACTGTCCTACAGGACATCGACAACCTGATTGGAAGGGTGAACACTGGCGGGACTCCTAGGATTCCCGAGATGGCGATGATTATCACCAAAGCGGATCCTATTCGATACCATTGATACCAAGAGCTTTCGAGATGCTCCAGTACGTCAACCAGTCACTCTGGGTTGAAGGTCAGCCGATTTGGATCTCTAGCTGGACTCACAAGACCGGCTTCATCAGCACGTGGGGCGATGTCATTGACAACACGTTCCAGACGGCTGGCAAGTCGGCCTTCGAGATGGCCTTGATGGACAATGACGAAGAGGACATTTTCATGCTCGCCGTCAAAGGCGTGGTCTTGGACCACATAGGTAAGCACTGATGGGTCAAAGGGTTCTCCAAGGCACGATCACACTGCGAGTGGCGCTCTGAGACCTCGCTATCCCTCCTACGGCATCGCGACACCTGCTGACCCTTTCACCTTTCGGTGCTTCAGGCACCCTGGGAGCAGATCTGCGGGAAGCAAACGAAGTGCTCGATGGAGTCACCCTGGATGACATACCTGTTGACACCGTGCGAGCTCAACTCATGGAGCCTTTCGAGCTGATGCGAAGCGTCACATGGCCTCCAAGATGCTACCACACGTGGGAGAGCTGGAACGCTGCGCACCTGGCTACGCTGAGAGCCGGCAAAGAACGCGGCGGAGATGCTTTTACGGAAGAGTTTGGTCGCTTCAGCTTCGACGACTGCTGCCGCATCATCATGAATCGGCACCGCTGGCTGCGGAGAACAGGACCCGACGCGCACGTTTTCGCCGACTTCAACTACTCCATGATCACCACCCTCAGTCACCTGAACGGCTGCACCAACTGGTCGCGGATAACCGTCACGCAGTGTGGCCTGCTCGGGCGAGTTCCGCATGGCACGCAGCAAGGTGATGTTGTTGCGCTGTTTGCTGGTGCGCAGGTCCCTTTCGTTCTGCGACCTCCTGGGGAGCCGGAGACGGGGTTCAAAGTGGTCGGACCGTGCTATGTGCATGGAGTGATGCAGGGAGAGCTTTCTCACGTCCTCACGGAGGAGAATATGGTACCTTTTGTGCTTGGTTGATGGGCACGGCGAGCTCTACTTGCGTCGCAAATCGGAAAACACGAAACGAGCATGCTTTCAGTCACATCATTACTACCCTCTACACCCGCAACCTGGTATCACTAGCCCTATACAACCCGCGCCAGCAATGCAACGCCTGCCCAGCCCAGCCCAGCCCAATCCAAGCACACACATGTACCCAAGAAGCATCTTTCCCACCCTACACATGCCCCCCATTCGCCTCCCCCTTCCCGCCCATAAACCTCTCCATAAACTTCCGATAATCATACTTCTCCAACGCGCGATCCTGCTGCAAATCCGGGCCCCGATGCTTCGGCATACTCTCCACCAACTGCTGCACCAACTCATCGGGAATCAAACTATGCGTCAGATCCAATTCCGTCACATACGGTTTCCCGTCCGCCACTTCCCGGAACGACTCAAAGACCTGCTCCGCCGTGTTCTGGTCCTCGGTGACGTCCACCATGAAGCGGATGAACTGCTCGAAACTCACGCTGCCCCCGCGGCCGGCTACTTCAACGAAGCGCTCGTGCATTTCTTGCTCGTCGTAGACGAGACCGAGGGAGGCGAGGGCGGCGGAGAACTCGAGTTCCTGCAGGCTGTTGGATAAGTCGCGGTCGAAGTGGCGGAAGACGGATTCGAATTCTTCGAGCTGGATGGGCGTGAGGTTCGTCATGTTGCGGGCGACCATTTGGTTGTCGAGGAAGGCCATTTTCTTCTGCACGCTGCTCTTCACCAGTCCGAGTTCGTAGGAGAGCTCGTCGTAGGTGTAGGTGGTGAAGTCGTTTTCTTCAATGTTGGCTTCGAGGCATTGCTGGTCGAGTTTTGCGATGATGGCGAGGTATTGGTCGAGTGGTGGGAGGTTGCGTTGGATTTGCGTGGTGTGCTGTTGTTGGTCTTCGACGTCGCCGTCGAGGCCGGAGATGCTGGTGCTGATGGTTTTGAGGGCGAGGGCAAAGTCGTTAGCTTTGTCGGCGAAGCTGCGCCGGAGGTTGTTCTTGATGTCGCGGATGGTGTTGTTGATCACTTGGCTGCGATCTCGCTCGGCGGCCATGAGTGCGTTCCACGCATTCTCCAGCGACTCTAGGCTCAGCTCCTCCGGTGGCTCGTACGGTCGCAGTCGGTATGTGCTCAGCTTCGTCTTGATATTGCCCAGCAAGCCGGCCAGATCACTCTTCTCCGCTACCCAATCCCGCTTCTTCCTCTGCTTGTACTCGTTGAACGCTCTACTCTGCTCCTTCGCATCCGCATACGTGCCATCAAAGTGCGACTCCTCCCAATACAGCCTCTGCTCCCTCAGATCGTGCAGCAGCGCCCTCATCCTCCGCTCGAAATTATTTTGCATCTCCCACGCCCCCTGCATGTTCGATACAAACTTCTCCACCCGCCTCCCAGCATTCTCTACCCGCTCCATCTGCGAGAAGGCATGGAACCAGTACGCAATGTACGTCATCAACGACCGCTCGTCAGGCTTCGGCACATCGCACACGTCCTCCACATCCAGCAGATCCGGGATGCCGATTTCCTTTGACGCAATGTCGAACGCCAGCTGCATGTTCCCGCGATGGTCCGACTTATCCAACTTCTCGTAATCAATCAAGTCCGGCCGATGGATATCCAGCAGCGCACAGAACGCCAGTCCGTCATTCCAGCTCGCCGAAAAGTCCCGCACGTCCACTTCATCATAGCACGCCGTCTTCCGCTGACACCACAGCAACAGCCCCTCCCTCGCACTCAGCCCCTGGTCATTGATATCGCTGATCGTGAACCTCAGAATCAACGTCCATATCAGGCCCAAGATAATCTTCTGATTCCCATCCACCACATCCTCTGCGCCGATATTCGTCAACTGGATCTTCCGGCTCTTGATAAAGTCCAGCGCGATATTCACATTCTCGAACCGCTGCACTCGGAGCTTCGGGCGGGAAGCGTAGCGTCCTAGGGACTCATTCGAGAGGCTCTCGAGCAGGTGGATGAGGATGATGCCGTCGCTGAGGTCGGTGATGAGGTTGTTGACTTGCACGTTTCGGGCTTTGATTTTGTTGTTGAGCCTGCGTCGCCTTTTTAGCCACATAACTCCTCTAGTAGCTACGCTATGTTCTTACCATTTCGAAAAGGTCTTCTGTTGTACCTATCCCGCAACGTGTTAGCATCGCCATGCCCCAAGTCGTTCACATATTGACTCGACCTACCTTAACCCAGCTATTCTCGAGCAACGCCATTCCCTCTGCCTAACGGGTAAGATACATGAAAGTTGCTACACTCCCAAATCCAAGAAGTCGTGTGTGTATTTCCAACAGTCTGCACAGTATGCCGATGTTCAGACAAAGGGGAGTAAGTAAATGTCAAAAGTGCTTGCTGCGGTCGACGAATCGATCATCAACAAAGCCGTTGCCCAAGCGGCCAGGCCAAAACCCTCGCTTGATCGGGTTTAGTGGGCTTTGTGACCCCTGATGATGATCGGCGCTTGCGCTGCACTGTCGCTCAAGAGGCTTGAGGATGGTTGTTGAATGGAGGCTCGAGTTGGAAGCGAAATTGATTGATGTGCTCCAATGGTCGACAGCTGCTTCGGCCGCGGAACGAGGGCGGTGTTCAGGGAGTCGCAAATGTTGCTACAAGCGGTCCGAAGACACGCCATACAGTACACGGGGGCAGCTATATCGTTACAATACACTACAAGTACATCCTCATATCCACCCCAGCCCACCATCATGCATCCTAACACTCCCATGAATCACCTGACTTTCCCTATGCCTGTGCATACCCTGCCTCGACGACCCGCGCTGATGCGCCGCCCGTCCGGCGGCCTGCCACACGGCATGCTCCTGCGGGTCCTGTGGGCGGCGCATCACGAAGCTGTCCCGGTTTGGTTGGTGTTTCGCCTGTCCTGCTTCTGTATCGCGCTCGTACGGCGGACTCTGCGGCAGCGACTCCAGTGGTGCGGAGATGATGGTTTTCGACAGCACGACTTTATGCCTCGCACCGCCGTGGTTCAGCTCGGAGTTGCTTGCGCCCGAAGCGATGGACCATCGTTTCGACTCTCGGTTCCCGCGAGACGACGCGCGAGCACTGCTGGCGTTGGAGCCGTGGGAGCTGGATTTATGGTGGCGAGGGCCAGCACTAGTCCGCCGCGAGTCGGCTCTGCTGAGAATCGGAGCGTTCAGTGAGCCAACGCCTGAGTCGTGCAAGGGCTTGGGAGTGGTTTGCTTCTCCTCGCCATTCACGCTCAAGACAGGTGAGAGGAGGTCAGGTGTGCTGGAGCTCGGGGTGATCTGGACAGGCGTGGGGATGTGTCTGCTCAGATCTGTGGAGCTCCTTCTCGCTGCGAGAAAGCCGCGGTGGCCGACGGAAGAGGGTGCGCGTGCTGGCTCTTCAATCCTTCTTGACATGCGGCGCTCTGCGATGGTATCTTTGTTGTTGCTCACTCGGATCTGAGGGCCGGCTTCGTGTGCGATCGTAGGCGAGTGAGCGTGGTACGGCGAGGTGGCAAGGTTCAACTCGTCATCTTCCAGGAGGTAGTGCTCGCTGCCTCCCGCGTTTGTACCCCAGTTGAAGTTACAAGTAGATTCTGCCTCCTGTTCATAGCAGTAATCCACATCATCCTCCCATGTTGTGTCAGAGACAATGGTCGACTGCCTGACACCGGTAGAGCTCGACTGAGACGGCGACTTGCGCAACGAGCGAGAAGATCTGGATGAGCGTTTTGACGACCGTTTCGAAGATTGTTTGGACTTTGGAGACCAGGCATGCTCGGAAGGGATCTGGAGAGATACAGGTGGCAAGTAGCCTCCTCCGGATCTGGATGAAGCTTTACTCAGATTTCGTGATGAGTGTCGGCTTGGTATCGGTGGCAGTGGCTGTTTTGAACGGAAGAAAATGTCGTCCTGCTTCGGTCGTGGTATGGTATGAGGTATCAACACTGGCGCGACTGGAGCAGTGCCGTTTGGGTGTTCCTCTTGCTGGTCCTCCGGACTGTCGCGCCCACCAGATACGCTCGAAGAGTCGCTCTCATAGAAGGTAGTAAGTTGCCTATGCGGTGGAGTGGTGCCATCTTCGCCTTTCATTGCCGTCAAAGACGAATAGCGCCGTGGGAAGTGTGGTACCTGTGGTCTAGACCGTACTGAGCGTGAGCGGGTGAGGGTGTTCTGATTAGTCGCAGCAACCGCGTCAAAGATCGTATCGTCCAGCCTTGCGATTGGCTCGACTGGTGTGTTGATGTGTGGCGGATCGTCGCCCAGTTCTGAAGGTGAAAGAGGCGATACAGGGCGTGATTTTGAAGTTCCAGGTCTCGATGAGTCGGAGCCAGATGAGTGAGTTTGTCTCGGGATATCGGTCGCTGAAATGCCATTGAGATGTCTCTTCGGCCGTTGGCGAGCAGAGACAGACCAGAACTCGCGCGGCAGATCCTGCTCATCCACTGTCTCTAGCGGTGGCAGTGATGTTTTCGAGGTATGTGTCACATGTTCAAAGTGGAATGGAGGCGATATGCTCTGTTTGCGGAGATGCCTGTAATCTGCTTGACCGGTCAGCATATCCTGGCTATCAGAATTGCATGGGCGACTGACATTCATCTTCCTTTTGAAAGGTCTCGCGGCCAATTGAAGATACCGAATCATTTCGTGCAGATGAGAAGGAAGCATTCGAGTCGGATCTTGCTATTGACGCAACTGACTGGTTTCTCCTCTTGCTGCCCAATATAGAATGCCGGATCGTATCCAATGGCTCAGCGACCCGTCTTGTAGATTGTGTAGTCTGTGATGTGTTTGGGCGCATGGGAACAGGCACTTCATCTTCCTCCGCCACTTCTCGTCGCCCGGGTGTCGCATTTGACTTTGACCGATTGAAAAAGAATGAAGTCCTTTCGCGGAAGCTCTTCTTGCTGCGTACACTGGCGGAGGATGATTGTTGACCTGGCGTGCGAGGTCTGGAGGCAGTGAAGGATGGCGGCTTCTCATAAGGCGACCAGTGTGGTGGAGCAGGAAAGTATTCGGCCATGGTTCCTGCAAGGCGGGCTGCAGGCCGACTTTATCGTTGTTATTGTCGCTGTCGCATCGCAGGCCAGACGTAGAGCGTTTTACTGTAATGACTCGTCGCGTATCAAGTGATCGGCGGCCATGCGGGCGGTTTCACAAGACTGGGAGGTTGTACGAAACAACGACGCGACCAGCACGCGAACGGGAAGAAGAAGTCACAAAGTCTTTTGCCTTTGGGTTGGGAGGTGGACGAAGGAAGGGGAGAACCAAACCTCGATCTTCGCCTACGATGTTCGCACCAACGCTACAAGATATCCTTGTCCTTAGGATGGCGTCGAGGGACTCGAGCTTAAACACCCCAGTCCCGCGCGGCGAGGCGTGGTTGGCACTGTCTCAGACGCCCAATTTTGCCAGACTGCGAGGCGGGCGAGACATCCGGCGAGGATCTGGGGCACGACATGCGATGGTCGAGTATCGATGCTCGAAAAGGCAGCACGAGACCGCATTGGAACGTACTTTTCGTCTTGTGTAGCCTTCCGGCGCCTTCACCGACCGATAGAGCGGCTGTCGTGTACCTCATCGGTCCGACAGAGAACGGGTTTGCACAGTTTACGACTCCTTCTCCAGTCTTGCCGGGGCCATCCTGGTTCGGCAGTCCCCGTGCTCCTGGTTGCTGTTCCCAGCCACCATTTCCGGCACGTCGAGGTGTTCCAAGGGGAAGACGGAGCCCGTTGCGGTGTGATGGAAAGTGAAAAGCTTGTGGCACTTGCCGTTGCACGATCCACTGGCGATTTGCGAGTGCGTGAAGCCGTTCTCCACGCCGTTCACGGCCAAACGGCCTCTCAACGGTCAAGACGATGGATCTGCGCGCCGTTGAACCTTGACGCGAATGTGCCGAAGACGTTGCCGCTAGGCCCATTGCGGCAGGAGAGATGAGGCCTCATTTCGTCTTGTCTTCCTGTGATCGACCTCGTCCGTCGTGTCGACGACAGACGCAAAAATACCCGCAAGCGAGAGTATTGGAACAACCCATTGAGGAGCACAGATTCGGCGCTCAGCGAGTGTGGCACCCTACTGACGATGGGTGGTGCATCGTGAATCTCTGAATCGAGACCGCCTTGGCCACAACGCTTCCTTCAAAGACGCCAGCCAGCCACGAATCCACGATCAACTTAACCACATGAACAGCAATTATTGCCTTCTCACAGACAACCTCTGTATAATGCGCATGTGGTTGTTCGCACGCGTCAGCCGACCTCGAGGCGATTTGAAAACATGGCGAACAAGCGAACTATCCTCCCTCCCCCTTGCTTTGATCCTGATATAGACGGCTCGCAACGACTGGTCAGGACTCAGAACGGCATATAAAGACTATTGAGCCGCGCGACACACCGAGTATCGATTCTGAAAGAGTTGTCGGCGCATACGAACTCATCCGTCCGAATAGGGAGATGCCTACACGGAGGATTCTCTCGCTGGCTTGACTTTCCGCGGCGAGTGTGGTGTCTTGCAATGTAGTGGCGGAGTCTGCAGACATACAGAGTTTGTGAGCTTCTGCTCTCCTCGAGCTTGCCATTTATGCTTGGCTGATGGCCGCTCGTGACCCAGAGTCACCATGGTCTAAACCTTCCCACACCTCATCCAGATGAGCGAGACCACTGCTGGTTGTTTGCTTCTTGCACGGGTCTGAGTTCCAAATGACTACAGTCATAGCAAGCCTTCCGAGCGATATGAAAGGTAGGAAAGAGCCCACGGAGACTTCAGGGTGCCGTAAGATCCTCCACCATGTACTCCTTATCAAAGTTCAGCGACGGCCCCATGCCGCAGTCAACGGCGCCCAACGCAACAGCAGCTCAAAACATTGGAGAACTAATGCAGGCATGGTTCCGCACCTGTCACGAGAACGTACGTCCAGCAGATGGCAAGTTCAAGATCTTAGCTCGAATGGTTGAAATACCGCCACCGGAGGAGGGAGATGCAGGTGAGCTCGGTGAAGAAGCAGTCTCCGGTCTCACAAACATGTTCCAGATCGCCCGCGGCTTAGGTCACCACAAAGAGATTGCTGACAGGCTGGCATGTGCCGACGAGTTGTGCAAGGTACTTGCGAAAGCCACAACTAACATGGACGCCGCGTGGTGAGGTTGCCATACGCGTGGTTGACGGACGCTCGAGCTGACTGGATCTAGGCTCGACCTCAAGTCGGATCTGTACAGAGACCTTAAGGAGCAGAGCTCGAACAGGCTCTGGCTAGTGCCTGCGGTGCTGATGGGACCCTGTGGAAACTGTACTTTTGTTTTGACGACAGTCAGTGACGAAAGTTCTCACAGACACGTTCTCTTGCGGTGTGAACATCTTGCTATCCTGCGACTGCTCGCATCGTTCGAGGAGTGTGAGCAAAGTCCGGAGGTGAAGGTGAGTCCTAATCATTTCTCAGCCATGGTCTTTGCTGATCCGACGGCTTGTAGTATTCCATACTCACCATAAACATCTGCCGCGCCAGAGTAGTGAGATTCGAAAGGTCCGGGTATGAGGTCAAAGTCCACATCACTCAGTGTTTCGACTTGAAGGATCGAAGAGATACCATTAGTCTGCACAAGGTTTTGAGTAGTGACTGGGTATCGACTGTCCCTGCTGGAGAATGGACCCGGCCAGCGCGAAAGGGATTGGGAGCGCTTCTGTCCGCTGTTGGGTATTGAATGCTGCTTTCTTCTCCTTGACGTCCCAGTGAGTGCACGACGCTGTTAGGCACTCATATCAGGCTCACGGGCGTTCTTTTCATGCGGCTCCGCCCTCGCAAATGGTGCCTTCGAGGTCCTCGTAAGCTAACGTGGTCTCGTGTGTCTGCCCTGTCATGAGTCGTGAACGACTATACAGCAGCAAGCATTTGGTATGCCACCCATAAGAGAACCACCCTCGCCATGCTCTGACATGCCAAATACTCCTCGAAAGCTCTCCCGGCACAGGCAGCATGGACACGGAAGCGTCATCTCGCATTGGAGAGGATCTGAGGCAAGCCTGGATGGTTGCCCGTAGTAACAGTGCCAGTCCTGAAAAAGGTAGGTTCAGATTCATTCCTCAGATGTTCGAAATACAGCAAGTTGCACCACCTGGTGGACTGGCAGAGGACGGGGTGGCCAGGGTGGCGAACGCTTATCTCATCGCTCGTGGGTTCGACCCCAGTGAAGCTCATAACTGGATGGCCTGTACAGCTACAGTGTGCACTGCTCTGAGAGATGCGAACCCTGGACTCAGGTTTCAGCCGCGGTAAGGCTCGCCATATTGTTGCTCAAGAGCTGCGTGCTGACAAAGTCCAGGGACGGCACGGACGAAGCACTTTTCCAGGAGCTCAGTGATATTCAGGAGCCGAAGCGCTGGCGTGTTCCTGGCAGGTTCCAGACAAGCGATAGTAGCTATGGAGTTGTCCTGGTTGACAACAGCGAGGACCATGGTGTCGTACGGGGGAGTGAGCATCTGACCATCCTGCTCTTGCTCAACTGGTTTGAGGCGTACGATCGGAAGCACGGCGCTGTGAGGGCAACACATCCAATTTTTCAGGTAAGTAATAATCTGCTATGCCATTCGAACGGGTGCTGACCGACGAGCAAAGAAACAGCTATTCACCATCAACCAGTGCCGCGCTCGGGTAGTGAGATTCGAAAGGACAGGCTAAGGCGCAGAAGGGTAAGGTATATTACAGCGATGCTCAGCCCGACTTGCTCCATATCGCATACCTCCCTCCAAAATGTCTGAAGCTGCCATCACCGACGTGACCAACCCCACGGCCAAAGAGTTACACTGCGCACGGGCTTCCCTCACCGGCGAAGATGTTACTCCGTTCGAGAACAAGTTCAGGATCATGGCAAAGATGGTCGCTGTTCCAACAATCGAGCCGCCAGGTAGGCTTGGAGGAGATGCGATGAACAGCCTCACCAACACATTCCGGATTGCCAGAGGACTGGATCCTGGCGATGCTCCGAGCATACGAGCTTGCGTAGAGTCCTTACGCAAGACGATCGAGGAGGTAACGCCGTCCATGTTCTTCGACCCGTAAGTTGTCCTTAGATGTGCTGTTCAGGATGCAATTTGTTGACTCTCTGCAGGCGGGGCGAAGAGGGTGATCTGCTGGAACGAGTAACGTTCGGTAGACTCTGCGACTCTGTCCTCGGAAACCATTGGCGTTATGTCGGATCGATGGACGGAGCAGGCGCCACCTTTGTAGACGTCGTCTCGGATCCCAGAGATACGGGCCTGTATCCAGGCAATCTGCTTCGGAGCATCGAGCAGATGACCATACTCAAGCGACTAGTGGACTTCACTGAGCTCGAGAAGCCTCCAAGCATAAAAGTGAGGGTGCAACACATCCTCTCACGCCCTAACACACTGCTGACTGTGTATGCAGTGTTCGCTCCTTTCCATCAAGATGTGCCGTGCGAGACTGGTGAGTTTCGAGCTGGCTGGCCACGACATCTGTGCGTCTGTGACCCGGTGGTTTGATTAGCAAGATCGCACAGATGTCGTGTCTCTTCATGACCTCGTCAGCCGCGATTGTTCGCAGCTTGGTGGACGGATCTCGCATGGGCGAAGCCGTCTTGCAGACTTCGTGGCTAAAGCGCCATTTGGCTGGAGATTTTTATAGGTGAGCTTCCGACTGTACTCCGATAGCATGTAAGGCAGCTGCTTGTTGCATTAGATAGTGCTTGAGCCGAATCAACAGAGAACGATGTGCATACTGCATGGTGCTTCCACGGCCTCGTCCTTCACCGTTGCTCGTTCCCTCCGGGCAGCACAGTATCTGCCATGGTGTTTGCTGTCGACAGCATTACTTGTGGACTCGGGTGTAACAAACTGACTCCTTATGTGTTAGCAAACGCAGAGGCCTCATATATTTTGCAGCGATGCTCACCAAGAAGTTCTAACTTCTAAACCCACACCCATATACCCACTTGAACCCACAACTGTATACCCACTTTCGTAATGCCTACTACAAGGCCCCCAACCACAAATCCCACAGCCGAAATTCTGTACAAACGGTGGGCCCAGGCCATCGATGAAGGCGTTGGTCCGTACGAGGGACCATTCAACTTCCTAGTTCAGCTATTCAGCGCTCCAGCATCATTCGAACACATCAGTGAACTCGGAGACGCAGCAGTAGGCAGGATCAACGACACTGTCATTATTGCTGGAGGGCTGCAATCCAACAATAATGGTAGCAGAGTAGCATGCATCAACTCGCTGTGCAGGGCTCTCGGGAGAACGACGCCGTGGATAGGTTACACTCAGTGAGTTGATTACCCTCAATCCCCAATAGTTCTGGAGAGCGTTGTATTAACACGACATAGACACAGCGGTGACGAGCGACGATGGCTCCAACGCCTGTGCTTCAACACTCTTTGCGATACGGTGGGGACAACTTGGCTCTGGCCTGGGGTGCTGACGAGGACAGGTAGCAGCTCGATAGATGTCTTGTCCGACTCCAACGAGGGACCGCTTGGCAGCACAGAGCTCCGGAACAGTGAGCATGTGTTTATGCTCTGCCGGCTGGCGAGACAGACGGAGCTCGGCAACCCTCCGGTGAGTCCTGCGCAGCTTCGTTCATCTTCCGTGGTATTGTGCTGACGGAAAACGAAGCATCTGCTGCTTTCGATCGACAGGACTTACGCCAGATTGATCAGGTACGAGTTGCATGGTGATGATTTCCGAGTCCACGTGACTAGGCTCCTCAACCTGACAATTGATACGCATGTGGCGGAATTGCATGACATTTTGAGCAATGATGGGCTGCCGCCATTGTAGCAGGTGCTGTCGATGCTGCACTTCTAATTTCACTTCCGAAGCTATAGCTTAGTATCGTATGGAGTTGCTTAAATCAGGTAGACGGGCATGTATGCTCACCTTTGACCACCATCTCGATCTTGGTTCTCACCAATGCTTCAGTGTCGAAGTGTCTGCGTGTCCCTCGTGGCATGTGGCATTTGTTTGCGACCTTGTCATAAGGTATACCTCCAGCATGATCGGAGAAGCAGTGACTCGATGTATGAAGGGTGAAGACAAGCGAACTTGAAGCGGCAAGCCTTGAAAAGTCAGGCTTGTCCTTGAGAAACTGAGAACTCAGAAACCACAAGCTCTGGCTCACTTGCCATCCACCAGACAGACAGCCGACCATGGAAGAAGAAGAAGGAGAAGAGTGGGCCTGGCTGTACCAACGTGCGCGCTGGCTTGCACGCACATTGCTGCAGAATGGCCAATCGAGTTCTCCGGCTCGCCGCCGCTATGCTCTGGCTTATCCTGCTGCCTCCAGACCCACTGCTGCTGAGTTAGAAGCAGCAGCAGCTGAAGTTTCGCAGGCAGAAATAGATGAGCTGTCGAAGGCCTGGCGCGGCATGTATCGCCGAGGGGAGTGGCCGGCCGAGAACAAGTATCAGATCGTCTCGACCGAGGACGTCGACTTGCCGCAGATCGAAGCCGCAGGCCAGCTTTGAGAGGAGATTCTGGAGATCCTCATCCCGCAAGCATATGTACCAGGACAAACCCTCGACGACGTTGTGACCCGGGTGGCCTACGTGTTTGACTTGTCCAAATATCTGGCATTGAATACCCATTCCATGGTAGAAGACATGTAAGGCTGTCCAGAAATGTCCGTGCAGCCCAAGCTAATCAGTTCCAGATTACATCAGACTGATCCCAAACTGATGGTGTCTCTCAGCGATCATCGTAGTGCCAATCCGTTGGACCACTTCGAGGCCCCAGTCATGTTGTCTGGGCCTGGGAAGGCTGTCAGAGTCGTCTTGACTGGCCTTGAGTACGACACAGGGGCAAATGGATTGGGCAGGAGCGAGAACTTGGCAATCTTGCGAATAATCGCGTGGGCCGAGAAGAACGACAAATTGGACTCCAAGGTGAGCCGTGGTCGCATGTATGCCGTGAGATACTCGCTGACCCTCCCAGTTCCCGCTTCTATCCATATGTAAGAACCGCGCGAGATGGGTTAGTTTCAGGTGGGAAGATCATAATATCCATGTTCAGAAGACCGGGTGGTGGGATCTTGATGATCGACATGATCTCACGAGCTTGCACCATTATATGCTGCATAATTGGACTCCTGCAGATGAGCCGCCGGGTTGGTTGCAGCGGGCACGAGGGTGGCTGTTGGGTAACACTGGCTGATGGAGAGGGAGGTGAAGATGAGGTCTACTAGCAGGTCTTGGCACACGTGACCTTGGATGGACTTCAAGTTTGGTGTACAGGTTGTCATTCTACTTAGTTTCGAACACGACCTGGTTGGTCACAGAGACTTCTCATATCCAAATGGACGTACCACGTAGGTGAACTTCCAATTGCTCTCCTTTTCGTCTACGCGCCACGTCAACATGGACGACCAAGATCCAGTGATCGAGGAGAATGAGGAGCTTCAGAAATTCCTAGGCGCAACATCGTTTGGCAAGCCATCAAGAGAAGCAGATGTAGCGAGGAGGTTGGAGCGTAGCAAGAGGCCGACCGGCACTGCAGCGCTATCACCAGGAGCAAACGGAGGTCAGGCGAATGGTCGAAGGAAAAGCAAGGACCCTGAGGACGAAGATCAAGAGGATGGAGAAGACGACGACGGCGATAGCGACGACGACGATGACGATGACGACGAGGATGAGTTCCCGGTCTCTCACGAGATGGTGATCAAGACACACGACAGGGCGGTGACATCCGCAACTATAGACCCAGCCGGCGCGCGATTGATCACAGGCTCGGTGGACTGCAGTCTCAAGTTCCACGACTTTGCGTCCATGACACCGACCACTGTACGAGCCTTCAAATCAGTAGATCCGAGCGCGACCAAAAGCTCGGCCAATGTCGAAACACACCCGATCAACCAAGTTCTCTTCAACCCGCTGTCGGCTGGCCATGTCCTTGTTGCAACCGCCTTGCCTCAAGCCAGGATCTTGTCTCGAGACGGCGAGTCGGTAGCGGAGTTTGCAAAGGGCGACATGTACCTTCGAGATATGCACAATACGAAAGGACACATTTCAGAAGTCACGACAGGAACATGGCACCCGACCGATCGCAACCTATGTGTTACAGCAGGAACAGACAGCACCCTAAGGATATGGGACATCAACAATCCGCGTTCACAGAAAGAAGTGATCGTCCACAAGTCGAGAGCTGCTGGCTCAGCGGGACGCACACGGATGACCGCTGTCGCCTGGGGCTCGCCAATGCAGGGCGGCAACAATTTGCTGGTCTCCGCAGCGCTGGACGGCAGTCTTGTCATGTGGAGTGGAGAGGGACCTTATTCACGGCCAGCAGCTGAGACCCGAGAGGCTCACACACCCGGCACCTGGACCAGTGGACTGGACATCAGTGCGGATGGCAGGTTGGTCGTCACTCGAGGCGGCGACGACACTATCAAGCTGTGGGACGTCAGAAAATTCAAGCAGCCTGTGACTACAGTCTCGCACGCTTCCACATCATCGCAGTACCCATCTACCAACATCAGGTTCTCGCCGAACTCTTCCAATGTCATCACTGGCTCAGAGACCGGACACCTGCACATCCTAAACCCAGCTACCCTCAAACCAGAGCTCGTCACACCCGTCACGCCAGGCTCACCTCTCATATCCGTTTTCTGGAACTCCAAGCTCAACCAAATCATCACCGGCTCCGCCAACGCAGAAACCCACGTCCTCTACAACCCCAATACCTCCACCGCCGGCGCCAAAGCCGTCATGGCCCGCGCCCCAAAACGCCGCCACATCGACGACGACCCCAACCTCACCATGGACCTCGCCCAAGGCATCTCAGGTGACTCCATCGTCGTGCCCGGCGGCCCCGCGCCCTCGGGTGCTAGCTACGCCAGCCGCCACCCCACCGTCGGCCTCACCGCCTCCGGCCGCAGCAGAGATCCCAGGAGGCCCAATATGCCCGCTCAAACTCCCTTTGCGAAGACGAATCCCGATGAGGAGTACGTGCGCAGCCAGATCCCACTGTCCTCGCTGCGTGATGAGGATCCGAGGGAGGCGTTGCTGAAGTACGCGGACAAGGCGAAGAATGATCCGATGTTCACGAACGCGTGGAAGGAGACGCAGCCGGAGACGAAGTATGCTGAACTCAGTGATGAGGAGGAGGAAGGGCCCGAGGCGAAGAAGGTGAAGCGATGAGCCGATGCGGGATCTGCTTTCGTCATACCCGAGCCGAGACCAAGGGCGGTCGCAGTATACCTCCTACAACGGCAAGATTTGCGGGCCATGCTGCCGCGTTCTCTAAGATCCTCACGAGCCCGATCCCTGGCTCCCGCTGGGCGACCACATGGCAGCGGTCAGGAAATATTGGTGTTACGTATACAGGTACGTATACATGTATCACCGAAGCTGCGGTACGCTAAAAAGGTCCAGCACAGAAGTTTGCCAGTCGACGTTACCGAACTTTCAAAGCGCCGTATCGCTGCGCTGTATACGTGTATGTAGGTTTAAGACTGTGGACACGTGACTATACTCTGAAAACGAGAGTTCCAGGCAGTATCACGTTCCTCGGAGACAATTCTAGGCACGGAAACTTTTCTCATGAGCGCGTACGTACAGGACGGCAACTTCGGCGAAGTCTGAGGGAATGCGGGAAGGATGCCGTCCCGAGTCGCGGTCACTAATGCCGTCCCGAGTCGCGGGTCACCACCAGTGACAACGAGCAGGACGCGCTGCACGTTTACCACAACCGTCACCATCGAAAGCCTCGACCTCACTCCTGCGGACTTGCTACCTGAGTCGATCCTGTCTGGCGTTCGAAGTTGAGATTGCAGCCCGAGCCGCTTGTCCATTGAAAGTCGAGAACCTACGGTCATCCTGTTGGAGGAGGAGGTGCCGCTCGTCTAAGCGACGAGGAGATGATATGTCTAGTTCTGTCATACTGGAGGCGAAACGTGGCTGCTACAACACCGCGAATGAATACACCATGAAGGCGGCCAACTGGAGCGTTCATCTCAATGGAGGCGCAACTATGCCGGTCGACCCACAGCCAGATCATATGGCATATGCAACGTATAGCTTTCCCGTCTTCGGCTTGATGCAAAGCGGGATCTGAACTGCCTCGGGAGATTCGAGCAATCCATCGTCGGCCGACCGCGCGTTATGGCGCCTCAACATCCCGCGGATTCGACGGGCGAATACGAGGTGTGCGTCAATGGCTGCGGGTGAATTGAATGCATTGCACGGCAGGGTGGAATAGCTCCTGAGGCGAAGCACTTTACCCCGCCAAGCACTGGTCCAAAAGCTTAGGCAACACTTTGAAGTCACATGGAACGTTTGCCCTTCGACAACATCCATCGTCCCCATGCCGCTCGAATCGACCGTGCCTGGCCTTCTATGTTGAGATCGCAAGCCAAGCTGCCCGTCCATCGGACTTAGAGACCTGGCCATCGCTCGAAAATGGAGGTACCATCAGTACCCAACCGTCCGTCACCACATCCAGGTTCGTCGTGTTCCTCGTCGGAGAGCGATGAAGCACCCCAGGAGTGCTAACCCTAACTCAGATAACACCTACGAAGCTCATCCGGTCAGCGAGGCGGTGATCGAGGTCCTGGTCTTCATCTCGATCTTCCCGGTTGTCATACTAGGCGACGTTTACATCCTCTGGAACAGCTGGGATGTAATCCACGTTCTCCTGGCCTGCGGATTCAGCTTCCTCGTCCCTTTTCTGTATATTACGTTCTTCCACGATTCCTGGCCGAGAGCGCGAAGTGCCGCCTCACGTCCAGCTTCGAGCTGAGCTAAGTGAGGTGAAAGATTGAGCATGTGGAGCTAAAGGATGAACAATAGAAGAGCCATACCGGGGGACTTTCCGCACGCGTTGCAATGATCAAGACACCGTCGTCTCCTCCGAACTGGTCTCCTCCCGGGCCTTGATCCGCTCCACCCTCTCCACCATCGCAGTCTCGCGATCCACCCGCAGCTCCCTCCGCCAAATCTCCACCTCCAGCATGCGGAGATCCTGCATGCCGACCTGTCCAGCTCCCCTCAGCCCATCATCCTTCACATCGAAATACAACGCCCACAGCCCGCTCCCCTCCGTCTCCTCTACGGCAATGAATCCCTCCCAGCCCTCGAACATCAACCGGCGTTCGAACTTCGTGGTATCCCACGGCCCGACTCGATGCGGTTCAGCTTCGTCGCGGACGCCGTATTTGACTTCGTGCGTTGCGCGGTCGACGTACACCCAGTTGAGGAAGGGCGGGTCGTTGGAGATGGTCGTCACCATGCCTTCACCTTTTGCGAAGCCGGCTTCTTTCCAGACTTCGGCCATGTTGTGGTAGGGGAGGAAGTAGCCTGTGAAGGGATCTGCCAAAACATACCGCGGTGGTCAGTAGCTGTGGGAGGTATGGAGTGATTGCGGGGAGGGCGTTGCAACTCACGAAGACCCTCGTCACGGGTGCTTAAGCCGGTGGTGTCGACCCACAGCTTCTTCTCCTTGAGGACTACGAATGCGCCATCGAAGCGCTGGGAGTACTCGCTGCGGCGGAGAAGGGATACCGTCAGATGTGTCTTGCGGCCACGATGTTCTTCTCGTGCATTCTGTCGTTGGCCATGGCGGACGGCTTCGGTCGTGCCGATGATTGCAGGACATGCTGCTACGGCGGCTGTGCAAGAGTTTGTCAGTGACGATGATCTGAGGATGGAAGACTCTTGTGCTTACTGAGGATGCCGAAAACCATTGCGAAGACAGTGCAGCCATTGTCTACTGCATCACCAAACAACGACAGCGGTTCAATGCCAGACGTACGAGGTTCTTACCGAGTCGTTTGCCAACACGAGACACAGTGCGATGGTCTCGTCAGGACTGTATGCAGCCGAGAATGATCTACCATGATCCGCGTTCATCGACGTGTTGAAGTGGGTACCTGCAGCAAGAACAATCGAGCTCCAGATGTGGATTTACCTCTTACGGAATGGTATAGAACTCAATCTCGACATCGGACGTCCGACCGATCGTACATCGTCATTGCACCGCGGGGTTGAAGCCAGTGACAACCTCGAGAATACCATTGCGCCGTCTGGGAACAGGCTGGGTATGACCTATAGACAACCGTTGCTACGAGACGCAGCTTCCATGACCGGCAGTTCCGCATCAGCAGGAGAGGTGCTGAAAGCGCAACATTGGCTGTCCGCCAACATCGCCCTACTCTCAGATAGCCTCCCGGACGCTCGTCGAAAGCTACCGCCATTGTCACTCCCCCGCCATGTCCATACCATCACAGCAGCCCGATGGTGATATCACCCTTGATGCGAGCCTCCAGATGTATCTCAACGTCCAGGTCCAGCTGGATGTGAATCTTCAAGCTGCTGGGCTTGTCGCCGTTGCCTGATTCGGTCTATGGCGATGAGGTATACCGTCAGCTATTGTTCGGCAACAGAGCTCATCAATGAGTTTCTCATGTCCACGTACCACGCCTGCGGGAGCGCCAGTACTTGTCGTCTGGGTGCCCGACCGTCCTCCAAGACCGCCCCGCGCGGAGTCGCCGGTCGTCGCTACTTGGCCTGCCTTACTTTGACTATACGGTCTGTCAGCAAGTGAAAGCTCCACTGGAGAGAGGATACACATACGCTCCCTCGGCTGCGCCAGCCGCAGTGTTGGTCACGTTGTCTCCCAATCCCATGTTGTCACGTCAGGATCTGTGTTCGCTATGGTGGTGTGTTGAGAGATTTTCGACTTGTGGGACGATGCGTGTATATGAGCGAACGCAGCTCCAAGCATTGAACTCTGGCGCTGCTCAAATCAACAGCGCCCCTCGATGTGGTACATACCCGGGGCCCACCCCGGTGTCGATCATGTTTGCATCATGCCCACTCTTGCTCGCCAAGCTGCATGATCGTGCATGTGCTTCGCCTGGGGACCCGGTTCCTGGTGCTGGTCGTCCAGATGCCCGTCTCCGACAATGCGATTTGATCTAAAACTTCTCAGATTGGAATTCCCATTGGCAATTCTGAGTTGTCCGATCGGATGCTCTGGGATGCAGCAATACATGTATTCTATTGGGCTGTGACGTACGTGCATTAACCCAAAAGTCTCAATGCACGTATCCCGACCTCATCTCGCATTGGTCGAATGCGAGCATTGCAACAAAGTGACCACTGCCTGTTTGAGTGAGCTGTCAGCTTCATCTCTGGAATAGCTGCGGCGACACCGCAATCGCATCGCTGGCCATCTCTCACATTTGCCACCACTTCTCCGGGCCTGGGGTTTCCTCATCGCGTTCTCCGCTCAAATACTGCTCTTCGCCCGAGGGCAGCAAAGCGAACAACACCTTTAGACCGAAAGGCGCAAGGTGCCTGAACATAAAGAACACGACAATGGGCGTCGAAGTCTCATACTTCCTAGTCCCAGTCTCAGGCGGACTCCCAATTCAACCGAACAACTCCAACTTTGTCAATACCTACGACTTCGTTCAGAATGGCTTTGAGGTGAGTGGTCAACGGCGGGGCGACTTTAGGACTTCGAATTAACAATTCATCCACCAGTGGGAGCAATGGTTCATGGAACGAGGCGACGGCAACAAAGTCGCATTTCGAAACCGTGCTTCGGGCAAGTATTTGAGAGCTCAAGGAGGCAATGCAGGCAACTATGTCATCACTGGCGAGAAGGAATGGTAAGCATGATCCATCGCAGCCCGTGAAGGTACTTTTACTGAAATCTTGAACTCAGGTGGAGCCTGGAGACCGGCAGCACACCTCGTTCCTACTGGATCAAATGCGAAACTTACCCCAATGCCTACCTCTGCAACCCGTACGGGTCGTATAAATCCCAGAACTTGATCACGGTGTGGGGCAAGCAGGAGATCTACAAGCAGACCATGCTCTGGTACATGTACGATGAGTTGACCTGGAAGCAACATATCAGCTCGAGTCCTCAAGCCAACTTTGCGGGGCCTCCGTCTGAGCAGCAGCAGAAGGCGGCGGAGGTGCAACAGCAGGAGATGGAGAAGCAAGCGAAGGAGTCTGAGGAGAAGGAGAAAGCGAGGCAGGAGAGGGAGGAGCAGTTGGCGGCAAAGGAGAAGGAATTCGCGGAAAAGCAGAAGCAGGCAGAGGTACGGCGGAAGGACTTGGAGAGAAGACAGCAGCAGTTTGAGGCCAAAGAGAAAGCGGCAAAAGAGAGGCAGGAGCAGATAGAAGGTGAGTGACGTTCAGGGCCGTGGCCCAGCCATCACTTCAGGTTTCGCTGACCTTGAACAGCCCGTGAGCAAGCCCTAGCGAAGAAAGAAGCAGGCAAAGGCGACAAGAACTCCGCCAACCAGGTCTCCGAACTTCAGCGTCAGCTCTCCGAGACGCAACGGCAGCTCGAAGAACATAGAGCTGCGCATCACGAGAAGTCCGCTCAAGAAGAACAACTCGCCCGACAAGAGCAAGAGCATGCTAAGACACAGGAGGCGTTGCAGGCTGTACAGCGAGAATTGGCAGACATGCGAGCGCAGATGGCGAAGCGTGATCGAGAACTCGCGTCGGCGCAGCAGCAGAATGCTAGCAAGCCTAGTGGTGTCTCCAAGATGAACGGTCCGTCTTCGGCTCGAGGTGGAATTTTCACAAAAAGCGATCAATCGCCACTTCGCGCTGAGCCGGAAGCGAGTGCCATCAATCGACGTGAGCCTTTGGGTATGAGGACGAAAGGTCCGCGACCAGCGACGCAGAGGCCAGGACCGGCGCGGATTGAGATTCCGAGGGACTTTCAGCGGTTGCCGCGGTTGCGTCCTTGATGGGGTGTTGGAGGAGAAGACGACAAGAAGGGGCTCTGGGGCCTGAAGAGTGCATCTCCACGGTTGACGGGAGCGAGGTTGCGGAGGTTGCTTTGGGCGCTCGAGGTAGGCCTGGACCACCAGCACACCTCTTCGCGTTCGGCATCCACAGGTGCAGTGGCTGTGCTAGTCTTGAAGACTCTTCAGCAGCTGCCGACGACACCATCTGTGTGTGCATGGGTTGGCCGACGCTTGTTGAGCGCCAAAGCTGGACAGGTGCAATGCTCTAGCAACCACAACCACGGGATGTGAAGTATATAGAATGCCCGATGTACTTCCACACCGTATAATTGCATACCTCAGATAGTCGTGCATATCACATCTTCAATGAAAGTCTGTGAGCCCTCAAGCGGTGGTGGGGCATGATCGAACCTCACTTCTCTCGTCTCTCCCACCTCACAATGCTTCCACCCTACCAACACAACAACACTATGGCCACCCTTCTTCAACTCCCAACCGAGCTACGCCTACATATCCTCTCATTCCTTCCAGACTTTCTCCTCTCACGCACGGAAACCGTCGGCGCCAACACCCGCCTCACACCATCAATCTGTCGAACCTCCCGGCAATTGAGAGAAGAAACCCTGCCTCTCTACGCCAAAACCGCCTCCTTCGTCATAGGTTTCGACAACAACACCACGGGAACCCTTACCATAGCCTGGCTCAACTCTCTCGGACCGGAAGCTCTACCCCAAGTCCGCAGTCTGCAGCTCAGCCGCCACTGGGCCCTCTCGCAACCAAGTCGTTGGCAAGGGCATGTAGGATTCTACGTCCGTCTCCAACGAGACGGTGAGGGGTGGCGGTGCTCCGCAGGCACATACCCGATTGCTAACGATATGCGGGGGATGCGGTGGGAGAGTGTGGAGTTGTTGCGGAAGATTGTGGAGGGGAGGTTAGTTGATGGGCGGGGAAAGGAGGGGAGGGGGCTGAGGAGGGAGGACGTGGAGTTTGTGGTCGAGGCGATGGAGGTGGTGGCTTCGCATCCGGTGTCGACGTTCGATACGGAGCAGAGTGAGGATGGGAGGAGGCGGCGGCGGGGGGTTTGGGAGGAGATGGAGAGCAAGTTGGCGCGGCTTGAGAGTAGTGGTGGGCAGGAGGTTGCGGCGAGGCCTTTCTTCACGCCTTACTGAGCGATCGTATGGGGAAATAGGAAGGAATGAGGTGGCTCATCAAAGTTGATCAGAAGTTCTGAGCTCGGCGGCTCTGAATTCATCATCAGGACAAATTATACATAGAAGTTGCACTTCGCTCGCTCATTTCTGTGAGGGACGAAAGGCCATTGCCTCTGGCGCGTAGAGGCATGTCCTCCGATCCAGTAAAACATCCTGTCCAACACTGTCTTCAGTCGCTCAATTCTATTGCTTCCTCAGCCGTGTTGCCGACAGCCTGCAGCGAGGTGTTGCTCGGGCTGTTGGCTGGTGGACTGCCCTCTTGCTGAGCCCACTGCATCTGACCTTGCCCATAGTCGCCTGGCTGCTTATCGTCATAGCCGTAGTCATCCTCCTCGTAACCACCCTCTTCGTCTTCGCTCTCATACTCTTGCATTTCGTCCTCGTCGATGTCTCCGTCCATCGCTTCCTCATCCTCACCACCGTAGTGAGCGCGACCGTCCTGATAGCCCTCTTCGTCCACATAATCTTGTTCTTCTTCCACTTGGCTGTCCCAGCTCGCTTCGTCATCGTCACGCTCGTCATCATTTTGGGCTAATGCGGCGTACGGATTCGCATGACCATACGACTGACCGAGGTCTTCCTCGTCTTCTTCCTCTTCAGACTCATCAAGGAGCTCCTCAGAGGCTTCGCCACGATCGCCAGTGCCATTGGTGAGAACGGGTGCGTTATCGTCACCCTCCTCTTCATCATCCGACAGCAACGACACAGTCTGCGTGGCCGGCTGGGAGTCATGCTGCGTAGCTGGTGGTTGGCCGTTTGGGAATGAAAAGACGTGGTTCTGTCCATGACCGTGAGACTCGCCGAAGGAATTCGAAAGAGCTTGGTTGATCTGAGATGGCTGAATAGTCTGCTCTTGCGGCGGCGAGGGGTGTGAGCCTTGGGATTTCGACGAAGCTGTGGTTTGCGGTGGTTCTGTTATTTGCTCCTTGGGCGGCTCAATGGCGTGTGCTTGCGGCGTTGGGAACTGCAAGCCATGATCTTTAGGTGCGGATGCATCTTGCAACTTCGAGACCTTTGACAGATGGTTCGTTGCCGGTGTCTGAAGGAAAGGATTCTCATTGGACATGTCGGTTGTGTGGTGAGAGAAGGTGATGGGCTCCTGCGAGGTGAAGGACGGATACGACTTTGGCGGGCTTGGTGGCGGTCGAGGCTGGGCGAAAGTCGCGCCTGAGAAGGCCGAGAAGCCATTCGTCCTGGCAGGTGGGTCATTCGTTTTAGCAGGTGGGTTGGGTAGGGAACTCCCAGCCTTGATGCCAGCTCCAAAAGAAGTATCGTCTGGCATTGTGACAGGGTCGGCAGCGCGATCGCTGACACGCGACTCTGGCCTGCTCGTTTCTCTCGATCTTGAAGCCCGAATCTCCCGAGCACGCTCAATTGCACGACCGTAGTGCTCTCGAGATACGAATTTGCTCTCCCTGAGCCGATAGGCAGGGACGTCAGGTCGGGAAGCATCGCCGTTGGCGAGCTGTGATGCACGCAATTGCGCGCCGGAGCGAGCCTTTGCCATCGATGGTGACTCGAACTCATGAGATGACTGCGACTCATTTAAACTGCGTTGGTTCTCATTGTCTCGAGTTACCTCATCCTTGTAGTAGGCTGTGCTTTGCGAGAGATTCTCACGAGCTGCACGTAGACGAGCGAAAAGCTCTTCGTCATCATCCTTTGAGCTGTTCTCCTTGGGCTGCAGAGACGTTTGGCGCATTGTCGACGCTGGGGGTGGCATTGAAGTTCTGCTTGCCAAATTGTCGTTGGTGGAACTGATGAGTGACTGCGGACGAAGCGCTGGTGGCGATGTTTGCGCTGATGTATGTGTGGAGGCCGACATGCGCCGCTTTCTGGAGCCAGCATTGATGCTCTCTTCCACTCGGTTCAGACCCATTGCTTTGAGACGGAAGTACGATGAGGTTGTGGTGTTCTTGGTCGGTGGTGACGTGTTGTCGCGGGCGAAGGCCAGGAAGGCTGAGCGCTTGAGGAGGTCGGCATGTGAACTGTTGACCGCTGTCGATGGCTTTGCAACGCGACCACGGTCGTCCACATGGCTTGCTGTCTTGATGCGCTTGTGGCCCCTCGAAAATATCCCATTGCTCGCATCTGGACCATGAGATGATACTGGCCGCTTGCTGCCGGGACGCGCTTGTTGCTCAGAGCGGGCCGCTTGCTCGTGGTGTGTTGAATGTTGGCGTGTTGGTTGCTCGTGGCGTGCCGTTCGCACGGAGGTGGCACTCTTGGAGAACATGGATCCCATGTTTGACTCTTCCTGATAAGGTTCAATCCCTCCTCTTGTCACAGACGCTCCTCTGCTGCTGGTCGAATCGTTGCCAAGGAAGCTCTCGGTCTCAACACTTCCCCTCTGATGCAATCTTCTCTGTCGCCTCTCTCTCCTGGCTCGACCGGACTTGGCGAGCTTGTGCTGCCAGAACAGATTCCTCCACTTCCTCCCGTACCTGAAAGCCAAGGTCTTGTGACGGAAGTCGTCGGCTATAGCGTTATTGTGCTCTGCTTCGAGCTGCGCCTTCACTTCGATGATCGTTTGCGACACGTGATATCTGATGTACTGATCGAGAGCTCCTGCGACAGGTGCATGGAAGAACTCCGATGCGACGCGCGCAGTATTGGATTCCAGGTCATCAACAGGTGGTGCTGTCGGTTGTGAGAATTGTGAGATGTGTTGGTGTTCGGTCTGCGCCTGTGGACGAGTGGCGCCAGGCTCTTCGGTCGCCGTGAAGGAATTTGAAAGTGGACTTGGCTTCTTCGGTCTATTGTCGTGTGAGCTTGACGGCCTCCTGGTATTCTGCGTTGACGGGAACAATGGCGCGTGATGGTTCGTGTTCGCCGCCGACAATGAGGGCGAAGGTGGTGCCGGAGTGAACTGAGGTTGCGGTGCTTTGACCTCCGGCAAACTTGCTGCTGGCGGCGTAGCGGCGGGAGTAGCCGACGGAAATTGAAAAGTCGCCGGCAGCTGCGATTGCTGAGGAAAGAGCGATGGAGATGCAGATGGTGCGGACTCCGTCTCCGGTTCTTCAGCTTGAGTGCTTGCTGCTGGAGTGCCGATCGGCTGAAAAAGCGACGGTTTCGGCTGAGTCGCGGGTGTATTGAAGCCAGAGAAAACGCTGCTGGTGTCCTTGGGAGGTTCTTGTTCCTTGGGAGGTAGACCCCAAGAGAAGGCAGGCTTCGCTTCATCGTCCTTCTTCTCGGTCTCGGACACGCCGCCAGTGTTGCTGGTAAAGCTAAAGAGAGGCTTTGCGGGAAGCGCAGCTAGTGTCGCGGGTGCCGAAGGCTTGAGAAAGTCGAACAGGCCCCCTGAACCACTGGGTTGTGTAGCTGGCGCACTCTCCGTCGTAGAGCTTGGTTTGGCGAATATGCTTGATGTCTCCTGGGTTCCTGATGGTTTGCCGAAAGTGAAGCCTCCTCCACCGCCGCCGAAAGGTGAGGGTGTTTTAGTAGTCGTGGACGAGGAGCCGTTGCCTAAGAAGCCGTTACTCAAGGGCAGAGAGTCTGTAGCTTTGTCGTCCTTCGCTTCAGGTATGAACAACGACTCCTCCTCCTCAACAGTGCCTCCATTCTGATTTCCAACCCCTGTTTCCTCGGTCTGACCACCTTCTTCATTCGTTATGTCGTCCATGCCTTGGTCCTCTTCTACCTCTTCAGATACCAATCCTCTCTCCTGTGCTTGACGCACAGACAACCCATTGATAACAGCCGGAAGTGTTCTACCAAATCGCTTGTCCTCCACCAGGTTTGTCTTCAATTGGTTTGCCATGTCTTTAGGCGGCGCCGGAAGCGCCCTCCCTCGTACCGTGCTGAGATCCAGGTACTGCTGCCCATCGTCTCGTTCCTTGAATGCGAACCCAAACTTCTCACAGTAGTCATACACTTGATCTGCTTCGTCGAAAGCAAGGATATTGCCAAGCACCTCGATTGTCCAGTCCGGTGTAGCGAGACTCGTATTTGGCCTTGATGTGCGAAAGAGTGCGGCAAGCACAGTCCGACGGATCAAATTGAACCAGATTTCCGCGACGCAGCCCATGAGGTACGATACTTCCTTCGATGCCACCAAGCTCCAAAAGCGTTGCCAATCTTGTCGCGCCACCAAGTGACTGGCTTTATGTTGTTTGAAAGGTCCTTCTGTGTCCAGCACGTTGCAGGCTGCCATGTAGACGTTGAGCGCCTTCTGCACCCTAGTATCCCGAAGCACCTGCCGTGGCCAGGTCTGCATGCGGTCTTCGAGATCAGGGATCGGGTCCTTTATCTGGAAGATGACGCAATATGCGCGGAACTCGGGCTCGTTTGGAAGTGCAAAGCGGCTTCGACAGTCGTCGTAGAACTGCATCAGCGAAAGTAACGTTCGATCGAGCTGCTCCATCTCCTGTTGCCAGTCGTACTCCGGGTACGGCTTTTGTGGGAGTGCTAACTGATGCAGCGACATGATGTGGAAGCGCGCGATCCGCTCGTAGCATTCCACCGCGATCTGGAGCTCTTCGGTCTTCCTCAACTGCTGGATCGAGAAGTCATTGCGCACAGCGCGGGTCCGATCCCAGACAAAGTGGTGCACTTTTGCCAACGATGAAGCATTTGGAATCACCTCGTCGAAAAGGTAGTCGCATGTCTTCTTCAACACCGCTGGCGGCCGTAGATCCGACGGTAGTTGCTCCTCCAGCCCAGCAGCCGCTCTCCGGAACTTCTTCACCATGCGCGCCTCGTCCGGTTCATCGTCTGTCAACGCGTAGGCGGAATGGTCCGGATCCTGGTGTGATATCAGAAATGCTGCCTCTCCATATTTTCTACTTCGATATAACGAACCGTCTCTTCATCCCACACATCTTTCTGCACCACCCTCCGCACCCGCTCGTACTCGGCGCACATATCTTGACATGTTCCCACCAGCGTGATGGCGTCGGCGAGTGTTCGCGGTTTGTCCGGGTCGGCTATGAGGCCTCGTCGTATGGCATCGGTGCGTTCTCGTTCGCGCGCGGCGGTAAGCTAGATTAGATCGAGTCACTATTAAGTCTGGTCAGTAGACCGATGGGCTGGGTCAACGCACCGTTTGAAACCGCTCCTGCCAGCTGCCTTTCGATTGCGCGCCGCCGAATGCGCTCGGCTGCTGCGGAGCCCTCTGCTGTTGGAAGCCATTGTTTGCGGTGCTACCGAACGCGCTGGGTCGCGAAGCTTGTCCAAACCCTCCTCGTGTCGTCGATGAGCCACCTCGCTGCGAAGTATTGCTGTAGACCCGGCCGCGTGTCGTTGATGCGCCTCGACCTCTTCCTCTGCTGGATGGTTGTGGTGTGCTACCGCGCCCTCTCCCGCGCATGCTCTGCCCTCTCACAGACGACATCATCGCCACTGTGGAGGAGTCCGGATTGAGGCGGCATGTGTGAGTGTTGTTATCGGAGAAGCATGGTGCGCTTGTCGAGGTGCTGTCGCGCTTTGTTTAAAGGTGACGCTTCGGGAAGCTCAGAAGTCCATACCATTTAAGCTGCGCTAACCAAATTGGAAGGTTCACGTGATGCTGGCTGTGAGACGAAACTCAAAACATGGCGAAGCCAACTCTGTTCCAACTTCACGACAACATTCACTGCAGACTTTGTACTCGTGAATAGGATGGGACGCATATTACCGAGAGAAGTTATTGTCGCATACCACTATGTACCCACAAAGTATAACCATGCCAAGCAGAACAGAACAGTCATGTATCGGACAAGGATTTTCTCTTCACACATTTGTACCATCATGCATATCATCAAGGCCGTCACATGCCAAAGGAAACCCGTCCTTCGCATTACCCATCATGAAGCGATGTTTTTGGTCGTTATGTTGACTCTGTGGTGTCTCAGGGAATGCCGAAATCGCTGCGTCACATCTTGCTGTTCACACATGGTCGTCGGAGCAAGAGATGCATTCATAACACGTTGCTGAGTCGTTGAGTCGTACGTTCATCATCCGGGCATGGATGCTGCTGATCTACGTCCACGCGCCACCACCTGTCGAATCGTTAGCGGATGTCGAGGAGGATGAAGTCGGAAGTACTTACCAATACCAGAACCATGTCCCGTGAAGCCACGGTGGACAGAGCCGGGCAGTGCAGCTGCTGGGTAGGTGCCGTCCGACCTGTGCTCGTAGTACGGATACTCCGAGACCTCGTTCGGCGGTGGGTGCTGCAGGCCATTATAGACAGCTGGAAGGCCGTGCAATGCTTGATGCGGGCACTGATGGTTCGGCTTGTAGTCGTACACCTCCTGAGTAGCATGCTGCAAAGCGCCGGCGATGCCATACTGCTGCTCTGGCACTGCGAAGCCGGCTGGGGCAAATGGAAGGCCGTTGGGCTCGGCAGCAGGATGTGGTTGCATGATGCCGTTATTGTCGACGACGTAGCGCTGCGAGCCGGCCACGTATGTCGTTTCCAGTGGTTGTTGACATTGTTGCATGCCGTCGTAGCCCGGGAAAGGAGCCTGACCGAGCGGCATGGGCGAGAACATTGGAGTGTTGGGCACGGTGTCGAATTGTGGTTGAGGTACACGGTGAGCTTGGTCGGCATGGAAGTTATGGACCATCCCGTGTGTTGGGTTGGTGTAATCGTGGTTGCCCGGGAAGGTTATTGGGCTTTCTTGTTGATGCCCATGGACAAAGCTGTCATGGGTGTCAGACTGGGCTGAGTTGAAGGAGGCGTTCATGGGTGAGGGCGCCTGGCTATGGACGAAGGTGCCGACGCTGCAGTCGACCGAAGAGCATCGCGGGAACGTCGAGGGTCCGGCTTCGACCATCGAGTGATCGGAGTACTGCCTGGCTATGGCCGGACGCCAACCGGTGATAGGGACAGGGCCAGAAGTGCCTTGCGGTACTAGATCGCGGCTGTAATCCATCTTCTGATCCCGCAAGGGCTTGGGGTGCATCATCCTGCCGCGTGCTGGCTCGACGAGAGAAGCGTTCGACATGTCCTCCACTAGCTGGCCCTGCGGTGACGCGTGGGCGACCACGACCTCGCGTTTGGCTCTCTTCGTCCTGCCTCCGGCTGTGGAGGATGGCCTGGATCGCTTGGTGGCAGTCGTCGGCTCACGCTCATCCGGCACTTGAATCATGGTGTCACCGTCTATCATTGACATTAGCATGAGCATAGGTCAACGACCAAGACCAGCGTTACCCAGTTCGTCCCGAAAATATCGCTCCTCCATGTCAGCGACCTTGTACATCAGGTCCAGAACGATCTCCCGACGCTTCTTCTTCTCCGTCTTGTCGGGCTCAAGGCCATCGAAGAGGGAGACCGGGGTCATCTGCTTGAGGAACTCCGTCCAGCCATAAAATTCGTGGGTGTCGGTGAGGCTCGTCCTCTCCGTGCTTCCGCTCCACTCTCTGGCCTTCTCTGGCGTTGGTCGGAGACGCAACAGATGCAAGCACAATTTCATCCGAGCTAGCGAAGGTCAGCAGTAGGCTGGGTGATATTGGCAGGATGCTTACACTCTTTTGGGATGTGGTCTGGTTCTCTGAACACACAGACCTCCGAGGGCCACCACTCCGGAACCTCTGGGTCCTTGCCTTCCCTTTCCTTCCTGATGCTGTTCTGGTACGGGTAGCGAGCTTGTTTCTTCGGGCAGATGCCCTTGATCCAGGCTTTGGAGATTTGCTTGTCGGCCTGTTGCTGCAGCAGCTGGAGCCGGCCGTACAGGTAGTCTTTAACCTTCTCGGTGTCGGAGACCTTGAAGCTGTACGTTGGGGTGCGCTTTGGCGGGACCTCGTCATCTGTCTCACACTTGGAGGTGTCCGACGACTGAGTCGAAGCGATGCTTCGAGGAGCTGGCCTCCAGTCGTCAATGTTGTGGTGGACGTCGTCCATATCTTGTTGGTTCGGTTGCGGGATGTGGCCACTGAGGGCCGCAAGTCTCGATGATGCGACGGTGCGCTCCGCAGGTCGAATCTGCACCTCCTTCGAGGTGTTCGTATATGCAAGGACTTGATTCTCTAACATCAGTAAGTGGACAAGACGCAAGCCCTCACATTGACTCACCATCGCCTTCGTTGAGTAGCAACTGTCGGCAGTTGATCCCTCCTTCCGTGACAACCTCAAGACCACCGTCTCCAATACGTTTGCAGAGGACGTAGTCATCGTGATGGGGTTCGTCCTTGACGGACCTCTCCGCCTTCTTCTTGACCTTATCGGGGTGTTAGCAAGACCAGGATCTGGAGAAGTACCGCAGCCATTCCGCCATGGAGTTACAAACCTCTTTTGGAATTCTGGGCCTCACCATGTTGCGGTCCCTACTGCTGAATGCAATGATGGGAGGAGGAAGACGGTAGAGGTCGGACTCTGCCCTCGGGTCTGCTGTCAGCTCTAGTTGACAAAGAGCAAAATACAAGACAGTCGCAATCGTCGTTGCAAAACGCACCTACTTCGTTGCGTGTGTCTCTTTGCACTTTTCAGTGCAATGCTCGAGGAATGTGTGGTTGGTAGGTCCACAGCAGAGTCGCTCTGCAATGTTCGACGTCGATAGTCGTTTCAAGGGTAGACGGTAGGTGTGGCATGTGGGTAAGGTAGTGGTAATGTGATAGTGATTGGATGATGCAGTAGGTAGGTACAAAGTATGAGCAAACAGGAAGTCAGAAAAAGCCCCGAAGACTGAAGAAATAATGACGGGGAGTGGATGATATAGCCCAGCCGAGCAAAGCGGCTCAACAGCCGTTGAAACGGTCGATATGAACTGCCAGCACAATCCAGGAGAAACTACCTGGGGATATCCTTGAGCGCGAGATACTCCGAAGGGCAGCGATCTCGAATTGGGACGATGAACCACATCAGATGAAGACAGACCAGAGAACCGTAGCACAGGGTTGTTGCAGCGGCGACCGAGTTCGAGGCGAGGAGGTTACTCGGGAAGCAGTGGCAGGGACGCTGCGCACCTGGTCATCAACTTACCGGTACCGTGGACCGCGCCGTGGCGACATGCTCCCACGGGATCGCATTGGCAAATGGCAGCGCGCGCGAGAGCTTGCGAGAGGCGTGTGCCAGACGTTGCGCAGAAGGACCAGGTTGGAAACGACCATGCTCCTGGCTCCGGCTCCCCGGATAGGCAGTAAGGCCATAGTGTCATGCAGAGCATATTCCCGACAAGAGATGGGGGTCGATCTCCAGATCCAGAGGGGCGTTTCGTAGTGGCTGGCAGTTGAGAGCTGTCGACGAACAATCCGAGATTGCTGGGGGCTTGGGTGGATAGCGGAGCCCACCCCCTAGGCTGGCAGATGCAGCTTGCCCGATGCAAGTCGACTAAAGCTTCTAGAATCGCATGAATGGTGTGTGTAACATGGGTATGGCAAGGGTCAGATCTGCCCGACATCGAATCGACTCTGAGCCGCTGCAGGACGGAAGACGACTACCCGGAACGTGGTTGCTGTCCAGTCTTTTCACCCCACGTCATGAGATACGCGAACGGTTCACTGCCGTGGTGGTCTGGTTGTTTGGTTGTCATCTGCGAGCAACAGATTGCTAATGACATCAGCCTCTTCATGCAGCAGCAATGCAGCAGTCTGCGGGGGATCGTGCTGCAGTACGAGCATCCATCCACGGGAACCTGCCTCTTCTTCAGCACTGCCCAAGCACGAGCACTGTGAGCATGCGGCTGGCCGAAGTTGGGACGCTGACCGACTTTTCCAATGCTCTACGGATGGTCAGCCATAGTCGTTGTCATGTCAATCCAAACCGCTTCATCCCACGGTAAGATAGTCGCCATGTAAGCGAGATGTAGGCTAAATTTCAAACCAACCTGACGAACCTCCGAACAACCTCCCACGCTACATGTAAATGCGCCGACGGCCCGTACGTCGACGACATCCCCGGACGGGGGTCTGCATTAGCCTGGTGCCACATCCGCTCATCCAACCTGGTTGGTGTCACAGAAAGCGGCAGCGTCATGCGCCCGAGTGCCCCATACTCATTTCGACGGTTCGAAGATGCAGCCCGCATGTAGGAGCGACGATGCGCTGTTCGATTCATGGGCAAGTCTACATGTATCTACTATCGACTCGCTCCTTCCACTGCCCCCAGTAAGCCGGCTTCGCGGACGAGTTCATAGAACAGCCCTCGTTTGCTGATGAGCTCCGAAGGTGAGTCGAACTCCTTGACCTCGCCATGATCCAATACGACGATGCGGTCGCTGTCCAGGATGGTGTTGATGCGATGTGCGACTGTTGTTTGTTAGCCATAGGAATGATCATACCGCGAAAGACAGCCTTACTCGTAATGATAGTACGATCCTTGAACATGTTGCTGCGCAACGTAGTCTGTAACATTGCATCGGTCTCAACATCCACTGCCGCCGTGGCCTCGTCCAGAACCAGAATATTGCTCGGCGTCAGCAACGCTCGCGCCAACGACACAAGTTGCCGCTGTCCTTGACTGAGGTTTGAGCCCGCTTCGTGAATCTCCGCATCCAGTTGTCCGTTCAGCGATGCAACATAATCACGCAGTCGAGCATGATCCAGGACGCTCCACAGCTCCGTATCATCGTGGACATGTCCAGGATCCAGGTTGTCCCGCACAGTACCCTCAAACAGCGCTGCGTCCTGAGGAATGATCGCTAGCCTCCGGCGAAGATCCAGCAAACCAATGCTGCTTGTGCTGAGGTCGTCAATGCTCACATCACCCTGGGCTGGCTCGATGATCCGGAATAGAGCAAGGGTCAGCGAACTCTTGCCCGCTCCAGTCCGGCCGACCACTCCGATCTTCTCATGCGACTTGATGCTCAAGTTGATGTTCTTCAGCACAAGGTCCAACCCAGGCCGGTACCGCGTGCTGTAGCCGTTGAAAGACACGGCACCCTTCGGCGGCCAGCTAACAGGCGGACGATGCTTCGAGATGACCTCCTGCGCTTCGCTTGGGAGCCGAGCATATTCCAGTACACGTTCGACTGAGACAATGTTGGTCTCGACTTCGACGGTCTGCCTAACGATCCAATTGAGAGACTGGGTGATCTGCAGCGCGTAACTCATAGCCAGACCAACCAGTCCAGCTGACAGGCCACTGCCTGTTGAGACAGAGATGATGGCAAAACTGGCGGCTGCAAGGATGATGACCGAGCCGATGAACTCCAACCGAACTGCAAGCCATCGGTTTGCGTTGATGGATGGGAAGTAGGCTCGCAAGTTAGCATCGACTCGCCATTCATTCTCCAGGGCGAAACGCTCCGCTTGTCGATATGCTCTGATCGTGCTGATCCCGCTGAGTGACTCCTGGAAGTGCGCGTAGATTGGGCTGCGACTGACACTGTCGAGGCGTTTGAGTTCGCGGGAAGTGCGTAGGTAGTACTTCTGGATCCATAGGTAGAGTGCGCCTAGGGGGATGATCACTGCAATAAAGACTGGCGTTGACGCCGAAATGACAGCAAGCGTGAAGAAGGCTGGATGTTGTCGTTAGTTCTGCATGATACCAATGGATAAGTTACCAGATGTGGAAGGTCTACTCACCTCGGCTAGCATTGGTGAAGAGCATGTTGAAGGTCCGGCTGTCATAGCTGTCAGCACCATCCCGGGCCCACATCAGGAATTCGGCAACCGGCATGCACTTACGCGAGCACCTCGTCGATGCGATATATATCACTATCACATCCGTTAGCCTAGATTCGGGCGAGGGCGAGAGCCCGGTTCACGGGTCGTTGGGCTAGATGCGTTGTCCGGGTCCGAGCACGGAGCTCATCGACGTCCAACGCCCCGGAACGTGGAATCCACATGTTCGCAGTGCGTGATGGCGCAAGCCTCAGTACAGTGGAAGATGCACGTACCTCGAGAAGCGGTTTAGAATGCGCCCACTTGGCGTGGTCTCGAAGAAGACCATTGGCGATCGGAAGATCGCAAACGCCATCCTCTCGTGTAGCTTGCGGGAGGCCTGTTAAGCCGGCGCCATGCACGTTAGCCATCGTCGGCCCGATATCCATGCGCGGCTACCCACAGAGCCATTCTTGCTGGGCTGGAGCACTCACCTCGATCGAGCAGAAGATCCACAGTATCAGTGTTTGGACCACAACGAGGGCAGCGGAGCCGACGCCGAAGGCAAAGTAGATGCCAAGGTAGTATGCGACATTGGGGTTGCCGCCGAGTCTCTCGTTAATCTGCGTTCATCGTGAGTAGGTGTGCAAGAGTGTGGTCATTGAGAGAGATGTCTTACACTCGACCAGTCCTTCAACCAGACAGATCCACCTATGCAGGCGTGCATTAGCGTACCGTTCGTTACCACGCGCCAAAGCGCGGAGATCGGATCGCTCCCGACCGAGCATGTCCGCAAGCGATGTAGAAGTACGTACCGATTTGGGCTGTCTGAGCTCCCAGCAGCATAACCAGGTACACGGCTACGGCCCCGAGATTGCTTGCCTTTGCGTACTCAACGTAGATGTCTCTCTTCACCCTACCTTGTTCGGTCGTCTCCTTCGTTTGCTTCGATTTGAGCACACCCTTGCATTCTGTCAGCTCTGCACGGAAATGCACAGTTCCGAGAGGACTGAATCTTACCTTGTTGTCTTCTTCGTCGGTGGTCTTGCCTCTGGGTCCATGGAAGGAGACTGTGCTGGCTCTGCGAAGAGTGAGATGGCTGCCTTTCCGAATGGGACCTTCAGGCGGATGAGTCTTGATTGGCTCGAGGTATCCAACAGTCTCGTTGGCCTCATCCGTCTCGTCAACATCGTCTTCCGCGGGCTCAGTCTCGTACACCGTCTCTGATTCGCTAGACGGGCTGGAGGAATCTTTGTCGCCATTCTCCTGCTCATCGGTGCTAGCAGTCTTGATCAGGTTGGCAATCTCGCCCTTCATTGCAGTCACCTGCTCGTATGTTCCTTTCTCAAGGATGCGTCCGTCTCGCAGCAGAGTGATGAAGTGTGCCTCCATCAGTACTGGAATGGAGTTTGTCGCCAAGATCCTTGTCTTTCCAGAGAGTAGGCCATTGGGTCCCAAAACATTGTCAATGATGTGTCTGCCGACATGCTGATCCACTGCGCTGAGGATGTCGTCCAGAAGATAGATGTCAGCTCTGGCGTATACCGCTCGAGCGAGGGTCAGACGAGCTTTCTGGCCGCCGGAAAGACTAATTCCACGCTCCCCAACCTCAGTCTGGTCCCCGTCTGGCAGGACAGCAAAGTCTTCTGTCAAAGCGCAGGCCTTGATAGTCCGCTCGTAGAACTGCGGATCCCAGCGATGGCCGAAAACGATGTTCTCGCGTACGGAAGCGTTCATCACCCAAGGACTCTGAGCAACATATGCTGAAGCTCCGCGCAGGACGACCTCGCCTTTGAGTTTGTACAGATCTCCAAGCATGGTCGACAAGAAGGAGCTTTTACCAGCACCAACCCGACCAACGATACACGACAGCTCTCCACGGTGGACGCTGAAGTTGATGTCCTCCAGCACGTTTCGGTTGTCGTCCTTGTTCCAGGTGAAGGATGCATTCCGGATGCGCACAGACTCCTCGCCGTGAGCAACAGATTCACTACGCAGAACAGCGTCTGGTTGCAACTCTGGGGCCGTGAAGTAGTCCGTCAAGCGACCCACAGCCACGGAAGCCTCAATGATGGCTGTGATAACCATTGGGAGCACAGCCAGAGGGAAGGTGAGCAAGTTGAAGAGTGTGAGAGCTGGGAAGACAATATCTGTTGACAGCGGCTTGTCGTTGGTGGCCACGAACACTGCAAAAGTCGAGCAGGAAACAAAGAATGGTGTAGTGGACCAGGTAAAATTGGCGATGGCTGTGACTGCACCAATCTTGCGGAGCGTATGCAGCTCTTGGTCGTTTCTGATGAAATTGAGCTTGCTCATGAAAGCCTGACCCCACGCGTATAGCTTGATAGATTTCATGTTGTTCAAGATCTCAGTCATGAGCCGGGTACGCGCATCCTTGTTCTTCATCTGTCGTTTCTGAAGACTCTTAGAGATACGTGCGATGAAGCCATTGATGGGTATCATAGCAATCATCACGCCAACACCCGCCAGCATACTGATTCCGACGAGCTGATACAGAGAAAGCATGCACAGGGTGATCTGGAATGGTGCACTCCACAATTGCTGGCCAAACTGCGTAAGATCCTGCAATCTCTGCGTGTCGACTGCCATGTAGTTGACGATGTCGCCGGTGCTCTTCGATGCCCTGCCCTCGTTCGACAGCCTCATGGACTTTTTGTAGACCATGGCTGTGAGGGAGCTCTTGATCCGCATTCCCGTCTCGAACGCGCGCTGGAAGTATTGGTGAAGACATGCAGTCTGCGCCACGGATACGCCAAACATTGCCAACGCGATTGCTGCGCCCTTGATTGGCGGTTGCGGCTCGTTTCCTGGGCGGTAAGAGTCCACAAAAGTGATCAGGTAGCGGAGAAGCTGTGGCTGGATGAAGCTGAGACAGTCGGACAAGGTCTTGATGATGGCTCCTCTGAGGTAAGGTCCGCTGAAAGACTGAGCCATGGCAATCCAGAGACTTGGCTTCTTCTTTTCGAGCTGCTGCTCCCACGCTTCTTCAAACACAGCTGACGTGGCTCGAGTGGTATCCCGCTTGCGTAGGTTCCAAAGGTCGTCTTGTGTAAGATACTCCTTGTACCCGTACCTCATCATCGGCGTCATCCAGCTGAAAGTGAGGATGGAGAACACGTCTGCGTACTCAATCGGACACTCATCCTCGTCTCCAAGAGCGTCGTAAGCGGACAGGCGTTTCGGCACCAGCCATTCCAGCGCAAATTCGATCAGAGACAAGCCCAGACTGACCGCAAAAGTGACGAAATAAGGCAAAAACTGCTTGTGAAGCTCCTGCGACACCAGCGAGCGGAGTTTGACGCCGTAGACGATGACTAACGAGAGCCAGTAGGTGAGAACGACCCCGTTCGAGTTGCGCGACCTCCAGTGCTCGATGTACTGGATGTAGAAGATCACGCCCAGGCTGACCAAATTGATGATGGTGCTCCAGAATCGGAAGTCCTTCAACCAGATCCCAGCAAGCTGCTCAATCTGCAAGGCCGCTTGCAGCAGGGTGGCAACCACGAGCAGGCCCAGCACCACCAACTTCGTCCAGAAATGCCAGTCCTTCTTCACAGGCTGTGGTTGGCACCTTTTGAACAGATAGTATATCGCCCCCAGTCCACCGATGATGCCCCATATTGACACAATGTCGACCCAGACATCTAGAAAGCATGGCGTGAAATCCCATCTGTACGGGCTCATAGGGCCCCATCCTTCACTATTGCCACATAGTGGCTGCGCGCCGTGCTTTTGTACGTCGAGGTACGTGTGGAATGTCGGGTTCGTGCTTTGAAAGACGATCTGCTCGCCGTTGAGTTGTACCATTGAGGATCGGTGGAGCGGAGGTTGGGGGGTGGTAGGATTGCCGTCCAGCCGGTCACACTCGCATTGAAAGTCGTGGTAAGGAGATTTTCCAGGTGTTGTAGTAGGTGGAGTGTCCAGGGATAAGCTGCTGCAGCATCAGTGAGAGCGCGGTGAAAGGTTCGCCTCGCATGGAAAGATGACGATCCGAGGACCGGAGATTAGGTAAGCTAGAAACAAGCTTCGATTCAACCTCACACGGGTCCTCGGCATTGCGATCATCAACAAACTGTCTTCAGCAACACATGCATGTATGTATAGACGGCCCGATGCTCAGAAGACCTCATCGACCGACATGGTTCAATCAACTATAACCAAGGGTTTCGAAAGCATCGCCGCATACAAGAGCACCGAGACAGATAAAGGTTGCGGTCGGCTCAGAATTAACCTTTGAATTATAGTCTAATGTTCATTAATCTTCAACTATTGGCCAGCATCCTCAGAATTGCCTACGATACCCGCGACCAAAGAGGTCTCATTTCCCCGAGAGGCGGACTGTCGTTGCTACGTTCAACTCTCCGTCATGGATCCCTCATTGACGGAACAGGAAGAGACCAAAGTTTCTGTTTGTCCCACCAAGAAGTCAGGAGCTGCCTTTCCTCCAGTCCTTGATGCCGTGGCAGTTGTCCAGCAAGAAGATAGAGAGAGGTCTATGAGTGTCGAGGGCCAGAGATCTACTGACTCTGCACCCGATGCGAATGCGTACCTCCAAGGCTTCGCGGCCCTTCCGAAAGAGCTCCGCGAGCTCACCTACAGCTTCTGCTTGCTGGATACCCCATGCAAATGCCTCAGCAACGAAAACCATCCCTCTCACCGGGGCGGCAATCCGCCAAAGCTCTATAGCACCCCAGCACGCGGCCTCTGCCACCTGTTCCGCCACCCTGTCCTGGCAACCTGCCGAGAAAGTCGGGAGGAAGCCTTCAGGCATCTTGGCGCCACCCACGAACCTGGTCTGGCCTTGGACATCCGCTTGAAGGACAGCCAGAGGACTGTGGACTGGCTTCGCACGGTCGATCCGAAGCTGCTTGCGTCAATTCAAAGCCTGAGGCTGGGTTTTGGGAGGCGCAACGGTTGTAAACGTTATAGAACTAGGTTGCATGTTTCCTCGGACATGTCTGTGGAGTCCAACGCGGTTGCCAGAGGCTGGGTTGACGAGGACCTTGTCGCACGAATGTCCTTCATTGCGAGCTCAATGCAGGCTGACGGCAAGCTCAAGCTCACCAGTGCTGGTCTGCTCGAGATCGTTGAAACTATTGGGTGGCATAACTATTGGATGGCACACGCTGTTGCGGCGGAATGAAAGACTCGATTGATGGCAATTGTGCTTAGACGACAACTGCCGTATTCACGAGAACATTCAAGCACGTGTCAATCATGATTCCATGCCCGGAAGCCTATGGATACCATACAAACTTCCACCGCTACACAGCTCGCGTCCAACTCAAGTATCAAAGACCACACTTTGTTCCGGGACCTTCAGAGCCAAGAGGTACTCGTTCATCGCACGAACAGTCGAGCCATTGTACGCCTCCGGCGCAAAATACGTCGTGTGCCCTGTGGCATCCCTGGTCACAAGCACACTCCTGTCTTTCCCGATCTCCTCATGAAAGCCCATTGCCCACGACATCGGTGTCATTGGATCGCAAACAGTGGTCACGATGAGAACCGTTGGGAACGACATGCTCCGCGGGATGTCGACGGCGTGAGGTGGGTTTCGAGTTGGTGGCGGAAGTCCGGCACACGCCTGTTGTACCTCCCATTCGTAGGAGAATCCCTGCATGAGGGGCGCTTCGAAACGGCCTAGGGTTTCTCGCGAAAGGACGTCGTAGTACGAGGTGTCGTTGTGGTCATTGTCTGCACAGCTGACGGCGTAGAATGCGTGGTTCGAAGTTCCCAGCACTCCGCGGGAAGTAGCAAGCAAAGAAGCATCGTTGTGAATGCTGGCATCATGTATCGCTCGAGCAATCAAGCTCCATCGAGCAGTGTTTGGCAGGTACAAGCTGTCCGCTGCTATGGCGATAAGCGCTCTCTCGGTCAAAGGGTCGGTGACGCATGGAGCTCCCCAGGCGCGACAAGTCGACATTGGCGACTTTCTCAGCTCCTTCAAAAGGCCCATCCAGATCTCCTTGGGCGCCCGTGCATGGCCGGCTAGAGGGCAAGATGTGGGGCTTTGAAGATCACACCAGTCGAAGAACTGTGCAGAGGCGTCATCCATTGACACTGCTGACTCCACGAATGATGCGATCGACGGAGCAGCTGAAGAAACCGCGCCGTCTAAGACAATGGTTCGTATGTTGTCAGGGTATAGTTCTGCGTACTGCGGAAGTAAGTATCGGCATAACAGGAGGACCTCTAAGGTGGCATGTAATGAGCTTACCTGAGTCGCCAGCTGTGTCCCATAACTCGCGCCTAACCATGCCAGTTTCTCATCTCCGAGTACTGTACGAACAGCTTCATGATCTTTGGCAATACTGATAGTGTCCATTTAGTCGAACAATGGACTACCGGTTTCTGTCAAACAGCTCTGGCGGTATTCTTGGTTGGCTTTGACAAGCCCGTCCAACGACTCTTTGGTATCGGTGTAGAGTTCGTTGAGCTGCTCGAACGGAGGTCGACCGCAGTGTAGTGCGTCGCTTAGCCCAGTGCCCCGAAGGTCGACGCCAACGAAATCAAAGCGATCAAGTATTTCAGGAAGCACCGCTCGCTGACCTCGAGAGATCTGCAGAAGCATGTCCGATGGTAGCTCCACAGGTCCACCAGGGTTGTGGAAAAGGTTGCCGATGCGTCGCTAGCAGAAGATGAGCATGTCTGTCAACAAGGGTGCAGAGCGGCACACACCTCAGGGTCTCTCGCGGACAGTCTAACGAAACCAATCTTCACTTCTGGCAGTGGACCGGACGGCTCGTCCCAGTCCATAGGAACATAGCTATGTCCACACCGTAACCCCTCGGCCGCAAGGTCAGGACAGTCATCCTATTGTACTGTGTCATTGCCCGGCGGCGGAAACGCCACAACCGAAGCTGCGAGGAGGAACAGAGCCAGGCTGGCGGTCGAGACTTGCATGGTGCTGGTATTGCTGATGAAGAGATGGTCCAGTCAATGTTCGGCTATTGATGTTCGTAGTATGGCGGGTTGTCCGTTGAGAATACAACCTGGCTTATGCTGTTGGAATTGTCGCCGTGCAGAACACATCTCAGGAAGTCTTCTGAAGAAGGCGTGCACAGGGCAACGCAGCAACGGCATCTGCACCCAACCAGAAAGTCCATCTCAGCTCAAGCACGAATGGGAGGACGTTGCTCGCTCCCACTTGCTCCAAACATTGTCGGCATGGTCGGGACTGCTCGCAGGATGCCAGAGAAGAAGAGGAAGGAGCTCCAGGAGTTTTCGAAAGCCATGCTATCCACGAGGTCGACCAGACCACTAAACTTATACAATTCTCTTCGGTCTCAATTGTGTTGCATGGAGAAGAGTCTGTAGTGACCTACCTTGACCTAGATCTTGAATAGCCAAGCATCAAGGCTGCGCATGTCCAGTAAGCTGTGCGGAAGTGCCCATGATTGCACGGCCATATCTGCGTCTGCGAACCATTGAAAGAATTGTTTCACCAACCCAGGGCAGTGTGTCGAGTCGCTGGAATGGAATAAAATGGGTGAAAGAAGGGAGATGAAGTCAAACAGCTTGCACGTGACCATGTCGATCTTGACCTCATCAACACTCGAACATCGTCTCTTGTTGGACATCGTTGTGTGCTTCACTTCCATCAATTAAAAAGATTGACAGATCCCAAGATCCATTATCCGAACAACAACGATACATCGGACCAAATGACAGCCCACCGCTCAACCAACCCATAATCTCCGCCCCCATCGCCACCTCCACCCCCAATCCACCACCATGTCCGACCGCACCCGCGGCTCCCTAACCAAGGACGCCGAGCTCAACGACGCAGCCTGGGTAGCCGCACGCGGAGCCACCGTCGGTGCGGCAAAAGTATGCCCATCCCCTCTCATCCTCTCCATCCTCTTACTAACATAGCCATTGAATAGTGGGGCCTCTTCTCCGCCGCCGCCGCAGCGGTAGCATACAACTTCAGCCCAATATACCGTGGCTTAACGTTCCAGTTTAAAGTGTACGTCTCACTCCTCCCCAACCACTTGTTCGGGCCATTACTCAATGCTCATTGCTACACTAGGTTTCTCCAAATGAGTGGCATGTGCATCGGCAGCATGATAGAAGCAGACAAGCGACTACGCGCCCACGAACTGCTGATGCGGCAGCGGAAACGGATAGCGCGCGATGCGGAGGTGTGGAGGCGGTATGAAGAGGAGTTGCATGGTGTTGCGCCGGAGAAGTTGGATAATCGGGAGTGAATCGATTCTTGATGTGTACACGTAGATAGATGAATTTTGTACAAGACTATAGAGATTGTACATGATGCAGGAAGCCTCACCACAAGCCCAGGTTTCCCATGCCAAACGCCATGCGGCGAGCACTTCGCTAAAAGCACGAAAGCATCCTCCGCGCCATGCAATCTCCTTTCAAACGCTTCAGCTGTCATCCACCAGGCGTCGGGCATTATGCGCCTTCTCCGCCTCATCCTTCAACGTCTCAAACTCGCCCGTCGTCTCGCACATCCCTCTGAACATCCCACCCTTCTCCGAGATCAACTGGAAAGGATCACCATATTCCATCACCTCGCCCTTGTCCAGCACAAGCACTTTGTCATAATCGATAATTGTCTGAAGCCTGTGCGCGATCGTGATGGTGGTGTTCTTGATCTCGCGGATCGTCTCCTGGATCTTGGCGTCGGTGGCGTAGTCGATGGATGCGGTTGCTTCGTCCATGAGCAGGACTTTCGGATTCTTGAGCATTGCGCGAGCCAGGCAGAGGAGTTGGCGCTGGCCTTGCGAGAGGTTTGCGCCAGATTCTGCGACGGGTGACGAGAGGTTCTTGAAGATGTTCTTGTTCTCGAGACCGATGTTCCCATCTGTGGGACTTGTAGTCGTTGGAGAGCCGTTCGAGGCTGGCGACTGCTTCTTCACCGGACTGTTCGGCCCAGACATGCTAGGGTTCGGCGTCGATGGTCGAGATGGTGTAGCTGAAGGCGCACCAATCAGCTGCACTCGTCTTAGGGCAGTGAATATCTCTTCGTCGGTGAACAGGCCAAATGGATCCAGATTGCTTCGAATCGTGCCAGTGAACAATGTCGGATCCTGTGGCACCATGACGATGTTCTCACGCAGATCTTGTAACCCAATGAGTCCGACATCAACATCGTCCACCAAAATCTTGCCCTCTTCCGCCTCAAGCGCACGGAACAGCGCCAGTGCCAACGAACTCTTCCCAGCCCCCGTCCTGCCAACCACACCAACCTTCTCCCCCGGCAGAATCTTGAACGTCAGATGCTTCAGCACCAAGTCGAAATCGCTCCTGTACCGGGTAGAATACCCAATGAACTCCACACCTCCTTTGCTCGGCCAGTTCGCCTCCGGCCTGTTCTCCGGCACAATAAGCGCCGCCTCCTGATCCACGTCCAAGTACTCCTTAATCCGCTCGACGGCGTTCATGTTCTGCTCATTGCTGGCGTACAAACGCACAAACCACAGCACATTCTCCGTGAATGTGACGGCGTAGGTCATAGCCAGCCCAGCGGCGCCAGCGTCAATGCGGCCGACGCTCAACACCACAAACACGCCGGAGAAGAACGAGACGAGGGCGCCGACGATGTCGACGCGGAAAGCGAGCCAGCGGTTCGCGCCCCAGAGGAAGATGAACGGGCGGGAGTGCGTGTTCACGCGGTGCAGGTTCTCGCGGATGAAGCGGCGTTCGTCGCCGTAGGCGCGGATGGTCGTCATGCCGGAGAGGGTCTCGCCGAACTGCTGGTAGAGGGGGCTGCGCTGTACGGATTCCAGGCGCTTCAGGTCTCTGCTAGAACTAATGTAGAACCGGCCGATGAGGAAGTATAGGATGGTGATGAAGAAGCCGGCGATCAGGAAGCCCGGCGTGATGACGGATATCAACACTACTATGGTGACGATCGACGCCAGGCAGTGGACCACGCCAACGGCGACGGGTGCGACTTCTTGGTCGATGGCTTCGACGTCCTTGGAGAAGCGGTTCATGATCTGGCCGAGTGGCGTGGAGTCGAAGAAGCGGAACTTGGCGTGAGTGATGGACTCCATGAGCTGGCGGTGTATGCGCTTGGAGGCTGTGAGCGAACCAGCAAAGCACATGCCTTCTCTGAAGAGACAGATGAACATGTACCCGATGCCCAGGACTGCGTAGACGCCGAGGTAGTATCCGACTTCGACGTGGGAGTTCGAAGAGGATGTGACGACCGGACCGGTGCTTGTCGACTTTGTGAACGGAAATCCCCAGACACACGAGCCACTCCTCAAGCAGTTGTAAGACCCGCTGAACGTACCCTGGACATGCGTCATAGGCAAAGACTGATGCACACCAGCAGTGGAGACAGTCTCCTTATAAGCATAAGCATTAGCCCACTCCCGGATCCAGATGTTCGTAGCAACCTGAGCAAACTGCTGCAAAGCGAACGCAGAAGCAGTGAAGACCCAGTAAAACGGCCCACCCATGTAGACAAGGTACTTGACGATGATGGCAAGCTTGACGGCTCCGGTGGCTTTGCTTTCCTGTTGTCCGTCCTCGTCCACGACTTTGTTCAGGCCTGGGATGTCCTTCGAGATGACCTTGGACAGCGGCTCGCCATTCGGGATGCCATTCAGAGCACTGCTCGCCTCGGGTTCCGGTACGCTGAGGCGGCGCTGTGCAGTCTCTGACCCTGGCTCGGTCTTGCCTGATAGATTGTCACGGCCGATCTCGGACGGGACTCTTGAGGGCAGGGTAGATGGGCCGCGAGAGCCAGGTCGTGATGGGAATTTCGACACATCTTCCGCAAGCTTGCCGGAGGTGATGATATCGCCAGGCGCGCCTTGAATAGCCACTCTGCCATTGTCCAGCACCACAGCAAAGTCTGCGTACGGAAGCGCCAACGTGGCGTTATGCGTCACGAGAATGCACGTCCGGTTGTACATCAGCGGTCCAAGCAGGGCTTTCTCGAAGATCCACTTGGCAGTATGGGAGTCGACAGCACTCAGCACATCGTCCATGAGCACGTGCCTCGCTTTGCAGTACAGCGCTCTTGCCAAGCTGATGCGCTGCTTCTGGCCACCGGACAGCGTCACGCCCTTCTCTCCAACCATCGTCTGGTCGCCGCCATCCAGAATCTCGAGGTCGCGCTGGAGTGAGCATGCGATGATCACATCCTTGTACCGTCGAGCGTCCCAAGGACTAGAGAATACGATGTTGTCCTTGATCGTGCCATTGAGGAGCCAAGCTTGCTGCGCGCAGTATGCGACGTTCTCTGTGAGGCCAGTCTCCCGGTTTGGCTTGACATCATCCCTACTTTTGCCAGCCGGCAGGTAGACGCTGCCGTCCAGCAATGTCATCTCACCGAGAAGAGCCATCAGCAATGACGTCTTCCCACTTCCTGTAGGTCCAATCACGATGTTCATCTGTCCGACTTTAAACCGCATATCGAGATCGATCATCTTGAAGTCCTCAGCATCCCGGCTACCCCAGCTGAATGTTCCCTTGTCGAATCCAATCACGACCTCGCCATCAGAATCGTACTTCTCGTTGGCGAGTTGTGCATATTTGTCCGTTTCCGCCTCGTTCAGATACTCTTCCACTCGATCCACTGACACTTTCGATTCTTGCACATGCGCAACCATATCGGCCAACTGATCCAACGGGATGCGCAGCAAGCTGAAGAGTGACAGTGCTGTGAAGGCGATTGATGGTATCAAGTCCTTCTTCTCCACGAGTGTGTAGACAGCGAACGTTAGAAGCGTGATGATGATGGGAGCGCCAGCCCAGATGGTTGCAGCAATCGACCAGAGGATGTACCTGTTGCGGAGGTATCTTAGCTCGACCACACGCTTCTCATCAACAGTGCCCAGGAAACGCTGCTCCCACGCAAAGTACTTGATGATGCGGATGTTGGTCAAGACCTCGTTGGTCGAGTGTATCCGCGCGTCTGTAGCAGCCAGGATCTTGGTCTGGACTTCTGCGAATTTCTTCGAGATGTACATGTTGATCGGGAGCAGGACCACCATCATGCCAATGCCGACAATACTACTGTATCCGAGGATCTGATAGAGCAGGAAAATCGCCAGTATGAATTGCACCGGTGTTTCGGCCCAGAGAAAGTGGAGGTATGCGCTGATCTCTGCGACTTTGAACGAGTCGACAGCCATGAGATTGATGATAGCGCCAGAGGTGACCTGAGAGTCATCGATCGGGTCCTTTTGCTGGTTGTCCGTCTTCGTATCTTCCGACTTCTTCTTGCGGCCCCAAGTAAGAGCGCGCTTCAAGATGTTCTTGTCCGTCTCGTTCTTGTCGCTTGGGTTCGTGGTTGCGCCACCCAGCACCTTGTCAGTACCAGCAGCCGCTCGCCTTCTCAACGCCTTGGCATAGATCTCTCCAATGATGATTGCTCGCAGACGGATACAGACCTTGCGACCAACCCAGAGTGCCTGGCCACTCGAGATTGCATTAATGACTCCTGAAACGAACAGGAGGAAGACATAGAACCATGCCGCATTGCGAGGCGTGGATGCCGGATCCTCCACATACTGCAAGATGACTTTGAGTAGCAACGTCGGCATGAAAGTGATGATACCAGAGATAGCCGCCCAGGACGCTTGAATGAGCAGTTGGCGTTTGAAGTAGCGTAGTAAATGCCATGCCAGGATGCTGGTCTTCTGCAGTTGGCGGTAGTTTGCCAGAATAGCACCCGCCTTGTCCTTTGGCATCAGGTTCCAGACGTCTGACATCTCGTATGTCTTGCGGTAGCCCGTCCAGACGATCGGGTCGACCCAGCTAAAGGTACCCAACGAGAAGACGCTGGCCAATGGCTCCTTTGAGGGCTCCAGATCTCCCTCGTACTCCAGCTCGACCGGCTTGTTGCCTTTGCGTGAAGTCAAGGAGATCGTGAAGAGGAGTGATACCAGCGCGAACTCCGTAATCTGCAATGCTTGTAGCACCTTGAAGGAGGGATGTACGATCGCGGATCGAAACAAGAGCACGCTGATGATCCATAGTAGGCCATAGAGGAAGAAAGTATGGTACCAGAGCTTCGGGAACGAGAACTTCGACGTGCTGGACAGCAGGAGTCGTAGCGATGCCAGGACCGCAACGTATGCCCATACCGCAACACCTGATATCGCTCCAATGTGGCCGTCCTCGCCATACCCTCCAATGACCAACATTGCTGTATGCACCCCGAGCTCTGCTATTACGGCCAGCTCTTCAATCATAGCAATCGCCATCTCGCCCCTCGGCTTGTCCACGGTCGTTACCGACATGTGAGTCTGGCTTCTTGTCTGCCGCAGCGCCAACGGCTGGCTCCCCTCTGAGCTGTCCTCGTCTTCCGAGTCCTCCTCGCTATTCTCTTCATCCTCATACTCTCCAATCGGACGTCCGTTGCCATTCCAGATATGCTGCTTCAGAAGCGCATACGGCTCCTGGTCTCTCCGGCGATAATATTTTCGAAGAACCTGCCAGCACAAGTACAGCGCTGATATCCCGCAGCCGATTAATGGGAATAGTGTTTGGAAGTAGTCGTGCTCGAAGCAGGCGCTGAAGTCGTCGCCGGTCCAGATGTCACCGGCGCAATGCGCAAACATAGCCTTTGTGTTGCCGTGGCGGAAGCGTGTCTCGATCTGATTCGTAGTCGCGGGGCACTGTCATCGGGTGTCGAAGAGCATTTAGGTCGTGTATTAGGTCGTCGACTACGGCGGTATTAGGTGTCGTAGGACAGTTGGCAGATTGAGTTCAAAGGAACGACTGGAGTTGATGGGTCGAGGTGAATGATTGAAGTCTTTTCGGCGATTACCGTAGATTCTAGTAATGACGTCCAGCCGTGCTTTCCATGACTGACTCAGTCAGACCAATCGGCGGGATCACATGCGATGGTTGTATTCAATATGGATTGAGGAGACTGCTTTCAACGCGTGCGGTGTTTTGTTCGACACTACGTTATTACCTATAGAACAACAACCCGAGTGTATGTGACTCAATGGCAATAGCATTCCCCGCCTCGTCTGCAGTCTCATGCACAAGCTTTGCCAATGCAGGAAGGTGATAACTGAGCTGCATGTGCCTGAAGCCACCACTTATAGCTGTCTCCCATCCCATTGATTTGTCGGAGGAGGTATATCGTGTGGAGTTGTCACGAGTAGTGAGTGCAGAAAGGAGAACTTTGGCGAGAAAGTCTTGAGATGCAGCCGATCTTCGCCTTCGCCATTCGAACGCCGTATTGGCTATGTACAGTGCACTTCGTTCGCAACCACACCTGTGCTGTCTCGAAGATATATCCCTCGCCTCTCGCATCACCAGCATCATCTTGGTGTGGCAGCCGGCTTCCACGCAGAGTACTTGTTTTTCGTCCTGCGGATTGTTAGCTTTAGCATTCTAGCAGTAAGAATTACTCGGAGCCGGCGGCGTACGTATTGTAAGGCTTGTAAGCACTGTTCGATGCCGTCAAAACAGGCCGATGCTCCTTCGGCTCCCACGACCGAAGCTGCCGCTGCATGATCTTGTCCTCTGAGGGGGGCTTGTCGACCAGGTAGGACATCCAGGCGTGCCAGCCGGGCTCTATCTGTGACCTATCTATTCTTCAGCATGTGCTCGTGGGTGTAGACCGGCTTGACCTACGCATCATATTCCTTGTTCTTGTAGTCCACCCATCGTGTCCGTACTGCTCACGCGTCAGCTCCAATCCTAGATCCGAGACAGCGAGGGTGTCGTACATGGCAGCTCCTCTTCCAGATTCTCGTAGTACTTGTTGCCGTACCGGTCCATGGCTATGAGGGTTCCTCGCTTTGTGTCACCTGCACCGCGTCAGATCCACTAGTCAACTGCCTTGCTATTTCTTTGTCCGTACCCATGTACTGCACGCGGAAGGCTCATGTTAGCTGCTGAGATCCAGGCCGAGGGGTAAGCGATCGCATACCTGCATCTGGTGGCCATATTCCTATAGATCGTTAGCACTTGCGGTCGCTTCTTGCTATAGGGAGCATTCATACCTTCAGGCCAATACTCCGCAGGTTGCGGAGCGTTCGTAGTATTGTCGACATCGTCGGTGGCCGATAAGTAGTCGTCGTCGTTGGAGCATTGCGGCTCCGGAGAGTGCAGTTCACCCTCCAAGTGGCCCGTGCGTCTCGACTTCAACCGCACTCCTACTCCCTTGTCGAGAACAACCTATCTCAACATGCCAATTCGATGATCACACGGCGAGCCTTCACCTGTGTAAGGCTACATCAACGACACATCACAGCGACACGTCGCTGTTGCCATGGCTCCCTCCAGAGGCGGCTGGCAAGCACTTTCAGCGCACCCGCAACACCACCTCCATCTTCCGTCTCGCCTCTTTCGGCGTTGACGTCGGAGCTGGATAAGATCTCACCTCGTTTCGATGTTTCCGCGGACTCGATTGGGATTATCAGAGGCCCGGCGGAGTTCTACGATGCTTTGAAGGTATGCTTGCGTTCCGTCCTGGTAAGGGTTTGATGGTTGACTGTTGGACAGACGAAGATAGCTTCTGCACAACGGCGGATCTACCTTTCAACGTTGTATGTCGGCAAGACTGAACATGAGCTTGTGCGTGTTATCCCAGCTGAGTGATTTGACGCTCGACTGATTACTTCTAGATTGCCACAGTCCATGATGCACTGAAGAGGAACCCAGATCTAAAAGTCTCCTTCCTCACGGACGCTCTTCGCGGCACACGCGAAGAGCCCAGCCCATCATGCGCAAGCCTTCTGGTCTCACTGATCACGGACTTCGGACCTGAGCGGGTGGAAGTCCGAGTATACCACACGCCTAATTTAACCGGCATCCGCAAGAAGATCCTCCCCAAACGCATCAACGAAGGCTGGGGCTTGCAACACATGAAGCTGTACGGTATTGACGACGAGATCATCATGTCGGGCGCCAACTTGTCCAACGACTACTTCACGGATCGCCAGGATAGGTATCATGTTATCAAGTCCAGGGACATTACCGACTACTTCTACAACATCTACCGCACAACATGCGATCTCAGCTTCCGAGTCCTCCCTACAGCCGAACCCAATGGCTTCGAACTACATTGGCCTACCACAAACGTCGGCTCATCACCACTCGAAGACCCAAAAGCCTACATCGCTTCCGCCACCAAAGCCCTAGCACCCCTCTTGATACCCTTCCCATCCGGCCCCTCCCCCGAGAAAGCCACCGACACCCAAATCTACCCTCTCCTCCAACTAACCCCACTCCTCAAACCCGACACCTCCACCGAACTCCCAGCCCTCACCGACATCCTCCGCAAACTAGGCACTGTCCCTTCCTTAGCCGGTTCAAAGTGGACCTTCACAGCCGGCTACTTCAACATGACGCCCGACATCCGCGACCTCCTGCTCAACTCTAAACCGTCCAGCGCGGTTGTCGTCGCCGCTTCACCGTGGGCCAACGGGTTCTACGGCAGCAAAGGCGTCTCCGGTCTGCTGCCGTCAGCGTACACGTACCTCGCGCGCCGCTTCCTGGACACCGTGTCTCGCGCCGGACTAGGCGAGAACATCGCCCTGAAAGAATGGCGACGCGGAACCGTCAATACCCCAGGCGGCTGGACGTACCACGCGAAAGGGATCTGGATCACTCTCCCGGGGCAGGAGAACCCGAGTGTCAGTCTCGTGGGCAGTTCCAACTATACGAAACGCAGCTACTCGCTGGATCTGGAAGCGAATACGCTGATCGTGACGCAGAACGCGGATTTGCAGCGCCGGTTGGGGGAGGAGGAAAGGTGGTTGCAGGAGTATGCGACGGTGATGGGGCGGGATGACTATGCGAGGAATGAGAGGAGGGTGGGGTTGCACGTTCGGGTGGCCATGTGGATTGTTACGCTCGTTGGGGGTGCACTGTGATGTTGTCGATGCCTGCTACTACACGGCTTCTGTTCATCTACATAGTGTCTTTCAGTCGCCCGCTCTGTACAGGCTAGTGGCGCCAACAGAGCGTCGCGTCTTCAACAATGGCCTGACAAACTTGTGCCCACCATCCAACAGAACTTATCACCACTCTCCCGCTCCTGCTTTCACCCTCACATAAGATCTCCAACACCTCAATCACTGCATAGACCGGTCCGCCCCACCGCCAGTGGCCCTCTCATATCACCTATCAACCCCATCCGTCAAATTCCTCTCCACCTCGTCCACGTGCGCGCGATCCCGCTTCGCTTCCTCCTCCAACCTGTTGACTTTAATGGCCAAATCACGAATCACCTGGATATGCTGCCGGTTCGTGTCGAGAAGCAGTTGCTGGATATCCTGCAGAGCGGCGACGACCTCGTCTTGGCTTGATGAGGGTGTGATTGGGGTTGAGTCTCTCGGGTTCGTGACTGGGGTTTGAGGAGTTGGCGCTGTGGCGGTCGGCTGTGTCGATGGTGTGAGAGGTGTGAGAGGGGGGCGGTTGATGGAGGGGACATGGAAGTGTGGCTGCGTGGTTGGACTGGTGTTGCGTGGAACCGTGATGGGGATGGGAGGTCGATTGTCGGCGGAAGGGAATTTGAACAGGAGTTGTGGTGCAGGAGCAATGTTTCTGGTCAGTCGCGTGGACAGGCGCGGGCCGCGAAGAATGCTGAGAGGGTTACTGCGGCGCATGGGGTGGACTCTGCGCTGCTCCTGTCGTTCAGCGGTGGGTAGCGGAGATGGTGACGGAGGCCCTGCATCCTCGGTGAGGTCTAGCGACTCGATACTTTGGTCCATTTGTGGGGTCGTGGAGGGCCTGTTGCTGTACAGGGTGTCGCCATCACCAGTGGAGATTTGCGCAGACCTGCGTTTGCCACTTGAGGGTGTCGAGTAGGTGTGGCTCAACGGAGAACTGGGCTTGTCACCTGCGATGGAGCTGGGCGTCGAGTAGTGGGAGGGAAAGGAGCGGCGGCTTCTTGGAGTTTGGAGGGTGGGGACCTCGCTAGATTGTGTACCTTCAAGTGATGTCTCCCATTCCAAAATGGTAGTCGGGGGAGCAGCAGCTGGAGTGTCCGGCGAGTTCGATTCGTCGAACAGAGTTGATTTGGCGCGAGAATTGGTGACGAGCGAGGGCAAAGCTGATGACTCCTGGTTGCTGAGCGTGGTGTCTTGCGCACTTGCAGACACAGAAGTCGACTCACTTGTGTCAAAGGTGTCGACGTCAGCGAAGCCGTCCTCTCCCCCAGCACCGGCCATGTTTGAGGACGGTGATGGCTGGCGTAAGTGGATCCACGTGCGTAGGAAAGGAGAGAGGGGCGGCATCTTGGATAGATTACATCGAAGCCATGACACGACCGTCGAGTGCCATTGTTGCAGTTGAATAAGGTGGAAGAAGTGAAGAAGAAGTGAACAGGTAGCCGTGTGGTCTTTACAAGATCACCTACCAGAACCTCACATTGACAACCTCACGTTGTTCTCCCATGTGACCTACGGCTTTCGGACACCACCTCATCGAGTGCAACCGTTTCGTTCGCTTGCTGCAATGGAGCAGCTTCTCCCGTCTTGCAGGATGCTGTATCGTTGTCATGAGCCCCTTCAGAGTTCGTATTCGTCTCACCCGCAATGGAGAAGATAGGATATGACAGCTGATAGGGGTAGGGAGAGCTTGCATTGCCTTGGCTTCGCCGTTGGACCAGGACTATTGTCTTCTAACTTCCGCGATCGTGGGTATGCAAAATGAGTGGCTTTCGATTTGATAGAATGGATTAAGGAAAGCAACATGAAGTCTGGAAGCAGTTCTAAGCTTGACACGTGACAGCTCCTTGCAGGAAGAGAATTCACCCGACTTGGCAGGTGCCGGTTCTGGCAGCCGAATGCTCTCCGACGTCGCCCACTTCCGCTGTTGACACCTCTCACACCCCACTGCTGATCGTATGGCGGGGCAAGGCCGGCAATGGGGCAGCGAAATGGGAACCGACGTGATTTGCCAGGACGATGAAGCTCGCCAGCCGCGTCTTCCAGCGCCCGACCAAAGTGCCGTGATTGTCAGGATGACTTGAGAATTACTTGTGTGAGGTATACCGGGGAGAGTATAACTGTTCCTCTCTCCTACATCTCGTCTTCTACAGCTCTGCTATTTGCCTTTCATAATATCAATCAAGCGAGAAAGAACGAGAGACCTCTTCAATACATCTCCATAACCCGAATAACACTTCTTACGACCAACCGCCAACATGGGCTCAACACCCAAGTACGACCCAAACTTCACCCAGCATGTCATCGACACCTGCGGCCCCAACACCAGCCCGCGCATGAAGACCATCTTCGGCGCCATGATGCGACACCTCCACGACTTTGCGCGAGAAGTTGACCTCACTCCCGAAGAATGGCTGGCTGGTGTCAAGTTCCTGAACGAGACGGGCAAGATCTGGGCAGAGTCGGACGGCAAGCGGAATGAGATGCACAGATTATCCGATATTACGGGTCTGGAGTCTCTAGTCACAGAGATCGCCAACTACGTCCAAACCGAAGACCCGAACTACACGCCCACCTCTGCCGCTATTCTTGGCCCATTCTGGTCGCCGAATGCAACATGGAGAGAGCTGGGTGACAGCGTGATTCAAGACCCTCACGAGGGCGTGGTGACATACATGCACGGTGTGATCCGGGATCTGTCAACGCACAAGCCTATCCCAGGCGTGACGTTCGACTTCTGGCAGGCTAGCAGCAACGGCAAGTACGATTTCCAGGACCCAGACAATCAGAGCGACAACAACTTGCGTGGGAAGTTCAAGACGGATGAGAACGGCGAGTACCGTCTTTACTGCCTTCGACCAACTGCCTACTCTCTTCCAACCGATGGTCCCTCCTTCCAGCTCCTAAACGCATTGGACAGACACCCAATGCGGCCAGCGCATATCCACTTGATGGTGAGCTTCTACCCCTCTCTACTTCACGCTCAAGATCGATGCTGATTGTAGAGTGCACAGATCACAAAAGACAACTACAAGCCAGTAATCACGCAAATCTACCCCAAAGACGACCCCTGGCTCTCTACCGACACCGTCTTCGCCGTCAAGGACGATTTGGTCGTCGACTTCAACCCCGTTGGCAAGATCCCCGACAGCATGAAAGAGCACACCGGACCCGGCGGGAAGGCGACGAAGGAATTGGAGTTGAATATCGTCTTGGCGCCGCTCGGGGTGGCTGGGCACTCGGACCCGGAGCCTAAATCGTAGGAGACGAATACGGCGAGGACGAGGAATGGAATTGACATTTAGCGTTATTGTAGTTGTTGATACTTGATCGTACATATCACGACATTTCACCAATCTGCTTCCAACTACTTGCACCCACAATCATCACTCGCCGGCTTCTCCCCACCTCCTCCAAACGCCAGCCGACTCAACCCATCCACCACCACCCTCACCCCTTCCTTCCCCGCCTGCACCTGACTCGGCGTACTCGAATAGCTAGCCGGAACATCCAACGCCGGATTCCTATCGAAGAAATTCCGCGGCCGCAACAACACCCCCATGCCCTCCGCCGGCATAATCGGATAATCCTCCGGACTCGGAAAATGCACCACCCCGAACGTATGCCAGACCACTACATCCGTGTTCTCGATCCCGCCCTCCGGATCCGCTGCGATCCACGCCGGTATCCCCTGTGAAGGCGTGCCGGAGGTCTGCGGGACGTGACGGCCGGCAGGGTGGAGTTGGGTGTCTGACTGGCGGGTGACGTGGAGGGCGTGGCGGGCGAAGCCGGCGCGGTTGTAGACGAGGCTGTGCTTTTTGGGGAGAAGAGGGGGGATGTCGCGGGATACTAGTTTGTAGGAGACGGGTTTGTGGGAGTGGGGGTTTAGTTTGTTGGGGTTGGAGAAGTCCCAGGTGCGGGAGGTGCTGGCGTCGTAGTCGGACATTCCGGTGGACCTGGGATGGCGGAAGAGAGAGGTTAGAGAGGGTTTTGTGGGGGAGAGGGGTATGGGGACATACATGGTTTTCAACGCTGTCTTCTTAGCGTAGAAAGCGTTGCCGTACGGATTCTGCTCGCTCCCAGGTTCGCCGTCGCCACGTGTTGCGTCGACTTCGAAGACCGTGTTCTGCGGCCCGTCGATATTCGGATCTAATCGCAAGCAGAACAGATGCTGATGGTTGTGCGCGTTCACTCCTGGATACACCTCAGTTCCCCAAGGGGCAGCGTCCTCCCCTGGCGCCAATGCGTAAGTGTTCAGAATGCCAGTCAGTTTGATGTCCAGCTGTATAACACCATCCTGATGTAAGATCCAATAGACACAATATTCGTAGTTGGCAGCTGTGAAGACATGGCTGATGATCATTTTTCGGCCGCGTGTCACGGTGCACGAGTCGTCGCGGAAGTCGGTGTGCTTAAACAGAATCCCTGCATCTTCTTCATGAAGACAGATGGCGTTCTTGATCGTCTGTGGCTCGCCTGCCTTGTTCACAAAAGCGGCGTCGAGGTAGTGAATCGCGCCTTTGCAGTCGCAGCCCAGGGCAAGGGAGTTCGTCATGTAGCCGCCGCCGTACTCGCCAAGATCAAAAGCGTGCTTGCGCTGGTGAGGATGCTCTGGGTTGCCGTAGGGCACGACCATTTCTGCCAGAGACATGCGCCAGAAGACGGGCCGGATGTTGCCTTTGTCATTGAAAGTGACGTTGGACAGGACGATGCCTTCGCGGTAGTTGAAGCCGATGTGGACGCTCCAGTTCTGCCATTTCAGAGTGCGGCCGTCGAGCTTGAAGGAGACGCCTTCTGGTTGTGTGATATTGAGTGGTTTGAGATCGTCTCTGACGCCGCCCTCTTTCTTGATAGCTTCGGCGTGGTAGTTGATCGGCGGGGCGGTGTTGAGCGGTCTTCGAGTCTTCGGTACGTCGATGTGTACGATCTGCTGGGTATCTGCGTTGTAGATCGGGCAGAAGTCGAGCGGATACGTGTATTGAGAGTCATCGGGATGCGGTCTGTAATACATCAACGCCTGCTGGAGCCGCACTTTCGAGCCAAAGCGTTCATCGTAGCCTATGGTCCAAGGATCACAGTACACCTTGTGCATTTCCTCTGGCGGTATACCCAAGATACCGCATTGTTCTATGACCTTGGGGTCCTTCCTGGCCACCGTCTCGACGATCTGCAGGTCTTCCATAGTGATGAGCGGCTGAACACCCTCTGTGAGCTCCCACTGCACAATCCGACCCTCTGTCAAGTCCACCAGGCCGTCGAACACCCTGCTGCCCCGTCCGATGCAGACGACATCCGCGATTCTATGTGGCTTGGGAGTGTATTCTGAATCGGCCACCCATCGCATCATCTCCGCCTTCTTCGGTTCTTCGAGGGATACTGCGTTGAAGTGTACATCGTTGTGCTCGCGCCGGACGATCTCGACTGCTGCTGCGATTTCGTCTGTTGACAGAGGATCGAAGGGGTGGTGCTCCGCGACTTGGCCAGTGAGATGGGATGCCATCTGCTGGAGGCGTTCGAGGACCATCTTAAATCGTGGTATAAGAGTAATTGGATGACAAGGAGGATGGCGAGACAGGATGAAAAGATGTGTATACTACCGTTGACTTACTCCACCATGGACCGCGTCGAGAATAGCTCATAGTTCGCGTGGTTGTGCTTCTCGAGCCCCTCATGCAGGCTGGCGATAAGGTAGCAGATAGGCGAGCTCTGCTGCAAGCAGTTTGGTGACCTAACGAAGGTGATGCCCTGGAAGCTTTGCATTTCCACAGACATGGAACGCAGACGGCGCATGGGTATCGCCGCTGGACGGTCAATATGGTATAGAAGTCTGGAAGAAACGTGAAGGTTGTCTAGGATGGTGCTCACGTCTCGACCTGTTCAGGCACCAAGGCAACACAGCTGAATATCACGTGATGAAGTGAATGTTGCGGAACAACACGGACGTCGAGGCTGTTCAATCCGCTTTTTCGACATTGGTATTCCATTATCTTCCCGGCAGGCCGGCATCCGGACGGATCATCACTCGCATGATCAAGTTGTTCATCATATCCGCCCCATCGGGAAGGCACATGTAAGTCGGAGAGGTCGAGCTCAAGAAGCTACCCTCTCCACCTCTACCACCCCATCTCGTCTTCCAACTCCATCTTATTTTCAACTACCACCACCACCACCATGAAGATCCTCCTCTGCGGCGCGACCGGCTTCATCGGCGCCGAAACCCTCGACCAATGCCTCAAACACAACTACATCCAACACATCTACTGCCTCACCCGCCACGAACTGCCCACCAAATACTCCACCCACGCCAAAGTCACCCAGCTCGTCCACGAAGACTTCTCCCAGTACCCGGAGTCTTTACTCGATAAGCTCTCCGCCTACAAGATCGAGGGCTGTATCTGGTGTTTAGGCGGGAGGAGTATGGCGAGCTTCAAGAATAAAGAAGAGGCCGAGACGGTGGGGATACATTATCCGATCCAAGCCGCGAATGCGTTTGCGACGAGGTTGGCGACGAAGCTGGATCCGGATAAGCCGCCGATGAAGCAGAAGTATCCGTTCAGGTTCGTGTTCGTGAGCGGGTGGGGCGCGGAGCAGGATCAGTTCCGGAGTCTGTGGATGTGGAATGATAGTCGGAAGATCAAGGGGGCGGCGGAGAAGGGGGTGTTTGATGTGGCGGATACTTCGGAGGAGATCAAGGGGAAGAGGTGTTTTGAGGCGATTGCGCTGAGGCCGGGGACGGTTTTGACGGGAGGAGATGCGACGACGACGTTGTTGAGCGAGGCGGTCGTGCCGTGTATTGCTGTGGATCGGTTGGCAAAGTGCGCGATTAAGATGGTGTTGGAGGGGACGGGGTATCCGGAGAAGAGGGTGTTGGAGAATGGGGAGTGTTTGGGGCCTGATTGGGCGATGATAAATAGTCTGAGGGTTTGAAGTGGCGAGCGAGCGGAGGGAGGGAGGTAGAAAGAAGGAGTGTTCTGATGTCAATCAACCGCTACGCCAACGCCTGGTCCACCGATCCGCAGATACTGCTTCGCTTCATGTTACTTCCTCACGCAAGTCCATCCTTGATCCTGAGAAAGCCTCGACCGCAAACAACCATCGATGCTGAATCGACTCCTCCAGCCCCAACACGCCGTCATCAACTCGCATTCAGAACACCTCACGAGAACCGCCCGCCTAGAACTCCATCGCCGCATCCCCGAACTCACTGACGTCGCTGTCATCACCCGCCACCGACTCCGTCTTAATGCTCCCTCCGACCTCATCGGCCTTGGCCTCCGAGTGCCCGTTGACACGCGGTGTCTGGTTCTCAGCTTCGTCGTCACCCTCGTCGTCGGAGCCGAAGGAGTACTTTGGGGTGGCGGACTTCTTACGAAGAGACCTGGAAGAGGCGCGCTCAGGCTTGCTGTTGAGTTCGGGCTCCGTGTCGTCTTCCTCGCTCATGGCGACGGCCTTGCGTTTGTTGCCTGTGGCGTGGGAGGGTCAGTCATGCACTAAAAGAACGAGAGGGAGGGTTGTGTCAGGGTTAACTTACTACCGGGAGTTTTGACCGCCTTCGGCGTCTTAGGCGTACGTGGCTTCGACGGCGTGGTGGGAGCTTTCTTGCCACCGGTCCTACTGACCCCATGGGCCTTGCGGAGCTTGGTGAAGCGCTGGTCGAGGGCGCCGTTGGTCGGTGCGTCACCTGTTGTAATTTGTGATCAGTCGGGAGTGTGCAGGTGGCGGTAGTAAAGGAGTCAAAGACGTACCGTAGAGTTCCTGCCATTTCGCCGATGCAGCCTTGGTGTCGATTTTTTGGGAAGTGATGATGGCGAGGACGAGCTTCTCGCTTTTCTCGGCGGTCCACGTCTCTGGCATGGTTGCTGGTTGGATGAGATGTTGTTGGTAGGATGCTTGAAGTGAGGGTCAGTGATGTCGGATGTGTTGGGAGGCGGATGAAGTGCTGTGAAGCGGCCGTGAAGTCGAAGGAAGAGGTCAGGACTCTCGAATGAACTGCCGATGATGACGATGCAAAATCATGAGGATGAAGGAATGCAAGAATACTCACAGGCGGTGAAAGCATCCAAGTGAACCGCTGAGGGCTGTTGAATGAAAGTGGTGTATTGTGAAAATCTGTCGGAGGTGCAAGATTGAAGATGTTGAGCCAGTTTGAGGACGACCGCGCTGAGCATATGACAAGGACCGGGGAGATTGCTGCCTGTTGTGAAGTGAGGTTGGACATACGTTGCTAGGTGTCGGGGGTGGTCGAGCGGTGTTCTGCGGTGGAAATGAAAAGGAATATGACACATTCGATGTGGCTGTGGTTCATAGCACTGATGGTATCACGATCTGCGAAACACTGCTCTACTGCTTCTTCGATACGCCTCCTACCACGCACATCTTGCCATCGTCTACGAGAGTCGCCCTGTCACTATTGCGTGCTCGCGGAGTCGCGAAGGCGCACGCGGATCCTGGTAAGAGCGTGCATATTGCACGTCGCACAACGTCAAGCCACAGTTCGCCCACCAACTTCCACGGATCAGCACGAAACTGAGCAGTCATTTTGTGCCTTCCGGAAGCTACGTCTTTTATTGAGAGCGATAGGGAGCGAGCAGCGATGCATTTGCGGGCTTGTAGTATTCACAAACTTAGAGGAGGAGGCACATTTCGTTTTCGAGCATACAACACCTTCAGAGACGCTGGAAGAGCATAGAACCATATCTTTTCATTGACTGCCATCCTCGAGGATCACGCCCTATCATAGTCCAGCTTCTCTCGTCCGAGAACTCCTATTCCATCTCCCGAATGACTTCAACGTCCATCCCCACTCATCTCAGCACCAGACCGGTCTCTCCCAGACTAAAAGTACGACCGGTCAAGATCTCCAAACCCACCCTGACCACCGCAACCTCCTTGCCCGAGACCCATCGGATCATTCATGTCAAAGTCGTCGAAGCCGAAGTCGTCGCTCGCCACCGGTGTGTCGACAGCCGCTCCTCCGGAGCTGCTGCCGCCCTCGCCACCCGACGACTCCTTCTTGATTGGCTTCTTCTTCGATGGTGTGGTCTTGGAGACTCGGCCGTTGGTTACGGCTGGTAGGTAGTCAGCATGTGAGTAGTCAGCCGGGAAAGGGGTGTCAAGGACGTACTTTCGAGAGCGCTCTTCTTAGGCGTCTGGTTCTACTTCTTGGGCGTAGAGGCCGTGGACTTGGAGCGGGATGGCGTGACGACGGCGTTGGGGTCAGCTTCGGACTTGAGAGCTTCGGCGTCCTTCTTGATCTTGCGGAGTCGATTCTCGAGGGCTAAAGCACAGATGGGCAAAAGGGTCAGCAAGTGTCTTTGAACTGGGAATAGCGGGCATAACTTACTGTCGTACGTGGTACCGTAGTAGGCTGCGGCTGCCCTCAGGTCGATCTAAGGATCGTGAGTGAGTGATGGTCAGTGAGACGGGAGTGAGGAGGACGAACCTTGACGCCGGTGGCGTAGCTGTCGAAACATTAGCATGAAGTGTGGCAGGAGGCAAGAATGAAGCTTACATGCTGGCGACGAGACGCTGCCATGCTGGAACGCTGTCCCAGTCTACGGTTCCTTTGCCCATAATGAAGGTTGTTTGAATAGAGATGTGGAAGTCGAGAGAATGTCGAGATGATGTGCTGAAGTTGGAGAAGAGTGTTGGAATCAGTCAAGAGTTGTGGGTGTAGAGGAGAAAGACAAAGATCAAGACGTGATGAAGTTTGATGAAGTGACGTTGCCCTTCGTAACCACCAGCAGTGCTGCCTGAATGAATGAAGCGAGCATGTGAAGATAATTCTTGAGAAGAGGAACAGGATTCTGATGTGGCTTGTCGTCTCCGTCTGTTACCTGTCTATTTCTCGAGCCGGCACCTGGTCAATCGTCGATCTGGAGACTGCACGTTGTTCAACGCTCTTCCACCTACATCGACTCGCCATGGGAAGACTCAGCAGAACGACATGTCTTCTCGCGTCCTAGCTGTGAGCACTCTACACCATCCTCGTCCCGCAGGGCGTGCATCGGGAGAGGCGCTCCACGGGTTACACAGCGTAGGACCTGCATCTGGAGCGATCGGGCACCGGAGATGCGGTTGATGAGATATGGAGTCGGCGATTGACATATCAGCTTCGACACAAGCTTCGATTGAGCAGTGCCAGGCACAACAAGAGTGCTCTGAGAGAGACGTAGACGAAGGAGAGTGGAAGAGATGGAAGGAGTGAAGTTGATTCCTCTCCGTAATACCGCAGTAGTTCTGAGACTTTGCACGGTACTTATGATCATGGACAATAGTCGCTCATAGAGGAAGTCTTTTCTCTCCTCCGTCGCAGTCTCGCTCAACGTCCGATCATCCTCGTAGCGAATGTCCAAGGTCCATAGCATGTCGCTGACCAAGCATCAAGAGCCAGCGACTGTCATATGCGGTGATTTTGGCATCGAGCAGTCCATTTGCATAAGGTGGAATGCAGTATGAGAACCAAAGAAAGGTCCACGTCCACCCAAAAACTCTTTCAAAAGTCGTCAGTTGATCGTTCTCGGAGCGTTCAGAGTACTTCCGCCAGCACCATCTGACCAAGTCTTCGATTGTGATAACGAGAGGCTGCAGCATGAAGAAGCGAAGCTCGCCTACATCCCGTCTGGCTGCAACGAAAATATCCCATTCGTGGAAGACCTTGGCATGAGTTCAGTCGACGGCAAGTTCCCGTGCATTGGGTGGATCGTACCGTGCTTATCGCGAACGCCAAATAGAGCTGAAAATACTTCGAGGAAAGAGTGCCTTTCTTGATGCCGAGGAGTCTCCTCAACCGAAGAGCTGGTTGCTGGAAAGTCTGCGAGATGTCAGTCGCGCTGAGAAGCGGCTGCCATCTATACAGGCCTTACCCTGCGCATGAGCTGATGCCAGACAACACTTGAGTCACTGTTAGGATTACGAAAATGCCTTTACGTTGATGCCGAGCTTACCTCCAGGCCTGTCTCACGCTCCACATCTCCTTCAGCGGACCGAAGAATGGCGGCCATTCCCATTGCTCAAAAACACCGGCAGCTACGGTCACTGCTGCGCCTATATTGGTGAGCATGTTCATACTGTGCCACGTATTAGCAGCAGAGAGCCAGCCGACAGCAACATCCAGTAGCCTCTGCTGGACTTTCGTCTCTGCACTGCTTCTTGAGATCATTGCGGCTCCCAAAAGATAGACAGTCAGGCTCTTCTTCACAAGCGCAGGGATTGCCAGGAGTAAGCGTCTACGGACGTAAGCCCACTTCTCCAGGTGAGCATCGGTACAGGCAGGGACGTTCTTGACTTGCTGGATCATACGGTCAGTAACTTACTCGATAAAGCAGTTCCGTAATATCGTCAAAACTATGTTTGACACGACTTACCCAGTTCCAGCCAATACCTCTCCCATACAGGCTGAGTCGAAGAGCTAGCTTGAAGCGTGCCCAGAGCGAAACACGCTTGTCATCGATACTTGCGCCCTCCGCTTCGGCATCTGTTTCACTCGCTCGACCGTCTATTGCGAGCACTTTAGACGGACCGATCCAGCGGGGCGCCTCCTCTGTGCTAGACTGAAGCACAAGAAAGTCCAGGGACACCGCTAGGCTGGCGAAGAACTGGCTTGCTGAGTTGTAGTCATCGAGGGCAGAGCCTGCTGTAAAGTACGGCCGGGATAGTGTGATGCCGAGGAGTAGAGGGAATGTCGTAATGACCCTGCCATGCTTCGTTGGGAATAGCCATGGTATGATCGTGAGTAATTGTGCCGTTGGACCAAGTAGTGCCGGAAGTGGTCTTCGCAGACCTATGGGAGGATAGAAAGAGGCGAGGTAGTCCATCGTTCTATTCTTACTGGAAGTGGAATATGGGAAGCTACGTCAATTTGAACAGTGCCTCATGTGCTGGCCGGGTCAAGATTGGAGGAGCGGGCTCGTCGGGGAGTGTTGTCGAAGATAGACCAGATGAGGCAGGAGGTTGGTCCAGAAGCACTCCGCGTAGGATTGCACAAGTAGTTGCATAGATCCCTGTTTGCCCATTTAGCCCAATCCTTCGTTCATGCGGACGCTCGCACCCTTCGTTCCTCCCGTCGTGATCTAATAAGCTCCAATCCCTCGCAAGCTACCTTCTGACCTTGCGAAATATCGCCATCAGACCCCATCACCCTACATCCTACGGAACACCCCTTCCATGGCACTACGACGCGTTGCTCTTGTTGGCGTAAGTAGCATCCTCTATCCTTCATGGAGCTTGCATGTTGATCAATACGTAGGCTGCTGGGTCATTAGGCCCATACATCCTCAGGGAACTTCAGCAAAGCAATTCGTTCAGCGTGACTGTAGTGACGCGCAAGGGATCACGGTCGTTGGGCGAAAACAGCGCCTCCATCGTCACTGTGCCGAAAGAATACCCAGAAGATACGATGGTCGAAACGTTCAGAGGCCACGATGCTGTTATACTATGTTCGAAAAGTTAAAACATCGCAAGATAGTACCATGCTGACTGACCCGGGACGGGACCCCCAGGCATTCCAGCAGCTTCACAAGACCATATCAAGCTGATTCGAGCATCAATCGCCGGAGGCGTGAAAAGGACAATACTCTCTACGTTCGGCAATCATGGCGAGAACCAAGCTGCGCGAGACACCTTTCCAATTGCCAATCACATTCACGACACGATTCAACAATGTCGATCTTTGGAACAGCCCGGTTGGTCATGGTCTTCGATTGCTTGTGGGCTCTTCCTCGACTAGTAAGGCCAATCGCACGCTGCCGGGTGAAGCATCACTCTAACACCTGTTAGTTGTTTACAGGTGGGCTTGCTTGGGGTATCTGTGAAAGACAAGACAGCTTGCCTCTGGGATGATGGCGAGGTGGTCTTTACTGCGACTGCGAGGGAGCACATCGCCATTGCAGTCCGAAACACACTCCTCAAGCCGGCCGAGACAGCAAACAGCGTCCTGCATATCTCATCCGTCGAGTGTTCCCTGAGTGACATTCTCGCGACAGCCAAGAAGATCTCCGGGAGTGAAGACTGGACGGTAACATATGGCGACTCTGCCGAACAGATTGCACAAGCGAAGCACGATAGACAGCACGGTAAGACAGTTGGATCGCGCATGATGGCATTGGGGCGTTTGGCGCTGTTGGTCAACCTTCGCGAAGAGTGCGAGCCGAACTTCAAGAGGCGAGGCGTACTTGACAATGAGGTGCTCGGTGTACCTGAGCTACCTTTCGAAGTTGTGCTACGCCAAGCATTCGCTGAGGAAAGAAGTGATCAAATTGACTATGTAATCTGAATAAGACTGTCTGCTGAGAAGTCCATCGTGTGTAGGCACGATATCTTCATCTACAGAAGCTGCCGTCTCGAAGCTTCTCCAGCACTTCTTCTGCCACGGGCTCCTGCGGCTGTCCAAAGATACCAAGACTTGTCGGCGCTTGTATAATGCGGTCAGCAGTCACAACATACGCTCTTCGGAAGACTGATGCTCGTACCAGGATACCCAAAAGTGTCAAGGTCCCATCCGTTGGCCCAGATAAGCATGTTGATCTTCTTCGTCCTCATACACGGACCCAAAGCCCTCAGAACGCGGCACGGCCATTGCTTTGATGAATTGGTCGCGTCAGCTTGACGAATGATTGGGACACGCTAGTTGGGAGAATAGGATGTGGGCATATCTTGTATTGACGGTGCAAGTGAGTTGACTCCCATGCTTGCGCGGTTATAAAAATTCCCGACGCTGAATATGCCAACCCTACAGACCATGCTACCATTGTGCACAATCCATATGCGGATGCTCTCGGCCGGATTCTGCGAGAAGTAATCGATAAAGACTTAAAGTGACAGAGATGGAGAAGCGTAGGGAACAGTAACATAGGAATTCCATTGACCGATAGATGGTCACCATGACAGCTCCTTTGCAGTACTCGAGGGGTCACAGTCGAGCTTGCTGCAGAAATCCACGTCCTCCTTCGTCGTCTCCGAGAGCGTTTGTTCTGGTGCTGCCGATGAGATGATCGTCTGTGCGGCTTCCTCACGCCGGCGATGCTCCATGATAAGCTTGCGAGTAAGTTGCTGGAAGTATCGCGGGCCCTAAAACGTGTCAACCTTGGACCATGTGGCCAGAGTGGAATATTACCCTACCTTTTCCACTCTATGATGCAGTTCGCCGGTAGTGAAGATCTCAGCCTCAAGGTTCTTCTGGACACCGTTGCAAAGATCCTTGTCCTCCTCAAGGATAGCTTTCACAAAGTTGTTGATGCCATGAAATTGCTCATCACTGGCGTTCTTGTGGCGATACACCTCGTATTCTATCTTGACTTGGCGTTCAGATACTGGCGTGCACCGGATGACGTACATCATGTTCGCCCTTTCAGACGAAGTCAGTATCAAGCCCTTCTTGTGCGAGCTTTTCGAAGGGTGCTTACGAGACCGTCGTGGCAGAGAACGGGTAGCAGAAAGTTGTGCAGACCTGTGTCTCGGCAGATTCATTGATCCTTTCTTCCTCGATTGGAAAATGCTGAATCGAATATCCAGAGAGATTCACATAGTACCCCGCGAAGTCAATGGCGCTGAGCGCAGAGTGGGCAGTGGAGCAGTGGTAGCACTATACCGACTTCATCAATAATCAATCCCCCGAGAATACACGCACTTTGGAACATACCTCATTGTAGTTGTCAGCAAACACTTTCCAGTTGAAGTCGCCTACAATATGCCATTGGTGGTCGAAGGTGTAGTCGTCCATGTTGAAGTAGCTCAACCTAGGCTGCACATCGAACGAAGCGAAGTCTTCGTCCCATGCTACTTTCGGCTTCTCCCTCGAATCGAAATTCACCCAGATGTATCCCATGCGATCGACATGTACATGGATACTGAACAGACCATTTGACGTCTTGTCGAACGAAGGATAGTCCTGATAGTTGGGAGCTTTGGCTAGATGTCCGTCGAAGCCGTACGTCCAACCTGAACACGACAAATAAAGTCAGGATGGGACACACGATCTCACTCTTGGGACATACCGTGATATCTGCAGGACAGGACCTGCAGCTTTCCAGAGTCCTTGAGTACTAGAGGCGAGGCTCGATGGCGACAGACGTTGTGATGTGCAAATATCTCGCCTTGCCGACTGCGAATGAGGAAGAATGAGTAGCCAGCTACTGTCAAGTGTACGTATTCGCCAGCATCTTGGAGCCTTTTGGTGTGTGAGACCAGGAGCCATTTCTTTGTGAAGACGGCCCTACGTTCTAATTCGAACATGGCTGGCGACCGATACCATGATGCCGGCAAAGCACTGACGGGAGATCCATCTTCGCTATCTGTCATTTTTGTTGGCATGGTGTTGGCACAAATCCGCAAGAGATGGGTGATCGCGTGGCGTCCGCTGTTTGGTGGCGAGGTGCGAGATGGGCAAAGGCATTCAGCTCGAAGGAGAGACTGCGGCTTTCTTGTATCCGGCTTTCTTGTGTTGGAAGTCGTGCTCACCCTGATTCCACACTTGCCATCCTGGCCTGCCCACCCTGCTCATCCTCCGACTCCTCCTTCCAGCTCATCCGTCTTGCTTCATCCTACTTCATCCTGCTTCCGCTGAGTAGCCATCAGCTTCGATCAAGCGACCCGCCCGCATCTCCATCCCCGGTCTCTTGTTCTCCAAATGGTTGACTCCCGCAAAGTCTCCAGCAGAACAAACACCATGTCAAGCTCACAAACCAGAAGTCAGGAACGCCGGCGGCTTGTCGTTCATAGCAGAATAAACTTTGTGGGTACCCTTCTCATCGTAGACCCAAGGATTCAACCTGCAGAGCGGATGAAGATAACGGTTCCTTTAGGAATAGCATCCAAAATCCTTTAGCAACCATAGCATAGCCTATAGGTGCAATCCACGATTCGCCTGCGTGCCACCATGAGTTAGAGATCCAGGACCGGGCCCCTTGCACTACGCGCCGCTATTGTAGATGGAAGAGTGTGGTAGAGAAAATAAGAGTAAGGTTGACTCTTCGTCCTGTTAGCGCCGTAGCTTTCAGACCACACCGGGAACTTGTGATCATGACATGATTTGCCTAACGACCAAGCAAAGAAGTGAAGCTATTCTCCTTTCGCTCCTCCATCGCAGCCTCAATTGCCGTTAATCACAGCAGTAGCATTTAGTGCATCCATCCTGAGACCTTATGTCTACACGCTATCCTCCGTATCCTCCTCCTTCTTCACCGTCTGCTTCACAACTTGCTTCTTGGTCGGAGACTCCCCCTCAACCTCCTCATCGTCCTCGCCGTTGGCATCATTCTTCTTACGCTTCCCGCCCGACTTGCCTGGCGTCTCGTTCTGGGCCAACTTGCCTGGCTTGCGAGGAGTGCCGACCGAAGCTGAAGCGGTAGAGGAAGCGGTTGGGTTGCCGAATTGAGCCTATCGTTCAATTATTAGCCGTCAGCTCAAGTCATGCTCCGAGGATGCCGTGCTGGGTAGGTGCAGAAAGAAATGTTGAATACGTACCTCAGACTCTTTGCGCAACTTCTTGTAGTGCTGGCTGCTTCACATCAGTCTCCATGTTCTCTGCAGTGAACATGCACGGGAAACGCTTACCGGGTAGATTCTTTCGTGAAGCCCTCCCCCATCATGGCGGCGACTTGGTCCCAGTTCGGCGGGCTCGGCGATAGCTGGTGGATGATGGTGAGCAGGAACTTGCGATCGACCGCGTCGTTCCACGGTGAAGGCCTGTCCTCGTCAGTACGGATGTTGAAGATGAAACGATGCAGCAGTCTTACATGTTGACGGAATGGTCGTGTTGTTCAGATGGTTTGATGAGCTGGTAAAGAGGTCTGAGATTGTGTAGTGTTGAGAGAAAGGTGGTGGAAGGTGAAAAGTAGATGTAGCTTTCAGTGAGGTCGCAGCAAAAAGAGCATCACATGCCCATTGAACTTCACTGATCAGGCACTAAAGGATCACCTACTGTTATTAGGCGGTTCTCTGAAGAGTGTCAGGTAACACAAGCCTCAAGCCACGCTCGAGATACATATCACATTCCCGAGTCGCTGGGAACTGGAACCTGGCTTGCATCATCCACTTTATTCGGAAGAGATACGAGGGCTGCCAACCAAGCATGAACACGCGAGCACTTCAGACCGATCTCCCAGTACTATCGCACTCACAACGTTGCCGAGTAGTAAAGACTCATGAACCCTGGCCCGCCACAGTACTCCCGGTTATCACCACCACAAGTCATGATCCTGGACTCGTCGCAGGTCACCTGCTGGCCGCCGATGTTTCTCAAGATCCTATTGCATCGTTAGCACACGACTATACTCAGTAATTGACAACTGATTGCACTCACGTATCCCCACAATAACATTCCGTCCCATACTCCATCCCCGCGTAATGGAACCTCTTCCCAAGACAGAACTTCACGCACGACTCCTCCGTCAACTTCGGATCCGTCATGCTGGCGCCCTGTAAAGTACGTCCACCGCTATTGGGGTCAAGCAGGCATTGCTTCGACTGATATTTGCCGATGGATTTCTTGTTGACGGGCGGCACGTATCTGGGGTTGTTGTACACACTAAGCACGCTGGGACCGCCGCAGATTTCAGCACCCGCGCGGGGGCAGCGCTGGGAGCAGGTGTAGTTGTTGGGACTGCTGGTGGGGGTCAGGAGGGTGTTGCCGTTGGCGATGGCGTTGCCGCACCAGCCTGGTGAACGTTAGCGAGGGGATATGGACAGGTGAGGTGTGCGAATGTACTCACATTGGCTGGCAAACTCAAGTCCGTAGTACTGGAAACCCAGCCCGTTGTTGCCTTGCGTGCAGAAGTTGGCACAATACTCCAACGTCATGTTGTAGCTGGTCTGAGTAAAGGCACCCGTGAGAGCTCGCCCAGCAGGCTGATTGTCGGAGTAGCAGCCCTTGTAATTTGACGCAAAGGGTGCGGCATCTTGGTACGGCTGCGCATTGCCGGCCGTATTGGACATGTCACCCGTCTCCTTGAAGGTCGGGTCCGTGTTATTGTAGATGCTGATCACACTTAGGCCACCACAGAACTGCTGCGTGCCTTTTCCCAAGGTCATGGTGCCGCCGCAGTTCCAAGTGCACTGGTTCGAGCCGCTGATTGCTGTAGGATTGAGCTGATTGTCGCAGTGACACTCTTGCGCATACTCAAGACCACTGAGACGGTAGCCATTCTGCATGCAGTAGTTTTGACAGAACTCGACAGTCATTGCTGTGTAGTTCGTGGTCTGGAGGGCATTCAAGGCACGAATGCTGTTTGCGCTGTCGTTGTAGCAACCAAGATACTTCTGCTGAGGAAGACCGAAGTTCTGTCCGGGTAAGGGTACAGCTGTTGGTCGTGGAGTGGAGTCTTTCGTGCTGAAGATCTTCGGTTTCGGCACGCTTGCAGGGCAGTTCATCGAGCTGGCTGGAGCGACCTCGGGTCCTTCAGTGACCTCGACGCATCCTGGTAGGTGGTCCAGCAGGCCATGCACGGGCTCGTCGATCTGGGATGGCCGTTCGGGGCAGTTGAACGGGTAGCCATTCGTCTGACTTGCTTGAAGGGCAGGGCAGTATGAGATCTGACCGAAGTTGTCCGGCACCAAGCAATCTCGCACCGCTTGTGCAAGCACGCTGCTGTCCCATCCATTCTGGAAGTCGGCATGAAAGCCGTAGCCAGTTGGGTCGCCCTGCGAGAACACGAAACGTCCTTGAGGAGTCTGTCCCGACACTTGGGCTACCGCCCAGAGCGTCTCGATGAAGAGCGTCGGCAGCTGGATGGGGTGGTCAGGCGGGCAGATTCCATTGTCGATGTCGTTCAGATACGCGACGTGACTGTTGTCGGCCTTGTATAGTTCTTTACCATTCCAGCATGACTGGAAAGCGATCTGTGCACGCATGCCGTTGGCGCAGGTGGTGTTGAACATATGTCGGCCTTCCGGCAGGGGCGGTCCATCCGGCAGGCAGACAAAACTGATGCGGTCTGCGATTGGTCTGCCAGGGTACGTTGCGTTGCCCCATGTCATCGTCTCATTGTCGTAGCTTCGTGCTCCTTTGTCGCCGGTCAAAATCATGAAGCCTTTCGGGTAGGGTATGATCTTGTCTGCATTTGGGCCGCGAGCAAGATAGTAGACGACGCTGCCACTGTGCGGTACTTCAAGGAAGGTATTGTTCGGATACTGATAGTATAGGATAGGCGTCCAGTACGCCGACTTGTCTGCAGCGATCTCACATGATGTGCATTCGGAGTTTAGAAGGGTGTTGAAGGTTGCATTGACGCCGATGTCTGGACGAAGTTAGTACAGAGCCTCTTTATGAGCATCGCAACACCTACTTGAGCCTCCCACAATAGTGTGGGCATGAGCAGCGACAGCTCCTGGGTTGACCAAAGGATCGACTCGACCAGTGTGTATGATACCACAGTTCATGCGCCAGAACGCATCCACTCCTCCAAGAAATAATAACGCAACTGTGGCCGGAACGGTAACGAGCGACAGCATTTTGACGATCGAGCCGGGGTGACAGTCGGGAAGACGCAGAAGAGATCAAACGAATGGCATTCAGCTGGCTGATATGGGCCTGTCAAAGGCGCTGAACTGTAAGATTTTTTGTAGATCGTCCTTTCAGTCCTGTCCGCATGGCCAGATTCCAGAGATACTGCCTGGCCAAAACAACACCGCGTCGGCCGCTTCGGTGTGGTGGCGTATCCGGGGGCGCACGTTGTGGGAGAGCTCGTGGTTCCACGTGGTCGAAGGTTGAAAGAAAGGAAATGAAAGAGTGACTGACAAGGCCTCCGTCTTGTTGAGTCTGTACGTTCAAGCCGCGTCGTTCTTTGTTGGAGTAGCGAACGCGCCTGATGGGGCAGGAGAATAACAGAATGCACAAAGGAATGTTGATGTGAAACCTACTTTCGACTTCATCTCTGCTTTATTGGTGGTATGCGGTGATACCCATGCATCGCTCGAGACGAGACCGTACATTTGCGTTGGACAGAAAGATAGTGGAAGTGTTTGCGTGCTCTATCTGCTCCATTGACTTGGCAAGGTCCCGGATGCGCTCTAATGCCGGTCTTCTCGAGTTGCTGCGAATGCCAGCAGCACCTGCTCCAGCTCGAGCCTCGTGGGCTGGCTCTATGGTGGCTGTCCCGTGATGTCTTGTCGTCTGAACACCGCGGTGCCGCTGCCTCGATGCGTGCTTGTCGTGTGGTGCTCTAGAAGGGCATCTCCGCCTGCTGCTGCATTGCTGTCGACACCGATCGAGATATGGGAACTTGTCGAGCGTGAAGCAGTGCCATCGCAAGCATAGAGTCCAGGTCGAAGTTGGGTAGATGGGGTGTCACGTTGGTGGAAGAGAAGGAAGAATTGCCTTTGCTTTGGCCGAGGCGGCGGACCGGAGACTTTAAAGAGACAGCGCACGCTGATTGGTCGGAAATAACATGCCGCTAGCTGATGTCCCCTGATCTTGTGAAAGCACGAGCTACATGTATTTCCCCAGATCATTTACAACGCCTAATTCCCTCTTGCGAGCCACGCGCCGTACGCAGCCAGCCCAACGATGACACCCGCGGTGCCGAAGAAACCAATGGGCCGTCCTTTACCGCCGTATCCTTTTGCCATCAGTCCATACTCAGCATGCGCTATACGAAACACCACGAGCGCACTCAATGCTGCCGTCAACACCGTCTTTGAGCCTCCGTTCAGCTCCACGGCTCCCGCTAGGATGAGCGCCAGTGGCACGTTCTCGGTGAAGTTGCTTTGAGCGCGAAAGGCGGCGAGAAGTGGGTCATCGTTCTTCTCCGATTGCGGCTTGGAAGATGCTTCGAGGCTCGTTCGAGAAGCTATGCGTTTGAAGCTCACGCGGACTTGGAGGAAGATGTGGTAGATGCTGAGTGGGAGTGCGAATGTGCTGGTGATTGGGAGGAGCGCTGTGTATGCGTGGGCGTAAGTTGAAGCTGCAATGGTGGTTTGGAAAGACACACTGACCTGCTGCTGACATGGCGGGCTTTTGGTTTCTTCTTGGTCTATATTTCTGAGCTCAACTGCGATTCTTATTTCCATTATTGCTTTTACCGACTCGTTGAAGTGTATATATGCTTGTGGAGACCTACCTTGCGGTCATCTCTCCGAGCTAAGTCTCCGCGGCGTCGCTTGCTTGTAAGTCTCCATCCAAGAGCAGCGAGCTTGCATTCCTTCTGCATCAAAGGTCTTAGTCCTGTGAGTATCAACATTGCGAGGCGAGCACATGGTTTGTGGCTCCGGAGGTTCTCCGGCCAAGCTCACGGCATCCTCCAGGTGGTCTCTAGCTCGAAACAGGAGGACTCTGCGTCCAGCTGCAATTTTGCCGAGAGAACCGTCGATGCAGGATGCTCGAAGCCCACTACGTCCGGCGTGGGTTGATCAGCCCAATATCATGCTATGTCCAAGAAGAAGATCAATCCATAAGGTAGGTAGCGACTGACTAAGTAAGTTTGTTCTATTTCCGATGTCCCGAACCCCGAGACGCCTTACTCCTACCCCTTCCCACTCTATGCTATCCTATCTTGATCTCGTACAAACTCCGTAATCCCGTTGACTCCATGATCATGCAGTCATTTACTGCGGCGCGGCAACCAGAGCAGGGTCGCAAATGATCTCGGCAACTTCTGCATCGGGCTGTTGGAACGTCCATGCGCCCTTCTGAGCATCGGAGAATGTGGTGTCTACACAACAAAAAGTTAGCGGTTGTCTTCAACATCTATAGCGAAGGAAACTACAACATACCGACGTTGGTACCCCTCGTGGCGACAATCGCATTTCCGCTGGCGTCGTTGAGCTGGCAGCGGATCGCTGGGTCCGCATTCTGACCAACGAAGACCGCTACCGTCTTGAAGGGTCCGGATCCTCCGGTCGGCGGGAGTGTGGTGCGTCCGATGAAGTTCGGGAAGAAAGTCTGGCGGCCGACCTTGGTGTCCGCGTTCTGCAGAGTCACGGTGAGATCGAATCCCTTGCCTACGAAAGCAGGATCGCAGACGACGTGGTTGACGAAAGCAGGGGGGTCGAAGTTCTAGACGCCCTTGTTACTATCGGAGAATGTGATCTGGAAGTGTGTTAGTAGCTGGGCTTATGTTCAGGGAATTGTAGATGATCATACGTCGAAATTCGGGCCGCGAGTAGCCGCAATAGGCATTCCGGCATCGTCGAGAACCTGGCAGCGAAGCGCTTGATTGGCATCTTGACCGACGGAGATTTCGACGGTCGTGAACGGCCCAGCGGAGCCTGATGGACGTCCTGAGATGCGGTTCTCCACCCTCTGGAAAGAGATCATGGCTTCGTCTCCCATGGCGGCGTTCTCGAGAAGCACGGTCACGGATTGGGTGCCGTAGCCTCCGGAAGGAATCGAAGCATTGCCGGAAGTTTGGGGGGCGGCGCTGGAAGAGCTGGCGGCAAAGCTCGAGGCGGACGAAGAGAGCGCGATTCTGGAGGGGGCGGCGCCGCTCGATGATTGGGCCACTGCGCTGGAGGCAGCTGCGAGAAGAGAAGTGAAAATGGTTGATTGGCGCATCTTGAAGGATGAGTTGTTATGTAGTGGAATTGGTTGGAGGGATTGATATGCTAGTGTTGAAGGAAGTGTGTGGTTGAATGATGCAGAAGGAAGAGATGGTCAGCGAAGATGTGTACTTATGTGCAGTCCGGTCTCGACCGCAAGAAGATGGGACTTGGAAATGAGCACACTCATCAGACGCCGCAAATAGTTGGTGATGGCGGGGATCGCGAAGGCTCATGCTTATGGCTCGCGCTGAACGATGCCACGAGCCAATGCTGCCCTGTCGCTCTTGAGTACCTTACTGATCCAACAGACGGCACAAGGCTATCCTCGGTCCGCAAAGCGAGACTGGGGGCACAGCGGTGCGCCTCTCACCTCTCACATCAGATGTCAGTGCCCTTACCAGACCTGTGTACAAACGAAGCAAGCCTTCGGGAGACTAGAATGATAGCGGATGATGAAGCGCGCACTGGAGCTGAAGCCAAGGCGTTCGAATTAGAATCTGATCTCTGTCAGCACTTGGCGATGCATAAATTAAGCAATCATTTTAACGTGCTTACGCCTTATTCTGACAATTGAACGGTCGCACGTGCCCTACTTTACTGTATGGCGCACGATGGCGCTGCAAGGGACTGCAAGAAGCGTGGTTGGGATCAGTGATCTTCGTGGAGTTTGGAGCTAGCGGCGGCAGTGGTTCAGGCCTTGTTTCCTTCTCTCCTCTTTCTCCGTCCTCGAAGGAACCTCCAGACAACCTGTACAGCGCAGCGGATTCTGGTTATGTGGGCGATATGGCGACCTCGAAAGAAGAGATTGGTACATATCGCCCATCTCCACGAGCCCGGCAAATCACCCGCTGTTCATGTCGATTGAAGCCTTGGAGTCACTCACGTCGAGATGTCGTCCAATGGGAGGAATCGTTGGTCGTTTGGCAGCCCGATGCAATGCCGCCAGTTCGAGGAGCACCGGATTCCATGTTGGCTTCCGCGGTCGGAAGAATGTGAATGAGCAGAATCTGCCCGATGACCCAAATCGTCCGGCCACCCGGCCTGCAGACGGTCTACTGCCGTAGCTACCTGATGCGGACGCTCGAACTCCCGCCAACAGCATATGCTCGAAACGGACCCGGAGTGGACTTTGACAGCCCACCAGCGAAGATCTCGAAGGCAGCTACCATTGTCGGAGGCCATTCAAAGACCTGTTGAAAGGACGAGCTGAGACATCTGAACGGCTGGTGTTCTTTGTCGGCAGCAAATACCTTCCAGAGCAGTATATGTACGGGCTTCTTTCGTGCGCTTTGGATGGTCTTCGTCCTGATATCTCACCAGCACAAGTTGCAAGAACATGGGCCGACAGAATATAAGATGCGCTCGTCCAAGTATATCCGGAAGGAATAGAGGTATGCACGCGGGTCCACCCGATCCCGTGAAATTCACGTGATTTTCACATGCTCAGATTCACCTTTCTGCCAAGCGGCTCTGGTGGCACGACTCCCTCCTTTTTCACCTTCTCCATTCACGCTTGCACAAAATCAATGTCACGTCGTCTGCTTGCAAAAGCTGTCAGTCATTTCATCGTCGACATCGCCAACTTTTTCGCAACTCGCAACGGACGCCATGGCACACCAACAGGGCGCCGTCAAGTCTCCTGACCTTACCACAACGCGCGACAACCTGCTTCTCCTCCACTCCAGCTTGACAGCAAGCAACTACACGGCCGCCAACACGAACGTCATGCTCGATGCGCTGCGGAGAGTCGCCCAAATTCAGTGCCCGAGCACTGCGGCCAGCGGCCACCCTTCTGACGCCACTGTCTGGATGGACTGTCATTTCAAGCCTCTCCGGACCAGCGCCAGACAGCTCCTTCTCCTGCTCAGGCAGATGTCGTCGGTGGATTCGAGGAGCGAGCGAGGACGGATCGTGTGGGCGGACGCGCGGAGAAGGGTAACAGGTGAGTGGTCGTTCGCCAAGCGTGCTGTGGTCTCATAGCTAACGATCGCGTCTTGCAGAGCTCACCCAAGATATCTACCTCGCACTGGCGGTCCTCGACGAGAAAGAATGAGCCACGAAGGCTTCGAATTCTGGTGGTGCTCAGGCCTCGCCAACGGAGAAGGACACGGCTGAGACGGACGAGGTCGAGGACGGCTGGGTCTTGGTGTGAGTCTCTTGAATCGACATTCTGTCGAAACGACTGGAAGGTGGTGACCGTGCTGCCCCGAAAAATTAGGAAATCGGAGAAGCAGTCGACAGTTCTGATGCTCGTCCTTGAGCCGTAGTGCGAGCAGAGCCATACAAACCAGATTATCACATGCTCCGCCCCACTTCTTTCTTACATTCACTTGTCGTCCCGCCAAGCTTTTCCGCTGTTTACCTCCCCCCCTTCACGCTTTTGTTTACCTTTCCACCCCCTCATCCTTACACCATATCACCTACCATCCGCCACCTTCGACCTTGTCCAACAAACCGGCACACATTTCACTTCCTTCAACCTCATCCACAAGACATACCCACAGACAGGGCGAGCCAGAACACGGCTTCAGTGCAGCTACCATGCGCGCCCACCTTCTCGCACTACAGGTCGCCCTGATCGCGTTCTCGCCTTTCTCAACGAACAAGATCACTTTCATTAAACTCCTGCGCATCACCAGTGGTCTTCAGCCCCTGGAGACTACCCCGGAGTACATCACCTGGTTCCAATTCTGCTTCGAGCCTTTGCGCACCGCCTCCACCGAGCTCCTGGCCCTGATCGACGTCCCCAAACTGTTCGACCCGCCGGAGCATGCTGTCGACCGAGGCGGGAAAGGAGGCCACAGCCCACTTCGCATCAAGTTGTCTCGGCTCTCCTGTACGTGTTGGCCCTGAGCCGCATCTCCTAGTGTCAGGCGACGAGGCTGACGAGTGGCTGCAGTTAACAGCAAGACGCAATCCTCCACCATCGAGAAGCAGCAGAATGCTGTAGCAAAGGCTGCAGGTAGGTCACGATATAATCCGTACCTGCATTGTCCGTAGTGCTAACTCCCTTAATCTACAGAGCTGGTCGTGGCGATCAAGTTCGGACTCGCATCGCTCGCTGAAGTGAACTCGTCGATCCCTTCTCTGCCGTCGACCCCAGTAGTCGCGAAGGAAGAGAGCCTGCTGACGTCTGAAGACAGTAAAGTGTGCCCTGATGATGAGATATAGCTGTTCACTAATGCCGTCCCAGCACCTACCGGTACACCGCTGCAGCGCAAGTCGAAGTCGATTGTTGTTGTACCAAGCCCGTCCGCTGAAGAGGATGGAGGAACTCCGGGACGGGTGAAGGTCTGAAGCGAGGGTGCGCTGCGAACAAAGGATTGGAAAGAGGAACTGCATTGTTTGCATTTGGCGTGGTGTTCGTCTTTTGAGCGAGAACGCCGCAGGAATTCACAAAGAGATTCGCACAGCATTGGGTGGACATAAACCATAGAGTGCGTTCCTCAATCAATCGACTCGGCAGAGTAGGAGTCAGCATCGGGCAGTAGATCGTACCGTAGGAAAGATATGATTGATCAGCCACCTTCGGCGAAGTGTCTGCATATTCAGGCCTCAATTCAGTAGGTGAGATCAGCGGAAGTGCATATGACTTTCATATGCGTTCAACGAAACGTTAACTCATCCTTTAAAGTGGATCCAAGTCTCTCAGTCTTCAACCTCCAACCTTCGACCTACAGCCCACCGCCAACTCACACCACCATTCGCCGACACGAACATCGCCAAATCCATGACGCCGCACGAAGCAAGGGTCCTCAATGAGTGGTCTCGCGTCAAGAAGCTGCAGGCCAAACTGCAGGCTAAACTGCAGGAGCTGACCACCAAATCGACCAAGTCCAACGATGCGGCAGAAGACCACTCGGATGAGCTCAACACCAATCGCATGGACGAGGTAGCCCAGGTCATCAACAAGTCCGGGTATCCAGACGGGGCCACATGGCCTAAACCATCAGAAAAGCCACTCTCCCGCTTCGAGGCTGCTACCAGAGCCTTGGTCTGGGAATCGAATGACATGACAGCAAACCTCGTCAAATTCCACGCGGCCTTCGAAGCTTTCCTTGAGGTTCAGCCGGAAGATCCTGTGATCAAAGCCAAGCTGGCGTCGTACGTCGTGCCTTCGATGCCGAAAGAAGCTGGTGAGGAGGGTCTCCAAGCTCACGTCTGGCCAGCTGCTGACAGTGCTCTCAGGTACAACAACGGTTCGTAGCACTGGAGGCGGTGTCAACAGTACTTCAGCAGTCGATGCGACCTCTGAGAAGAATGCCGGCGACGATTCTGCGGGTGGCAAGGCCTCTTCGGAACGGGACACGGTTGCGGAGGAGAACATGACTGCTGCGGAGTGGGCGGCTGCGGGTTCTCGCAAGACTGGAGGCGGGGACGACTCTGACGACACGGATGAGTACAGTGACGACGAAGGCGAGACTAGCGATGATGGGTTCACGGACTGGGGTGAGAGGAAGTGGGTGATGAAGAGGTAGGGAAGCAGGGAGCAGCGGAGGAGGTGCATGGCGGTGAGATGGCGTTTGTGAGAAGCTTGGTGGTATGAGGAGTGACATACTGTTCCGAGCTGCAAAGCACAACCCCCATGCAGTATTGGTATTCGAGCTCTCGTTGAGTGGAGCGCACGTGATTGTCACATGCGCGATGTGAAACATCTTCGCCCCACTTTTATCACTTGCGCTTGGATCTTCACATACTGCCTCAATCTTCCAACCTTGCGATCGCCATCACCTGAGACCACCTTCTATCGACAACAGCAAGCCTGGACATCGTCTAGGCCGTCAGCATCATGGATCAACATGTAGAGACCAGCCGCGAGCGCTGCGACCGCCTGACCAAGAAGAAGCTCGCGCTCACCCAACTCACCACCAAACTCACCACGGAGACATCGAAGACTTCTGAGGAAGCTCGCCTAGATGCAGACGGGGATGCCGATCAAGCAGATGACAACTGCCTGAGACAGCTTACGCAACTCATGGCTGAGCACGACAGTCCTCCTGGATCTTTGATGCTACCGGCAGAAGCCATAGCTCCCTGGAACCGAGTTGCCGCCGCTCTTGAAAGGTGGATCGTGAAACCGGTTCGCGGGTCGGCGGATGAAACAGCTCTGCACCTCGTGCTACTTCGAGATCATGGACCCGCAAAACCCAGTCCTTCCGTGGTTGTTGGATAATCGTGCACAGGCGCCGACTGCCGGTAAGATCATCGTCCTGCGAATGTGAGTGATCACTAATCAAATTTCAAGCCCAGTGTACTTCTAACCAGCTTGAAAGGGTTACACGGCACCTTGCTGTTGCGGAAGCTGAGCTGGTAGAAGATGATGAGGAGAAGATGCATGTGGGGGGCCAGGGCTCCACGGTCGAGGACGCGAATAAACGTGGATGACAGAGAATCGAGCAAGGATCGCGATACGGAGGGAGATGTGCCGAGCTGGGAAGGAGACTGAAGGATTTAAGACAGCCTGACAGGAGTCTTGATTCAGAGCGTGGCAGGAAGCACCGTAGCCTCCTGGCCTGTTGGAGTCAGACTGAAAATGCTCATAGGCAAGGAGTCCTCGAGAAGATGTGCCCGGTGAGAAGATTCATAGCAACTCTATCAGTCAGACAGCATGTTGCTCCTCTTCGTCCCGCTTCCTGATAGCTCTGGGTTCATGACGTGAGGAGATATGCAGGTACCCGGGTCTTCCTGGGTTGGCGGAATCGGATTGCTTCTTCCATCTTGCGGCCTGTTCCGAACGGCATGCCACATCTGCGCAGAGCACATGGAGTAGGCGATGTACTATGTTTCAGTCGATGGATGGGAAGAGGTGAGGTCGACCAGACCTGATGAAGGTTTGCCAAGCACGACTTTCATGACTTCATACCTCGGGCGAGACCACTCCATGTCTTTGCGGTTGCCAAACACGGTGGTTGCACCGACGGCGTGACTGCTAATGCAGTTGCGTTGTCCTCACCCAGATCGATCAAGCATGAGGCCGTTAGAAGTCTGAGAGATTGCGTGCTTGCGAACAACACGATCTAACGACGCAATGGCCGACACCAAACCCGACCTCCCCAAGCGGCCTACCACCTACTCATCCGCACGCTCTCCGCCAGCGACGGCTACACAACGAGTGGCCCAACGGCAGACGAGTTCTCAGACTCTCAATGGCTCCCTCTCGCCCGCCCCAACCCTCGACCGGCGCCGCTCTTCGCTCCTCAGCTACACCTCGATCGACACCCTCGCACCGGACATCATCAATCCCACCACAAGCCGTCCAGGAACTGCTCAAGATGACCAAGAAGTCACGCACTGGCACTCGACGCCGCTGGCATTTGCCATACTGCCGGCAGTTGCGGGGCTGCTCTTCAAGAATGGAAGTGCGTTTGCGACGGATGCGCTGCTGTTGGGGTTGGCGGCGGTGTTTATGAATTGGAGCATTCGGTTGCCTTGGGACTGGTACTATTCTGCGCAGGTGCAGCGAAGGGTGGCAGGATGGGAGGACACGGATGGCCTGGACGGCGCTGAGGCCGACGAGACGGCTGTTGAGACCGAATCTTCGGAAAGCAACTCTCCAAAAGACCAGCCAGATGTACAAACCGACGCAGACCAAGACACCACGTCCTCACCACCGAGCAAGGAAGCAGCAGCCTCGGAGCTCCGCCGCCAGGAATTGCTCGCCCTTCTTTCTACCTTCGCCTTTCCAGTCATGGCCGCCTACCTGATCCATGTCATCCGCGCCCAACTTTCAACTCCTTCCACTGGCCTTGTCTCTGATTTCAACCTTGCCATTTTCCTGCTTGCGGCTGAGATCCGTCCCTGTCGCCAGCTCGTCCGCCTCATCACAGCCCGCACTTGGCATCTCCAACGGACAGTCACCGGCCTTAACGACCCTTTCTCTGGTGGACTGGAATCCAAGTCTACGATCGAGACCCTCCTCTCTCGCGTCTCGGACCTGGAAGCCAAGCTGTCTGATCACACCGTCGTCCCACAAACTACGTCTCTGGCACAAAAGCACGACGTTTCCGACCTCTCGACCGAACTCCGCAAGCGCTACGAACCCCGCCTCGAAAGCCTGGAACGCGCAATGCGGCGGTACGAGAAGCGAGCGGCTACAATGGCCATGCAAGTCGAGCAGCGCTTTGGCACGTTGGAAGGGAACATGCAAGACACGCTCAGTCTTGCTGCGCAGGCGGCGAGGCAGAGTCAGAATCGTGGCGTCCTCGCGAAGATGCTGGAGACAGTCAGTGTGGTTGTAGCGTTGCCGATGAAGGTGATGTGGGGAGTGGTGATATGGCCGGTGACGGTTGTTGAGGAGGCGTATGCAAAGATGAAAGCGATTCTGGTTGGGCCGCCGGCGGTGAAGGTGAAGAAGGTGGATGGTGGGAGGAGAGCAGTGGGGAAGGACGATGGTGCGAAGGGCATGGCTAAAAAGCCGGCAAGATGATCATGTGTGTCGGTTTATTGTATACTTTGGCCTATTACTGTAAAACCGGGATAGTTGATACAGCTCACACCTTGTTGATGCGCTCGAAGACGCGGTTGCGACTGCCAGTGAGCGAGAATCCAGGGCAAGAGCAAGGTCGAGTTGCGATGCTCCTTCCGCGTTGATATGGGACGAAAGTGGATCCTTGGACCTCAAGTTCAGCTTTCAGACACCAGCACTCACGGAGAACAATATCACCAACCTCACGCCCCCACGTCGGCCCTGCACGCAATGGCTACACCTCCAACCATGGCAGTAACAGGCCCCGCCGCCACCGCCGTACCTGAATGGCTCGGGATGCCAATCAGATACGCCATCGAGACCTTCCTCCGCTACACCACCAGCAACGTCCCGACCACCGACCGCACCGTCTGCATCAACCTCTCCCGCACCAGCTTCAACCTCACCCTCTTCAGCATCACCATTCGCATGTACCTCGGGATCCGCCGGGAAGCAGGCAGAAACGCCCACCGCAAGACCTTGATGTTGGCGTACATCTCGGTAGCGATATCTGGGGCTCTGAGCTGGTTTCTCATCAACATGCAGTATGCACTCGTCACGCTGCAGCTGCCGGAGGGGATGGAGTGGGGTGGTGTTGGAGTTACGTTCAATCACCGCATTGTGGTGATGGTGGGAGTCGTTTGGGAGTCGTACAAGTATTACAAGACGGATGAGGGTGAGATGGAGCCTTTGGGAGGAGAAAGGGAAAGGAAGGAAGTGGAGGGCAAGGATTGCTAGCCTGTGCTGCCGGGACAGGCGAGCAGGTTCTGTGGTCCATTAGGAGGCAAGGCGGAGCTGAGAAGCGATGATGCGATGGCTCAAGTCGACCTGAGGATGGGTATGTCTTACCGAAGGCATGAAAGCGGAGAGGGTGACTTGTGAGAATTTTAAATTTCGTTTGCACGTGCTATCACGAGCACATTCACTCAGGCCGCTAAGCCACTTTCCAGCTGCACAGCCCGAGTGCAGTCCAGTTCCTCCCCACATTCCTCCGCTGCCACAGCACAAAAAAGAACATCCTCGCACGCTCCAACACCACAACATCTTCTACGATCTCTGCGCAGCCCTCGCGCTTCACGATCAAGATCGACCTTCTGACCACCACACACCAAGGACAACCGCAAACATGGCACCCGCAACCTGCACATGCATCGCTTCGCCGTCCGAAACCATCACTCTTCCCTACAACATCACCGCGCCCAACGCCATTACGTCCGCATTCCTGGGAACCACGGACCTGCGCCTGAAGATCCTGGTATCCTTCGCCATTTTTGCCGTTCTGCCATACATTATCCTCGCCGAAGACCACAAACGCAGGGAGACCTCGCACAACATCCTCATATGGTCCACCGTGATCATCGCGGTGCTGCATTTTCTCTGCGCTTTCAAGGCCCATGCCAAGTATCCGCAGCCTCATTGGGTGTATGCGCTGGACTCCTTGTTTCTGGTTCTCGTTCTCGTCTCAGCGCTTGTCACCCTGCTCGCTTTGAGCGATCAACGGCTGCTCAAGAAGCAAAACGTGGAGGTGTGATCAGTGTGTTGGTGGCGACCGGCTCAGACTTAGCATATGGTGGCTGGCAAACGAGAAGCCGCGCGGAGGGCAGGACGGCTGAGCGGATTGAAGGGCATACTATGATTCTGGCTGAAGAAGTCTGTGGGTGGACTCTGGAAGATAGGTGATGTATCAATGCTATGTTCGCCGCCGAATACCTCAAAACCCTCCGCGAGCTACCATGTCTTGCCCCCGTACCTTTCAAACCGATCTGATGCTTTTGCAACGGACGCAGTACTCTCCAGTAGAAATCCAAGTTTGTGCAGTCGCGGAGTTGAGCCGAACCGTCGTCAGCCTCTCGCGCTTTTCGAGAACTGCTTCCAGCGAGGGGCAGTGTCTCGATGCATATGGATCAGATGAGGTGACGTCGCCGCAATTTCCGCAGTGCGAATGAAAATTCTTCCCGCTTGTGCTTCCTCTTCTTCTTCTCTACACACCAGCAACACATCTTTTTTGCACCACCGCGCAAGTCAAAGATGTCCGGCTACCAGCCTCACGGCAATGGAGGAATGAGCAGAGGAAGTGGTCAACCCGCGGGATCGCATCCAACACAGCATAACCCTGATCAACCGTACGTTGGAGCCTACTGCTCTAGTACGCGCAAAGCTGACTTCCTTTACCACCTGCAGAAGAGTAGCACAGCCTCAACCGAACCGGCGGCTTGTCCTTGATCCGAATAACGGCCAGTATTACTGAAAGTATGACGATGAGGAGGAGGAAGAGGAGGAGAACAGCCCCGGGCAACCGTATGTCCATGTCCGTTCTTCCAATATACTCAGAGCTGATTCATAATCCATCTGAAGGCGATCAACCCAGGCGCGACGCGGCAGGAGGCTTGTTTCCGATCCCGCGAATGGGAACTGGTACTGGGAAAACAACGACGAGGCGAGGCCTGCGGCCCCTACACAAGCGAATGTAAGTCATTGAGGGCTCGATACTGCGGGAAATTCTTTCCGAAACATTAGCTCACCAGGACCGGGAGGAGTTTAGTCCTCACGTCAACCGACGCTGCACTACGACCGGGATACAGGCGAGTACTACCGATTGAACCCTTTCAACCTATCGCTCAACCCCCGGTACGTTGCTAGGCGATTGCAAGCTTCAAATGTCACCAGCTCGAGTGTTTGCTGACTTGTCTTTCTTCTTTAAAGGTCAACCAAGAGGAACTACGGCGCCTCAACCAGAGAAACCAGCAGTTGGAAGAGCAACTTCGGCGCCTGAACGAGCGGAACCAAGAGTTAGAAGATGAACTTCGGGATAAGGATGCAGAGCTTGATGGTCAGTCTAGTGTCCCATCTCCACTCTCTATTCTTGCTGGATGGCATGTACTGACCTTTCGTAGCACTCCGCCATCCGTACCGTTAGCTTCCAACGCAGACGAACTCGAGGAGAAACTTCTGGAGGACCACGAGAAGCCCAGATCAAGCACAAGATGAACCTTAGCACAGTTACGACAAAACCCCGAACCTGATTAATCACAGCTTGGGCCTTGGCCTCATTTGATGCCTCATACCGGAACAGGAATGGCGAGAAGAGGTGGAGATCCAGATGAGGAACGAGAACACCATACCCTGCTCTGAGCCCATAGAGTTGCATCCGCAGGTTGAGGTACATTCAGTGGTGTGGTCGAAGATTTGAGCGCATAGCCGCTCGGCGGGCGGTGTCGAGACGCCGATCTGATGTGACCGAAGTGGCCACATCCAGCCCGTAATCTGGTGTGCCTCTTGCTACTCAGCTGCGAGTGCGGGGTACATTCAGTAGTATGAACAACAGTACATTCGGATATGGCCCATCGACATTCTTCTGCAGTCTGGGCCATATTGGTATGTGCTGGGAGTAGCGCCACTTGACGTGGCCTGACGACGGGTCACGCAAGCTGGAGCGAGAGGACAACATCAAGTGACACGCCCATCGCAGACTCTTTGGGTCGGCCTGGGAACGTGTCGCTCGCTTGACGTGGCCTAACGACGGATCACGCAAGCTGGAGCGAAAGGACAAACCCAACAGACACGCCCGGTGACGACCATCGCGGACTCCTTGGGTCGGCCCAGGGACGTGTCGCTCGCTTGCGAATGTGGTGCAACTTGCGGATCATGTAGCATGTCGTATGATAAACCGGCTTGACCACATCCTGTGCCTTTGTTTCCCGGTAGTGCTTCATCAGTAGAGTAATGGTCGCGGGAAGGAAGATGATGAGAGAGTTGTGGTAATAAGGTGTTGAGCTAACAGCGCCGCCTTTCCTGTTTCATCGTGTCGGCCAGGTCCGATGGACCTCGATGCCACCGTGAACGCTGCCACTAACGACAACACGGTTTCGACCAGCTCTCGCCGATTCCGGTCTTAGAAGACAGCCAGCGCATGCGTGGCGCCAACTAGCGCCGCCGTGCCGTACATGGGGACCTGGACTCCTCGCAAGGGCCAGATGATAGATGCAGGACAGCCGACCTTGTAGTTAGGAAGGTCCCTCACTAGTCGCCGTCCTCATCAGACATCGCCTGCATTGATCGGTCGAGTCACAGACTACGGTAACGCCGACGACCGGCAGAAGGTCTGGTCGAAGAGCATGTTTTGGGCCACAGAATGCTAGAGAGATTCACGGCTGTCAGAGAAGCAGTATTGGGCATTAGGACAGCAACGTTTGGACATCGAGGTAAATGGCACTGCAAGTGGAAAGGTCTTAGACGGTATGCTTGAAAAGAACTGAGTGTATACAGTGTTGTTCATCGCAGGCCTTCGACTGGAGAACTGGACCCTACCTTCGACTAGTACTGGCATACGCCCGCATGAATTACGGGACTGCGAGTGACTGGAGCTCGGAGAGGAGCCTTCTGAAGTCAATCCCGGTATGGAAAGCAAGTTCACGAGTGAATGGTGGAAGGACCAATGACGACAGCTTACAATACCACGAGTGAATTGAACGTTGATTTGACCTCAAGCTGCCTACAAACCGTCAGACATCCTCCTTCCTCTTCCAACAAACATCAAACCACTACCGCCGCCCTCAGGACAACGAAAAACAGCTCCGATGTTCGACCTCACCTTCACCGGGCCGAAAGAGCAGCTCCAAGACTTAACTTTTGAGCGCATTGCCAATGAACTCACAAGGATGATCTGCGCCACCCTCCTCGACTACATTCTCCTTCAGCTGTCCGTCTACCACATCTTACAGAGCTTCGGCCTCCTCGCTCCCAAGACGACCTACGGCATCGACATCTACACCCTCTGCGGCGGCGCTCTCGACCTCGCGTTCCAAGTGCTGCTTCTGCAGAGCCTCCGCGCTCTCGCATTCACCTTGATCTCCGACAACAAAGACGCCAAGACTACCACTCCCCGCCCCGCTTTCACGTCCTTCATCCGAAAGAATGCTTCCAACTATGCGATCTGGGCAGTCATGCTGGCGTACGGAACGAAGGTCGTGCAGCGTCGTCAAGCTGGATTGCCGCCACCGACAGTCGACGCCTTCCCGGAGTTCGACTGGTTGATGAGCGAGGCAGTCCCGTTCCTGCGTGGACTTCATGTCAGCCTGACGTCGCAGTGGATCCTCGGAAGGGTGCTTGGGTGGGACTGAGACGGAGGTGTTCCGGTAAAGGTGTTTGTACTGGGAGGACGTACGATGGACGGAAGTCAGGGTAATGGTGCTCTGTACTGGACTCAGGAAAATGATTGAAGTGTTCCGGACAGCGTCAGCGACGTGCTGAGGACACACTTCTGCTTGCAATGCTGGAGGAGAGTGGAGCTCGGAGAGATTGACAAGGCCGGTCGCACGATGTCTCGGTGTACAAGGGTAGCTGAACATGCTCTTAATCGTTACATGTACTACCAATTGCCGGCACCTGCGGCCTGCTGGGCACCTGATGCTTTCTTGACACAGTCCGCCGAATGTTGCAATGCCCTCCGTACCAAAGACCCATGAAGTTCTCGCCAGCATGTGCTCGCGGTGATGCCATCCGTCCGCTCTTGTCCCCTGTGCCATCCTCCCCGTCGCTTAAAGGCCGTTGTCATCTGGTTCCACTGTCAGCCAGTTCTATGAGCACGAGTCTTTCCCTGTGGCTCACCAACGAGTTCGCATCAATCCGTGTGCTCTTTGTGCTTCGCATGACCGCCTGAACTCCACAGCCCGCTCCACAGCCCGTGTCCCGCCGCGATCGCATCCGCCATGAGCCAGAGATTGAATTCCATCCACGCCCACGCGAAAATGGGCAATGGTGATGGTCCCAGCTGCGGAGACCCGCCTGATGCTTTGCTGCCGAAGTATGCCGCCAAAACTCCAGAGCCAAAACGGCAGCAGCAGCGTTGCCTTCGGCATTCCAAGATAGAGTTCAAGTTCGAAGTCAGTGCGGATATCCTCCCAAGTCCAGCTGTGACGATCGGGTGCCGAAACCAAAATGATGAGGCATGCCATAACGATCTTCTGGAATGGCAGCTCGAGAAGAACATTCGCAAAGGTATCGAGTGCATCACGTGGGTGCTCGGTAAGTCTGACGCCAAAGACTCCGTAGAGGAGGGTGCCCAGGAGGATGTGTCGTGTTGTGAGCCAGATGTATTTGACGGCCCGCGCGATGATGGCGAGAATCAAGAGGCGTCCGATGGTCCTCAGGGTGTTGCGTGCCGTGGCTTGAAGTCCGGTGGGCGCCATTGTGGGTGAGCGGTGAAGATGTTGCGACGTTGTGGAGGTGAGGTGTCAGGTTTGTTCAGGAATGGGAGAATTTATAGTGAATGCACGGCCCATTTGATCCGTTGGGTTAGCTGCATGAGATGCGTTTGCCTTGTCGCCCGCTTGCACCCGGAATTTCACCCACAGATATTCGCCAACCTGCTCTTCGTCTGGAATACTAAGACTCCTGCGCCATTCTAGCACCGCGCATCGGCTCTGAAAACGCATGAATCATGCTCTACTCATACCTCCTCACCGCAGCGTACGCACTGAACGTACTACCCACATCAGGAACGTTCTTCGACAACTTTTACATCGCACTGACCGTCTTGTTCCTGCCAGCCAATATCTGGTTAGCCCGCAACACCAGCATCGTCGTCTCAAGCGCACCGACAGACGTCGACACAATGGACACGGTCTTCAAGCACATCATCCTTCAAACCTTCGTCTTCTTCCGCCTCCGCGAGAATCTCTCGAGCCGTGCGAAGGACATCATCCGCCGCAGGTTGGGACGAATTAGCGAGTACTTCAGACGTGTGAAGGACAACCAGGAATACACGCAGACACCCAAGGATTTACTGCAAGCCTGTCGCGTTGCCTCTGGCGAGGATCGCGTCGCAATAGCCCTACTGCTGATACCGGCGCTGCTGGCCGCTCTCTGCATCGCGACCGGACACGCCCTGAATCACAACAACCCGGGCTCCGGATCCCTCGTCATTCCGTACGACATGGCATTTTTGGTGATCCAGCACCTCTGTGCCGTGGTATGGGCTCCTCGTCAGCTTTACAACGTGGAAGTGATGCGTGAGCTGGACCGCAGAATCTCCGAGGAAGAACGCGATGCGACAGGAAAGGACTGGTGAGTTGTGTCATCGCGTGAGGAATTCCTGGCTAACGTCTTGCACCAGATGAAAGGCGGCTTCAGTGCGCAGACGTGGCATGGACATCAATGGCGGGAGAGAACAATAGTCTTGCGGCATTGGGTTCTCTGTTGAAACTTTCACATGCTTGGAGCGATAGTGAAGGTGAAGCAGATGGTGAAGAAGTGAGGTGACGTTGAAAGTTGGAGCGGCGCCAAGATGGCAGGGGAAGGCGAAACCTTGAAATCGCGAAGTCTCCAGCCTCACAACAAGCCACCAGCATTTCATGCCAACCACCAAGATATCAATACAACAAATTTTACCTTTCCACTTCCTTTTCTTCTCTTCTCACCTGCATCAACACCTGTCGTACAACTTCATCTCTACATCTCCTTCGTTGCACAGCTCTCCTCCGTTCCTGCGTCTTTCAAGCGGCCCGAACCCTCCGCCATCGTAGGGCTGAGATCTTCAGGTACCAAAGTCAAATCAACATCAACAAACAGCTTTTGAGCTGGGTGCGCTGTTGGCGAGAAGAGACGTCGTTCGAAGGACCAGGTCCACCTTCATCGCAATCACTCGAGCGACACCGATCTGATACCAGCCGGGGATCCTCCCCCGTGGTTGTTTCAACGCGTATCCACCTGAAGCTGGCCTAATCTCCGACCTCCTTCTGCCAGGTGCCATTGGTTTTGAGGGAAGCAGCTGGAACACTACCGCTACTTATCTACCACACCACACTCCCACGCCATTGTCTGGCTTCCGAGACATCATGGCATCTCCGAGACCTCACGCCCGGACACAGTCCTCCTTCTCCACGACCCCTACATCCGCCTCCTACACCCCATCTGGTCTGAACCCAAACCGCAGCCCGCAGTCAACGCCGCTGAGAGACACCGCTTATAACGGAAGCGAGGGCCTTATCAACGACCTTGACTCGACTCCGTATTTTGACGGTGAAACACTGGACGACAGCTTGCCTACCGCGCCCGCCAGAGTCGCAACAACTCCAGCTCGACCAGCGTTTGGCGCAAGACTTCTCTCGAGCTTATCAAACGCACAGCCAGCAGCGGCGGCACTTGGAAGGAAGGGCAGTGTTCTACACTCCCGCGCAAAATCTCTCGCGGCATACGTGCCCAAGCTCAACACCGCCAATACACCCTCCGACGCACCCGCACCCACACGAGCTCAAGCACCCAACAGAATCTTCGGCGACCTCTTCAACGGCGAGTCAGCACCCATTCGCCTAGGCGCACCAATTTCGCCTACGAAGGAAAAAGAAGAGACGGAGTTCGTAATGGAATACACACCTACCTTCACCGACCGCCCAACAAGCATGTTCACGCGCCGTGATACCGCTTCAAGCAACCGCAGCACCCCTCCGACGCAGACCCGCAAAGCTTCGTGGTTCGTGCGACGCTCTACAGCCACCACGCCAAGCAAAGCATCACAACCGCCGCAAGACGAATTAGCCAACCTCAACATCTCCTCCGCCCTCTTCCCGAACGGTCCAGCGGACCCTCTCAGCCCAGCATCCTTCAACGACCTCCTTCTCAACGCCACTTCTCTCCTCGACCGCATGCAGATCGCCTACAAAGAGAAATGCACCTACATCGCCTCCCTCCAGCCCGAACTCGATGCGCAGCGCGAAGAAGTTGAAGAAGCAGAGACGCGCTCCCAGCACCTAAAAATGCAACTCGAAGATATGGGACGGCAGGCTCAGGAAAGAGAACGCGCGATGCAGGATCTGAGCAAGCAGCTGACGGAGGAAAAGATGTGGGTGCAGGAGCTGCGGGAGAATTCGGCTAGGACTGTCAGGCTGGTCAGAGAAGAGAGTGGCGAGGATGCTGAACGGACGCCTACGAGGAGGGGCAAGAGGATCAGCGCTAGTGACGCTGCCAGCGACAGTGGGTTTGAATCCGATCTCGACTCCGTATTTTCGGCTACTACGAGTGGTGGGAACGAGACGCCGGCATCGCCTGCGCGGAGTCTAGTCGCAGGGGATAATGCGAGTTACTGGGCGTTGAAACAACCGAATGGCAAGGCTGGGAATACGAAGAGGGATGGCGACGGCCCGGCGTGGGCGACTGTGGAGGCGCTGAGGAATGAGAATCAGGTGTTGAAGGGGCGGATGGGGGAGATGGAACGGGAGATGCAGGGCGTGATCGACTTCGTCGGAGGGCTCAACGGGATCTGAACATCGTCGCGATGGATGACGGGTAATCGGGTTGCATGGGACGGATGGGATGACTGTATGACGGGATGAGCTGGTCTCGGAGACGCGGTAATGTGCTTGAAGGCACGTGTGGTAATAGTCCTTCGTGTATAGATGTACATGGATGTACAGACGGCTGTGAACAGATGCCCTCATTGCACATCCGTCTCAGGACCCCGGTGTCGATGCGTTGTCCTCGCTACCACGAAGCTTGTAGCGCTTGAAGGCCAAGCAGAAGCCATCCGCCTTCGCGATGCTTGATCGGAGAAGACCTCACTTCGTCTCCCTTCTTCCACATCTACCTTCACCTTCGAGCGCAGGCTACTCCAGGAAACCTCTCGTGAAGCGATGAAGTCTAAGCAGTAGGCGGATGCGAGCATCACAGCATCACAGCGGTTTGTGCAAGCAGTTCTTCCATCTTGACCCCTCTTTCATGTTCCTCCCCACGCTTCATGCTCTCCACTCCCCGATGTTCTTTATCAGAATGGCGGGTTGGTGTTACATCACGCATCCATGCTTGCAGATCACGGTGCTACTATGAGCTGCCGTTGTGTTCAAAACGCAGCTCTCTCGTCCGTCATGAAGCACAAATGCAACCATGCGAGCCGCTCTACTCTTCCTGGTCTTCTCGGCCACCGCAGTAAGCGGCAAGAGTAACTACGACCTTATCGACCCCCTCATCGGCTCAGTGAACGGCGGAAATGTCTTTGCCGGCGCCTCACTGCCGTAAGTACCTGCTCAATCTATCACGATCAACAGCTAGCTAACTCCCATCTAGATATGGCATAGCCAAAGCCGTCCCTGACGTCTCCGGCGCCAACACCGCCGGCTTCTCACTCGACGGCAGCAACATCACCGGCTTCTCCACCCAACACGACTCCGGGACCGGCGGGAATCCAAGTCAAGGCCAGTTTCCGCTGTCCCTGCAACCGGCTTGCGAGGGTGGGGAGCTGGAGAAGTGTAAGTTCGGGAGTAAGTACGAACGAGCTGTCAACTATCGACCTGGAAGCGTGGAGGCGGAGCCGGGGTATTTTGGGCTAGAGCTGGGAAGTGATGTCGGGGTTGAGGTGACGACGACGGAGCATGCTGCGCTTTGGGAGTTTGACTTCACCAACCATTTTGGAAAGGATACGGTGAGTCCGTTGATGCTGCTGGACTTAACGGATCTGCAGGATAGTCGGCAGAACGCTTCGATCAGCGTTGATGCTGAAACCGGAAGGATGGTAGCTAACGGGACGTTCTTGCCGAGTTTTGGGGTGGGGAGTTATCAGTCGTTTGTCTGTGTTGATTTTAAGGGTGCTGGGGTGAGGGATACGGGGCTCTGGGTGAATGAGAGGGGTGGGACGGAGCCGAAGGAGTTGTTCGTTAATCGGGGGTATAGTCTTTTCTACATCCAGGCAGGAGGTAAGCTTTGCTGCGCCGAAGGGTTCTCCGAGACACGATCACATTGCGTGTGGTGCCTCGACGCCTCAAAACTGCTTCGGTATTACCGAGACACTTGCTAACTCTTATCATGGCTGTTCAGGCTTCGTGCGCTTCCACAAGCCGGAGAACAACGTCCTGCAGGCTCGAGTCGGCGTCAGCTTCCTCAGCAGCGAAAAGGCGTGCCATAACGCTAAGACCGAGATCCCGGACTGGAACTTCAACCGCGTCCGTGCAGAAGCAGCAAACGCATGGAAGGAAAAAATGTCCACCGTCTCGATCCTACCCGGCGGAGCCAACGAGAGTATACAGCGGACCTTCTTCACAGCCATCTACCGGACGATGATGAGCCCGCAGAACTATACTGGCGATAACCCGTTGTTTCCGGCTGAGGAGCTGTATTTTGACAGCTATTACTGCACATGGGATTCTTTCCGGACGACGTTTCCGTTCTTGACGATCTTTGACCCGGGGACGTTGAGTCAGATGATTACGAGTTTGCTGAATATTTATGAGTCGGTTGGATGGCTGCCGGATTGTCGGATGCAGCTTTGTAAGGGGTATTCGCAGGGTGGGTAACGCTATTCTCTTGCAAAAGGGGAAGGGAGCGTGAGCTAATGATGAGACCAGGCGGCTCTAATGCAGACAATGTGATAGCGGATGCCTACGTTAAGAATCTGACGAACATCGACTGGAGCCTCGCTTACTCTGCCATCCGCAACGATGCAGAAAACGAGCCCTTCGACTGGGGCGTAGAAGGTCGGGGTGGCCTGCAGTCCTGGAAACGCTACGGCTACATACCAGTCTTCGACTACGACACCCAGGGCTTCGGACCAGACTACCATTCCATCTCCCGCACGCTCGAGTACGCCTACAACGACTTCTGCGTCGCCACCCTCGCTGCCGGCTTGGGCGAAACGGCTGACGCGGAGAAATACCTCCAAAGCTCCGGGAACTGGCACAACCTCTGGAAGGCAAACCAGACCTCCTCCATCAAAGGTAACAACACCGGTTTCATCGGCTTCCTGCAACCACGCTACGCGAACGGGACGTGGCGGTATCAAGACCCCATCGAGTGCTCTCCCCTTGACAGCTTTTGCAGCTACAGCAGTAACCCAAAAGAGACGTTCGAAGACAGCATCTGGGAGTACGTCTTCTTCGTCCCGCAAGACCAGGCTCGTCTTATGGAGACTGTAGGCGGGAAAGAGCAATTTGTCCGCCGACTGGACTTCCTACACGAAAGCGGGCTTCTCGATATTTCCAACGAACCCTCCGAATTGGTCGTGTACCAGTACCATTACGCCGGCCGCCCTGGTCTCTCGGCGCAGCGGCTGCATAGCTACATACCCTCGTCCTTCAATGCATCGCATAACGGGCTACCCGGAAACGACGATAGCGGAGCTTCAGGATCTTTCGTTGCGTTCGCTATGAGTGGCTTATTCCCCGTAGCAGGACAGAATGTCTACCTGATCAGCCCGCCTTTCTTTGAGAGCGTGAGTTATACGAACGCTATTACGGGCAAGACGGCGACGATTAGGGTGACGAATTTTGACCCGGAGTATAAAGAGGTATTTATCCAGAGTGCGAGGCTAGATACGGAGGTGTATACGAGGAACTGGATCGGGCATGAGTTGTTTTTGGAGGGCAAGACGTTGGAGCTAACGTTGGGGCGGGAGGAGAGTGACTGGGGGACGAAGGAGGAGGATCTGCCGCCTAGTACGTCGCCGGACGGGTCGATGGAAGGGTATGAGGCGATGTTTTAGATTGCTGAGATTATGTGACACAATCAAGAGTTGGTCCAAGATGGCCGCCCGTTCTACCTCACAATATAAGCGAACCTTGTAGCAATCTTGCACATTCTCCACTCGAGACAACAGCTCTCCCCATCACTTCGAGCCCACCGACTTCTCCTCCTCATGCTGCACCCCATCATCAATCTTCTCCGGCTCCCTCACACCGCTCTGCGCAGTGACCGAGCTCCTCCTCCGCTGATACGCCTCCGTGTCTTCATAATTGATAAGCAATTCGCCATTCTTGCCGAAGCGATGCGGCTTGTCAGCCGCAACTTTAACCACGCTGAAGGCTCCTTTGATGCCTTTGACGTCCTGGAAGATCTCGTCCATTTCTTCGAGAGATCTGTAGGCTGTTTCGGGGTAGAAGCTGGCGGTTGGGTAAGTGTTGGTAGATTTGCAGGTGGGATGGAGACTCACAAGTACACGCAGGGCACCATGAAAGCGTTGATGCAGGCGAAAACGGTGTAGGTGTTGTAACCGATGGCTGAGAAAGCTGGAGGCGTAACCATGACCACCATGAAGTTGAAGATCCTAGCAGGAAGACCGGTCAGTTGCTGACGATATCGAATACTTTCGATTTGCGGACTTACCAATTGGCAGTAGTCGAGATAGCGTTGGCAGGCGCTCTGATATTGAGTGGTGTAATCTCAGCGGGATAAAGCCTATGGTAAGACTATGTCAGTAGCAAGACGAGTTGTCTTGGGGAAAGAGTTCGTGCTTACCAAGTCATTCCGAGCCAGCCAACTGCAAAGAACGAGTTGAAGACGAATAAAAAGACGGCAGCCACAATGCCATACATGGTCTTCTGATCTCCGACCGCGTTAGCGGTAGCAGCAGCTAGAATGGCCATGGAAGCCGCCTGCCCAGCAGCACCAAACAGCATCAACTGCCGCCGACCAAACTTCTCAATGGTGAAGATGGCGATCCACGAAGCTACCCAGTACTCCGTGCCATTGCATGCCGCGAGCAGACGGCTCATGAATCCACTGAGACCGATGCGGCCGAAGATGGTCGCAGCGTAATATGTCTGGACAAAGGGTCATGTCAGTAGATATACAGTCTGTCAAACAGCGGATAAATGGCTCACTATGATGTTGATTCCAGAAATCTGCTGAAACATCTGGTTGACGTATGCCAGAACTGTACGGTGGAGATTGCGGTTGCTGTTGAGTTTGAAGCAGTCTGAGAAGCCACCTTTGGACATCTCGAATGCGACATCTTTCACAGCCTTGAACTCACTTTGAACCTTCGCGTCGTCTTCTGGGAGGTCAGACAAGGCGGCGAGGACTGTGAGCGCCTCGTCGTCGTGACCTTTGAGTACCAGCCTGCAGTCTGTGTTAACGAACCTCAAGATGATAGACTTATACCGCTTCGTACCACCGCGGCGACTCTGGCAAACCCATGATGAAAGATAATATGAACAGGCATAGGACGATCTGGAATCTATTTGAAAGGTTGATCAGCGGCGAGCTTCCTCGAAGAAGACGGAGCGACGTACGCAATTGGGAACCTCCATGCAACGGACGATGGCTCCAGAAAGGAGAAGCCAAGATCGATCCAGTAGCTGAGCATGACTGCATTCGCCATCAGTACGCCCAGAGCAGTAGTAGCGACATCTACTCACCGCCAAAAACGATCAAAGACCCCTCAATCATGACCATCTGTCCACGCCGATGCGACTTGCTCGTCTCTGATTGCCATGTCGGTACTGTCGACGTGTTCATGCCATTGCCGAATCCGGTGATGAGTCGCGAAGCGATGAGCTGCCCAAGGCTGAAGGAAGAGCACTGCAAGGTGGCACCCAAAACCATGATGGAAGAGCCCATGAAGATAGTCCTCCTTCGTCCAAGCAGATTACCGAGCCATATTGTAGCAACTGCACCGAAGAAGCAGCCGAGTGTGTAGCCACCCACCGTGATACCTAGTATGCCACAGTGAGTAATCTGCGGCCATGACTGCAGAGAAAAGATGATACCCACCCTGCACGTTTGAGGCCTTTCCTTCAGTCCAGCCTTCCGGAGGATCATCCGTATTCACCTGTGGGAACTGCTTCAGGAAGACCGGGAGGGTGAGCAGGCCGCCCAGGACACCCTAGATGGCTATAAGCTTTGAAGTCTGCTTGTACAATATGGTATGATCGCTTGCCTGGTCATATCCGAACAGCGCGAAGTCAGTCCCGGCTATCACGGCGATGGCAATATTCAATTGCAGGCCGCGTAGGCCAAAGAACCTTTTGCCGCCGCCACGCCCAAACATTGTGGTGTTCGCACTGAGATCCAGTTGCTAAATCAATTGTAATGGATAAGGATAACAGCTTATTCTGAGACTTCTAGAGATGGTATTGATGAAGCAGAAAGTGCTTGCAGCTCTTTTCAATGATCTCACGCGGACGCGGCACCACGAGATCGACAGGAAGACTAGAAGAAGAAAGCCGTGCCATGGTGACCGCAGTGAGATCCCCGGAAAATGACCTGTGAGGCGCTCGTTGGCAACGTCAGATTCGCTGATCGCGTGTGGGCGCTGCGGAGATCGCATGGTGAGGCGATCTTCGAGGCGATCTGCGATGGCGCACACCAATGAGTTGATGAGGGAGTGTACGTTTGAGGTCTCGTGACATTGTCGGGATGCCAGACTCTGATTAATTTGGATTCATTCCACAGACGAGTTTCGTTTCGCCTTCGAGATGGAAGTGGAAGAACCTTTGGTATCCCCAGATTTCCCCCATCTTGTCGCGGCCGTCAAGCTTCGGGTGGTGGGGATGTGAGGATGCTTGGCTGAGCGACGAACAGCCGTCAGTTGCCGACCTGCCTTGCTGGTTGCAGTCATCATACCAGCGTTTATTGATCACGATCAGACGTCGAGAGTAAAAGTGACAGAAGGAAAACGGGCAATTACTTCAAAGTCCTGGAGCCGGGAAAGGCAAAAGCGGTCGAAGTGCGCAGATGTGAGTTCGCACATGGAGAACCTGGCCAACGGTTTGTTACGTGGCTTTGGATAGGTGCCTGTGCATGTTGAAGCTTCAAGGTGCTGTTCTGATATGAGGGAGTGGAGCGGGAAGAAGTGTGGTTGTTCTTGACAAGTTTTCATCGTGAAGATCACGTGCACGCATGGCCGCTCTTGGCAACGATTTTCGACCTCGAGATAATTCAAGCGCATTGGCTGATACCACAATCATTCTGAAAGAGGATCAGGAAACAGAGTATATGGTCGCGAAGATGTTCACGATTCGTGAGTAACATGTCTCAATCTCGTGAACGAAGACTAACCAGTCGAAGGCGTACCCTGCTCGTCCGCCAACATCGGTATGCATACTCGGACTCATAGCGTGGAAGCAAGTCTGATGCGCGGCAGGTCCTGGCTTCGATGTGATCGGTCTGGCTCTCTCGATATGGCTGGAACTGCGTGTGACGACTGGTGAAAAAACTTCTGAAGCCGTCCGGTACAACTGCCGAATCACCTACGAGGGCAAAGGGGATGTGGACAAAGACGCCGACAAGAACCTCATCACTCAGACCGCACTCTACGTACTTCGATGTCATGGAAAGAAGACATTTCCTGAAGGCACTCACGTCCATATCGTGAATCCTATCCCTCTCGGACGAGGTCTTGGATCATCGGGTGCTGCGGTCGTTGCTGGCGTATCACTCGCGAATGAAGTCGCACAACTAGGTCTTTCGAAAGACCGCATCCTCGACTACTGCTTGATGATCGAGCGACATCCAGACAACGTCGCTGCTGCTCTGTTCGGCGGCTTCGTGGGATCATACCTCAAGGAGCTCAACCCTGAAGACATGAAGCGAAGAGAGATTCCTCTGGCTGAAGTACTTCCAGCGCCACAAGGAGGTGAAGATACCGGACTCACTCCTCCCATACCCCCGCAAGACATCGGCAAACACATCCGCTTTCCTTGGGCGAAGGAGATTAAATGTATTGCGATCATCCCGGACTTTGAAGTGTCGACGGCCGAGGCAAGGAGAGTGCTGCCGACGTCGTACGAAAAGGCAGATGTGATTTACAACCTGCAGCGAGTAGCCCTGCTTACTACGGCACTTGGTCAGAGTCCGCCAAATCCAGTCCTCATCTACGATGGAATGCAAGACAAGGTCCACCAACCGTACCGAAAAGGCCTGATACCTGGTTTGACCGAGATCTTGCAATCTGTGGGCCCAGACAGGAATCCAGGTCTGCTTGGGATCTGCTTATCAGGTGCCGGCCCAACGATCCTCGCGCTGGCTACCGAGAACTTTAGTGACATAGCTGAACACCTTCTTGGCGAGTTCAAGAAGGAAGGCATCACTTGCGACTGGAAGCTACTGGAGCCAGCATACGACGGATTGACTGTGTCGCATGGGTCCCAGGAAAGTGGTAGGATGACGTACGCGGATGCTGGAGTGTCCATAGAAGCGGGTAACGAACTCGTGCAGTCAATCAAGTCTGCTGTAGCTTCGACAAGACGACCAGGTGCAGATGCTGAAATCGGTGGTTTTGGCGGCGCTATGGACCTGGCAGCTGCAGGATACACAGAGCCTCCGTTGATCGTACAAGCAATTGATGGCGTGGGCACCAAGCTTAAGATCGCTTTTGCCATGGACGACTTCTCGACCGTCGGAATCGATCTCGTCGCCATGAACGTCAATGATCTACTGGTGCAAGGTGCAGAGCCGCTGACTTTCATGGACTACTACGGATGCTCGAAGCTGGATGTAGCAGATGCGTCGCGCTTCGTCAAAGGTGTAGCGGAAGGCTGCCGAGAAGCTGGATGCGCATTAGTCGGAGGCGAGACGGCGGAAATGCCAGGCATGTATCAAGGCAAGGAGTTTGATGCCGCTGGTGCAGCGACTGGTGCGATCAAGGAGGGCAGGAAGATACTGCCAGACAAAGAGGCAATGCAAGAAGGCGACGTCTTGCTGGGATTGAAGAGCAACGGAGCTCATTCAAATGGCTTCTCGCTTATTCGCAAGGTCATCGAGAGACACGGACTCAGCTGGAATGACCAGGCGCCTTGGGACTCGAGCACGACTGTCGGTGCAAGCTTACTTACTCCCACACGGATATATGTGAAAGCATTGATGCCAGCCATCGAGCAAGATCTGATCCTCGGCATGTCGCATATCACAGGCGGTGGCCTAGATGAGAATATCCCACGCATGCTGCCCAAACACCTAGCGGCGGAAGTGAACGTCGCTTCGTGGCCTGTTCCAGGAGTTCTGAAGTGGCTGAAGCAGGCCGGCAATGTGAGCAATAAGGAGTTCGCAAGGACGTGGAATACTGGTTTGGGGATGGTGTTGGTGGTCAAAGAGGAGAAGGTGCAGAGTGCTGTTGATGCGTTGAGGTCTGCTGGAGAAGAGGCGGTTCGTGTCGGGAAATTGGTTGCGAAGAACGATGAAGGTGTAATTTTGCTGGGGCTGGAGCACTGGGACTGAGCCGGGTGAAGGCAGATGCCAGAATTTCTCGGACTGCGCGGGTTTTCATGCTGCCTTGAGTTCAATTGGTGGCTCTCAAGAAGCAAAGGTCTTGCCGTCTCAAAACGCAGCAGTTTTGGTGCATTGATCGCAGTGCATGACTTGGAGGAGTCAAGATGCTGGCTCGTTGATGGCGCAAAAAAGACAGACTCCAGCTCACAAGACCAAGCGCTGGCAGTTAATGTCGCAACCTGCTCAACCTAGTAGTAGCACAAATGACCCTCCTCCCATCACCGCTACCACTTATGCAAAAGCCGCGTCAATAGCCCAGTCAACGACAGCGACGACCAAGCCGTGCGCCGCTCGTCCTGTGGCTCACCAAGGCCTTCCTCCTCCGCAGTCTGCCCGTCAATCGTCCCCACCACGGCAGAGTACAGCGTCCCCCCATCCCCCTTCCATCCGTGAAAAACCATATGCTTCCCATCCCCGAACACCGACATCCCGCCCGGCCCATCTAGATCATAGTCACCCGTCTCGAACAGCGGACGCTCCGCCCGTTTATACGGTCCCGTGATCGAGTCGGCGGTGGCGTAGCTGACGGTGTAGTTGTGCGTCACAAAGCAGCCGGAGGAGAAGTACAGGATCCATGTGTTGCCGGATTTGGTAAGGGATGGAGCTTCGATGACTCCTTGGTCTGCTGCTCCGTTGTTGTCCAGGAGGACGGTAGCTCTGGACTGGAGGGTGATGCCGTCTCGGGCAACAGGTTGGAGGACGAGGGGTGTGCGGACGATTGGTGCTTCTGTGAGAAGTGTGAGCGAAAGTCATGTGCAAAGGCTCCAGAATTGCTTACTTGTGTTGCCGCATGGTCCTCCGTGGCCCATAGCATTGCCGTCCTGATTCGAAGATTTAGCCAAGGGTTTCTAAAGCAGTGATTTCTGTGACCTACAATCTTGTACACAATGTACCGCTGGCCGTTGTCGTCGTAGCCTGAAGCATCGATTGCACCGCCGAGGGAGACTGGACAGATGAGTGGGCTCTTTTGCGCGACATAAGGACCTAGCACCGTGTCTGAAGTAGCGGCACCGATGCAGTGGATGTTTGGGTAGTCTGCAGTCGTGGCGGCGTAGTACCTTCTTTTGTTAGTACTGCTCTCGTTGCATAACGAGTACTGCATACATCACGAAGCTTCCGTCATCCTGTACGCATTGCGGTCAGTCATCGCAGTACCGACGCTTGTTGCTCGCTACTCACCAGCTGCACGACATCTGGCGCCCACGTATCCGGCGAGGAAGCATCCACCCATGCCGGAAGAACTGGCAACGCATCCCTCTGCGAGCCGTTGCTGTTCTTGATGATCTGCCATGACAGAAAGTCGGTGGACTTTGCGATCTGGATATGGACGTGGCTTCCGATCGTCCTCGTTGCGAACGAGTACTACGTGCTGCCGACGAGGATAACGCTTGGGTCTGGGCTGGTCAGCGGAGTGCAATGCCTGTTTCAAGGATACACAACTCACCTGGGAAGTTGGCTTCATCAAGCACCGGTCCTGCCTCCCATCGCTTGCTGTTGATATGCCGTCCAAGATCGCTCTGTACGGAGATAGGAATTGCGAAGGCACATCCAGCGGCCAGGGCAAGGAGCATGAGGCTCGTTAGAATGAACATGTTACCGAAGAACAGATTTGCCGGTTTCCAGGACTTCAGCCCAGGGTCACCAGGTCATAAGTATGCTCACTAGGCTATGCTGTACTCCGCCCGATGGATGATCGTGAAAAGGGTTATGAGAATGGTGAGGTAGGAAATGATACCAGGTGCTTACCAGCATCCTGAATCGTGCAGCACTTGCTTTCAACGAAGCGAGACGGTCACGACGTTACAGGAAGCTGCGACTGTTCTGAATGGTGCAATAAAAGGAGCACGATTTCCTTTGTGACGTTTTGCTGTCACAAGCATGTTCAAACGACAACGAGATTGAGCATACGCAAGAACAAGATGCTACACACCTTCACACTATGACCACTGAATAACAGGCTTAACCACCTTCCCTTCCTCCAAATCATGCAACGCCTGCCCAAAGTCCTTATAGTCATACATCTTCACAATCTTATCCACCGGAAAATCTCCCGCCCTCTGCATCTCCACCAACTTCGGAACATACTCTGACGGCACCGAGTCCCCTTCCCTCACGCCAACATAAGTCTTGCTATACAGCAGCCACTGCAGTGGATCGATGTTGACTTTGGCGCCTGTGGGCGCTACGCCGACGGTGGCGGTTTTGCCAAACATGCCGGTGCAGTTGAGTGCTTGTTCGATGACGGCGGGGACGCCGGTGCAGTCGATGGCGTAGTCGGCGCCGATGTTGTTGGTTAGGCGTTTGATTTCGGCGACGACGTCCGGGACCTCGCGGACGTTGACGAGGTCGGTGGCGCCGAGTTCTTGGGCGAGGGGGAGTTTCGATGCTTGGATGTCGACGGCGATGATTTGTTTGACCTGTTGCAACCTCGTCAGCAGTGATGTCCAAGAAGTAGTGCGGGTCGATACTCACCTTCATGTACTTAGCAGCCATCAAAGCAGTCAACCCAACCGTACCCAACCCAAACACAACAATCGAGCTCTCAGGCTCCGGCTTCAACACATTCATCACCGTTCCGGCACCTTTCCACCATCAGCACCCACCCGTTTGCTCAACCTCCGAACAAGTACATACCAGTCTGATACCCACACCCCATCGGGGCAAACATCCCCGCCTCCCCACCAGGATACGGATGCTTCACCACACAAGTCTCCTGCACGAAAGTCGTCTTCGCAAAACTACTCTGCCCGAAGAAATGACACCTTACGCTCTCCCCGCTGTCCTTCAACCGCGCCGCCGTGCTTCCATCCGGTCTGGTGCCATGGAGATGCAGACGCGTGCCTTCGGTGCAGTTGGCCGGGTGGCCGGTGCGGCAGAAGCGGCAGGTCTCGCAGTAGTTGATGGAGAGGAGGACGAAGTCGCCGACGGCGAGGGATGTGTTCTTGACTTTGGGGCCGATGGCGCGGATGGTGCCGGCGCCTTTGGATGGCGAGGCAGGAGTGTTAGTGGATGTCGAAGAGACGGGAGGGTTTTGCTGGTTGGGGTGGTACCTTCATGGCCGAAGACGGCTGGGTAGGGGCATATCTGGATTTCGCCTTTTTGGAATACGATGTCCTGGATTACGTTAGAGACGGGACGAACAATATCTGATTAGACTTACGGTATGGCATATACCAGAATACTTCATATCAATTAAGAGTTCATCGTCTTGCATCTCATCCAGAACAATGTTTTCGAGCTTAAAGTCTTGCTTGGGGCCGTGGACGACATAGCCAATGGTTTCGATGTTTTTGGTTGAGATTTCTGCCATTTCGAGTTCTTCCAAATGCTGCAATACAAAGAAGACTGAGAAGGAGAGATATTAGAAGACTGCTGGTACGAGACGACCTACCGTAGATACTCCTCTATCAGGCCGGTTGGTCCGAGGTATAGCTAGCTGTTTAGCTTTGGTACCTTGAGCTCTGGTCTGAGCTAAAAAGCGGAGAGATTAGAGACCTTTAGTAAGGACCGTGTATTCGTTTCTCGTTCTCGCGCTTTATGTGGCTGTTGCTGAGCGCTGTATCTCAATAATATTATCAATCGCTTTTGTCATGACCTCGTGCAATCCATCATCGTTCGCTGCCATCAAGAAAACGCCCAATCACTCAAGGAACCTTATGCAGCGGTTTCGCCTTTCAGTGATGGCATCGGACCAGGAGCAATGGCTTTCACATTCGAGCCATGGTCACCATACCTGGCTTGAGCGAGCGAGATGGTCTTCTCGTCCAGACTGAATACCGCATACGCCGACCTCAGCAGCGGGTCTCCCAGAACATTCCCGTCCTCTGCACCCTTCGCGAGAGCAAAGACGCACAGGGGCTCCCCGTCCTGCATATAAGGCTTTGAGTCTTCATAGGCACCTTGATACACCGGCACGATGAGGTTGGAGTACGGGATTTGGATGTGCGCCGTTGATTTGCCGTCTGCTCCTGTTAGGCCGAGTGTGAGAGAGGCATCCATGTCGGCGTCTTTGCAAAACACTGCGCTTGTCTCTCCATGCTGCGACGCACTCGGAAGTGCGCTCATGACCTCGTCGTAGATGGAAGGAGGTAGGCTGAGCGCTGCGGCGCCAGAGTCGATCAAGACTGTGCTGGCGTACTTCTTCGGTGTAAGCTTAGAAGTCTTGCCTTTCCGCGTGGCCGAAACAGATGTCAAGAGCAGATCCTGGCTGATGTACATCCCGTGAGTCCAGCTGGTAGGAGACAGATCCTTTTGGACTGGAAGTGTGACAAGGTCTCCAGAGAATTTAGCGGAGTCAATGCCTCCAAACAGTATGCTGCCCGTTTGAGACGACACATCGTCAAGGTAAAGACTGTAGGATCGTGACTTGATGTGGCCAGCATCAAATAGGGAATCCAAGATAGTGGGTGTAGTGAAGTTGACATCGCAATTCCGAGGACCAGATGCGCAGACCGAGGCTTCCTGGCCAGCGAAACTTAGGCCCAAGATGCCATACTGCGGTCCTGAGCCACCTTCGAACCCAGGAGATACGTTGAGATGGTCGGCAACAGCGAACGTGTGGCCGTGAACAGTTGCTGGTCCTATCCGAATAGTGTCTTGGACGTAGGAGCCATTGGCCGTCGAGCCATCAATGTAGGCGGTGTGAAAATTTGCAGGCGTTCTGAAATGCTTGATTGTCGAAGAGTCGTTCTTCAGGACTGCAGTGACATGAGCATGGGCTACATCTGTTGAATCTATTTGAACTTACAGCTTCCACCAGGACAGCTCCGATCCAGACATCTCGCCGATTCAGCACTCGGTATGAAGAGACCGCTGCTGCCAGTGTCAAGAAGGACCTGCAACCGTTGAGGCGGCGTGCCAACATCAATATCCAGAAAATAGCCGCCAGAGAAGATCCATTGATCATTGAGATTCAGATCGGCATGCAGAGTAGCATCACGTTTGCGATGTGAAGGGGTAGGAAAGACTGTATGCGGGACGTGTCGCCGCTGCATGCCGTATCGAACAACATGCTCATCAGGAAGAGCTTTTGCAGCAACGGTAGAACGAATGGCAGCCGGAAGGCCCAACAGAGCAAGTAAAGAGAGGTTCATCATCTTAAAGAGCGTGGAAATTAGACTGCAAAATAGAGAGCGTAAGGCAGTATAGATGAGAAAATAGGCACGAGAGTAGAGCAGAAGTAGAGCACACCAGAAGAGTCTTCCCCATCCCAACAATCACCCCATCACGAACAGCCGAAGAAAAGTGGACCAGAGTGGTGAAACAGACTGTACCAAAAGACAACGCATGGCGGCGCCTGCAGCCAGACTCCAGCAGACCTGTGGACCTTTCCACGTTGCCAGCAGTGGAGTCTCGATGGGACCTCGTCCCGTCTTGTACCGGCAATGGCTGCAGAAGCGTACCGCTGCGCGACAGACTTTTTGTTGAGTCTCCGGCTTACGACGCGGCGGCGGCAGTTTCTGCGGCTGATGACGCGTTGGGCTGTTGCTGTCTCAGTCGACGGATGGGAGTGTGTTCTGCTCACGTGGAGACGTGCAAGCAGCCGTTCGAATGGAGGAGATGTCTCAATGGCAACGAGCATAACGGATGCAGGTCGAGGACGGAGACGTGGTCGAGATGTCGTGTCACTGTCAGGAGCCAGAAAACGCGCTTTCCTAATTCATCCTAGCTCAAATTAAGCGAATGTCCAACCTCACTACCACCAAAACCCACATGTCGAAAGACACACCCAAAACATTCACATGCCTCCCCTCGACCCCGCCAACCTCATCTTCCCCTCTGCGCACCACTCCATCTCCAGCACCCTCACCACCCTCTCCCGCTCCCACCTCACCGTGTCCAACCGCCTCCGCTCCATCAAACACGATGCCGAGTTCGTCGAAGCAGTATCTTCTATTTACCAACTCCCGTTAATCGCCAACGAGCGGTGCGGAAGCTGGTACATCACTCCCGAACTCAAGGCAGGGAGCGCGTACTTCAAGTCTACGGATGGGCATTTCGGGCAATGGGGGTTTAGTTTGCGGAGGCTGAATTTGGGGGTTCTTGAGGTTGTGGGGAGGCAGGGAGGGTAGTACTCTCCAAGGTTTTGTAACTATGATCAGCATGAAGCTGATAGTGTAGTCTAGATGTATTATTGTTGATTCGACAAGAAGAGGGAAGAGCATGCCCGATGCTCTGTCCAAGACTGTGCCGATTTGGGTCGCTGTGCTGAATAGACTGCTGTTCCCGGACGAACGTGACAGCCATGTTGTGAAGACGCCGCAAGATGTCGTCTCGAGGTCTGAGCACGCACAGATCGAGCAGCGTCTACCCAACTTCGTTTCTGAGCTGCGCAACCTGGCTCTAGACATCGATGGCCTGCGCTCTAAGTTGTATGGCCGGCCGATGGAGGTGACGTGGGCGACGCCGGATTCTCCTCTATCGTCGCCTCCGCAGAGTCTGTCGGGCCGAAACCTCGTCGTCCTATGCACAGCCTCCGGACGCACAATGGCAGGTAAGCCAGCCGATTTCGACTACGTGCAAGGAGCAGCGGACGACCACGAGAGCTGGGCGCACGGCCTGACACCGCAGCTGTTCTGGTCCAACAACGGTCTTCTCTCTTCGGCGTCGGAGGAAGAACTTCCGCTCGTCATCCAAAATCTGGTTTCCAAGGGCAAGACTCAATCAACGTCCCGCAAGCCGGTGGTTATCAAACCGACTAGCAACATCTTCATCAGCGACAACGCAGCAGCGCGTGAGATGCATCGCGACTTCGGCATTGCTGTCTCGTGCTCGGAGAAGCCGGACGCGCTGTTAAGCGAGCATCTTGGGGAGAAGTACATTCATCTCTGCTGCACCACAGGCAAGGTAGGCAGTCGGCAGCTGCGGTCAGTGCTTCCAAGGCTGTCACTTGTCGCGGCAAGCCTGTCGTACGACACTCGAGTGCTCATCACATGCCAGACCGGGCGCGACTTGGCCGTTGGCGTGGCGCTGGCGCTCATTTGCCTCCGCTGCGGCAACGATGGCGAGATAGCACCCTCTCCCCATGCTCCAAGGCCATTGAACAAGACCCTGATCAAACAGCGCCTCAGCTGGATCATGGTCTCCATGCCGGACGCCGTACCCAGTCGCGCCACACTTCAAAGCGTCAATGCTTTCCTGCTAGGCTGAGATTCTTCAATCTTCATCACTCCCCTCCCCACCATCCTCCCAACTCAACCACTTACTCATATACGGCCCATCCAACCAATACCCCAACCGTCCATAATACCCCCTTACCCCGACCCCGGAAATAACCGCAATCTTCCCACTCCCATGCTCCTCCCGCGCAATCCGCTCCGCCTCCTCCATCAACAGCGTCCCGAAACCCTGGTGCTGGCTCTTCCCCTTCACGCGCTCGTGGATCGGCACCGCGGAGCCGTAGACGTGCAGTTCGCGGACGAGACTCGTCGGTTGCGAGATGAGTTCGGGGCGGTAGGTGTATTTCTCCGTGCATTTCCGGAGGCGCAGCAGGGCGATCAGGATATCTTGCTTTGGGTCCTCGTAGGCGAGGAAGGTTTCCCAGCCGCCGTTGGCGACGTAGTCACGACGCACGAGCTCGACTTGCAAGGGGCGGATCTTGTGCTTGACTTCGTTGATACCCACCTCTCGTGTCCGGACGTCGCGGCAGCTGGTGCCGAAGTCTTTCATCCTGGCCAGAGCGAGCTCGCGGAGGTTGCCGTTTTCCACACCGGAGGTGACGAGGGGCATGGGGATGTCGCGCTGGACGCGGTAGATGCGTGTCCACGGCGGGATGAGCGCGAGGATGCGCGCGACGAGGTCGATGAGCGTGTTGGGCGTGTAGTTCTTGTATCTCCCCGTCCGCCAGAGCTCGTAGAGGCCGGTCCCGCGGATGACGAGGGTGGGGTAGATTTTGAGGCCGTCGGTGCGGAAGGCTGGGTTCTCGAAGTATTCTTGGAATTGGAAGAGGTCGCGTTCGAGGCCAACGTTGGGCAGGTCGGGCATCATGTGCGAGACGACTTTGAAGCCGGCGTCTTTGGCCATGGCGAAGGTCTCGCAGACGGCTTTGACGGTGTGGCCGCGGTTGGTGTCGCGGGCGACGTCCTCATATAACGACTGGACACCAATTTCGAGACGAGTGCAGCCGTAGCGGAGCATATCCGTGAGATGAGGTGGGAGGCAGTAGTCGGGTCGGGTCTCGATAGTAATACCAATGCATTTGGTCGTGCTCTGCTCGCCTGCTGTGACAGCCTCATCGACATTAGAGGTCTGGTAGCCGCTCAGGGCGTTGTGCAGCTGGCTGATGAACTCTTCCCGGTACTTGGGACTTAAGCTCATGAACGTGCCTCCCATAATAATGTATTCCACTTTATCCACGCTGTGTCCGAGATTCCTGATCTGGTCCACTCTCCCTCTCGCCTGCTCAAATGGGTCATACCTCGCCCTGATCGCCCGCATGCTGGTGGGTTCATATCCAGTATAGCTCTGCGTGCTGTACTCGAAGTCGCTGTCCGGTCCTCCAGGGCAGTAGACGCAAATGTTGCCAGTGTATGCAATATGCGGACATCGATGCGGCTTGCACATCACCGCCACCACAGCAATTCCACTGGCACTTCTTATAGGTTTCGCTATGAGCTTCGGCAGGATGTACTTCTTATACTGCTCCGGCACAGCAGCGATGATGTCTGTAAGAGGTGGTAATCGAGACAGGAAGTGCTTCTTCGCGATCTGGCCTCGCAGGCTGTTGAGGTTGATGTCCCGTTTCTTACCGCCATCTTGCTGCGTCTGCTCGTAATCGTCGACGAGTGTCTTGCTGATGTCCGCACAGGCTCGCATATATCGTTCGTTTTCTGGAGCCAGCTTGTTCGTCTTGTCGGCGCCGAGACGCTTCTTCTTCGTGATAGTCTCCGTCATGGTCGCCATGATGGCGGCTGTAGTCGTTTGACAACTTGCTGTCTTAGATGCAAGAAATGTTCGAGATATGAGTGCTATAAAATGCCCCACCAAAAAGCGCATGTGAAAGCCTTGGCGTGTCAAGCTACCGTCTCCATCCATAGAAAAACCTCCATCCCACCTTCCACACCGCAAACATGGCCCCCTCCACCTCCGCCGCCCGCCCCAAACGCGCCGGCGACGATATCGCCCGCCTCCACGACCAAACCTTAAAGAAACCCCGCTTCGACGCCCGCAACCCCTCCACCCTCGCCCCCGACGAGCCCGAAGACGACCTCATCCTCGACGCCGACGTGATCGGTAAGAGCGGACCGCAGATCAAACGGAACGCTGTGAACATCGATGGGTATGAGAGTGATTCGGATAATGATAACTTCAACGAGCGGGCGGAGTTGAGGGAGCGGGAGAAGAAGGCCACTGGGGGTCGGGGGAGTAAGGAGGAGGAGGAGGATGATATGTTTGCGGATTTGGAGGAGAGGGATGGGGATGAGGATGAGGAGAAGTCGGCGGAGGGGAAGAAGAGTAAGAAGGGGGTGAGGTTTTTGGAGCGCGGGGAGGTGGAGGGAGAGGTGCTGAATAGTACGTCTGGCGGGCATGTGTCGGCGGAGCTACTGAAGAGTGGCAGGGGGAAGCAGCGGCAGGTAGATGACGATGAGGAGGAGAGCTCGGGGGAAGAGGAGGATCGGGATCAGTTGCCGGAGGAGATGGAGGGGGAGTTGGCGGCGGAGATTGGGGCGGGGGGGAAGAAGAAGCATGCGCCGAGGCTGGATGCGTTTAATTTGAAGGAAGAAGAGGAGGAGGGGCGGTACGATGAGAGCGGGAATTATGTGCGAAAGGCGGCGGACCCAGACGCGGCGAACGATAGTTGGTTGGACGGGTTGACGAGGAAGGATATGAAGAAGGCGAAGGAGGCGCAGGAGAAGCGGGATGAGGAGTTGAGGAGGCAAGCGGCGGAGAGCGATGCGCTGTTGACGAGTGATTTGCTTTCGACGCTGATAGCGCATCTGGAAACGGGGGAGACCGCGTTGGAGGCGCTGCGGCGGTTGAACAAGAGCAAGCCCGCGAGTAAAGAGACGAAGGTGCCGAAGTGGAAGCAGAAGAAGTTGCGGAAGGACGATAATATGGACGTCGACTCCAACGGCAACAACAATGCTTCCACCGACCCCGCCGAAACCGCCCGCCGCGCCGCAGTCGATGCCATCACCGGCGCCGCAGATGCCATCTACGGCCGCGCCCAACTCGAAATCTACGATACCGAGCGGGAGGTCCTGATGCGGCAGTATCGACGAGAGACTGGTGAAGACTGGGTGTCTAAGGCTCAACCGGCCGAAGCAGAGGATGGTGATAGGCAGACGTGGGAGTTTCGATGGAGCGAGGGTGGGGATTTGCACGGCCCGTACGACGCAGCGACGATGAGCGCATGGAGGGAAGCTGGGTATTTTGGGGAAGGGGTGGAGTTTCGCAGAGGAGGTGGGGAGTGGAGTCGACTGCTCGAGCTGTGAGGATGCTCGCTGGGCTGTGTATACATATCAGGCGAAGTCGAAGAAAGACAATGTATTTTATATCGCATCTTGCCAGCACACTACTTCCACGCCTTTCCTTCTCCGTTCGAATTGAACCGAAAAGCCTCCATTTAAATTTCACGACTAATGATTGTTCGATCAGTTTCACACTCTGCTCCATTACAAGTACCAAGCGTTAAGCTACCTTATCCAGCCAAGTACAATCTTGCCCGCTATCCCTCCACTCCTCGTGTCAGGTTCACTCACTCCCTCTCCCCACCCACCCCTTTGCTGTGAAGCAAGAGACGGAATCCAACCAAGCACAATACACAACCCCTTCGATTCCAAAATGCTAAAACAAAGCGCACAAAAACAACCCATACAAACACTCCCGCACTGTGCAACGCCGTCCGACACGCTCTTCTTCTCTCATTACCCTCCGTATGCAAGATTTCACGCCCTTCCCACAAAGCCTCGCGAAACGCCGGAGGTTACTCCAAACACAAAACAATAGTATGCAAGAAACGCGGTTACGAAAAAGGGGGGGGCGGGCAGCGAGCTCCATATTCTTTCTTTCTTTCTTTCCTTCTAAAGGGTAGTAGGTCATTCTCGTTTCGGTCGTCGCGTCGATAGAGAGTCGTGGACGTCGTTTTCTCGGGTGGTGTCGCGTACGCTGGCCGTGAGGTATTGGTTGGTATATTCGATGATGAGTGATGATTGATGCTAGTCATGAGGCGATTCTTCTTCTTCTGTTCGTAAAGTCATGCTGGGGTCATGAACTTGCTTTCCATCTTCAGGCCCGACGCTGGGTATGATGCGAAACGGACCTTTCTTCGAGGACGCAGGTCGTTGCACTACTCGACGGTGATCTCCGGCGCGCTGCTCTGTTGGGACAGCTCGTCGCTGTTGCGCGCGACGTGTCCGTTCTGGCGGCGAGGGAAACCCGGGCCGCGCTCGGGGAGTGGGCCGCGAGGTTGACGGTCTGGTCCGCCGGGGCCACGGTTCTGCGAGCGGTCGTCGAAGTTCGTGCTGAAGGAGCGGTGGCTGCCGATCGGGCCAGGGTTCTCGCGATCCCAGGATGGGATGCCACGAAGTCCGCGAGGAGAGCCGCCGAAGGGTCCGCCAAGGCTCATATTTCCGAGGCCGTTGATGATGTTGTTTTCGCCGCGTTCTGCCAGACCTGACGTGGGCGTCATGAGGGTTGGTGTGCTCGACTGACCGTTGTCCCTCCCGAAGTCCTGCAGACTCGCAACGTTCTGGCGAAGAGCAGCTGGGAAGCTGGCAGTGGAGGGCACAGGTGATGGCGTGTATGAGCGCAGATCTGCAACAGAGCGCGCTGCACGGAGGTTGTTGCCAGGCCCGAGACCACTGGTGTCGAAGCCAGATGCAAGGTAACCGGAAGCCTGATGTCTCATTCCGCTGCCGTAGTACTGCTCGTTATGGCGGACATCGCTAAAGTCAGTTGTTGCTGCTCGGTTCAAGTGTCGCCTGTCCTCATTGCGCAAACTCGAGAGCTGACCCATAGGAGGGCTAACGCGAGCTCTTGCAGTCTCCTTGAACACATGCACAGCCCGTCGATCCGCGTCACCCTTCGAGGCGTGCCCGAGACCCATGTGGTGTGCAAGGGTGTGCACGATCCTGCGCTCAGGTGGGGAGAGTGTAGGCGGGAAGGGCAGAACATCTCTGGCATTGTCTTCCTTGAAAAGCAGGAGCTTCGAGTAGTATTGCAAGGCTTGCGGGTCATTTAGATCCACATCCAGTGCTGCCAGTGGACTCTGACTTTCACCAAAACCACCTGGGAATGAGCTTCCGGGCTTCATGTTGCGGGCCGAAACAGGCGAAGGCGAACTGTTCATCATCATGCGCGAAGACAGAGAGCTGGCGGAAGCTTGAGTCTGAAGCGTCGCCGGGCCCATAGGCCTATGCTGCTCCTCGAGTTGTCCGCGGCGCTCTCTCTTCTCCCGCTCGATCCTCTCCCGCTCTGCAGCCGGCAACATCTTCTTGTACTCCACCCGCAGCTTGCGCCCATTCAGCTCGAAGTGGTTCATCGAATCAATGACGGCGGCCGTCTCATCAGGGTTCGTGAAGTTCGCAAATGCAAGGCCGCGGAAGACGCCATTATCGAAGTGGTAGTTGAAAGCGTAAGGAAGTGGCAGGCCCATATCGGTCATAATGGCCACGAGCTGCTCTTTCTTGATCGCGAACGGGATGTTCTTGATGACAATGGCGGTGGGTATGAGGTCTTCATCCGGATCCGAGCCCATCGTGTCCTGGCGCATGCCACCTCCGAGTCCGCCCATGTAGGGGTTGAGATGGTTCATCTGCATCTGTGGGCCCTGATCCATCCATGCCTACGTACTTGTTAGTCCAGATCTGCCGACCTGCCTTCAATATCAGGACACATACAGATGGGATACCCGACCGCCCTCCTCTTGACGGTGGCTTCCTCAAGCCTGGACCTCCGAGCCCATTCAAGGTATTGTTCGTGCTGAAGGCACCGGCGTTCCACGAATTCCCGCCCATGTCATAACCTCCACCTCCATATCCACCGATTGTGGCATTCCTCATATCACCGAACCTGTTTACATCATATCTCGCGTGATCCTCCGCAGTGTACAGTCCAGACGGAAGGTATTGGTGCGGCTCGAACTGATTTCGCGAGTTTTGGCGGTGTAAAGAATTTTGTCGTTGCTGCTGCGGCGAGCGATTCGGAGGGTTGTCGTAATACATGTCGAAGTTGTGGTTCATTTTGGCGGTGTGTGCACTTCTCGGGGGTGTCGTTCAGCAGCAGAAAGCCGCGTGGAGCGGTATACAGCTGTGCGCTTGCCGTGGGTGGTGCGCAGAAGCACTGCAAAGTCCTTTCCTGGCAGACTGTACAGCAGACGTCTCAGATAAAAAAAGGTGTATATCGGCCGTGACAGGAGGCCTTGTCGAAGCGAGGCGTGATTGCTCCTCGCGCAAATGCAGCAGATGCAGGCTTTTCCAGGAGTCGAGAGCGTGATGATGTTGCGAGCGGGCCGTCTGGTCGTAAAGTCGTGAACTGCACCGTAAACTCGTGAGGCGTTAGCAGAGAACAAAGAGACACACTTCGGCGGCGGACGCTCGGCGATGGCAGATGGCGAGAGAGAGGTGTGCTCGTAGTAGTGTGCGGTGCTGCTGCTGTCGCTGGTGGAGCTGGCGTGGGCGAATCGAGACGTCGCTCGCAGCAGGTCAGGCTCTGTCTGTCGCTAGCTCGCTCAAGTCTGCAGGAGAGATGCAAGAGCTCTGGCCCCCTGCTCTGCTTCGTCTGCTTTTCTCGATGTGTGATGTGTAGCACACGGCGTCGGATCGCTGTTGCTCGTGCTATCCCAAACGCACGTCGCGGGCGGGTGTCACACGGGATGGAAGGGCGTTGGCGGAGGAGAGGGTGGTATGGGAGACAGTACAGAAGTATGTACTTGGGGTGAAGTGGATGTCAGAAGAAGGCTATTTCCAGGAGAAATTGTGAAATGTCCGAGCACAGGCTTCGGCAAGGAAACGGGCACGTTCGGTGGACGTCTCCTGAGTTTGAAAGGCTTCTAGAGATAATCAACGGCCTCCTTAGCGGACGTCAATCTCATCAAATGGGGATGCTAGACCCTCCCTTCCTGTCCCGAGCTTCTCAGAGTCTGCACCGACACGCATCCACTCCTTCTCCTTCTCCAAACCAACTTCATGTCGCCGCGGCCAGAAGCAGCACTTCCCGCGTTTGCCTCTTCAGCAATAGATCTAACGGATGACAGGCGTTGGCAGGCAAAGCCGTTGTCATATCCGGATTGGCTGGCTTCCAGATGTCGGAGCGTCGAATCACGCTGCCAACCTCACTCCATCGACTCGCAGTGGCATTGCGCACAACGAACAGTCAGCTGCAAGGCTAATGCGCATATCCGTGAGTTGTATGCAGTGTGTTGACATGGATTGGCCGGCACATCAGCTGCAGAGCATCAAGCTATCGAGTAAGTGGTGCATGAAAGACTCGCAATGCTCATGCGGGCTCGAGGAGGTAGCGTACATCATCTGTCTCAGACCTACATCTCCTAGGGCATTTCCTCGCCCGCGAGATGGCCGCATAGCATCCGAAAGATCTTATATAGCGCTCGACTTGGTCATCTCTCGACAAATCTGCCGTCGCCTTCCAACCCCAGGTGCGAGAAAAGGTAACATGATAGCACGCAAGCAGCGAGATGTCTGCAGCGAACACCTCCGTTTATGTCTTTATAGCCCACACAAACACAGCATCTGCGACTCCCTCAAACACCATCCCAAAACCCACCCTCGCACCACATCGTGGCCTCATCGTCCTGCATGCACCTCGTGTCGCACATCCTGCAGCCAACCTTCTCCGCGAGCGCAGAGACAGCCAGCCTTTACCATCTCACCACTTACCACAATTCAACCCTCACAACCCAAGCCCCTCCACAGAGACATCTCCGTCGGGCACCATGACCATCATTCTGAGCTCTCAGATCCAACTAGACGCGTCCGGTCACTCTTAACCTCGAGTAAACGAAAAATGATTGGCTCCTCCCTGCCAGCGAAGCTGTGACGAGATGGGCGTCACGCAGCTGGGAATGGTCATGTGATTGATTGACTCGTCTTCACCTCGTCAGTGAGTACCTCTCAGATACGTCGGGCGCAAGGTATAAGTAGGTCTTTGAGCCCGATGTTCGCTGTGCTTTTATTTTCTCTTCCGTGGTCGTTTACCTTCGCGATGAGGATACATGTACGCAGGAAGACGACTTTCGGTCCTGATGACCTGCGGCCCTACCCCGGGGAACTTCAGATATACTTGGACACGGTGGACCAAACATGGTGACCACATTTCGCCGCCAGCCAAAAGCGCACGAGTAATCTGGCCAACTTAAAAAGCGCCGGATGAATAGCAGAATACCGAAACCGGTCCTAACTCAGCCCGTCCCACAATCGTCTTCTACCTCCAACGCCAATTTACGCCCAGCAACGACAGTGAGGGCCCTCACACGGCGCACCGCGACACTCACGCAAACTCCCCAGCCAGCGACCACGAGAAGCCATGGCAGCTTCGCGCTTCCGCAGGTCATCCCTCGCCTTCTCCGCCCTCCCAGCCTTGCCAGCATTCTTCATCATCGCGGCATCCAGCCTCGCCCTCTCCACGAGATCGTCCGCGTGCGCAAGACTTTCCTGCCGGGCCGTGTGGATGGGGAGGGCACGCGACGGCGACTAACCGTTATTATACCCATACTCACCACCCTCCACCTCGCCCTCCTGCTGCGGTCGGTGCTGCGGTGGCGCGTACATCTTCGGCGACGGGAACTTGAGCGTTAGCCTCCCCACTCTATCCGGATATTCCCAGAATCTGGGCTGGGGCACACTCACTGCTTGCTGCGGCATCTGCTGCATTGGCATCCCCGGGTACGGGGCCTGCGGTTGGTACATATTCGGATCAAACAGCTGCTGCCCGCCGTACTGCTGTTGCTGGGGTTGTGGTGGCGGATAGGCGCCCATCTGCTGCTGGTACTGGGGTTGTGGCATGTGCTGTTGATCCATGCCGGCGAATTCTGGCTGGCCGCCCATCTGCGCTTGCTCTTGCCCTGGCACACCGCTGGCGCCGGCTGTTGCGCTTCCCGACGGGTCGGCGTACGTACCTACCGCGCTGAACTCTGGCCGTCTCTTGTGTTGCGGCGTCGCGTCTTCCCTAGGGACGATATCGATGAGGAAGTCGAACATGTCGCTCTTGGCCAACGCCGACGCGATGTCGCTGCGCTGCAGGGTGCGCCGCTTGTTCTCCTCGGCGTGGATCCAGGCGCGCATGGTGAGCTCGGTGATGAAGATGTCGCAGCCCTTGGCGAAGAGGATGGGGGCTTCGGCGCTGATCATCTTAACCTCCGGGTCGGCCTTCATCACCTTCTTGATGCGCGCGAGCGGCAGCTGGTGCAGCTTGTAGTCGTGCTCTTCGGTCTCCAGCTTCGACACTTGGTTTTGCCAGTACGTGTTGAGGATGTCTCGATACGGCCCATTGAGTCCTTGCGATACCTGGTGGGTTTCTTGTTTAGCAGCTGTGAGGCATTGCGCATGAGGATAGGTAAGTTCTCACATTCGCCCAGTGCCCAGTGAAGGTCTCTGCTGGCGGCGCATGGCCTTGAGCTGCGATTGCTGCGCTCGCGCCATAGTGTCCTCCATGCTCGGTGTTGTACTTTGGCTGGCCGTTTTCCCCGTCATACCTCTTCGGTTGCGGTGCGCCCACCGATGGCTGGGCCGGCGGCATGCCATATGGATGTGGTGCTTGCATGGTGAAGGATCTCGCGCCTCATGCGACGCTTGGTGTATATGCCTACTGTAATCGGCTGTGCGCGCTCATCCACAGGCGCGTTGCTGTCGTGTGTCGAAATCCCGGGTGCCCGCGAATAGCTGCTGCTCCCCAGTGATGACGGCACAAATGCGGTGACAGTTCCTGCGGTTCTGCAGGCGACACGTCAGTAAGTGCGAGCGACGGTGAAGAACTCTGCCATGAGCGCGCCATCGCAACGCGCGACATGGCTGTGGTGACGTTGCGGAGTAAACACTCACAGTCAACAGTGTGATATCGCTAGCCTTGTCCTCGGCCTCACAGCATTGGTTGGAGGAGGGCGAATGTTATTGGTTGTGCTCGACGGTGGATTGTTATTGGTGAGTCGCGGCAAGGAGAGAAAGCCAAGGGAGCCGCCGCCGCACGTGACGGGCCTTTTTGTAGTCGAGTGGGGACAAGAGCAAAGGACGCTAGTCAATATTCACAAAAGGACGATGACCACCAGCTGTACGATGAATGGACTGAACGTGGTTATGAGGATGAGATGTAGGAGGAGAATAACAACATCCTCTATTCTCGCTTGGCGTCTATCTACTGCGTGGTGGGAGAAGCGGCATGCATGACGTCCACCTCCTCCCACCAATTGATGTGTTGGCATCCCGCTTATACTGCAGTATTTGGTGCTACGTTCGCTGTCTCCTGCGTTGTCCTACCTTAGTCGCGGTACCTATCTGGTCGTACCTCTCTTACTCATCTGTTCGCCTCATCCCACGACTGCCCACCTTTACCACCACGTGCTCGAAGACCAATCGAATGGGTCACGATAGCTGTTGCAGCATTGGCTATCGGGCGAGCTTCGATCACGTGTGCAGGGGACAGCCTCGTTCCATGCGAAGGTGGTGATGGAAGTGAACGTTAAGCAGCCTCATCAGCTCGTCCGCCAGCCACGTTCTTTCGCATTGAGATTCCAACTTCAGCAGTCCAGCTCGTGGATGGCGTGAGCTGGAACACGACGCGAAGTCTTGACTGATTCTGTCTCGCCTCACAGGTCACTCCGGAAAGTTTCAGTATCTGCATCAATGTCGGCGTAGCTGGCCTACGGTTCGATAGCCAGGGACTTCGAGGAGAATGTCTAGTTTGAGGGAAGGACATCCATAGCGTAGAGCTCGAGAAAGCCTCGAGAGTGCATCGCTCACAGACTAAACCTCGTCCTGACCTTCTCATCCCCCGCCCTCCACTTCCATTCCTGCCCACTCGCCCTCTGAATCCCCTTATCCACCCGCCTCAACTTCAGCGTAAATCGCGGCCCCAGCTCCTGCAAACCCGCCCGTATGTCCTCCACGCCCTCCACCGGCTTCCCATCCGCGCCTTGGATACTCTTCTCCGTCCCGCGCTTGTCGCGGAAGACGTACCGGTGCCGGCGCACGAAGATGTAATCCCGTTGATTGTGCAGGGTGACGACTTGCCTGCCTTGGATCTCCGGACGGGGTGGGAAGAGGGATCTGAAGAGGTGTGCGGAGAGCACGCCGAGAGGCGTTTTGAAGCCGTTGAGTATGAGTTCGGGGAAGTGGTTCGTCGGGTTTCCGTGCCCGGGTATCTTCTTCCCTTCCACCCAGTTGGAGATGGAGAAGTGGAACATCGGTCCCACAGGCAGGTGGACTATATCCAGTCCGATGGGTTTCTTACGCTCTTCCATCAGGATGATTAGAGTGGTGAAGTCCCGCGAAGAAGCGTAGGTGGCAATCTCGCGGATGGAGTATTTGTAGCTGTGGTGGTGCGCGGTCCGCCGGATGTAGGTGCTGTTGGGGAACAGGGTGGTGAGGAGTTGCGCTTCGTTGTGCAGGGTCGAGTGGATGGAGGTGGTGATGAGGACTTTGGGTTCGACGTCGGCAGGTAGGTTGAAGAGGGTCGGGAAGCGCTGCATGAGGGCTTCTGGGGTGAGGTTGATGTCGGTGGCTGTGGAGGGGGCTTCGCTGGGTGGTCGTTCTGAGGGTGGAGGGGATGCTGATGCTTTCGGTCCCTCGTCTTCTGCTCCGTCTTGGTCGGATTCGCTGTCGAGCATGCTATCCAAGTCGTCCTCGGCGCCTTCTTCGTCCACCTCATCCTGCTCTTCTATCTCGTCCCTCACCACCTTCTCATCCTCCACAGCTGGCCTCTCCTCTATCTTCCTCCGCTTCGGATTCAGTATATCCACGCTCACTCCAAGCTTCCCCTCCGCCTCGTCGTCCACCGTCGCCTGATCCCACGTCCGCTTGCTATCAATCGTCGCCGGCACATTCTTCGCTCGTCTCTCCAGTCGTAATGTTGGATTCTTGTCTTCTGTTCGTCGCCGTTTCAGCCTTTCGTCCCGCTTCGTGCTTTCTTTTAGCTTTTTGGCCTTCAGATGTTGCTCCTGGCGCTTTTGTTTATTCCCGATCTTCGTGGGGTTGAAGGAGGCCATGGCGAGTGGGGTGTGGTCTCTTGATGCGCTCGCTGGCTTCGAGAAGATTTCGTGATCGCCCAGATTTCGCGAATAGACTTTGGCTATCCCGGGGACTGGCGGACCGAACCCAATTTTGCTAGCGCCTGAGTGAAACACCAAGAACTTTTCGAGGGTTGTCGACTCATATGTCGAGTGTAAGAACGTCTTGTAAACCACCAGCGACGCAGAAAAGAGCACCCAGATACGAACAGGAAGCGCGGGAAGCTTAACTCCCTTTTCCACTTCGCCGACCAGCGACTGGCAGCTCCATTTCGACGCGCGGTCGCCTTGCAGCCATTGACTCACTCCTGGCCGGTTCATGCTTCGAGGACCTTCAACAGTCACAGCTGGTCTGATCACGTCTGTTCTCCAATCTCCAAAACGAACGTTGTTCTCTTCTAGAATTCTCAAACAAGCCTACGCCGCTACTTCGAGGACTTCTACACTTCTTCCTCCACCAGGCTTCAGATCTTTGAGCACAACCAAACCGCTCGGCAGATTCGAAGTTCCCGTCCGCACCCGCAAACCCAGCATCATGTCGTCCGACTACAAGACCCAGAAAGGCCAAGATTTCGACCGCGCAGCTTTCGAGTCCCTGCTGAAGCGCAAAGTGTTCCTGTGGCAATCATTCGAGCCCTATGGCGCTGTCAAAGGTCTCTTCGACTATGGCCCGCCCCTGGAGACGCTGGAAGCCGAGGTCATCAACATATGGCGCGACCACTTCATCAGGACGGAGAAGATGATGGCTTTGAAGTGCTCAATGCTTACTCCCTTCGAAGTATTGAAGACTTCTGGCCACGTCGACAAGTTTGCAGACTACATGTGCAAGGATCCAAAGACTGGCGAGATTTTGCGATCGGATCATCTGATTAAGGACGTAATTGAGCAGCGCCTCCTGTCTGACAGGGAAGCACGTGGCGAGAAGATTGAGGTGGCTGAGGAGGATCCCAAGAAAAAGAAGAAGGCAGTAAAGGCTGCGAAGACTGCTGTAAAACTTGAAGACGCGCAGCGGAAAGAGTATGAGCACATGCTCGCAACCCTCGATGACTGCACTGGCGACGACATGGGTGCTCTGATCAAGAAGCACGACATCAGGAACCCAACCTCTGGCAACGAAGTCGAGCCTCCTGTTTCGGTCAATCTCATGTTCCAGACACAGATCGGTGCCACCGGTAAGGAGCCTGCCTTTCTACGCCCAGAGACTGCACAAGGCCAGTTCCTATCATTCCAAAAGCTGCTTGAATATAGCGACGGCCAGCTCCCCTTCGCGTCTGCATCAATCGGCTACTCTTTCCGCAACGAGCTGTCTCCTAGATCCGGCCTTCTGCGAGTTCGAGAGTTTTTGATGGCTGAAGTCGAGCACTTCGTCGACCCTGAAAGCGGCAAGCGGCATCCAAAGTTCCACACTGTCAAGGACGTCAAGCTGCCTCTTCTCTCCCGCAAGACCCAGAACGAAGGTGGCTCAAAACCCACAGTCATCTCTATCGGCGAAGCTGTGGAGACCAAGCTGGTCGACAACGAGACGCTCGGCTACTTCCTTGTCCGTATCATGTACTTCATGCAGAAGATCGGCATCGACATGGGCAAGCTGCGCTTTCGACAACACATGCAGAACGAAATGGCTCACTACGCTGCCGACTGCTGGGATTGCGAGCTGCAAAGTTCCTACGGCTGGATTGAGTGCGTTGGCTGCGCTGACCGCAGTGCGTACGATCTCAGCGTGCACATGAAGGCGACTGGCGTGCCATTGCAAGTACGGGAGCCCCTCAAAGAGCCCTACAGAGTGGAAGAGTGGACTGCAGCGCTCGACAAGAAGAAGTCTGGCCCTAAGTTCAAGAAGGATGCTGGTAAGGTGCAGTCCGCGCTCGATGCTTTGACGCAAGACATGCGTGAGAAGCTATCCATCTCAATGCAGAAGGAGGGCAAGGTCAGCGTCGATGTCCCTGAGATGGAAGGCGGCAAGGTTGAGCTCGAGAAGGACATTGTGAGCTTCCAGAAGGAGAGTCGGATAGAGACCATGCGTGAATACATCCCGAACGTCATCGAGCCTTCGTTTGGTATCGGGCGGATACTGTACAGTCTGATGGAGCACGTCTACTGGACTCGAGAAGGCGATGCTGCAAGATCGGTGAGCTACTCCGACCTCCTCAAAGCCCTTACTTCCGCAATGCTAATCTGAATCCCACACCAGGTCATGTCCTTCGCCCCCACCGTCGCCCCAATCAAAGTCCTCGTCGTCCCGCTCCAAAAAGACGCCAAATTCGCCCCTCTCCTCTCCCACCTCGAGCAGCGCCTCGACGACGACGCCATCTCCTTCCGCGTCGACCAGAGCGGCGTCAGCATCGGCAAGCGCTACTCGCGTAACGACGAGCTGGGCATTCCGTTCGGCATCACGGTCGATTATCAGAGTTTGGAGGATAACTCTTTCACGCTGCGGGATCGCGATAGCACGAAGCAGGTGCGGGCGAGTTTGGATCAGATTCTGGAGGCGGTGGCGAAGATGTGTAGGGGCAAGGAGAGCTGGAAGGATGTGCAGGGGAGGTTGCCGGTGTTTGAGAGTGAGGGTAAGGAGGAGTAGAGGTACCCCAGTGCTTCGACGGTGTTGTGGTATAGGCGGCTGAGCGGTGCTTGGCTGTTTAGTTTCGCGTTCTTATTCTTGCTGCTTGAAAAGCACACTTGGAAGATTTGATCACCATTCACTCCTAACAATGTGCAATGTCATGCACATGCGAACCTTCAATAGATGCTGCCACTTTCGCCAGTCGTGAAGGCATCGGAGTTCGGCGTTGAACGGCCACCTCCACCTCATCTGGCTCCAGACCGCACACTAAATCATGATGCAGAGACTTGCATAGGGCGCTCTTCACATACATGACTGCTGGTTCACCCAAGGGTATGTAAGTCGGTGGTGGTAGGTAGCGTCAAATCTTCCCTTCGTACGCGGAGATTGAAGAACCTGAACCCGTTCAGTCTTGTCAGTCGCCTGCCACGATACAGTACATAGCGAAGACCATGGTGGACATAACGACCAGAGACGAGGCTTTTGAGCCCGCCGACGACATCGAGCCCATGCGCTCCCTCTCGATACACACCGACCAAAGCAAGCCCGTGGCCCTCCTCCAGCCCTTGGACATGGACGGCCCACCACCGGTCCGGACGAAACTCAGAATGGCAGCTATCTTGATCGCCCTCTACGTACGCCTTACACGCATCCTCTACATGATATCCCACTAATCTCTACCCAGCTCGCGCTCTTCATAGCAGCCCTCGACGCAACCATAATCGCCACCTCCATCCCCACCATTACCGCCAACCTGCACTCCGCCTCCGGGTACTTCTGGATCGGCGCCGCGTATCTTTTAGCCAACGCCGCTGCTGCCCCTGTCTGGGCTAAATGCTCGGATATCTGGGGCAGGAAACCGGCGTTGTTGGCCGCTGTGGCGTTGTTTGCCGCGGCGAGTATTATGGCCGCGTTGAGCTCGAGTATGAGGATGTTGATTGCTGCTAGGGCGTTGCAGGGGACTGCTGTGAGTTGCTCTTCAAAGGCTTATCGTAACCTGGTGGTTGCTGATGATGCAAAGGGAGGCGGCTTGATCCAGCTCGTGAACATCACGGTCAGCGACCTCTTCTCGATGCGAAGCCGGACGCTGTACCTAGGCCTGGTCGAGGTGATGTGGGCGCTTGCAGGAGGACTTGGGCCTATTCTCGGCGGACTGTTCACCCAATATGTTTCCTGGAGATGGTGCTTCTGGGTCAACATCCCGGTTACAGGAGTGACATTCGGCCTTCTGCTGCTCTTCCTAGACGTGCATAACCCGAAGACGAAGCTCTCCTCCGGTCTGAAAGCGATCGACTGGTTCGGCACCGTCTCGATTCTGGCCGTCACGCTGCTACTCCTTCTCGGCCTGGACTTCGGCGGCGCCACGTTCCCATGGAGCAGCCCAAAGGTTATTTGTCTGATCGTCTTCGGCACACTAATGATCGGGTTCTTCATCTTCAGCGAGAAACGGCTGGCGAAATATCCGCTCATGCCTCTGGCGATGTTCAAGAACCGCTCGAACAACGCTGCGTTCATCGTCGGCTTTACGCATGGCATGACGTTCATCGTGGCCGAGTACTACCTGCCGCTGTACTTCCAGGCCGTGAAAGGTGCCAGTCCGCTGCGAAGCGGTGTTCTTATTCTCCCGATCACAGTTTCCGAGGCTCTTATTGGTATTGTGACGGGAGTGGCAATCCATCAGACTGGCCGGTACAGGGAGCTGACATGGCTGGGCATGGTTCTGCTCACCATCGGTACTGGTCTGTACATCCATCTCGATCGTACCAGTGCATTGGCCGAATTTGTCTCATTTGAGCTAATCGGCGGTATCGGTGCTGGTTTCCTGTTCGAGAGTCCTTTGATCGCAATCCAGGCTATGGTCTCGCAGGCGGATACTGCGTCTGCGACTGCCACGTTTGCGTTTATTCGAAATATTGCCATGTCCACTTCGATTGTCGTGGGCGGCGTGGTATTCCAGAACGGCATGAACACTAAAATCCCGTCTCTGAAAGCGGCTGGCCTGAATGTGACGTTGGTGGAAAAGTTCTCGAACGGTGATGCAGCGGCCAACGTGGAGCTCATCAAGACCATCGAGATTGTTGCGCAGCGACAGGCTGTTCAAGATGCTTTTGCCTGGAGTTTGAGAAACATGTGGATCGTTTTCACGGTGATATCAGCCATCGGATTGGCCGGCTCGCTGATGATGAAGCACAGGGAATTGGAAACAGAGCACACTGAGACCAGGACCGGGATTGAGAAGATGACGAGAAGGGAGGATGCGTGATAGCGGCGAGCTCTCTTCGGCTCAGTGATCGCAATAGGAAGAATGAAGCAGAACGAACTACCGTCTTCGAGTTCCTCCAAAGCCAGTAGACTCATAACGACTGCTGCTCGGCGTCGATGAGCCGCCACCAAACGAAGGCGAGCCTCCTCCACCGTACGTCGACGGACCAGCTCCTCCACCACCTCCGCCAAACCACGACGATCCACCTCCTTGGTTGTACGTCGAAGGTCCTGGGGCAGCATACGTGTTCTGCTGCTGCTGTCGATTTCGCTCCGAGCGACCACCCATGTAGTTACCAGCGGCGTACCCAGCAGCGCCCCCGAGACCAGCACCACTCCAGAATCCAGGACCAGAGTTTGTGGTGCGAGAAGAGGCACTGTAGGAGGGACCTCGCCTTGCTTTGGGTTGCGGGGGCGCTCGCGGAGTGTATGGCGGTGGCGGATCGTTACCGTCGTCACCACCTCCTCCGCCTCCCCAATAGCCTCCAGGTGGATCTGGCAGTCGGAGGTCTCGAGCAGCGTCTCTGCCGGAGATCCTGTAGATGATGATGAAGACAACGACTGTGAGACATTGGTCAGCTTTGGCGCAACGGAGAAGAGGCAGACATCGCCTCACTAATGAAAACAAGCCAGAACAATAGTCTGAACGCTTCCGCCGCCGGCGTCATCTGTGGCTTCTCATGGACCTCCTCCTTCTGATCCTTTCGTATAGGGTTTCCCCCAAAGTTCCTCCCATACTTCCCTTCTCCCAGCTCAGTCAAGATGAGACGGTACTCAACCCCGCAACTGCCCTTGAGCACATGTTGGTCGTCAGGAGAATCGTACCCCTCGCAGATCACTTCCGTACTGCCCAGCTTGAACTCCGGCGGTAGCGAGGCGTGACAGGTCCACTGGATGTCTTCTGAGTCGTATTCACTGCCTGAATTCTTGCATTGCATGACATCGACGTCGTAGTGGCCCTGACCGTTGCCGCCGACGCATGTGAGTTGAGGCAATGAGTCTGATCGTCGTCCCGTAGTGCTTTTGCCTTGTTGAAGGGTTAGGCTCCGGACATTTGAGAGGAGAACGGCATCCTTGGCCTTGTTGTGCTTCTCCGCGAAGGCAACACGTGTGGCTGAAGCCAGCAGGAGGCTGATGATGCTGGAGGTGATATGCATGCTCGAGAACGTTGCATGGGTCCAGAACCGAAGACTAGAAGTGAGGATCGGGACTACATATGTGTCGGTGTGTCGTCGAAAAGTCTACTGTTGCCAGTTGTCTCTTCCATTCTTGATTCCCCCAGTCGTGAAGTGGCGATACAAGGCTGACCAGCCCGCCAACGGCTTAGTCATCCTTCGAGATTCAGTCCTCGTTCTTCCATGTTAATACCCCTCCTCAACTTCCAGCATTCAACAGCAACACCACCGTCGCAACCTGCGTACTACCCACACAAACACCGCCATCATGCCGAAAGCCGAAGTAGGAAGCACTAAGTACATCGCCAACAAAATGAAAGCAAAAGGCCTCCAGCGCCTGCGATGGTACTGTCAGATCTGCGAAAAGCAGTGTCGCGACGAGAACGGCTTCAAGCAGCACACCATGTCAGAAGGCCACGTGCGGTCAATGCTGATGGTTGGGGAAGATCCGAAGAAGTACATCGAGGACTACTCGCGTCAGTTCATGCGGGACTTCTTGCAGTTGCTGAAGACGAGTCATGGCGAGAAGAAGGTGCATTTGAACCAGTTTTATCAGGAGTATATCCGGGACAAGGAGCATGTTCACATGAACTCGACGAAGTGGCCGAGTTTGACGGAGTTTGCGAAGCATCTAGGGAGAGAGGGGATTTGTCGGGTAGAGGAGGGCGAGCGAGGGTTGGAGGTGCAGTGGGTGGACGATAGTCCTGAGGCTGTACGGCGACGGGAGGACGTCAAGAGGAAGGAGAAGTTGATGAAGGGTGACGAGGATATGGAGGCGAGGATGCTGGAACGCCAGATCAAGCAGGCTAGGGAAGCGGCGGAGAAGGCGGGGAGGCTGGAGGAGAAGAAACAACGGCCAGAGGGTGAAGAAGATATGGCGGTAGAGCCGGTGAAGGTGTCTCTGAGCCTGGGGGGAAAGGGGCCTCAGAAGCAGGCGGATAAGGAGAAGGAGGTGGCCCTGGATGCGCCAGTTGAGATCTCGACATTCTCGGCCGCCGATGCATCAACACCAAAGGAGCCTACAGCGTCTGGAAACACTGCCGCGGGCGAAGATGACGAAGAAGAGCCTGCGCCTCCCCCTGCCGAGGAGAAGCCAAAAATGTCAATGTCGCTGAGCGGCAACAAGCCGAAGAAAGTCAACCCGCTGATGGCGAAGAAGAGCAACCCATTTGCAAAGAAGAAGGAGAGCTCAGCACCCATCGATCAAGGCAAACCGATGAGCAACGCGGCGAGGATCATGAAGGAGGAGATGGAGCGGAAGAGGAAGGCGGACGAGAGAGGAGGGCCGGCTTGGAAGAAGGCGAGGACGTGATGTAATCGAGTTGAACTCCTCAGATTGTTGAGCTGGGACTTCAGATCCAGGATCTGTGAATTTAGCCAGGCGCTTGGGCGGGTTATGATTTCTATGTGGTATTGATGATAACCACGAAATGGCAGCATTGGATCAAAACGAACGAGGAGCAGATGTACGTTTGTTCCCAACTCTCGTTGTCAGTGGCATTGCCGCTCACATTTGCAGCAGGCTTGCAGAAACCAAAGTCAAGGTCCAGATGCAGACCACCACCCATGGGGTGCAACCTCCCTATACGACACAGCGGAATGGCGGGCAATGTTCTACGAAGTACACGGGAGCTGCCTCCGAAGCAAGGCGATAAGAATAGAAGAGGCGAGGTCTCTTCCGCCGGCAACCTAGCTTCTGTGCCCGGTGGAAAATGAAGCAGACTATCAAATGGCCTATCCGTACATGGGTATCGCATTCATATCCATAGCTATAGCTCGGCCAAGTGCCAGCAGCTCATAATGCAAAGCGTCTGTTCAAGCCCTTTACTGCCATCCGCCGGTTCAGCCACCGGTACTGCATGTTGGCTACCACAATAGCGCCAACTCCAAAGAACACGATCAAGACAATGTTCGACCAGCCTTTTGGATAGAGCGGTCCGTCTCCTTCCTTGAACAGCTGAGCTCCGATGATACCAGCAGAGTTGGCGGACATGATGAGGATAGCCATCGTGATTGACCTTTCGCCCAGCGTCGGAGCGTTCAGCGCCATCCAGCTGCCATTCACAGGATGCCAGGTTCCAGAGAAGCCGACAGCACTCGTCAAGGCCAGGAAACGTGCAACGTCGTGGTGGATAGTGGTCACTTCGTGATCTGGGACAAGCATCTTGCTGACTAGCACTGAAAGCCAAAGCCCAAAGATCCCTCCCAGTGCAATGAGACCGCGCCGATCTGTCCTATCAGCCAGGATGCCAGCAATGAAAGTCATAATGAGCCCAAGCCAGAGACCGATGGACATCAAGGCGTTGCTGGCTAGGCGAGGATAGCCAAAGCTCTCAACAAGGGTGGGACCATAGGCTCCAAACGTGGCACCTGGTGCCAGACCTAGAACCGCAGCAATGATGTGCGGAAGAAGTTTCCAGTTGGTGAATGTGCTTTTGAGCTCGGCAGAAGTGATGTTCTCGCCTTTGTGCTGCTTGCTCGGATCGTCGAGGAGTACTCTTGATGACAGAATGTAGCTTTCCCGTTTCGTGAAGTACTGAATACCAGTCAAGCTGGTTGGGTTGACGATGCCTTTCGGAAACAGGGCGACGAAGAGAATGCCGATGGAGACGGTGAAGAGGCCTTCGAGCTGTGGCCTGTCAGCGGTTGTGGTATCGATAAGGAAGGGATACCACATACAATGAACAGCCACTGCCATCCTCCAAGGCCAAAGACTCCCCTCATGTGCAGGATAGCATAAGCTATCAGGCCGCTTGTAGCCTGTGCTAGGTGGTTGCCCATGAAGAGGAGCGAGAATCGCTTTGACGTCTCGTTCCGCTTGTAGAATCGTGATATGGTAAACAGCGCCGCAGGTATGAAGCCGGATTCGAACGAGCCGAGCAAGAACCTCGTAAGCATGAACGCACCGACGCCTGTTCAAGAGTATTCTGTCAGCTGCTCTTCTAGCATTTCCTTCCGGCATTCCTTGCCCAAAGAGTACATACCATGCTGGAAGGCCTGAAAAGTAGCAACAAGTCCCCATGCCACGATCTGAGCACTGATCCAGACGGATGGCCCGATACGGTAGAGGATGAAGTTGGACGGTATCTCCCATATCACGATACCCAGTGCGAGAAGCTCCTGTCCGTCGTTGAACTGAGACTGCGTGATACCGACATCGTCCAGGAAGTAGTCAGTCAAAGCGTTACCGATGTTGCCTGCTATGTGTTAGTGGTCATCTCTAGATTGGAGATGGAGTTCATACCTCTGTCGAGCTGCAAAGCAAAAAAGGCCACGATAAGCAGCGGCATCACCAAAAAGTCCAGCTTCCGCACCACTCTTCTCTCCTCTTCGGCTGTCCATGTTGAGTCTGGTCCTGGGCTTGCATCGAAGTCGACGTCGTCCTCGAGGTAAACTGTCTTGGCTTGGCTGTCGAGCGGTCGTAAGGCTATCGGACTTTCAACACCATTTGCATCTTGCTCGAGCAACCCTTCTTGCTCCTCATCATCTCTCATCGTGCGCTGTCATGAGATGGTCATGCATCAAGTGTTGATGGATTGGAAATGTGTTGTCTGGAGAAGCCACCTCCGCGGATTATCACGCAATCCTGGTTGCCAGTCAGGGGCCGAATCCTCTTGCAGCTGAAGGTCAGCCACCATGATAAGCAGCAATGAGAGGTAATTCCATCAAAGTCGCAACAACAACATGACAGCCATCGCCTCCGGCTATCGTCACATTCGAGCAACAAATCTGCAAGCCAACGGTATGGGCTCATAAGGATCCTCGAGCCTTACGATGGATCTTCTCACAGACGATGAGAAACCACATTGAGAGTAACATGAGCACTTTGCACGCATTTCACTCATGGAGGCGAGTCCTTGACTTTAATCTACCCAAGTCTGCTACATCTGCCGTGTGGACCGCTTTTCCTCCCTCTCACTTGCAGAAACGGCAAGAATCTGTCGAGACGAACGATCCCACAGCAGCTCCTACTTTTGCTCTCCGTGGCACAATCGTACTGTCAGGTGGTGCTTTTCCCTGCTATCTCAGAGAATCGTGCCTTCTTCTCACGCACTGTTCGAAGAAAATTGTTCGGATGAGCACGGAAGTCCGCACTATTGAAGTTCTGAGGTTCATGTTGTATCGCTCACAATCTAGGTGTCTGGAGTGCAGAGTTTCCACGATATGTGGTTTGGACCGCCCAAAACCAGCACTTTGCAGCGGCTCGACTCGGCACGTTGAAAGCCCAATCGAACATGAATCTGCGGTAACCGAAATTGGTTAGATGCGGTGGCTGATTGAACTCAAATGGCCGTTCTCTTGGCACCAGGACATAAAGTGAAGTACTGATCTCTACTTCCTTTTCACTCACACAAAGAATACAACTACTCAAGCACAGAATCAAAACAACATGCAAAGCCTCGCGTTATATCGCGAGATTGGGCACGGCCACTGTGGCAGTGTCTGGATCCAGGAAGAAGAGGGGACGGTTGTTATCAAGCGGGAAGATGGTGGCCCAGGTCGATCAATTCAGAAGGACGCAGAAATGCATCAACGCATCGAGAAAAGTCTGACTGTCGCGGCCATATTGCATCTGAATATCCCTGCGCACTACCGACTCATCGACGCCACAGACGTTGAATTCTGGAACAAAACACTACCTAGATTCCCTCATGACACAACACACCATTACGAGCCCTGTGCGGCGCTTGTTAGTGAACGAATCCAACCGTTTTCGAAGGCCTACCGCGAAAACCTGATCGACACATATTGCGTGGAGGGGGTCAGATCCAAAATCAAATGCAGCAAGTCGGACGAAGATTGCTTGATCCGCCCATATCTTGGCCGACGGAGTCACAACCAACGACCGTCACGCTTCTTCACCCTTCGAAATCGACCATTCAACTTGGACCAGATGGAAGGGATCGGTTTACCCACCCACGAATACGCCAAGACGATGGCACACGCCCTCGCAACGATTTACTGGGATGCAAAAATTGATGCCAATGACGTCGAGTTTGTCCTCGCACCAGCCGGAACACACCCAGGCTCCAAGACGTGGTCATCAAACTTGTTAGGCGAACACGCCACGTGGATACTGGACTTCGATTGCTGCAACTCGATATCGTTGGATGAAGCTGGCATCAACCAAGCAGCCACCGCATTCTACAAAAACGACCCTTTCTACCCACGCCCAGCGAGCGACAACGAGGCAGCAATCGCATTGTGGGGGATTTTCAAGTCACATTTCATCGAAAGCAGCAAGCCCATATTAGGACCGGACAGCACACTTCCACTGATGATGATAGAAAGGCTCGAGCGAATGGGAGAAGAAAGAAGGGAGACGGTCAGGAGACTCAACCCTGAAAGCTGATCACATGCATTCACATGCACTTCGAGATACGGCCCGTGCCGCTATAGACTCCGCTGCTGCCTCATCAAGAGCAAACAATTCCCCCAAAGACTTCTGAAACCTTCGTGCAGAGATTTCCATCACTGGGCAACTCCCGTCAGGCCGCGACACACATCACATTTTTGTCTCCCTCTAAAACTTACACATACGACTCAGCATCCCGACTTCGAAGGCTCAGGTCGTTTCACCATGGCTCCGCAACCGCCAACCTTGTCGGATCGGCGACTGGAGAACCGCTCCTCCGAAATGTCTGTCATGAGTGGGACTACTGCGAAGATGGCGCTGCTGAACCTAGACCTGGAAGACAAGCTCGCAGAGGAGGCTCGCAAACAAGGGGATCTGCAGAGCCAGCTGAAGTACATGCTCTCGTTTAAGTCGGCCATATCCACAGCATCGTCCACAGCTCAAGGGAACGAAGCGGCAGTTCATGAGATGGAGAAGCATCGGGAGATTGGAACCGGGTCGATCGGGAAAGTCTTCGAGTTTACTGGCACCAGCATGTATTTCAAATTACAGCTCACAGACAGCCAAGAGACACGAGAGAAGCTGGCCAACAACTACAAGTTGCAACTCAAGATCGGTGAAGCCTTCGACAGAATCGCAAAGATCTCGAAGATGGAGCTCGGAGTCCAGGTGCCCAGAGCGCACTGGATCGCTACGCCCGACGATAAGTCTTTCTGGGAACCCAATCTGGACAGATTCGAATGGTCGAAGGAGTTCCCAAAGCAATCCCGGGATGTGCTCTGTATGGAACGTATCTTTCCCATGCCGCAGCCAGTCCGCAGCGCTATCATCGACTATTTCTGCCAATGGGAGATCAGACAAGCCGCTAAGGATGATCTGGCCAACAGAGACTGCATGGTGCAGCCGTTCCTGGGCCGCAAGCGGCATGGGAACCAAGGCAGCAAGCTGAAGAGTTTCAGTCTTCGTAACTTTAAGCTCCATATCAACGACCTGCAGAAACTGGGCCTTGCGCCAACAGAATGGGCAGAAGCAATGGCAGAAGGAATGGCAATCCTACACTGTTCCGCCATGGTTGACGGCAACGACATCGAATTCGTTATCGGCAGCTCCCCTACCCCTCAACAATCAGTACGCCATGCTCCAAGGTACGCTGACGTGCAGAAGCTTGAGGCGGGCGAGAGTACCTTCAAACTTGCTACCAGTTCCGGTCAAGACTTCCGCCATCGCATCAACTCTCTGTGGCTCTTGGATTTTGATGCTTGCAAAGACATCCCCATGGACCAGTCAGGCGTTGACGCCGCACTGGCAGCTTTCTTGCAGTTGTACCAGTGTCCGCGTCCACACACCGATGACTCACGCCTTGAGGAGATGTGGAAGGCTTTTGCCGTACGATATCGGGCTGTCGCCAGCACGTGTGGTCAACGGGAGTTTGGTCGGCGTTTTCTGGAAGCTGTAGAGGCCGCGGTCGAAAAGATGAACCAGGAGAAGCAGGAGAGGGACAAGCGGTCGATGCCTCCGCCTTCTGGACGATCTGGAGGGACAGCAGATCCATTCCAGCGCCAGCGCGAGCGGGGCTTCGGCGAACCTCAGTCGGCAAGAAACAGTCCCATTCGACGTGGTCGCGATGGCTCGGGTCAGGGGAGCAGCGGGTCAAGCCGGCGCGGCTTTGGGTACAGCAACCGGCGCAGCGGTGGTGGTGGGAGCAGCGACAGCGGACGAGCACTCTCCAGTTCAAACTGGCGTGAGAGATCATAGAGTGGGGATGGAAGGGTTCGATTCAACTGAAATAATGGAGACGGCGCAGCGTTGTAGATAGTGTCTCTAAGCAGTCTTAAGTCAGTGGGAACAGGAGAGACATGAGCAGCTGAGCGCTAAGTGGTTGCAGAAACCAAGCTGGCACGATAAGGTACCAACGCGCGTTCACGGGCGATGTTGCTTTACACGATACCTTGCAATTGCATTTCTGCGCAACAAACTGTTCTTCCGTAGGCTTCTTCCGCAGTCGAAGAGAGCCCCCTCATCAACGCATCCCTGGTCTCGTTCCTATAACATTTTTGGCGGTCACGACACGGGATACCGCAGATCGTTCAACGTGCTGCCTACGAGACTCACATCTACTTATACCTCCAAGACTGCTACTCTTTCGTGAAACGACAAACATCTCCAAATCAGAACCGGTATCAAGCCCGTGGTACCGCAAAATGGCCTCCCTCAGTTCTCTGCCAGTCGAGCTCGTCTTGCGGATCTACGACTTCCTCGACCCAGGCTCCCATCTGGACTTCTCTCTCATCTCGAAATATCTGGCACATTGCTCTCAAGATCTGCTGAAGCATCACCGGCATTGCTATGCCCAATATCGTATGCTACAAGCCTCAACCCACGACGGCACGCTGCAGGCTCTGCTCCAGACACTCGTCAAAGATGAGATTGCAGCCTGGCATGTACGACGTCTCGAGTTGACCCACGTCCTCGAGACTAAATGGTCTGCCTCCCCAACAACAGCCGCTAGTCAAGATGGCCTGGAAAAGACAGCGGAGAAGGATCGACTGTGGACTGACAGAGTATGGGCGACCATAGCCAGCCGGGCCCAGTATTCCTCAGAAGCTTACGAATCTCTCGCGCAAATAGCCTCCATCGAAGTCGAAGCAAGCGCTCTACTTCACAAGCAATTCATCCCGCTCATAGGACTATGTCCCAAACTCCGCGCGTTGCAGACAGTCCCAGAACGCGGTCGGTCTTACCAGGTGGACGACTACCCTGAAGACTCAGACAGACCCGTCGCGGCCTTGAGCCTTACTTTGCTATCCCTCGCCATGATCGAAGACCATGGAAGCGCAACCATCTGGCCCGGCGCCCTGAGAGGACTGCGCAGAGTCTCCATCGCCGACCATCGTGCCAACGTGCACAGCTATTCTCCAAGTACCATCCTGCCTTTCTTCATGCTTCCAGCGATCGAGACGGTGCATCTATCCACCATCGCCTGGGATACCGCGCAGCAGAAGCTCGAATGCCAGAGGATGTTCTGGCCTGAGGACCGCAAAAGCGGATCGACGGTTCAGAACATCATCTTCGAACACGTCAATGGAAGGTGCGTTTCGGAGTTCATCGATCACCTGCTCCGCTACACGCCACAGTTGTCGACCGCCGTCTTCAACGGCTGCAATTTCCCTGGCGTCGATAAGGTCGTCCGGAAGCTGGGACGACGCAAGCTAGAGACGCTCATCTTCCGTGGCGATGCAGGGTCAGTGGCGAACAATGGGTGGAGCTTTACCTGGGACTGCCTGGAGGCGCTCAACGATGTGCGAGTACTCACTGTCGACATGCTGGCCACGATTGCCTCCAGTACGCGACGAAGCGAGATCGAACAGCGCTATAAAGACGAGACTCAGGAGCAATTCTTCGACCGTTTCGTCAACTCCGTACCAAAGACGGTGGAGGTGCTCATTATCCAGGAAGCAGGACCGCAACGATTGAACGACGACGAGATGGAGAAGGTGGCCGAGGCGCTGGTTCGTCTGGTGAAAGCAGGACGATGCCCGAAGCTCACCACAATTTATGCTGACAACTTTGAGTTCGCTATGCGCCGGCAGCGGTGTGCCTGGGGGAGATACACAGATGGCGGATGGCTTCGGACGGCGAAAGAAACTATCAAGCAACATGGTGTTACTATGTATAACCAAGACGACGCTGGTACGACGGATGCGTATCTGGAGGCGCTGTTGCAAGACATGTAGTACTGATCCTAGACAGAAAGACCTCATCATGTATTAATGATAATCTACGACTCACTCCTTCTCACCCAGATGCCAAGATTTTACATGTGCCTTCCATCTGACGCACAACAGCCCAAGAGTTTGCACTCCGTTCGTCTGTGGGACCACGTCTCGAGTGCACTGCACGGCTTCATTCGACCTCGACTCGGACGAAAGTGGCAGCAAGACCATCATGTCGAGGAGAAAAGGTGAATGCCGGTACGTCACATATAGATTCACAACCCATCCTAGATACACCTCCCTCCCGCCTCAACGTCAAGATGCTAATCTACAGCTTACTCTTCTCGGACCATTTGCGATCCAATTGTAACAGATCTCGCTTCTGCAACCCATAACTCTGCGCCATCTCCTCACTTCTCTTCTTCTGCCAGTTAATCTTCTTCAAGCAAAACTCTCCACGCTTATTCTCGTTCCTGCCCAACTGCAGCGCGTGCACTTCGTCCGGTCCGTCGACAATCCGCATCGTGCGGCCGTGCGCCCACATGTTGGCCAACGGGGTGTCTTGACTCACGCCTGCGCCGCCGTAGGCTTGGATCGCGCGGTCGAGGACACGCAGGAGCATGTCGGGGACGAGCACCTTGGCCTCGGCGATTTCTTTGAGAGCGAACTTGGCGTCTTTGCTGTCGATCATGATGGCGGCGTTGAGGACCTGCAGACGCGAGGCGTCGATCTCGATCCGCGAGTGCGCGACACGTTCCAGCATCACGCCGTGCTCGTGGAGCTGCTTGCCGAACGGCTTCTTCTTCGGGTCGTTGATGCGGGCGAGGAACCACTCGAGGGCCTTCTCCGCGGCGCCAATGGAGCGCATGGCGTGGTGGATGCGTCCGGGTCCGAGACGGCCCTGGATGACCTCAAAGCCGCGCCCTTCGCCGAGACACATGTTGGCCGCCGGCACGCGGACGTTGTTGAAGGTGACGTGGCCGTGGCCGTGCGGCGCGTCGTCGAAGCCCATGACGGAGAGCATGCGGTGGATGGTGATGCCCGGGGTGTCGAAGGGGACGAACATGACGGATTGTTGTTTGTAGACGGAGGCGTTGCTGGGGTCCGTCTTGCCCATGACGATGTAGACTTGGCAGCGCGGGTCGCCGACGCCCGAGGACCACCATTTGGAGCCGTTGAGGATGTAGTCGTTGCCCTCTTTCTTCATGGTGAGGGAGATGTTGGTTGCGTCGGAGGAGGCGACTTCGGGCTCGGTCATCAGGAAGGCGGATCGGATCTGGCCTTCGAGGAGGGGCTTCAACCATCTATCCTTCTGCTCCTGTGTGCCGTACTTGGCGAACACCTCCATGTTGCCAGTGTCTGGTGCGGCGCAGTTGGTCGCCTCGGACGCAACACCACTCTTGCCTAGGTATTCTGCCATCAAACCGTACTCGAGATTGGAGAATCCAGCGCCCTCTTTGAAGTGGTTCTTGGGCAAGAACATGTTCCATAGTCCCAGCTCACGAGCTCGCTTCTTCAAATCTTCAAGAATCGGGGGGTGGGCGCTGAAGCGGGTTTCCGTGCCAGTGCCGACTTGTTGTTGGAAGACGGCATCGGCGGGGATGCACTCTTCTTCGACGAACTTCTCGACCTGCACAAACACCACTTAGCAATCGGCATTGGGAGGCAGATATAAGAGTAACCTACGACATCCAACAGCTTCATGGCCCTCTCACTGACGAATGGCTTCGCAATGATGGGGATCCTGTCGCTGGCCTTGGTTGGAGCACCTTTGCTACTGTTGACCAGCATCTCCTCCATCGCCTCGATCTTGTACGGTACCGACATGATGGCGGTTATTATGATGGTTTTCCAATTGATCCAAGCAATCGAAATAATACAATTGAAGTAGGAGTCAAAGAAGTAAGAAAGTGGAGGAGTAGTCGTCGTTGATCGGGCGAGGTCTGTTGCCCGCACGATGCTTTCCCCAGACCGAGGCAGTCGGCGATTGCTTGGTTAGACTGCCCTGCTTGCTCCAACCTCACCTAAAACATCAGGTGAGATCTTTGGGTTGACCGAGGTAGATATAGGATGCTTCGTAATCGTAAAGACTAATACTGTTTGGACATGCAGTGTATATGTTGAACTGGCTTGCACGTCGATTTGAGGCCGAAGTCCGTAGTATAGGTATCTGCTATCGAAGCCAATGTTTGAGCAACCCAGAGCTACTTGTACCCTTCCAAACCCGCCCAGAGCACCTTCATCTCAGCAGCAATTCCAACCCGTCCCTCACACTCACCGCCTCACCCCCGACCGCGCCTTGGGGAAATCCAACGGCAACTTCAGCTTCGCGACCTTAACACTCCTCTCCTGCCCCTTCTTAATCCCCCACCTCTCCCTCTCCCCCTCCGTCGGCGCCGCAATCCGACACCCCAACTCCCGAAAATACTGCGCCATCTCCTTCGCGTCCATCTTGAGATCATCCCTTAGATTCGACGTATCGGCCGTCCAGCCATCGACGTACAGCGACAGCGCACACATGTGCGTGTAGAGTCTCTGCATGTGCCATTTCGTCAACTCATTCGCGTCGTTGGCGAAGCGCCTGCGCACGCTGTTGACCAGGCTGTCGGGCCAGGCGGAGAGGCGTTTGGAGAGGACGTCTTTTTTGGGGACCTTTTTGCCGTTGCGGCCGCCGCTGGGGAGGGCGTCGTGGAATTCGAGCAGGAGTTGGAGGTATTTGAGTGCTTTGAGCTTGAGGATTTGGTCGGATGTGCCTAGAGCTTGCACGCGGGCGGCTGGGAAGCGGTGGGTGAACTTGATGTCTTCCTCGTTCTTGGTCTTTTCTTGCCAGTCTTTGATGTTGACTAGTCGTGCGTCGGAGGGTGGAAGGAGTGTCTCGTAGGCGTATACCTCTTCTACGTTCTCCGCCGCGAGGTTGGGCTTTGGTATGGGTTTCGAGGCCAGTGCTGTCTCCGCTGCTTGTTCTTCTGTTGGTGCGCCTGTGACGGTGTCTGGCATAGACTGTAGAATCGCATCTTGAACATCGTCCGGCCTGCCCTTGCCCTTCGGATCTCGATTGGTGATTGCGTTGACCGTCTTCTCTGCTATAATCTTCTTCGCCTTCTTCGTGCCAAACTCACGACCCAGCTCTTGTCGTTGCTGTAGAAAGGTTCGGTTTTGGTTGGCTTTGGCTTCGGATCGTAGTGTGCTGCGTAAGCTGAGGTGGTGGGTTGGCATGACTTGCAGCTGCTTCGTCGCCGGATCATACACCGCCACATAATGGGCAAGACCATCGTCCAGACTGGCGGGTGAAGCAGTGTAGTCGAGTCGAGAGTGTCGGTGAGAGTGCAGGAGGAGTTCGTGGTCGTTGGAGGCCGCATCGTCCGGCTTCTTACTCGACGGTCGCTTGGTGTAGGCGTCGAAGACTAAGTCTGGCGTCGTCAAGCCGGGAGCATCTACCAGAGCTGGATCGGATCCATCCACGCTGTTGTAGGTAACTTTGATCTGTCCCTCATCTTGTCCAAATGCCACCTTCTTACTGGATGCCTCGACCCCATTGGACTGTCTCTTTCGCTTTTTGTTCTCCTTCTCTGCCATTGCAACCACCTTCCAATCAAGTCGTTCGCAATGTGGTGCTTGGTCGCGTCCAAAATTCTTAGCTTCGGCACGTGAAAAGTGATCTCAGAAAAGCGCTTTCCTATCGTAGTTAGACCTAAATTAAAGTTCCCCGGATAACCAGAAAGTTGGATCTTCCAGCGACAGCAAGGGACAACACCCTTGTCCTCGCGCGGCAGAGACACGCCTGGGCACGCGCACAGCACACACTCGCTCTGCGCAGTGACGCGGTGGAGGTGGGCAGAAAGCCTATCGCCCGAGGACTGGCCCCGTCTGTTGCACAACATCACGTAGCTGTAGCTTCCAACGGTCAGGTCCACTCTCCTCTATCTCTCCTTCACTCTTTCCCGTTCACTCCATATCCCGCTTTCGTACATCTCCGCCGACAGGGCCTTCCACCATAGCTCCCCAGGACAAACCACACGCCGGGCCCCGCAAGCTCGAGGTTCGATCAACGTCCCACCCCAACCGCAGCGACATCATCCGCGAGACCTCGCATTCCCCCGCCCGGCCGGCCAACGACAACAGCAGCGACATGGCTACGCAAGTCCAGACGGCCACTGAAGGCGCCCAGGAGAAGACGCAGGATGCTACGCAAGGCGCCCAAGACAAAGTCCAAGGCTACACTTCCTCCATCATGAGCGGAGTCCAGGGTGCGTTCAGCTCGGTGTCTGGATGGGCTCAAGGGACGCTGGACAAGTTCTTCCCGCCGGAGCAGCGAGCGGCGTTTTTGGCCAAGATACAGGAGTTTATGCTGGCGAACCCGAAGTTGTCGGTACGTTCTACACCAATCTGCCTACGTCTGCACGTCATATTGACTTATGCTTGTTGGACAGAGCTTCCTAGGCATGAACATCTTCATCACCGGCGTCCCGCTCGCCCTCTTCGTCCTCTTCACCCTCACCGTCTTCATCTTCAGCCTGATCGTCGGGCTGGTCCTCGGCCTCCTCGCCGCTGTTGCCTTCACGCTCTTCTGCGTCGGCGTCGCCCTAACCATCGTCTTACCATTCATCTTCTTCACAACCATGGCCGCTTGCTTCCTCTTCCTCTGGGGTCTAGGCGGTTACTACATTATTAAATGGGCTAATGGTCAAGCTGGCGGCACGAGCGAGGAACAGCCGTTGCTATCCGGCAGTATTGGGGATAGTTTGAATAGTCTTACTGGTGGACGACTGTCGGGTTTCATGGAGGGTGCGAAGAAGGAGAGGTCGAAGGGGGATATTAGTGGGTACTCGGATGAGAATACGCCTGCGGCAGAAAAGGAGGAGGGGCAGGAGAAGCAGGAAGGACAGGAGAAGCAAGAGGGACAGACGAAGCAGGGTGGCCAGGGCAAGCAGGAGAGACAGACGAAGCAAGATGGGCAAGCGAAGCAGGGTGGCCAGGGGAAGCAGGAAGGGCAAGCGAATGGCTCGACCCAGCAGAAGCCGCAGAAGCCGCAGAAGCCGCAGAAGCAAAGTGTGAGTGTTAGCGGCCTTTCATCGAATCTTTCTTCTTCCGTTTAGCAACAAGCGGCGAAAGCTACTTATGTTCTGGCGGAGAGTGTTGAGAAGAATGCTAACGATAAGATTGCAGTGATGGACGGTTTAGTAGGTGGTGATACTGAGACGGTTAAGACTGTGGAATCCGAAGCTCGTCGATATCTATACATTTGTGGGCGCTTGCATGGCGAGGCGTTGATGGATGGCTCTGTGCCTTTTGCTGGATGATTGAAAAAGCGGCTCTCGGAAAGTTCGTGCGCAGACAAAGGGGCGCATGTTCGCATCCATGATTCAAATACTCACGGCCGTATCGACAACTACACCGACACAAAATCTACATCTACACCTCCCCATCCCCCTTCTCCCCCGGCCCCAAATGCTTCCCCACAAACCCCACCACCCGCTCCGCCATATCCCGCACATGCCTCCTCTCCTTGATAATATGCTCTTCCCTCGGATACACCACCATCTCAAACCCCAACCCCTGCCCCTGCAGCGCCCGCCGGAACCCCACCGCCTGACTCACCGGCACCCGCTCGTCTTTTTCTCCGTGCACCATCAGTACCGGCGGGATCTCCACCGCGGCTTCCACCGCGGCTTGGAACTCCCAGATCGCGCTGCCCTTTCGGTTCGCGACGTCCGGTTTGTCGCTTCGCCAGGGCGATTTGCCCGCCATATCGCTCTGAAACGTCGCGCCCACGTCCGAGGTCATGGTCATGGTGTCCCAGTCGCTCACACCCGCACCGGGGATCGCGGCGCGGAATTTCCAGCCTTCCCCGTGTAGACCGTTGCGCACGCAGGCGAGGTAGGAGAGGAAGCCGCCTTGGCTCCAGCCGCTGACTACCAGGCGTTCGGGGTCGGAGTAGCCATTCCTGACTGCGTCGTTGACGAGAGCGATGATGTCGTCGTACTCAACCGTACCTACCGCCCCGCGAGCGCAGTTCGCCCAGTCGGAGCCACGTCCGCTGTTGCCATGGTAGTTGGGGAGGAGGAGAGCGTAGCCGGCTTCGAGGAGCAAGGGGCCCCAGAGGTGGTATGTGCCGTCAAACTGGTTCGTGACGCGGGAGTGCGGGCCGCCGTGGATGAAGACGACGGTAGGGAGGGGTTTGGGCGGGGTGCGCTGGTTTTGTGGCGTCAGGTGCGGTGGGGTGATGTAGACGGCGTCGAGCTCGATGGCGCCGTCTTCGGAGGCGCAGGAGAGGAACTCGGGATGGCCGAAGTGGTGGTCTTGGAGGCCGTGGGCGCGGGCGTGGGAGGAGAGCTGGATCAGTGCCCCGCCTGAGGCGGTGATGCTGTGGACTTCGGGTGGGTGGTTGACGTCGGAGGTTGCGACGGCAATGATGAGCTCGTCGCTGTCGGTTGTGAAGGCGGCGTCCCATGTTTTCAGCTCCTGGTCTTTGGAGAAGATTGGGCGGCCGCCGAACATGTGCAGTTGATCTTGCGGGCCGGCTTCTACCTTTACTACGATGTCTCTGTCCGCTTTGCCTAGTTCCTCGGGGCATTCTTCGAGTCCGTACGTTGGGTCTGCCCATGCAGGTGAGCTGCTGGTGGTGTCGAGAGAATAGACTGCGTTGTTGCTTATTGTGCTTTCTTGACTGCGCTGTTTCGTCATGTTAGTATAGCTCACAAGCCCACCGCACTTAGCAGATTGACTTACGAAACCTAATGCGTGAAGCTTGTCCCCTGCCCATTGGAGACTGTGAAGTTTGGTTGAAAATGGCCATGGCCCTCCTGACGGGATGGCCGCGAGGTTGATGATCGAAGCCTTGGTGCCGTGTAGATACGGACTTTCACTGCAAGCGAGCAAGACCACCGAGTCAGCACGTATTCGGAAAACAATTGTGTGGTGTGAGATAGCGTCTCGTGATGAGTATACGTCCACTTTCCTGTACATACATATTCGGAGTCGTCACCTCGAGCCACGCAATTCTACTCCCATCATCGCTCCACGCCAACTCAGTGATATGAGCAGAGCGACTGACCAAGGTCGCAACTTTCTTAGTCGCCACGTCAACCACCCTCAAACGATTAAAAGCCCAATCCTCACCCCAGACCATGGGATCGTCTTTCTCCTTATCTTTTGCCTTCTTCTCAGCACTCTTCTCGTCCGCAGACAGGTAAGCTATTGTCTTTCCATCCGGGCTGAACTCAAACCGCTCGATCTTCTTTTCGTTTCCGGCTGGCGTGAGCACCTGCGGTTCGCCTTCCTCGCCTAGAGTATGGGAGTAGATAGCCCATTGCTCGCCTGCCTTTGCTCGGTCCGAGATGAAGGCGATGGATTTGCCATCTGGGCACCATCGAGGAGAATGGTCATTGTATTCGCCAAGGGTGATTTGCCGAGCGGATCCTTGATGTCCCGTATCTGCTAACCATATCGTGGATACCTCATGTTCTCCGGTCTTCGTTATCGGGGTTGTTGAATAGAGCACTTGCCGGCAATCTGGAGAAATTTTGATGGTCTTCGGGATAGGCAGATCGAGGATTTTGTCCAGCAGGGCCATGTTGCCGTCCTGAAACGCACCAGTGTCGTTCTCGTGTAATAGACCGAGCAAGTTCCGTTCGCCGTTGTCGTCGAAGGAAATATGATGGCTTGCTGAAGGGTTGAGGAAAGCGTTGGTAGGGCAGCTCAAGACGCAGGAGAAGAAGAAAGCGAAAAGTGCCAAGTGTACAACATGCAGCGGTTCTCGCATGTGAAATGGTCCTGTACTTATCAAATCACGTCTTCCTCCTTCTGTATCAGGACATCTCGATTCCTTCTGGTTGCCGTTGTTGCCGTCCCGTGAGGTCGAGGTCGAGATGATTTGGAGGTCCGAACGCCGATGCGGAAAAGTTCGACTTCACTCAGCTTTCTGCTCCTGATTGTCACGGCGTCTCCAGTGGATCTAGTATAGTACAAACGCTGCGTGATCGTGGTGGTGAGTTAATCATATCTCGAAGACAGCATCAGACAATAGATATGGATGTGGAGCTCAACGTGTCATTTGACGATGTTCTTGCCAACGAAACGCGGTGGTGAGCAATCGCGCCTTCCTGCAAACAACATGACTGCCTGCGTTTGAACCACAACATCTGGACTTCACTCGAGGGTTGAACATCGACGACCCTGTCTGCTTTGCACTCATTGGAACTTTACAACCAAACAAGCCTGACCATCACCTCCACCATGGCGAAGAAGAGGCAAGCCCCTCTCCTCAAGAAGATGCTGGCGAAGGGCCGCCCACCACTCGCACCCAAACCTCAGGCGGTCCTCTCCAAGAAGGCAACACAGAAGCTCATCCGCTCACATCATGGCCTCAACAAGAAACTCGCCAAAGCCGAAGCGAGAGGAGACAAGGTAAGCACTGATCCGTCGAGACACGATGCATGTGACACTTTGAGAGCTTTTGGACTCTCCCACAGTTTTGAAACTTTTGCTAACCCTTCTATGCTTGGTTTCAGGAGGAAGTCGACAAGCTTAACAAGCAAATCAACGACTCCGGCGGCCTGTCCAGCTACCAACTCGCCAGCATCCAAGGCCAATCGAGCGAGCGTGGCGGCGACTCCTCCGTTGTGCTAGTGGAGTGGCTGAAGGACATCAAGGTTGTCACTGCTTCGTCGGAGCACAAGCTCAGGATGCTCGAAGTCGGCGCTCTTTCTACGGACAACGCCTGCTTCAAGTCTGGTCTCTTCGACATCGAGCGCATCGATCTGAACTCACAAGCCCCCGGCATCAAGAAGCAAGACTTCATGGAGCGGCCAGTCCCACAGTTCGAGAAGGATCAGTTCGACATCATCTCCCTCTCGCTCGTGCTCAACTTCGTACCGACCGAGGAGGGACGCGGCGCCATGCTCAAACGCACCTGTCAGTTCCTCGATCAGAGAGCTCCGCGTACGATGCCGAAGGGCATCCAAGACAATTTCCCGGCTCTTTTCCTAGTCCTGCCAGCTCCCTCTGTGGTCAACTCCAGGTACTTCAACGACGAGCGTTTGACGCTGATGATGGCTAGCCTGGGATACGTGATGTTGCGGCGGGAACAGAAGAGGAAGCTGGTCTACTACCTCTGGCTGCTGCGTGATAAGCCGTCGCCGGATGAGCAACACTTTCGCAAGGAGATCATCAAGAGTGGTGGGAACAGGAACAACTTCTGCATCACGATGAAGCCGTGAGAGGCGTGGGACGGCGATTAGGCATAACTTGTCCCAGCAATGAGACATTCATCGATGCAGAACTCGAAAGACACGGAAAGACTACTCAAGATCCGCTTCGTTGCCTCCATCCTCAGAATCCCTAAGGTATCCTCACCCAGTTCACTGCTTTAGCGGCCGACCAGACCGCGAGGCCACAATCACGGAGGATATTCCTGCTCGAGTACTAGTACCAGCGTCTATGCAAGGTCTGCATGGGCCTGGATGCAGAGAGCTTGAGGCCCACACCGCACTAGGCTGAATATCTGAGGGATGAGAGATGAAGAAGTGTCTGTTAGGGCACTTGCCAGTTCGGTCGCACAGTCTGAGCATGTTCCTGCTCATGTTTCAGTTACCTGGTATGTACGCTGTCGAAATTCAAACAATTGCTGGCCATCTGTTGAAGCTCCTTGGTAAGATTCCATGGCATGGTACACTGCCATGCTCAACACCCACTGCAGGACGCCATCCATACGCGTTCTTCCAGCAGATCCAATACCACGCGGTCAGTTATTTCGATCACCATCCTTCTCCAGCATGGCAAGTCAGCGTGTGAGGTTCTATGCGACCGCGTTGTCGTTTCCAAAAGTATCTCGGCTGTCTTGAACGCCCATTGTATGGACAGTACCGTGCATTGCGGGACGAGCAACGCCGTCTCGTACAAGATAGATCAATCGGCAGATGGTGTAAACTGTAGTGACACATTGTGCATTTACTGTGCCTAAATACAATCGTGGATGATGCGAAGGGTTGATCATCAGGTCGATGTTCAAAAGGTGGTCCAGATTCACGATGTGGTTGGTCCGATGGTGGCGTCTTCCTTTGCTTCACTCCAGCCGAGGCACGTCACCAGCCACATCAAGGGCAAGGGAACACCAGACCTCGACATTGAATAGACACAGATAGTCCAACAGCAGTCATCCCCTTCTCACCCATCCCCATTCGATCGTACACTACCGTCGTCATCGTGGAGGAGCTGTTCAGATGCAGGCGACACGCCGATGGCTTCGGCGGAACAGAACCACCCTTCTAATCACTGCCGGAGTCGTGGGCGCCGGATATGTCGCTGGACAATATGTCGTCGGCAAGATACAGGAGGCGCGGCAGCGCATGAGTGAGGATCGGATATCCAAGGAGAAGTACGTCAATGGGTCATATACATTGCGGAGTGCAAGCTGATACGAGTTGCGACAGCCTCCGACGACGATTCGAGCAGAACCAGGAAGATTGCACTTATACCGTCCTCGCCCTCCTGCCTACGATCCGCGAAGAGATCATTGGCGCGCTACCCGTCGAGCAGATCACGGAGCAATTACAGCAAGAGCGACAAGAACGGTTGCGGAAGCTGGGACAGTCCGAAGCGGCTTCTTCTGAGCTACCCTCTGGGCCACCCAGTGTCACGGACGATGCTGCGAGCTTGCAGAGCAGCAGCTATGTCCATGCGAGTCAGATGGTGAGCAGCGGTGGAGATTCTGGCACATCATCATCGAGGCCGAAAAGGAGTAAAGCGCAGCTATGGCAGGAGATGAAGATACATTCGGTCACGCGAGCGTTGACGTTGATCTATACGGTGTCGCTTCTCACGATGCTCACGCGGATACAACTAAATCTTCTTGGTCGGAGAACGTACCTGTCATCAGTGGTCGCGCTGGCATCACCTCCGGCAGCGGTGGAGGAGTCTACGATATCGTTAGAGAACAAGGATGACGACAACTACGAGAACATGTACGGAAACGACTTTGACACGAATCGAAAGTACTTGACCTTCTCGTGGTGGCTGTTGCACAGAGGGAGCAAGCAGATCATGGAGAGGGTGATGGGGGCGGTGAAGGAGGTGTTTGGGTCTGTGAATATACGGGAGGATATCAGCATGGAAAGACTTTCCGATTTGATTATGCAGGTACGGAGGAAGATTGAAGGGGCGACGGAGGAGGAGCGGAGGGACATGAAGTGGTTATCCTATCTACTGCCTCCGAAGCAGGATGAGTCGTACGTCATTCGACAGTCGACAATGTCAGATAGCGAAGATGTGGCATCACCAGAAGCGAGCTCCAAGGAGGATCCGATGAGCGCATCCGTGGTAGAAGACTCCGAAATCAGCGGCTCATTACGGCGGCTCCTGGACGAGACATCCGACCTCATCGATTCACCCACCTTCACCCACGTCCTGAGTAGACTCCTCGACACCTCCTTTTCACATCTCGTCGACTACCGCATTGCTACAGAAGCGTTTGGCATTACTGGACCACCAGCACCTGGGACAATGGGCGAGGAGTCCAGGATAACGGAAATCAGCGACAAGAAGTGTAAACTCGCACACATGCTGCCGATCTTCTGCAAGCAAGCGCACGTCATCGCATCAGGAAGTGGCGAGTTCGACGCCATGGACGGCGCGATGGGACAGCAGACGCTCGGAAACGAGTACATCGCCGCCCTAGATCGCGTGGCAGAACTCGGAGCCTTCGCAGCGGTGATCTACTCGAGTAACTTCGAGTATGAAGTACAGGAGAGCGAGAACACGACTGCTGCTTCGTCTGAAGCGAAGCCATCCCCGCCGGCGCTGGCGTCGATGGGCGAGTCGCTAGGTCTTCTGGGGTCTGTGGCGCAGGTTGACGAGGCGAGGCCGAAGAACGTCGAGCGGAGTACGTTGGAGGATAGTGGTTCGGCGCCTGTCATGGCTGCTGAGGAGAGTGCGCCTGCTGAGGCCGGGCAGGGTGGGTTTGAAGCGGCATGGAAGAAGGCACTGTCGGAGGAAGATGGGCAGGGTGGCGGTAGCTAGCACGATAGCAATACCTGCGAAGACAGTTATGAAGGCTTGTGTTGAGCATCTTCAACCTGACCGATCCTTGTCAGCCTCGTCTTGGTCATGCATTAGCAGTTGCGAAAGCGTCAACAGATTTGTGCCTGTTATTAGCAAGCCAAGAGGTAAAGGCGGCCTTTATGCATTCCCCCATGCCATCGTCGAAGATAAGACACGTTTTCGCGACTTCAATTAGACTTTATCTCCGACCTTGTGCAGTAGCTGCAGCATCCTTTGTCAAGCATCCTTTGTCATGCCGCTTGCCCAATCGGCAGGTGCGGCCGCCCCGACAGTCAGCAATGCACGATGCCAATGCCAAATCCACTGCCCTTGGACGCAATGTTTCCTCGACGTCGCGTCTGGGCGTCATGGTTTATGCTAGATGTGCTATGGACGAGCTGACTGATAGTTGCATTGGGCGTGTGCTTGTAGCGCCGGTTTAATGTAAGGAAGGTCTGTGGCTACAGATGGGCTCTCAGCCCCGACGACGGTTGAGATATAAGAGTACTCGACACTCCCCTTCTGCAGAACATCTTCTCAACACCTAGTTTCCTCTGCCATCCCACTCATTGTTCTTCGCATAACCACCACCTCGACAATGTCTCGCTACCAGGAAGCACACAAGAACTCCAAGGGCCCTGGCGATGCCCGCCCAACCGCTCTCCAAATCGTCGAAGACGAAGGCTTCATCGGCAAGCTCACGGACAAGGTCTATCTGGTCACTGGCGTGTCTGCTGGTATCGGGATCGAGACGATGAGGGCGTTGTATGCTACTGGCGGCCATGTCTTTGGGACTGTGCGGAACATGGAGAAGGGTAAGCTAATCACTCCACGGATCTGTCTGAATGTAGCGCTGACTCTCAAGGCAGGTCAGAAAGCTGTCGACTACGTCAAGTCAAACACGAAAGGCGGCAAGATCACTCTACTCGAGATGGACAACCAGAGCCTTGCGTCGGTGAAGAAGGCTGCGGAGGAGTTTTCGAAGCAGAGCAAGACGCTTAACATTCTCGTCACCAACGCCGGGTAAGTACCGAAATCCCCTCGTCTACAGCCAAATGCTAAGTCATTCCAGTGTCATGGCAACCCCCGAAGGCAAGACCAAAGACGGCTTCGAGACGCAGTTCGGTACCAACCACGTCGCCCACTTCTACCTCTTCCAGCTCGTCAAAGACGCCCTCCTGGCTTCGAGTACACCGGAACTCCCATCCCGCGTCGTCTCCGTCAGCTCTTTCGGCCACCGCAGCGGCCCCATCCGTTTCGACGACTACAACTTCGAAAAGGAAGCTTACAACCCCTGGGCTGCCTACGGTCAAGCCAAAACAGCTAACATCTACCTCGCGAACGAGATCGAGCGCCGATTCGGAGCCAAGGGTCTCCATTCCACGTCTCTGCACCCGGGCGGCATCGACACCAATCTCCAGGAGCATGTCGACTTCAGCGCCGCGATGGCGAACGAGGCGGTGCAGATGTATATGAAGAGTCCTGAGCAGGGTGCTTCCACCACCGTGTATGCGGCTTTGAGCGAGGAGTGGAAGAACAAGGGTGGCAAGTACCTTTCGGATTGTGTGGAGCAGCCGCCTTTCAGTCATGCGGAGGATCCGATGTATGTCGGCGATGATGGGTATGCGACGTGGGCGTATGACGAGGAGGCTGCGAAGCGGTTGTGGAAGGAGTCGTTGAAGATGGTCGGGTTGGAGGATGATCAGTAGAGGACTGTTGGTGAATTCCAGCCGTGAAAAGTACCACTTTTGATCAGGAGTCACCAAGCTTTTGTGCGATCTCAGCTGCCAGCATCTTCTCCCTGTGCGCTTTGAAGTCGGGCTCGATGATCCTTCCGTGTCCTGTAGGCTCGACTTGAAGGATACTGATCTGCTTCGAGTGTCGTGCCATTTTGACGCGCCACACACCATCCTTGCCCATAAGACTCTCCTTCAAGAACTCCAGAAAAGCCGCTGTCATGTTGATGCATACGTTGCCGTCCCAAGATCGTTGACCTTTCCTCACCGAGCCGGGAATGCGCTGCGTCTCCAACTCCTGGATCGATTCGAGCTGACCGACCGGAGAGCGAAAGCCGACAACGACCTTAGGCACGCCCAGCAGGAACGACTGAGCCCAGATGCGTAATAGTTTTGCTTCCCACTTCTTCAGAGCCTTGTAGCTCTGATCCGTTTGCGTGGCGCTCGTCTTGAGCTCCACCCAGGGTATCGGCTTGTCTCGGTCATCCGGTTTGCGATCGAGCACGCAGTCGACTTCACCAGCGAGGATGAGTGAAGTCTTGCCGATGCCTGTACGGACGATGGAGCAGTATTGGACGTTGGTGTTGACGATGTCGGTGTCGCGGCTCTCGATCTCTTCTCGTGTGCATTCGCCCCATGGTCGCGGGAGTGTGGAGAGCGCCTCAAATTTATAGCCTGGCCACGTCAGCGGCAGTCTTTCGCGCAGTGATAATTGAGGCTCGCAAAGTGCCCAGAATCATGCAATGAGCCGGGCACAGACAAGCATGTTGATGCTCACCCCAATACTGCATCAACTCGGGTGATGTGCCATGCCTGTTAGCCGCCTGCTGCATTCCACGTTGCTGCCTTTGAGTTGAGTTGACTTCTACGACATCTTTGTAGGAGTGATTGAGCTCTAGATAGCTGGAAACCTGAGTCATTATCATGTTTCGTAGACGAGACGGTGATACGGTTCTTACATTGTGTCCTTCTAGCGGTTAGCCAATGATACCCTATGTTTGAGCTGGCAAATGGCGCACCTGGAAGCAAGTCGCGTTCAGTTCGAAGTCTGAGAAGAAATCGTACGGCGCTGCCATGATCTAGAATCGTTAGCCTGTGTCGTCCCTGAGGCAAGTGCAGCACAAACCTTCGACAAGATGCCTCGCCACGCAACGATATCGACATCTTTGCTAACCTTGGCTTCGGCGGCCGGGATACCTTGCTCCAAGAGAGCTTCTTCATGGGCCTGAATTGTCTGAAGTAGTCCGTCTAGATGCCAGTCGATCGATTCGTCCGCCTTGATCCAGTTGTCGAAGCCATTTGACAGGCTTACCCGCGGTGTCGTATCGATGTGTGACCAAGGTTCCTGGAAGAGGGGCGGGTAGTAATATCGCATCCAAGCATCTGACATGGGGCGCAGGCGGTGATATTCATCGAAACAGAATTCCAAGATCTGTTTAGGTCTGCGGATGGCCGTTTGTCCGCTTTCGAAGCGCCCGAGCGGGTGGACGGGGAAGGATGTAGCCATGGACTGTGATTTTCAGCATTAACAAAGTCTCATGGGCTATGAAGTACTCGGCATGGCTAGCGGCATGTTGAACCTGAAGCAGAAGAGTCGAGTTGTTGTTCGTCGAAGTGAGGTCGAAAATCGACGACACCTGAGGTATCCACGCTAAAACTGCTATCTGCTGCAGCTTCGCGTACTCCGTCGCCTTCATCATCACACCTTCACTTCCATCCACCAACGACCACTCTCCACCATAGCCATTATCCACACCACATCACACCACTGACATCCGGCCTTCACACAGCAAGAGAGGCCACAAGCGATGGTATGCATGGAAGATCTTGATGCCACCGACGTTACTAATCCGTTCACTAGGGTCAGAACCAGTCCGGTCTGGGCGGCGGGCCTCCAGAGGGCAACAAGGACAAGAAGGGCGGCGACAAAGACTCCAAGAAGAAGCCGCCATACGAGCCTCCGCCACAACCAACCACTCGCATAGGCCGCCGCAAGAAGAAGGCCGCCGGCCCCAGCGCCTCCGCCAAACTCCCCGTCGTGTACCCTACCGCGCGATGCAAACTACGATACCTGCGGATGCAGCGAGTGCACGATCACCTGCTGCTGGAAGAGGAGTTTGTGGAGAATCAGGAGCGGTTCAGGAAGGCGAAGGCTACCAACAGCGAAGCGCCCGCTGCCACAGCCGACGCAGATGCGCTGGACCGGAACGCGGATGAGCGGAGTAGGGTTGATGACATGCGCGGCTCGCCGATGGGTGTTGGCAACCTGGAGGAGCTGATTGATGATGACCATGCGATCGTCTCATCAGCCACTGGACCAGAATACTACGTTTCCATCATGTCGTTCGTGGACAAGGATTTGCTGGAGCCGGGTGCTTCTATCCTGCTGCATCACAAGAGCGTGTCCGTGGTAGGAGTGCTCACTGACGATGCAGACCCGCTCGTGTCGGTGATGAAGCTTGATAAAGCGCCAACGGAGAGCTACGCGGACATTGGTGGGCTGGAGTCACAGATTCAGGAAGTGCGCGAAGCTGTGGAGTTGCCTCTGCTGCATCCTGAGCTGTACGAAGAGATGGGCATCAAGCCGCCGAAGGGTGTCATTCTCTACGGTGCGCCAGGTACCGGCAAGACTCTCCTCGCAAAAGCCGTCGCCAATCAAACATCCGCCACCTTCCTCCGCATCGTGGGCTCCGAGCTCATCCAAAAATACCTCGGTGATGGTCCTCGCCTTGTCCGCCAACTCTTCCAGACCGCTGCCGAACACGCACCCAGTATTGTCTTCATCGACGAAATCGACGCCATCGGCACGAAGCGATACGAGTCGACATCCGGCGGCGAACGCGAGATTCAACGCACCATGCTCGAACTGCTCAACCAGCTCGACGGCTTCGATGACCGCGGCGACGTCAAGGTGGTGATGGCGACCAACAAGATCGAGACGCTCGACCCTGCGCTCATCCGTCCAGGCCGTATCGACCGCAAGATTCTGTTTGAGAACCCAGACACCAACACCAAGCGCAAGATCTTTACACTTCACACGAGCAAGATGAGCCTGGCGCCGGACGTGGAGTTGGAGGAGTTTATTGGGCAGAAGGACGATCTGAGTGGTGCGGACATTAGGGCCATTTGCTCAGAGGCTGGGCTGATGGCGCTGCGAGAGCGGAGAATGCGAGTCAACATGGCAGACTTCCGGACTGCAAGGGAAAATGTCATGAAGACGAAGACCGAGGGTGAGCCAGAGGGCCTGTATCTGTAGAACACGTTTGCTGCTGCGTACGAGAATGAGGCGGTGTGAATGGAGGGGTGGAGGGTTGTTGAGCGAAGTCGTGATGCATAGCATACAGCGTGGTCTTCGGATCGTGTACTTCTAATAGACTTTTGTGCAAAACTTTCGCTGTCAAGAAGGATCTCCATCGTGAGGCGTCGACTGCAGCAGGGTCAAAGGGTGTCGTTCCTCATCACCGTTCGAACGAACTAATATGCACGCATCTGCATACACCTGTGACGCTGACTCGAGAGAGTTTGTGACCAGCGAGATGATCAGGCGATCTTGCTGCCTCACGAGCTCACCGAAACAACCACAAGCGAATTGATCACGCCGAGTCAGTGCTTCACTTGCTTGCGGGGGAATCACTCGCAGGGAGGAGGAAGAGGAGGAGATGATCGACTCGTCCCCTTGTAGTCGGGGAAGCGGCAGTAAACGTGGCAGTCGCTTGCAGGTGCGCCATCCGATGTCTTTCAGGGACGCAGAACGCCTCGCGAGTTCTCTCGCCTACACGGCACGCGGTTGAGACAGTGAGACGTCTAGATAAAACATGTTCAAGATCTTGAAATGAGGTGTTGGCAACGGGGACGGTACAAGAATACTTTCCATCTCGCTCGGTAGCACCGAACCGAAGAACGGAGACGGATGGCGAGTCAGTGGAAAAGAGTTCACTCCGCTCGCCTCGCCTGGGTGCCAATGACGAGGCTTGCAAACCCTCATCCTCCACCGCCTGCATGTGGTCGTTGTTGTTGCTGTGCCTCATCTCGCGCATTGGTCTAGCAAAACAACCTCTCCCAGATAAGGATGCAAGACCACCACATACACTACCCCTTCTGTCGTCCCGCTGATCCGCTTGATGAGATATGATTATTGTCTTAGGTTGTCGCAACATGGAGGATCTCCTCCCTGTCGCGAACGGGTCGTAGCCTCGTCCACCATCCGACATTCGGCGAGCGCCCAGCCGCTTGCTGGACTGCTGTCCCTGGCGCCGCATGTGATGGCGCACATCTGCCTCCTCCTCAACTCTCCGGCACGCTGCACCTAGACGCCACCAGCGCCCACTGCTCTCGCGGAGAGAGGGCCCTCGGCAGCTGCCGACATCCTTCGAGGACCTTTGGTCCTGTCGATCGCACTCCTGTTGAAACTACGGCACGTCGCTAGTGCTGCGAGCAAGCGTTGGAAACATGACTCTCTCTTCCGAATGCTCTAGGGAGCTTGTCTCCAAGACTTGCTGCACGCCCGCTCCCCCAGGTTTTGGTCAATGGCCTGGCCGCGATATATGGTGGCGGGAGATCCACTCCTCTCCGCGGATTCTCCTACACCCTCCTTCGCATTCGTTCTGGGTTATGTGAAGGCGTCTGCTTACGGGGGCGGCCAAACTCTTTCAATGCTGACAAGTCATCATTATGGTTGACCAGGCTGACACGCTGCAGCCCGCTGCGTTAGCTATTATCGTTCTCTTCCCATCGCTTGCGCTCGTTGCAGTCTTATTGCGAGTGTATTCGCGAGTACTGTCGCGGCAGTTCCACTGGGGTATGAAGCAGCGATATTGCAAACAATCTACGAGCCATTGCTCACAGAGACGACAGATGACGCTCTCGTGCTCCTGGCGATGTCCCTCGCCATTGGGGAAGCCTGCATGTTGTGGCTTTACGTCAAGCAGACCTACCAGGGTTACCACTACTACGACGTTCCGACCTTGACAGACCAGGAGAGGGTACTGGGTTCGAAGTATGACCTTGCAAACCAGCTGCTGTATAACCCTATCGTAGGTCTATCCTCGCGCCAGAGAAAAGGTCGGCCATGCTGATTTCTGTACGATGCAGCTGGCACTCGTCAAGGCTTCGGTCCTCATCTTCCTCTGGCGGCTCGAAGACCGCCGCAAGATTATTCAATGGTCAATCAAGGGCCTCTTTGTAAGTCTGTTACGAAGACATGGTCAACCACCTTTTTGTGCTCTACTTACACTCCGCGCGCTGCACAGGCTCTCAACCTCTGCCTGTTGATATCTCAATTCTTCGTGGTCATGTTCCAGTGCTCGCCTATGAACTACTACTGGGACCATTGGACCATGGACGAGTACGGGCCCCCCGATCCAGAAACCGGGATACCGCCCGTCACAGTGCCCGGCGGAACTTGCATCGACCAGGTCAAGTTCTACCTCATCTCGCCCGGTTTGGCCGTGCTCACGGACATCCTCATCCTACTCATTCCAGCCGCCATGGTGTGGAACCTGCGTATGCCGAGGAAGAAGAAGATTGCCGTCTGGGCTGTGCTGTCGCTGGGGTGGATGTGAGCTTGACCTTCCAGACCCTAAAGTACTATTGCGCACCATGCTGACAACACTTCCTCCACAGCGTCGCAATCATCGGTCTCGTCCGCCTCGTCCTATACTACTTCCGCTTCCGACCCGACTACCGTGACCGAAGCCACAGCCTCACCCTCACCACCTCGGGCATGGAAGTCAGCATCGCCATCATCGCCTCCTGCGGACCCGCCATCAAAGCCCTCATGACCCGCTTCATGCCCAACCTCTTCAACAGCACACAGACCAACTCGGCGCGCGGCACCTCAAGCGGCAACGTCTTCTACTCTCCACAGGCCTACGCGCGCGGCCGCTCCCCCGGTTTCGGCACCAAGACCGACAGCAGACCGCAGGATTCCCACTACGGTCTGCGGGATCTGGGGCCCGATGGCAGGGAGACGGACGGGGATAGCCAGGAGGCGATTGTGCGGACGGAGAGTCTGGCGATGAAGCGGGATGATTTTGACTTCGGGCTCGAGGACGCGCAGGTTGCGGAGCCGCGGAAGGTGTTTTGGCATCGGCCTTCTGAGTGAAACTAGCGAGCGAGCGATCTGGGAGGCGTTCTTTTGATTTGCCGTGTATATATGTACTATTAAGTGTGAATGACCGGAATGAACAAAACATTGCTACAGTACGTCAGGGATGAGGTTGTTTTATGCTTTCAGTGGGTTTGGTGAGGCGTAGGTGAGTTGCGGGTGGATAATGTGTGGTGGCGCTTATGGGCGTAGTGCTCCGCGGAGGAAGGTTGTGTCAATGCAATATACATGGATGTGGTTTCCGATGGTGGCTGGCAGGATGTTCGAGGCGTGCAGAATCCATCGTCCTCCATGAGAATTGCATGGGCACCGGTGCCAATACCTGCGCGATGAAGGATATCAACTTCGATCTCGTCTTCCAAACAAGTCGAAGGTTGAGCTGAAGGTTTTAGGAGGTGATGACAATCGCAAAAGGGTATCGTCCATACAAACACATTACATCAGACTCATCCCTCAACATCATTCCTCTCCCTCGCCTCCCTTACACTCCACTCCCAATCCGTCCGTCCCAAATACACAAACTCGATCCCCGCCACCAGCCCCAACGCCAACGCCACCCCCGTCCACAGCCCCCACAGCCCCCAGCCCAGCCCAAACGCCGTGCCCATACTAATCGGCATCGCAATGACGTAGTAACAGAACAACTGCACGTACCCGCCGAAATGCTGCCTCCCTAAGCCTCGCAACGTGCCGTTGCACAGCGCCGCGAGTGCGTCGAAGAGCTGGAACGCGGCGCAGAGGGGCAGGATGTCGGACACGAGACGGATGACTTCCGGGTCGTCCGTGAAGAGGTAGGGGATGTAGTCTTTGAGTGCCGAGAGGAGGGTGACGTTGAAGATGCCGATGATGCAGGCGCCGACGAAGGCGACTTTGGTCGTGAGTTTTGCTGCATCGGCGAGGGTGGCGCCGATGAGGTTCGCGACGCGCGTGGAGGCGGCGATGGAGAGGGGGAATGGGATCATGAAGGTTATGCCGGTGAGCGTGGCCAGGACGGATTGGGCGGCGAGCACGGTGACGCCGAAGTAGGAGCTGGCGAAGGTCAGGATCTCAAAGGCGAGGACTTCGGCTTCGACCATGAGGAGGCCTGGGATCGCGAGTTTGATCATGGGAGACCAGTTCTTGAGCGCTTGGCGGGTGAAGCCGTTCCAGCAGCTCATGCCTTTGGCGCTGAAGAAGCGGACGTAGAGCCAGAGTCCTAATGGCAGGAGGTTGTCGGTGATGGCGACGGCGATCGGGGCGCCGATGAAGCCGAGCTTGAGGTGCCAGACGAAGAGCCAGTTGAGGAAGGCGTTGAAGGGGGCGCAGAAGAGGAGGACGTAGAGGGAGGCGGAGAAGAGGCCTTGAGCTTGCACGAAGCGTTTGCCGGCTTCGAAGGCGGCGTAGCCGGGGGCGCCTATCAATACGACGCGGAGGTAGAGGCCGGCTAGTTCGGCGACGGCGGGCTCGGGAACGATGACGAGGAGGATGTCTTCGGCTAGAATCCAGATGATGCCGATCGGGATGGTGATGGCCCAGAGGAAGTAGATCATTCGTTGCATCTGGAGGCCTACTAGCTTGCGGTGGCCGCTGCCGTATGCTTGTGCACAGAGTGTGTCGAGGGAGGTTGCGAGGCCTTGGTAGACGGCGTATCCGGTGATATTGGCAGTCATAGAGGCGAGAGACACTGCTCCAAGCTCTGGGGTGCCAATATGCCCGACCGTAAAGATTGAGGCTACTGTCAAGCTGTACTGCAGCAAGAACGTAGCCATCAATGGTAGAGAGTATGCTGACAGGACCTTTGCTTCTCTCCGCCACGTCGTCTGGATCTTGCCCTCCTTGACTGCCTCCTCCCATTTCTGCTTGATGGTGCTGGGGTCGTCTTGTCCTCCGTAAGGCAGTGTCGGGTCTCCCAGTAGCGGCGTCTGTTCGGCATGCTGTTCTTGAAGTCCTCCATCTTCTCTGGACGCCATGCGAGACAGAGATTTGGTGAAGGAGCTCTTGCGTCCCCCAACCTCGTCCATTCGTGGGTGTTTCGGCGGGATGAGAGCATTGTCCCGTAGCAAACTGCGCTCTTCTTCCAAAATTCTCTGCCTCTCCTCGCGCGGTATGCGGTCTCTAGCGCTCAAAGTCTGATATAAGCCCGGTCCGATGGCTGCTCTGCTGCCAGGTCCGCCAAAGCTCGAGCGCCGACGCGAAGCTGCCAACGAGTAGTCATTGCTAGTGGCCGGGGCAGATGCAGCAATGGGAGTCTGCACTTCATCTTCCTCGCTGTCTTCTTCTTCACTCCAGTCTTCGTCCCAGTCTTCGATATCTCTCTCTATCGATTCTTGCACAGCAGGTCCCGCGGCCCATGATCGACTGACAGATCGGCTCAGGCCTCCCAGACCGTTCGGCGGGGCGGTGGCATTGATGGGTCTTGGACGGGAAGGCATAGTACGGGTCAGGATATGGAAGCAGAGAGAGGAAAATAAAGAGACACGCCGACCTACCTTGCATATGAATTTGTCTTATCGTCCTTCACGCGCGACTAGTCGAGCTCTAGGCCCGGCGCGGTGAGTGAGGGGAGCAGGAAGCTAGAGAGTTCAAGTGCCTGCCTTGTTGGGTTATCCTAGCCGGGGTGGTGCTGCTGAGTCAAGTGTGATGATGAGTATGCCATATCGCTGCTTGTATTCCATCCATACTGAATGGTCTAGACGTTGAAGAGTGTGGTGTTGAAAGACAGACGGGACAGTCATCTCGTCCACGCCAGGCACTCCCCGCATATGAGCCTCACTTCACCCGACATCCACAACCCCCTCGAACTTTCCACAGCCTCGTGACACCTCAATCCAAGCCGCCAGTGCCTGGTGACTCTGCCTGTTCAACTACGCTGCCGGCGGACTACGACTGACCCTCCTACCTCATCAGAGCTGTACCATCAAGAGCGTCTCTGTGCATGCAACACGACCACCACCAGCAGTGCTCATAACCACCTCACCCGCTGTTCGCAACCCCTACCACACCATCAACATGGCCGCCGCCAACCGTAACCGCCGCCTGCAAAAGGAGATCCAAGACATCCACAAAGACACCGACAGCGGCATCAGCATGACCTCCCCGCAAGACTCGCCCGAAATCACCGACTTCACCCACCTCAAAGGCCACTTCGCCGGGCCCCCCGACACCCCCTACGAAGGCGGCCACTACGAGATCGACATCCGCATCACCGGCGAATACCCCTTCAAGCCGCCCGTGATGAAGTTCCTGACCAAGATCTGGCATCCGAACGTCAGCTCGCAGACCGGGGCGATTTGTCTGGATACTCTGGGCGCGCAGTGGAGTCCCGTGCTCACGCTGAAGAGCGCGCTGATTAGTCTGCAGAGTCTGCTTTCGAGTCCGGAGCCCAAGGATCCGCAGGATGCGGAGGTGGCGGGGATGTTGATCTCGCGGCCGGAGGAGTTTAAGCATGTGGCAAGGGAGTGGGCCCAGCGGTATGCGGGGGCGCCGAAGCCGCTGCCGGGGAGTGGGAAGACGGGGGCGAGTAGTTCGGGTGGGGATGGGGAGGCAGTGGGAGGGGCGCGGCAGACGAAGAAGGTGGAGGATAAGGAGGCGAAGAAGAGGGAGGAGCAGCGGAAGAGGGAGGCATATCATGGGTACAATCGGGCGATGATTGATCAGTTTACGGGGATGGGGTTCAGTACGGAGCAGGTGGTGGCGGCGTTTGAGTATGTGGGGATTGATAAGGCGGGCGGGGAGGAGTATGAGCTGGAGGAGGAGTACATTGGGGATGTGACGGCGAGGTTGTTTGGGGAGATGTGATTGAGTGTTGATGCAGGAGATGAGGAATGGCTTGCTGTGACATGTCGTCAATGAAGCATGAGTACATGATAATATTCACGGCGTAAATCCCGGTGCATGCATGAGCGATGGCGTCAGGGAGTGGTGTAGCTACGAGACTGCATGTGAATGAATGGTTACCTTATGTCTCAAATCTAAACGACGGTCCACCTGTTCACTGCTGCTCTGAGCATCTCATCTCCTCTCACGAATGTTTCATGGCCTCGCCTCTTTCTATTCTTGTGCTGTATGTCCATGTGCAGGCTGTCCCGGCATTGGTTGTCCCTGCGCTGGCTGGCCCTGCGCTGGCTGGCCCTGTGCTTGCTGGGGACCACCCACCACTTTCTTCAGCTCGGCCTCGATCGCGTAGAAAGCACGATAGATGCCCGCGTCTGCCACGATCCTCAGAGCTGTGAGCTGGTCATTTACTCGCGGATGAGCAGCGAATATTTCACGGTACTGCGAGTCCGCCATAATTTTCTGCCGAACCGCTGCCGCCCGGACGTGCAAGTCCGACACCCTCTCGAAGAAATCTCCATCTTGGTTTTCCACTCGCTGCTGTTTGATGGAAGATCCCGGTTGACTTCCTCCAGTCGATGAGCCTTGGGGTTGCGGCGGCTGTGGTGATCGATATGGTGTCACTAGTGCGCTGGTGACCCGTCGACCGGCACCTCCCAGTTCTGGCTGCGCCTGAGGTAGAGAAGCCCGGTATCGATGAGTCTGGTCCAGCTGGGCCTGAGCTGATTGTGTCTGAGGTGGCTGGTCTTCCACTCGCTGCCGTTTGCTGGAAGATCCCGGTTGGTTTCCTCCATTGGATAGGTCTTGGGGTTGCGACGGTTGCGGCTGTCGTAATTGTGTCATTGGTGCGCTGATGACCCGTCGACCGATCCCTCCCGGTCCTGTCCGAGCCTGAGGGAGATATTTCTCGATGAAAAACCGAGTCCGAGCCTTTATGTCTTGAGTTTATCGGGCCTGCGCAGATTGAGCCTGAGGTAGCTGATCCTGAGGCAACTGGGGCTGCCCTGTCTGAGCCTGTGGTGTTGCCTGGGCGTTCATGCGCTGAAGATGGTATTGGGCCAGAGGAAGCTGAGCTTCAGGCGACCGAGCTTGGGGTGGTTGTGCTTGAGATATTTGTGCTTGAGGCAGCTGAGCCTGATGTGTTCGAGCTGGAGGTATTTGGGCTTCAGGTAGACGAGCTTGAGGTGGTTGCGCTTGAGGTCGCTGGGCTTGTTTTGTCTGGACCTCTGGCGCCTTTTCTAGACTCGAGGCAGTAGGACTCGCCGGCAGCGAGGATCCATACTTAGCTTTGTAGCGCTCATCCTTCAGCCTGATTGCTTCCCTGGCGGATTTTGCACCCTCCTCGCGATGTCTGGTATAGGCAAGAAACACTTCCCCGCGACACTCGTCTACCAAACGACGCCCTTCAGCAGCTCCCGCGGTTACCATTCGGCCGATCTCGTCTGCCAAATCCTTGCATTCTTCCGCCCATGCGAGATAGTCGCATGCTACATTTTTCGATGAGGCGAGAACGACGCATGCCCTCGCGCGAGAGGTGAGCGGGGCCGATGCATCATTCGCAGTCCTGCGTGCAACGCTGCATGCCGCCTTGAAGTCTTCGTACTCGCAGTATTCTCTCATCTGCGAGTTTGTCAATGTGGTGCGCTGTGCGCTGAGGATGACCCCACGGAACATACTACTTTGTCACGGTCATCCTAGTGCCGCTGTCTGTCGGCTTCGTCGTAAAGCGAGTCACCGGCGATCGATGCGTCGGACGGGGTGGACATTCTGGGGGTGAAGGAAGTGGTAATATGCGAATGACAAAGGGTGGCGAAGAAGGAAGAATGGTATAGACTTTGCAGAATGGTGATGCTGCTGGAGGAGATACTGCGTGAGAAGAGTGATGCGAAGGAAGTCAGGACGTGAGGTTGAAGGAAGACCGCTCGCTCGCCCGCCAACGCACCTACCTGTTGCCGTGCACGTGGGCGTGCCTTCTTCACTTCACTTCGTGGGCGAGCTTATCCCAACCTCACCTCCTGAATCCAGATGTCTTGGCGTTGCCTTCTTTTGCCTTGCTCGGTGCGGTGGTGATGTTGGTACGTATCTTTCCTGTATTTGTCCTGACGTGTACGCACCAGCGATCCCGCCTACATCTCTGTTGGCTGCCAGCGCTGGGGCGCGTCCAGAGCTCGCTGCAACCCATCGCTTCGCCCTTGGGTTGCCTACATCGTCGATTTCACATGGTCTCTTCATCTTTCCCATTGGTAAAAGGCTCGACCTATTTCATTGTCCGAAAGCTGGCTATTCCAGGGGCTCGATATCATTCTCCTAAGCAAGAGCTGTTTGACTGTATGTACCATATGAGGCCTTACACAATCCGAGGGTCTGACGACAATAAGAATGAATCTAGTCTCGAATGTGTTTTTCCTTTCTTTTATTTGATCCTGTTTGACTTCATCCTGGTCGTGAGAATTGGGAGTGGAAGATTGAAGTCGTCGGGCTGAAAGGACGGCCGTTGTGGGAACAAAGTTCTTCCATCAGCGTGGACTTCCCATGCCTAATCGAGGTTATCTCGATCAATTCGATCGCTCTCCAAGCGTCTGCTCGTTCTCCTGGTCTTTGCGCTTGTGAAGAGCTGTGGTAAAAGGCTATGGAGGAATGGTTGGGCCGCGGTCCGAATTTTGGCTTCCCGCCAATGCCTCAACTTCAAAACAACACCGATATCAAGCATATGAGCAAAAGAACAGATGAAAGAGCAAAAGAACGAACTGTTGCGTGGTCGGGGAATCGAACTCCGGCCTCGAGCATGGGAAGCTGTTATGGAAGTTAGTTCCTGTTGAACTACTACCGGTATTGAAGTGTGCGGACCTCGAATTCTACCTTTGAGAGAGTTAGCATTTGAACAGTCTTTGGAGACGTGGGCGCCTGCTTACCACTAAACTAACCACGCGGCTTCTCATTGGCTAATTAACACGTCAAATTCACTTATAAAAATATATAATAAGCACAACCAATTCCTCCGACTGTGTAGCTCACGACAACGTGGAAGACGCACGGTATGCTACGATACAAGCAGACGGATGCATTATGGGTTGAGCAACCATTGTACGAGCGGGGCAACGGCATCTGATCAGATCTCTCACGCCCATCATGACCTGTGTGGAGGAACATGGTTTGGACCTTGACAACGGGCTTTTGAGTGTAATGTGGGATGGTAGAGTGAGACTGCCATTGGAGTCATCCTGCGCATGCTTGCAGAGTACCATCTATTGTGTTCCATCTGTATGGTTGACATAGTCCTTGCCGATCAACACCGTTCCAACATCGAGAACAATAGGTCTTCTTGATCCTGCGATGAGCTAGGAAACCCCATCATCGTAATATTTCCAGACCCTATGGCGTCCCAGATAGGAGCTCGGCCAGTCTTGAAGATCTACTCGCTGCTATGGCTGGCTTAATATCATTGCACCGGTGGGAGTAGTTAATTCGGATTTTAGTCTCGGATTTGTCGGACTTCGCGGAGCCGAGCACGCGCTCTGTGTCTGACTACACCTGTCGCGTCGCTACCTCTACAATCACGACGCCGAGTGCGGGATAACGCTGAAAGCAGTGGTGTCTCAAACTGGCTGCGCTTAACATGAAATCTGACCGGGCCTCAATCTGATAAGATTCAAACTCCTGCCTTGTGCTCAACAAAAGATATGATTCGACTCGGCAACCGTCCTGCAGACCGGAATCATGCCACAGGACCATCTTCTACCAGACCTGAACTCAGCCCGTCGCACACTTTCGCCGGAGCCCACCGGCGGCAGCGAACGTAAACGACGCCGAAAAGTCCTTTCCTGCTATGACTGCCGCCGCCGGAAGCTGCAATGCGATCGGGCCATGCCGGCTTGCTCTCGTTGCACCAAGGCCGGTCAAGCAGCCGACTGTCTATACATCGACGATGCTACAGACTTGCCAGTACGACATGCCGACTCAGCAGCACTCGCAAATGCCGAGTTTTCGAGAGGTCCGTTCGAGGGCCACCAAACGAGGCCCATTCAGGCCCCTGCTCCAACGACTGTTGATACGCTTTCGAGGCTGGAGTACCAGGACAGGCGGATCAAGCAACTGGAAACGGCCCTGATCCAATCAACTCAACTTCCGTCTCAGCCATTCCTACATCAACCGAAAGCATCGAAATTCCCACTCACCCCTGAATCGCCCGGAGCAATCGTCGAACAATCTAGCGGCCCTTTGAACATCACCGACCGCGAGACCATGCTCCTGCGTGGCAAGTCCTTCAAGACGCAATTCCACGGCATCACTCATCCAGGTTCGTTGATCGCCTACATTCCGGAGCTCAGCGCCTTCACCAAGGAGACTTTCGAACGAATACCTGCTCTACTCAGGATCCGTCAGGATATGAAACAGCTTGAGGACAGAACTCCGTACGCTGCGTCTTTGTCTCGGCAAATAACAGATGCGGACCTGAAGGCCCAACTGACATCGAGAGCGGAAGTCGATCAACTAGTGCAGCTGTATCTGGACAACTACGACAACATCTACCACATCATCCATCTGCCCAGCTTCCGCCGAGAGTACAACGACTGGTGGACCCATCCTCAGCAAGCGAAGGGATCATTCGTAGCTCTGATCGTCCTGATGACAGCAACCGCGCAGTGTCTCCAACCCACTGAACCATGGCTGTATACGGCCAACAGCTCGACGGCACGGGAGCGAGCAATTTCAGCGATCCACCTATGCGAACGATGGCTTGAAGGGACTAGCCAGAAGCATGTCTCCTGCGTTGATTTCCAGATCCGCTTTCTAATGAACCTGGCAAGACTTGTCAACGCTCACAAATTCAAACGTACCTGGACAGACGCCGGCACCATGATCCGCTTCTTCATGGCGGCGGGATTACATCGCAGTCCTGACCTTCTACGAAAGCCTACATCCGCCCTCGACAAGGAGATGAGGCGTCGATTATGGGCAGCAGCATCAGAGTTTGAGCTTCAAGCAGCGTTCGGACGAGGCATGATATCTGCACCCTTCCCACAGCAAAGCGACTGCCCCCCACCCAGCAACATCCACGACGAAGATATCACATCGGAATCCGAACCCCTTCCACCTCCCAGACCATCCCACGACTTCACCAACTCCTCCTACATGGTCTTCGCCGCCGACAGCTTCTCCCTCCGCTACACCCTCAACACCGTCCTCAACAACATCCGCCAAACCATCTCCTTCGACGACGCCAAACGCTACACCGAAGAAATCGAATCCCACCTCTCCTCCCTCCCCAACTGGATCGGCACCAGCTCAGAGCCCCCCCGCGCCCTCCTCTCCATCACCCTCCGCCAATACATCCTCGTCCTGCACGACCGCCAGTTCCGCCAGGCCAAATCCCAATACGAGCGCGACTTCTCCAAACTGACCCTCCTCACCACCGCGAGCAAAATCATCTCTACGCATAAAGACCTCGTGAGTCGAGGCTGTCGCGCCCTGCAACTCCTGTGTCAAGACCAACTCCGCGCCGCGCTATCCGTCTGCCACATCGCCTCCACGCCTGACCCAAGCGCCGACGCTCTGTTGACGAACATGATCGCGACGAATGCCGCGACCATCATCAACGACACCGCCGACAACCTCACGGACAAAATCACGCGCTACGGTCGCGAGCAGCGACAACTCTGGATTGTTCTTGCGGCCAACGGGTTCATGAAAGCGAAACGCGATCCTGACTCCCGACTGCTGTACATGCAGGAAGCGGTGGATAAGATCATCCGGCCTTATTACAAGATCATGGCGTGTCAGGAAGAGACCCCCACGACGATCGCGGGGGACGGGGTGGTGGTGAGAGAGGAGAGGCGGATGGAGATGCCGAATGGAATGAACGAATATCTGCCGGATCATGCGAACGGGCAGGCGGGAGAGACTGGGGGTGGGGAGATGGGGGTGTTGGGTTTTGAGGATTTGGCGCAGTGGACTTTTGAGGATTGGGGGTTTGATGGGGTGGAGTTGGGGGGGATGGAGGGGTTGGGGTGAGTGGGCAGTCATCAAGGAGGAAAGAAATAGAGCGAGGAGGGGGTGAGAAGGGAGGTGTGGAGTGGTGGATGTTGATATACCCCATTTTGCTTGACGGGCCACGAGTGAGCTCTTGTCGCTGAGTATACATTCCCTTGCAGCCATCTTATGCTGTTGCGCGACACTGCACTGCTTCCTCCATTCGCAACCTCCGCAAGATACGTTAGGTACGAGCACGACTGCTGCCGCCGGTAGCGCTGCTCACCGTCGATTCGAGAGCACTCCCTCCAGTCCCAAGAAGTGCGCGAGGCGAAGGCGAACTAACGCCGTCGTTCTCAATTCGGTCCATCGATTCGTGCTGGTGTTGGCCGAGACGTCCGGAGTGGAGACGTCGTTTCAGGCCGCCGCCGTCGAGTTGCATACCCGTTTGCATGGCTTCGGTCAAGCGCCCGGCTCAATGTAAGATGCAGTCACAACATAGTTTTGAGTCGAGTGTCCATTCTAGGATTGACTTTCATCCTCGGTCATCGCTCTGTATTCGATGTCTCGTCGTCGAGAGCGTCCAGCGCTGAGTCGTGGCGGATGACTGAACTCTGCTCCGAAGAATTGTCGTCGAGGTCGTGCTTTAATTGCGAGGAGCTATCGCAACAGTGTTCGTGGCTGAAGCCAATAGAAGTGCCAGTGTTGTCCTCGTCTTCGTAAGCGAGCAAGAGGCGAAGCTCGTGGACAGTAAGAAGAGTGGTCGACATCTTGAATTGATTGAGATGTTCAAGTAGAAGTGTATGAACAGGACGATGGTGTTCTTGTGCAGCTTAAAACGCTGGGTACATACAGATATATATACATCTACTCCCACCCCATGACTGAAGTGCCCCCGGAACCCGCGCGTGCCGCGGACTCACCGGACAGGGCGTGGGAGAACCAAAAAGGACCCGGATCCATGCCAATCCAGGGCCCGAATCTGGCCGCTTTCGAACATCAGACCGGAGTTTTGTCTCTGAAGCCGCTCCGCTAGTGTCGTCCGAGAGGAATCCTTTTGCTCCGTCGGACAACGCAGTCATCGGACCTAAGGTAGCCTTCCAGAAAATGTCGCCCTCGAGTTCTGACTCTGTGACTGGCACCTTGTGGGAGTGATGCAACACTGTTCTGATTTGTACATTTGCGTTCGTTGGTGGAGGATCTGCTTCCGCGCTTGGGTCACTCCAGTACGACTTCCATAAGGACGCCGTTTGAATAGATTGTGCCAATTAATCCACCATCTTGCCCTGGAAAGGCATTCCTATAGCTCGCAGCAGCAATCGCGCGTCCCGGTCTGTTCGCGCGCTGGTGTGAACAATGACGTGGCAGCCAGGAATCATCCTCGGAGGGTACCTTTCATCTCAAGTCAGCAATTTACATCCCGACCATCGTCTCATGTCAGAACTCACATATCATAATTCACCTCCACCTCTGGAAACAACGCAACCTCCTCATTCGACAGCCCAAACGCCAGATTGCCTGAGTTGTCGCCAGTGCTTCCCTTCACGCCCTTAAAATCTTTCATCTTCGGCATCACCACATCCACCGTCTTGCTCAAGAAATGGTACATGGCTTCGCCTTCCAAGTCGCACGTCACACTCAAGTACTGCCCCGCCCTCACCCCAAAGCCCTGCACATTCGTCACGGTCTTGTGAGCCGTCGCGCGCACACCCGTGATCGCCTGCATGACCATCCCAGCGATATGCAAATGCGCGCTATCGTCAATAGCACCCTTCACCATTGTGTGCACCGTGACGCGCTCCAGCTTCGGCACATTGCGGAACGTGATAGGGTTCCTCAACAATCTCAACACCTGCCCACCCCTAGGCCCCCGACGAGGACGGTTCTTGAAGTACGGGTTATCGCCAACCCAGCTGCGCAAACGCTCGCCTTTTTTCGGTGCGACGAAGCCGGGCGGGAAGTGGGTGTAGGTCATGGTCATGAGGTCGGGCTCGATGGTGGAGCGGTAGGTCTGTTCGAGGCGGGGGAGGGAGAAGGGGCCGGGGACGAAGAGGCGGGAGGAGGGGTCGGAGGGGCGCGGGGGTTGATGGGGGTGTAGGGGGCCGCGGTAGTAACGGGGAGGGCGGAATTGGTATCTGATGGAATATACATTAGCAAGGAATTGCGAGATCGGGCCGGTTGCTGTTATACCTGCTGGATGGGAGCTGCTTCTCTCGTTTACGCGCTTTGGCGACTGGGTCAAACTCGCGCTCCGATACCGTCTCGTCCTGGAGGAAGTCGGTGGTCTCCATGGACTGCGTCTCCTGGGAAGAGCCCGTCGAGGCGTATCGCCGGCATTGCTGCGTCCAGGCCAAGTTGACGGGTTTGCGCGAGGCCTGGCACCGCCTCAAGAAGGCCTTTGTGACCTCTTGAAGTGCCATGTTGATGGTGGTGATGTGGTATGGAGTTGATGGAGACGCTTGAATCTGAAAGCTCTTTCCCAATCGAGCAGGCTTCCGCTAATCGGCGCTAGCAGCCCCGAAGCTCGGCGGTGACAGGGGACCCTGCGTCTTAAGCGAACAGCCCACGTGAAGGGTACATGTAGCAGTGGTGGGGGTGTTCGAGACTCGGTCGTCTTTTCTCTTGCTACAATGCTACATCAAAAAGACTTATGTTGCAGTCTCCTGCTCGACAAACTGTCTTGCTGTACATACACATTCGAAGAACATACAACAGCCGAGGTCCAACAACAAGCTAAGGCGACCCAAGACAGCTGAAGAGACAGACCGACGCCTAAGCCGAAGCGCACAAGAGGCAGCAACTGCTAGAACACTGCAGAAGTCGGTCCTCCCCTCGAAAAGACAACAGATGGATCTGAGATAGGACGAATAACAGCAACGACCGCACAATGAGCGGGGTCCGTCGGTTCCTGAGCCGACGAGACAAGAGCCCCGGGCAACACCACCGCCTGCACCACCACCACCCGCCGGACAAGCACAACACCCAAGTATGTCTCCTCCACGCATTCCTTAGTCGCCGGCATGTTTGCCCCCTTCACCCGCGCCCGCTTGCGCGTCTTGTGCCAGAAGCGCAGCAAACCCTCCCACAGCCCACCTGCCCACGACGAGCAACGAGAGCCGCTGTCGAAGCGTCGCAGTTGTTCGGTGGCGTGGTCGAGTGTTGGAACATTGCTCGCCGCTGTCAATGGCGCTCCGCTCTATCTTATACCGATTGTGGATCTGCTTGTTTTCATTCTTAGAGAGACACAACCAGCTAACAGACACTTCTCAGCCCGAGCGCAAACCTCACCAGCCCGACCACTTCGAAGGAGTCTTTACTCCCCCCCACCACGATCCTCCGAAGAAGACCGATAAAGAAGAGGAGAAGAAGGTGAAAGCCATCATCGAGCGGTTACGGCACTATGGCATCGACAGTATCGTTGAAGCGAACGTCGAGTATGCGCTGCACTCGCAATCACCGCAAGGTGACCCGGAGGCGGCCTTTCGCATGTTGATGATGTTGGAGGATACCTACGAGGGAATCATACGGCCGTACGATCCAAACGTGAAACTACTCGGTGCGGTCAATCGAGGAGCAACGACCTGCTATTTGGATGCTTTACTGTTTGCCATGTTCGCGAGACTGGACAGCTTTGAGGCTATACTGTATGAGAACTTTGAGGATGCGAAGCGGAAACGGCTGGCAGGGCTGCTGCGGCTTTGGGTGAACATGCTGCGAACGGGTCGCTTGATCACAGTCGATATCACGGCGCATCTCCAACATGCGCTGGTGGAGTGTGGCTGGGCGGATGCTGGCCTGCATCGGCAACAAGATCCTTCAGAGGCGTTTGGCTTCATCACTGGTCAACTGGAGCTGCCCATGCTTACGTTGAAAATGGACATGTATCATACCGGAAAAGAAGACCCAACGGACGACCACAAATTCATCAACGAGCGGCTACTGGAGGTTGCACTTTTGGACGAGCCGGCTGAAGGTCGGGATGTCATCACTCTAGAGGACTGCCTGGAACACTACTTCAACAACCGCATCGAAGTCAAACGACATATGGAGAGCCAGAGACGGAATACGCTGAAGTCGGCCAACTTCGCCGAAAACCCTACGAAAGTGGAGAAGGAGTCTGGGGCGCATGTTGAGGTCCTCGAAATCCCTGGAACACCCATTGCTCAAAGCCCAAACCCACTCACGCCTCTCCCCGAGACGCCTCTCCACCAGACCAAAGTCGAACAGCTGCGGCCATCGCTGGCTCGGAAGCGAGCAGATAGCATCTTCAGTCAGCGCAAGGTCGAGCTCACCGGCATTGACCCGGAAGATCTTAAGCGCCACGACACTAACACGTCCGTGGATACCAGAGGTAGGAAACTGAGTACACGGACAGAGGTGTTGATGCCCGCCTGGCAGTTTTTCAAGCTGTTACCCTGGTACACCGATCACATGCCCACTTCTGACGCGCAAGTGGCGGCTCACTTTTCGAAGAAGCGGCCGGTTCTGGGAATTTGCTTGAAGCGATATTCTTACACAAACGAAGGCCAAGCCAGACGACGAGACACCTACGTCGACATACCTCTTGAGATTGCTGTCCCGGATTTCGTCAGTGACGACGCGATGCCTGATCAAGATCCGCTCGTTGGCAATTTCCGTCTCATGCTGCAGTCGGTAGTCTGCCATCGAGGTGTTTCGGTGCACTCAGGCCACTACGTCTGCTTAGCAAGAGGTCGCGTGGGCACTGGACTGGCAACTCAATCTTCGGCCGACGAGCGACGGAATAGTAATGCGAGCGAGGATAACGATGACCCGTGGATGCGATTCGACGACTTGGCACCCGAGCGGACAACGCCCGTCGACATTCACGAAGCACTTCGACAGGAGACGCCGTATCTGCTCTTCTACCAGGTCGTGCCGATTAGTGACGACGGCCATTCGATCCATGACCTGCCGAGCTACACGGAGGCGACGTCGCGCTCCCAGTCTGATGCTACGACGCTGGAGAAACCGTTCGCATTCCAGGCCAATGAGTCCGCTCACCACCTGGAACAGGTCAAATCCGAGCCGACCTCAGTGGTGCATGCCTCAACCGATGTACTGGACTTCACCTCAACCTCCGAACGAACCTCTCTTGATGCAAGCACCATGTTGGACGACCCACGCGGCCGCTCCGAAGCCTCTGGACGCGGCGAAGGACGACACCAAAGCATCACCTTCGACACCTCCAGCGTGTCCGGCAGCATCTCGACGGCGACAGATGCAGCGACCAACTCCGTCCCCACCACGCCTTCCGAAGAGAAGAGCAACAGCTTCCTCGCCGTCGCCAACAAACTCAGCAATTCAAGAAGAGGTAGCCGAAACTCGAAAGCCAGCGGATCAGCGAAGTCGAGGCCTACAAGTACCGGGCCTGATACCAGCGGGAATAGGTTTAGTCTCAATATGTCGAAGTTGACGCAGATCATGAGCAACAACACCGGTAGCCACAGTAGTAAAGGCGAGGGTAGTTCGGCTGAAGAACCGCCGCTGCAAGCGCCATCCGAGCACGGTTCGACTGATCTAGGAGGGCCGAAGGATACCATAGACGGCGCGTCTGAAGCCAGTCATCCCGTCCCATCAGCGACTGAACCTGCCCCTTCTATCCCGAAGACAGACTCGAACGCCAGCAAAGAGAACGTCTCCATCCCAGCTACTCGACCCGTCAAACCTACCGTCGCTATCCCCGCCCCAGCTCCTGCACCGGCAAAGTCGAAGAAGGAAAAGGAGAGGGAGAAGCATGCGGCGAAGCACGCGCATGCGCATGGAAAGGCTGGGAAGAAGGGGGAGGATCGGGATTGCGTTGTTATGTGAATATGGGATATGAGCGATAGGTTAATGAGGATGGGTGTGGTGTTTGGGCATGCTTGGATTTGGACAGGGGCTTCGAGCGTTCTGTTGGGTTGGCATGTGTGGGCTTGCATGGCGCTTTGGGTTCGTAGGGTTGGTGGCATGAGCGAGTTGGAGCCATGGTCGACGTTTCTGTGCTTTGGCCCTATTTCACAGACTGCACAGGCAGAAGGGGAGGTAAACGGGAGGTAGATGTACATACGTGTATGTATTGCACCATCACTTGCATTGAAGTGGACTCTCCACACTCGCCACGGTGAGAGACTCTACGGTGCTTGCTCTTGATTGCCAGGATTTCTTGAGTGAGTTGCTGCTATCAGCTGGAAACGCACGGATAACACCGCCTTCGCTACTCCTCCCTGGACCGCGCGCCGAGATGGCTACCAGCAAAAACGCTCTCCGTGGGTTGTGCATCCGTGGGTCGGCGAGCTGCAAATGCACTGCGCTGCGTCTTTGTGTGCTTTGGAAACGCGACGGACTTTCCTTCCTTCAGGATGTCACGGGATAGGCATTACACCGGCAACAAGGGCCAAAGAAGTTCCTGGCTCGCGGCCGGAAACGCATGAAGCGCATCTTTCCCTCCAGTGAAGACGTATCGAGCAGCTTGAGCTTTCGCAAGGCAGATCTGAATGGGAAGAAGGCAGCAACCTTTGTACGGAAATGCGAAGATCGATGGGAAGTATAGGACTCCAACAACCTGCCGTTGTCAAGTGAATTTTGTAAAGACACAGCGGCATAGCCTACTCCTTTGGGTCGTACGCTACTGCCTCGATCTCCACCATCATCTCCGACAACCCCAGAGCTTCCACGCCCACCGCAGTCCATATAGGACAGTAGTCCGGAAACCACTTTGCAAGCGCCTTAGTCATGATCTCCATCGTCTCCGGTGTGGCCGACAACCGCGCATGATAAGAGCTGATGCGGTAAACCTGCGAGATGCCGTTGCCGCCTGCCGCTCGCATCGCTAAGTCGATGTTGCTGAACGCCTGATCGATCTGCTCCTCCAAGCTGTCGGAGAGGGTCGGTGGGAGTGTGTTGGCTTTCCAGCCGCCTAATGCAGATCATTAGCTTGCTTTCCTCCTGTTTGGGATATGGTGAAGTCTACCTTGACCTGAGATCTCAACCCTGTCGCCGATTCTGACTGCTTGACTGAAGTGGAGGTTCTCTTTGGCATACTGGCCAAACCCCTCGTAAACATGGAAAGTGACGGCCGGCATGGTGAATGTTCGATCGAAGACAACCGAGCGTGGTTTTGAGGAGTAGTGCTGTCGTGCGAGAGATGTGTGACCGGACCGATGAGATCGTGGAACACCATAAAGATCATATATTGGCCTGCCATAATTGCTGTGAGCGCCATGTCGCGGTTCACCAAGATACTTGGCGTTGGTATCTGAAGCACGTTTCCCGCGGAAAGTCCTGTATACCAAGTGTATCCGGCGAACCTGTATCGGTGAAGATTTGCCGCGGCGTACTGATTGCCCAGCTTGATAGCTGTAGTTCTAGCCCTGCTGATAACACCCATCGCCAAGAGAGTGATATTTCGGAGGCTTGTATGCTCAGCGTACAGGTATAAGACCGCGCTCACGAAACGGAAGATGTCCACTTCCGGATCAGTTGTAGTTTCGATAAGTCAATCCTTCGTTGGTCACCTCAGCAGCACAGATCGTCGGCATGACAGATATCACCGGCAAGCCGACCGGTGGTGATGCTAATAGCGTTGAGGTCAGTATGGAAAAGCCTGCGAACAATGCGAGTGGAGAGGCGGTCGATGTGTATGGCGATGTGCAGACAGCCCAAGAGTTTGGCTACGTCCAGAGAGGGTACGTCGACTGCGGTCTGTTGTCCTCTTTTTCACATGCTAAGACTTCTCCTCGCAGGCTCAAGTCCCGTCACATCCAGTTCATTGCCATCGGAGGCAGCATTGGTACCGGGCTGTTCCTAGGTATTGGCGGAGCCTTTCTAAAAGCAGGCCCGCTTTCAGTGCTCCTCGGCTTCTCCATCACAGGTGTTGCAGTCTACTGCATGATGACCTGTCTGGGAGAGATGACGACTTGGTTGCCGCTACCTGGAGCCATTCCTCAGTACTGTGCCCGCTACGTCGATCCGGCGATGGGTTTCGCGGTAGGCTGGAACATCTGGTACCTTTCCAGTATCGCCGTGTGCGCCGAGATCATTGCCGCAACCGTCCTCATCCAGTTCTGGGACAGTGCCATCAGTCCCGCAGTCTGGATCAGCATTCTGATCGCCCTCATCCTCGTGCTCAACATTTTTGCGGTCTCCATATACGGCGAGGCTGAGTTCGTCTTCGCGTCGATAAAGATTCTTGCAATCATCGGCTTGCTTCTCATGTCCTTCATTGTCAACCTTGGCGGCAGTCCGACTGGTGATCGTCTGGGCTTCCGCTATTGGTACGATCCGGGTCCTCCGATGAAAGAAGTGGTGGCTACCGGCGATGCTGGACGATTTCTGGGTCTGATCTCCACGTTGATATTCGCCGCGTTTTCGTACGGAGGGGTTGAGATGGTCGCGACGGCGGCAGGCGAGGCTGTCGATCCCAGGAAGAACATGCCTCGAGCCATCAAGCGACTGATCTGGCGGATCATCATCTTCTACGTCCTGGGCTCCCTTGCGATTGGCACACTCGTTCGCTCCGACGACGAGCAGCTTGGTGGCGCCTCGCCCTGGGTCCTTGCTGCATACAATGCGCAGATCCCAGTGCTGCCCAGCATTATCAACGCAGTGATCGTCAGCTCGGCCGCCTCTTCCGCGAACGCCTCCTTGTTCGTAGGCTCAAGATATCTCTTCGGCCTTGCGCAGAACAAGCAAGCACCTCGCATCTTCCTCAAGTGCACCAAATCCGGAATTCCGATCTACGGCGTCGGATTTACAGCCATCTGGAGCGGGTTGGCATACATGTGCCTATCCGCCGAGTCGACGACAGTGTTCGGCTGGTTCATCAGTCTCGGGACGGTCGCTGTGCTGTTCACATGGTGCAGCATCTGTGTCGCCTATCTGCGCTTCCGGCAAGCTCTGGTACGTCAGAACGTCGACCGGGCCAATCTCCCATACAAGTCTCGGTTCCAGCCATGGGCGGCGTGGTTCCCCCTGTGCTACTTTGGTGCCATCATCCTGCTTAACGGGTGGGAAGTCTTCACGAAAGATCGATGGTCGGTCGAGATCTTTCTCACTTCCTACATTGGCATTCCAATCTACTTTGGGACATATCTGCTGTGGAAGGTGTGGAAGCGAACGTCGCTCGTCGATCCTGCGGAGGCGGATATCTGGTCTGGCAAGGCGGCCTTGGATGCGATGGAATGGCCGGAGAGAATTTCACGCAATATGGTAGAGCGGTTGTGGAACAAGATCGTCTGAATATGAATCGCTATGGTGGCAAAGATGGAGTGGCCGTCGCTTGGGGATAACCTCAATAGTGAACAGTCTCATGTAAAGCTGTGAAGTCGATCCCTTCCAGGAGAGACAGCTCCCAGTCTGCAAGGGCTGGATCCATAGTATTGCATGCAAGCTCGACTTTGTCAATGAGATCACCACAGTTCGAGAGGCAGTTGTCAGCAATGTCAAAATCGTACAAACGACGGTATGATGCCAGAGTATCAACCATCGTTCGCGCAAACTTGAGCGACGGATTGCGCATAGATCCTCTGGATCTCAGAGCAGTTCGCATGAGAAAGGTCGTTGCTGAAGTGAGAGAGTGTGCGGTCGGTGGAAGCCAGAAGCCACCAATGCTCGCTTCATCTAATTCTTGGACAAAGTCGACAATATCTTCACAAACCCTTCGAGCTTGGACGTAATGCCTGGAGCTGATATCGTCTCTGCAAACACTATTATCCCAGTCGAGCTGAACGCGGCAGATGAGTAGTTTCACCGACAAGTAGGCGAGCCGGAGGTTTGCAGTACCATGTCCGCTGAGTCTTATCCCTCGTATGATAGGCCGACGAAGATCATCGGGCAATGAGTCTTCCCAGATGACCAAAAGGCTGTCCAGATCAGAACAGACCTCTTCTGTGTTAGGACCGCCACCGCTCAGATGGTAGACGTGTTCGAGACCGTGCACGAGCACTTGGGTCAGTGCTATCAGCGACACAAAGCAGGAGGCACCAGCAGTATGCTCGTTGGATGCACTCGGACCGACGATGTCTTCTGTAGTCGGCGTTGGGACGTCGTAGTGTGAGCGTCGAATGCGGTGCGGCGTGCCGTACGCCCAGCTGGACCTGCCGTCATTGTTGGTATGCTGCGGAGATGGTTGGGAGGAAACATCGTTGAGAATGTTGCTTACCAGACATCATAAATGACCAGCAGCCACCATATCCTGATCCTGAACCGCTTCTCGTATGGCGACAGATTCCAAGGCGAGGGATCGCGGTTCAAGCCAGCTGAGTTTGCCAAAGCGACGGCCATGCCCAAAAGAACCCCGTTCCCCAGGTAGTGGCTACTTGGTCGGCCGCAGAGGTTGAGTATGATTGACAGTATCATGGAGATACCGGGCGTTGATTTCCACTCTGCGTTCAAGGCGTCTTCGGCGTGTAACCAAGCGCTCCGCTGTTCTGGGGCGGGAACTGTCATCAGTCGCTCTGACGATTTCCAGTAAGTCATGGCATTGCCATAGACGTAGCATAGCAGACTTGGCGACATGCTGTCCTTACTGGCCGTAAAGACTCTCTGGAACATAAACTCATCGAAGACGGGAAAACAGATGTTGACCTTGGAGAAGAATCTGTCGTCTTGGTGAGTTGAAGTCCCTAAAGAAGGTGGCTAGGGAAGAGCTCACAGGTCAACAAGGTCCTGCTGGTAAGGCGCCACGAGCTCCTCAAGTCCTTTCAAGTGTGACTGCGCAAGCAGGCGGCTCTCCGCCTCTCTTTGACCACGCTTTGGGACTATGTTGAACAGTATCGGCCGCGCTTCCGGCATGGAATCACCCATTGTTGGGTGGGATCGAATCATGCGCCTGTTGCGGTTGGACGGCTCGTTCGAGAGGTATTCTTGGAACACCCTATCGTCATCGGCAATGGCAGGACTTACCACGTGGGCGCTGCCTTCTTCAGGCGCGACAACCATGTCTGTCACGGCAGAACCTGAGCCATCGCAACTGCCAGTCGGCATGATCGACCCACTGCCATGGTCCGTGAAGACTTCGTTCGCTGCCGTAGATCTCATCATCCCGGGGACAGTGTAAGACTGCAGCATGCGATGACATTCGGCAGGCGAGGCTGATGAAGGCGGCCTTGGCCTGGCCACAAGGTCAGGTGTAGATTCAGTAGTCGGTCTGACACTATGAGAGTCCTGTTGCAAGACCAAAGGATGCTTATGCCGCCGGCGCCGCCTCTCTCCAGCCGGTGGGTATGCACAGGTGGTGCTGTATGTCTGGCACATGACACAAGAAGGTTGGGCAGGTTTCGTGATGCATCTCGATTTCCGCGTTCGGCATGGAAGGCAGGCCGGCTGGAGATGAGATCGATACGGCCGACCACCAACAGTCTGACGCTCTGGGTCGCCTGGCTCAGAGCTCATGTTCGAAGATCCTCCACACGGACGACTTCGCCGGTGACACTTCGCTATGGCAGGGTATGGGATCTGAAAGCTCCCGTATCACGTTTGATAGGCCAGGCGTAGTTCCAGTGAACGCTGCGAACGAGATGTTCCAATGCTGCTCGTACAGGACTCTCACCGGCACCCCATCGCGGCAATACGACTTGCCGTAGTGGTAGAAGATAGAGTATCTGCAAAGTTTTCCTGGGAGGCCAGCCATCCCCGCCGTGAACGGCGTAATCATGATGAACGGCTTTCGCCTGACATGGGAGACGCCTGCGGTGTGTCTGACTCGCGACTGATATGAATGCGAGGCAAGATAAGGTAGCCTGCCTTGGCTGAGTTTCCCGCGGGGACGGTCGACTTGGCTGAGATGGAACTGAAGTAGCTAGTTCGCCGGTACACAGCAGTACAAGCCAATCCAACACTATCCGGAGAATGTGAGTTCCTGCGAAGACGAGTGTGTACTGCACTTTTCCCGTGCACGGAACGATGGACGCTTTCTCGCTTATATATCAAACTGTAGCCCACCATGGGTCTTGCAATCTCAAGCCCTCTCAAACAACACCAAAGGCAACATGGGCTCCATGGGATACGACACCAATGCCTTCTGGGCGCGTGCATCAGAATATCTCATGAACACCGGCATGCCATACTGGCCGAGCATTGTGAAGAAGGCCAAAGGCACAATTTTACACGATGTGCATGGCCAGAGGTTGCTGGACTTCACATCTGGCCAGATGAGCTCACTTCTGGGCCACGGTCATCCCGAAATTGTCGAAGTCGTCACAAAGTACGCTGGAGAGCTCGATCACCTCATGAGTCTGATGGTCTCCGAGCCGGTGGTCGACTTTGCTGAGGCTCTCGGAAAGATCCTTCCACCACCGCTCAAGAAGTCGTTCCTCCTTTCCACCGGATCCGAGTCGGTGGAAGCGGCTATGAAGATAGCCAAGTGCGCCACTGGGAAGTTCGAGATTGTAGCATTTTCAGCGAGCTATCATGGTATGACTGGCGGAAGTTCCTCTGCCACATATGCATTTGGTCGAAAGGGTGGAGGTCCCACCATGCCAGGACAATTGGCTTTCCCTGCTCCAAACCCATACAGATCGCCTTTCCGAAAAGCCGACGGGAGCTATGACTGGGAGACCGAGATGAACTTTGGCTGGTCCATGATCGACAAGCAGTCAGTCGGATCTCTTGCAGCATTTGTGTTTGAGCCGATTCTTTCCGCAGGAGGGATGTACGAGCCGCCGCAAGGCTATCTCAAGCGCCTGAGTCTCGAAGTCAAGAAACGCGGCATGCTGTTGATCGCAGATGAGGCACAAACAGGACTGGCCCGTACCGGCGATATGTTTGCTTTCCAGCGAGACGACATTGTGCCAGACATCCTGGCGCTGTCCAAGACGATCGGGTGTGGCATGGCCGTATCTTCGGTGAGTACGACCGAGGAGCTTGAGCGTCTCGCTTTGGCCGGCGGTTTCATTTGCGTCACGACGCATTACAACGATCCTTTACCCGCTGCAATCGCCACCAAAGTACTGGAGATTCTCGTGAGAGATGATATGGTCCAGTATGTGAGAGAGCGAGGAGCGCAGCTGCGCAAAGGCCTGGAGAAGATGAAGGCGAAGTATGACTGCATCGGCGAGGTCCGAGGACGCGGACTATTCATCGGGATGGAAATCGTGACCGACAGGGGAAGCATGGCTCCGGCTGGTGAGCTCGCCGCGGCGTTCTCAACAAAAGCGCTTGAGCTTGGACTGGCAACCCAGGTCGTGGCCATGCCTGGAGTCCTGGGTGTCTTCAGACTCGCGCCGCCGATTGTCGTATCTGCGGAGGAGATCGATGAGGCTCTCAGCATCATGGAAGAAGCATTTTCCAGCGTGCTTGCGACGGATGTGACGAAAAGGGCGATTGCCAGTCTCAGTTAGAAGGCAGTTGTCCCAGATGGACCAATGAAACGTGGGCGCTGTTTCACGCCACTTTTCATGTTGCTTCACACCTTCGCGCATTCGCCGTGGCATTCCAGTGGTCTCAAGACAATACTAGAGGGAGGTTGAGATTGCTGTACAGACAACCATGGTAGGGTCTCTCGTAGGAGACACCACTACGAACTGTCGCACGGTATTCCCTCTTGCAAGCAGGCTCGATATGCACTGGAAGTTGATCGCATGTTAGCTGTTTGCTTTGTACTACGCAATGCTTGGAAAAAGGGCTCAGACGAACCTCGCTGTATGAACCCAGTCCATCTCTGTCGTTATTGTGTCGTCCGACGTCACCCCTCCAACCCCAGACTTGAGGATACAGTTACCCTGCCATTCCTCGTGCTGCGTGAAGACGTTCGTCAAGTTTGCGTAGTATGAGAGCGCCATGCATGGTTTCTCCGCATCCGAGTTCTCGTTATTCCAGTCATCGCAGGAGTCCACGCAGGCTTCGAAGGAGTACTTGGTCGAGGTGTACAGACCCTCGGTGAGACCGCCCGCGTATATATCCTCGTTGTTGTAGTAGTACACAGTGTTGCAGTCTTGGATATAGGCTAAGCCCGCGAGTTGGGCCGAGTACATGTAGGTGCCGTTCGAACAAGAGTAGCTTGCTAGGCCACTTGTTGCAGGTGCTACAGCTGCAGAGGCGGTGGAGGACGAGGGTCCAACTGTGGTGGTGGGTGTGGGCGAAGAGGTACTGGAACTGTCAGCAGATGACTCTCAGCACAGCGGGTCGTCGTGGCTGAGGAAGGACTTCTCCAACAACTGAAACGCCATTCTCGCAGACCAACGTCTCGACTCGTCAAACCACTTACTCCTGTGCTTCTTTCGGACTCTGCTTTTGGGTCTGGCTACCGCCTTCGTCGTCGTTACCGCCTGCAACACCAGCCCCGACCGCAACAGCAATCACCACCACCACACCGATCAAGATGCCCAGTATCCATCTTTTCCGCCTGTACCAAGGTCTTCGCGCTCCGCTGAACGATGGACTGACGTCTGTGTTGTTCGTGTCGTAGTAAGCGACTTCCTTGCCGCCGGCGTGGTCGGTTACAGGTTGTAGCCCCTCTGACTCTCGAAACACAGGGATGGGCGAATACGATGGCGCGACCTCCGGTGCTCGGCCGGGATCTCCCAGATCCCCGTACTTTCTGTCCATGATCTCTAGATACAACAACGACAAATCATGAAGCGAAAACGACTGTATTTCCACCTCTTTTCGTATACCACAACCGCGTGGTCGGGACGATACCATCGCGACCATCAATAGGTTGCCAAGCGCTCAGCCGCATGTGAATTCAGCCCCAAACTCTGCAACCTGTACAACGCCATCGCTAGATGAAAATTGTTTAGTGCTGCATGCCGCCAACGAAGAGATACGGCTCAGCATGTCTGCAATGCCGGAGTGGAAAGCGGCGATGTCTAGGCGAGGCAGATGCAACATGCCCTGGCTGTATGAGGCGAGGGGTGAAGTGCTCCAACACAGCGACGACGACAAGGTCAACGGGCATCTATCCCGCTCCGACGATCTATCGAGATGGCTCAGGACTTGTTGATCGACCCCTGCATGACGCCTTCGCGGAGTTGGAGTCGACGACAGTGTCGAGACTCGTGGGGATGTACATCGACTACATCCACGATCAGCCGCACTCGCTGTTCCATGTTCCTACACTACGTTCCGGTGTCCTCCACGGAACCATAGAGAAACCGCTCCTCTGCAGCATCTTGGCGCTCTCTGCCAGGTTTCACGCAGACGAAAGCGTACGAAGTCTCGGTGACAAGCTGGCAAAACAAGCCGCGTCCCTGCTCAAAAACGATCTCGAGACCATGTCACTCTCTCGCATCCAAGCCTGGGTTCTGCTCGGTAACGTGGCTGGGTCGACTGGTGACTCGTCATCAGAAGCGATGTACTTTGGCATTGCCATGCGGTGCGCTCAGATCATGGGACTGTCAAACGCGCACGCAGAGGACGGTGCTGTGCTCAGCGAGACGAAGTCTAGGGTATGGTGGACCTTGTACATGATTGATCGATGGCCCTCCGCAGGTCTGGGTATCCCCCGTCAAATGGGTGAGCGTCGACCTTCGCAGCAACTACCGCTGGACGAATGGGCTTTCCGTGCGCTGCCTTCTGAGCAAGCAAGTTGGCCCAAGACACCGCAACCGGGGATGTGGGCTTACATGATCACGCTTGCTGAAATTTTTGGTTCCATTCACGACCTGAACAAGTTGTCAGCTATGCATCAAGTCAATCCGCAAGAAACGCAATCCGCCGTGGAAAGCCTTGCACGTTCTCTGTCAGACTGGCAGGGGAATCTGCCCCAGCCTCTCAGGTTGAGCAAGGAGACCTTGGAGCTGCACCGGGGTCGAGCTCAAGGAAGAACATTTGTTGCACTTCACTTGGGATACTACCATTACGCAACTCTGCTCTTCTTCCAATTCTTGGATCAGTCTGCGGAGGATACGCCGCACGCCGCCGAAAACGCTCGCAAATGCCGTGAATCTGCCTCAGCGTTCAGCGACCTCTTGCGTGCCTCCTACGATACACCTTGTTGTGAGGCCATGTATGTTATTGTAGGCCACATGGCCGTGGTCTCTTCTTCTGTGTTGATGCACATACTGCTCTTCGGCGAAGAGGACGAACTCCCTGCCGCCAGGAGACGTCTTGAGTTGAATTTTGAGATCTTGCTCAAGCTCAGGAGCTGGTGGCCGAGCGTAGAAGGCATGACTGCGCGGCTGTTCTTGTTCCAAAACATGTGCATCCGCTCAGTCGGCAATCATTTCAAATTCGATCGGTGGATGGTAAAATTCATCCTCGAGCATGCCATTACTCTCGACGACAAAGCCGAGATGGAACAGCTGCAGACCACTTCGCCTGAGAGCGTTGAGTCACCTGAAGCACCTGAGTTGCGCCGTTTGAGTCACAGAGGGCGGTCTACCCAGAGTGCATTGTCGATGCTCAAGCGATGAGAGCCGAGAACGTCCTCAGGACCTCAACAGCCATTCGCTCCGAATTCTGAGCCGACCAATGAAGTGCTTGCAGACTTCGAGCGAGATGCTCCATTACACTTGTCTTACAGATCGTGCACATTCCTTGCCTGTGTAGTCAGAGCGTTCTCTGTGGCGGCCAACCCCGAAACGATATCTGACAGTCGGTGCGTGGACGAGCATGAATGCATTCCTGGTCAGGGCTGCACACTGCAGCGCTGGATTTATCCTGGCTCGACGTACGACTCTTTTCACCATGACTCAAGCTCTGGAACAGACTTTGACGCCAAGGCGACTGGAAGATGTACTCCCAGCGGCCGCGTATTGGATTGTCTGTGGTGGAAACGCTCTTCGAAGCGACAACATCCCATACCCCGGTCATAGCGATGAAGGTGGCTCTAAGCGTATCCCGGGGAGCATGGCTGAGCTCTGGCATGGCCAGCATGCTTGAGAATTTTGGATGTAAAGACTCACAGACATTGTAGACAGCAGAGACGTCAGTAAAAGAGTATCTCTGGCTGCTTTGCGTATCTGAAGTAGGGCCACGGTGAGTCTCAGTTGGTATGAAAGTGAACGACGCCAGGAGATCGCCACGAAGCAGGCCTATTGCGACCATGATACAGCCCTCGCCCGACTCTTTACGATCTGCGCTCGACATGACCGTCCTCGGCCTCTTGGACCTTCTCGTTGAGCCTGCTGGCCATGTTCTGCTCGTCGGCAATCGCTGCCTGGTCCCCATCAAACAGTAAAGCGATCTCTTCCAGGGTCGGCCCTTTCGTTTCGACGAAGACGAAGTAGATTACCAGGACTTCGATGACCAAAATCACGATGTACACGAAGTAGAATTTCCAATTCAACTCCTGGAGGCCGATCGGGTTGACGTACTGATGGGTTCGGTTCAGTGGTCATTTTTGAACATTGGGGGGCAGACACTTACTTGATTGAGAACAGACGAGGCCGATGTGCAAGCGAAGCCAATCGCAAGCCATTTGGCACGGATGTTGAAGGGCAAGATCTCTGCGACATACGCAACGGTCAACCCAGGCCAGGCGAACCTACGTGACGCCGCATTTAGCAGTGTATCCAACGTTAACAAGCCTTGACAGGTTGAAAACTTACCCGGCAGCCAAGTAGAAGAGGAACACCATTGCAATCACGGCACTTCCGGCGCCAGTGTTTCCACTTTGTGCGTACACCGCTGAGCAGCCTGTCCAGACGCTGAAAGCCAGGAGCATGCCAACGGCAGCGATCAAGAAGAGAGTGCGGCGGCCGAATTTGTCTACCAGCTGGGTGGAGAAGCCGATGGCCACCAAGAAAGACCAGATCTGCAGACCGCCGTTTACCAGTGATTGATCGCTCGAGTTCGTCACTCCCACGGAATTCAAGATGTCGTGCAGATAGTATGACGCGATGCCGTTGCCGGAGCATTGGGAGAAGAACGACACCAGCACGATCAGCAGGAGCCGCTTACGATTCCCAGGTGTCCGAACCAGAACAGACCAGCCCTGGCTCTTAGCTTGCTTCTCCAACTCGATAGTCTCTTGTATCTCGACAAATTCGGCCTGCACGAAAGCATCCTGGCTGTTCCCATCGGCGTGGTACTTCATGGACGTTAGTTGGAGACTGTTGATTGTTGGACTTTTGACAGCATCTGTACCTTCACCAGGATTTTCAATGCTTGTTCTCCCCTGTCTTTGCTGACCAGCCACCTTGGATTCTCTGGTAGGAACCAGATGCCGATGAACTGTACCAGAGGCATGAGGGCTTGCAAGCCCACCGGTATTCTCCAGGCGGCGTCCCCATCGTACTTCAAGGTGCCGTATACGGTCCAAGCTGCGATGATCGATCCGACATACCACAGGGTGTTGTACATGGTGGTGATTTTGCCCCGGTGCTGCGGGTATGCGAGCTACCGACCATGGGTCAGCGACATCTCGAACAGCTCTAATCATGAAGCGGTCATCTCACCTCCATGATGAGCAATGGTGCGGAACCCTGAGCAACGTTCGATCCAAAGCCCACAAGGAAACGACCCCCAATGAACAGCCCGCTGTCAACCGTTGGGACGACCTGTAGGATCGTTCCAACAAAGATGACGACGATGCCGGCAGCAACACCAATGCGGCGCCCAAAAAGGTCTGCAGCGTAGGCCGAGAACGGAAGTGCACACACCGCACCAATGTTCTGAATGGCCGTGAAGAGTCCAAGCTGCGATCCGTCAGGATTGTCGAAGTAGGTCTGCCACTGTTCGCTGGTTCGCAGGCCGTTGAGGAGGGAACCGTCGTAGCCGTTGACGGTGGCTCCGAGAAAGAGGATGGGCATCATGAAATAGAGTGATTGTAATCCAGGAGACTTCCACCATGTCACCTCTGGCACGTCCAGTACTGCATGTTGCGGGGACATTCCCTTCTCTTCGACGGCTGGAGCTGAATGCTTCTCCATGGTCTCGTAGATGGTAGGTAGGTAGAATAGATGATGATTGGGTCTTGGTTTGTATGTGCACCGTGAGATGCATCGCTAGACATATATACCTTCAAGGCCATCGTGTAGGTTTGCACGAATCGTATATCCACCTCGTGGTTTCTCCGCCATACACCCCATGGGAAGGGAGAGTGTCCCGGCTCAGCGGCGTTTCAACGAATCAAAGCGATGGGTTTCAACGAATCAAAGCGATGGAACGCCGGGGCGGTGATCACTCGGCCTCCCGATGAACAGAGTCTGGGTCCGCCGCCAACTAGGATCCTCTTTGAGACATCTCCCAAATTGACTGCCGCGGGGAGGCGACGGTGTCTGAACGAATGGGCGTTGTTGAATGCCGGTGTGCGGTTGCAAGCCACCCTTTTCAAGACCATGTATCCACCGCGGTACTGTACCTCGAGCTCCATCCAGTGTACTCATCGCGGTGGATCACCATCGTAGGAAGGTCGTGACATCGACAGCAGAGCGATGGGGTCAATAAAGAGCTCGCGTGTCCCGCAGGTAGGCGTTGTGCTGTTCAACTCGTACATTTTCTTCGTCGCACAACCATCACCATGCAGCTGCAAACGCCCCATCTTCTCAAGACTTCCACTTCGAAGCAGTTGATCGTGAATGGCAAACCCTTCCTCATGCTCGCAGCAGAGCTGCAGAACTCGTCCCTCACTTCCGCAAAGTACATGCGAGAAGCCTGGCCGAAACTGGTGCAAGCCAACATCAACACTGTCCTTGGATGCGTGTCATGGGAGCAGATCGAGCCTACCGAAGGGAAGTTTGACTTCCAAGAGCTGGATCAGTGCATACAAGATGCTCGGGCTGCTGGCCTCAAGCTGGTATTGCTCTGGTTTGGCAGTTTCAAAAATGGTACGGCACACGCCTGCTCGAGCATTACCTACACTGACCAGTCGCTTCAGGCATTTCTACATACACGCCTCATTGGGTGAAGAAGGACAGTCAACGCTTCCCACGGGCAAAGACGATGAATTCCCTCGGCGAACTGGAGATCAGCGATACGCTCTCGATCTTTCACACGGAAGCACCTGCCGCTGATGCCCGGGCGTTTTCGACACTGATGAAGCACCTGCGAGAGGTTGACTGTCCACACTCTACGGTCATTATGGTGCAGGTGGAGAATGAGATCGGGCTATTAGGAGATTCGCGAGATCGCAGTCGACTTGCTGAGAATAAGTTCAGCAAAGCTGTCCCGTCCGACTTACTTGACTTCCTCAATAAGGACTGGGAATCCTTGAGACCAGAGCTGAAACAGTCTCTGAAAATCACCAAAGACTCCGCCAACTCATGGTGTGCAACATTCGGACACAGCAAGAAGACAGACGAGCTGTTCATGGCTTACCATTATGCACGCTACGTGGAACAAGTGGCAAGCGCAGGCAGGAAAGAATATGCTTTGCCATTGTACACCAACGTCTGGCAGAACTATGTCGCGGACGATGCCGAGGACAACGAGTTTCCTGTCGTTGTTGGCGGCGGAGGTGTCCCGGGAGATTATCCCAGTGGAGGCGGAGTGATCAACACAATCGACATATGGCAGACCTTTGCGCCGACACTGGACTTTATCGCACCAGATGTGTACCTGAACGACTACACGAAATCTTGCGCAAAGTACCGCCACCGCAACCAGCCGCTATTCATCCCAGAACAGCGGAGAGACGAATATGGAGCACGGCGAATATGGAACGCGATCGGCTCGTTCCAAGCGCTCTGCACCTCTCCATTTGGCATCGATACGCTCGAGCCTAAAACGAATCCTTTCAGAGTCCACTATGGCCTTCTGGCCCAGGTCTCGGACCACGTCCTCCAGGCTCAGGCGGATGGGACGAGTGTCGGGTTCTTCTTTGACGAGTTGCCCGAGACGGCCGGTCTTCCGGATCCATCACCACCAACCACTGCCCGCTTTGGACCATGGAAGGTCACGATCGAGCGAAGCTTTGTTTTTGGTCGTCCAGGAAGCGGCTGGGGCATGGTAATCCACAAAGGCGGTCCACGCTTCCTGCTTATCGGCAAGGGCTTCCAGGTTCGCTTTGCGCACGAGTCTGCTCCCTTTACCGGAATCCTCAGCTTTGAGGAGAAAGAAGTGCAGGCTGATGGCAGCTTGAAGACGCTGCGTATGCTAAACGGTGATGAGTCGAGAAGTGGCAAGTTCTGCATCATGCCGAACGACGAGCCGGACTATGGCGGGTAGGTGAAGCAGATCGAAGAGCTGCGTGTCCAAAGCATTGGCTGACTTCTATGCCCGTAGGTTTCCAATCTGTGTCACGATTCCCGCGAGAACAGCGATTGCAGAGGTTGAGGCATATGCACTGGAAGATGATGCGTGTCAGTGACGCTGGAACGATGGGCTTCGGGTTCGACAATAGTTGTAGAGTAGGTCAGCCGCCAATGGCGGTCGACAGCGAAGCTGCTGAATTTTGGCGAGCTTAGTCGAAGTGATCAACACCGCCTGACATCAGAGGAAGCTTAGTAGGAAGACAGTTTAGAGTAAAGGATGCAGAAGAAGGTTTGAGCATTAGACAAGTAGTTCCAGAGACCGCTAAACTGCGTCTTCGAGCTGAAAGGAGTCAGCCTGCCGTTTCCGCGAATCTTTGCTGCTGCCGTTCATCTTGCTCTTGGACTTCTCTTGATCAGGCGAAGATCCAGCTGCGTCTGCAATCGTCAGAAATTCCATAGCTGTGGGATTTGCATTATTGTCGGACGACATGGAAGCCCGCTCTCGGTGGCTCGTGTAGGTGGCCGGATGCGATAATTGCGTGGGCTCCTTGTTGACAAACCTGGTGCTCAGCTTGTCAAGCTCGGTCTTGAAGTCGTCGAGCATGATCGTGTCGGTGAGACATTTGGAAACCAGGTAAAGCTTCCACCAGGGGTTGATACTGTGAAGGATTAGTATAGCTGTCAAATAAGACCAGTCGAGGGTGAGGTACCCGTTCGTCCCGCCAAACCAAGTCGGATGGACTGAAGCAATAATATCAATCACGGTGAAGACGACTGCGAGCATGATGGCAGTGACCAGGACACCAAATCGAGGAGACGTCTTCAGAAGCTCCAGTGTGGTAGCGCCGTAGCTGACCCGTACGACTCTAAAAAGCATCACGCAGACGAATATCCACCACGGATCTCTGTAGAACCGACGTCAGAAGCCGCACTTGGCGCCACGTTAGGCATGGAAGGCATACCTCATGAGCGTCTCGTAAGGTCTAGCAGCAGGATACAAAGTGCTGTTGAGGTCGTTGAAGAAGCGGAAGTTGTTGTAGATCTGGAACACGAGCGGCCCAGCGCTGAGAGCAAGGCTTATCAAGTATACCCAGGTAATCTTCTTGCACGTTTGAGCAGAGAAGATAGCATTGCCGCCTCGAAAGAACGGACGAATCTTGAGCCAGGCAACTAGGTTGTGTATCCAGCATGAGGTGTAGTATAGAGCAGCGGTACTTGACAAGTACCACCCGTAGCCTTCAAAGGACCTAGAGTCTGTCAATACGTCTGGGAATGATCAGGCTTGACGAGAGACTGACATGAAACAGAAGGTCCCGTGGCTCATGGCTAGGAAAAGCTTTGAAGATTATTAGCAGAAGGTTCGCATCGTCGCAAACATTAACAGACCTCTGCAAGAATGAGCTTGTGCAGCAGGACTCGCCGTCGCATGTTGGCTACGGTCAAAGCGACCATAATGAGCAGCGCTCCCACCATGAAGCCTTGTCCCCATGACTCCAGGATGAATCCCTCGATTGTCGCATTGGCTCGCCAGTCGTCTGTTGTCGTCGTTGGAGCAGCCCGTCTTCGGTGAGGTGCCGGAGCACTTGTCTCGGGATCTGGCAGCACCGCCATCACATTTTCTACGGCATGCGAATGTCTGAGACAAGACGAGAGATCGCGGAGAGGGAATGAGGTGTAAGAATCCTACGGTTGGCGCCGAGAATAGTAGTAGCGAATCCTCCCGCGTGCTGCCCGCGTGCCGATCACGAGATCCAGTTGGAGGCCCCGAAATTTTGACCGATCCGCTTTGTTGGGCTGCCACGTGATGGTATAATCTGGTTTCTCCGCACAAGGCAATCACTTTCGAACAAGGCTACATGTGTACAGTGATCCACAACATCCTACCGGAGCGGAGGACCCGCGAAGAAGTGAAACTCATCCCCACCTGCCGTATTCCATGCGTTCACTGATAGGTGACCTTCATCTTGCCCGGCAAATGCTTGAGCCCTATCACCTGGTTAGTAATGCATTCAAAACCTAATATGTGGCCGGTACCAGGGTACAGTGACAACTCACATCCGTTCAACTTCGGTGGACCGAAGCTGGGCTTCTTGGTGCACTTGTTCCCGACACTCTGATCTTGCGTGGTCAACCCTTCGCAAGTAGCCATGCTGCAGCGCTGATCCACTGCCTTCTGAAGCGAATTTCCCTTCCAGCCGAAGACGTAGTCGGCGTGATACCCATACCCCGTTGGATCTCCCTGCGCCCAGACGAAAGGCTGAGAGCCGTCCTTGGGCCAGTCTTCTTTGGGAAACATGCCGGTGTCGAAGACGGTTTCGAGCATGATCTGCGGGAGTTGGACTGGGTGAGTGCTTGGGCAGCCGTTGTAGCCACTGGCGACGTGAGACGTGTGATCTTTGCTGTCGAGGTTCTTGCCGTCCCAGCAGCTATGATAACGGCGGTCAGTCAAGAAGCCAAACAACAACGGCCAGGGTAGTGTAATACGTACTTCGGGAAGTTAATGTTCACACGCATACCACCAGGGCAGTGTTTCTTGGGGAAAGTTTGGGTGTCGCTGTCCGCTACGCCCATTGGATTTGGCTCGAATGGCCCGTCGGTATAGCAGCGGTAGATGCTGTAGGCGCTGGAGAAGGTCTGCGAACGGGCGAATGGATCTCCGACTACCATCCGGAAGCCCTGCAGCACTTTATCAGTTTGAAAATCACGCGGTGAATGATTGGGCAGTCGTACCGGTGGTTGGGCCTTGATCTTGACTGACTTGTCCGTAGGCGACGTGTAGTATACCGTCACGCCACCAGTAGCGCCGAATATGCCAATGTTCGGTATGATCGGAACATGCCTGAAGGTGCCATTGCGCGCTCGAAAGTACAAAGCAGGGTGCCAGTAGTTCGAGAAGTCTTCGCTGAACGTGCATGTAGTGCAGCTGCTCTCTGCTCCGAGGTCTCCCTGCATCGTGGCATTGAAGGAGTTGCCGCCGACGATGGCGTGCATATGCTGCGAAGGAATCTGTCCCGGAGTCACGATGGGATCCAGGCGCTCGATCGAATGCTGAGCACAGCCGAAGCGCATCATGGCACCGAAATCTTGCTGCGCCATGGCTACCGGAGCCACCAGGGTGAGGAGAGAAAACCACTGCATAATGTTGACAGTATGATTGATCGAGACCTGCTCGCTTAACGAATGGACAGCCGAGTATACTCGAGCCAAAGGAGTGACTGAACAGCAGCAAAATGGGGAATGCTGGGGTCGAAAGAGAGGCGACGGCACAGCGATGAGAGCAGTATATACTTGCCGTTGTCTGGAGCGCCTGGGGGGGTTGTTTCGCTCCAGATTGATGTTCTCATCTCATTAAGCGGTACGTACCAGAATGAAACACAAACGGGCACTCCTGCCGTTTCGCCTATACGGAGACCCCTCGCCGCATTTGACGATGTGCTACACGTTTGTCCCTCTGCGGGTGTAGGCGGTCTGGGCTCGGGTTGTTCAGCCTGATGTTCGTGATGAGAAGAAATGAGTTCATGTTGGAAGAGGACTCGAGGCTGAAACGCCGAGCCGGCAGTTTGACGGCATCTCGCCCATATCATCTCGCCTCCCCCTACCTCCATTCTCCGCATGTAGGTCTCCGCTCCCTTCAAGGTCTTGACGCATCAACAGGCGCGGACAGATGTGCATCATGTCAGCTCTTCCAGCTATCACCAAGCAAGGCATGGACGACAACAGTCCAAGCATGGGCCGTTCGGTGTTCAAGATTCGACCTAAAACTCAGGCTATGGACGCCATTCTGCACGCCGTTCCGAGTGGCCTCTCCTCGCTCTGCTTAGATAAGTACCCGACGACATTCTTCCATTAGGTTGATTCTATCTCCTTTCCAGCAGCGTTTTTGAGCCCACCACCGTACCATTGAAAACCAACAACGACGGTATTATTTTGACAGGACGCAACTGGATCTCACCGGTCATGTCACTATCAGGCGAACGCACACCGCTTCTAGAAGACGCAGGATTCAATGGCGAAGGATCTGGCGAAGAGCAGCTGTTCAGGCTGGATCACCATCACCAATTTTGCCGCCTGGTAGGCATACGACCACGAAACCTGCCACCCGATCAAAAGCACAATCCGCCTCCGGAATCCCTGTATTGTCGGGCTGTCCGTCAGGTAAGGATTCAGAACATGATGTATCAATTCACTGCCACGACCACCAATACTCTCATGCTCTCGCAAGTGGTGCTTGGCGCGACACTCACGGGCCTCAGCGCAAGCGACTCCAGCCACATTCTGGTCGCGGTATTTGGAGCCTTGAACACTATCATAGCCGGTATCATCGCTTTTCTGAAGTCTCGTGGGCAGCCCATGCGTGCCCGCATGTATAGGGACGATCTCGAGCGAGTGGTAGACGACATTGAGAACTCCGCAATCATGTGGCTTGGCATCAGCAAGAATGTTCACGGCTACGATGCAATTGACATCGATGACCAGGTCACCGTACGAGGCGAGGTTGCTCGACTCACCAGACTGTACGATAAGGCTGTTAAGACCAACACGCTCAATGACCCGGACATGTACTCAACAGGTGGCCCTGGCGATCTTCACTCAGCAGCCTTGCGAGACCGAACGGTGCAGTCGGGCCCCGTGACCATACCGCCCCCAGCTCCCATGCCAGCTCCAGCCTCTGAGCCGGCGGCGGTGCCTCCGCCGGCTACTGTTCCCCCGGACCCCGATGCTGCTCCGGCTACCAAGCCTCCCGAAGCCTTGCCCAAAGATGCAGAAGCTGTTGCGGGGACACAGCCCCCGACAGCTCCCAGTGGACCAAGTAATGCGCCGCCACAGAACCAGGGCGGCAACGCTGTTCCTAATGGTACATCTGCAAAGCCTGAAGAGCAGCCAGCTCAAGTGCCCTCCAACGACATACCCACAGCTAGCTCATCTAGTACGGTCACTGCTCCACCGTCCACTAGCATTGCGCCGGATCCGGACGAAAGCCCAGCGACGGCGATGCACCCACAAAAACACACAGAAGACGTGTCGGCGGATGAGAAGACATAGCAGTCTCGTTTGGCCGCTTGAAAGCTGTAGAATGCGTTTTGCTCACTATAGAATTCTCTCTGGCATGTTTCCACCAAGGAGAGCAACCTTCGTTTGGGATTTTCCAAGCCAAGATTATCATTGATATTCGAGCCGTTCAGCAATTGCCACATCCTGCTTCCTGCTCAGTCAACATTGAACCGCCCGGAAAACCACCATGCGTGCAAGAGTGGCCCTGCTGGGTCGAGAATCGCACCACTGGCTACGAAGACGGCAGCCCTTCTGCATTTGCCCTGCTATCATCCACTTTGTACCTTGCGGTCGGCACCGATGAATCCCAATTCCTGGTGTAATACTCGTCCACCCTCTGGATCAAGCCCGTGCGTTCATCGAACTGGAGCCGGATCATCAACGCATAGGTAAAAGCTTTGCCGGTCGGTTGGATGCTGTACAGCGCCTTCGCAAACACGCCTTCCGCGAAGCCTTCCATGATCGCGCCGTTGGTCGTTGGATGAACGTCCGTAACGGTCACGGAGTACGGCTGGTTCGTCGTGAGCCAGCGTTCTCGGAGCATCTCGACTCCGACGTGGCCCTTGCGGTGGATGAGGAACGCATGGTCGAACCAGTCCACGTCCTTGGAGTAGATCTTCAAGAAGTCCGCGTGGGAGAGGTCGGAAAGGGGAGTGGACCATTCTTTCGCCATACGATGTGCTGTGAGGATGAAGTGGTCCTGGTTGAAGGAGCGAGCACTGCCTTCACACTGCGTCAGTTCAGAACAGCTGCAGATCAGAACGACAATCGACCTACCATTGGACTTCATGCTGCTTTCCTGTGCTTTTGAGACGTCGAGATGGGCAACGCGGTTCACGGCCGGAATTGAGCAGGTCTGATGAGCCGGCAAGATCTATGCTGGGTGCCACACGATTTGCAGGAGCATTATATATGTCGGCCTCTTTATCATACTACGAACGTGGTCTTCTCGACAACCGAGGACCGCGGCCTTCTTGAGTAACAATCTTCGAGACATGGCTGCAAATCAGCCCCGGAGGTTGAGTATACGGGCAATGCTTGTCAATCGTGCCATTCTGCGCTCGATGTTGAATGCTGATGTCGGAAGCCCTACGGGGAGTGTGGGGCCAACGCATACAGCCGCACTTCTGCTTCGCCTTGCTTTCACTGCAGTCCCAGACCCAGAAGTGCCATCTCTTCTTTTGCTCATCTTCATGGAAGATTTGTGTTATCGAAAATACCAACGCCCGTAATCACAAGTGGGCCAACCTTACTGTCAGCCGCAAAGCATCCGAAACCACGCCCTAGAGATCCTTTCGTTCAACATCTGTCGAAACCTACTTGGTCCCTACCAGCATTTGGAAGCATTACAGCATTCTTGCTGTCGAAGTCGACGATGCGTTGTTTTGAATCATGGCAAAACCCAGGCAAAGACGGATAGTACCATGCCCAGAGTGCATTGCGAACGCGAAGGCTCCCAGCACAGGAACAGAGAAGGCGCAACTCTGCAATCAATGTCTGGCAAGCTTAGCGACGCACTCTGATCGAGCACAAACGGGACCGATCGAGGCCTCGTCGCCGGCATCATCAATGGAACTCTTGCTCCCAAATGATCAGCAGTCGGAGCCCAAGAGCCCCAACCAAGGCACCAGTGGCGCATCCACCGGCTTCATAGTTCTGGAGCCGAGGGAGGCTGTTGTCAAGCGCATCGCAGCTTCTACGAGGAAGATTGTCGAACTAATCAACCGGAACGACTACGAGGACCCCTTCCTCGATCAGATCTTCTCGGACCCGTTCTATGCCTCTGACATGGACCAATATCCTAGCACGAACGTAAGCATGCTTTATGCTACACATTTCACGGAGACAATGCTAAACCAATCACCCAGACATGGCGTGAGCATATGGCTACGTACGTCGCTGCCTCAATGGAGCCAATGGATCGAAAATCGTCCACTGACCGTGTCTCTTCCACAGGTTCCGCGTAATCCAGACCGAAAGTCCCGATTACCACATGAGACCTGTGAGCCTCACCGTTGACGTTGACCGCGGCCTTGACGGTGCGAACGCTTTCATCGTGGCGGAGATAAGCGGGCGTCCGCCGGGCGTGAAGAGGGAAAGCCTAGGGGTGTTGAGGTGGGAGTTGAAGCCGGAGGGATGGCGGGCCGTGTCGCATACGAACATGCGTGCTTATGATCCTACGAAGACTGTGTAGGCCATGCAGGATGCTAGAGTGAATCAAGATTTCTCTCATGCGCATGCTGAAATAAGGACCGAAGAAGGATGAAGCGATTCGCTTGTAATCAGCGGTGCTCTGGAAGCGCTTCACCTGCGATCGCGCCTGCAGTCGTTAAAACTATCGCAGTCCACGAGCCCTCACTTCCACCCCATTCCCACGAAAAGTCCGTCAACTACCCTGACCTTGCCATCAATATCCGCAAGCTTCGACCACTCCTCCTTGAAGAGTGCTTTTGCCCGCTGCCGAACTTCTGGAGGGCTTGCAAGATTCGTGTACGCCGTCCCCTCGACCGCAGTCTCAAACACGTCATCAGCTTCTTCGACGTCGTATACCGCCTGGACCTTTGGTTGAGAGAAGTCTGGCATGATGTAGTCCTTGAGCGCATCGGTGCCAGGAATGTCCATGATGGAGAGGAAGGTCATCTCAACATTGTGAAGACCCGCTGCGTGCATTCTGCTCGACAGATCCTCAGGTCTCTGGAACGGCTCGCGGTGATACATGATGGGTCGTCCGAGTTGCTGTCCCACACGTTCGAGTGCTGTGCCGGCCGCGAGGTTCACTGGGTGTGTGACGTCCACGATGAGCCGACCGCCACGCCTGAGGTATTTAGTCCAATGCTTCAGGGCTGCAGCAGCGTCTTCGAGCAGGACGAGCGCTGAGCAGCAGATAATGGCATCAAACTGCTTGTCTTTGATAGCGTCCAGAGAGTTCAGATCAGCCATAGAGTGGTTGTGGAAGGAAACATTCTTTGGCTCATGGTGGGACAACTTCTTGTTGGCTTCGTCGAGCATGCCGGTGCTGACATCGACTCCCATTACCCTGCCGCTTGGTCCGACCATGGTGCTCGCTGGAAAGCTTGCCAGCCCCGTCCCACATGCAAGGTCCAATACGCGCTCACCAGGCTCAAGCTGGAGCATTTCAACAAAGTGTCGAGCCAGCCGGGGGTGGTGGCTGTCGTCGTAAGTGTCGCTCCGGCTGTCGTAGAGCGCTTGGGCGTCTGCTGGCTGGTTGCGCGCCATGCTTGAAGTGAGGAAATTGAATAGCAGGAAATGACCGACAGGATGCTGGGGTAATTGTAGCCTTTTCGTGACCGCGAACGGTTGGAGATTATGATAAAGACCGAGCGTGATCGGAAGTTGTAGCACCGTACCTACCTCCCAGGAAACCCGTCGCTTGCCCGTTCGAGGCTGCCGATGTGCATGTGCATGCCAATCCGCGTAGTGGCCTTGTTGCTGGCAGGTGTTATTACGGGTGGCTGACTGTATGTCTATCGAATAAGACGAAGGCTGAAGTTCAGCACACGTGGTCGGCAGTGACGCGATATGGCTTGGCGGGGTCTGAGCCAGTTCAAAGACATCTAGACCATTACTGCTATATCTCCAACACACCACCTCCTACGTTCGCGAACGAGCCCCGACAAGCTCCACCGATTACAACCTCACCATGTCGGCCAAGATCCAGAAGGTGCTCGCACGGCAGAAGAGCAAGTCAGTACTACCTCCCAAGCAAGCAACGCGGTGACCGCACTGACTCTACTCGCAGAATCGAAGAAGGCGAATTCTACGAGGCGCACCAGCAGATCCGCACCATCGCCAACCGCTACGTCAAGGCCAGCGACTGGCCCGCCTCCATCGAGCTCCTCTCCACCGGCGCATCTCTCCTCCTCAAGGCCGGACAGGGCGGGTCTGGCGCGGACCTGTGCAACTACCTCATCGAAGTCTACCAGAAGGCCGAGCTGAAGCAGGACACGGCGAATAAAGCGCGACTCCTTGGTCTCCTTCGGGCCTTTCCGCCAAATGAGCCGGCCAAGAAGAAGTTTGTTGGCGGCATCGTAGAATGGAGCAGCAAGAACGGCGACTTCCCAGCAGGAGACCCAGAGCTACACCATGTCATTGGCACACTTTTCGCGGACGAGGGAGAAGTCTACGATGCGGAGCGACATCTTGCGCTTGGTACCTCCGACTCGGCGCAGACCATGAGCGACATGGAGTACGAATGGTACTCCAGCGACGAGCCTTCAACAGCACCACACTATGCCGCCCGCGCCGTCTTCCCCTACCTCCTTATTGGCAACACCCGCGCCGCGAACAAAGCGCTCCTCCTCTTCACCAGCAAGCTTTCTTCATCACACCCCGGCCTGGGCGTGCAGAGCATATCCTCCCCATCCTCCGACATCCGCATATACCCTTCGCTTCCACTCCTCAACTTCCTCGGCCTCCTCCTACTAGCCATCCAGCGCGGCTCTTCAGACCTGTTCAAGCAGCTCAAGGCACACTACGCGACACATCTGAAAGAGGTGCCGTGGGATGATGCGATGGCGCAACTCGGTGAGATGTTCTTCGGCATCAAGATCCCAAGCCAAAGCAATCCCATGTTCGACATGATGAGCTCAATGTTGATGGGAGGCAACAATCCATTTGCGATGAAGAAGAAGGATCCCAGAGCTGTCACTTCGACGGCAACACCTCCACCGCCCACGAGCGCACCTGCGGTCGATTGATAAAGAAATGCACCCTTGCGTAGCGTTTTACTTATGGCGTCCTGAATGCGATCTACTGTTGCTGAGCGCAGCTTCTGCTCCCATCTCTCCACTTACTCAAATCTCTCTCTTGAAATCTGCAGGTCAGCCCGACGTCCTTTCTCGCAGCACCATCGTCTACGATCACAAAGCAAATTCGCTTGGTATTCATCCCAAGGCAGACTGGGCTTTCGGTAATCTCCCAATGACAGCATCTGGACAATGACGTAATGCTACTCATATGTACAGTACTTCAATACGGATGCTTTACAGCTCTCAACACCGGATCACCAGAACACTCCGTGCATAAGTTCCAAACTTCATCGCCATACATCAATTTCAAGCCCCAGCTCGAATAGGCTGACCTTGAATCTTCATCTCCTCCCTCACAGCCTTCGGCACCTCCTTGACACTCCCGGGCTCGATGTAATCCTGATGCCCGTTCACCCTCAGCCGCAGCTTCCTCGACTCCGCATACACGACCCGCCTCATCCTGTTGGTGCTGCCCAGCGGCTGGTGCTCCTTCAGCCCGTGCCAGCTGTTCACTGTAATCCTGTCGTCCCACCATACTCTGAACTCCGGGATCCAGCTGTCCTGCGGCTCGAATTCGAGCGTCGCGATCTGCTCGAAGGGGTACTTCTTCGGGTCCCACTCCACGCCGATGTCGTCTACGGGCTGCTCGTCGAGGTTCTGCAGCATCTGCGCGCAGAAGGAGTAGGAGACGGTGTTGTCGCGGTGGAATTCCTGGAGCTGCTTGGAGATGATGTTGATCGGATCAGACTCCTTGATCGCTTCGGATTCGGCAGCAATCTGCTTCTCGCCTTGTGGGAACATGCCGTACTTGGCTACGTACTCGCCGTGGCGGTAGGCGGATTGAGAGTATTCCGGCATGGCGTACACTGGCAGAACGGTTAGCATCAGCTCGTCCAAGATCACAATGCTGGCCGGAACGTACTGTGCTGATTCGGCAACCTCCCAGGCAAAGTCGCGACATCCGCATCCGCCCTCTTACTTCCCTCCTCGACGAACTTCCCCAGATCATCCCAGTTCCGCTCCAACGCATCCGCGATCTCCCATGTATCCTTCGGCGTCCTCAGCTCCAGCACGGGATAGTTGTTGAACGTCCAGTCCTGCGTCTCTTTGTCCTCGCCCCAGATCTTCTCGCCTTTGACGCCGAAGATCTTGAGTCCGATCCCGCGCGGGAGCGCTGTGCCGTCGTTGACGAGTTTGGGCAGGAGGGAAGAGTAGCGCATGATGCAGTCGTAAGTGCCGGGCTTCTTGAACATGCCTTGGGCGAGGTGTGGAGGGAGGTTATCGTGGACAGTAAACTTGCCGACTACGCACTGGAAGAGTGTCAGTATGAAACTAGAGCTTTGGGGAGGGATCTCCTACGCCCTGGGTCTTCAAGTGGGTGCCACGTAGGGCATGCGAGTGCTCATTGAAGTTGTACATCTGGAAGCGGCAGAACTGTTCGGAGACGGCCTTGATGTCCGCCTCTTCGTTTGGCTGCTCCTTCTCGACGCCCTCGGCGTCCCTTTAATTGTTGATCAGCTCATATACCACGATCCGTGGGAAGGCAGGACTCACCATTTGATGTAGTTGCCATCCGCCGGCTTGTCATCGCCGGCAGTCTTGAACGTCGACTTCTCCTTCTCGCCAGAGGCACGGGTATGAATGACTGGGCAAGGCATAATGAACAGAAGAGTATTGGGTATAGGGAAATAGAGGACGCAATTGTCGTTACCTCTTCTCCAGCAAGTCAGAAGCAGAACCTACAACCCAAGCTATATCTATTTCTCCAACCCCGACAACAACCCCACCGCATTGCTCAAGTAGGCTGTAACCTTCGACCATGCTGATTTGGAATGACGATCGAAGGTGGGTATGGTTCGCAGTGGGTTGTCGTCGTCGATCTCGCTGTCCCCGCATTTGGCGGGTGGGGTCTAGATGCCAGATAATGCTGGAGAGAATCCGTTCGCAGTCGTGTCCGACGTCCGGGTACATGGAAATGGATGTTCTGGTAATGGGTGGTTGATGATTGGTCGACACTGCTCGGAGCAGGGTCACGAGAACTTCAATGCTGGTTGAGAGTACAGAATCGGGCAGACTCATATCCAGGAACGAGGAGCAGGGCCATCTTCTACCCCTTTGCCAGCTCACGCACATACTCGGCCGACTCTCACTGCCTGCATTGCTGTATCACTCCAGGCGGTCATCTGAGGCCAGCCATGTGCCATCTTTGCGAAGTGTCTTCAGGCCACCTTGTTGCCAGCCTGCTGCAGCTTGCTCGCATCTATAATCCCATCTTTCCGCAACGTATCGAAACCTGGAGTGTAGACCGCGGCTGGTAGTTGTCCGGCAAGGTCATTAAAATTCTGCATATTGGGAGAGATATATCTGCTGCTGGGCGGTGCGGTCGTGCGAGGTAATGATCGGCGAAGCTGAAGATGCCGTTGCACTTAAGAAAGCAGCCGGTGTTTTTTTCAATCGCCGCCGAAGTGTCGAATGGGATGCGAGCCTACGGGTAGAAGAGCATCTGGGCGTCCAGCGGTGTTACGCCGTTGTCCTTTCGGTGAAGCGTTGTAGCCGCCTTCGCTGTTGCCGCCTCCAAGAATGCAGTTGAAATCACGGGATCTCTCAAAGTCTGTTTGCAATGCGTCGACAGCGTTGTACTCGTCCTGTCGCACAAGATAAGAATGCTCATGTGCTAACGATGCCTGTCAGAAGTCATGCCGACAGAGGTGCATCTGGTCGAGCGTTACGTTCAAACAACATCCCCTGTGGCCTCATCCGGAAGCGCCTCCATAACCGGACCTGAGGCAACACCAGCAGGCGTGCACTGAGAGAATTCTCAGGCCGGCACTCAACACAGCGACATCATGTCTAGGACGTATCTGCCTTTGACGACGGGGCTTGATGGCGCGCGGGTCGAAGTTGCGTTCTCCTGCTTCGTTCAAAAGCTTTGCGGTAGGAAGCAGTTGCACCTTCGACAATGCGCGTGGTTTGAGCTGGCTTGAAGGACAGGCAATGGATTCTTAGGAAGCAGGACCCGTAAGATGAATTTTACTGCCACTGGGCACCTTTGCATAGTTCGTGAACTCGTAGGCGGTCTGATTGCCTAGACATGAAATGTATTGTCAGATCTATGTTCATCGAAAGCGCTCGACCATCCCAAGCCAATCCTTCTCCATTCCTGCACCAAAAGAACACCACGCTGACCCGAATCAAAATTTCAAGAGGAGGGACTCTCAGCCTTCTGCCTCGCAGCCTCCAGCCTAGACGCACCGTTGGACCTGTTCACATCCTGCTTGTGCCGCATCCTGTCCATGAAGGCGAGTGCTGCAACGACAATGTTGAGGATCATCATCGGAATCAGGTTCCACTGCCATCCTTTCATGATCTTGAGGTGGGTGACGATGTCGCTGCGGTCTCCCGATGTTGCGAGGTCCAGATCGAGCACCGCTGGGTACCAATTCTGCGGCGTCCAGGCATCTCGTGGGTACGGCACATGTGGCGGTTTCGCGGTGTTGCCGAGCTGTGAGGCGAACTGGACGTCGATGCTCTGGCCGGTATGTCTGTATGTCTCGACGAAGACGTATACGAAGGCGGCGACGGTGAAGACGGCGGTGATGGCGGTCATCCAGAGCCAGAAGTTGTAGAGGAAGGCCGAGAACCCACTGATACCGCCACGGCGCTTGAGCTGACGGTGGCGCAGGAACAATGCGAGCGCTCCGCCCACGCAGATGACAACGATGTTCGTGCCAGCAGCGCCATTTGCTGTGTGGCCCTGGTCGCCGAGGAGGTTGAGTGGCTTTCCAGCTAGCAAGAATTGGTCGCCTTGATAGTTGATGAGGAATCCATAGCGGCCAGCAGTGCCATGTAGCCATCCGACCGTGGTGACGATGAAGCCCAGTTCGATTACTGAGTCGACCAGTAGGAGCGTCATGGCACCGTAGAGGAGTAGCGAGGCCATCGCAATGAATAGAGCGATTTGGAGGTGAAGTGTTGATTATGATTAGAAGATTAGGTATGCGAGGAGGGTTAGAGGGAGGCGACAGGCGGCCGGCTTATATTATCGAGAGCCGCAGTCTTTGAGCGAGAGGCTTGTGTTGTAAGCTGACGATCCCGAGGCTGGGGGAATGGGTCGAGAAATGGGTTGGCCCCAAGGAGGCAATGATGGGGACACAGGCCAAAGTCGGCCGTGGTGTTGTGCTTGGAGGGCGAAGTTGGTGTCCGGGCGAGAGCGCTGACTACTTTTCGAACAATTTCCACATGCCCTGTGCTCTTATAACCTGAACAGCACCGGACTTGGCGTCATCCTCACCTATCAGCTACCCTCTCCGCTTGGTAATGCACAGTATGTAATGGTCGAGCACCAGTCGGACGAAGGATGCGCCATGTGATAGCAGCACATGTCCAAGAGAATATCTCCGTGGCGACCCACCATCAATATGAGCATCGTGGGTTGCGGAGAGGGGAGTTGCAGCCCCAGACCGGGCGGAAGATGTTGTTGTCGTGAACGCCGTTGCGATTGTCGGGATCGGCAAGGAGGTCAAAGCTGACTGCTGTGGTCCGAGATGGCGACAGCCCGACGACTTTTAGCGTCTCAAAATAGTTTGCCCAGAGCGACCGACTGGGGGCCTTATACATACTGTGCACGAATGGGCCAGGGTGTTGACATCCTCCTGCGGCCCTGTCCTCAAAGTTGAACAGACTCGATAAGGACAGTGGTCAGAAGTAACTTCGAACTCGAACCAACGACTTGGCTGGTACTCGCAGCAGAAGGGTATCTCGTATCAACATGCAGCACACCATCGATTATCTACAATGTGAAACCTCCCGGACCAATGTCACTCCACGGTCGTATAGGCTTGTTCTCTTCCAGCTTCACCACCCACCAAAGCGCCTTCTTCGCCTTGCTGATCTGTCCACTGAGCTCATGTGCTCGTGCCAGGGTGTACCACGCCTCCGAGTCGTCCCATCCGCTGCCAAGTCTTGTGAGGCTGGAAAGGAGCATGTACGCTCGATCTCGCGCGGCGAGACGGTTTATTTCTGTGGGTGTAGGATGCTGGTGTCGCCGCCTCGGCTTGTCGGACTCTGCATGATTGATCGGCATCTGGATCAGAGATGGTCGCGGGGGTACAGGATCGTGTCGAGCGTTCTGGAAGGGCTGTCGTGGCTCCTCCACCGGGAGCTTCTCTTCATAGATGTCCATCAGAAGATTCGACAGCCCGATGATACCGTTCGAATGATCAGGAAAGTAGCCGACCGATTGCTCGTAGGCTTCCAGAGCCCGCCAAGGCTGCTCCCGGGCTATTGAGAGATCACCTTTCTACAACATGGTCAGCAACACGTTCACCGTTGTTTCCAGGGAACTCGACATACCACAGCCCAGACATCTGCCCACAAGTGGTCCACGCTCTTCCCTCCACCCCATCCTTTTTGGAAGAGTCCTCGAGCGTTGGTGTTCTCAGCAGCAGCTTCAGCCTCAAGAACGTCCACGAATTTGTGGGCCTCCATAACAGCACCGCTGGCATCGTCCAGAAGATCGGCCCGCAGATACAGTCCAGCAATGAAGAGCCACACCTCGACGACGAGGCTGATTCTGTGCTTGCGATCCTGAGTCGATGCAAGTCTCACGCCAGGTGACGCGGCAGATCCCGGAGGCCGTGTTGGTAGTCGAATGTCCTGTTGGGGCTGCTGATCGCCGTGACCTGTCGGTGCTGGCAAGGCGTCGTGAGGCACGTTGTGCTGCATTCCTTTGAGGGGCTGCTGCGGGTTGCCGTCACTCCTCTCCGTCATGCTCTGGGGGATTGCAGGTTGCACGGCCGCAGCCTGATGGCCATCCGGTCCTGACGTGGACTTTGCCGCATTCTCAAGTGGTACTGCAGGCCTCTGCTCCAGCGGCGAAGACTTCTCCTGCATGGCCTCAACGCTTCTTGTGGACTTCAGGTTGCCATGCTCCCGCCAATCTCCGTGGTGACCGCGCAGCTTGAATGGCAGCCGATGGGGTGGCGCTTTTTCAGTTGCCACGCCTTCTTCATTTGTGACAGTGATGGCGATTGGAACATCGTTGGCGCCACCAGCTTGTGCGCTTCTGTTGTCTTCTTGGTCCTCCGGTAACGATAGGAGTGAGCTCGGTTTGTAGCCTGCCTTTTCCTGGCTGCTCCGCTTTGACTTTGGCCGTATACTGCCAGCAAAGCTGCGCAATGTACCTCCGGCCTTCGCTGGCGCGGCAGAAGTGGCCGTAGGCGGTGGACCTGCCGCTGGCTTCAATCGGTCTGGGTTGCCAAACAACCTTGCGTACAGCGCAAGCAGTTCGTGACTAACGCTGACGGCAGCTTCAGAGCCTTCTGTCAGCTCGAGCATGGCAATCTGCGTCATCTTGACTTGGAGGAAACCGGCTTTCTCAATGTTGTTCATCTGATCGACTAGCCCTGCGGAAAGGCTCGATGAGCGCTGCTCGGACTCAACGCTCTGTTGATTGCTGCTTTCGCCAAACAAGGTGTCAGGGTCGCCAAATTGCTCAAATGCAGCTGCGCCCATTCTAGTTGCTTGCTGATGGTCGTCTTTTGCGGTGAGGCACAATGTCAACAGATGCCATAGCGGCACGAGATCGCGCTCTCGTTGAAAGTCTGGCACGTGGTCGTCCCCTTCGTCCTCACTGTCCGCCGGAGTGGAAGCGGAAATGGCTTGTTGGAGAACATCCACGGCAGCAGAAACGTCCCCAGATTCGGCAAATAGAAGAGCGAGCGAGTATGAAGTCTCCATGTCATCTTCGGCGTATTGCCGAGCTTTTGCAAGCGTCGAAAGTGCATCGGCTCGGAGAGCCGGGCGAGCGTCGGCCTCATAGGTCCACCTCGCCCACTGCGCCTGACTGACACCAATCGCGCGATAGGCGGCGGCGACTGTGGACTGCTGCAGTGACATCGCAGGTCCTGGTTGGCTTTCGCCTAGCTGCAGCCAGCTCTCGATCGTGTTCCGCAGCTCGAGCGCTTTTTCTGCGTCTTCGCGATCGCCATACCGACACAGCACACGCAGAGCATTCGCAGCCGTTAAGACTGCTGTATCATCGCTGTCAAAGCCAATTTCGTGTTTCCCAGTCTTCGTGGCTCTCGCCTTGCCTTTGCCGACAATCTCCACGTAGCTGTCGAAGGCGTGCATGGCAAGATCAAAGTCGCCGAGTGAAGCATGCACGGTGAACAAATGACGTAATATCGCGGTTGAGTGGAACGTCTTGGTCGCAGAGCGATACAAGATGTCTAGCACACCACGACCTAAGCTCTCTTTCCCGCCCTCACCGAGTTCATGGTCGGTCCAGTCGGATCCGGCCAGGACTTTCCAATTGCTAATTGCTTGCTCGACCCACTGTTCAATCTCGGTATTGCTTTGGCTAGCTTTTGGGAACTGTGTCTCGGTCAACAGTAAAGATTCGTACGTTAACTCGACTCGCTTCAAGTCTATTCGCAGCCGTATTTTGGCGGAGGGTTGCTCGTGGTCTGGAAACTCACGGGAGGGAACGACCAATACGCTCCGGGTCGCACGGTTGGTGAACACAGACACCAGCCCATATTGTAGTAACTTTGACAGAACGTCGTAATAAGCCTTCCATACCTCGCGTCGCGGGATATCGAGGTGAGAAGAACCACCGGACGTCGTGGAGGGCGGTGACCGCTGCCAGAAGTCGGACCAGGCCTGAAAGCAGGAAAAAGTGTCACTCAGAACCTCCAAAGTTGGCGAAGCGTTCCTCTTCATGAACAAGCATCCACGTGCGAGTAAACGTTCGGTCCATACTCTCAGCTCCGGAGTGCGAGAACCAGGCGCCTTGACAGCCGCTTGCGAGTACTGCTTTTGCGCCTCGCCCAGACTTTGACCGGCTTCTAATGACGCGGCTCTGAGAAACGTTGCCTTGACGTCGCAAACCTCCAGCCATCCCAAGGTGGGGGCGTAATTGCCATCCTCCGCCGGACGTTCGTCATTGCTCGAAAGCGCTTGCAACGCACTCCCAGACTCATGCCGTAGCCAATACAACTCGGCGAGACACACCCGCGCTGCATAGGCATCTTCTGAGTGCCGGACGGAGGCAGCCGCAATGGCTTCCTCCAACTTGGGTACAAGCTCGCCCAGACTATGTATGCTGGCGGATGTGGTCGAGGCGGCAGATGTCGGCCGATGGGAGGCGGAGGCTATCTGGGCCTCAGAACGGGCGGCCAGCGTGAAGCCTGTAGCATGGTCAGCTCAAGCTGCCTCTCCCATATGTTGCTGCTGTCTCTTGTTCGCCGTACATCTTCGCTCGGGTGCATGTTTGTCTGTCTTCCTTGCCAACTCTTGAATGTCGGACCAGCTGCCATTGCACAGTGCCTGGTCGAGCTGGGCCAGATACCGCGCGCCCTTGTCGGCATTTGGCGCGCTCATGGCAGCGTGGAGTGGCACTTGCGCCTGACTTTCGGGCAACGGTGTTGGATGCTATCGGAGGCTCATGGTTGCTCGCAGTCGCGGTAGGCTTCCAAAGAAGGGGGTGGGGAGTTCGACTCGTCCGCGCAGTTTTGTACCTATGTCGGCAATGAGTAAAGTAACCGAAGTTGAGGTTGAGGAAACATCAGCTCACAGGCACGGGCATCTGGTCGGACGTAATTGGCTCGGGAGGGTCCGCGGTATAGAAAAGTCCATGGCTTCCCAAATTTCTTGTCCGTCCAGAGCACCACACTTTGCCGTGGCATGACGGTCGTGCTGGAGGAGTAGAGATGACTTCTTCTTCTGCTGCCAATGCGACACTCAGAGCTGTCACCTACCGCATCACTTCGGCCACCCCAGAACAACTCCCTCTTCTGGCCACGCAGCTCGCAGGATCACTCTGGAACTGCAGAGAGATACTGTCCGCTCCCGCCGACTCGAAGAATGACGCGACAGCGCTCGTGCATCGCCTCAGGACCAAAATCACATCTATCCTGCAAGACCGAACCATTGAAGGCCGATGGGCTGCAGTTGTACTGGTCAAAGCCACCATCGAAGCCGGAGGCGTTGACTTTCTGAGCAAGTCGAATGCATGGGTTCGCAGTCTGCTGGCTATCCTCAAGAGACCCGATCCATCTACGACCAGATGTTTGGCCGTCATCGCATTGACAAGGATCTTCACTCTGACATGGGACTACTCGAACCTGGTACGGGAGATCACGACACCCGCACTTCCTGGCTTCATATCCACCTGTCTCGCCAACATCAAAAAGGAGAGATGTCCCTCGACTGAGCTCAACACCGTCTTGGAGGCATTTGCTACGCTGCTACCGAGACATCCTACCATTTTCCGGACGCATGAACCTCAGATTGAGGCGGTGTTGAATGAAGTGCTGTCCTCAGGACCTACTGGACCTACATTGCACCACTCGCAAAAGCTCATTGGTACTGCGCAGCGTGTCAGAGTTCTACTTCACCACTGCGCACCGAAGCAAGGAGCCGGTGAACAGTGGGACAGAACTTTCCAGGCTACGGTCAGGGCTGTCCATACCACGTGTGATCGCCTATTCAGGGGTGTAAACGAAGACTGGGGCGCCGTTGGTGGAACTCATAAGTCGACTGACCGAGCTATCTTCTCCGCCAACGAAGCGGGGCTTGACTCACAAGATGAAGCCTCCTTTGGACCCTGGACTGGTATCTTCGCAGGACGAGATCGGCTTGTCAATCTGGTTGGCATCCTGCAGTCTCATTTACAAACAACGACTGCAAGTGCTGTTGCGTTGCGTGTCGGATCGCTGATCGATGCCATCACGAGACTGATGGGTACAACCACGGTATCGGGTCTCGCCGGCGCCAAAGTCAATGCTGAAGTATCCAGAGAGGAGAGAGAGGCTTTGTCCACAGTCATACCGAATGTCCATGTGGCTACCATGAGCCTCGTCCATGCGCTGTTGCGACGGCTCGGCTACGCGTCGGCATCATACGCTCAGAGCATCTCAGAGTTGATCGTTGAGGTCTACCGGGCAGAGCACTTCGACGATGAGCTGAAAAAAGCTGCCTATGGATGTCAAAGTTCATTGCTGAGACTCTTCGGTCCGAGCCTACCCAGAGAGAATATTGCTGAGCTTACGAGCATGATACAAGGCTGCTGCGGTGACATGATGCAAAGCGATGCGTCGGCCTCCCACGCTGATGGCAAGTTGGCAGGCTCACAGCCCGTTGCTTTGAAACAAGCCGCAATTTCACAGCATCGTGATGGCCTTCTCACCGCCGCCAATCGCCTGGTCTCGACATTCGTCACCGAAGTCAACCCGGCCTTCGTCCCTCGGAAGCTTCGAACGCAGATTGAGCGTACTGCAGTGTTGACCAGAAGTAAAGACGTCCTGCTCGCTTGCGTACTCAACCCAGCACGAAAGGAGGTTGGTGGCAGATTGCAGACAAGCTTGGTTCCGTTGCTTGCAAAAGAGTATCCCGACACGCGTGAAGTGGAGGCAATGTTGAGGCCGCGACTGCCACCGGTAGTCGTACAGAATCCTGGCGGTTTCGAAGACGCAGACATGGACGCGAGCGATGAAGGGGAGCCCAGTGAAGAACTTTCGCCTGCAGCGAATGGTACAAACGGCCATCATCCCGCCGATGATCTGTTGAGCGCTCTGATCCAGCCTTCCAATCCTACGTCTGATCGCGAAGAGCAAGAAGAGCTTTACTCCACAACGCCTCCTCCGCAGGTCGAAGGCTCCGCTCAAAGCGCCATGACAACTGGCCAGACTGAGGCCAAAAAGATCGTTACACCCGCAAAACGTGCAGCGGATCCAACATCGGCTGACTTGGAGGCGTCTGTCAAACGAAGGCGGGGCTCGCCCGTGGCTGAAGCGATTGCAGGAGGTCCTGCATCGGCCTTACCAGGACCGGATGCGGCGGCGATGAAGGCAGATGTTCCTGTCACGGTGGCCGCAGGCCAAGCTCAAGCAGTTAATGGAGAAGATGCGACTGTCGTTGCGCCCTCAGCATTGAACGTTCCTACGCAAGGCATCCAGGAGTCCGCCGCGGGTGCAGGGCCCGAGGGAGACGTAGGAAGCGACGACAGTGATTTCGAGATGCCGCCTCTAACGATGGAGCCGGATACCGACCCTGAGGATGACGAGGAGGCGGAATAGTTGGCTCATTCTAGTCCGTGGACTGCATGTAGCCAGTCGAGGACTCTAGTCACAGTCATTTTCTGCTCAGGCAAGGCGAATCGCGCCCTTTCAACTACTCGCAGTGCAAATACGGCAAAGTATCTCCCGGCCATCTTCCCCTGCGGTTCTCGTTGCCCTTTCTTGTACGACTGTTTATCGGCCAGACTAAGGAGAGGCGGAAGAGACGCTATAATCTCCCCAGCCAGTGCCACGACAGCCTCTGCATGCTGCTGGGTGCGGACGCTGGATTGCGGACTTAGATCACACCGCTCCAGCATTTCGGACATGGACTCCCTCAAGACAATCTGGCTCGCCACATGGAAGTTCCACTTGTATGCCAGCCACGGGTCATTGTAGTGAAGCACCGGCAGACGAGGCAAAGCCAAGAGTAATCTGCTCGCCTCCGAGTCAGTCGTATCGACAGGTCTCATGCTCTCCGACCGCCACGCCTCTGCGACTTGATTTGACCAAGCTTCCATTGATTCGATCACATCTTCCATCGTTCTTGTAAGGCGTGCGGCTTCTTCTACCTCCTCAGTTCTACCTTCCGCCATAAATTTTCTAGCTGCTGCGCAGAGAATGACCATCCGCATGACATCGACACAGACATGCACGTCTGGCAGGCTGGTGTTGAGCTTGCTGATCCAAGCCAGCTGCCAGTCGAACGGCTTCTCCCTTCTCACGATCTGTGTGGCCTGCAGCCTCATCATCGCAGTTCGCCACAATTCGAAGCGTGGGCGAGCGCGGGAATGCTCCTCACCTCGCATGTTCAAAGCATGCACTAAGGCGTCTTTGTGCGGACCTAAAGGCTGAAGACGTGACAGGTAAATCGTCTCGAAATGATCGATCAGCAGCAGAGCAGCGAGGATACGGTCCTCCGCCCACTTTGTATTATCTTCCGCTATGCTTCTCATGCGTGTCAAAGCCCCGCCGTAGTCCTGGCGTGCTTGAAGGATGAAGGAGCCGCCATCGAAGCCTTTGAGCTCCGCAAATGCCACTGCTCGTACGGCATGCCACAATACAGAGCCCGGGGCGGCACCGGCGTACAGCTCGGGAAGGTCGTACATGTATCCCGGAGCCACGCCGTCGTTGGTAGGGTTCAGGGTCCAGTTCAGGAAGAAGCGCTCAATTGCTCTGGCCTCGATGCTTCGTTTCAGTGGCCCTGGAACTTCGGCAAGAGCGGCATCGGTGAGCCAGTAGTAGAATTGCTGTAACTGTTCGACGGGAACTTCGACAAGATCCAGGTTCGCCATCAGCTGTGGCGGCGACCTGATTGCCATGGGTGTGCCACGGCCTGACGCGCGAGGTCTTCTTGCTAAGACGGAGTTCCTTTGTGCCACTTTGTTCTCGGACAAGAAGGTAAAGCCAGGTTGGGCTTGGGCAGGTCCAGAGCATGTCAGGTCTCGTCGAGAACAACGGCCGCAGGTTGGACTGGTAAGATCGCACTGTGCGTTGATTAGCTGAGCAAATGCTATAACTGCTTCGTATGACATCTCACCTTGGCTTTCGCAGTCTTGCATTGTCGGCAGGCTCTCACGGGCGCCATGTCGATGGTAAAGAGCGAAGTAATGGTCTGCTTGCCGGTGTACTTTCAAGGAAGCGGTAGTAGGAGTGCTTGCGGTCAAAACCAGCACGACGCCTACTGCTAATGTACCTATCTGGTCATATGATCCGGCACATGTCCTGCTCCGTATCGTTGTACCAGCAGTTTGAGCAGAATCTGTCTTTGCTGTCACCTTGACGGATTGTCAGTCGGGTGAGGTAGAAGTAGGTGGCGTGGGCTCTTCCTTCAGCCTTTTTCTTTTCCACTTCGTCTCGCGACTAACTACAATCTCAACGGAGCCAGATGCTCATGGGCGGATGCGCTTATTAATCCTGTCAGCCAGTGTACAAGCATCCCGGTCGATGTCTACGCAACAACTCGTGCATTGCAGCAATTGCGATTAGTACGTGCAGGTGTAGGTGGGCCTTGGATGCGGACTCTTCTCTATCCTCTGTACATGTGATGTGACTGCCCGCTTGTTTGTTCATCGGGTTTGGACGTCACGAATCTGGGGTTGCTCCGTCATTGTCCGAGATGCACCATCTCCAGCAGCATCACGTTCGAGCTCACGGAGCCTACATAACGATCCTTCTCGGCATGGCAGGCGGAGAATGAGAGACGAGTGGTGTCTTTCGCGGATGGTGAACTGCGTCGTCGTCGTCGTCGTCGTCGAATGCGAGCTTGTCGTTTGATCGAATGTTCGCGAAGCTTCTCTGCAGCCCGCTGTCGCTGTTGCTGTTGCTGCCCGGATGTCATAGGCCACCATATCTTGCACACCTCTTCGCAATCCGGACAACCCAATCCACACATCCCAACGATCAGTCAATAATAAAACCCATTGGCACGTCCATCGCACAGCTTACCAACCACAGCGTGACCGAGGACTACAGCTACCATTGACGACCACCCACCCTCCGGGTCGCAATGCCCGCCGACACCAAGCTCTACGACCGCTTAGGCGTCTCCTCCTCCGCTTCCGCCGAAGAGATCAAGAAAGCCTACCGGAAACAAGCCCTCAAGAACCACCCCGACAAGAACCCCGCCGGCGCCGAAAAGTTCAAGGAAGCGAGCGAGGCCTTCGAGATTCTGTCGGACCCCGAGAAACGACGCAACTATGACAACTATGGCTACGACTTCATCACTGGCAAAGCGGGGCCCGCGCCGAGCGCGGAGGACATGGGCGGGAACCCGTTCGCTGGAGGTATGCCGGGTGGCTTTGGTGGCATGGGCGGCGGTATGCCTGGCGGAGGCGCAAGAACGTTCCACTTCAGCACGGGCGGAGTCAAGGGAGGTGGCGGCTTCGGTGGATTTGGCGGGTTCTCAGATCCGAATGACATCTTCAAGGAGTTTATGCGAGGAGGAGGTGCAGGAGGGCCAGAGGACGATGAGCTATTCAGCCAATTCGGCGGAGGCGGTATGCCCGGAGGCTTCAGCAGTTTTGGTGGAGGCGGTGGGAGATCAGGGCGGACATCGTCGGGGTTTGGGCGCAAGCGTGAACCCGAGCCTGAGCGGACGGTGGTGGAGAAGCCGTTACCCATGTCGCTGGAAGAGCTGTTCAATGGTTCGACAAAGAAGCTGAAAGTGCAGCGCAAGACATACGACAACCAGACGGGCAGGCAGAGCGTGGAGGACAAGATTCTGGAGGTCAAGACCAAGCCTGGCTACAAGGCGGGCACGAAGATCAAGTTTGAGAACATGGGCGACCAGGTGGAAGGTGGCGTGCAGGACCTGCATTTCGTGCTCAAAGAGAAGGCGCACCCGCTGTTCATCCGCGACGGCGACGACATCAAGCATACCGTGGAGATTGATCTGAAAGAGGCGTTGACAGGGTGGAAGCGGACAGTGCAGACGATTGATGGGAAGCAGGTGAATGTCTCTTCCGGCGGGCCGACGCAATCCACGTTCATCGAACGCTTCCCCGGTCTGGGTATGCCGAAGAGCAAGACACCGAGTGTGAGGGGTGACTTCCTTGTGGGCGTCAAGATCAAGATGCCGACGAGTCTGACGGCAGATCAGAAGAAGAAGCTGGCTGAGATACTGTGAGATGAGGACGGTTGAACGGGTCAGATTATACGCATGGCGAGGAGTTGGGCGGTGTTGGAAATACCCGGAATGTGGGTGGGCGTCACGTTTGAGCAAGCAATGCTGTTCTCTAATGAGTGTGTAGATACCACGTCGAAGTGTGAACGACTCATGAAATTTGCCCCCAGCATCGTTCCCTGCGCATGTCTCGCGACCTCAGCAGCTCTCCGGCTTTGTTCGCGCCCTGCTCTTGTACTGGCTCCGAAGGATCAGATTACAGTACCCGTTGTTTCATCGGCATCCTTCTCGCGGAAAAACGACCAGAGATCACGACTGGGTCTGACATCACAGCGGAGCATTGGCAACCGCCGTGAAAAAGCGATCTAAAAACAACCATACATACATTCACGTGGCACGGTTCGGGTCCTTCCGACCACCGGACGCCCGTATCGGCCAGCAATAGGAATAAGGATCGCATTGCAAACCACCAATGTTCCTTTTGACTTGGCGTTAAGTCCTTCAGGATGCCTCTTACCTCGCAAATCGCAGTATGCGTCTAGTTACGGCGATGATGATTGTTCAATTGTGGGACAAAGCAGCAAAACCTGGGGTGTGAGGACTCCTTCAACCTTGGACAATGTTTGAGGTTATCCATCAACCGGAGCCTGACCCGCATCGATCCTCGCAAGAGTCTACATATGTAGGATGGCCAGTCTTGCATCCTCATGGCCTGTAAACAAATACCTCTCAGCTGGACTGCGACTTTCCTGCACTTCAATGCAATTGGCAAACTCGCGAGGACATGCACTCTGCCCGAAACCTGGCCCTGTGGGCTACTACGCTCGTTGCGTTTGTCAATGCCAACCCGACTCCGACCAAGACCCGCCGTTCTAGCTTCAACAATTTGAGCAAGAGAAGGATGAAGGACTCACTGACCGGTGTCACGTGTGGCCTGTGGGCGACGGGGACTTGGGACGATTCCTGGGATGCGATCGATATGGCCACAACAGATGAAGCTACAGGGGAGTATAAGACAACAATTGTTGCACCAGCGCAGTCCTGTTCTCGTCTGGGCTGCATCAATAACAGGTAAGAGTCCTTGCGAACGTTTGCCCCTTTCAAGATTGCAACTTACCAGACTCTCAGCGGCATCTACGTCTGCAACGACCAAGACGTCGATGTCGATGTTGACCCATTCGAACTCGAGGACTCTGCCCAGTCGCTCATCAGCAATTGTCAGACGTATTGGGGCTATGATATAGACGCTGTGTCCGGGCAAGCCTTCTACGGCGACCCCGGCATAAACTTGGTCGCTGCTTATTGCGATAGCAACGACCCTCCGAGCAAGAAACCAAGCGACTACGGAACGTGCGCGTCGGATGACTGCCCACCGAGTTGTGGGTGGCCTGGCGCCGACGTTCCGCGCTGCGATGACTTCTACCCTTCCCCATCTGCGGTTCCGAGAGCCGTTCCTGCGGTGTCCAAGACCCGACGTTCCACCTCCCACAGTATAAGCAAGAGGGACTTCTCAGATGATAGCCTCAAATGCGACCAGTGGGCGACGGCGACTAAAGCGGACGCCGTCCAAGTGATACAGGACGTGACAGCTAATGGTGGAGCCATTGTTGCTGCGCCCCAATCATGCTCTCGATTAGGGTGCGTACACAACAGGTGAGGATCCCGAGCAATCTATGACATCCCAAAGCTCGAGGCTTACGACATTTCTAGCGGTCTCTACATTTGCAACGACCAAGACGTCGCCGTCGTCGTTCAACTCGCCGAACTAGCCATCCCGGCGGGATTACTTGTAGACACCTGCGCGTATTATTATGCGGAGCAGCTTGGCACTGTCACCGACCAGACCCTTTTCTCCGGCCAATTGTGGTCCAGCGACCCAGACGTGAATATGGTCGTCAGTTACTGCGACAGCAATGACGATCCGTTCAAGAAACCAAGCGAGTACGACGCGGGCTGCGGGGACACTTGTCCAACGACATGTGGCTATCCGGGAGCTGATTATCCAGTATGCATCCCTGCGTATTCCTTGGTCCCAAGGGCCCCGGCGCCAGCGGTACCCAAAGTCCGCCGTTCCCGCTCCAATGGCATCAGCAAGAAGGCTATAAGCAAGAGCGATGCAAGCAAGAGGGATATAAGTAAGAGGACGTTGAATGGAGCACATGGTGTCACCTGTGGCGGGTTCGCAACGGCGGATTACAGGGATATCAACGACTTGATACACTATCTTACACAGGGGGCTGGCGGTGGAGCATTTATTGTTCCAGAACGGCAATGTTCGCTGTTGGGATATAGGGGCGACAGGTAAGAATCCTTACGATCCCAATCCAAGCCACATCCATTTGGAGGCTCACGGCAATCTTGTAGCGGTCTCTACGCCTGCAACGACGGAGACATCGCCCTTGTCCTCCAACGCGACGATGTCTTACGACCTGCCTCGGCCCTGGTCCTGGGGTGCGAACGTTTTAATAGCGTGGATTCCATCATTGATTCTGACCTCCATCCGGTATCTGGGCAGGTGTTCTTCGACGACCCCGCCCTGAATCTGGTCGTTGCATTCTGGCAAACAACCTACCCTTATGACATGAGGCCCAGCGATATTATAGGCGGGCTCAATGGAGCCACATCAACTTGTGGATACTCGGGTGCCGATGAGGAGGAGTGTCCATTTACTGTGGCTTGATGGTAATGATGGAACGGGGGATCTGGAAATGAATGGTTCAGCTCGAGAAGGGGAGAAGGGCATGAAGACGCGCTCTGCCGGTGTTGATACCACTCTGTCGCGCGATAGAATTTAGGTCAAGAGATAGATGATGTATGAGTGCGTTCATTGACACACGAGCAACTGTGTGTCAACAGAGTAAACGGAATCTCTTCGCCGCGACAATGGCCCACCCTCACCAACGTAGCTGTCCCTTGAAGTGAGGTGTGGTTCCGCGGAGTCGGCCATCCGCACCTTTTGCGCCAGCGTCATTGCTTCTGCCATGCTCTCGCAAACCCTCCATCTCCCACGACGCTGTCTGTACGTATTTGAGCGCATTTTTGGATAGCAGCATTCCAAGGTTCACCGCGATCATGCAGTAGCAGTACTCGAGGCATCCCTTCTCGCGAACTGCCATCATGTACATACCACCCGGTCATCCACTTCCAAACAGCAGCTACAATGTGTACAAGCACAGCGATGGCAGCACAAACAGCGCTCCCGACTCACAGAAGTGGTCATCTCTCATCGGCATCATCACCGCGATATGCGGAAACATCCTCATCTCCTTTGCGCTCAACACCCAGCGATACGCGCACATACGCTTGAGCAGAGAGCAAGAGGAGCGAGAAGAGAAGGCGCGGTCGGGGAGGAAACGCAGGAGAGCGGCGGGCTATGGCACGCAGGGGGAACAGCAGGTCGAGGTTGCGGAGCAGAGGGCGCAGGACAATGCCAAAGCGGAGCGCGAGCAGTATCCTTTGGAGGAGGCAGACGAGACGGCGCCATTGATCCCGACAGCGGGCAGTATCAGATCAGCATCCACTGGCGATGAAGACAACGAGGAAGAGGACGGCCACGCGAAAGAGAAGTCATATCTCCGCTCACCCATCTGGTGGCTCGGTATAGCCATGATGACGCTCGGCGAAGCTGGAAACTTCCTGGCCTACGGCTTCGCACCTGCCTCAATCGTCTCACCGCTCGGTGTCGTGGCTCTGGTCTCCAACTGCCTGATCGCGCCCTTGTTGCTGCACGAGCGTTTCCGATGGCGCGATGCTCTCGGGGTGGTGGTGGCTGTTGGAGGCTGCGTGACCGTCGTGCTGAGCGCCAGCGACAGCAACCCGAAGCTGGACCCGGACTCGATATGGCATCTCATCACGCGGTGGGAGTTTGAGACGTATCTCGGCATTACGGTCGTTATGATTGTCTGCCTGATGGCCGCCAGCAACAAATTCGGCGAACGCACGATATTGATCGACCTGGGCCTGGTCGGACTCTTCGGCGGCTATACGGCGTTGTCTACCAAAGGCGTCGCTTCGCTGCTGTCCAGCTCGATCTGGAGGGTCATTGAGTTCCCTATCACATACCTGCTGGTGGCAGTTTTGGTGTCGACCGCAGTGCTGCAGATCAAATACGTCAATCGAGCCCTGCAGAGGTTCAATGCGACAATGGTTATACCGACACAGTTTGTGATGTTTACACTGTCGGTCATTATTGGGAGTGCGGTTCTGTACCGGGATTTCGAGAGAACAACTGGTGAGCAGGCTGGCAAGTTTGTCGGTGGCTGCGCTTTGACGTTTCTTGGGGTATACTTTATCACTTCTGGTCGTGGTGAGGATGATGAGGAGGAAGAGCATGAGCTGGCTGAAGGCGAGGACGGTATTGACTTGCCGGACGAAGAGCAGACACAGGTGGAGGTTAGGGAACGCGATGACGGCAGGCGGCAGTCGTTGCTGGCTGGCTCTCCGAAAAGTGCGCCAGCGTCGAGAGGCTTACAGGTGTCTGAGTCTGTGCCGGACCTACTGTCTGCGAACTTGAGCCCAGCAAAAGCGGCCGCAGTTCATGAACAGTCCGTGGCCAACATTCCTTCACCTCAGCGGCAGACACAGAAGCAGACCCTCCCACCACCGATGCACGCTACGACATCAGCCCCAGAAGTTCCGACAATCACACCACGAACGCCCGCCTCTCGCCCCAAAACACCCGGACGAGGCGCGACGCACCACCCGATTATGGAGTCTCCCTCTCAGCCCTCCACTCCACAACCTCGCCGTCCTCCTCCTGACCAAGCGGGTCAGCTGGATCCAGGTTCGAGTAATAGACTGCTGAACCGCCACAGCATCGCTGGACTGGTGCCGGGACCGCTCACGAGTCCCCTCAGCAGTTCGCTCACTGCCATCGTAGCGGACTCTCTTCGCCGGGGAGTGGACGGCGGCAGTGCGCTTCGTCGTCGCTCTCTCTATCGCGGCAGCAGTCGGCGTGATCCGAACGCGCCTCCGCTCAAGCGACACTCGATTGCAAGTGGGGAGATGGACTTTTCGACGGTGAACGAGGAAACGACTGGCGGTGGAGCGGGCGCGAGTGGTGCGGGACAGAAGGGTCGGATGAGGAGTCTGAGTGCTGCCTTGGGCGATGTGTTTGGCCCGTCGACAGGCGGGAAAGGAGGGAGTATGGGCGCGCGGGATCCTGAACGATGACACCCGTGTATAGTTGTCAGTTAATTTGATGAGGTGTCGAGCTGTTATGAGGATGTACATCTCCTAAACTTCATCCTGCATCACCGCAGTCGGTGTCCTTGAAGGTAGGTGGAAGTGATATGCCGGTGAAGTTGGGAGAGGAGTCGGACTTTTGGCTGCTACTTTTGCAGCAGCTCCTCCACCACATACTCCGAGGTGGAGTCGCGAGTTAGTTCGCGCAAGCCCTGGGCAGCTCGACGCCTCATCCAACATTTTGGGATGTGCCTTCACGGTAGCTGCCGAGCTCAAAGAAGATGGCGAAGTGCGTACCGCTCACCCTCAGCCTTGGATGCCGGTCCAACCTCGAGCTTCGAATGCCGGGGCGAACCGCAACGGTGTATGCGTCCGGCTCGTAGCGCACGGGTGGTGCATCTTTGGGTCCATTCTGCGTCTGGTTGTTTCGTGGTTGGAAGGCGTCTCCCTGGAAGCATGCGATGATAGAGCTGTCGACGGCGGAAGTGTGGTAGAGGTGCAGAATCGTGGTTTCGTGGGTGGTGGGGCAGGTCAATGAGTAGACTGTTCATCATATCCAGCTCCATCGTAGAGGCATGGTGAACGTACCAATGTGGAGGGCAGGCGGTGTTGGTAAGGTATGTTGCTGCATGAAATGGACATGGTCGTTCTTTGGGAAATCCGGTGCTCCGGAGCTGCCTCCGAACGCCGACCCCCTCCCACCCGACAACACAACTTTCGACATGAACATTACTTCGCAATTCTGAATAAGCCATTTTGTTCAGCACGTCGAACTGAGTAGAATGGCTTCTTCAGAATGCTAAAGAAGGGCGTAATTGTGCAATTGAAGGGGTAGCTATACAGTTACTCCTCTCCCCGGCACCGAATCGTCATAACTGTATATTGCTGCTACCTGTACACAGTGACTCCTCTTCTGTCGGCGGCACCAAATCGTCATGGACTGTATTGCTGAGCTGCACACAGTCAGTTTTTCCTCTTCTGTCTGCGGCACTGAACTCTTGCATGGACTGTTATTATTGCTGACCATCACACAGTGACTTTTTCCTCTTCTGTGCTGCGGCACTTTCAAAGTCAGGTTGGGTAAGTCTGGCGGGTGACGAGGCGGGCACTTCGCCAATGCCACCAGGTTACTTCAAGAACGGGCCTACATGTATGTATCCAGGTCCATCACCACGTCAGAGAGACTTATCACTATCGAGGCTGGATGCTTTCGCTACCTTACTACGCCCTGTACCATCGCCTAGACTATTACTACACCCTATCTACCCACTATCACCTTAATACGCTAGCGGCTCGTCTTCTAGCAGTAAAAGAACGTCACTTAATACCCTCCCGTAGCAACAGCTCCACAACCTATCCCTCTCGAACGAAGTCGTAGTCGCCTCTCCCAGTTCCTTATCACGGAAACCAGCATTAGTCCGCTATAGCAGCCGCTTCGCTTCACGACTACGACGATGGACCTTATCGAGCAGCAAATCGGGCGAAAGCAACACTAGCTCAGGCCGAGGAAGCAGTGTCTCCAAAGAAAAACTTAGTCACCTCCAAGAAGGCACCCCTAGCAGCTTAGGCAGCGGCAAGACCGACGACGACGACGACATCGCATCCTTTATTAGCGACCTCGAGCGATCGAAAGACATCCGCTTCGCCTCACCACCCTCCGCCCCATCTCGTAGCCACGTCGTTAACCCGGGCAAGTACATTACCCTACGCACCGACAGCTCGGCCCTCGCGAAGGAGATGAGTAGCTCGTCGCTCATCTAGAGCATACCGCCAAGCCGTCGACTATCAAACGTGCCCGGGCTGTCTGTGTCGTCGTCGCCGTCGCGCGTATAGCCACATGCGTCGCACGTCCGCTCTCGGCTATCGACGTACAGCATTGCGGAGGAATCTGCGGGTGCGGTGGGGGCTTAGGGGTCGTCCGCGGAGAGAACGAGCTTGCTGGAAGCCCTTCCTCTTCCAGCATGATGATGACTAAGTTGCAGAGAGAACATTGAACGGACTTCTTTGCTTGATTGTTGTGCCACTTTTCTCACTCACTTCTAGCGTGTCGATGCTGAATACATACGTACTGCTACGACCTTCAGCCGTCAGCTAGCTAGGCGTGACAAACATCCATGCAGTAGTGTCTCTCTCCCTGCAAGGGTCATCTCTGCTGCCGCTACCGTGTGAGCACCACATTCTTTGTGCTATGGTTGCATATCCTGCATGTCTCCAATTGACATAGTAGCAAGTCTGTACTGCGCCATCTCCGTACAAGTGCGAGCTTTGCCGTTATTACAGTCATTGATGGGGTAGTTGATGGGACAAGTTTTCACGGAGAGAGGCACCCTTTTCGCCCATACCAGTTTGCGACCTCAAGATGAAATAGATACATTCTATGTCCGAGCCTGCTCTGTAACCAGTTCCATCTCCTCGTCCAGTCATTCCACCATCAAGTCTGCAATGCAATACGATCGTAGGCTTTCTTCAGACCCGTAGACGTCGAAGATATCTGCTCAAACGTAGCATTCGTCAGCCTTTCGACAATAGTATATGGCACGGAGGTAACTCACCTTCGAAGAACTAAAAGGCTCGAAATGATTCCCCGGAATCCCCAGCACCACCATCTGCCGTCCCAATATGCACTCCCATTGGCGAGTCGACTCAGATCTCATACCCGAATCACCTAGCCAGGCATACTCCACCCCACACAGCCCCATAGCGTCGAAAGTGTCCTGACACTGCAGCATAACGTACTGAGTATCTACGGCCACATGCGCTTCGCTGGCAGAGGGGCTGTACTCAGCAAGAAAACGTGCGTGCATCTCGAACTGCGATGCTACGATCGCTCGAGCATCTCCGCGAGGAGCGAGCTTGGACTTGCGGTTGGCATTCAGGATGTAGTCGACGATCGGCGGAGGGAGTGGTTCATGGTGTATCGGGGGTGGGGAGTCGATGAACATGACGCCTTGGACCGTCGTACCGAGGGGAGCCAAGTGTTGAGCGATTTCGTATGCTAGGACGCCGCCGAATGACCAGCCTGTTGAGTCAGTAAACAGAAAATAGTGGAGCTTGCAGGGAAACCGACTTACCGCTCAGGATTACTGTTCTCGTCGGCAGAGCAGCGATGGCAGCCGCATAATGGCGAGCCATTCCCACCAAATCCTTCGCCCAATGGACGCCTCGCTCCATTATCGGGTTGGCGATGGCGAAAACGTCACATCCAAGCTGCTTTAGCCTTCTGTAGCACTCCACCGTCCCACTCCCGTCGTGGAACAGGAACAATGGAGGTCGACCACTCGCATCCACCTGTATCTTCGCCATCCGAACCGACGGCAAAGCTCGGGACGTCGGGGTGAAAGTCAAGTCCGCAACCCCATCGATCTTGTCGACGGCACGAGGCTCTGGTGGATTCAGGAAGATGTCCTGCAGTTCTTGCACAGTGAGCTCAGAGTGGATCTGCACGTCGCCCTGGGGCTGTCCGTAGCGAGTGTACAGCATCCTTTGCAGTTCGAACATCATGAGCGAGTCTATCCCCAGAGAGTCGAGAGGAGCGTCGAAAGAGACTTGGGCTGACGGGGTGCCGGTGAGTCTGCTGATGAGGCCTACGACATCCTCGGTATTGCTGCCCGTGCTCACCTTGCCATCGGAGCCTTTGGTATTCTGTGCCTTTACTGAAGTGCTTTCGCCCGCTCCACGAGGCGAGCGTGGTTGCATTTCATCGCCACGTTGCTGCACTATGGTATCTCTCAGGGTGCACAGCGTCCATTCGTTCAACGAAGGTGGCAATTCAAGCGAGTAGGACGAGAAGTGCTTGCGAATTGCACTGCGAAGCTCAAGCTGGAGCAAGGAGTCGAACCCCAGGTCTTCCAGTCTCTTCTGGTCGTCTATGAGCTTCTTTGAAAGGCCGCTCACCCCTGCGGCGATATCATGCAGGGTGCTCTCGACGTCTTTGGCGGAATCTGCGCGACTACTCGTGTCTTGGTCAGTAGTCCAATGCGACTCGCGAAGTTGCTGGTCTTCACCGGGAGCATCCCTGTCCCCGGCGACCATGGAAAGGTGTGTCTGCAAAGCCCGCAGCTGAAGTCTGTTGAACTTCATCCCCTCAATCGCAGCGAGAACACTTCCTTCTGAGTCCATGGCATACGACTCGCCAACGAAGGCCGTGCCGGTTTCCTGCAAGCGGCAATAGATCTGGTAGTCTTGGCGACAGTCCAGCGGCTTCTCGGACATTGTGCAAGTCTGAATCTCCGCGCAAATACACGCTTCTGATGAGTTGACCTTCACATTGGCGAGGAAGCCCGCGGCATGTAGTAGGGTATCGACAAAGGTAGCGGATGGCACCCCATTGCGCATTGTCGTCTCGCATGCAGGTAGTCGAAAGAGGCCCCATGCTTCAACCCCATCATTAGACGCGGTAAGCTCCCGGAGGGTGTGGTATGCGCTTGAGTAGGCAACGATGCGGGGGAAGATGACATTGTAGATGACGTGGGTATCAAATACCCTCCCGGATGGCTGCCATGCTTGTCGTCGGATGGCTCGTCTCCCCAGCTGCCCAGCTTTCTGCACGAGGTATTGATCCACTTCCGCAGGCGGCAGATAACTCACTGAGCCAGTACAGTGTTCGTTCGAACCATGCTTGCCGCTTGCGGGGCATGAGGAGAATGTGAACTGCTGGGCATCTTTTTGGCCATTGACATCTCGAGCAGGCTGAATATCCAATGCAATCTTCCGCTCCGGCGATTTGGGCAGAGCAAGAAGCGGCTTCGAGAAGTGCACATGTTGCACGACGATGCTGGACGTCAGCGTCGACTCAGACTCCGTAATCAATGCTTCGAGAAGGATGCCATGGTATATTGATGCGGGACAAAGTGGCCATCCGCCAACAACGTGTCCCAAGACGTATTTCTCGATGCTGGAGAAGTCGAGTTCATATCGACACGATGTCGATCCCTGCACTTTCCTACTCTCGATATTGTCCAGAGGATAAAAGGACTTTGTATTGCTCAAATCGCTTGTTTCATCCATCTGTTGTGATCCCGCGCTCCAGACATCCGATACTTGTTCTTTCTCCGTGGTGTCCTCGTTTCGTTGGACTGGCTTGCAAAAAATGCTCTGCTGTTGAAATGGATAAGCTGGAGTCTCGGTAAGCCTCGCCCCTGTGCCATCGAATACAGCGCGCCATCGGATTGTGTTGTTTGTAAGACTCAAAGTCCGCAGTGAACTGCAGATAGTGACCCAAGGATCACTGTTACGCTTGAGGGTCGGCAACAGAAGACAGTCCTTGTCCGAGATCGAATTACGGATGAGAGGTAGAGTGATTGGTGAGGGCCCTGTCTCAATGAAGATTGGCTCGCGCAATTGCTCGCTGGCCATGATGGAGGTGATGAGATCAGCAAACCGAACGCTCCCTCGCATCTGGTCTGGGAGGTACTTCGGCGAGATGTCTTCAGATATCAACATTCTGCCATGGAGGCAAGAGCCTGTTGGTATCGAAGGACGTGACATCGTAACGTTCGCGCAGAAGTCTCGCAACGGTCCCCAAACCGCATCGACCGCGGTGGAATGATACCCCAGTGGTACCTGGAGTCTTTGACAACGACCATCGTCCAGCCGCAGAGTCTCCTGGAGACTGTTGATCGCTGCTACTGGACCTGAGACGACAGTGTCGACTGGACTGTTCTTACATGCCACAGACAGACCATTGAACTTGTCTCGGCTCGAACAAATTAAGTCCTCAAGGTGGCAAGCGCTCTGGTTACATGCCAGCATAGCGGTCTCGCCGATTCTGCACTTATCGATCATGAGCTCGGCGCGGTGCGCAACGACTCTGAGTGCGTCTGTCAGAGACAGGACCCCGCCTACTACCAATGCGACATATTCACCTAGACTAAGTTTGTACCGTAAGTATCCAACCTTCGGATCAACGGAGGGGTGCGTACCTGTGACCTACTACCATAGCTGGTCGAACATTCCAAGCCATCCACATTGTGGCCAATGCGTATTCGACAAAGAAGCAGGCAAGCTGAGCGTACAGGATGCTGTCAGTGGCATCGCAAGGCACATACTCGTCCTCTATCATCGAGAGAACACTTCGATGGCCTAAAGATGTGATGATCTCATCGCAGCGGCCCATAGCTTCTCGGAAGACGGGCATAGTCGTCAGTAGACCTTTGCTCATGCCCGGATAGAAACAGCCTTGACCAGAGAACACCAAGACGTACGGCCTCTCCGAGGAAGAGCAGCGTACGGGTTCAACCGGAGTTTCAAGCTGTTCGGCCAGATCTTGTGTGCTTTGACATACTAGCGATATCCGGTAGTCGTAAGCTTGGCGCCGGGCAGTAGAGGTGTAACAAATGTCCTCTATAGCTTCCGTGGGTCTCGCAGTGAGCATCGAAAGATACCTCGAGCAGTACTGCTGAACGTCTATCTTGCGTTTGGCGGTGATGACGCAGTTGTAAGCAGTCCGCTTCCTGCATAGGCGAGAATCATTTCCCGCAGGCCACTCTTGAAGTATGATTGCAGCATTCGATCCAGCGGCGCCGAAGCTGTTCAGCAAGGCCTTTCTCGGCTCGCGCGACCGAGTATTCCATGCCTGGAGCTGGGTTGGAATTTGGATATGTCTGGCTTCAAGGTCGGGAAAGCCTGGATTGAGCTTCCTCGCGGATATCTGGGGAGGTATCTTCTGTTCCCGGAACATGCACAACACTTTTGCTAGTCCGGCTGCGCCAGCTGCGGCTTCGAGATGACCAATGTTCGCTTTGATCGAGCCAATGTATAATGGTCGTTCGGCGGTGCGACTTGAACCAAAGACTGAGTGAAGGCCGGCGACTTCTACCGTATCTCCCGCCTATGTCTGTCAGCAGTCAACCTGCACTGTGTAAGTAAGAGTCTTACCTGAGTGCCTGTCCCATGTGCTTCGACAACAGTAATTGATGCTGGGTCGATACCCGACGTCGAGAGTAGATTCCGATACAGATCCTCCTGCGTTTGTTGATGAGGATGCGTTATTGAGCGTGCCATACCGCTATGGTTCACTTCTGCTGCTTTGATCACGCCGTGGATGTGGTCATTCTCGATGATCGCATCCGGCAACCGCTTTAGCACGAACAGACCGCAGCCTTCCGATCTGGAGTAGCCGTCTGCCTTGTCGCTAAAAGACTTGCATTGGCCTGTGGGGCTTAGGAAATGGGCTCTGGATAGGCCGAGATACATCTGGTAAGTGGTCAGCAATGCTTAACGTAACAACTCGTGGAGCGAACCGACATTGAGGCTCGTCATGGCGTTGACTCCACCGGCGAGAGCGGCAGAGCAGTCTCCGTTCACGAGTGCTCGACAAGCCTGCGAGATCGCTACCAGAGAAGAAGAGCAAGCGGTATCAATCACCGAGGACGGACCGCTGAGCCCAAAGGCGTAAGACACCTTGCCGCTGAGGAATGCCCGGAGGGTACCTAGATGGCAATGCTCAGTAGATGTCAAGAGCGAGTGTGTGCACTTCGTTGCCTCCTACCGGTTGAGTAGTGAGTATCCACGTTGTCTCTCAAGTTGTGAGCATAATCTTCCGTGGCCGCTCCAATGTAACAGCCAGTTGATTTAGCTTGGAGAGACTTCGTGGCGTTGGGCACATAACCAGCATCGTCCAAAGCCTCCTTCGCCCCGCGCAAGAGCAGCTTCTGCTGTGGATCCATCGACTTCGCTTCTCTCGGAGAAATGTTGAAAAACTCATGGTCAAAAAGGAAGGGGTCGTCCAAGAAGTTCCCAGTGTTAGTGGATGCTGACCGTTCACCAAGAGCAACATCGCCGAAGCGTGATTCTGGGATCTGTCCATAGCATCAGATCTTGTAGCTACCAGAAAGCAAAGGCAAGGCCCTCCCTTACTGGTCTCAGCGCATCCTTTCCCTCCGCAACCATGTTCCACAGTTCCTGTCTGCTCGAGCTTAGCGGGAACCGAGCGGACATGCCCACAATCGCGATGTCATTCTGATCACACTCTATGCTCCGATCAGGCGTGATGTCTGCAACATCGAGCACCTCCGCCCTCGTGCTGGCTGCACGACTTGATGGGGTGCTCAGGAAATGATATGCGCCTGGGCCGATAGCTACCACTGACAGCTTGTCGCCGCCCGTAATGGGGGAACTTATGATTTTGGTCCAGGTCGAGGCCCAATCAGCGGTTTGGACCATGATGCCACGAACTGTGTGCTCTAGCAGCGAGCATGGGAGGTTCGAGTCGCGACATATCGAGGACTCGTTCTGCGAAGTCCACGCCGGCACCCGAAGGTCGTCTAGAGTTGGGAACAAGATGTGTCGTCGCTTGACATCCGCAAGGACGCTCTCCAACGCCGAAAGCGCTTGGTCACGACCATGATACAGACCGTGCACCTGTATATCGCGACAGGTGACAGTGGCGGGCAGATAGGTCGAGCGTAGCCTCGCCAACAGACTGCCTTCGCCCACGATGGAGATGTTGTTGTCGGTGTTGGAGATGGTGGAAACGAGAAGGCCGCTGCCCTCGGATAAACCTTCCTGATTGGCACAAGCAAGAGTTAGCGTGTTTCTCGTGTTGGTGTTGGCTTCTCCAGTCTTGTTCTTCTGTTCATTTGCTTCCCATCATCAACGCACCTGTTCGTTGAACTTGGCCAAGATGTCCTCGAGATCACTTCTCGACAGTCCTCGAACTGCGAGCGACCACGGCCGATCTTGCCAGCCTCCTCCTGCAATCCGGTAGCTCAGTTCGCCCACGCGCAAGCCAATACTGAAAGCGAGTCGTATGGCTTCCTTGCTGCGTTCAATGAAGTCTGGCACATCTTTGGCCGACGCCGCCACCATCGCCGGGATGGCCCCAGAGCAGAAGCCGGCCACTGCCGTCGGCGCGCGTCGGTGTGATGACTGGAACCATACCAGGTAGTCCTTGAGTTGGCGCAGACACAGCATGACCCCCTCGACGATCGGATTGCTCTGGAACTCTTTCGGCACAGAGACCAGTTGCTCAGGTGTCCCAAGTCCGTCGAAACTCGCCCACATCTTTGCCTCTCCATGGCTCTCTAGCTCCAGCACTTCGCTCAAGAATGCAGAATGACAGCTTGTGAGTAACAGGGCGACAGCATGAGTAGAGGCACTCTCGACTCTGAGCTGCTTCAACGCATCTTGTCCGAACAAGGCGCGACTGCCCTGGCCGCCGAAGAATGCAAGAGTTGGGTGGGCCATCGCCCTGTGTCCCCTCGTCTTCTTGGTCTGTCCTGTTAGAGAGTGGCGAGCGCTGTTAGCACATCACAGCTTCGGAGTGCGTTGAAACCGTGAGATGCGAGCGTCGTTCGTAGTACGGCTGTCTGGACACGGTCAGATTCGAACGGACAGTGTTGCGCTACTGCCCATTGCACGCTGCTCTCAACTTCATGCACTGGTGAATATTCAGCAGGGGTCATTATTGGTGTCCGTGCTAAACACGGAGTATTACTTCGTACTGCGTCCACAGCCCAACACAAGGCACGAAAACTTGAAATTCGCGAGGCCAGGCTGCTTCATTGATGAGATGCAGCCCACTCCGTTGCAATGTCTCCATACAAGGTCCTGATCCTTGATCTGTGGACAATTTGGATATCTCGTTCTATACCATACAGCTTCAGTCTGTCGCCCGAGACCTTCAAAAACATCACTTCTTCCGCAGTATGGTTCGAGTACGAACGCGGATTGATCACGGAAGAAGAGTGCTACCAGCGGTTGGCCGATGCTTTCTCCCTCAAGTTGTCAGATGTGGCAACAGCCTGCGCAGAGACGAGAGCAGTGGCAAGGGAAGATACGACATTACCATCATGGCTTCGACAGTTGCGACGAGACATGGGCGACGACCTTGCGGTTTACGCAATGTGCAACATACCGGAGCCAGAATTTACAGCTCTGCGGCTGAGCTGTGTAGACTGCGATGTCCTGGATCACATTTTCACCTCTAGCCATGTCCATAAGCGAAAACCTGACCAGGCCTTTTACAAACACGTCCTCCGTGCTGTCCGAGTGAGGCCTGAGGAGGCCATCTTCGTGGACGAGAGTCCAGATAGCGTACTCGTGGCGCAATCCATTGGAATGAAAGCACTTCATTACTCCGGAACAGATTTCCGTCGACAGATCTCAAATCTGCTCCAAGAATCTGTCCCAAGAGCACATGCTTTCCTGACCAGAAACGCGAAGGAGTTATACAGTACCACGAACACCGGACATACCATGAAAGATAACTTCACACAGCTTTTGATCCTGGAAGCTTTGAATGACCGGTATGGCTCCGCCTGTCATTAAGTGGCCTCACATTCTAACACAGTTCAGCGATCTCGTCGATCTCCGAGAACATTCGAGAACTTGGAATTTCTTTCAAGGTACAAGTCGCCGGCCGAGAAGCTCGCATCCTGTGGCGCTGACAGTATGTGATCTAGAAAAGCCTGTCCTCACGACCGAGAAGTACCCAGACGATTTCGATACCACCAGCGCCGCTATCCTGGTACTGGAACCGAAGGACGAAGCATTAGTACACTCCGTCTTGGATGAAATGCTCGAGTACTCCAGCGTTGACGGCATCTTGCACGTACGTGAGGACACATATCCATGGTATCCCCAGTGACTGATACGTGTAGGCAGACCTATTACGATCATGTCAGACCACGTATCGATCCCATTGTGTGCATAAACGTCCTTCGGCTCTTCTCCAAGTATGGGCGTGCTTCCGAGCTTTCTCGTACTGCGCAGTGGGTTCGAGATGTCCTCTACCACCGAGCGTACCTCAACGGGACACGGTATTACCCGACCGCAGAAGCGTTTTTATACTTCTTTAGTCGTTACCTCGAGACCACCGAAGAGACGGTATTGCGGGATAAGCCGGACCTCATCGTCGTGCTAAAGCAGTGCCTTACGGAGCGACTTGGAACGAAAGGCGACGCTCTTTGCATTGCCATGCGCCTGCTAGCTGGTGCTTACGTAGGTATACACAGCCCTCTGGACCTGGCAGCGCTGCGGTCGATGCAGTGTGAAGATGGCGGCTGGGAGGCAGGCTGTGTGTATCGCTATGGATCGACTGGGATATCTATTGGCAACCGCGGATTAGCAACGGCTCTGGCTGTGGGTGCAATATCAAAGGTATGTGCGCATGCAATGCTGTCTGGTGTACGAACGACTCACGATCCTGCGCAGCAAAATGCCTTGACGGCTCCACCGCAGAAGGACGATGCCGTCAATGGTGGCCCGGTGAAGAGATTGACGAATGGTTATCCTAATCAACCCAGGGAACAGAAACACCTTGATGGACGGGTCAACGGACCTGATGAGGCGGCTCACTGCAGTGGGCATTTGCAAGTCAACGGGGATGCTCACCCACTCGATGGTCACGCTCACCTTGGAAACGGCGGTCCGGTCATTGACGGCGTTGAAGTGGATGGTCATTGAGCCGTCAAGCTTTCTGCTGTCTGTCAGTATTGCTCAGAGCGGAGTTTTCCTCACAAACCTTTCGATCGCTTAGCCTGTAGGAATGTATCTTGCATTGAAGAACTACTCCACATCTGACAAGTGCCTTCTCAACTTGTACCATTTCCCGAGAGTGAAAAGCATCCACCGACACTCGCTCAGCACACAGGGTAAGGCAGTTTCGAATCATGGCATTTCGTGGTAACGAATCTCTCAGAAATTCATCACCACTGCCGGACGAGTGACAAGGAGAACTCTGATCGATAGATACTTTGAGCTGTCCCAATCTAGGCTCTCGATCAGCCGCATGAGATCTGATAGACGGCGGATGCAGGCAGTCATACTTCAGACCCGTCTCTGTCTCGTGACTCCATACTGCCTATCCCGGCGCCAGCTGGAATCTATGGATACCCGTCGAACCCTCTTTCCATGCCATCGATTCAACTGCGGCGAGGGCCGGTTTGTAGACGTGGTGCTGGGCGTCGCAAGAACATACGGAGGTAATTTGCTTCGGAGACATATCTGTGTCTTGGATGAACGTACATTAATGCCGTTGTCTGCCAGAAGCATACTCGAGCTCAACCGCATTGCGTTACATCACGGAATTCCATCGTCAGAACCCTCTGCGGCACCTCACTGCGCAACTTTACCGAGCACATTCACCTCAACTTCCCCGTATGTTGGACCCTGTCCCTTTATCTTCTTCGGCTTGCCCACCAGGGTGACATGATGGATCCCAATGTCGTCTATCGTGGTATTGTGCAGGCTCATGTCGTAAGAACTGACAACCCTGGCAATGGTGATGTAGAGCTCTGCGTATGCCAACCTAAGTAACGACACAAATCAGCAGCTTGTCTTATTGACGCAAGGGACATCCTTACGTCATTCCAAGACACTGTCTCCGTCCCTTCGAGAAGCTGACGAGGTATCTGTCGAGCGGAACACCCTCTTTGTTTGCTTCTATCCAACGTTCGGGCCTGAACTCGAATGGTTTTGGGAAGATGGACGGGTCGGTATGGACGAAGTATGTAGACTGAGTGACCGGCGTCTGATTCGGCTCAGTGATTTGTGCAGAAGCAATGGGAGTTTGCTTGAATTTCTCACCCCTGGCGGAATTGCATAGTCGCCATATTGAAGCGCCTCCTCGGTGGCAACCCTGGAGAAGCGACCCGCGGCACCAAACGCAAGTCGGAGGCATTCGTTGATCACTCCCGTCTGAGACATACATTAACACTGACACTCAGTCCTGGGTTTCTCTTCAAGACACTCACCAAGTACGGCAACGACTGCAGTTGCGAGAGAGCCCAACTGGTGTCTTGCGATTTGGGTAGATTGTTGAGCTCGGATCGTAGCTTGTTGAAGCGTGGCTTGTCATTCAGAAGATAGAAGGATGCAATGCTCAGCGACCTGGCTGTCGTCTCCGTGCCAGCAAAGGTCAACGTCGTCCCTTCATCCATAAGACGGTCAATAGTCCTTTCCTCTGCAGGGACTGATGTGTCTTCCAGCATCGAGGCAATCACTGGCGCTGAGCCAGAGTAGTCTTTCTGTTTCAGCGAGTTGAGTGCATCGTTCTTGATACCGTCTCGTATTGTCTCGAGTTCAGCCACGCTGGGCATCACAGCTTTCATGATTGGCATCGGAAGGCTTTTGAGCGCGGGAAGGATACCTGGTAAGAACCGCGTGAGGTGGTAGATGCTCATCACACCCGCAAACGTATCTCGAATTGCTGAATGAAAGTGCTCCTTGCCCAGATAGTCGAAATGCTGACCGTAAAAGCGCATGGTAATGACGTCTGTTATCATCAGATGTGAGCGAACCTTTCTCTACTTGGGAAACAACGCGTGCATACCTGCTGTCAATGCCGAGAAAGCAGCATCCAGGTTTAGTGGAGTCTTCTTCTCCAGAGCCTCGTCAAAACGTCCACAAAGTCTGTCCACCCGCTCCCCGATCAGTGGTTCAACTTCATGGACGGTCCGCTTTGAGAAGTAGTGGCTGAGGTAACCACGACGTGCTCGGTGGTGCATGTGATCCAGGGTGGCCACCATGGCTGTTGGAACAGCAAAGACTTTTACGGTCGCGGGATCTTTGCTGACCCTACGCGAGCCTCCACTGTATATCTCTCCATAGTACTCCGGATCGAGGATGTGTAGTTCTCTGGCGTTGATGCGCACGATGGGGCCTGGTACGGTCAGCAAGTGCCCTGCGTGGAAATGGTTTGCAAACTCGCCATATTTCTTGTGCATCCGCTCAATCTCCCAGAGGTATGTTCCGTCTTTGAGAACATCGTAGTATAGCTCAGATAGCCCGATGGCAGCCTAGAGACAGGCAGAGGTCAGCAGAGATCTTTGGGAGAAAGCTGAGGAGTACGCACGAATTTGGGACCTGGGAAGCCGCTCAAAGGATGGAAGAATAGAATATAGAGACATCTGCCAAGTGCATAGAAGATTGCCAACCCGACAAGAGGCAGCGCCAACGCTCCAGTCGAAATCTCCATGGTGCTGCCAGGTTTGCAAGCGGGCGCGCCGTTAAGATAGAAGTATTGTATGCAGACATCTTGGATGCTGCCAACGCTAAATACGCTCGAGGCGTTCTTCTTGATGCGATTTGGTTTCGATGTGCACTGAAGTCACGTAGTGGGTACATGTAACTTGGGAGGGTGAGCTGTAGAAACACGCCAAGTTTTGAATCTGCACGGGCGAGGCCCGTGCAGCCGTGCTGGTAGCTTACTAGTGACACGGAAAAGATATTGAGACGAGTATGGCCATGGCCATGGCCATTGCCGTCGCCGTCGCGCCGGCTTGCGAGTGGTCCAATCTATGCTCAACTGATTGAGACCAAGCGAGACGGGCAGGAGTTGCTAAGACTAATACAAAAAGTGCACAGATACCGTGGCTACAGTCTCGTGGCATTCTTTTGATGCTGAGTAAAAGTGCCATTGTGCGTACATACACGTCTCTAATGCTAATGCTGAGCCACCAAAGCACCGCTCGGTGTTACTTGTTACGTCGGCGTGAAATGTAACCTTTTCCAGGGAGCCGCATCCACCACGATTATCCCATCGATCGACATCAACCCAAGTGAAGCTCACTCTAGAGCATTCAGGTTGACCTCCCGCGAAGGCCCACAACCACTGGACCTACGCCTCTGCGACCGAAGCCTCCTTCTGTTCGGATCCGATGGTACTCGTGGATGATGGAGAGACTGGCTCGTCTGCCATGTTCCATATGTTCCAGAACATGTAATAACAGTCCATGCCGACCTGGAGGCCAAACGCTACGGCAGGAAACCAGAAGGTAAGTGCTCCATTCCACGCATAAGGGCCGCTGTATACGATGTGGATCCCAACGAAGGAGAAGTACGCAAAGGGTACAGCGAAATTGACCAGACCGGCTATCTTCGGAAATATTGGATTCGGACTGTCATCGGAAAAAATCGCCCATGCGATTGCCCAACCTTGAACCCAGAAGGTCGTCCACGGTTCGAAGAGGCTCAGCCACAGCTGATCGCTGATGAGCAGTGTCAGCTCTGGGCTGTAGTCCCGGAAGACGGTCATGCCACAGAAAAGTGCCGGAGTCATGAACGAGCACGCAATGCCAGCCACAGCGGCTCCGAATTGTAGGTCTGGTATCATCGGATCTAGGTTCGGTATGCGTCGTAGTTGTCGGGAGATGAGCGCTGAGTACGGGATGTAGAGACCACCTGATATGAGCAGCATGGGAACGGTTGCGTGCATGCCTGCCTTATTCGAATGGTAGAAGTTGTGGACGAACTCAGCATCCCGGGTTGGCGACAGAGGTGGAAGAAAATCTGCCGCAACCAGATTGAGGAAAGCCAACATGAAGCTGAGCATTCCGCTCAGCAGACAGCCATACTGCCAGTTCTTGGTCGTGAAGAGTCGTGAGCGTTTGCAGAATCTCTGGAGGTACAGCTCCAGTGGCGCGAGTGGGTCCCATGCCATGGCCTACAGCCTTGGAAGTGTCGTGGGAGCGTTGGCTTGAGGGCGGGATGGGACGCTGACTGTTGCAAGGAGCAAGGAGCCGCTGGACATGAATCAAGAAAGTGCTGTAGATGAAGACAGAGGCGAAGAGACTCTCTGAGATGTAGGAGGTAGGCCCAGCTGTGGCCCAAGGCACAGAATGTGAAGGCGAGGTGAGGTCAACTTGTAGAGAGACTCCGCGTACCTTTGAGCTGGCGGGACACCATCATGTCATTACTCCGGGACATGTTTGCATGTCTACTGCCAGGTGATACGAGCACATGTATTGCCGCAACGAGTGATGATGTGTTTTGTGCTTCGTGTTTAGCACGGATCTCTACCACCTCTGCATGTTGCTGTTCGGTTATGCATATGAAGGGGTTGAAGCGCCCGCCGCCAAAGGCCGATCAGCCAATCAAAGCGGCACGCCTTCCGTAAATTTTCCATGCCGCATGAGTTTGACGCGAGACTACGTTACTCATCTGGATGCTTTCATCGCATCTCCACCATCGACGTGCCCAAGTATGGATGTGCCGCGACGTGAGCGCGGCGTTCGACATGCACAGCATCATTGCATATCCGGTTGTATACCTTGCGCGGGAGTTCCAACCTTTGGCTGTTCCGGAGAGGGCTCATCCTCGAGTCACGTCGGACGCCCGAGGTTGCTGAAATGGAAAACAGACGTTAGTGCTCTCGCCAGACCGTAACATCGCCCAGAGATGAGCAGCTCGCTCAAGACAGGCCGATGGTGGCGAAGCAATGCCTCCCCTAAGAATACCCCTCCCGGTACCGACGACCTTCCGTACAGGTTCTGGGTTCATAACAAGTTGCCGAGAGCTTGGAGCAAGAGCTCACGGCGCCTCGAAGAGCACTCTACAAGTGTCGCTGCTGTCTGCCACTCCAGCGACGACTCTAAAGACCATGGTGAATCGAGCGAGAGCACCTTAAGCAGCGGCGGACCAAGCCAAGGACCAAATGAGGATACGGACGTCTCAGCTGTCGACCGACCGACCCATTTGCTTACAGATCCCGAACTTGTCGATCTGCTGCTACAAAAGAAGCTACGGAGCCATGCCCTAGAGGAGGTTTTGAAGGACAAGACGAAAGCCGTCAGAATCCGGAGGGCGGCGATCTCTCGCATGACAAACACCACGTTGGCCGACTCGAAGTTGCCCTACGAGAATTTTGACTACGATCGGGTCCACGGTGTTTGCTGCGAGAATGTCATCGGATACATGCCTCTTCCCGTAGGCGTTGCTGGACCTCTGACGATTGACGGCCGAAGCTACTACCTGCCTATGGCGACGACTGAAGGTGCACTTGTCGCTAGCACTAGCAGAGGCTGCAAAGCCATCGATGCGAGCGGAGGTGTCACAACGGCACTGCTTGAGGACGGTATTACTCGCGGCCCGTGTGTTGCGTTCAAGTCTTTGTCTCGAGCAGCAGCGGCAAGAGACTGGCTGCATAGTCCGGATGGACAGAACAAGATCCGCATTGCATTCGACTCGACTTCTCGCTTTCTGGGGTTTAGCCATTTAAGCTCGACTATTGCAGGAACCAACCTCTACCTTCGCTTCCGTGCAAGCACCGGAGACGCAATGGGCATGAACATGATCTCCAAGGGGGTTGAGAATGCACTTCGTGCAATGAAACAGCATGGCTTCCAGGATATGACGATCATCTCAATATCAGGCAACTATTGCACCGACAAGAAAGCGGCTGCGATCAATTGGCTCAATGGAAGGGGTAAGAGTACTGTTGCTGAGGCCGTTGTCTCGAAAGCAGTTGTCAACTCAATCCTCAAGACGGATGTCGATTCTCTGGTAGAACTGAATATCTCCAAGAACTTGGTTGGTAGTGCGATGGCCGGAAGCATAGGTGGGTTTAACGCCCACGCTGCGAATATCACAACTGCAATGTTCCTTGCGACCGGCCAGGATCCAGCCCAAGTGGAGAGTGGACACTGCATCACACTCATGAAGAAGTTAGTCGTTGTCATATCATGGTACTCCGCATTCATCGTGCTGACACTTCTCACAGGGTTGGCGGCGACCTCCACATTTCTGTTACTACTCCTTGCATTGAGGTCGGAACTGTTGGCGGAGGAACTAATCTGGAGCCGCAGGCTGCTATGCTCGATTTGCTAGATGTTCGTGGTCCGCACACAGTCAGTCCGGGCGAAAATGCTCGTCAGCTTGCACGTATCGTGAGTGCCGGCATCCTGGCGGGTGAATTGTCGCTGTGTGCCGCTTTAGCTGCAGGCCACCTGGTAGAAGCACACATGCATCACAACCGGGAACAGCAGAATATAGCATTGTAATGCTTGTGTTGCAGCATTTTGGAGACCTCGCAGTTCCGTTCAATTTCTGTGTTTGTGCTTGCTCACCCCAAGCGCAGAGGATTCTCGGCGACGGCACCGAAGGCTGCGTATGATTGCATGGGGTTGCGAGAATCCGGCAAATAGCAAACTGCAGATGCACCGCACTTCCCATATGAACGAAGATCGACATGTTGTGGCTCGCGGCCTCGGAAGCCATGCCGGGCGCCTTGTATATCTTCGCACTTGCAAGCTTCGCAGTCCCCTCTGTTCAACAGCTAAACCAGACCGCGATATGCTCACACGCATGGCAGCGCGCGAGTCGCTACGGCTTTGTGAGCTCCACGACCTTCAAGCCTTATCAAACAGAGACTGATTTAGTCTGCAGGGCCGGCATCGAGACATCTACCTCCTCTTTCGCCATCGACAAGAGTGCGAAACAATGTGGTGGCAGTCACTCGAAGGTGAGACGACTGCCCTACTCCTCTGGCGACCACGCGCTCACCCCTCATCACTCACAGACTTGCTGCAACTGGACCAGGACCCATAGGAACCGTGCGACCTGACAACGACCGCATCCTCGCCCAACAACGCTTGAAACGGCCTGTTTCACCATTCGTCGGCATCTACCAGCCCCAGATACCTTGGGTTCTATCCATTAGTGGTCGGATTACGGGCTGCTTGTTGAGCGGCGGCTTCTACATCTTCGGCAGCGCCTATCTCATCGCCCCCTACGTTGGCTGGGACCTCAGTATCGGCTCGATAGTAGCCACGGTCGCAGCTTGGCCAACACCAGTGAAGGCTCTGGTGAAAGCAGCGGTCGCTTGGCCGTTTGTCTTCCATTGCCTGAATGGACTGAGACACCTTACATGGGACACATCGAACATGATGACGAACAAGAAAGTGCAGGCAAGCGGATGGGTCGTCGTTGGGCTGACTACTGTGGGGACTCTGATCTTGGTGTTTGTATAGAGCGGTGGCGCCGATGAGGTCTTGGAAGAGTAGCTATTCTATGATACCGGGCACTGCTGACTTGTACACTATCTGGCAAATGCATAGCTTCGGATTGCACTCCTCACTATCCTTGAAGGCGTGGGAAGAGCGCACAAGCGTTCTTGCGGTACACCATATGCCGCGTTTCACTATCCATTTCGTACTCATTCAGAGTGTTGGCAAGCTGGTTGATGGCCGGCGGAGGTGCGAACGGAAAGTCGCTGCCATAAAGAATGTGGTCCCGTGGGAAGTTCTCGAGAAGTGTATCAAGCACGTATGGCGTGCTCGACAGCGCAAGGTCGAAATAGAACAATCTGGCGTCTTCCAGAATCTCCTGAGCAGACTTGGGCGGCGGCGATACGTGAGCCGCAAAGAAAGGTATCAGCGCCGTCGCTCTGCCGACGAGATACGGCAGTGTACCCCCGGCGTGAGACAAGATGATCTTGCAATGTCGATGAGCTCGCACAGTGTCGTTCAAGATCATGTCGAGGGCAGTGTTGGTCGTTTCGTGAGGGAACTCGGCAATCGCAGGATCCACGTACGGATTGATCTTCTCGCTTCGAAAGGTTGTGCCGGGATGGACGTGGACAACGGCACTTTGTCGATCCAGTTCTGCCCAGATGGGCTTGAAGGACGGGTCGCCGAGATATGAGGCGCCGTAGCGCGCCAACAGCAAGACTCCATCTGCTTTCAACGTGTCCAAGCAGTAGCGGATCTCCTCTAGAGCTGCTTCGGTATTGTGCAACGATGGGATCGCGGCAAAGAAGCCAAACTTCATGGGCTCTGCATCTCTGAGCTTTGCTGCATACTCGTTCACTGCTCTGGCAATCTTGACGCCCTTCTGCTCATCGAAAGCGAACAGGATCGGAAAAGACAGGATTGCAGTTGCTGCACCAGTCTTCGACATGCAATCCTTGGTCTTCTCGGGCGACCACGCAGGCATCCGAGATGCGGCAACCTTCAAGTCCTGCAGCGGACCGGGACCCGTGAAATCTATGAAGTATCAGCTCTGCCGTGGTTCATCCAGAGGAAGATGGTTTCCCCTACCAAAGTCAATATCTGCGGGCACAAAATGGTGGTGTACATCTATCTTATCGGAAAGGGCCATACTGCAAAATTCTGAGCTGCGATGGTATTCGCAGAGGTGGGTCTGGCGCTGGCGTAATAAGATCAAATATCACCTTCTTATACCGTATCGATGAGAGGAGATGCACGGGAGGTTCTTCACGACGTCGGACGATACTGAGACTGGACCAGGAACAAACACACAATGTTCCAAAGTGACCTGATAACTCGTCGGTACCCAGCTCCGGGCATTCTGCCGTCAAGTTCCTCTGGCAGCGAGGCTCTGGATCCAATGTGAACACTGTGTTGAGTGCGTCGGGCTGCGTGAAACGAACCTCGCACGATTATGCGACTGTAAATTTATTTTACGCTTGCTGCTATCTGGTCTGGATAATCATACCTCCATTCGGTAGCCCCACGGCAGTGATGTTCGAGCACGCCGCTACGCCGGCCTTTGTATGTCCTTCGTCCAGGCATCTGACTGCCAGCCAACGCAACCATCGTCGTCTTACGTCGAAGGTGGAACGGACTGCGGGTTATGGAACATGTCTCCACGATCCACCGCGCCTTTGATGCGTTCCAGCTTGGGCAAGTTGCTTCCCCAATAGGCGTCCGAAGCACCAGAAAGATCTTGATCGATGTGTCCAAGGTATGCACCAAACTGTCCATCAGGCATGCCTTTCGTAATGATGTCGGCGATGCCCTGTACGCAGCCCTTGGTGGCCTTGGATACTCCGCCATTCTCAATCGCAGCGAACTGCATCCAGTAAAGAGTGTCTCGATGGGCGAAGGCAGTCGCATTTGCTACGGTATCGTTCACCGCACCTCCGACCAAATGGAACGATACGAGCAGCATTACACCATTTGCATAAGCCCTTGCCAGGTACTCGAATAGCTCATGAATCACAGCGTCGGGCATGAGCTGGCTGGCCTTGAAGTTGAGGGATTTGGCATAGAATGGTCTCGGCATCCCTCCTGCGAAGTTCACCCGAACTTGATCGGCCCAGGCATTGATCACATCGATCCAAGTCTTGCTGACGGTCTCGTTGTAAGTGTCATTCCGGGCACAGATGGCACTCACATCAAGACGGTCATATGCTTCCTTCGTCCCGAAGTAATGCCCACTTACAATCGCCTTCTGTGGGAAGACGTCCATGCCTGCATGAAGCTCTCGCGACAAAGAGGGATCTGAGACAAAGGTTTGCCATTGCTTGAACAGCTTTGCTCGTTGCGACGGCTCTGGAGACGATAGTATATTGTCGAACCGAACGATCTCTGTCGGCGCAGGCTCTGTGCGAAGCCTGAACTCTGTGACAATTCCAAAGCTGGGACCTGCCCCCTTGAGCGCGAAGAGGACGTCCTGGTGTTCCTTCTCAGACGCTCGGATGACGCTGGCATCGGCGAGAACGACTTCCGCTTCCATAACGCAGTCCAGAGTCAGCCCCCACATTCGCGAGGCTGGACCAATGCCTCCGGTTGTAGCGTGCCCTCCGAGGCCGACCTGAGGACATGTTCCATGGGGCATAGCACGACCTTCGTCGTACAGCATCTGTGCCATCTCCCCGAGAAGACATCCGGCACCGATGCGGGCAGTCCAGTCAGATATGTCTATGGAGAAGTGCTGGAAGCTGCGCATGTCGATAATTACCGAGCCATCCTGGCCTCCGAGACCTAAAAGACAAAATTCGTAAGCGAGTCATATCCAAGATCCAGCCGGAGGTGGCTCTGCAGATGCGAAGCGGACAGTAGTCGTAAGGCAACATACCATGGTTGGCGTAACTATGACCGCCTCCTTTGGCTTGGACTTTGTAGCCCCCTCGACTGGCCAGTCTCACAATCGCAGCAATCTGTTCCGAGCTTTGTGGAGTCACAATCACCAGAGGTAGAACCGGAGAGTCTGTGTTGAAGTATGGTACAGCTTCTTTGCTCTGAGGATAGTTCAGCCGGCTGGAGTCGCGCCCAACTGCTGAGAGTAGGTCCTCGTGAAACTGTGAATCCACGCCGTCGCTCGTCCTTCCTTGACTCCCCATCGTGATTGTTCAGCTTGTTCAACAAGGTAAGTCGCAGGTGGAAGTTCGTGCATCGATGCCCCGGGCGCTCTCTATAGTTAAGTAGGCTGCACATTCGGCCAGGACGTCACGAAGTCTCCAGTATATCTGCAGGCTTGTACGCAGTCAACCAGCTTGGACCAACACAGGATTACATCACCTCACTTACTGCTACCATCGCCGTCCGAGTATCCAGTCTGTCGGCTGATTTGATATTTGGGCCGACTTAATGTAGCTGGAACTTCCATGAGTCGAGTCATCGAAAGCGTATACATGCAACTCACTATGCTTCAAGCCTCGCACGCTGCACCGCGATGTACAGAATGGCAATGTGTTCCGTGTTGAATGTCTAAGAATCTCACTACGAACGTCCCTGATACTCAGCTAGAAAACCCAAGAGCATGGCTACGCTCGTCAACATGTAGGCCCCACCGCAGTATTTGTGGCAACTGGCAGGCACCTTCAGATCCATAGCCATTATCATCGTAAGCAAGGCGCTACTGCTCCCGCCAACAGTGATGATAAGATACCGTGGGCCTAAGCCGCCAACAGCGCCCACAGAGACGAGGCATGCTATGATGGCAGACGCTAGAAGAGAAATTACCACTCTGATATGAGACTTGAACAGGACCGCCATACTCCTCACCCCAGCCTTAACGTCGTCGTTGGTGTCTTGTCCAGCGTAGACAATGTCATAGAGCATCTGCGAGCAGCGCAGTCAGCATTAGAAGGGACCAAAGCCGTGTGTGATCGCCAGACCAACCATGAGCAGAGCGATAGCGAACCAAAGGGAGCCTGTGCACATCTGATTGCAGTCTGCCAGCGGGTTGACTTCCAGTGCATGCATTGTCATCACCACAGCGAAACCGATGGTCAACCCGAGGACGACCTGAGTGTAGTCTGTGAACCGCTTCATGTATGGATACACGAACGACAGGGCCGTGATGAATGCAGCATCGGCAGAGCATTCCCAGGGCAGCCGCGAAAGAAGCAGTATTCCGCAGGCCGATACAGCGCTCATAAACAAAAGAGCCTCCGTTGTGGACACCGTCCCTCGTACCAGTGGTCGAGTCCGTGAACGCTCGACTTGGCTGTCGAGATCCTGATCCACAATATCGTCCCACGTACAGCCTGCAGAGCGTAGCACGATGCTACCCAACAGGAAGATACCGCCTTGCCTCATCAGAGTACGGACCGGAATCGTGGAAGGCGAAATCGAAGCCGCAAACAGTATCCCTATGGCGTACGGAAAGTACACAATCACAAACCCAATCGGTTTGTCCAGCCTAATCAGCTGTGCGTACGGGACGAAGCATCTTGGAAGCCGTCGAAGCACTGGCGACCGTTCTACTGCTTCACAAGTATCGAAAGAGCTCGATTGCTTTCCTGCGATGACGTCGTCCGGGTATACCTGCTGGCTCCCCTCGCGGTTGTAGCGGTAAGCTTTCTCGGGCATGTCGATGGTCAAGAAGTAGTATAATGATGAGAGGACTCATTCCAGGAAAGACTGCGACTCTTTAATGAACATGTACCTACGGTATCTTGTTCACCTCAAGTTGGACCATGGAGAATATTCTCATCTCACTCCACGTTCAAAGAGCCGCAGGCAGCCTGATCGGCGAGATGCGGGGTCCATGCTCACTAGTGGACTCCGTGCTGAGCACGGAGGTGTTTGTTCGCTTGTGGTATCATCGAGACAAACAGTTGTTTGCGAGAGTGCTCCACAGGGCCACATAGGCAGGAGAGTTGGCTATGCTTGATTGAGGACGGCATGGACGGGCATCGAATTGCAGCAGATATGCACGCCGCACTCCACAGTGGGATGTGCATTAAAGAAGGGATATGTGCGGTCCATTGAACACCATGATTCGCGCGCAGCATCTTGTCGTTGCTAAGGGCACCGTCATACTTACAGACTGTTACTCACGGCAACAAAGCCAAGGGTTCTGATATACCTTGGGTCAGCTCCTCCAACAGCACAACCTGAGACTGCAAACCAACCTTCAACCTGACACAGATCTGGGCACGCAGGTACATCTGGAACAGCTTTCGGCGCCGTCATTTACCCAGCGATCAGACCCGATGTCTCCGGCACAGGAAGCTTTGAGCGCTTTGAGCGAGGTACCCGGTTTGAGTGCCTTGAGCGGTACCTCGCTCAAGTACTACCTGCCGGCTGTACTACTTCTGCTGGGCGTGTGCTATCTGCTACTGACTCGCGATCGCCCATATCCAGGGTTCCCAGTGGCGCCGCAAGACAAGAACGACAAGCGCTCATGGACCGAAGATGGCAAGGCGATTTTGGACGAGGGCTCGCAAGAGTTCGCTAGCTGTTTCCAAGTCCGCACTGGCTCTGGATACAAGATCATTGTACCGAATCGCTTCGTGGATGAGGTAAAGAGTCATTCAGACCTCTCCCTTGCCACTGCGGTGGCGAAGGACTTGATGGCGGACTATCCCGGCTTCGATGGCTTGCAAGCCGCATTGCAGGACGAGACCTTCATCCAGGAGGTCGTGAGGGTGAAGCTGACGCAGAGCTTGGGCTTGCTGACCGAAGACCTGGTTCAGGAGACAAACGATGCTTTTCAGGAGATTGTGGGCGAGCCTGAGGAATGGGAGACGTCATGCCTGAAGGACGACACTCTGGACATTGTGGCACGATTGTCTGCCCGCATGTTTCTGGGCGAGAATCTGTGCCGCAACCAGAACTGGCTGCGGATTTCCAAGGAGTACGCAGTGGACGCACACAAAGCCGCACATGAGCTCACGAAGATACCTGCGCTCGTCCGTCCTATCATCTACTGGTTCCTACCTAGGTGTGCACGTATGAGGAAGCAAGTCCGCGAGGCCAAAGGATTGATCGAACCAGAGGTCAAACAACGGACGGCACAGGCTCAGGCGTCATTTCAAGAAGGTCGCAAGAAGATTTCTCAGGGAGCAGATGCTATCGGGTGGATGATCGAGGTCGCGAAAGGACAGCCCCGAGATCTCGTCGCTGCGCAACTCTCCCTCATTACCGCGGGCGTCCATATTACCTCCGAGGAGACGTCGAAATGTATCCTGCGACTTTGCGACCACCCCGAGCTTGTGCAACCACTCCGAGCCGAGATGATCGCGGTATTAAAAGAACACGGATGGTCTCGGACAGCAATGTACAATATGAGATTGCTTGATAGCTTCTTGAAGGAGGTTCAAAGGATTGACGGGTTCTTCTTGGGTGAGCATAATGAGGTTGATGCATAGGGATTTCTCCAGCTTATCTTTGAACAGCCACGATGGTCCGCTACGTCAAGAAAGCCGTAACGCTGTCTGATGGTACCGTCCTACCCAAGGGAGCGCGCCTTTTGGTTCCGAACGATAGGGTCCACGACTCGAGTGTTTATACAAACCCGGAGCGCTTTGATCTGGAACGTTTCTCACGTCTTCGCGACAAGCCGGGCGAGGGAAATAATCATCAATATGTGGCCACTTCCGCGGACCAGCTTGGTTTCGGTCACGGACAGCATGCTTGCCCGGGCCGGTTCCTGGTGGCGGCCGAGATCAAAACGGCACTGTGCTTCCTTTTATTGAAGTACGACATAAGGTATTTGCCTGGACAGTCGCGTCTACCAGCCGTCAAATTTGAGACACAGAGGATCATGGATCCTAGTACGAAGATCCAGATTCGACGGAGGACCGAAGAGATCGACTTGCTGCACCCCAAAAGTGTGGTGTAACGAATTAGTATAATCACGACGGCTCGGGTACTCACGTGTACCACCAGAAATTCAATGATACTTTGATTGTCGAATACTGTAACACCACTTTCTGTTTTCTGCTTTCCTGAAATCCGTCGCTCCTGAAGCCTGATCGTTTCACCACCAGATTGTGTCCACGGTTGTTCGTTGCCTGTGGGTCCTGCCATAGCGTATGATAGTCCAGAGACATAGCGTAGGCTGTATGGCGATCAATGAAAAGACATGGATTATATCATAGCATCACCTCAGCGCAGATCCTTGTCGACAGGATAGGCCCTATCGTCAAGCAAGCGGCAGTCAAAGCGGACAACCCCTCCGTAGGCAGCTTGAATGTTTTCACCGTCCCCTGCTTGATCGTCAGAGCTCAACGGATGGTCAGCAACGCCGATCTAACTGCGTATGTGTTGCAATCCTCGGAGTCAAATGCATCGTACCTAGTCGCACGTTCAGTTGCTTGTTCAAGTGTCATTGATGCGTTCCTTGTTGGTGGACCTATGGAGTACATAATGCGGCATTGCGAGCCCTAAGGAGGACGATCTGTTTGATCTTATTCGCAACCTCGAGAGACCATGGGGCTGACAGCGGATCTTGAAAGTCTGGGAGCGGACGTCGCCACGCTGTCCCGAATTCTGGCATTACAACTTGCAGCAACCGGGAGTCCAAAGCCAACACTGGCCGCTAACGGGGCCCCGGCATTTCCTCTCGATCGTCGAGTGCAGGAACCACGCTTGGAGCTCATTGAAAAGGCGACCGATCTCCTGCATCTCGCCACAGGTGCCAACGACTATTGGTACTTCCAGGCTGGGCTCTACGTTAGTCATCCCTGCCTTGCTTTGAATGCGACCGCACACTAGTCGTCTGACGCGAGGAATAGCTGAATTACGATGCGTCGATCGTAGACGTGCTGAACCAATTCGATTTCTTCTCGAAAGTGCCGCTGTGCGGCAGCACGAGCTACACGGAGCTCTCGTCTGCTACCGCACTGCCGGAGAACCTTATCGTCCGTATCCTGCAGTATGCTTTCACCATGCGGATCTTCGCTCCCGAACACGGCGAGAGTGACCGCGTGGTCCACACGGCCTTCTCGGCACACATGCAGCGGACGCCTGCACTGCGTAGCTGGATCGGTCATGCTCTCGAGGAAGGCAGACCGGCGGCAGTTCACCTTGCAGAAGCTCTAAAGGAATTTCATGTGGGTAAGGATAAGCCAGTGGAGAATCTGGACGAGACGCCTTTCTCGCTAGCATGGCCACACTTGAAGAATGGCAATCGTGCGACCTTTTACAGCATTGGAGTAGACGACCCAAAGGATGCCTGGCGAGCGACCAGATTCGCGGAAGCTGCACGTGAGACCATGATGAGTGACGTGGAGGGCATTGAGAATGTGGTCGAGGCTTTCCACTGGGATGGCCTTGGTAATGCCTTGGTCGTCGATGTAAGTTTCCAGCGCCTGGTTCTCGATCCCGTCAAGACTGATAGAGTATTATCCTCCAGGTTGGCGGAGGGGACGGTTCTTTGGCGGCTATGCTGGCCAGGAAACATCCGAAGCTTGAGCTGAAGGTGCAAGACCTGGCAGGCATTGAAGACACTTTCAAAGTCGTACGTTCGAGCGATGTAGCAGGTCGAGTCTCCTTTGAAGCCCAGGACTTCTTCGATGCACAGCCGCGCCAAGCGGACGTGTTTCTTCTGACCAGAGTGCTCCACAACTGGGCGGACACCCACGCCGTTCGCATATTGAGACACTTGGCCAACGCGCTGCAGCCCGGGGGGCGAATCATCATATGCGATAATGCCATACCTGGGGCAGCCGATGCAAACGCACCGCCTCTCAGCGTAAGGAAAGGTGTGGCAGGCGCTGATCTTCATATGTTCACCATGCTCAACGCCAAAGAACGGACGGTGGAGGACTGGGAGCGTCTGGTGCAGGCTGTCGATCGGCGGCTGGTGATCGCCAAAGTGCATCTCGCCCCCGTGCCAGGGGCCATGAAGAGCTTGATAGAGGTGAAGCACGCTTACACGCAACACGTAGACGGAAACACTGCCGGGGTCTAACACGTACCTTAGACGACCAATGGCGAGCATTCGGTGCACTCCATCGTCTCGAACAACCATAAGTTTTTGGATGCATTAGAGAATTGGTATGCATTAGAGCATTGGTTTTCCCCCACAATTGCTACGGGTGTGGTTGCGTGAGACGTTGCCACGTTGCCAAGGCGCGTTGATCCCGTGAGATGCCGTTCGGCTCGCCGCAGACGGCACGGGGCGTAGGGATCGTTTGCCTGCAGTAGGGGCGGAAAGAACACCATCCGCACGACATCCCGTCCCGCACGCGGACAATACCTTATTTTACCCTGGCTGTCTGGCTGCTTCAAACACAAAGGCTAAGGCGAACTCCCGCGGAGAAGCGACCTGTAGGCAAGACCCCACCTTCACTGGAAAAGACATGCGAGGCTGCTTGATCGTCAGAGTCCAATCCACGGGCGTATGTCTGACTCCATCATCGATCAGAAGACGACAAGCTCTTGGACATATCAATGCCCACCTCAAAACGTTGTCCGCAGCAGCCCTCTTCGCCTGTGTATCACTCGGTAAGCCGCCCATGTCCTGCAGCACACCGGGCCGATACTGCTTAGGATCACTGCAATGGATGGACGATCATCCCACTTTTATTGCTGACGGCGATGAGGTGTCGCAGGAAGGACTCCAGTATCGCGGGGGGCGGACCGCAGTGTCACGGTAAGGATTCCGGTGCCCCCATTGACGTGCTCCTCAACTGCTCAGACTCGTCAGAGTTTTCTATATACACGTATTCACGACGTGAGCACATCCAAACGGCCGGGACCACTCAAGATCGAGCTGCAGTGGTCGCGGTGAGGAGTCCGGTGCTGCCTTTCTGCAGCCGCTCACGTCGTCACCTGCTCAAAGTATCGTACATATCCACGATGCGGGAATGCTGGAGCGCTGACACGGCGTTCGATCACCTCCGTCCTCGAGCTTTTCGAGTCCTCACATCAATACATATGGCTACAACACACGATGCTTACTTCACTTTGGACAGCCAGCGATCCGTCACCTCCATAGTGGTGAACGATGGCTCTGTCATCAGCCAAGAGCGCTTTCCATCTCGATTGACGCCACAGAAATGGATAGAAGCACTGCGAGAGATGGATGAATGCGTCCAACAAGAAAAGCGCAAGCTTCAGGCCTCTTGCAATCAAGAATTACAGGACATGCTGGGCCATACCGAAGACTTTGCTGTCGAGAATACGAGCAACAATGCCTTGTGCATCGATGTCGGCAACCAATATTCTGCAGCTGTCCAATGTTTCGATCAATCTCAAGCACCAATCGCCATGACACCGTCCTTCGGCCAAGGTATGCAAGACATGCAGGATACGCGGGGTCTCTTTGGCCTCGACGACGGGCTGGCACTCGGAGGTCAGGCATCGCCATCGCCGTGCTTGGGTAATATCTCCGGGATTAACTTCGTTGCTGATGGGGTAACGTTGGACGTTCAGCCAACTAGTCCGATCTCTAGCCTCTTCCCATCAGAGGCTGGTCGAGCACAGCGTACTGATCATGCTCCGGCAATTGTTGAGAATGGCTTGGCTAAGGAGAAACGAGCGCAGAAGCTAAAGAAGACGCTGGAGAAGCTTCAGGGTTTTACAACCCTCAACAAGGCCATCCACAATCAACGAGTCGACGGCATCCACGACGGGCCGCAAATGCCTTTGGGTTGCAGGGAACTTACACTCGTGAGGCTGGCAGTAGCTCTCGGTCGGTTGAGTGACGTATCAGTTGCTTCGGGAGTTGTCCTCGGCTTGCTGAGCTGGCGGCTGTTTGGTATCGAGGAGGAGAGGATGGTCGATGAGGGCATGGCACGCAACGTAGCAGCGAAACAGGTGTGCCACACTCCGCACGAAAGTGGTGTCGAACTCTCGCTGATTCCCAAGCACCCGTAGATGAACCAAGCAATGTCCCAGATCTTCCAGCGCCGTGGCAAGACAAGGGATTGGGCAAGCGATGGACGCAAAGCGGCCAAGATGGTGTTCGGAGCGTTGGCGGGTCTGACCAAGGTCGACAAGTCGTTTGCTTTCCTTCTTCTTAGTGGTGAGTGTCCATGGCCTTCATCAAGCACAAGAAACCCACTTACTCAGCCTTTGATCACAGACGTTTGCAGCCTCGACTATCTGCTCAAGATCGCGCACTTTCCGATATTACGAGAGGCTTTTCAGAAAGAATACTCGAAGATTGCGAGATCGAGAAGTCAGGAATGGCAAGCACTCCATGCTGCAGGCTATAAGACCTTGGACTACGACAAAATCCTAGGGATGACAGGCTTGGCCTATAAACGGTAAGCTTTCGGGCCACTTGCCAACCTGGTATTGAGCTCCTGCTAACACTCACCCCGTTGCGGATGTAGGACCCTGGACGTCGATCAGGCCGAGCAAAACGGGATCGTGGAAGAGGTCGGGGACGGTTTCATATCGACGCTGTCGGCAATGCATGGGAATGGTAGTGGCAGTCTCTGGGACGACGACTTCCAAACCATGATAGATTTTGGGACGCCCGCACTATAAACTTGCCTTCCTTGTATTGCAGGAGCCCATTAGTGGTACGGGACATGGCAGTGTTGGCATGCAGAGGCTGGGGAAGCGAGGGCGGCGTGCGCGCGGCGATGGAGGGAGGGGATCTGCTCTGATTGCAGCTGGGGACGCCAGCGGGCTGCGCAGTCGGCGAAGGGCGAGGAGGGCGTGGAGTGTAGTGAGCTATTCGCAGGGCTAAGAAGGGCCACCGTCGCGGGCGGAGCAGGTTATGGGCACGACGTTTCGCAGTCGTCGTCCTGTATGCGTACTTCCCGTAGTCGACTCGCATCGCTCAGAGTGACAGGTTTGTCGCCAGTCCGCCAGTCTTGATGCGCTGTCTGCATTGATCGCGTAGCGATGGATTTCGCCTCCTGCATCTCACCTCTTGCGCAACACTCCTGCGCCATACTCTTCTAGGTATCCCATGAACGAAGCACCGTCTTCCTGCTTCCCTTCTCGAAAGCGCCATGCACTCCCGCGGGCCTTCCTTCGTCAATGTTGCGGCTACACTTAAGCCTTGCAGTCCTTCGCCCCCCGGAATAGCCTAGTACAGATCTTGCTTGCTTACCGTGCTCTTTCAAATGCTTATGGGAGATTTTCGGCTATGATGGCATGCGTCGATGTGCTCAATGGTACCGTGGCTATTGAATCCTACGAAGTGCATCCGCCACACCATGACCCTCAAGCCGCCAGCCTCCTTCGGTATGCCATGTCGCCTGCAGTGCAGCCCTCCGTCTTGCCTTGTAGCTCTGTGTGTTACTGGATCTGCTGTTGCTCGTACGAAGGTCGGTGGGTGGATGGGAGGTCAAGGGACTCGGGGTCGCGGCGTTGGGGAGGGGGGCCCGGTTGGCCCGGTTGGCGCGGTTGGCGAGCAACGATGCCCTGGTTAGTACACGACGTTGGCTGTATTCGAAGCTCGGCGTGGTGGAGATCGCTGGTCTGAGCAGAGGATGGAGATAGAACGAAGCATGTGTAGCTATAGAAGCTGAAGTCTTGATAGGGATTAGGGATTATGAGAACGCCGAAATTTGACCTTAGGGTTAGGGTTAGGGTTAGGGTTAGGGTTTTGGTTAGGC